ATCCCCCTCAGCATCCTCATCGGTATCCCCCTCAGCATCCTCATCGGTATCCCCCTCAGCATCCTCATCGGTATCCTCCACTTCATGCCCTGGCTTCCTTTCGTATTTCGCATCGAGATTCCTGCACAACTTCTCGACATTGACTTCATCCATCAAATCCAGCACACGAATCCTCGCATTCTCAATATCCATGGGCCTTCTATTGTACCTTTTGGCCAAGGCTTTCAGCTCCTTATAGAGTTTCTCCATCGCACTAAACGTAATATCCATTCGATCATGATCATCGAAATACCAATCGTTAACATCGTCCCACTTACCCTTGCGATTCCGGTTATCAACGAAACAGGTGAAGATGTTCATCAGGGCATAGCCTAGCATATTGGTGCGCTTGTGGTATAGCTCCTCATGGTCTTCCCTATGATTCAAGAGCCTGATTTCTTTTGAGTAGGCGGACATAGGGTCTCCGGGAGACTCCCACTTCCGGGCGTATTCAATTAGGGACTGAAAGACATTCTTCATGTCGGACCTGTGGCTATTTTGCTGGGCATATTCCTCTTTACGTGGAGCCATGTCTTTGGTTTGATGGTTTATTTGATGTTTGATCGGGACTACGTTTAGGTAGTTCTAGTTGTGTTGAGATCGGAGGTAGTGGAAAGTTGTGCTGTGTTCTGGATCGATACCACAACCGAGTTTGGTGGTATACATAATAGAGGTGAGCTCTTCATTGTGCACTGCCAAGAGTATGACCTCGACAATGCTCATGCACCAAGTATCAATTGTATACTCATTATGTATTGTGTATGTGTCCAAAGCATAATGCATCGCTCATTATCAATTGCGCCATTGAAACGCTTCTATCACGAATTCCTTTATTGTGTATAACCTCTTCGCCATGCTGCTTATTCATGGGCCCGTCAAAGCGGTGCAGCAATCTGAATGGACTCTTACTTGCTGCGCTTGTATATCTTTTGAAGAAAGACTTCGAAGATCTCCTTCTTGAGGCCGTCCGACTCATCGATCTTGTCAATCTTAGACCTAAGATCCGCGACACGCTCCTCCTCCCACTGCTCGTAAAACTCGGCGAGCTTCAACTCATTGTACAGCTCCTTGACCTTGGCCTCCTTTGCGGAGTTCTTCTGGCCGTAGTTGTCCTCGAGGATCTTTCGTTGCTCAGGGTTGACCTTGTTCAGTGCTTGGTTGACGAGCCATGAGCACTTGTTGTCCTGGATATCGGTTCCGATCTTTCCCAGAACCTCGGGATCAGCGAAAGCATCGAGGTAATCATCCTGAGCCTGGAAGTACTCTCCCATTGGAATGAGGATGTCCAATGCAGTCTGGAGGTTCTTTGGTGTGGCAGCTCCAGTGTAGTGAAGGGCAAGAGCGACGGGAAGGTAGAAAGAGTAGTAGGCAGTCTTGAAGATGACAATGAAGGTGAACTTTTCAAGGCTGAAGTTGCTAAGATCCACATTGTCCTCAGGTGCGGTCAACAGATCACAGGTTTGGCCAAGCTCGGTCTGGAACGTAACCTCATGGAAAAGCTCGACCATGTCGATGTAGCTGGCCTCTTGGCGGAAATGCTTCTTGAGCAAGACATAGATAGAAGACTCAAGCATGAAAGCATCGTTGATGGCAACCATGCCGACACCAGGGGCAAGATACCAGCAAGGGTTTCCGCGGCGTGTCTTGGAAGAGTCCATGATATCGTCAGAGACCAGGAAGAAAGCTTGCAAAAGCTCGATCATCCAGCCGAGAAGTGCGGCACGGAAGTACTCCTCAGTTCCTGGGGTGAGAGCAGATCCTCGAAGAATCGACGCAGTGTCGACGACCGACATTCCTCGGTTGCATTTTCCTCCGACAGTGTTGTAGTTCAGAGACTATATTACCAATTAGGAATTGCAAGATTTGGGAAGACAAAGACATTAAATGAATCGTACTTTAATGAACCAATCAAGTGACTGCTGGGGAAGTTTGTAGTGTTTGCAGTGAGCCTCAAGGTCCCCGACAATACGGGGCCACACGCTCTCGAAATCTTGCAGAGAAGTCGGCATTTTGGGTGAATTGCTTCGAGCTAGATAGGACTTTCTCAATGGCACTTTGTTGTTGTTCAAAACCCCTGACAAGACAATCGAGGGGTTCCATTGAGGCGGGCGGTGAGCTGGGACATAGAAAATCGGCCGGAAATCGGTGAAACTATCTGCCGATTGACTATTGCCCCGCTACCCTTTGTTTAGGAAGCCAAGCCGCATCCGACGCGCTGGTTGTTGTTGCTACTAACTACAACATCGCGAAGCGAACCATTTGACTTATCGGATTCTGGTTCCCCGTTGTGAAGTCCTCCAAATAATACCCTCATTGATTTCAAATCAATCGTTAGGTGGACATCTTCCGACAGGGGCAGTTGGCCCATAGTTTACATCAGACCGACACCAAAATGTCCCTTCTATCAAAAGCAGACGAAGCTAAACTCAAAGGACAACTACAAGATGCCGTGATATCATGCACAGAGCGCTGTTTATATAGCTCAGCAAAATGGTACGCGTCTTCCCGGGAAGAATGCAATGTATTTCAAGCTAACAAAACTAAAGGGCCGCCGAATTACTGAATTCCTTTCCAGAAACTGATGACGATGGCTCCGAGACTGACGTGGATTCGGCCATGTCCGATCCTCCTCCACCCCAGACACCTACACCCTCCTCGAAAGATCCCATTGAGGCAAGACTCGAAGCTCGAGAGACGCAGAAATACCTACTAGCCAAAACCTTTTTCGACTGTCGCGAGTTTGATCGATGCGCCGCCATCTTCCTCCCAGACTCACTGCCCAAAACTTCGTTCCTGGTCACTCCCTCCCCCGCGAGTAAATCGAAACCTCACGGAAAGTCAAAAATAAAGCTAGGCACACCTACAAAACCAGCGCTGTCAGCGGCCGTCGTGAAGGGACTGAGTCAGAAGGCACTCTTCCTATCGTTATATGCCAAGTACATTGCTGGTGAGAGGCGCATGAATGAGGATAGCGAGATGATATTGGGTCCACAGGATGGAATCACGACCAATAAAGAGTTACCAGGCATATCAGCTATTCTAGAGGAGTGGTTTTCAGGGCTTGCCAACAGCGGCCGGAAACCCCAAGGATGGCTAGAGTATCTTTACGGACTTGTCCTTGCGAAAGGGAAGAATGAAAAGCAGGCTCTCGAATACTTCATCCAAAGTGTCAACTGTTGCCCCTACAACTGGGGTGCCTGGCAAGAATTGTCCACATTGTTTTCTACGATCGAAGAGGTATATAAATCACAATGCACGCTGCCAATTGTTTTACTGACGCGCTTTCAGCTACATCAAGTAACCCCTCAGCTTCCGCAGAATATCATGGGGTTTGTGTTTCAAATTTACGCTTCGCAAGAGCTCTATCAGTCCGCAAATCAGGTTCACAACTCACTGGCCCAAATTCTCGACATATTCCCGGGGTCTGCTTTTCTACAAACTCAGCGAGCATTGCTCTACTATCACAGCAAAGCATACGAAGATGCTGAGCAGATTTTCTCCGAACTACTGGTCGCAAACCCTCATCGCATTGATGCAATGGATTGTTATTCCAACGTCCTGTATGTTCTTGAGAATAGACCAAAATTGGCTTTCCTGGCACAGCTCGCGATGACCACCGACAAATTTCGACCCGAGACTTGCTGTGTGGTTGGGAACTACTACTCTTCAAAATCGGAGCATGAAAAGGCAGTCATCTACTTCCGGCGGGCCCTGACACTGGACCGCACCTTTCTATCGGCTTGGACATTGATGGGGCATGAGTTCATCGAAATGAAGAATACGCATGCAGCAATTGAATCATACCGACGCGCTGTAGATGTAAATCGGAAAGACTATCGTGCATGGTATGGCTTAGGGCAAGCCTACGAAGTCTTGGAGATGCATTCATACGCCATTTTCTACTACCAGCGTGCTGCTGCCCTGCGGCCTTATGATCCAAAGATGTGGCATGCGCTGGGTGCCTGCTTCGGAAAGGTAGGCAAGGTAGCAAATGGCATACGAGCATATAAACGCGCATTAGTGGCAGGCTCCTTCTACGACAATAATGTTGGATCAAGCTTCGGTAGTGGCGAAGTGTCCGGCTTGGGAGGTGGAGTTCTCGATCCCGAGGTTCTTTTCAATATTGCCTTGCTCTATGAGCGAGTTAACAATATGGGGGAGTGCGCTGCTTATATGGAACTGGTGCTGGCGCAAGAGGAGGGTCCAGACTACGATGAATCTGTGGGAGATATGGCTGGCGGTGTAGGCGTTACGCCTACCACGAGCAAAGCCAGGCTATGGCTCGCGAAGTGGGAATACATGCGTGGCATGTATCAACGGTCTATGGAGCTAGCGAACGAACTTTGTCAGGATGGTGTCGAGGTGGAAGATGCGAAAGCCCTAATTAGGGACATACGGGCTCGTATTGAAAGCCAAAAAGGTGACTCGAGCGTAGCATGATCAGTGAAGCTATTCACCAGATCAAGTGAAGTTGTTTCATCTTTCAGCTTCGGGGTGAAGTTGGCATTTGCGGGCGCACAAGCATGATACCCACTTTATTCTAGTAATTGATAGTTTTACCGATCCTTCAATAATTCTTTCTTTGACGCTACATGGGAATCACATCCTCAAAGTGAATATGACCTCCATAGCAAGCTTGCCCTAGTCACTCATGGTATTGAATTTCCAGTCAGCACATTTGACATACTGCTACATGCCACGGTTCTAGGTATAAAATTCATCGAACTTCTGCTTCTTATTATACTTTCTTCGAACAACAACAGTTTTCTCTAAGCATTTTGCTGCATTTCGACTCTACCATCTAACACAAATTTCACACAACATTCGTCCCCGAGGACTTAACATTACCATGGACCCACTGCAACTGCGACACCCTTTGCCACAAGAATACCTTCAAAGACATGACACCGAACTGCTTCAAAACATATTTCTTGGCGTAAGGCAAGCTATCCTCACCGGCAACTACGGGCAGAACTCGCCCCAAGCGCTTATGGCCACCTTAGAAACCATTGCAGCTATCGTGCGCGAAAGGCGAGGAGGAGGAGGGGGAGGGAGAGGAATGCCACCGGACCCTCGTGAATCTTATGGGCCCCCGCCATTTGGAGGACCAGGAGGACCTTTTGGCATGGGACGAGGACGGTCTGGTAGTCCTCCGTTTGGCATGGGGCGAGGAAGGCCTAGCAGCGCACCATTCGGCATGGGCCGTGGTGGACCTGCTAGTCCACCATTTGGTGGCATGGGACAAGGATATCCTGGAGGACCTTTCGGTATGGGAGCAGGAAGGCCTCCTCCACATTTTGGAATGGGGCCGGGAGGACCTCCTCCAGAATTTATGGGAGGAAGAGGGCCAGGAGAACCAGGTTCTCCATTCGGCATGGGTCCAGGATATCCAGCATTTGGTGCTATGGGCGGAAATCCGATGCATAATCCATACATGCAGGCCGAGTACGGCTTCCCTGGTGAATTCACCTACGGGCCCCGACGCCGTCCACGACCTCGTTCTCCAGGCATGGGCCCATTCATGGGAGACCCCTTCGACGACGATTTAGATGACGATGAATACCCCTTCCGCTTTAGAGCAGCGCCTGGGTCTTCGTTCCGTGACTACTTTGACACTAGTTTCTCTTCTCCTCGGCAGGACGATGATCCTCTGTTTGGAGAGTCGCGGCCAAAACAGCCAGTGAGAAATCCAGATACACCCGATCTTTACGCCATCATGGGTCTTCCACGTACAGCCAAGCCAAAGGAGATCGAGAAGAAATACAAGGAACTCATGATGAAGTATCATCCTAATCGTATTGCCCAGAAGGGAGGGAGCGAAAAGGAGAAAGAGGAGGCTACCAAGAAGTGTCAAGAAGTCAATCAGGCGAACGATGTGTTAAGCAATCCAAGAAGAAGAGCCATTTATGACCAAACAGGAGAAATTAAGGAACTATGAACTTGGTTTGGGGGACAGTGCATTCATGGATAAGCAGGTTCTCATTGGGCGTGTGACAGCGATTATGCCAAGTCGTTAACGGCTGGAGTGCCTACCTAGAAGTTTGATTCTCGAAGTAGGCGAATGAAAATTTACGATAATATCAATGAATAGTTATAGTGAATGAAGTGTAAATGACGAAGAATACTCTAGCACCGACATTCCAATGCATCACATGTATACCATGCTAAGTAGGATCCCTTTTATGGTAATATTTGGCCTGCGTGCAAGTAGAATGCTTTTCACTTCTGAATAGTATATGGCAACATTCACTGCTGTAGGCTGTAGCCGTCTTTTCACCTCCAAGATTTCCCTCTGGTCTATCACTACTTTTTAGTACAAGAGTACCTGTCTATTTCATTATAATGGCACGAGCTATCACCAACCGTCTTTGTCCACCAGCATATTCTCCCAGGTTGGCAAGATCTCAACCACACGAATGGATACCGTCAAATCCGCATTTGGTGCCATGTTTGGTTCAGAAGAGGAAAATACAAAGCCGGTCACGTCACCAATCCAAGTACAACGTGTAGATGCATATCCTCAACTCATCGTCTATCACAACCCAGCCTGCGGCCCCAAACCGACACCGTCGACACTGAAGTCCAGTACGGTTCTACCCATTCGTACTAAGATCTCTCAACGCTTCGTCAACGACAGGGAATGCAACTACGAAGTCCTGATGGCCCAATCTCACGCATACTACGAGGAAATTGATACCATTCCCGCTGTGGCTATGGGAAAAGATACCATCTTTCCATGGACAGAGCATGCATATGTCATCCATCCAATTCGTTTTGATCAAGCTTGGGACTACACACCCCGAGTATTGGAGAACATCAAGCAGTGGATCGAGGAAAGTGAACAGGTCTATGCCAATGGCCACCACCAAGTTCAAGACTTCCATAAACGGCGAATGGAGTCTTTAGACATTGTGAAGAGAGAGCTTTTTCGAAGGAGAATGCATGAGGTGGGAGAAGAAGAGGGATGGCTGGGAGTGTGGGATGAAGTGGAGCCTATCGATGATGAAGCCGAAGGGCAGAATGGTCCGAACGATAACTCATATCCGATTGTGAACGATCAGACAGCGGAGACACTTGCGAAGATCGACGCTGCAGGCGAAGAGGGCTTGAAGCAGAAGGAACCTCAAGAGGCTTCCTCTAGGCGCTTCTCAGAAGTAGACGAGACAGTGCAGAGGATGGTCCGTAATCTGCGGGAGCTTGAGTATGAGGCAGCGATCGGCGATGGGAATTAATCATCTGTTTCTGCGCCGATGCATGCTAATGCACTCATTTGGGAGCCAATGCGTGAAAGCAGATGAGCTACACTTTCAAGGCAACGAGGGTTGAAGTGTTGTTGACAGGTCAGATTAGTAATAACAACAGCTCCTACATCAAGTCATGAATCAGAGTACATTTATGGTCTCCATATTTCCTAAGAAAATTCTTTTCATGCTTCAAAAACGCCTTTTACAGCGTTCAAATACGTCGAAACAGTTGCCCACCAAGTAGACTTAAAGAGATGTGTTCATACTTCCATACAGTACGCAATAGTGCAATAGAGCAAATATTCGAAATAGTATATCCCGCATTGCGATTTATTGCCGCAAGTGGCAATTGATTTTGGTTCCACTTGTGGCTATTTTGAGCCGTCTCTTGGTAGTAACTATATGTTAACATTACAGAAGAATCGGAACAGCAAGTTTCCGTCTTTGACGCCAGAGCTTACTTCCTCAATTCATCTACTAAGATATACGAGTACGCCTAAAAAGGTATATGCCCTACATGTGCTATGAGATACATCGCGACACCATTATTGGCTTAGGGTGATGCACGTTGAGCTGCATGCCACTCTATGATTTTCAGAGATGCCTTATGCAACCTTTGCGTTAGAATTTATAAAATTCGCCATGCCAATCATTGCTATAGGTAGATCTATTGGGGCAATGTACCGTTTCCTATTTTATGTTGGCCTGTATGATGTTAACATAATCGCAGTATCTCTTCGTGAAAGTATTGTCGTCAATTTTCTATTATGGCATCTTCGTTGACGTAACATGTACGAGGGAGGTGTATCTCCAATTACTTGAATGGGGTAGATCATGTTGTAGTGGTGCAACGTTACACACTTTCAAGTACTTTCATTTCAGGAGGTAGTTTTAGCTTGGTGGAATTTGAAACTTTCACGAATCATTTAACCGTTAATAGGTACACAAAATAAATGCCACAAATCAGGTGTTCGTTCTATGACTATTTATATTAATTAATACACCCCACAATATATATCTCAGACAACATCTTCCAGCCACACTTCGTAAACCGGGATGGCATTTTGAATGACCACAGAATTCCCCGACACTTTTCCAGTTTCGTCAAATCCACAATGCGATCATACAAACGGTAGCAAGAAACGGCAGATTATCAATTGCTTAGCTGGGAGAGATTCCTTTGTAAATACAAGCATGGTTGCCCAGTTGAGGCTATCTCTTCACAAAACAGAAACTCTGGTAAATAAAAAGCCACTCAGTTAGTAGCTATTCAGTACACCACAAGAAAGCCATGCCTACCTACACTATGTTCGGTCTATTGGCTTTACTAGCCACATCGACGATGGTATCAGCGCAAACATGCGACCTCCCCTCGACTTATCGCTGGAGCTCTACTGGTTCACTAGCAAATCCGAAGTCAGGTTGGGTTTCGCTCAAAGACTTTACCGTCGTCAACTACAACGGAAAGAAACTTGTATATGCAACGAACCATGATACCGGAACAAAATGGGGCTCGATGAACTTTGATCTATTCAACAATTGGTCTGATATGGCCTCCACCCCCCAGAACTCGATGACTTTCGCCGTGGTAGCACCAACGCTCTTTTACTTTGCACCTAAGAGTATCTGGGTGCTCGCATACCAGTGGGGACCGACTGCATTTTCTTACCGCACTGCCACAGATCCATCCAAAGCGAATGGATGGTCATCCGTGCAGCCGTTGTTTTCTGGAACCATCTCCGGATCGAGCACAGGTCCCATTGACCAAACACTTATCGGCGACAGCGACAACATGTATCTTTTCTTCGCAGGGGATAACGGTAAGATCTATAGGGCCAGTATGCCAATTGGAAACTTCCCGGGCAACTTCGGTACATCGTCTACAGTGGTCATGACAGACTCAACGAACAATCTCTTCGAGGCTGTGCAAGTCTACACACTACAAGGGCAAAAGAAGTACCTCATGATTGTTGAGGCAATTGGTGCCAACGGTCGATACTTCCGATCATTCACTGCCACCAGTCTGGGTGGTAGCTGGACACCGCAGGCCGCGACGGAAGGCAATGCTTTTGCCAGCAAGGCCAACAGTGGTGCTACATGGACGAATGACATTAGCCACGGCGATTTGTTCCGCAGCAACCCAGATCAGACAATGACAGTAGATCCCTGCAATCTTCAGTTGCTCTATCAGGGGCGAGCACCTGGGTCCGGTGGTGATTACGGTCTGCTGCCATACAGGCCAGGTGTGTTGACACTACAGCGTTAGAGAATGTTCGTGGCAAAGGGTACATTGACGCCGAGTGGCTGTTCATGGTTGAGCAATATTGGAACCTCATAACATACTAGTAGCAATCAAAAATCAGGATCGGAAAGTCACTCATTGAACCGTATGGTGATATGTTTCACTTGATTTCAAGTGTGACTCATGGAGGTTCAGTTCCGTGTATCGCGACCTCAACAATTTATTGAAAAGGACAGTTCTCGCTCCGTTCTCCAGACCCGAAAGGGCGGTCACGCTGAACATAAATATATGCGTTCCCCCTCCTACATTCCTCAAAGAACCAAATCACTTACATCTCACTTCAGCGCTTGGAATTCAGAGACTTCTTTACAGAATTTCATCAAGAACACCTCAAAATCTATCAAGATTCATCAGCCAAGCTTCAAGTCTCATCAAAAATCACAACCACTCAAGATCATCACCAAAGAGATCTTACCATCCATCAAAAATGGCCTCATCATCAATCGACTACCTCTTCCAAGAGGACCTTTTCAATTCCACAATGATGGAGCCCACCTTCCCCTTCGAGTCTCTCCCTGCAGAGCTCAGAAACATGGTCTACGAGTACTACTTCGCGACACCAGATATGGTGACCTCACCCTCTGGCTTAAAAACTCCCATTGCCTTCACCATCAATTCCCAAGGCAATGTGGAGATGCCATCAATATCACAAATCTCCTTCCAATCATACAAGGAGACCAAGCAGCTCGTCCGCCACGCGGTGCAGCGAGAACACAGCAGCATCATCGTCAAAGTCTCCTCCCAGAACATTGGACCACAGATGCTAAGGATCTACAACATAGCGAAGGAGTTCAACGTGGTTCCCTTCGACATGCTTAAGCGCGTTATCATACGCCATGAGGAGAAGGCAAACATGGAGATCCTCTGGCCTGCCATTGAGCAGTATATTCATATGCTGATTTGTCCGCCTGGTGGCCTCAACCCCTTCATGTTCCAGGTCGCAGATGGAGACGATCTGCCGACTGTGGATGGCTACGGCAAGATCTCCCTCTACAATGGGGTGTTTGATCTCGGCAGGTTCGCCAAATACTATGCTTATTGCAAGCACCCCCGATGTGCGGGCAGCTGGGATTGGGCGGCTGCCACTTTCCTCAACAATCTGGGCGAGCTCGGCTATGAGCAGGCAAAGGGCGTTGCTGCTGAGAAGATCTTCAACACAATCTTCGACTGCTACACGCTGGTGCTGGAGCTTGACGGCCTGGCAAAGCAAAGCCCACAGAAGGTGGCAGGTGCCTATAGGCAGACCATCTTCGACCTTGTGCAGGTTGTTGAAGCTTTCTCGCACGACCTTGTGGGTGTGGTTGGTCTTCGCCATGCATACTTTTAGAAATAAATTGAATCTGCTGAATACCCTTGTTATTTAATAAACACTTCTTGTGATACTTGATGATTTGCTCCTTCTTGTGACTGTCAATTACAATGCCTTGAACTTTTCTATAGCTAAACCTTTAATACTGTTGATTGGCGTACTTCAAGATGTTTTAACACAACTACAGCAGCTTAGCAATGTAATATGAAGTCCTTCAGATCACTTTACTAGCTTTAATTTGCTTAGGCCCGCAATCCTATTGTAAGTCTTAACGCACATTTATCAAGACTCACTCGTGCATCAGGTCATACACTGAAGGCAACCAGAATTCATGATTAGCTGTGCGGCCGTTTCGTTCAAGAACTTTCTCAACGATCTATGTTACATATATGCTTCTAAATAAAAGCTGTAGCTACCCCATGCATGATTAAAATCACAGGACTAGAAATACATGTCTCCAACAGACTCATCCGATCTTGTTGGGAGAAGATTTGGCAAGAACTTCTCTCACCTTGGCAACGGTGTTTCTGGCTGCGCGTCGCTCTTTCACACCTTCGTCTTCACTGACAACCTTTCCTTCACTGGTGCTTCGCACAATCAGGCGGACCAATTCTTCGGTCTGCTTGAGAGTCTTACGTCCTTCTTCAGTCACTTCGGCGCGCCAGAGTGATCGCGCGCCTTCCCAGAGTTTCTGCATGTGGCGGAGGGAGAAGACAAGGCCAAGCGCGGCGAAGACGCCGGCTTCGAAAACGGAGAAGGTGGGCATGGAAATGTAGAGGAGGGCGGACACGGCAGAGGAGAGCGAGGTTGTTGAGAGAGTCGTGAGAACCAGGCGTTGGGCGAGGGCTTGCAGGTTTGGAATGGTATCTTCGAGAAGAGACTTGCGCGATGCAGCGATTTGGTTCGGCCAGGGTTGGGGTTCGTGCACTTCTGTTGAGATATTGAGATTTTCTTTGGGGGAGAGGTGCGGTTCTTCTGGGGGTGGAACAACGGGTGAGGCTGGGTCTTCCAAGGGATGGTAGGATGTTGAGCTGGTTATTGGGAATTGTTGGATCATCTCGGGAAAACCAGCTTGATTCATGCGACCAGCGAGGTAGACGGCACTCTTCTCAGCAGAGGTGAGCCACCGCCGCTCTATTAATTCGCTTGTGATCATGCTAACGTCGTCGACCCTCCAGAAGAGTTTCCACCAGGCAAGCTTGTGCCAGCTGCGTGCCGCGAAGGCCTCGTCGAGTTCGTCACGGAGCTCGGTGTGCGATTTTTCAGCCCACTCCTCCAAGTGCCGTATCGTTGCTGCAGTTGTCTGCTCCGGGGTCCTTGCAGCCAGAAGAGTGTTGATCTGCTGAGCATCTTCTCTGGTGATAGCCGCTTCAACATCGTCGACGATGGACTGTACAAACTTCCTCGTGATGGGGCTGATCTGTCCTGATGGCTCGAGGTCACGAATGAGCCACTGTGAGAGTCCCGGTAGCCCGCTCCTAAACCAGCCTTGCTCGTATCGTGTTGCATTTGCGAGAGATTTCCGGAATATATCCAGGGCTTCCGTAGCAATCTGTACATTGACCATCGACGTTGAGCTTTCTCCATCCACTTCCGTCTCTTTCTCCGGCGGCGGCAGTTCAATAGCCACTCTGACCATACCCTCCGCTTCACCATTCAAATCAGACGTAAACCTCCCAAATGCAACGGCGCTCTCAATGCCCTCACCAAGCACAACCGTTTTGTGCACAGGGTACGGTACAGGAAGCCCCCTTGCAGAGGTGGCCTGTAGCTTGGGAACCAGCACCGCTTCCTTTGAACTCTCCGACACTGATGTAGCAGGAATATCTGAGACATTTACATTCAGCGTTGACACCAGAACCTCAATGTTATGTTTCTGCAGCACCCTCGATGGAATGTGGACGATCTTATAAAGCGGACTGGGTGGGGCCGGTTCGTTCTCATCGCCATACCTGGTGACTCAGTCAGCCTTTCCCATCCTTCCATGGTTTCACTCAAGCCTGATTGAACAAACCTCAACAAAACGGTCTCGTCTCCACCCTCCGACTCCACGCGCTTCTCAAGCTCCTTCTCCCACTTCCCTTCCTCAGCCAAGGGATCTGCGAAGAGCAAGCGGGCAAGCTTCTGCGCGCTGCGCTGGTCATTGAGCGATAGCACTGCGACGCGTGTGACTGATTCTCTGGCAGCTAGGCCCCGCAGTGCCAATTGCACTCTGCTGATGTTGACGTACGATTCCGCGACGCTACTGAGATTTGAAAGGGCATTGTATAGCTCTTGGTTCTGGGCAGGGATATGTGGACGCACATTTACTGCTGTAGGAGAGACGTGCGTGGATGCGAGGCGGGCGCGAGTGCGGAGGTCTTGGAGAGAGATGCGTTTATGACCGGGGTGGGTGCGTGTGGAGACATTGCTGCGGTGGCGGAAGGACAGCAGTGATGGAAGACGGTCAATTGGTCGGGAGACGAGGAGACTCGTTTGTCGCGGTGCTAGAACCGCCCATGGAGGCATCGGGTGCGGAGATGGACATCGTAAGTTGATACGCGGAGCTTGGGATGTTGAAGTTTGGAGGTCTGCCGGAAGAACGTCGGTCCGGGTAGGTGGATCAAAGGGTCACGTCAACGTCAGTCACGACTCACCTGCAACATTCTAGAATATCCAGTATCCTGGATGAAAGAAATGACATGGACTAGATATGAATAGATGAGGGGGAGAGGGTTTCACAACGGAGGTCTGTGGGGCGTTCACCCTAAGAATTGAGAATATTCATTTCGTATATGCCAAGTCGAGTCCGAAGACTAGGACCAGCCTAATTACTGCCGTTTCATCACAGGTTTACCTTGCGCCTTCTAGGACCAAGTCCCTGCCAGTATATGAGTCGATTGATCGACCGATTGGACACTACTTTCAGTAATCTGTCCAGCCAAAAGAGATACAGAAATCATCGTCTCGTCAATTTAAGCCGTCGTTTCGAAGATTTGCTGTTATCAGCTTCTAGCGTTGGGGTTGCGGCCAACTCCTGAAGACCTTCTCTATATTAGCATCAAGAACAGGAATGAGTCGCCCAAAGACTTACATGCTGATTCTTCTGGCCACGCGTGCGAGACCTTGGTCATTCTCAGCCTCTTTGCTTGCCTTTTCGAGAGCCTGCTCTCGGCTCGCTTCCTGAGACTTCCTAACTTCGTCGTGACTAGGTGGTAACCTTTCGTTCTGGATATCAACCTTTCGTGCGTCTTCGAAGGTATGGATGGCTTGCTTGATTCCTTCGGCGCCGAGCATGAGGGTACCTGCAGGTAGTCTGCCTCCGGATGCTGTCTTCAACTCAGTCACACGCTCAGCCTCCTCGCGTAGAACTTGGAATACGCGAGAAAGTCTTCCGATAGCAAGAATCTTGTTCTTGATAGCACGTCTCTTGAACTCCGTTGACTCTGGGTCCATATTGGGGCTCGTGAGAGGAGGCGATGAGGGGCCGGATGCGAGACTGCTGGGAGTTTCCTCCTCCAGCTCTTCCTTGGAGCAGGTATTCAAGATAGCGATGAGCATGTCCGTGACTATAGCAGTTAGATGGTGCAACATTCCCGACTCCAATATGTAACTTACTCTTCTCTCCAACGAAAGGAAGTGACCACGTAAACACGTCCATAAAGTTCGGTAGCCAGTATGGGTGAGGCGTGCAATCTAAGGGTGGCAATTAGTTGAAGATACAGCAAAGTGTCGTGGCGATCTTACTGAATTGACGAATGTTCATAACATTGTTCTCGTACTTGAGAACTGCTGCCTTGTTGTTGTACACATCCAAATAATTCGGTGCACTGAAGATCGTCATAACACTAGGAAATCCAGTCGTTCGAGTCTTGCGGTACATGCGGTAGCCAGCATCTTGGGCTTCGTGGGCGCGGATGATCGATAAGAGATTGTTCTTTTCCAAGAATGCGCAAGCCGCGGGGTACGAGAAGAAGTAAGAGCATCCACGGACGTGATTATGGATAAAGAAGTCATTCGTCTTCTCCTGGCCAAACTCTTCCAACGGATCAGCCCAGAGGATATCGCACATCAGGCCGTGGGTGGGCGGTTCACGGAATCGGTCAATCTAGAAGGTGTCAACATTGCCCGTGCGTCCATTGTGCCAACGTGCTACTCACGCTCTTCAAATCTTCCAGGGTGTGGAGCTCGGGGCTCAATCCACCGTGTATGCACAAGAATTGCTTGTTCATGACAGCTGCTAGTGGCAAGGAGCAGAAAGAGTCCATGCAAGCCTCGTACACAGCTTCCGAGTATTTGTGCTTGCACTCGAGCTTGAATGTGAAATAATCCGTCAAATGACGACACTCATGATTGCCGCGCAGCAACCAGAGGGTATTAGGATACCAAATCTTCAATGACCAGAGATATAAGACACACTAGGCTGATCAGCAAAAGTCTCCGGACAAAATAATTCGATATACCAACCTCAATACTGAAATAACCACGGTCGACGTAGTCTCCCAAGAAAAGGTACCTCGTCTCTGCAGGATCTCCGCCCACTTCGAACAACTTCATAAGGTCGTAGTATTGGCCATGTACGTCACCACAAACAGTGATTGGAGCGTCCATCTCAAGCAAGTTGGGTTCCGACTTTAGGATTTCGGATCCCTTGCGCAAAATCCATAGCGCTTGGTCTTCGGTCAAACGACCTTCACGATAGAAATGCTGCTTAAGGAATTGTAGATTTGGTTTGTTCCGGTCTTGCGGCGAAAAGAACTGTTCTTGGGTAGGGGGTAGAAAGGCAGGCGCTTGGACATCTATTGTGAGGCGGTGGGGTCAGCTGAAGTCGGACAGACGAATTCCACAAGCGGGGTATATCAATGAGAAATACGGGAAGGCTTTTCGGGATGTATTTGTGACCGTACCTTTGCAAACCCGCTCCAGAGTGCTGACCTGGGTGCCATCTTCCATAGTATGGAGGGTAAAGTCAATTTCAGGCAGGGGCTTCTTCTCCCTGACCGCACGGATGGCCGTGTCGAGGTACTTGGACTGGTCGAAGTCCTGGTTGTTGCTCTCCATGATGAACGGTATGCGTCAGTAGTCAGCGGTGAATCGTTAAAGGTCCTAAGGGAGTGGAAGCTGGGGAAACTGGAGGCAACGAGGGGCGAGGTTGAGGTTGTGGGAGGGGGAAGGGAGCAAGGACCCCAGGTGGCGGTAGGTGGAACGAGGGCCGAGGCGCAAATCGATCTGCTTGGGTACAATACTCGTAGGGACAAACAATGTGGAATCTGAACACTGTGCAAGGTGGATTGATAGTGACTATGGCGTCGCGTGCCTGGGAATTGTGTGTTGTCTGTTCGAGCTGTAGGGCTGAGAAAAGCCCATGAGCGGCGAGGTCGAGCTGGAGGGAGCCGTGGCTTGGCATGTCACCCAATGAGGAAGCTCGCAACTGCAAGTTCATAACGTCACAATTCGGCATGCTATGAGCCTCGAATGTGTTCAATCTCGTACAGAATTTAGTCGTAAAGCAGAAGTTCAAACACAACTCTGACTCCCAAACACTGAAACTTGGAAGGTCATCACGTCCAAACATATTTTTCTCCGGACCTGCGGACTATTATTGTGTCAACGTCAGGGTTCGCACTGTAAGTAAGCCGGCGGTTTTAAAACTCTCCGATGCCATCGAGTTTATCTCGCATTGCGATTCGAAACACTTCATTATCGTGCGAGGAGAGCGTCACATATCAATTCGGAAATCAAGTATTGTTCGATATTCATTTTTTGGATTCGTAGTACTGTGTACATAACGTTTGTGCAGGGTGTTCGCGAATGTGTGCGATACGACCACAGTGTTCTATACAAGAAATTATGAACAAGCTGGGTATCCAATACCAAAGCCAGTACATAAAAAAAGAGTGTGAAGAAGTAGAAGCTGTGCTTGCGTAACAAGAAGAGAAGACCAAAGTACAAACAGGACGGTATCAATACGCGACCTGGAAGATAAGTATGAAAAAGAAAGAAGAGAAGACTGGCGAGACGATGCTCTGCAGCCTGAAGTGGTATATACAACAAAATTTCCTGACCCTATGTCCTTGTGCCCCAAGAACCCGAACCGCCAACTCCATAATATGCAAACGATTTCAAGATGGAGGCATCAGATCTTGAAAGTGTAGATGTAGTGGGGCTTAAATACGGCGCGAACCATGGCGACGAGCAAGATGTCCACGAGGAGATCGTCGGATGGAGCGGCGGGTGATGGCACCGTTGGAGCAAGACATGCCTGCTGCGAGTTGCATGGGAACGGCAAAGCCATGGTCGCATAGTCCAAATTGGTTGGTTCCAATGCAGACAACAGCGCCTTCGTTGGTGCAAGGCACACCGGTACCGTTGACAGGTGGGTTCTGGGGGTTGTTCGGGATGGTTGGGGTAGTCGGGGTCTGGGTGGGCTGAGGAGCAGCAGAGGAAGCCGAGGGGGCAAAGATGCCACCAGGGTTGCTGGGAACAGCAGTGGGTCCAGCAGAGGGAGCAGCAGTGGGAGCAGCGGATGGAGCAGGGCTGCTGTTGTTGCCTCCACCAGGAGCTGCGGGAGAGCCAAGCTGACCGTTGCCGCGACCAAACTTCTGCATTGCCTCACAGCCGCTACCAGTAAGTTTGTCACCAATGGCGGCGGAGCTACCCGTGTCGACAGACTCTCCTGGGTTGGGGAACTTGAAGTCCTGCCCTGCGGGGTTTTCGCACTCAGCAGGAGGCAGGTTCGCAACGAACATGTCGGGCTTGCCGCCGAGCGCAGCCTGAACATCGCTGCCCTTGCCACCACTGGACCGAACGGGTGCACAGTTGTGGTAGAACTCACGGTTGCCAACCTTGTTCAACCAAGACCAGCTGAAGACGTAATCGCCGTCGGGCAGATCTGCAGGAATGGTAACATCGACAGGTGTAGCAGCATCGTCACCAGCGTTGTCACTGAGGTTACCGTCTTCACTGGTCAGGCATCCTCCAATGACCGAATGAATGACCTTCCACTGGCTGTCCTTGGTAGGAGTCTTGCCTGGTGTGAGGGCAAACTGGCAAGAACCGCCACCGTGTGTGGCACCACCCTTGAAGCGGACAGTCAACTTCTCGCCCGCCTTGATAGGGTTGGCTGCTTTATCGAAGTTGGTGGTTCGGCAGGGGAAGTTAGAGCCATCAGAGTTGACTGGGCCGTTGTCGTTGGTCGCGAAGGGCTCAGGGAATGCAAGAAGCATGTGCGCGGACGCACTGGCGGAAAGAGCCAGAATGGTTGCAAAGGACTTCATGATTGCAGAGTTTCGTTGGTTTGTGAGTGAACGAATGGAATTTGCGTAGACCTGCTATGCAAGACGTCGACTGATCGAGTTGAGTGATGAAGGTTTTCGAGATAATTTGGCAATAATGTCGAAAAGTTTGGTGTCAGATAGACTGGACTCGACCTGAATCAACGAAGATGTGCTGTTCGATATAATGAGTGTGAAGTACGCAAGCTAGGCTCTGCCTATCGAAAAAAGCAACGAGAAACAAAGAGGGAGTAGTAGAACACTGCGGACCGCTTGTGATGAGGGGGTAGAAACATTGGCGGACCAGGCATGATATATATATCGACAAGTGGTTTGCGAAGCCCCTGGATAGACGGATGGCAACAAGCTTCTTGGGACTGCACTGCCCATTGGCGCCCGGACGGTAAATTCAGAGTGGTACCACGGCGGATCGCCCAGAAGGGTGGTTGTCGATAGGATGATGGGGCCTCCGTAATGCGACGGGATGGGAGGATCAAACAGCCTGTTCCAGACGGGGTTTAGACATTGAAGGGAGAATGCAGCATCAGTGGAGCCAGAGTCAAGCAGGCCGGCCGCATGCCTCCAGCCTGGGCAGGTACATGAGGGCAACGATTGGACGAAGACGGCTGTAGAGAGCAATTGTTTATGAAACAGTGAGGATAATTGAGCAACTCATGATGGCCACATGTGAGTGGCCATTGGGGGTCGCCTCAGGGGTCGATGTCAAGTTTGACGTTACGTAGTCGGAGATGCAGGGGCAATCTGGTCCGTTCTTTGGCTTCTCTTTTCTTCTTCCTTCTACTTCCCTCTCGCTCGAGGGCAGGATAGACGGAGGGTTCCCAGGATTGGTTAGGTGCAGGTTTAAGGTTATGATCAAGGTGTAAGGTTGTATAGGGTGGAAGTGTGAAGAGAGAGTGATGCAGGGATAGACCTCCGAAGGAGCGGACGACATGTAGGCCTATCGATAACCTTTCTCCAAGTTGTCCTAGTCTATATCAGTGACTAGTATTCCCCAATTAGGACTCGGTACCGGCCACGGATCACCCACTTGTCTCTCTGAAACTCACCACGGCATCTCCGCGACAATTCACTCTTCTATCCACGTCCGTTCACCCCAGTTTTCTCAACCCCTTAGGGGCCCATTTGCCATCTCATCTTCGCCATCAGGCCTGGCTACTGTGCTTGTATTACTCGGCTATCCACTTCGTCAACCGCACATCACCTTTTCCCAGCGTGCCTACATACATTTGTACAGCCTCTTCAGGCATCCCATTCGTCGATGCCACTTCGCCTGGTCACGCCTGGTCACACCTGGCCACGCCCCGCTTCTTCCAAGTCTCCTCTCCTTACCTCTGAGATCTCTCAGCCTCTCAGCTACTACCAATGATGCTGACCTCGCGCAACCTTCATCGCGTGCCACAACGTTTTGCGGCGCCAACTGAGGGCCACTCCCAGCTCACGATGGCATCTTCACAGAGACACATCTTCCACCATAGGGTTCCCTAGCGACTTCAAAAGCCGCCTAAATGCCGCCCGTCACACCTTCAAGCGTGATATCATGGCCAGGAGCCTCAGTCCCAAATGACTACCGTTTCGAGACGGATTTCTCATGCACGCCCCAGTAACAGTCCTCCCCCCATGTCTCCCATTCTCGGTTGCCCTGCCTTCGTTCAGTTTCTCGCCTTTTTTCGACATGGCTGGGCCTGCATGAATACTAAGCTATTCTTGGAGACGTGCGCTTTTATCCCCTCTCCATGTTCAATCAAATAATGTCTACATGCAAGTCTCACTTTATGATAATGCCAATTCATCTAATCTTCAGTGAGCCAGCGTCGCCAACAAAAGAGTTGCCCAAAGCATACTCAATTCTCGCTTAACAGTCCCTTGGGCTCCCGACGGCTGCCTGTCGGCGGCGTAGCAAGCACGCATAACCGGTCCTTTGGGCGTCCCGCACGGGTCCCCTGCTCACTATCAAATTCGTGCGGGATCTCGTTGCGTACGTGCGAACGTCAGCCTCCTGAATTGGCCACGAAATACTCTCCACGACAGAGGTTATTGATGCTTGGTGGCTCCTTAAGGCACTCCGACCAGTCACCCTAGATTCGTCGTTTCTGTTCGTTGTTTCTTCGCAAACAAGCTTGACGATCCCCTTCAAGCCTATCCTTCCTCGGCAGGTTGCATCGCGCTATCCGTTAGCGCAAGGTTGATGAGATGGCCTTTATTGGTTATCCTACGTCTGCTGCAAAAATTAACCTCTATGGTCGCAAGCACTCCAGTCCGACCAAAGTCTTTGATCGTCGCAATTCAAAACAATCCGTCATTCTGAATCCACTGTCTTTTCACGTGCAGCTGGGCGGAGATATTTCATTCTACTTGTGTTTCTGTTTGTGTTTGGTTTCTGGGAGAAATGTCCGTCCAGCTTACCCCGAGAGCGACCACCTTTTTCTCCACAGACAACACCTATCGGACATTGTCAGCCACTCAGCATCAGCATTCACACACACAAAAAGTTTCGATCATGAAATCGTTTCAAACACCTGTTTCCTTTTAATGTCGATCGCCCAGTTATCACCTATTACTAAAATGTCAATATACTGCTTCTAAACTAACGCAGATGTGCTCAAGTAGTGCCCACCTCGAGAGACATGCTCATTTATCCCCATTTCAGCTCGTGGGATTCAGGTCTCTTGCACATGGTGTGTTTATGTCCGCCAGTTACTTTCAGTTTTCCTAGTGGGTGGTTTGACTCAGAAAATCCGATCTGCTCCTTTCTGATATTGATCGACCTTCTTGATCCTACCAGCTGGATATATTTGACCTGGATGATTACAGTACAACTTTCGAAAGGAAGAAACACAATTATATCATCGTACAGGCCTTGACGCAGCTTTTTCTGTCTTACGCATAACGATCAATTTGGAGCACAGCCACTCAATTGATCCCATGGGATGCAGCAGCAATATGTAATCTACTACTACTGACTGGAGAACTGAGACATGAGATCTGGACCTCGAGTTGTTCCACTCCTCTTGCTTCATTTTCCGTTGAAGTCTAGTATTGTTCTTGGGCGTCCTAGAGAGGATTCTGCACGGTTGCTCACCTGGTAACTCTGCAAAATCAGGACAGTGATGCCTAGACCCGCACGATTCTCAGCCATCGCCAGGATGAGACATGCTACTCTTGCGCTTTACAACACTTTTCACCTCTTGGTACTGCTGTATTCGCCGACTGAGAACACTTCTCGGCAAAACCAACTTTCCAGCAAAGACGGGTTGGATTAACAAATATCCAATTACGTACACGCGAAATGAAGACTTCAACTAGTATGGCCGACTAGAACGGAGACCAAGAAAAGTGGAAATGAATAATTCTTTTCAAAACACGACTGTGGGATTGAGTTGTTAAAAGGGCCCTTGTTTGCCGCTTCCTGGAATGGCTATCCCTGCTCTCCAATGCAACCCTAACATCACCTTCCTGTTTCCCATTGTATAGACTGATGTCTTTCATGTGATTTGGACAACGTCTGCGACTGGTTCTTCAATACCCATCGGCTACCTCCGAGGATCTCTTTCAGGATATGCTCGCAATCCTCGCGTTACAACTTATATCGACGCTTTGCTGATCACAATAATCGTCACGGGGACCAAGAGGTTATGTTTTTCGTTGCGTTAAACCGATACAGGTATTCGATTACTATCACGAACATGAAAACTTGTACGTACTCGACTGACAACATAAATATACTAATTGCCAATTCCAGAATCCACACTCGATACTTTCCTACTCTTGGTTGAGAACCCGGTTTGTACCTTCTCTAACAAACCAGGCACTGGCGTATACTTCACCAGCGGCTCCTTTTCTATGCCAACGTGCATCTTCCCTCGATCCCCCAAGAATGTTCCGTAACCGTACCGATAGCCAAGTCCACGCAAGTGACTTCTCCTTTCTTCCTTACTCATACAACTCGTTCCCTCCATATCTCGCACCGCTGCGCTTGCTGCGAACAAAGTGATGATGGTCGCTATACAGGTTGGTAGGCGTGGCAGAAACTTCCCTGGCCGCCAAAGATAAAGGACCAAGCCCACGATCACGTAGATAGCAAGGATGATTTCCGCAATGAAGAACATTGGCCTCGAGAGAAAGATTCGGATCTCAGCTTTGGTGATGAGGCCTTCTCTCAGTTGGTTTATATTCTGGTCTCGAACCACGAGAAGTCGATCTTTGTTGAGTCCTAGCCACATAGCAAACATCTTCGAGTAAATTGGGTATAGATGGTTCTTGATCGTTTCAAAGTCGGGCAATGGTGCTGCTGGATCAATAAGTGCACGGCTCTTAGTATCCTGAATGATGAAATAGTTGATGTAGTCCACGGCGAAGGAATCGTTGTGTATAGGCCGGGTTTGCGGGGAATTGAACAAATATCGTTCTCCTTGTTCCAAGACGTTATTAAAATCGTTGGAAAAATGTTCTTCCAGGAATTCTTGTGTAAGATTCGACGTGCGCCGCATATTGCTAACTTGGCGGACATGTTCGTTTCGGTCAATGGTTACGTCTGCGGTTCCAGCAACAAGGCGGGACCGACAACCTACAAATCTAGCATTGTCGTCACTAAAAGTGATTGTCCCATTAAATCGGCACGGATCTCCTTGTTGTCTTGTCCATCCAAGGAAGTTGGTGCGCGCACAAGTCTCCTTTTCTGTTTCTGAGGCATTCCCGGCTGCTTGCAAGGCAAGGACAAACTCAACAGACAACCGGCCGGTATCGCACCCGCCATATTCGCCGCGCCCAATCCCAACCAAACCCCTGCCTATCGATACTGGCACTTCTTTGGCTTCGCAAGTAACTGGCTGGCCGTCTTTGTCTGGTATCGTCATCAAGAAGTTTGCAGAGTTTCGCTCCGTCTGTGGTTCCCTCGTCATGTTCGCGGTGTAGTCCTTTGCCGGAATTTCTACGCAGTCCAATTCAGCACCGAAGGCATCAGTTGTGGCCTTGAAACCATCAGAGTTGAGCGCGCTTCCATTGGTGTATGGAATATAAAAGTATTTATCCCCTGTCCAAGGAGGAAGTGCGGTGCCAGCTTGATAATGTGATTCGACACTCAGGAATATATCAAGACCATCCCCGCCAGCCCATGCGCCGGTTGGTTCATATTCTGAGAGCTTTGTTCGCCCTATGTTAGGCCCAATTTGACCGTCGACACTGACAAACTTGGACATATACGGCGCGTTGAAGATCGTTCCATGGTTAATCTGGATAGATTGTTCATTGAACATGCCTGAGAACGCGACGGCTAATACGTTGGCCAGAAGCGCCATCAGACACACTGCAGCAAGCTTGAAGTGTGACGATCGAAGCGCTTTGAAAATGACAAGCTGGGGCGGCAAGGAGCTATAGTTTAGATCAAGTGATCGACGTGCGTAGGCCCTGCCGTGGCGGAGTTCTTCCAATGGCTGTAGCATACACAGCAATCGATTGACCAAGATCCATATTGGCTCAATCAGAGTAGCAAGCGCTGGATACCAGTTAGACCATCTCACGACTAGCCGACGGCAACAAGTTATGTACTGACCAGTAGGTATATAATTTTCGAGAATCTGACGCACAACGGCACTGTCAGACGGTCTGACTATTCCTGTGCATCGTTAGCTTCATCTTTGACAATGCTAGCAAGCCAAGAGTTCATACCTGAAGGCTGACTTATCCTCCAGAACACACCAATCACTACTGCAAGGCCAGTGAGTAGAGACAGAAAAGGCGCTACCATCACGAAACCGAACTCCCGCGGTCGGATCCGTGTTTGGCTGCGAACATCAGAGGTATGGCTTCTCTCCCTGAACCCCGGCTGCATTTGATATTCCGGCTCTGAGAGGCTGTGATGATGTTAGCTTCAGCAAGGCTTGAATCGAAATGTGATTTACACACCTGATGCCGTGATCGTCCTGTCGTAGTTCAAAACGTTCCTTTTCTAATAATTTGTCGAACTCGTCCTTGTTAGTACAATCTAAGAGACTGAATTTATGCAACAAAGCCGGGTTATCAGCAACTAGCGACATTATTGCAGCTATTGTTGAAGGATCCGATTGTATGCTCCATTTTCTCTTCAGTGAAATCCATAAAAGTGCGATAGAGCAGATGGATACAAAACCAAGCAAGCCTTCCACAATGTAGGTGAATGTTGGAACCACCACCACAGCACCACTCACGAACTCGACATTGCCGCTGCTCTGCTTTACGTGAGAGAATTTACGATCCAGGATGTCAGCCATAGAACGAGCGAAGACAATCCGGTACGCTGTTTGGTAGGCGAGCGATAGTTCTTGGGGCTTCAGCAGATTCTCCAAAGAACTGTTTGAAACTCCTATAGAGAATCCGACCATCTGCTGAACGGTTGTCGAACTCATTGGAAATCTGGAGAGACCTTCCACCTGGTTTGGCAGCTGGTCCATCGGCAAAGCACCACGCGCCTGAGTTACGGCGAGCCCTCCTTCGTTCATCATGTTTTCGAAATAGCGGGCATCCCACCATTCGCTGGGAAGCGTTTCCTTCTTCCCAGTGGACTCGTAGGACAGTGGCCGAAGACTTCCTGCATCCACTTTTGCAGTAACGTTCTGATAATAATAAAAGGGCGTACAGAATAATCGGGTAACATTCTGTGGCGGATCTTCCTCGCGTTTCTTATTTCGTGTAAACTGCACGAAAAAGGTGTGGTTTTGCGACATAGGGCAATCCCTTTCCAGATAATAGTCGGAAAAGTCTGTCGACCAAAATCCTATGTAGCGACCAGAGAACTCTTTGGTGTCGGTAGTGGAACTCTGGTTGGTGTTGGGGTACAGGGGGCCGATGGTTTGGTTTCCAATCGATGCAACATCTGCGGGCCAGCTGCAACCTCCCGTAGTATTATAAGCCTTCGACGTCCCCTCTCCCACTGTGACTGGGGTCTCGCAACTGAGATCCAAACCGAACAGCTGTGTCTCGCCAGTCCAGGTCTCATTAACCTTCACGACTCCCTCCGATTGTTTCCGAAACGGCTGCAGGATATAATCGCGGGTCATGTACGGTGGCATCGTTTCGTTCAGCCAGATGATTCCATGTGCAGAGTGAATGAACCGGCCGTCCAAGGTCGTGTTCTGTGCTTCCGCTCTTATGAAGTTCGTGGAGATGTCGAAGGGAGAGAACGCACTCGTCTTGATCGTTTCGGTTGTGAAGAGACCGGCTTGGATTGGCACAATACCCCATGTTACGACGACGACACCGATCGAAGCCCAGAAGACCGCCCAGTGTCTATTAATGTTAGCAATCGCCAGATGACCCCCAGCTTCGTTCCCTTGAAATGTTCAATCCCACCGACGGGCTTGCATGGAAATTTCAACTTACCGATTCTTAACTGCACTGAAGGGCACAACAGGCAGAAAGTCAAACGGATAACTCAACAGCACACTCTCTCTCCCAATGCTACCACCCGGCTTGCTCAACTGATACCATGGCTCCAGCCTCTTGACCTGCAGATCGATCCAAGCCCAGAAGATACTGAACACAAGCGCCACAATGGTAGGCAAATGTGTAGACAAGAACGTCTGGCGAAACGTGAACTCAGAGATCGACGGGGCGAACATGATCCCTCCATCCCGTTGCGAGATGTGGAGTAGATACTGCAGAACAGCTATCAGGCCCCAGCAGAGCACGATTGAGAGAATGAGTACTGATGGGCGGAATGCCGCTGGCGTCCATCGGCGTTGCTTTGACGGCGCCGAATATGAGGGGGATTTGCTTCGCCATGGAAGGATCGATACGAATGGCGTCTTATTGTTACTATTAGTCGTCGACGAGGGAAGGTATGCTGCGTCGCGAGGCGAGAAAGGCGAGTCCGGGAAGCTGGATCGGAACTGTTGGTGGTCGTTATTCATCGTGTCGACGTTGCGATGGTTTTCCATTCAATTCAATTATGGTCGTTAAGATTTCCGACTCTTTGGGTATATTCGAATAATCACATTAACACTCCATCCAGCCCAAAGAGGCAACTAAACGTCGAAAAGTAGAAGCTCGAACAAGGCTGAAACTCGTCACCAAAATAAAACAGACTGTACAACAGTCCACAAACGAACGAAGAATAAGCCACAAGTATTGCGTCGCGAACCCTCGAATATCTGCACCTAACGTGCGTGCAGCAAGCAAAGGCAAGCCAAATAAAAGTCGCAGCGACACGCAGCATGCATCACGCGCGGCGACAGCAGCGGCAGCGTTACTTGTACCTCGACCACTCAAACCCGCATATCCATGCATCGACTTTTACTGCGGCGCAGCAAAAGTTGATGGTCGCTTTGGCGCCCGGGGATCATCCCAAGAGCCCCCTGTTACCCGCCTGCCGTACCGCGGTTAGCGAATCACGGCGAGGCAGCGGGGAGCTGAATGGCGCGCTCGCTGCCCACGACGAATGGTTTGGCGCGACGGTGGGGGCATGGAGATGGGGAATTGTTTAATCTGAAGGTGGCGCGGTCGAGGTTCGTTGCATATTGTCACATACTGGTACGGATGCATATGGCGAGATGATCGATTGTCTTTTTTTCCTCTCTTTGCAAAAGCTTTCTCAGCTTCGAGGAATTCTTGGTTGGGGGCCTAATTAGAGGAAGAAGAGTGGGCGGTTTTACCATAAACGTATTGCATGCATTAATCGTCAGAGCTGGCATCTCAAAGTTTGGGGGCGGGAAATCAAGCACGGGGAGAGGTTAACAAGCCAACCAACTGCCTCATCTGGTACTTCCAAGAATTGTGAGTGTATGTCGTGTAGTGTGAGGCATATCGGGTGATTGCTTTCCCGTGCTGAGCTTACTGTGCGTTAATCGTCAATCGATTGTGTTGTTTTTGCGATATGCGAGGTGATGTTTCAGCTAGATCTGGAAAACAGCATGTCTTCTGAGCCTAGGTGCCCAGAGTCTGGGGCAAATGCGCAATTACCTGACCACTGCTGAGTGTAATTCATTGCCACATTTATTCTTATTGACGGATCAGGCTGTTCAACGATAAATACCATCATCCAGTTAGAAGCTTTCGACACATGAGTTGGCTCAGTCCTATTACTAGTTGAAATTACGCATGGCTATGGTATCGCATGAATAGTTCTGTAAAGTCCGATCATCAACATGAAACTTACCACCTACCATCTCTCACACTACCCAAAGTGATATATCTTCTCCTCCAAATGGCTTTCCATAGAAACCTTTCGCCGATCAAAGAAGTTCATCGCCACATCTTGAAAATAAACGTGATGAACTCTCGTTGAGCTACACTGCAGCAGCTAAGCCTCCCCTCTTAGTACAGAGGGTTGGCACGTCGGGCTGGCCACCTGCTAACTTCATGTATCTTCTATACCTAAAGTGTCTACTTAAGAATGTACGTAGCCAGTAAACAATCTTGACTGCTTGCAATAAACCTCGCTAAGACACTGTTGTAGGCATAAAATACTAGCATGGGGCCAGCCCGACGTGCCAACCCTCTGTACAACGAAAATTCAAACTTGAAAAGACAACTCGCTTTTCGTCAAGTAGAAGCAGTGTCGATCAAAGCAGGGGTAAGCAGTGCAAGCTTTTAATTAATACTCACCTCACCCCATGCAACGCCCGGTAACGTAAGGCGAATGCGCCAGTGATTCGTCATCTAACTGGAAGCCTCAATTTGCCTCGAAGATTAATATATAGCAACATTTCAGCTGTTGCCTTGTCTCAAAATCAAGTGGGTAGATCAAAAATGTAACCATATCCAGAATGCTGGAAATTAGATCTTTTGGTAGGATATGATTACAGACTGATTTTGTGACACCTTGTGTACACTAAAAGACAAGACTATTAACGGAATGCGTGTACTTCTCTCCGCCTGTTGCAATGTCAGCGTCATCTAGGATTTCACGAGTTTTGGAATCACTGACCACCAAGTGCGGAAATCTACCGTGCTGACATCGATACCAATCTCCCTCAGAGCGCTTGTATCAAGATGACAATCATAGGGTCTCTTGACACCGTCTTGCGGGTTCTCCTCAGGCGTGAAGGGCTCCATATTATCCAACGGAAGGCCCATGATCTCCGCATACGTCTTCACGATCTCCCACTTGGTCATTTGGTCCTCGGAGCTGAACTGCAGGACGGACGGCAGGTCCTTTCCAGAACTCGACGTATCGGTGTAGAGCTTGCTGATGTCGCGACATACTCGTCCCACGTCGGATGTGTTGGTAGGGAAACGCAGGGCGTAGTCGTCCACTTTTATCTTGGGGTCTCCTTCCTTCAGGTTCTGTGCGGCCCATAGTTGAGACATGAGGATGTTGACAGCGCTCTCTTTGGGCTCGTCGCAGGATCCGTATAATACGGGAACACGAAGGACGACTACCTTGTTCTTCACATCCGGTTTCTGCGCTGCGACACCTAGCACGGCTTTCTCACCATCGAGCTTAGTTTGGCCGTAGATGTTTGGGGGATCCGTGGCCGCATCGGTTTTGTATGGTGCTTGGCCACGTACACCGGGAAAGACATAGTCGGTAGAGATGTAGATGAGGAAGATGCCACGCGTGGTTGTTGCCTCTGCCAGTGCACGGCTTGATTCAACGTTTATCTTTTTTGCGGCCTCCGGGTCGGCATCACATTTGTCAGGAAAGCGGTTGGCGGCGCCTGGTAGAGTAAATCACAATGATCCTCCTCGGTCAATATGGATGTCCTTACAATGCACTACTACTTCTGGCCTTTTCATTGATTAAGTTAGCTTTTATATTTTTATTTTTTTCGATTAGCTTGTGCATACTTGACTTCATCAAGAACGCGATCAATCTCATTCTTGTCAAGAATATCGAGCTTGATCACCTCTGGCGGACTGATTCTGTTCAAGCCAGTGCCCACAGCCTTCCAGCCATCAAGATGGAATTGTCTCTGTACCTGACGTCCAAGAAGCCCACTGGCTTTCAGGTTCTTCAGTTGTTTGCTAATTGATGGCGGGTGACTTTACAGTGAACGTACCCCCAGTGACCAATACGCCTTTCACCATCGTGATTTGACGCTGCGTTTGCAAATATCCGAATGTTATGTATTAAAGTAATTGAAAAAGCCAATGTTCAGTTGTTTTGAGCGCGGGGCATGACGAAGTTGAATTAAGTATATCTGAGTTGGTTCCAAAGCGGTTTAGGGCCATCTGGGTCTCGGGTGATCTGTGCACGCCGCGACTTGGCATAATATCTCAAGCTCCCGTCCACCCTCTATTCTCGTTGGTACCATACAACCCTATACCATAACAAACTTGCAGTTCCAGCTCCAGAAATATGTCTACAATTACCGCTCGAGCTTCCCAAAGCTCGTATCCGTACGTATCAAAGGCCCAGTGGGGTTGTCCCCAAACTAATCGCAAATCAGCCCTACACTACCTAGGGACTTCAACGCCAATCAGCCGAAAACAATTCGCCTATATCCCCTCAGCAATTACACTTTTGGGACGAAAGATGGTCAACCAGAGGAGGACCCTTCGGTACTCGCCCGTCTGAAGCGCCTTGAAGAACACTACCAGGAGCATGGCATGCGACGAACCTGCGAGGGCATCCTGGTCTGCCATGAACACAACCATCCCCACATCCTCATGCTACAAATAGCAAACGCGTTCTTCAAGCTGTACGCCTATACTGTCAGACTGATCTAGCGAATGTACTGACACGATCCAGACCCGGCGACTACCTCCGCGCAGAAGACGACGAGACCGAGGGCTTCAAAGCCAGGCTGAACGAGCGGCTCGCACCCGTTGGCACACAATTTTCCGGCGAGGGCGTCAATGACGAGTGGGAGATCGGTGACACACTTGCGCAGTGGTGGCGACCAAACTTTGAGACATTCATGTACCCTTTCATCCCCGCACACGTCACAAGGCCGAAGGAGTGCAAGAAGCTATACTTTATCCAATTGCCCAAGAGCAGTATGTCCTACCTCACGACAACAAACTATGAAACCATTCTAATAAACATTCCCAACCAGAGGTTCTTAGCGTCCCCAAGAACATGAAGCTTCTCGCCGTTCCTCTATTCGAGCTTTATGACAACACAGCACGCTATGGCCCGCAATTGTCTGCCATCCCTCACCTCTTGTCGCGCTACAACTTTGAGTTCGTCGACGAGAATGGAAACGTCGCTGCTATCACACCAGGAACCGGCCCCACCGATGGCTCGAACCTCCAAACGAAGGTGTTAGCGGGCGGAGAGGATGTGAAGATGGAGCAGAATGGTGATGCATCAAGTGAACATACGGTGTCGTGAGCTTTCAATCGAAGATTTGATGAAGCCAATTTTGTTCATAAACTAAGGGTGTAACAGCGCTGCGTTTAGGAGCAAAACATTGGATGAAATGCTCGCTGAGCTACAGCATCTTATAGCAAATCCCACTCGGCGCACATGAGGATCGGCGTTACATGGGGTTTTATGATTGACAGTGTAGGAGGGAAATGGGACTTCATTGTTGGCATGCTCAGACACTCGTGTTTCGGGTGAAAAGAAGACTAATTAAATAATCAAAAACACTTCAAAACTGTGACCAAACTATCGATGGGACAATGATGACTTACTTTATGTTAGCAGTTGTTGTGATCTGATATAAAAGACCCCTTGCAGGTTGGCCTGAGCTTCCGTCCGAGGTTAAACAAGCTCCCGCGCCCCGCCATCACATCATTCCATCAGTCGTCCCTCTACTAACCAACTACTACTTATATCCATCTTCCTTGGACAATCATCACCTTTACTCTCGCAATGTAACCACCCACACCAACCAAAGGACTCATAGTGTTCTTCTTCTATCATCACACCCTACAATCCACCCAATCCTCCACTGGAGCAAACAGGAAAACACATTCCAATCACCACAACCACATAACATCACCATGCTCCTCCTCGGTCTAACCGGCTCTATCGCAACCGGCAAATCGACCGTCTCCTCCCTCCTCTCCAAGCCACCCTACTCCCTCCCCATAATCGACGCCGACCTGATCGCGCGCCAGGTCGTCGAGCCAGGAACCGCCGGCTACAACGCCATCGTGCGCTACTTCCTACCCACGACGCCAGACCTCCTCCTCGACGCCCCCAATGGCAGCAGCAGCACCAAAGGCCGACCCTTGAACCGCCCCGCGCTGGGCCGTCGCGTCTTCGGCTCGGGCCCGGAGACCGAAAGAGATCGGAAGGTGCTGAACGGCATCGTGCACCCCGCGGTGCGCAGGGAGATGTACAAGCAGATGGTGTGGGCGTACCTGCGGGGCTCGTGGGCGGTGGTGCTGGACGTGCCGCTGCTTTTCGAGAGCGGGTGGGAGAGGTATTGTGGGAACATCGTCGTCGTGGGGGTGTCGGACCCCGCGATTCAGATTCAGAGGTTGAGGAATAGGGATAGTCATTTGACGGAGGAGGATGCGAAGAATAGGGTCATGAGCCAGGGGGATGTGAGGGAGAAGGCGAAGAGGGTGTTGAGGAGGGGGAAGGGGAGGGGTGTGGTCGTGTGGAATGATGGTGGGAAGGAGGAGCTGGAGAGGGAGGTTCAGAGGGTCATGCAGGAGGTGAGGCGGGCGAGTCCCGCTTGGTGGACGTTCTTGTGCTGGGTGGTGCCGCCGTTGGGAGTCGCATCTGGTCTTTTGAGCTGGTGGAAGATGAAGAGAGTGCAGGAGAGTTGGGAAGAGGAGCAGAGAAAGGAGAAGGCCAAGTTGTGATCAACACAATGGCCAGGTCAGGCATGTTAAGATACTCTCAATTGCTGCAATCATTCGGACTTATTTCTTCCTCACTTGCATTTTGTTGTGGTCCTGTCCTAGATACCGTTACTCTCAGCGAATCATTCTGTTTACCAACAACACAGACGTTCACCTTTATCACAATCGCGCACAGCACCCCATCGAACACCACACATTCAACTCTCAACCTTCGAATGCAACCAACCAACAAGTATCCATCCACTTCTTAAACCTCTCAAAAATGCCCTCCAAATCAACAACTAACACAACCGCACCCTCAAGCTACGCCGACGACTTCCTCCGCGTCCACACACGGCAACCCCAACATCAAACCTCCTACCGCCATCACCACCACCGCCACCACCGTCGCCGCACAAGCGCAGACTGGAGCATCGCGCCCTCGATAACCCCATCATCAACATCAACCTCCGTCGCCCCCTCAGCATTCAGCTACATCGACGACCGACCCTTCAACCCCACAGACCACCTCCCCCCACCATACGCCACACCAACAGACCTCACCCCTCCCCCGCCAACCGTTCCCTCCCAAAAGCAATCCAAACCAGCGAAGAAGAAAGTCACATGGAGCGAACCCTACCGCAAAGCAGTCTCCGGAGACATCAACACTAGTTTGCGTCGCATGCGCACGCTCACCACGGTCAAATCGCCTCGTCCTGGGGAGAAAGGGGAGGAAGGGAAAGGAGAGACGGGCGTGAAGGTGCCGAGGATGAAGAAGATGCCTGTTTTGGTTATCTGTAGCGGTGAGAAGGGAAGGAGGAGGGAGAGGAAGGGCGTTGTTATTGTTGATACGAGGGGGGGTAGGGATGACGGTGGTGTTTGGGATGCGAATGAAGAGGGGGAGGTTCTGCCGTTGAGGGTTGGTGGAGGGGAGAGTGAGGAGGGGTGGGGGAGCAGTGATGAGGGTGATGATGGTGAAGGGGAGGATTCGTGGACGGAGTGGAGTGGAGTGAGTGCTTCGACGGGGAGTTGGGGGAAGGGTGGGAGTGAAGTGGGTGGTGGATATAAGCCGCCTACAGTGGAAGATGTTGAGGATGGGTGGTCGGCGGTGGGATCGTGATGGGAGTGGATGTGGTAGAGCTTCACGATCAATCAACTACGGGAGCAAAATGGAATATTGAGATCATGGAGATCGTCTTCTGATGGAGTGGCAGACACTATCATTACGGTTCACTTCTTCCCCAAGGAAATTCAAAGAAGAGAAAATGCAAAGGCAAATTTACCAGCCTGTCTTGCCATAAATATGTTGTGCTGTCGGAAGAATCTCAACATCGACCTCAATTACATCCTACGCTGTAAAAATATCCACTCGGATCACATGTAGCCTGATCTGCCTGTCTAAACTCTATTCTGAGGCATGGGTTCATTCCAATACAAGGCTTCATTCATAAGCATGGGTTGAAATTACAATAGCAATCTTAAGGTTGTCTGACGATTCGAGCATTTAGTAGAGGTTTTCGATAGGATCATTACACATCGTCTTCAATGAGACACTACTCCTGAACTAGCTATATCGAGCAGTAGGAACTCATGTTCTGAGGTGTACTAGGTGGATCGAGAATATCTGGACATCTGAGAACTTATGTTCTACCTCATAACGATGTGATAATTTTGATACTCATTCTACTAGTAATACAATATTTCTTGACAGAGATGCGTAACATGAACCGTAGATAAAAGCTTACGAAGCAAGCATACTGCAGCCCTTTAAGCACGAGGTGACTTTTCAGATAGACGTAAATTATGCCAAATTGACTCGCTGCCTTGAGAAAATTCTCCGCTTTTGATTATGTACATAAAGACCTGGGAAGAAGGATGGGATGGCGCGCCATCAAGAGGACGAAAGCGCCGGGTCTCTTGAGTCCGAATGCGACTTTAACAGCTCAACGATTTTGGCTTTAGCACGCCAATGCACATGCTCAAATGCCGTCTTTCCAGACTTATCCTTCGCATGAACATCGATATCGTTCGTAGCTAGCAGGAGCTCGACGAGGCCGATGTAGCCCTCTGAGGCGGCTAGCATAAGTGCCGTCTCGCCATTGTTATTCTTCGTATCAACATCGATCTTGTTTGTAGCTAGCAGGAGCTTAACAATATCTGTGTAGCCGCATTTAGCTGCTAGCATAAATGCCGTCGTACCATCGTTATTCTTCGTATGAACATCGACCTTGTTTGTAGATAGCAGGAGCTCAACAACGCCGACGTGGGGCATGGAGGAGGCTAGCATAAGTGCCGTCTCGCCATTGTTATTCTTCGTATCAACATCGATCTTGTTTGTAGCTAGCAGGAGCTTAACAATATCTGTGTAGCCGCATTCAGCTGCTAGCACCAATGCCGTCTCACCAATGTTACTCTTCGTATCAACATCGATCTTGTTTGTAGCCAGCAGGAGCTTAACAACACCTGTGTGACCATCGTTGGCGGCTAGCATAAGTGCTGTAGATCCATATTCATCCTTCGTATTGATATCGACCTCTTTTGTAGCTAGCAGGAGCTCAACAACATCTGTGTGGCCATTGCGGGCTGCTAGCATAAGTGCTGTACTTCCTCCCTTGCCTTTTGCGTTGACTTCGAACAATCCCGTAGCCAGTAGCCGTTGAATTACACCCATGAAGCCTCGTTGCGCCGACGAACGCAGTATCATGCGATGTGAAATACAAGATGGATTGACCTGAAGCTTACCTGTGTCCAAAAGCAGCTCCGCAATATCTGGATGCCCACATTCTATCGCATAATACACAGGTGTGTGGCCGAATTGGTCACCTGCGTTGATATCAACCTGGCCTGCGTTGAACAACAGCTTCACAATAGCTGTACTCCCACCCTGTGAAGCAAGCGAGAGTAGTGTCCGTCCATCTTTTGATTTTGCGTTCACATTGACTTTTCCTGTGCGGAGTAGCATTTCGACGATAACTTTGTTCTCCACTTCGACTGCGAGCATCAGCGCAGTATAATCAGGCAAGTAGAAGCGAGAACTAGTTACTTGGTCATGAATGATATCGTCCCTGTCGAGAAGGAGCTTAACAATCGTGTCGTGCCCATGCAATATCGCCAAGTGCATTGGTGTAATTCCATCCAAGCACGTATAATTCACATCGACCTCGCCCGTGGTTAGCAGAAGCTCTACGATATCTTCATATCCTAACTTTGCGGCAGTGGCTATTGGTGTCCCATAATAATAATCTCCACGTGCGTTGACATCCACCTTGTGTCTGTGAAGCAAGATGTTTAGAAGATCCGTGCGTCTCTTTTCTACTGCGTGCCATAGTAGCCCATTCTTGCTGATATCAGACACATCTAGACTGGCTTTGCCCTTATCCAACAGCAGGTTGATGATGGTACCAGATGGTGGTGTCACTGCTAGGTCGAGTGGTGTCCGCCCATAATTATCTGTTGCGTTCACCTCGATCCCTTCATTGTCTAGCAGCAGCTCTAAGCTTGGTGCACGGTTGTGTTGCAGCTGTAAGCTTGCTGCACGGTCGTGTGTCGCTGCATAGTGCAGCATTGTCGATCCAAGTTTGTCTCGCATGTTGACATCAACATAGCCTGTCTGGAGCAACACCTGAATGATATCTTTGCCACCATTTTTGACCGCCTTTTCTAGGAACGTTTCATTGTTGATCACTTCGTTGATGTCGAATTTGCGTGTCAAGAGGAAGCGAGCGAAGATTGGCGGAAGGCGTTTTTCGAAGAGCCAGATTTTGAAGTCCGATGACTTTGGAAATCTGAAATCCCGACCGAAAACGCTAAGACCGTCCTGGTCCTGGAAATAAAGGGCGTAGGATTCCGGAGCACGATAATCTGGATCTTTGGCCAGGGACGACATGTCGACCAGCGCACCGATTGCCTCTGTGCTCCGACTAGCAACGGCTGCGAGAAAGGGCATGCCGTATTCCTCCTCTTCCACATCGAAACACGACGCTGAAACTGGCAAAGATCTTATAAGATTCGCAAAATTATGCACTGCCAGAATGTAAAGAAGACTCGCCGATTTCGTGTGCCCACAAATTATATCTCTCTCGAAGATATTATCCAGTGTGATCCAATGGCTGAGCGCGAAGCTTCCGAGGAAATTCTTTTGTGCAATTCCGGTTCCCTCTGCGGCATCCGCATGATGTAGGACATTTTGCACTGCATACTGAAGAAACGGGAATGACTCCGCGACTCGATTGTTCAGATTCATCATTTCCGATCGTGACATCTGATGGAAGTCAGCAGACATGTCCACGACGTTATCAATACCCAGGTCTAAGTAGGCAGCACAACATTGCTTAAGCCGGTCATGACTCTGGCCCTTGAAATTGTTCCGTAAATTGGGCCATATTATTCCAAGTCCCTGGTCTTCTTTGAGGAGAAAGTCGCGGACAGACTCATGGATGAATTGAACTTTTGGAGTGTTGGATTTTGTGATTTCAGTTAGACCCTTCGAGACGTCGAGGATGCGGCGTCTAACCGTGTCCTCTGTGATGAGGTCGGAATCCCATGGGGATAATTCAATCGGGTCGATTCCACAAAGGATGGCATTGTAAAGCTGCACAGGACTTAAGGGATGCTCCGCGAACAGCACCCATTGGATGCAGAGTATTAGTTCGTTTTGGTTGCGCGAGTCACGCGTCAGGATATCGCGAAACAGTGTGTGGAGATCCTCGGGAATTTCTTCTAGTCGTCGTTTGAGAGCGTGGATCCTTCCACGGTCAAATTCCCGATTCAATATATTCACGACCAGAATAACCCACATGAAGATTCCAGCCGCTTTATCTCGAATCCTTTCTCGAATCTGCTCAACAACCTGCTCGCTTCCGATCTTAAGCTCGCTTTCAAGATATTTGGTAATATCCTGGCTATGGCCTTCTTGACCCTCTAGCACTAGACTCAGTCCTTTCTTTATGGTAATCTCTGGGTAATGTCGACTGGAAAGGCAGACTTTGAAGCGGACTCCAAAGGAAACCGCAAGCTCACTAACGCGCTCGAGAAATCCTATCATTTCTCGGATTTGTTTCTCATCGCACTCATCTAGAGCATCGATGAAGCAGACCACTGAGGATCCTCCAAGATTTTGGATTGCAGCCTCGAACAACATTTCAAGGGAACTGGCACTCCATTGATAATTGGCGGATATGCTTGAAGTCGACAATCCCAGTGAATCAAAGGCACACTGTAGCGCTGGAACCCGCTCAAAAAGCTGCAATAGCAATGATCGGTAGGTTCCAGTGGTCGATCTTTCCAAGATTTCTCCACGAGCGTTGAAGAAATAAGCAACTACGACTTCGTCCTTCATCGTGCTGCGGGCGTTGGCGAAAGCAAACTTCATCAAGGTTGACTTTCCAGCACCTGGCTTCCCCTTGATCCATAAGAGACCACTGTGTTCAGGCAGCAACCTCACATCGAGCCAGCGTCTATATTCGGAACTAGACAGAATCCACTTGCACGTCCTAATATGGGCGTTCTTGATCGTCATGTGGCGCGAGTCGATCTGATCGAAGCGCAGCGACTCCATGAGCGTATGTCTCTGTCCTTCTCCTAAGGATACAATCCCGCTTGCATCAAGTTCTCTGATCTCTCTCTGTAATCTCTTCATCGCCATTTTCCCACCTTCTCCGTAAATCGCTGACATACTGATACCAAATATCCCTAGTAACGAATAGGCCATATCTTCACTGCGCTTAGTTTGGCGGGTTTTATTCCAATTGAGTCGGTCAGCAATAGGAAACTGGCGTAGCGGGGTGCCCTGTAGAGCTTTGATGGGTAATTGGGTAATTTCGTGAAGTTGTTGTAACAGCATCGACTTATCACCGAATTCCTTCCCCTCTCGGGAGAAGAATGTAAGCCGCGGTGGGGCGAGAAGCTCTTGAAGGGTCCAACCTCTGGTGAACCACCTGCTAGTTTTGAAACTTGATGGCAAAGTGGAGAGACATCCATCATCGTCTGCCTTTCGCTTGTTCATTGAGACGTCCGATAGATAAACGTAACAGTGAGCGGACCGCTCGTACCACCGAAACATGGATGTGATAGCTTCTGAGAGCTCCGCGCTCCTAGATTTGTCGATGCAGCAGGTATCGATCCAGAAGTACTGCAGGTCGTCCACGGCTACTTGTTGGACGCAGAAAGTCAACTTGGCATAACCAATTTTGTTTTTTCCAGTCTGGTCAATCATATCTTGATACGTGACTTCGTCGCCATCGTCGCCCCAAGTATGTGACAATATGGCATATGGGGGTATGTCGGATTCTTCACGTTCCACAAGGCTGAGGGAGCCATCGTCCCGTACATTGATTAGCCGTATGGGCATCTCGAAGCGATCGAGGACCCGAGATCTTTAAGAGACGCTGTAGAACAAATTCTGGAATTTATGCTGTACGAGTGGACTGTCCATGTGGACTGGAGGAATAGATGCCAGGATAGCAAGTGGAAGATGGGTGGAAGATGGGAGGTTCTCGATCAACCAGGGAAGGCTGACCTATGACCTAGAGCCGTATGCCTAGAAGAGGCGATGCAGCACAGCCCAACTGACAGCAGACCCTACATGCATTGCCAGTCCAATAGTTAGTCTGTGTAACAATGAGCAATCGCATTGGAACAGCACACAGTCTGCCTCGAGCTATGAAGAAAAGTCCTGCCTCGGTGTTGGAAGGCCGTGAATCAGGCAATCGACACTACTGTTCACAGCAAGAAGATTGTGGCTGTTAGCAACTGGTATGCGCTTTGATCAGGGCAGCGCAAAATATAGCCAAGCGGGATTACAAAGTCATATGCATCTAGCAAGAGAACAAGAGAGCAAAGAGCAAGCTGTGCAGTTGAGCAATCCATATCATATCTTTAGTCAGTTGCACGTGTTATTGTCTACTCTTGAAAGTGGAGACAGGAAGAACGATGAGGTTGGAGGACTGTGTTATCAAGCGGAATCTCAGGTGCGTTGCGCTTCAGACACGAAGCAAGCGACAGTACTTTGACGAAATCGTGTGAGAACGCAGTTTGGAAACGGTAAGAAGAGGCTCTTAAGAGATACGCGATGTTAAGTGTCAGACGATTGGTCATGGGTGACGAATGATGGTGGAGTGCAATGGGCTGAAGCACCGTTCAGCTTCGATATTCGACGCGACTACCCGGGCAGTGACAGGATGCAGCAGTGGTGGAAGTATAGACTCGCGACTCGATTGGTGATGGAAGAAAAGGAGAGAGTTAGTTGCAGGATGCTCGCAGAAAAGGACGTGAACCGGAACGTGCATGAACAGAATATATTAAGTAGAGTGCGCGCTCGCGAAGTTCGCACCTCGATCGCGTTCGTGGCGTACTTTGTCTGTGCAGGGTGGTGCAGTTGGTGCAGGTGGTGCAGAGTTGAGCTACGGCTTGGACAGTGGCCGAGAGCCAATCCTCGGTGGAGCATTGATTGCGGGCGGCGATGGAGAGACGAGAAGACAGGAGAGGAACCCTGCAAGGCTACTAGGGGGATACCTAAAAGCGGGAAGATGATGGGGATGAATGGATGTTGGATGGTTGATTGGTATCACGATTCACGTCGAGTGTCGGAGGACGAGGATGATGGAATTCGGTCGCAGAAGCGGACGCGAAGGTGGAGTCGCTCCCTCCCTTGCCGCTAAACCCGATTGGGACAGAACACGCTTGTCGCGACTTGAACGTCTTGTCGTGTCGCTCCTCGCCAAATACGCCTGATTGCCCCTCTCAGCTCTTCTTCTCTTCATTTTCCCATCTTCATTCCTCTCTTCTACCAACCCAACTTCCACCTCCCGTTCTTTCTTTCACACTCTTGCACACACACATTCATTCTTTCACAGTCGTCGTGCGTGTCTCTATCTGGTCGAGTCAATTCCACCCGCTTCCCCATCAGCAAGAGGAGCATTGGTACCTTACCACCCAATTCCACCATCACCAACACATACACCACAACATACACACAATGGCTTTCTACACACGTCAACCATTTGGCGAGATTGGCTCTTCCCGGCTCCAGGCCCTGTCCAGTGCCAAAAACAGGCAAAATTGTGAGTAACCTGATCTACCACGACCACAGGTAGAACGTGATTTTAACCCGGTTTCTCAATAGCCATTCCCATCGCTAGCGACTTCTCTGCGTCCACGCTCAAGCAGTCTACAAAATCCACTGGAAAGCGCAGAGCCGCTGAGGTCTTCGAGGATAACGATTCTGAGAATATCGACCCTTCCATCTTCAACTCTCCCGCTAAGAAATCAAAATCATCTCCATGTGACGGATACATCAAGCCCGCCAAGTTCTCCCTCATCAGCGCCCCCACCCCAAAGGAGGCCACCTCAGTCACTCCATCAGCTTTGGTGCCTTCCGTCCGCAGAGCTCTCTCTTCTCCCAAGCACAAGCGCGTGGGGCTTCTTTCAAAGCGCAGGGCATCCAGCAGCCCGTACAGGCGTGTCGATCCTCCTACTGCTACCCCGCCCTCTGGACCAGCCCCCTTCTCCATCGATGCTGCCCTGAAAGGGTCGATCCCGGATTATACCCCCAGGCCTGTCGTCGCCGCTCCTAAGCATACTTCCATTGAAGAGTCCATGCCCCAATCTTGGTTCTTCGAAATCCACGAAGACACTCCTGAGCAAGAGGCTGCCAACCTGATGGAACATTCAGCTGCCGTTTTGGACATCAGCTCAGACGATGACGCAGAGACGAAGAAGAAGAATGATGAGCTCGAACGGGGAAAAGAGAACATTCCTCCACCCGATTTTGTTGCCCAACAAGCTGCCGCTGCGGACCCTACTCCTGCACCATCTGCACCCGCGGAGGAGACCGACGTCAAGGAACAGACAGCTTCCATTGAGCACACTGTCAAGCTTCCTCGTCTCAGGAACATTGCACAGGATGCCATGGATGAGGACCGCTCCCCACTGAAGGACCTTCCTCCTGCCGAGTTCTACGCAGAGGGCCTAGATGCATCCTCCTATGTCACTGTCGATGCTAGCATTGAGAGACCATCAAGCTTGTCGAAGGAGTTCGACTTCAGCATCCCATCGCCATCAAAAGAGGCTGCGGAGGCTGCAACAGTCGAAAAGACTGACAAGTAGCGACCATTCCCATGTTTCTCAAGTTTTCGTATACATGTTTGATTCACTTCAAGGTTTTAGGGCTCTCTTTAGTTCATTGGCGTTGTAGATACCATTTGATTAAGTCTTTTGTTGACTCTTTTCCACGATTCAGGTGTTACGGGTTACGAGGACATTCTTGCTTGAGATTTTGGGTTTTCTGGAGGGGGCAACGGCAATGCAGATTTTATCCAACCTGTGTTTTAGCTACAAAAGTAGACACGACTAAGAGTATAATACATGTCTATTTACTGAACAGAAACGGGTTTGTAAGCGTGTCTTTGCATCTGCCTAGGTAGGTGTTTACATGTTTGTGTTTTGTAAACAAAGAACAGTAAACAAGTCGTTTCAGCAGGCGCTTGCATTGGAGCAAAGCCATCAGAGGTTTTCAGTGAGACTAGGCATCATCATGGCTCACCGAATGTAGACAAGTGCTGTTCAATCCATTAACTGTATATTATCCTGGTCCAATCAATTGTTCTTCTAGGTAACTATCTATATACTTACGACACTCTCATGGTATTCTTCTATCCCACCCGTATGTGACGTTCCATGTTCCACGGTGGTCGTTAGCGTGTGATCTGGGCTTTGACGTTGCTAAAGTCTTGGCACGCTAGTCGCTAGCGTGTCTCTCTCCGCCGAACCATTATCACTTCTGTTTTGTTTCCTGAACAATCACTTCCCGTTCATGCCCATCCACATCCGCCCCGTTTTCGCGCTGAAAAAGCGCAATGGCTAACGAGGAGTTGCAGGCACTCGCTGCTCTTCAGATCGCGCAAGCGAAATTCAAACAAGGCCTCAGGAAGCCAGCCGACGGCTTAGCTTCCCTCGACTTAGAACAAGCCACGGAAATATGCAATGCTCTTGATGCCGCCTTTGCTCAAGAGACCACCGAAAACATCCAGGTACATTATCATCACCACCCACCTCCAGTGACTTCAGCTGCAACACAGAAAGAGCATTTCAGTCATGTCTCTTGTTGTATTGACCATGTAAAACATTTGGAAGAACAGGCTAATCTTAGCCACTGCTGTGTATAGGTTTGCAAAGATTGGATCATTAGGCACATTGCGCCATCCAAAGCCCGTATCGCTCTCCTGGGCGACTACTTGATCTCGCTATCAAAATCGAACATTGTAAACCGCGAGAAAAACCCCGATAAGGCGTTGCGGAACCGCCTGGTCCCGCTCTCAGTCTTGAGCGATGTCATGCTTACAGTCAAGTGCCCTTCACCACAGGTGCTAGGTTTCATTGTGGCAGACTTACAGCCATGCATCGAGGAACTCGTCGGACTCATCGCGAGTTGTCTTCACGACAAGCGTACTAAAATTGAAGCCCAACTCATGGGGCTTACCAAGTTTTGGGAATCTACAAATGTCATAGCTCCGGAGGGCGTGGCGGCAATCCGAAAACGAGCCGTCACTGACATCAAAATCGCCCAAGGCGATGCGCCACCCGAAACTACGAAGAGGGAATATACCCTCCCAGAGTTCTTTGGTGACCAAAACGCTCAATGGCATGATCTTCCAACCTCCTACATGCTCGATAGCCTAACCAAGCACCCGAATCGGCCAGTGGACAGGCATGATATCAGGATCCGAAGATTCAACAATAAGTACGCTTCGAAGGAAGTCTGTGACCTCATAGATCAGTATTTTGAGAGAAGAGACTCCGACTATGTACCAAATGTCGATAACCCGACAGGTGAGAGTGACAAGTACGAATTCTGGCTGGACTCGATGGGACAGCTTGTCAAAGAGACTAAGGAGACAGGCGAAGTAGCCACTGTGTCCAATGGATACGGCTGGTCGATTAAACTGAGTGAGGATATGCAGGAGCTTGGTGTGCCAGAGAACATCCACAGGGCACGCGAGGAGTATCGGAGCAGTCGCATGGATGTCGACAGCCCACCACGCAGTGAAAGACCACGGTCTGGCTCGCAATCAAGCTCACAGTCGTACTCACGCTCACGGTCGAGGGGTCGTTCTCGTCCCAACAGTTCTGGATATGGTTGTCGAACTCGTCCACGCCGAGATTACCAGGCGCGTTCACGGTCAAGATCACGCTCACCCTACGATGCGCGTGAGGACAACCGAAGATCTCGATTTGATCGTGAAGACTACAACCACAACCTCCGGCCACCACCATACCCGAATTCCCAATCGCATGGTGCACCTAGGTACAATGCCAACCCACAACCCCCTAACTTCCAGAACCAAGATGCGTACTTCAATCGACCCTTTCATCAGCATCCGCCTCCGCCTCCGCCTCCACCTCCCCCTTACGTATCAGGCACTCAATCTGGTTTCCCGCCCCCTCCGCCACCCCCACCGTTCGCCCAGAACCATGGACAGTTCCGTATGGACCAATTCCCTCCTCCTCCCCCACCCCCTCAGGGTCCAGTAGGTGGACAACCAAACTTTCAAGGCCAGGTCTATGGGCAACACCCACCTCCGCCGCCGCCGCCGCCAAGCCAGAACAGCAGCTACAGCCGCGGAGGCCGAGGAGGTTATCGCGGGGGTAATCGTGGAGATCATCGCGGAGGTTATCGCGGAGGGTGGGGTCAGAGGGGTAGGGGAGGAAGATGGAATTGAGAAGAGCGTTCTGGTACGGCCAAAAATCTGGGCGCAGGATAAGGTTGGATGTACGATTACTGATATCGGAAATTGAGCGTGTAGCCGCTCGCATTGTAAATTAGAGTATCCAGTCGAATTGACATACAAGGTACCATCTCTCGAAGCTAAGGAAGTAATCATGTAACGTGATTACGAGGTGGTACGGATGGTGAGACAATACTACTGGGATGAATAGGATAGATATCCGTCAGCCCTATGAGGGAAACTAGTCTACTATGATCTACGGGTGCTGTGGATATCGGGGTCTGTTTAACTAAACCAACCATCTCAAGTGAAACAAAGAGAATACTCCCACTAGTCTTCTCCTAATTTTGTCTCATTCACGAAATCGATGCACCCAATTGGGAACTCTATTTGGCAGGCCCTAGACTTCCAGGGTTCGGTGCTGCGACGCGTGAATACCTCACACACGTGCTCACGTACTAGAGTTAAACCATTCCTGGTCGCTTCACAACGCATTACATTACCGTCACACCCGCAGTCGACCCGACACCGTGCTCTTACTTAACTTCACGCTTCAACGCTGTAACTGCTGTCTCAACACCGGACCTACAGTCGCTCAGCAAGTTAATTCTCGCCCTCGCGCCGTCGCCCCTATCAGGTCCGCACTGGGCAGCCGTAGCCGTAGCGGCAGACGGAGAACAGCACACCACGTCTCAGCGCCCCTCCTTGCCAACAATAGACAGAAAAGAAAACATACGTTACTTGGCGTCGACACCGTTCGAATAAATTGCACCAGGCCTGGTCAATATAGCAATGCGTGAACCCTCCTCAACAACACCCAAAACTCCTCGGTCCCTTGCCGTCGCATCATGACCCGCAGCGTCCTTCATGAGACACGATCCGCAACGCACGATAGCCCAAGCACGCCCGCCGCGACGCCGCGCCGCGAGTCAAGGAAGAGAAAGCGACCAGTTCGATACACAGACTCCAGCGATGTTGAGTCTTCGCTCCCAGGGCTAGCACCACCAGCTACAAAGATCGGAGCGGCATCCGCACGACGAGAGCTGGAGGACGATGGCGGACAGGATGGACAACAAGATCGGCCAGGGAAGTTGAAACGGATACGTCGTGGGCGCCGGTACAATGAACCTCTTCCCTTTTCTTCAGAAGCGGAGGATAATGCTGTGCCTCACAAGGGCAAACAAAAGGCAGTAGTAGAGAAGGAGGGCGAGGAGGAAGATGATGATGAAGAAGAAGAAGAGCCTGGGGAAAAGCTCTGGGCTGCGGTACGGATCCTCTCCGCAAACTCCACGAAGTATCTCATCGAGTGGGAAGACATCGACCCGGCGACAGGCGTTCCGTATGAACCTACCTGGGAAGATAAAAAATGTGCGAATGCTGCGCTTAGGGCAGAATGGACAGAGCAACAACGGAAGGAGAAGAAGGAGAAGAGAGAAAAGATTTTGGAGGGACGCAAGAAGGCGAGAGAGCGGAAGAGGCAGTCCAGAGGCAACAAGGTCCCGCAAGAACAGGGAGAGAAGGAGAAGGGGAATGATAAAGAGTTGGTGCAAGTTCATGTACAACCAGGGAGTCAATTCGACGCTGCGGATTTCGAGAGGTTCAGTCAGTTGCCTGGGGGTTCTAGTCAGATCACAGAAATACAGCAGCAGACACAAATGTCGAGTTTGCCGTCATCTTCCGCTTCGTCATCAGTGCCTGACGCGTCAAACAAGGGCATCGCTCAGCATGAAAGCAATAAGAAGAGAGAGGAAACTTTCTCAGACATATCCACAGCCTCTCAGAGTTATGCCAATAGCCAAGATAGTTTCATTCCTGGAAGCGAGCCGCAGACCCAGAGCCAATCCGCGATATCGTCAAAAGAGATACCAGATACAACTACTACAGAAGTTTGGTCTCAGGAGGCTGAGTATGCACGAACGCCTTCGCCTTTTGTTCGAAGTCAAAAGTCCATCGGCCAACTCGATCCAATCGAGACATCCTCACAACTACAACAACAAAGCGATCCACAGACGGATGCGCAATCCCTCTCTGGACACACGTTCAGGACTGAAGAAGAGAACCATATCGATATTGAGATACCCGAAAGCCCTGAACAGGCGGAGCCTGAGTCTCTTGAACAAATCGACCACCAGGAAGCAGAGTCGCAGACGGAGTCGCTGGGTAGGACTGAGCAAATAAGCTTGGTTCCCGATTCACAGGCCGAAGACGGCATCGGAAGTCAGCCTTTCCAAGTCGAGGAGGTGCCACAAATCACAAATCAGTGGAAACAATCTGCACCACGCAGCGAGATTTCCGAATCCGAGGCGAACACGCGCACTGAACAGCAATCTGTAACGGAGACTTCTCATGAGGGGCAACACTCGCCATTGCAATCTGGGTTTGAGGCTGTTTCCGAGGGCCCGGTCACCCCACATCATATATCACCAATACACTTCGCGCAGCCAACACCACGACGGTCTGTTCAATTATCGCAAATCCTACAAATACAGTCCACAGATGAAGATACTCGTCGTTCAGTACTGGTCACCAAAACCTTGCCCCAAAACAATCAGTCTGCAGACCATCCCAAATCAGGTATAGCGACTAGTGCCAAGAAATCGCACCCTAGGGTTGCAGCAAGCTCGGACCTAATTGTATCACGACCATCTCAAACGCATCCGTCGTCCTCGATTTCTCAACAACCTCATATCACCAACACCCAGAGCAGTCAAGATTCTGCGCGTCTATCAATTAATAACTTACTAAATCCTTCTCCCTTTGAAAATTCGCTTGAAAATCAGGCCCCAGCGGTCTCAAAGTCTGCCCCATCCTCCCAACAAAGGCCGTATTCAAGCAGACCCATTGGTGGCACGACAATCAATCCAAGGCCTGCCAACGTTTCTTCCTCCACCGTCAGACATCATCTTGATTCTCCCCAAGAAATTTCATTACCAGACTATCTCCCCATTCCAGCAACTCAAGGTTCTTACCTTCACGCTCAGCATAGCGTGCTTGAGAATACAACACAAGCAAGCCAGCTGCCGTACGAGCACCCAAAATCACTTACTACCCAGCTTCACTCTGAAGACGAATCTCACCAACAAGGTTCGTACGAAATCCACTGGACTAAGCCTAAAGTTGTAGAGGTTTCTTTGCCACGGCCTGCAGACTGGCAGGTCAAGTTCGTTAGATACCGTCCTCCCTGGCGCACGTACTTTGGTTCTGGTCAGAAATCACAACCAAGCATCACTTCATCCACTACACCCATTGTGGAATCCGTGTACCATTCCAATCCAATCAGAGGCTTCTCGCAGCAAAACGCGCAGATTGTGCAACCCGAGGTATACATTGATTCGCAAGAGTCACTAAGCAGCATCTACGACACTGTTGAGGTGGCCCCATCAGTCGATCGCGCTGCACCTAAATCAGCTTCACCAGCTTCAAGGCACGACTCGTCACAGGAGTCGCCCCTCGTTTCAGCTTCGGGCGACCTTTCATCCATTCCAGAACCACCGTCGCAATCTTTGGACGGCATTAATTCTACAGCTCCGCATAGACCCATCAGTCCAGGTAACACCATGGCGTCGGGTTCGGGAAGCCATGAAGAGAACATGAGTCCCGAGGACCAGGAGTACCAGAGGAGATTCCAAGAGAAAATCGACCAAGCAGTGGCCAAAGCACGAGCGGACTACAAGCCTAGGAAACTGCTTGGGCGTGCTGCAGAAACTCACGATGAGGGGACGAGATCACCATCAACAATTCCAGACCAGTCTCCACAAAGACAGGAGCCAGCGTCGTTACGAACAACTGCAATAATTTCTGCTGCCGTGGAGATGACAGAGACTCCTCATCTAGTACCTCCGCCACCTCCACCTCCGGCTGCTCCAGCCCCCACCCCAATCTCAAACCCTACGCCTGTGGTCCAGGAAGCTCCCGACGTCCAAGTTACGACAGATGAAGATATTGAGCTAGAGCACACTGAAAGTAGCGAAGACAGCGAGAGCCTGCTGCAGGACGACTTCGGACTTCTCCCAGAGGAACATATCGTCGCACTCGCTCTAGAAGGTCGGCAAAGGAGCATGTATCTGGACGAAATCAACCGACACGAAGACTTGATCAACAAGCTGCTTCAAAATGCGGATGAGTTCAATGAAACCGAAAAACTAGACAATGTTCTTCGACGTCTGCACGCAATAGAGACGCATATGGATCTTATCTGGGCCGAGTCCGAAAGCACCTCACAGATGACAGGTGCCCTGACGCAGGCCCAGTGGGATTGCGACAGCTCCGTCAAGTTCAGGTTCCTAGGCACCTTCTTTCACGCTCTGCGAGAACAAGATATGAACATCGCTATCGTTGTCGAGAACGACAACACCAGATTGCTGGACATGCTTGAGAAGTTTTGTAAAGGCAAATTCTTGAACTACAAATATCCAGCCAAGGGACGCAGCTCAGACGTAACAACCACAGAAGGCTCCCTGTATATCACCTTGCTATCTTACGAGTCGAGCCCCGTGATGCGTCCTCCGGATGTTGTAATCTGCGTGGACGGCACGCTCAATGCGACTCAGATACGAAAGAAGCCCTGGGCAGCCAACCCTGATCGCCCAGCTGTGCCAATCTTAGACCTGGTGATTCCTAGGTCAGTCAGTCACATCGAGCGATATGTCTCCAACAACTTGGGCACCAACAGGCGCTTGCACACCATTTTCGCAGCATTGAGCCAAATCATCTCGGACGTTGGGCGACCACTTTCCAGAACGCCTAGTGCAATCTCTGCTGCAAGAGAGGTGGCCAACTTCGTTCAACTGCTCCAAGACCCAAATGTCCACGAGCCTCCTGAGTGGCCGTTGCCATTAATCGGTAGCGTTAAGAGCGAGATCGAATATGCATCACAGCAAACAGAGGTGGCGATGACTTCACCACCACCGGAAGTGCCTACGCCTCTGAAGTTGTCAAAACGCCCATTAGATGAGGAAGTACTGGACCCTGCGAAACGGATGCGGATGACGCCTCAGCCTATACCCAACACCAACGAGTCGGGCACTGAGAATCCAGTCAATGTCACGCAGGCTAGCGATTCTGTGCCAAGCAGTGCGGTCAGCATTGCTGAATTGCAAGAGCAACTACGTCGGGAACGCGAACTCCGTAAAGCCAGCGACAAACGCGCGAGGGAGTTCGAGGCTGCGCTGGATAAACGACATCTGGACTATGAGAATCTCAAGCGAGATCACCTGGCGGTGATGAACGAGATGAATTCAACCAAGATTCGTATGGAAGCTATGCTCAAGTCCAAACAACAGGTCCAAGATCGGTACGATGCCTTAACCGTGGAGGTCAACACGATCCGCGAGCAGCAAAGTCACCTACAATCTGTCGCACTTGCCTCAGAAGATATAAAGACTGCCGAAATCGCCCGGTTGACCGACGCCTTAGCTACCTCAACTTCCGCCGAGGCAAAGGCACAGAAGAAGATTACAACCGCAGACTCTACTCTAGAATACACAAAGGAGCAGTACCGTCTCGCACAAGACCGTGCTTCAGAGCTATCCACCGAGAATGCCGCACTCCAGGCTGAAGTAGCGACTCTCCGCAAATCCTCCACCGATCAACGTCTAAAACTCAAAATGGCATCGCACGCAGCGTCTCACGCCGTACTCGAGAAAAAGGTCGAGCGAGCTCACAATGAGAACGCGATCCTATCACGCTTGCTCCAGCAAAAGGAGGAAGAGATCAAAGGCCTCAAGGAGAAGAAGAGTGGCGGATATGGCACACGAGGGAGTAGTGTTCCCCGTAGTCCCAGGGTTGGTGCTGGAGGCGCCGGTAGCAGGGCTGCCAGTCCTGTCGTTGGTGGGAACGGCAGAGACAGAATCAGCAATCTGAGGAACGGATGAGCGGTATTGCATCGAGGCAGCATTTCTGTTTCTCGGTGTACGGTTCCCCATTCATTCGAGCGGATCGTGAGGTCGGTCCTACACATCTATTCCAACTCTCCTTGGTTTTGCAAAAATAACAAATACCTCGCATATTACAACGGCGTTTCTTTAACATTTTCTCTCCTTTCCTTTCTTTGATCCAAAAGCAAATACTTGCTCACAGGTCACCATCTCAGGCATTTGCACAGGCGACACAGATGTCATCATCAGGTACCCCACACCACCACATTCAGCAAGCATACGATACCCATCTTTATCCAATTATCTTATCTCGGTACCTCTCTTGAATTTTCTTGTAATTACACAGTAGTTTCCCACGGCCTCCCATCATTCTCGGAAATAAATAACTAGGGCTGATTATCGTAGCTCTTTCAATCAATTGTTTATATTATTTATTTTGAGTCTTTAAGTGCTTGCTGTTGCCGTGTGTTCGTGCTAAAACTCGATGTGAGGTGTAGTGATCTTTTGATACTGTGATATCGACCACTTTACTAAACAATTTCCTCGTAAATATTAGAGTACGAGATGAACATTGCTACCCACGTGCTGCCCTCACATTTCTATTATAGTTTTTACCAAATTACAAATACACTTTCTAGCAAGTTTCAGAGAATATACAGTGCTCATGCTTTCCTCTCCTACACACACACACAAACACACACACACTAGACTAACAAGAACAAAACCCCCAAGCGTCACTATTGAGTGGCATTCTCACTATGATCGAGAAAATCTTAAATTATAATCATGCTAAAATGTCTCAGATCCGCTGCTGTCCTATCCTCGACCCGATCTTATGTCTTTTTGTGAGAAATGTGATACACGGTGAGTGTTTTTCGGGACGTTGTCAGCCCTAGGAGGTACGGGCGCTCGTGGGTTGATGACATGGTGGCATGACGTAGTACCGCGAGTTCGATGATGCGTTTTGATTACATCTTAGGGATACAAACCAATAGACAGAAAGTTTAGCTGGCCAGTTGGAATGTACGTTGAGTTATTGTTTTGGCTGTCAGATTCAAAAGTGGCAATGGAAGATTAATGGGATGGTGTAGAGATAGCATGAAAGATTCCGATGACCCAGCTGGGGGAATTGAAGACAGTGTAAGGTTGAGGTATGACATGCGCACTAAACGACCGAAACAATATTGAACTACTAGATACTATCGGCCTTACGTCGTACGAACGAACGAACATACTTCCACAGTTCCTACGAGGTGATCTTACGAATACCTATCTATGAGACATCAAACCTGTGATAAAACAGCACTCGTAAAGCGCCAACACAATGGTCAGGCTCTCGGAAGACGGAAAGCATGTCCCACTTTTCTCTCAAACTCGGTGTGTACGTGTTCGTCTGCTCTGGAAAGGATCCCTCCCGACATCGGAAAACGCCGTGGATTTCGTTGTGTTTACTACTCGTGCGAGTTGCGAAGATAGAGCAATCACTCGTTGGGTTAGGTTGGGCTATGCGGTGATAGGTGGGTATGTGCGGTCACTCGAGACCGACGATCGGTACAAGTAGGTGAGGAGTGAGATTCGACTTCCTGAACTCTAAGTGCTTGTACGGCCCGAGTACACACGACAACGTGGGCCATTATTGCAGGGGTTAGGTTGTAACCCAATGCAAGAATAAGGAGAGATGAAAGTGATTGGGCGTTGATGTGCTGTGAAGAGGAGGAAAAGCAAAGAGGAGTGGAGTGGGAAGTGCAACGTTGATCTTTGACCTTTTTCTCGTATAAGATGGAAGGTGACTGACGATCCAGGGTCCAGTGACTGCATGGTATGGCATGGCATCACGAAAGTGCGTCAGAATAGGAAAGGCCCCAGGCTGAGGGTCGTTCCTTCCAGAGGATAGGTAACAGGAGGACGATGATACCTCGTACTCGAATCCTCGGTGTCAACACATGGTTGAAGTTGTGAGTTTGGTGAAATGTGGGTTAGACCCAGTAGTACATTGGAGCTTCGACGTACGACGGCTATGTCACGACCCAACACCCGAGCCCTTAACAACGACATTTCCACAGCGTTGAGGGTGTGTGGAGGCATGAGCCGCTCTCTATGAGCGTGCGTTAGAGAGGGTTTACTAGCAGGAGTCCACGTTCAGCGGGTGCAAAGCGGATACTCTAGCCGGATTGTGAAAGGGTGGGCCGTCACAATCATGTTGATAGGTTCGCGTGCCGTGGGAGGACATCATTGGTGATAGTAAGCGTACATGGAGATGGTCTGGAAGAGATAGGCATGACGATCTTTAATGTAGTCGACAGAAGGGTGGTCATGCCTGTGTGGACGGGTGTAATCGAAGACAACCCTCGCCGCCTTTCTTCCTGTAGTGAGCCGAGCCGAACATCTCCACGCATTTTCGCTTTGAATTCTAGTAGTGATGCAGTCAGTAGTTAGTAGAAATTGTCCTTAAGATCATGACTTGAGCACTGAGGTACGCAAACAACACCGCAGGCAAAGAACCGAACGAACTGTTCGCGGGACGCAGATCTCTCGTCTCTTATGCGGTTATCGTCCCGGACCTGCGACGAAAGCTCGTCAGAAAAGAGGAGCCAAAAGACCCTGCATAATACGAAGCAACAGAGCAGTCTGTTGGGTCCTCGAAAAAGAAAGTAGGCGCTGCTTGGGTGCTGATTTGCGGACGGTTTAACATCTTACCTCATGCGAGTGGACTTCGGTGGCAAGACGGCGTCATTGTGGATGGGATCGTCCGAGTGGGGTCCTTGCGACAGTGCAAGCGATATCCCGACGGCACCATGGGACTCTGGAATGGCAATTCAAATGCCTGGAGGGATTTCAGGCTAGAAAAGATGGGATCCTTATGGCAAAGACAAGAGGTGGTGGGTACCTTGTATGACGATTGTGAGATACGCCTCTATCATCACCACGTCTAAGTCAACTAAGCGCACCTGATCAAGAATCATGTAGCAACAGTCACAAATATGACAAGAACACAACAATGACTTCTTCATGTCTTCATGAATCGGGGAATGACTAGAGAGAGCACAAAAGTACAAAGCAAATATGTTTCAAATGATATCAATTAGAAGCGTGAATGATACCATTCTCCTTCAGAGTAAGTGCGGTAAGCGAGTTTGAACGATGAGCCATTTCCCGGGATGGCGTACGCTGCAAGGAGCAGAGTCTTTCCGCCAGAAGGAATTATGGCTACGAGCTCTCCTCATGTTTGCCGCGAGGTCTCCAAGGATTTTAGGGCGGAGTGCAATGGGATTGTTTCTTTGATCTTCGTAAATTCAAAGGTAGCACAAAAAGATCCATCATTGCAGATTGCCCTTGTGGGACTGGATACGGCATGACGCAAGGTCATGATTAACGCGAGAAGAGAAAGTTTAGATCATGTCTCAAGATTTCGAGTGTGTCGTTTGCAGAGTTGTACCTGGCCGTACACAGCAAGGGCTGAGGCGACAAACAATGAGCGCCAGGGTAGAACAATGGTACGAATAGATACGAGCAGTCAAGGCTGGTTGAGGCTGAAGAGGATGCATACCCTTGACGGTCAATCGGAGAATTGACGTCGTGAATGGCAAATCTGTTGTTACGAGATGGGATATGTTGGTGTTGTGGATGTGGTTGATGTGTACAGTGAGGTCAAACAGCGGAAGCCTTCCTGCCCTGCATATGACGAAACGGCTGGACGTTTTGCCGCACTTGACCTGATTGGGCGATGGCGCGTCATAGATCCTTGGCAACTATGACGTCCATCCACCCTTTCTTCCCGCAGACTAATTCGACTTTTGGCCTTCGACCGTTCATCCTCATCCATCTCATCATCCATCATCCCCAATTCCCATCCCAATGACTCCATTATTCACCATCACCAAAACGAACACGGACCCATCCCATCCCATCGTCGTCACTCCGCCGCCATCTATCCTCCGTCATTATGCTTTGCTTATCCGCCCCCCCACACCACCAACCCATGCAACACAGCGCTTTTGCACCTTTCGGATTTCCCCATCTCTAAGAAAGATCCCGCTCTTCTGGGTTTATTGGATTGTCCTGGGGCACCTGTTTGCGACCTGTGCTCGTGAGGCTGTTTCCCAAAGTTCTTCCCACACTGACGTCTAACCCTCACGAGTCGCCACTAGAACCCATTGCCCTTCTGCTCGTGTCCAAACCCGTAGTAGCAGTTACATCACACCTGTCGTCATTTCGTAAAATCTGCAAACAGCACTTTCTACCCAGTAACCTGTATGGCGGCGGTGTTGAGGCCCTATCGTCAAACTCATTGTTCAGTACTGCGCAAAAGCATTGGTGGTGGTGTACAACCTGCGGTCTTGGGGTGCTTATGACCCCCCTCTACCAGAATTCACAGACGCTACAACAGGGATGCTCACAGTAAAGAAACGTCCCCTGTGTGTGTGCGGACAAAGTACCCGTGGATGGCCAATGAAGTCATACGGAGCGGCTGATCCCATTCTCTGAATGTCTCTGAATGGTGGTTTCTCAATCTAAACAATACACTGCATAGCAACATACCTCGTAGCTATGTTTCTCCCCACCTACACACATGCATCATTACATTCCGACACCCCAAGTCCAAGGATGAATGGGGGAGCTACTGGACCCTGATTCTGCAACTTCGTCAGAGACTGGCTTCGATCCACAATGGCAGCCGTCTTGTTCAGCAAGGATGTCAGCATCGTAGCAGGCTGACTGGTTAAAACCACGCACTTAGTATGGGGCAAAAGCATGCTACACGTTGCTAGTGTGAATGGAGCAGGACCCTGCAGATCTCTGACCTCAGGGCCCCCCTACCAACCGAACCGTGTGGGACCGACTCTATCATTACGCCGATCTTTACAATCTGCATGCTGTTGCTCTCCAGTCTCCACTAACGCACTCCTTGGGAGGGATTGCCGCATGTGCCTCTTCTGCCCAAGTTCTATCGCAATATATAACTTCCCCCGCTCGCGACTTTCCTCATCCTCATCCAACAGCTTCCAACCCAAGACATCAACCAAACAAAACATAAGCTTTCTTCCAAGACGCTTCTCATACCATCTACCATTCCATCCACAACCACCATATTATCTACCACTACATAAACACCATGTCTCAAACTACCGGCGTCTACGTCTCTGGCGGAATCTCCGAGCCTATGTCTGCTCAGCACAACTTCACCGAACAATATGATCTGGAGAACCCAGAGAAGGCCATGTCCTCGTACGCAAGGTATGTTGCCAGCATCAGACATTCTGTCCGCTTGGCCACATCACTAACGATTATTCAGGATAATGCACGAACACACTAAGCGTCAGCTCTCGACTGCGACCGACTCAGCACGCCGACGATCCGAGGGTACCTCTGCCAACTCGAGCATGCATTCGTCCAGTTCGGTCGCCTCCATCAGCCCATAGACCATCGTCACGACTCTCGTCCAACCATCAATTGCACGCGTCGCATTCGACAGCGCCGCACCTCGTCACCGTTCTGTGAACGGCACTGACCTTTTTTCCTCTTATCCACTTCACGAGAATCATGAATGTATTATTACTATATCACCACATCAAGGCTTTGGGCATTTTGGCATTTCAAAGCCGATGGCGTTTATTTCCCTCATCATCAAGCCATCTTTACACGAGCGAGAACAAAACCACTGGGAGAGCGGGCTCGGAGTTTTTACGATTTTTCTAAATCTTGACCGACGACGAATACACATATATAAAAGTCGAAATAAACTTGGTTCACGTTATTGAACCTTTGTTCAGCTATCCTTCCCATTAGTTATTTGCCTGTGATCGTGTGACCCAAATTTTAACTCAATGCTCACCTCATCACCACTCCGGACCTACACCCGCACCGTGCATTAACATACGATTCTCCACCGTCAAGGCTTAGACCCAGATCTAGATGCATACGAATGCACATACGTAGGCCCATGCATTTATTTCCAACTTCAAGAAATGAGGCAACATACCTTGTAGCAAAGACAGGTTTTCTTGCAATCGTCTCCTCCCCATTACGCTCTCATCGCACCGACTCATCCATTGATTAATTATTCATAGTACTCGTAATCCAAATTCGTATGCTATACCGCCGCATCCCCAAAGTACGAAATCCCACGCGTAGGTCCTTGTACTTTATCCAATGTCACCATCCGCCTGCACGTGGTTGTAGCAGCACATACATTTGCACACATCCAGAAACGTCCCTCGACGAGATGCTAAATTACCCTACGCAGGACGTGTAAGTCTGAAGGGGGCGAGGTATGCGGTTTTGGAACGTGATATTTTATATTGATAATGATTTCGATTATTTTTTTTTGTACCTATCTCGGCGATGGAAGTATGTATGTGTTATCTAGGTGGTGGGTATTTTCTAAAGAAAACCCCTTTCCCAGCGTTTACATGTTTGGCGGAAATGGTCCGATCCCCCGTCTGTGATATGCGTATGCTATAGGGTATAAACACGCTAGAATTCGAACTTCCAAACGGCATCCTCAAAGCCCTTCTTTCGCTGGAATCTCACATTCACGGGCTTCAGAGGCTTATGACTAGTGAGCGTAAACTCCTTTTTGTTCGACGGAGGGTTCCATTTGATACCACCCGTCTGGCCCTTGGGCGCCTCGATGTCGAAACCCAGGATGAATGACGACACGAGAGCCAAGATTTCCATCTGCGCAAAGTGTCGCCCTGGGCAAAGGGAACCACCACCACCGAATCCACGGAAGGCTACAGATGGAATCTGATTGGCACGTGAATGATTCGTAGAACCGTCAGGAGAAGTCTTTGTGCCGTTTGGAGTGTGTATGAAGCGGCGCGGGTTGAATTCAGCTGCATCAGGGCCCCAAATTCCTTCGTCGGCGTGGAGAAGAACGCCCGAGACTTGGACAATTGTATCCGCGCGAACAACATACGTATCTGCTATGACGGTGTCTGACTTCACGTAGCGGGCAGAATTGAGCGGCGAAGTCAACCGCATCGTCTCTTTGTAAACGGAATTGAGCAAGGGACAGGATTCGCGGAGTGCAGGACAAGATAGAGTAGACTCGCCCACCAGAGCATTCTTCCTGATTTCTTCCTGAACTTCGGCATGGAGCTCTGGACGGCTGAAAATGTTGTCCAGAACCCAGAACATGGTAATGGCTGCATTCACGTTAAAGGCAAGACACATGCCGACTTCGAGCCTTGCTCGGTCCCGAAGACAGATCCCCTCGTCCACGTGTGCTTGGTGACGCCTGCGTACGAGCTCGTAGCCTTCGGACATGCGGCCTGCCTCAATGTAGTCGGAAAAGCCCTTGGTCATCTCCTCCATTGCGATATAAGCCTTACGGGAAGTCCATTGCGGAAAAATTTCCATCATATATAGGATAAGGCCGTTCTCCCAATTCCAAAAATGATCCACCAATTCCGGGCGTACCGCAAATGGATTGTTCGGCCCATAGAATGTGTTCATCGTCGCGAGAGTGGTTACACTGTTGATGTATTCATATAGGTCAGTCTCGAAACCGTCCTTGATGTTATTGATGTGTTCGGCAAAATTCCGAAGTTGAGTATGGCCAATAATGCTCATACTTTTGATTGAAAGCAGCGGTTCAATTACACCATGTAGAACGGCTTCCCCCATGCGATCCCGACCTTCGTCTACTGCCTTCTGATCCTTCAGTATCTCTCTTGTTTCGGGTTTGAGGCCAACCAAGCGTGGAGCGACCTGAAGTACAAGTTCGCCAAAGCTCATGGTGGTGGAGGTGCGTTCAACTTGGGCAGCGAGGGTAGGAGTCTTGACCACGTAGGTACGGCCCCAGAGCATGGGCATGGTGAAGATGCCATGATTTGTCTTCGCGCTGTACGTGGGTTAGGTGATGTACGTTGAAGATAAGTGGGTGGTGGTGGAAGAGAATATCGTACCTGACCTTAGCAAGATACCCCGGTCCGTCTCGAGACATGCCAATGATATGCCCAATGAAAGGGATGGAAGGCTCAATGACGGGCGGCTCGCGGTCATTGACGGACGTTCGAAAGAGATACGTTATGGCGAACCATAACAGAGACGCGACAGCAATGACTGCCGCAACTGTGGTCGGCAGAGCCATCGTCAAGAAATCAGAAGGCAACTTTTAGGGTGAGAAGAGAAGCTGCAGCAGAGCCTCACCTGGGAGTGAAGTGTTGCAGTGTGCATTATGTATGGGACTTGGGGATATTTGATGGAGGGGACATGCCAGGTGCGACCTGGGCTGGCGTTCAGCTCGCGCGAGACAATTGCAGGGCGTAGGGTGGCACTGGATGGGCTGGTGGTGGTAATTAACTAGTTCTCTAGTGCGTAGTCTATACCATGGCGTGGCGTTCGAGGAATGTGATTGTTTGGAAACATGGCGCTGATGATTCGCGAATCGCGCATGTCTACCTATACATGGATGCATTGTTCACTGATTCTCGATTGTTAATTCTCGATTCCTGATGTATGGTTTGATTGATTGATTCTCAGTGGGTGCCACAGTGCCACTTTTGACGATGGTTTTGGTAAGGTGGAGTACGAGTACGAGCACGAGCACGAGCAGACCAGGCTGAATGAAGATTGTTGCTGGATGGTGATGATGAAGAGAGGAAAGAAAGGTTGATCAATCAATATGTGGAAAGTAAGAGGTTAACAAGGCATATCATATTACTAATACCTTATTATTATTCTCTGTGTGTGTTATTAATTGCATCTACTCAGTCACTAATATTTGCAGGTGTGTATACAATTATCTCTGGTGTTTCCTTCCTCTTTTGTTGACTACCTATTATATCAATTACGCGTACGATGAGTACATACAGCAAGAGACAAGGCTGTCTGGACGCCCGTGCTTTCGCGATTGGTGGGGAAGGAAGGATGGAAGGATGCAATGGCTGCCGAAGCTTCAACCTCACCTCCTCCATCTCCATCAACTCCAATACTTTTAAGTATTTAATACATCTTTGCTCTTCCATTGCAGATTCTTTCTTTTGCTGCTCCAGTATCTAAACTCTCTCGCCAACGCTTGTTGGTCTTTAATCGCGGACCTCCGTCACTCCGCGCAGTTCCGCAATTCCGCATCTCTGTTTACACTGACTGTAACCAACCATGCAACTTCCAATACAACTCCCTACCATACTCCCATGCCTAGTCGCTGGAGTTCTCGCAACTGCTATTCCAGATGTATCGAGTACTCTGCAGAATATCTTGAAGAACACAGACAATTCCAATAAATATAGATATCCAACCGATCTCACACGGGGTATCATCCCAGTAAGCCCGCCCAGCCGTCGTCTAGGTGATGGTGACTAAAACTTCCTCTCCACGATAGAAACCATTTCACAGCCATAACGATTACTGGAGAGATGTTCCCTTCTACTCGGGCCTATCCTGGGGTGCCATATCTACAGAAGCCGATGTTTGGCTGATCAATGAAACTCTCTATGTAGGTCCTGGTCCTGTTTCTGCTTCAAACGGCGTCACGTGATCCTTTCGATTCACCTCCCTCTTCCATATTCCTATTCCTTGCGTTACCTTCTGTACTATCCTTGCATATCGATCAGAAAGAACATACTATTCCCTTCTTTCTTAATATTATTTTCCATTATTTCTAAGCTCAATCATCAACATAATGCCCTTCTCAACTTTGATTTCTTCCAATATCAACCTATGAGGCTGCTCACTAACATCACAAACAGGTCGGCCACGAAATCAGCGCCCTGACAACCGCCCGGACTCTCTCTTCCCTCTATATAGAACCCATTCTCGACACACTTCACCGCCAGAACCCCTCCACTGCTTTCACCCAATTTCCAACCTCCAATGGCGTCTTCGACACCTCCTCGGGCCAAACCCTCTACCTCTTCATCGACTTCAAGACCGCCGGCCCCGAAACCTTCTCCGCCGTCCAGGCTGCCCTCGAGCCCCTCCAGAAGGGAAAATGGCTCACCACTTCTGACGGCAAGAGTCTCACCACCCGCCCCGTCACCGTCATAGGAACTGGCAACACCCCACTCGACCTAGTCCGCAGCCAAAATCCCCGATTCATCTTCTACGACGCTCCCCTCTCCAAGCTAGGCCGTGCTGCCGCCAACGCCGAATTCTCAGACCTGACGGAGAACGAATCCCCCATCGCGTCGACCAACTTCGCAGATTCCTTTGGCGACGTCAGGAAGTTGGATCTGAACGACACGCAACTTGACACGCTGCGCAGCCAGGTTGACGCCGCGCACAAGAGGGGCATCAAGGCGCGCTACTGGAACCAGCCCGAATGGCCCATCGCCACGAGGAACGCGATCTGGAGGACTCTCTGGGACGAGGGCGTCGACATCTTGAACGTCGATGATTTGGAGGCGGCTGCTGAGTTCTGGACAGGTAGGGGATAGAAAGCAAAAACGACACAGTAGGTACATTGCATCGATTAAAAGATACCAGATGAACAAATCGGATAGGAGCTGTATATAGATAGACAGAAAGGCGGAAGTGGGAGAAAGATAATAAGAGGATGAGGAATACGAAGTATCAAAACCTCGTTTTCATCCATACGCGCATTCATTTTGTGTCATGTTCACCTCCATGCTAATCCATCATGCCCATCTATTTAATTTATCTATATAAACCACCTTCATCGAAGATGTCGCTTGCTCGCTCACTCGCTTTGCACTCAACGTCACCTCATCCACAGCCCCTCTTCCTCCACCATGATATGCCAAAATTCGTCGGTACCAAGAACAGCCATACATGCAAGCCATCCAAGTGAGCTATGACAATGCGCTTGACACATCATCACGAAGAGATCACAACCCGTTGTCCGTCTTGAACTTATCCCACGCCTCGTTCAGCGTCGCGAAGACAGCCGCGCTGATCATCCGCTGTTCCGTCGTGGCGTCCTGTGGAATCTATGGAATTTATCAGCATACTTCATTGCCGAATCCCCAATAAACTCGAGGGGGGAGATAGACGCAAGGTTTGAGAGAGGGGGGGAGGAAAGGGAAACGTACCTTATCAGGATGCACCTTAGCAATCGCCTTCATGTACACGATCTTGACCTTATTCGCCATGACGAGGTCGCCCATGCCGACCTTCTTCCACCCAGCCTCGGGCCAGAGCACGCGGTCGAGCGAGCCCAGCAGGGCGCGCAGGTTGTCGGCCTTCGTGCCCTTCCACGCGACGAGCTTGGCATCGACCTGGTCGGTCAAGGCGAACTTTTCGTCGTCGGCGCGCGAGGCGGCGGCGTTGGCGGCCTGGAGGCGCTTCACGGCCTCGGAGTCTGCGGCGGAGGGGGCGGCGAGGGAGGATAGGGCGGAGGAGGCGGGTTTCGGGGTGGCGGGTTTGCGGGCGGGGGGTGCGCGTTTGGCGGGTTGTGAGGATGCGGATGAGGAGGAGGAGGAGTTGACTTTCTCGCAGCGGTTACGGCCTTGAATGGAGATGGAGCCGCCTACGCCGGCTTCGACGGCCTCGCGCCAGACTTTGCCTGCGTCGGACCACTTCTCCATGTTCTCGAGGGCTTCTGCCTTGCGCATGAGGGCTTTGCCGTAGAACTCGCGCATGTCCTTTTCGCCTTCGGTGCCCCCGAGCGCGATCCGCTCGCCTTCGCCTTTCGAGATGCCGATGATGGCGAGGGCGGCGTCGGCGTCGCTGATGGCGGCTTTGGGGTCGCCGACTTTGATGTTCGTGACGGCGCGGTTGCAGAGGACGATGATGGCGACGGGGTGGTCGCCTGGGAGTGGGCCGAGGGCGGATGTGTAGGCAGTGTGCGCTTCGGCATAATCGCCACGTTTGAAAGCCTCGGAACCCTTTTGTCGATACGAAGTCGATGAGTTGAGGGCTGATGAGGAGGCAGGGGGGACGCGTCGAGGTGGTGCCTTGGGTCGAGGGGCAATAGGAGGTGTGGCCGCTGGGCTTCTTGATTTCGGTGTTGACGATGCTGCTTTCATGAAAGGATTGTTCGACTGGGATGGCGTGGACTGTCGGGAAGAGGGCTGGGATGGAGCGGGTTGCTCTGTCGAAAACAGGTCCGGTTGCGGAGTGGCCTTCTTCCTCCTCGCAGGACTGACATAGGCTTGTGCAGTTGACTCCTCCACCTCCTGTCTAGTGAGTCGAGCAGCCGGTCGTTTGTCCACAGCAGGAGATGGTTGCCGGAAGGCAGGCGATCGGGAGGCCTGACGGTCTGGGAAAGGGTTTCGAGGGTCTTCCCTATGGCGTAGTGCTAATGGATCTTGATGATGTCGAGACTCACTCGGCCGTGATGGTTTCTGAGGGCGACCTCCACCTTCGAGCATCATAGCCTCGTCAGTGGCATCCTGAAGAGGCGTTTTACCAGCCCTGTTACCGCCGCTCGATTGACCTTGCGCTTCTCTCATCCATTTAGGAACGTTTGGATCTCCGTCTTGCTGGAAATCTGCGACCGCCTTTTGGACTTGCTTTCGGCCTGTCTTCCACAAGGAATTGGCTGATTTGAACAAGCTGTTACCAATATCCGAAGCATACTGTGCGACATCCTTCTCTTGGTTCGCAGATTGGCCTTCCTGCCTGCGGTGACTCGACCGGCTACGTGAATCCTCACCCCGCATCCACGCTGGCTGAGATCCACCAGTACTCGAATCTCTAGTACTTGATCGACCCGGTCCTTTTCGTGGGCGCTCGTCGAATTCATCCGGGCTGTGTCGTGGACGTTCCTCCCTGCGCCCCTGTTGGGTTTTCTGCTTAGCATCTGCATGTGCCTGATTCAACAGCCAGCTCACGGCAGCCTGTACGTCGAGCCCAGATTCGGTATTTGCCAAAGCAATGGCAGATTTGTCTGCCGGGAAACCCATGTCCACCAATTCAGCTACGGCCTTTGCCTGTGGGTTGTCCAGGTCCGGAGATGGCTCACGTGCTTGTCGTCGTGGAGGGTCCCTGGCGACTGGCTCTGGCTCTGGCTCTGGCTTTCGCTCGAATTCGGAAACGGGTTTTCCAAGCAGTCCCAATATATCATCATCGCCCTCTGCGGCCGAGGTAGCTTGTGGTGTGCTTGCGGAAACAGGCTTCTGCGACATCTGGTTCAATCCGAATATATCGTCATCGTCGAAGGCAGCACTCGTAGACGATTGCGGAACTGGCGTATGCCCTCTTGACGATTGCGCACCAGTAGCTGGTGTGCTCCGGCCACTACCAAACGCCCCAGAAGGCGGGGGGAAGTGGCTTGATTTGTCCACAGGAGCAGCCGAATTGAACGCTGACAAGATATCATCATTGACCGGCGAAGCTTGAACCGGGCGTTTGGCCGTAGTATCCAGTCCCGCAAAGGGCTTGTTGATAGTTTTGGACAGCGAAGAACCACCTGTCACATTGCTTGGAGGAGCTAGGATCCCCGATGCTGCTGGCTCCGGCGTGCTCTTCCCACTGCCCAAGTTGTCCCAGAACTTAGAATCGCTTCCTCCGAAATGCGAGTCATATTGTTTCCTCCGCTCCTCCTCTTGCCTTTGTTTCTCTTGCTGGAGCTGTTTCTGGCGTTCTTGGAGGGAGAGGTTCGCGTTGGCGGGTTTGTTTGATTTGCTCGTGATGAGGCTCGCGAAGCTATCGTTGGCAGGCGTTGTAGGTTTGGAAGAGGGTTTGAGAGCTCGATTGGGAGCTCCTGCTCCGGATTGCTGCGCTGAGAGAGAGAGGGGTGTAGACCGGCCGGAGAGCTGAGGTGTGGGGTTCTGGCGGAATGGTGGAAATGCTGGGGACGGGTTGGATGGTTGCTTGTTCGGCTGCGGAGCCGACCAGTCGAGGCCATTTAGGTCATCCATCGTTGCTGGGTGGTAATAATCGCTTCAGGGAAGGAAGAGAAATTATGTCATATCATTACAGCGGTCGTGATGGAGAGATGTAGCATGATGGTGTCGGAAGTGCCAGCATTCCGACCGCTATTCGCTTGCTTGAGGTTGCGGCTCAGGCCGCACGGATCATTGCCTAATCAGGTAAGTTCTCAGATGAGCTTTGAAGAAAGCTTTGTATCGCAATAGCAAATAGACAATGGTTGTTTCTTACTGATGAGTAAATTCAATCACGAGATATCTGAAGATTTTTGTTAATTGCTTTGTTCGTGGGTAAATCAGTGTGGTAGAATATGTGTGACTACCTAAGTAATAATCGACACTCGTACGTATGTTTATACCGTCCTTCCAAATATAACAAAAAAAGCTGAAGTCCGACATATCGTACAGTCTAGCTGAACTGGCATTTTTCAACACGTTGTTGGCTTTCATTCAGAGTAATCATTTGTATTAGCAGTGCATAATCCCAAGTGTTTCCCGTCATCTCAATTTTGAAGGAAACTACATAGGTACTAACCAGACCAAAAATCTACACAGTATCAATAGCCATAAATCCAACCCCACCCTCCAAAGTGTAGCAGCAAATGAAATGCATACCACAATCCAGAAAAAGCAAATTCGACGACTAGCCAAGTTGTGTCAAAGTGGCGCCTGTCCTCTGCATATCTGTCCAGCGCACGTTGCCCTTTGCAGTAGTTCAACGTACCCTAAACTCAAGCGGCCGTTGAGAGTAATAAACCTCAAACACTAACAACAGGGTCTAAGGTGTCCTAGAAAAATCTTGAGACATGATTTATACAAGACATTTATGCATGGCCGTTGACAAAGTGTGGGGTTTCGTGCTGTAGCCCCTCACCCCCGTACGTAAGTTGTTAGAAAGGTAGATGGTGAAACCCCATTCTAGATAGAATCTCGTTCTAGATAACAAGATGGCTAGAAACGAATCAAAGTTTTAAAAAGCACGGGCATGATATGAATACATTTCATGATTTCCTTGTTTAAAAGTGTGTTCAAGCTTACTGGGAGCCATTTGTCCATTCACGATATGTTATCTAGTGGTACCATCGTGACAATGTATAAGAAGTGCTTTGGAACAATGCGGTCCAACGAAAATAACTTCGTACTTATTTGGCGATAAAGACCCAATTAAAGAGCAGAGACAGATATCTCTCGTAAACAGCATTGATGTCATGATTGCGATTGTACTACAAAATAAGGATCGGACTTTTCCGGAGGCACGGAGATGGGAAGAAATTCCGTTTTGTTTGTTTTTGTTTCTTCCCCTGGGATTATCTGTCTGATTGACATGTGTTGGGATATTTTGAAGTTTTGCATGTGATGATTGATGTTGGGTACGTCACTATGGGAATTGTAGGTAGTCTGTCATTAACCAGGGTCGTCAGCGAGGGTGTACCTCCACTTGGAACGGAGGACGGCGAGCCGCGAGATATCCATCAACAGACAGGGGTAACAAATGTGATAACAATATGTAGCAGATTACGGCAAATTTGTAAAGTCCGGTGTGTTTTAGAAAGACGTAATAGTGTACAAGGGAGCATGCTGTGTAAGCAAGTCAAGCGAGGTGGTAGATAGAGAGCAGGTTATCTGATGGGTGGAATGGGGAAGCTGCACCGATGAAGGGCTAGGTTGTGGGATCATGATTCGCATCACATCACATATGCATTGCATTGCATTGCGCCTCATCTTGTTGAGGGCGTTACGTTGCTGCTTTTGCCGTCAATGAATTGAGAAGGCTTGCCGTGCTCGTGTCGAATGATTGAGCTCTGCACGACATATGCGCAGGCGGTATTGACACGACAGGGCAAGCTGCCCGAGGGGATGAAGAGAACAAGAGAGTACTCACTCCGTAGAATGTCTGCATGTGAATGGGATGGGCCGCAGGCGGGAGATTCAAGGGATGATATACTAGGGGCCCCGGGACGAGCGAGGCGTTTCGCGGAGGAGACATCGAACTGGGTAGAGTACGAGTTGGATGACTAGCGGAGGTGAACGAGAGGACGGAGGAAGTCTCCGATGGTCAATGATCATGATCCCGCGGCCATGGAGAGAGTGTCATCTTCCGACAGGTCCCTCGAGTGCTTGGATTCCCGGGAAGCGGAAGTTGGCTGAAGCTCTGCGTGGTTATGATGTTCTTTCTCTCTTCACAATATTAACACAATGCATAGTACCCAAAACGGTAATATGATGGCTGGATTTGGTGAGATTATCCTCTCCCTCGCGGAGGAGGGTGGGCCCTGGTATGGCATTATTGGATCAGAGTTGTTTGATTTGGATGGGCGTGCAACGGGCCGAAAAGCTATTGCATACCAGGATTGTGAAAGACTGATGGGAAGGAAATCGAGAAAAGGGACTGGTTTTGCGGAGAGAGTCATGTCATGGAGTGGGTGGTTAGTTTGATCATTAGCATGGCTGGCGGGAGGCGCTGGCGTAACATAGAGTTTGGTACTTATCCAAACCAAGACCGCGGGTTCAACAAGCGCATCCAGGTCGCATTTGAGCCGTGCAAAGATTGATAGAATGCGCCTACTTTACCCCAAGGAGACGACGTCGTGCTTCCGCGGTGTGGTGGTGTTCTAGAAGTTTTGCAGTGTCAAGGCGGCATCGTGTGTCCGAGTCAGGAGAGGAGAGAAGGCCGACATGAGGCTGCAAATGAGGCCTGGGGGGACGGGAGGAGCTCAATTGAGTAGCAAATGTGGTGAGGAGCGGGTTGAGGCAGTTGAGGTAGGCAGATACGCCTGGGTGGAAGTACGGAAGTGTGTGTGCATGTATCTATGAAGAAGTTAAGGCCTGTGGCTCGGAGTAGCACTGTGTGAGCGTGTGCTCGTGAGGTTCTTGGTATATGACGATAATTATAGCAGACCCTGCATCTGCATGAACAACCCAAAAAAGACAAACTCAACGTCCATTCATCGTTACAATGACTACCATCATCATCTCATGTTGTTTATTAAAATCACAACAACCACAACAATAACCACGGAAGAACGCAGAACACAGTCAACAATAGCCATAACCGATCGGTCGAATGTGCCGCGGGCGCTTCTCTACTCCTGGCGAGCCATTTCCGCGCGGCTTGACGCCATCCAATTACTCCGGCGATGATAGCGTGAAGAGGCACCGAAGCCCGAGCGAAGCAAGGTCACCCAACTTGTCAGTAAATAGTGATCCTTTGGAACAACAATACTCATGGGCCGGAGTTGAAGCGAGACGGAGGCGCATTGGAAGGTCGGTGGTTGCCCATCCATCGTATCTTTACTGTGTAACATAGCTAGCTTGCTCCGAGTCGAATGCGATGAAATGCGATAGTGAGCCCCCCCAAAAGGGCAATTGGATCGGTCCACACTCATATTCCAAGTACCTGTATACACGAAAATGATGCTATAGATAGACGTCTGGTAGGCAAAAAAGACTGGAAGGGTGTCTAATACTTGTGGCAATGTCGTTTGGAAGAATGCAAACCAGATACCCAGTAACTACCCAGGCATGGTGCCAACGAGACAACAGAAGAGAGCCTGGTCCGTCAGCCACGGGGGTTGTGCGATGCCAATAGGGTAAAGAGTACTCCGCAATTCTTCATTATTGTTGTTATTTATTGTTTTTATTGTTGTCACACACACAAACGCACATAGTTACCGTTAATTCCTGACTTTCAATTTGCAAACGACTAATTAGGTTGGTTGGGCACACGCTTCGGCATGCATTCCTACGTCCCGCGAGGTCAAAGCGTCTGCCTAACAGTCCATCCATACACTGACACAGTAACTAGTAACCACATACCATCACCTTTTCATCTCTATTCACTTCACACGACACACCACGTTACTGTCTTCACTACACACTACTGTGTACCTACGCTACACTCTGCACTACACCACACTATACTGCCCTGCACCAATTAAACAGACTACACCCAATTATTCATACTCGCACCATCTCCAGTCTCCCATCTCCATCACTCGGGTCACTTCCTCACTCACAGTATTCATCGCTACCGAACATCTTCTTCTCCCTTCCATCATCTTCATCTTCATCCTCATCTTCATATTTACCTCCATTCCATCATTTCCTCTCTTCTTCTCTTTCCCTTCACGAAGGGCCTGTTATTCGAAGACGGCACGGTACACTACACGTCCACGATCACCCCCGTATCAGCGCCAATCCTCCAATCCGGTCCGACCCACTACAAGCATACGTGCACGAACCCCCGAACGAACAAACGCATACGCCCTCTCCGGCCCATACTGCTCAGTGCTGCCTACCTACCTAGGTCCTATTGTGCCTACCGACAGCAAACAGCCAGCACAGTTACGGGCATCGGAACAAGACACAAACTCTCTCCTACACCTACCTACTCAGGCACAACCGTACATACACGCGGAAACATACAGGCCCCCTTGTGCTGCTTGCGGGTTCCATCAAGCGTCGCTCGCTGCCGAAGGCTCTCCCTCGTTCTTCCGTTCAGGGATCCTGGAGAATCCTTTTCCAACCCGTCCCAACTGCTGTTCCCTTGCCTATCAAGCAATCGTTCGACTTTCCACACTGGTTGTACTCCGTACACGCGAGTATATCGCTGTTCGTACCGTACCGTATTGTATACAGTGTAATTAGACCACCAGATACCGAGTATAGACTTGGCTCGAATTGGAATCTCGTACTACTGGTACCTACAGCTAGCTGGGTTGGCCAGGCTCTGCTCTCCTCTGGGCGCGCCACTTTACCAGAACCCACACCCACCACAGCTACTAAACCTTGACCAAAAACAAGAGCCAACCCAACGCTCGGATTGTTGCGCGCTCCCTTACCACGCTTCCTGGCTTCCTTTCCCCCCCACCCCTTCGACTTCCGCTTCCACTACTCGAACTACTGGCTCTCCTCTTGCTCGTCTCCCTCATCCCCACTAAGCCATCCGGGCCACTCCTGGTCCCTTTCCCGGTCCCCTCGGTCCCCTGTCCGCTCTCCTAGCTGGTCCCTCCATCAGGCCTACGCTTCGAGAGCTTCTACCTACAACCGTACTTACGCTGAACACCTACTGCTGCGATCGACGTTCTTTGTCCGCACACGCCCTCGTCCCGTGCTGGTCGATCCACACAACTCTTCTCCATCTTCGACTGTGTACAACTTACCTATACAGTACCTAATCGTACTACTTCTTGGTGCTACTGTAGTCTCGACTACTACTGCTACTTCAAACGACTGCGTTTGCTTCGACACGACAACCACCGCCTCCACACATAATCCAAATCTCCTCCGTGATTCGCGAGGCACTCTCGCTTCTTCTTCTCCTCCTCCCCTCTTTTGCTCTCCCCTCCCCTCCTTCAACCTTCACTCTTCTCTACCACCGCCACAATGCGTCTCTTCGCCCGCAAGACGTCGAAGCCCACCCATTCTCCTGGCGCCAGCCAGCCAAATGATTCCAATGGCTCTCTCAAATCCCCCGTACCAGGCTCTGCCAATGGCTCGAAGACGCCTACAATCAACATTCCTGACGTACCTCTCCCAAAAGCTCCCGACCCGTCGCTCGATCCTGCCGGTTACCTTCGTAGCATCTACGCTGTTCGTGAGCGATCAAGGCTCGTGCTCGAGAAGGCGAAAAAGAACCAGCTGAAGCATTTCACCGTGGACATGAGCAAGTTCCAGGACGCTGCAGGTTATGTGGTCTCTATCATCAAGGCAAGAATTTCCTCCCCTCAATCTGATGATTTCTCCTTTCAGATGCCATTCGCCAATGAAACTCACTTTTTTCTTCCTTGGCATACCATACTGACTTGAGGTGCAGCGCGATTACGCCCCCGATTATGCTTCAATACCTCCACATGGACGATGGCAACATTTCGAAGTCGGCGGCCGCCCGCGCGTCGAACAACTTATGCAATCCTGGCCCAAGACTGTCGACAACCAGGAACGTACCCGTCGCCTCATTGATCTTTTCCTAGTATCTGTGCTTCTCGACGCTGGAGCTGGAACAAAATGGCAGTATCGCAGCAAAGAGTCTGGCAGGTTCTATCGCAGAAGTGAAGGTCTCGCTGTGGCCAGTTTGGAAATGTTCAAGGCTGGCGCTTTCAGCAGCAATCCCAACGAACCTTGCCAGGTCGATAGTGCCGGTCTCAAGAAATTGGACGTTAAGGCTGTGGCACGTGGACTCCAAGTTACCGAACAAAACCCATTGGATGGTCTTGAGGGACGCGCTGGTCTGTTGCTTAAACTCGCCGACGCTTTGCAGAATCAGGAGGTATTTGGGCTGGAAGCGCGACCTGGAAACATGCTGGGTATGGGAGCTACCCCTCTGCGCTTGGACGATCATGAAAGCTAACTCTGCACAGACTACCTACTGTCGCATCCATCAACGCAGGCCTCATCAGTTCCCATCATCCCACTCCCCACTCTATGGAACGTGCTCATGGACAGTCTGGCACCAATCTGGCCCTCAACACGCACACAAATCGACGGTATCTCTATTGGCGACGCATGGCCGTGCTCAGTTATGCCGTCGCATCCTACCCATCCCTGGGAGAATATCGTGCCATTCCATAAGCTTACCCAATGGCTCACGTACTCACTCATGGTGCCAATGACCAAGCTTCTCAATGTTCATTTTGCCGGTGCCGATCTCCTAACCGGACTTCCCGAGTACCGCAACGGCGGTCTGCTCATCGACACCGGCTTGCTGACTCTGAAACCCGAGGATGCGAAGCGCGGATTGGCCCAATACCATCGCAATGCCCAGGTCAAGGGCCAACCCAGCGTGGAGGTCGTCCCAATGTTCACAGCCGACGACGATGTTATTGTCGAATGGCGCGCCGTCACGGTGGGATTCTTGGATGAACTTCTCGCCGAAGTCAACACGCTCCTCGGTCTTAGTGGACGAGACAAATTGAGCCTGGCCCAGATGCTCGAGGCCGGCAGCTGGAAGGTAATTGGCGCGCAGTCCCCCACATTCCCGAACAACATGCTAACTTGACCAATTCAGGGCGGCCGAGAGATTGCAGAGGTGTCGCGGCCCAACACCAAAGAACCGCCAATCATGATCTTGTCTGATGGAACCGTTTTCTAAGATACCCTGTCCTTCCAGTTTTGTTATTGCCTTCGGCCTTGCCATTGTTACTCTCATTCGACGATTCCACGTTACCACGCACGCACGGCCATGTGCCCCCGCCGCTTCTTATTTTCCGCGCGGCACGACGTTGTTTGGTAGCTTTTGCTTTTTTTCATGTTCATACTTCATGCCCCTCCAGCAGAGCCCCTTTTTCTCATCTGAGTATCGATAACCTTACCAACCTGTTTTGGCATTTAACAACGGCATTTATCTGTTTTGCGCCTAGTACGCGACCTTGGCACGGACCTGGACCGGCCCTATTATCTGTTTCCTAGTGTTTTCAATTCTCTACACAATTCATACACAACAGATGGCTTTCTGGAGGAATCGAAAGGGAAAAAAAATTAATTTACACTTCTTGGCTGATATTCACGAGTTGGATAATGCCTTTTTCTCTTGCCCGCAATACGAAAGGCCAATGTTATCGGATTGAAGAAGCCGTGCAAGACAACAACATTAATCAGGCTAGAAGAAATCGAGAGCGAACTCATCTAGCGTAGGCACCAAATGCATATTGAAATGTAACATGCGGCAGGCAGCAACGACCAAGACTGATGATCATTGTTGTTTTATGGCGTGACGCCCAGAACCTATACAGAAAACATTGAATAGGACAATGCTGGTTGACACATTGAGAACTTATCACATGAGCGTAGAGCAATTGCAATCGCATATGAGCCTTTAACTCATCTCATCTATGGCCTGGTCAGTGGTGTGGCTGGCCGTTGACTGTGTAACATGCAATACAAACCTACTCGGTCATACTGCCAGACTGTAGGATGCTCGATCAGGGGCACGGCGGAACGCGGGAGGCTTTCCGTTGCCCGACTTGGCGAACAAGTTCATTGATGATCGGGTTCGGCAGGGAGAAGAGGACATCATTCCTCTACAGTAGAATGTAACCTGTATGCTAATAGCATAACTTACTCCATGTAGAGCGAGAGATGGGACCATGCTCCACTACAAATTTTGCCGGCCCACTACTGGAACACGGAACAATGGCATTCAGTGGGGATGTCTTATAGTACGATTGTACGAGTGTGTGCTTGCATAATGTTCATACATACGATGCAAATATGTGAATATGTAGACATGAAGCTATGCACGCACACGTACCGTGACATCTCTTGCAGACATCGGCTTTACGCGCTCCAAATACAGGATGCACATGATGTTAATTGTAATGAAGAACAACAGTTCAACAAGCCACCGTTGATTGGTCAATCCCCACGATTGCCAAATTTCGGCATTGTGATACCCCGTTCCGAGGATGCAGAGTCAATCTAGCCACACATGGTTAGATCCGAGACCTCCAACGTCACTCCTTGGCTGCTTTGGAGATAAGCTATGTTACTACAAAGTAAACTTCACGATACTATCAATTGTTGATCCTTCACGTCGGGATTTCTGCCTAGTGATTGAACTTGGGCTTCGCTTTACGTATCTTTCAATTGATCTACGCCTTGAAGCCCTAACGTTCGCGCCGCCACCATGAACACGACCAAGCGACAGAAGCAGCGCAAGGTGCTGTTGATGGGAAAGTCAGGCGCGGGGAAATCGTCCATGCGGTCCATCGTCTTCAGCAACTACGTCGCAAAGGATGTGCGAAGGTTAGGCGCCACTATAGATGTCGAACATAGCAATATCAAGTTCATGGGCAACCTGATGCTCAATCTTTGGGATTGCGGAGGACAAGACGGCTTTGTCGAGAACTACCTCACACACCAGCGAACCCATGTCTTTGGCTCCGTCGCCGTCCTCATCTTCGTCTTCGATATCGAGTCCCGTGAATTCCAAGCCGACGTTGTCTCCTACTCCAACATCATCCGCGCTCTATCCGAATCTTCTCCCTCCGCCAAAGTCTTCTGCCTGATCCACAAGATGGATCTCGTCCAATCTCGTCTACGAGTTCAACTCTTTGAAGAGCGTGCCGAATACATACGTCAGGCTTCAGAAGGCTTCAAGGACGAAGTCGAGTTCTTCCCAACCTCCATCTGGGACCAGAGTCTCTACAAGGCGTGGACGCAAATCATATACTATCTCATCCCGAACGCGGGCACAATCGAGTCGCTGCTACAACAGCTCGCAGAGGTTATCGACGCTAGGGAACTCATTCTATACGAGAGGACGACTTGTCTAATGGTCACACATGTAACGCGGGGAATGGAGAGTCAGAATCCTTTCATCGACCGCTTCGAGCGCATATCGAGCATTCTTAAGACGCACAAACAATCAATGGCGTAAGTAGCCCTTCTACCTGAATTTCTGCCTGCCACGCAGCCGCCCACCACCATCCCACCCCATCCTCCAAATCTCCAAAAACCCCCAATCCTTAACACAACTTCTTCTTCAGAAAACACACCAACCTCCCCCCGAACATCGCAAACTTCGCCGAGATGCAGATCAAAACCGGCCGCTTCATGTTCTTCATCACGCGCCTGACCGAGAACACCAACCTCGCCGCCTCGATCCCCCCCTCCGAACAAGTCTTCAACGCCGCGAGAGTCAACATCATGCTCGTCCGCCCGCGCTTCGCGGAGCTCGACATTGCGAGCAAGCCCCGCCTGGGTATGCAGCAGGCCTTTGCGCACGGCGCCGAGGGTGGCGAGAGGGAGAGGAAGGATGGGGAGCCGGCGTATTGAGGTGTGAGGGACTGTTCATGTGACTTGATATAAGGATATGTCTGTCACAGGCACGAGTAGAGCGGAGCGGCGCGAGGAGGGAATACCGGACTTCTTGGAGTAAATTATGATACCCATATATACATATGTAAAACCAATGCCAATACACGTACAAGTACAAATGACTGGCAGATTTCAATTTGAACAACCTAAACGATTTCTTTCACATGGCTGACGATGAGCAGAGGGACAGTTACTTGATATTACTTGTATGTCTTGTCTTACACTTATCTCACTGTTCACTTCCCTTATAAAATTAGTCAAATTAGGGGCATATCTTTCTTTTCCTTCCTTACACCTGTCACACAAAAGAACCTAACACTTGTAGATAATACCAAAGTACCTAGCAACCCCAAAAGAACCTGAACTCGGAGCATAATGACCCAGGGTTGAAATTGCCTTCGGACTATTAGAAGAAGAGGAAAGATAAAGGATAGTAAACTTCCTCAAAAAAAAGATTTCAGGTCTGGGAAGATGATAGATTTGAGAGGCATTATCGGTAGACATACGCCCACACCAACGTACATACGCAACGCAACGCAATACGCAACACAAAGTCGCCACCCGCGCGCCTATTCCCCTCCCCGCCAAACACAGCATCCGGACAGGAAGTACAGCCCACGTGGGAGGGAAACGTCGCCACTGTCACAGCACGACTTTGCAGGCTTATCCATGTCACGTCAAACGAAGGTAACACACGTAGCACGTTCGTTGGGTCGATTGGATCTGAGGAGCAACGGGGCGGATCGGATCGGCATCTTGACGACACGGTAAGGACAAGACAAGGAAGGACGATGAAGGAACAGGTGAGATGAACGACGGTTCGTTCGTGAGCGAGTGAGTGAGGGAGTTGGACTTGGTGATTGGTTGTACAGTCTTATCGGTGTTATCGTTCCGATGGGTTGGTGTCCGGAAAGGGCGTTTTCTTATACGGGGTTAGTGGAACGGGAATGGTTCAGGCGTGCTTTTGGCGGGGTGAGGCGAGGTAACGCGTGCTGGAGAAGGCTGAGGTTAGGTTTTTGGAGATTGTGAGTGTGGGGTGAGCGAGGAAAAGGTATGTGATGTTATCGATGAGATCAATTGGGGGGATTGATTAGAACTCGATAGAAACCTAGATACATTAAAGTCAGCTAGGATGCATGCATTTCTGAACATCGTACCACATCGAAGAAACAAGACCGCATTCTGGGGTGGAAAAAAAAAGAATTCCAAAAAGCCGTTTTAATCCATACTTTAAGTGTATTAAAGGCATGCTCCCTTTCATTTCGTTCCATTTCGCTTCGACTTCTGCTTCTACTTCCATTTTCTACTTCCACTCCCGTTCTTGGACAGTTCGAACCCGACAATTCCAAAGCGTGAAACACTGCATGTGCACGTGGAACACTGCAAGTTCATGCAGAGCACAGATGCAACATTCTCCCCCGCCCAGTAAAAAGTGGGGTCTGCCGTTTGTGTGTAAGTCTGTGGAGAAGGCTTGTGCGTTTGTGTCGATTTGCTTGAATGGTCGAGTAGTTTGTACAACGGCGGTAGCGACGTCGTCCGGATTCGGCTCGGCTCGCTGCGCTGGATCGTCTGTAAATGCTACTCGTTATGACTTGCAGCCCTTCACATTAATCATCGGTAATGGTGCAATTTGTCATTGCGATGCTAAGCATTTGAGCGAGAAGGCGAATGGATTGAAAAGGAACTAACTGGTTGAGTCACTCGCCTGCTATATGCATAGATGGCAACACTCGTTCAATGCATCCAAATCTGAATATGGTACAAGACGGCGAAGATACTCATAAGTGTCCAGTGCAGCTCAATCAATGAAAGCAGGGCTAAATTCGTGACACCAACACAAGGGCGAAGAAAGATAATAAAATGAACAATTGAAACGGACGAAGAAATTTGACCCAACACAAGCATGTCCGAAATCGTTTACCGTGTGTCGTACTGCACCAGGCTAATAACAGTGCATCAGGAATGGCTACCTGAGTGCCCATGGATTGTCAATGCACCCTGTTCCATTGTTCTAGCTCTTGAAATGTTGGCGGAGACTAGATCAGGCAACATTAAGAAGGAAATCGTACTAATACAAGTGCATAATGATACAGAAGGGGCCGCCGGATAAAATAAAGGGAAAACCTATTGTTCGCTTTTGTAATGAAATTTCGAGGAAACATGAAACACAGATTATTTTGCAAGTTATGTGACCAGCCATTGGATATTCCTACTCGAGACCAGAAATCCTTGGTACCAGGAATATAGTTAAACGCTTACATGGGGCGAAGAATGAGGCCCGGAAATGATACTGATAGAAGAAGTATGAAGTGACCGGTAGCAGTACCAAATAAGGCGACATGCTATGCTATAGGTGGCATAGCATTGTTGATAATTGGGACCCAACAGAGGCAGGGTTCTTTTTACTTGGAATGTCGACCCATCAGATGAATTTAGCTGGTCTCGAGTCATCGCGACTGTGAAAGAAAAGCCATATTTGAAATATCGAAGCGAGTAGAGACGGATTAGATCAGGCCGAACCGGATGAACGAAAAGACCTTCAATGCAACGTGTAGCCACAGCAAGTCCATGTACCGTCGCCACCGATCCAGTAAGGTGATTCCATGTTTGGTCTCGTAACACCGGGTAATCAAATGGGTGATTAGTGTCCGGTCAACCCTCCAACTACTTCAAAAAGAGCTGGATCGCGAGCCTTGTACATAACGTCATCATTGCCAAAAGCTGTTTCAAGACTGTCCTTTACTCTCCAGTATTGTCCGAAACTGCCGTTTCTGATGCCCTGTTCTTCTGTAGACGCAATTTCAATCAAATGTTGAAGACGTTTAGTAATAGCCTTTTGCTGCGCACGGGCCGAAGCCCAGAAGTTTGCTAGTTCTTCAATGCATGAGAGAGTTGTATCTACGGTCTCGATGAGACCGTTTAAGGTTGAGACCGTGCCAGCCGCACTAAGCACGTCGACGGAAAGCATCAATGCATAACCTGGGAAGGGAGTGGAAAACAAGAACTCAGAGCTTGAGTTGGGCGGAAGTCGTTGACGGCGATTTACTGGAGCCAAGGAATGCATGATCGATAGAAAATGAGATGCGTTCCGAAAAGACTGGTCAATGTTTCGACTGACCTGGTCCGTTGATAGAGCCCATAGACGGACATGGCGATTGAGTCGGATGATGGTAGTGTGGTAAAGCGCGTGTAGAGAAATGAATGTTCCAGCATAGCCTTCCACGATACTGCTGTCGAGATTTTGCGCGGAGTAACGAAGGTTCGCCGGTAAGATGCCCTGCCACGTCTCCAGCCTCTCGTATGTCGTCGAATAAAAAGATTCGTAAAGCCGTTCATAACCATTATCCGGCCGACGCACTGCACGACTAGTAAATGTCAACACGTCCCCCCAGATTGCTGAGATAAGAGTGAGGTACGCCATATCCCCAAGAGGTGGACCAGGAGGAGCTTGGCGACTCAAAAGCTCAAAGTCGAAGAACGGTGTATCACAAGGATTGGAGGCTTCATAAAGGGTCTCGAGGCACGGAAGCCGAAGGAAAGTATCCTCGATGTTGATAACACAGAGTGTGCCGCCACAAAAGCCGTTGTAGCGCTGTTGGTGCATTAGGTCAAGGGTGGTGGTCGCCGTAAACGCGGTGGAACTTACATCCATCAAGAACCCGGACCAGAAGGTGCGACGGCAACACTCTTCCAAAGTACGGCGGTCGAATCCGTAGTCCAGTTCAGGGGACAAATCCGGTACTTCTTGGATCCCTTCTTCGGTGTTGAGTTTTAAAGCACTGATAGCACGCAAGCCAGCACCACAGAAATCCCATGCTTCCTGAGACTTTCCCCGGGCAAAATTATAGAGCGCAAGCATCAATCTACTCTGGCAAAGTTGCAAGGTGAACTTCCCAAATCGTTTTTCGGTCCCATAAGCAGCAATAGCTGCGAAGCGTTTGCCAAGGGTTCGTTTGTCGAGGTCATTCGAGAAGATGGAACCCATGGCAAGTACGGAGTACAGCAGCATCAGGTGGTCCTGGGTTTTCTCGCGGTTAGTCTCGACCCATGTCGAGAATGGTTTCCTAGGGAACATTCCATATGTTGCGCGTCCCGCATGGAGAAAGTAGAGATCCAGAAGGTGCATTGTCAAACGGGCATCTGTTTCATATGGATCCTGTTCCCATTGGACAGCTAGATGATCCTGGTGTGAACCACGTCTGGGGTCGTCTGGATCCATGGCATTCATGGAGCCGCTCCAATCCGAATCAACGGAGTGCACCGACATATCTCTTGAGGTAGCGACCGAAGTAGGGCGAAAGTTTCGATGCTTGAACGGAGAACCAGCGTTCCAAGCTTCGACAGTTCTGGAAGGATCACGGTGCTCTTCTAGAGCTTTTGGTTTGTCGGGGCCGGCCACAGGACTGACTAGTTCTGTCGATGGGTTCTTAAATAGTGCCGATGACGATGACGGTGATGTTTCTCCCGAAGCATTGCTCATGCCAGCCTGATTGAGGCCACTATCATCAAGTTAGTATTTGTCATGTGAAGAGTGCACTCCGCATTGTCAGCGATTTCAAATCAGAATAAGTCAATGCATATAAGACCATTGTAGCGAAGAGTGAGAGGTCGACAGGTATAGCACAAAATCTACTCACCCTCTACAAGCTCTCTGTGATTTGGCGCATTGATGACACTTTGGGTAACCCGGCTCGCACTTGATCTTCTTTTCTCTACACGTCAGGCACGCCTGAGCGAGCCTCTTCCGTGGTTTCCCTGCCTTTGTAATGCCCCAGGATGGATTGACCGGTTCCCCATCTATAACAGCGCGACAATATGAGCCATCCTCGTATATGTAACAGCGGCCCTCGCCAGGTACCTCTCGTTGCCCTACACAACGTGACGATCGTATAGGAGCACGAGAGGACACATCGGTTCGTCGCCTGACTGGTCTGATCATGTCCATTGGATCGTCATGTTGTGGCTGCCCTGCGAAACCGCCTATCGGGTTAGATAATGCGCTCATTGTCGACACTGTTGATGGTTTTTGATGAATCTTACCGGCAGGATCCATGTGCGTTGCTCTTGCAATGCTTGCATGGCGCGGGAATTCCGATTGATATGAGTGAGGTGTGGACGATTGTGCCGGATATGATAGAGATTGGCTTTCTCCAAGAAGGTTGGTGGGGCCGTAGCGGTTCACTTGTGGTATTCGCGATGTAATAGCATTGTTCTCTACTTTTTCAGGGCTGTAACCGTCGAAATCATGCCGCCTTTTCAGGGTTGGGCTATTAGAACCGTACCGCTCCGAGGTACCCTGAGCTAGAAAGGCAGCGCCACCTGATCGTGATGGAAGATCATGGAACTTATTATCCAACAGCTCTGGTTCCAGAAGAGTTCGAAGGCTTGGTAGCTGCTGTGCATTGTTGGGTGATGGGTCAGTATCCCGGGGTCGATGATGTTGGGTCGGAGGTATGATCTCAGGCCGTGGTGGAGCGGCGTCTGGCTTCTGGTACGGACTGTAAGTAGCGAACGGCTGAGAAGGAGCCGGCCGTGAAGGAAGATTGGGCTGGCGGTTCATGTCGAGGGCGAGCATAGCAGCGGGAGGAGGAGACGGTCGATGTTCGGCACCCGAGGTGGGATGGCTTCCACGATACATTGGTCGACAAACCACATGGGGGAGGTATAAGGGACAGACACAAGATATAAACTAGGACACTCTAGAAATTCAGGCACGGCACCAGCCCTGACACTGATGCAAGTACGGCATCAGCTTGTAGTTCTAAGTATCGGGCACATGGAAACAAGCGTAGTGGTAGGTTGAAGAAATCGGCCAGTGGACTGCAGAAGCACGATTGCGTGCGTCTGCGTATTGGAATGGAATACCCGCTGTGAGGTCTTGCAGAAAGGCAAGGTTCTGAAGAAGAGCCAACGGAACCCAGAGTCCGTGCAGGGCTGACGTCTGACAGTTTGCAAGTTGCAAGTTGTCCACACTTTCGGCTGCTCTTGGATCACAGCCGAAGCGAGAAACCATGTACAAGTAGAGTAGGTAGGAAAAAAAATGTAGGGGCTAGCGTGGAGGGAAACACGGGAGAGTGAACTTACACGGATAGAGGGGTGAGAGGCTGTGATGTGCGGCGCAGACAGCTCTCCGGGCAGGGAGAGAACGCTAGGCCTGCATGGGAGGAATTCCCTACGGCGAGGAATAATAGCAATAAATATGATAATAGCTTCCAGGGAGTTGAAATCACAGAAGGAGGAAGGCGTGGTTGGGAATCCGTGCTGCGGCAGAGACAACAGTAGACCAGGGCCGGGGAGTGAATGCTTTCAGAACATTCGGCGAGAACCTACAGTAGCCTTCTGTGCCTTTTTCCAGTAGTGATCCCAGCAAGAATAAGTTCGACTGGCAGACTGGCAGCAGACTGGCACAGGCACCGCCAGGAACATGGCCATGGAGCTTTTATTGTTTGAGAGCCGAGCGAGCGCAGCCGGGACGGTTAGTACCATGTAGCTTTTGACTAGGGTTTATAGTCCAATCTGGTCGGTGTGGAAGTTTAACAAGATTCGGCAGGACTGATCCCAACGCAACAGAGCGTGGGTGAGGATGCCGAGTGCATGTAGTGTGTTTGGTCTACTGCGGGAGATGCATCGCTGTTGCATAGAACAGGGAGCAGGACGCAATAATACGGACTTGCAGGGCGCGTGGGTGGTTGGGATGCTTTTGCTTGTGAGCCTGCAACTTGCGACTAGAGCATCAGATCTCGCGAGCAGCCAACAACAGCGAGTGGAAGTTGGCCAACCGTGACTCTCCCACTGCTGACTGGTGGTGCCGATCATGCATAGGAGGGAGAGACGAGGAACTTGCAGCGAACATGTCCATGTAATTGCGGCAAAATCCCGTCGAGAGAATTGATCCAGCATTTCTCCAGACCGGGCGTCGGGTACTCCAGCAGCAAGGCCAATAAGCTTCACATAGATTGAGTTTCAAAGTACGCCGATGCACTTCGCAGACTGCAGTGTGGCCTGTCCACTCAGCCATCGCTCCCATCGGCCCTCTGCTCCTCTTCCCCCCTCCAACGATCATGCCGAGCATCGACCACTTCGCGTCTTGCTCCGCTGTGCCAGATGGGATTGGAGGGGAAGACATCCAATGTGGTCAGCGCCGCTGGCCAGCAACAAGCGGCCGATGCGAGCCAGTGCCAAAAGACACCAACGTCCCGCGGCATCGATGCGATCCTCCGCTAGTCGTTCTCTCTGGCGCCTCGATAGCCTCATCGCCTCGTATGAACGCCTCGCTCCAAAGCTCCACCAGCAGCCGGGTCTGGCCACCGGTACGGCTATTGTATGAGTATGGAAGCAGATGCGAAAGTGCCACGGCCGTTGCCGATATTCACTGCACAGGCTACCAAATCAATTGTACCTACGAGGTGTGTAGCAGCGAGCCGTGCAGGTGGATCATGGCCAACTGCAACAGCCAAAATCGATAAAGAAGGGTGGGAGGTCCCTGCTAAAGCAGCGAGAAAATCGGCCGGGAGCGAGGCCTAACAACAGCCGTTGAGCGGAGCGCGAACCCTCCCCCAGGGCTTACCCTTCACCCGCGGTCCCCCTGCCGGCCTCTAGTGTCTTGCGTGCATATAACCCATGCAGCCCTTCTTGGCCTGCGCCAAAGGACACCAGGCCTTTCTCTCGGTTTTCCAGACATGCAGCTTCCACCCTTCAATGCACATGCCTAACCATAATAGCCCTGCTAAGGGTCTCTCCAGAGGTACCGTCACCATCTCATCACCGCATCTGTGTGTGCGTGTGTACAAGGCATCGCCTCGGGCCCCCTGTTGGCTATATCTGACGTCTGATATCATGTATCGTGCTTGATGCTGGACGCCGAGTATGTGCATACATGTACAATGACTACGCGATCGTCCAAGGTACTGAATCGACATTCGCCAGGTCCTCGTGTGCGGTAGTCAGGGTCAGCTGCAAATTCGCTGCAGGCTTCGCCTATAATGCCGTCGGCGCCGAGTACTGAAAATTGAAGGGGCAAACGGCCATTCCTGAGTCTGCACAAAGTTTAGTGATGCGCTGCGGGCTCTGAATACCATACAGGCATGGATGCAATCTGTCTGTATGAACCAAGGACCATGAGGCACGATGAGATCAATGGGCTACGTCCGAGCGAGTCCGATTATGCTCAAGCATGCGGGTGACATCGCACAACATGTAAGATAGCATCATAACAGAGATCGAGCAGCCCATAGACTGGAGTATCACCATCAGAGGAAGTGGACTGTGTAGGTAGTTATACGCACGGGAACGGGGAGTGCGAAGCGCACTGACTCTGGAGAAAGCAGATTAGTCATTACTTAGTCATCCAGATCTACGACCTTCACTTGCGCCGGAGCGCAAAACAACAACTTTTCGCAAACCACCAACGACACACTGTTGGCTCCTCTTTCACATCACTACGTTGGTTGCATAAACCCAGACAGTTCTAACACGTGCATTCTAGAGAACATATATCGTCATGAACTCCGCGCCTGCCGCCTCTGAGCAGGCGCGCCGCAACTCCCAAACTGAGGCCGAGGATCAGGATGGTGGTCCCGGTGCGCGCACCCCCGAGTACAAGAAGTACAAGCGCAACTTTGACAAGCCGCCTACGCCCACCAGACAATCATATCTCCCGTACGACGATGAGGAGCCCCCCTTGCCCGACGAGGCACCTCCTTCTCATCCCGCCAATGCGCCGCCTGGAGATGATGGCTGGGAGTGGCGCTATGACAACTATAGCCAGCGATCGTACTTCTATAATCGCTTCACTCAAGTCAGCCAGTGGCAAAACCCTCGTGAGCCGGATGCTCATGCATATGTGAACGGATCGTATGACAGGTTTGCTTTCAACTTACAATTCTCATTTGCCTACGTAACCTAATAATTTTCATGCCTAGATATGCTGCAAATGTCGCCCCTGGTACTTCCAACACTGCTGGCGCCCCAGGAGCAGCTCCTGGAACCGTTGTAACTACTGGTGCACCTGGCACTTCGGGTCCGCCCAAGCGTCGTCCGGCTGGGGGCTATAACCCGGCCATACATGGTAATTATGATCCGAATGCGGATTACGCGATTGAGGCGCGCAGACAGGAGGAAGAAGATGAGGCGGCTGCTGAGGCTGCTGCTGCGGTTGCTGCAGGCCTTCCACATCCAACTCAGGACTATTCAACAACAGCCCATTTCAATCGCTTCACCGGACGCTACCAAGCTTCGGGAATCAACCCGAACAACCACAGCGACGAAGCCAAGTCTCAAAGGCAAATGAATGCCTTCTTTGATGTCGACGCCGCTGCCAACTCCCACGATGGACGCAGCCTGAAAGCCGAGCGCCGGGCCAAACAACTCACCAAGAAGGAACTCCAGGCGTTCAAAGATAAACGACGAGAGAAAAAGGAGGAGAAACGTCGTGCCTGGCTGAGGGACTGAATTTCCCGTGGTAAGCAACATGAAAGGACAATTGTACACGAAGTTATGATCACTAATATATTCTTCAGAAAATAGGAATTGCAACAGCAATACACCACAAGATCAGGTTTGAATAATCATTGGAAGAGTAATCCCCCTTAGGGGGGTAACCCAATTGTACACTAGATACCCCGCCATTGCTCGGCTCTTCAGAAGGCGACCAGCCCAGAGCTTTCTATGTAATATTTAGAAGAAGCAAGATCACCACCGTCCCGTCACGGTTCCCACGGCGACCGGGCTACATGCGCGGCGCATACTCTGTGCCACGTGGTTATGGCCATCGCCGCTCGGGGGTGTTCAATCTTGCCTCCTGACGCATCGGACAACCTCAGGTCCTTTGTCCATGTCAGCAATATAAGTTTAATATCCTGCATGCTTTCTCCTATTCATCCCCCTTGTGCTTTCCCGTCGACGGTGCTCATGCCTTCCATTTGTCTTCTAGCATCCTCGACGTCGGCTACAGTTCCATGGCCTTCCGCATTCATTCCGTTGTCGCTGTTTTCGCTGGTGTTCTCGCCCGTTTGTCCGATACCATTCTCCAGTTCTTCGACCGTCTCCAAAAGCCAGTCCACGACGTCCTTCTTGTCATTGATTTCCGCCTCGAAGACTGCGTCATGGCCTGCCTTGTTGATGATGGTCACGTCGGCACCAGCCTGCACCAATTGTTTCACGCACTCCAAGTGACCGTTTAGTGCTGCCCAGTGAAGTGCCGTGTTTCCCGCGTCATTGACTGTGTTGATAAGTTCAAGGTTGGTTGCAGTGGCGTTGTCGAGCTTATAGGATAACAGAAGCTTGATGATGTCTACCGCTCAAAGTTAGCATCTCTCCAGTCTGGAAATATACTGCCTGGCTGCATCTGAAGGTCTACCGGATGTAGTTTTCCATGCTGTTGATACAGTCTGGCATAGACGTAACAAACCATCAAACGCTTCTATCTTCCTGGTGGATGGAAATTAATCGACTTACCAATATGTCCATTCCCAGCAGCATAATGGAGAGCACTATTCTTAGAGTGGGGATCAATTGCAGCAGTTACAAGGTCTGCTTTCGAGAACTTCCTCTCAGCGGACAATTCCGTGAGAAAACTTTCCAATTCGGACGACTCATTTGCGCGAGCCAGGTATAGGATCTCGTCGATTGGATCCTCTTCCAGCTTGATTGTAGGCATGGTGTCGTGCGATCGGAACGAGGCTGACCGTAGGCGATGTACTGTTTCGAGCAGTTCTCAATCGTTGTATCTGATCTCGGGATAAATTTTTTGGTGGGGGAGGGGAAATTTCCAATTGACGTCTGCAGATGTTCTAGCGGCTTGGCACGTTAGACCTCACTGTTAGACTTACACCCACGCATAAGGTGCTTGATGTTCCATAATGCTACTCGTAGGACTTCTCCCATCATACGTATCGATATACCAGCATTCTGTCTACAATTTAGACAAAGTACAATATTCGGATCCAGAAATTGGATATGTTCCTTATCGTCAACCCATGCTCAGTCTGTCACATACCCTGGCTCTTCCAGCACGCACAGTCCAGCCCTCAATACACCGCAATTTAGCTCGGCGCTTGCACATACAAGACATCTGCAGCGATGTATGAAATCCGACGTTCATTTCATGCTGAGGACTTGGTGTATTGATAATCATCTGATCCTTCTTGTCGTGCATATCTCAACCGACTGATCCATACGTCATCACTTAATTTACATCGACCCTGAAGCACTTAAAAAACCGGCCGAGGCGGTTGCTATAGAACGCGTGGCGCCCATATCGTAATGGATCGAACACTTCCCACTCAGGCAAAAGGCCTCAAGTGAAACATATCCCATGGAATCAGTTGTGATATCAATGCATCCAAAATTCGCTTCGTTAACGGTGACCACTGCCTCATAAGATCTAACACACATGGAGGCCGCCAGAATGTCCCGGCCCATGGACTCGGGTGCTCGCCAGAGGATCTCCGATCTTGGTATGCGTTCTGAAGGTGCATCTGGTCGCGTCGTTCTAGGCTCTTCTCATCAGCTGGTCCTTGTTAGAACCCGTAGTCACCTTCGCTCCCAACTATGTATGCTCAGGCTAGGCTTAGGCACTATCGCAGAAAGTGCGTTACGTTTTGGCAGTAGATTAATCATACCAACAATTGCAATCCCGGATTCTAGACGCGGATAAGATCTTCGAGAAGGTCCACTACCCAGATGGCGCCAAATGAACCAATACCGGATCGTAGCCGAACCACAGGGAAATTCTATATAATACTGCACCTTTGGCATGATCTTTAATCAAACGGTGAGGGTCCTGCAGGTACACAGTGAAACCCGAGCAACACCACATGGCATATGCTGATATCCATACAATTCGGCGAGTTAGTTAACCTGGTGTAACATCGACATCTAGATCCATTCGTCTGTGCAGGATCTGTGTAAGGTCGGCTCGTGCAATTTAGAGAGGTCCCTCCCTGTGTCCGGTTCTGGTACTACTCATATTTGCTGCACACCGTCTTACGAACGAACCCCGCTATTATATGCTATTCTTGCCTAGAAGCGGTCATACTCGAGAAGCCACTGATACCACTCTGTCAAGAAGGCCAATGCCATTAATCATTCTATATATCCGATGCTGCAGTCACTATGGGAGAACGCCCCATCGCACGTGGCAGCTCATCTATCTTTTCTCGGCTTATCGCAAACCACTGTCCGGAACGCATCGCCCGCGAACAGTTGCCTCTTAAGTTTGGTACAAACGAAACATCCATTCGCCGGATATAGGCATGCGTGGTGTTCCACACAGAGCCAAGGCTTTCGAGAATCATAACGCACAATCCATGTACCTTAAAGGTTGCACGACACTTCGCAATAGGCTCACAATGCTAGACAGGATATCTTCAAAGGTGTCCTCTGGTAATAGTATATGCTCATATTGATATAACAGGTCCAGCTGGACTTCGGGACTTATTGATAAGCATCCTTATGTTTCACTCAACAATATCCTCCTGGACTGATCGGAGCCCGGCTCGAACGATATCACGTCCGCTCTATACAAATACATCGCACAACACATGGCCACAGCCTATCGCCACACCGCATGCCCGAGAAGCGACCCCCGTCCGCGTTGGTCGCACAGATGAACATACAAAAGCTACCAATCAATCCAAGGGAATCCCGGTGAACTTCGGCGAGCTGAAATCTCAATTTTGCAGAGATCACTCAGCGCAATCAATCAGTTTGATTATGCCATTGTCTGCCAATACCTGGGAACTTGGGTTCGGAGTGTTACGCCATGTCTGCCTTCAGGCCGACCAACCGTCTTGTCCGTATGGTTCGACAGTGAGGAGACTACGAGGTCTATCAAAAATTGCGACGACATCACATCGTGGGGTGGAAAGATTTATAGACCCCCATGCATGTATGTGAATATTACATTTTGAGCTCAATGAAAGTAATCAGAGATAGGTAGGGGTAACCTTCCATACATTGTCTACCTAAGGTATGCAGGTGTATTGTGGGTGCGTCCAATGTGGATATGCCTGTCATCAAACTTATTTCAGTCGCAACAGGTAACGCCTCGATTCTTGGAAGTCAGCAAAGACGTCGAAGCGCTGTTATGTTGTGAATCGACACTTGGTTAAGGAGAAAGAGCACAATGCCACCGCAGGTTCTCGGTCATCGTCCTCTGTTCAGTTCCATGCATAATAACATGAGTACATTTGCGAGGGTTTAATCTTCAAATGAGACAGGCTTCATTTAGCAATACAAGTGCTGTAGCCTGATGCTTCGGGTCCGATTGGTCACTGTGGCGTTGACTGCGCGCTGCAAATAAGCAGCCTTGTACGTACTTGTAAATTCCCTCAAGTCCGCACTCATCATCATTGCAACAACGTCTACCAGAATAGAGATCACTTGGCATATCAACGATCCTTTGAGTAAAGATGTATGCCTATTTCGTACGTTTTATTGCATAATTAGAAGGATAGACGGAGTGTATAGTACAGCTTTTCTGGTGCGAGTCCACATCATTGCTGCTGTACCTAGTGCAAATCACACAACTGGTTTCGAAACTGTCAGCGCATTTCTCCAACGTCCATACCCCCTATGATGTCTCTCTCGACAATCAACCGATTCCAGTGACTAAGATGCAAGTGAGAAGGGTTGAAGAGAATATCTAGGCAGTGGCAAATCAATTGAAAGGCATTTTTGTGTCGCAGCGAAGGGTAGCGGTCAGGTCAGCGTGCTCGTCAACCGTGCTGGTAAGGTTCAACCTGACTCTTCTATGTAAATCTTCCACACAATCGTTCTTCATGCTGATCTTGTCTGCTAGGCGCCTCTTTCGACGACAACTCTGCCATGAGGAAAGTCTCCCTCCGGGAATAATTAAACAAAGATTACAACATCAAATCGTAGGTACCAACACCCCAACCGTATTTCACCGTCTAAAATCTACAGGTATGCATCTCACCTTCGTGGCCGGACTTTCGTAAGCGATCGAAGCTGCCGAACCGTTAGTCACAATCCTCCCAAATCCCACCTGTTCGTCCAGGATTCGCCATTGAGGCATCCAGGTACAGGAATAGTAAGATAGCACTGAGTACATTGCTATTGAATGTAACTATAAAGGAAAAGGAATGCTGTTCCATCCAAGACCGTGAGCCCTAGATTTTGAGTCATTGGTCTGGGGGCAATGGGTGGTGGTAAAAAAGGAGTGCATTCTAGTGGCAATGGAGAGGAATTATCAGTCTCGCAGAGAGGACTGAGCAGTCGTAACATGTCTGTATATCGAACCGAACTGTATACGAGACTTTATTCGGCAAACGCTGCATAGCAAATCTGGAAGAGGGAACAATCGTTATACTTGTAAAGAATGAGGGTATGTTCCGCCTTGGTCCTTGATTTACCCCACGGAAGCTTGAGGTGACCAAGTCTACATTCACACTACTACAATATGGCACTATTCAACTTGTGGCATCTAGCATTCAAGCGGACGTGGTTCTAAAACCCACCCACACTTGAAAACCAAATAATATCAAGATTTATCGATGTACAAGAGCCAAAATTTGAATCATCATCTTGACGGAACTTCTCCTTATTGTAATAAAAATATGTTCTTCAAGTTCTGGTTCTTCTCACCATTTCGATTCTATTGCCGTGTCATCATCGAAGGAGTATCCAGTGTGGCCTATTAAGTAAGTCATTAGGCACCCTTCTCAATTAGAAGTATCTCAATTGATCTAATCAAATAACCTCAGTTTTCTAAATTCGGGATAATTTTGACAAAGATTGACTTCGGGGCAGATGAGTCGAAGTTATGATGCAATCAATGTCCGTGCGAGATCCCTTCCCCGGATTTTGGGCCATCTTGGCATTTGTCACGAGGTCTAATTTTTCCATCACCAACCTCCTCCGATTGCGGCTTCACGATCAATATTATTATCCAAACCTTACTGCGTCGAAATCTACAGGCCTCATTGCTTATTGTCATCATATCAATTAGACTTTTCTTGCGCGGAGGCCACATCTTCGCCGTCAACGTGTCCTTTGGCTTTGTCCTGAGGCGTGAATCATCAGACGAGCAACATCATCATCTAACATCCAACAACGCGCCAATTGAACCAAGACACCACCGGGTGCTTTGAGAACTCTGAACGAGTAACTTCAGGGTCGCGCATCGCCCATTGGGCGTGTTTTCCAGCGAATAGCAAGGGTTATCGTCTAAACGAAATTGATACGCATACGTCATAGTTGAGATGTTTCCACCGTCCCAAGGTCTTCAATTAGATATTGATGCAATTAGCCAAATATGCGGTTCCGTCTCGATAGCATGTTGGATAGGTAAGCATCCTTCTAGTTTGGTAGAAGAGCATTCATACTGACCACGTGACAAGTTGTCTTCTCACCACAAATCATTGAGAACTGGAAAAGGAGCTCAGCAGAGGGTCTATCCGTTGTCTTCATTACGATATGGCTTCTCGGGGACTTCTTCAATATCATTGGGGCCGTTCTTCAGGGCGTCTTACCGACTATGATCATCCTTGCAGTGTACTACACTCTTGCTGATATCGTCCTTCTCCTACAATGTTTCTGGTACAATGGCTTCACGCTGAAGGATAAAGTTTCCACCTCAGAGAACGGGAATGGTAACGGACAGTCGAGCGAACCAACAGAACGTTCTGCACTTCTCTCTGGAAACACCGATACCAACGGCCATGCCACACCACCACGCATCGCAGACGCAGATAGACGCCATTCTCAAGGCTCCTTCCGAGAGCGCATACTTTCTGTCGACGGCACGCACCTTTCTCCCGTTACGCCCCTTCTCCCCGACTCATACGACGGCGCGGAGACGCAACCTCAACCACCACCAACCCCACAATCAACTCTCAAGACCATCATCTTCAACTTCGCCATCGTCGTCCTTGTATGTGCTTCGGGAGTGCTAGGCTGGTACCTCAGCGCTAAACCGCCGTCCCGACACCCAGCTCCCTCGCGGCCAGAATTCAACACGTGGGGCCAGGTCTCCGGATATGTCTGCGCGGTCCTGTATCTCGGATCGCGTGTGCCTCAGCTGCTCCTCAACTATCGCCGGAAATCTACCGAGGGCATCTCAATGCTCTTCTTCCTATTTGCATGCATTGGTAATCTGACATATGTCCTTTCCATTGTAGCTTATAAGCCCGTGTGTGGGGGTCATAAGGGACATTGCGCACCTGGGGAAGTGCGCAGTATCTACGGAAGGTATATCGCTGTCAATTTTTCGTGGTTGTTGGGCAGTTTTGGAACGCTTTTGTTGGATGCGGCGGTCTTTATTCAGTACTTCATGTACAGGAAGGACGATGATGAGAGTGACGAAGAAGATGCTCAAATATAAATTGTGCAGAAAGGTCTGTTGATACAGTGTGGTCGCCATCTAGGCAGTATATAAAACTTAGCTCATGTCAAAATTCTACTTCTTCTCCAAGATGATCTTCGCGCGCTAAATAAATCAAGGCATTGCAATTCAATACCAACAAGTAGTGTCTACGTATCTGCTAGAGCTAACCATAACAACTGATACCATGCTCATGTCCACGACTGAATCATCTAGTCCCGAAGCAAAAGGCCATCTAGTACATCCTATGTACAACTGACAACTCAAGTGCCCCTCAATTCCCAAGCCCTTATTCATGCGAATCAAATTCCCCAAGAAACCCTTTATTTACCCTTAGCCTCGATCTTCTTAACCTCCGCCTCAATTCCCTCCTCAACCTCCTTCTTCAATCCCTTATAGAAACCCAACTTGAACAAAATCTCATACCACACAAACAACGGCGCCAACAAAAGCGCCTGCACGAGGTTATCCAACAGCGCGGGCTTCCTTCCCTCAAACTTGCCGTGCCCGACGAACTGGGCGATCCAGGATCCGACGTGGATTGCCACAGCTATGCTGTTGAGCTTAGCCTTGGAGAAGGAGGGGGAGGCGGAGAGGCGGTTGGCGAGGGAAGCGGTGAGGAGGATGAGGGGGGAGACGGTGAAACCGGCAATGTTGGGGGAGAGCAGCGTGTATGTTGTTGCGTAGGTTGTTGCTGCGATGGTGCAGAGGTTTAGGGGGAGGGATGTTCGGGTTAGGAGGGAGGATAGAGCGCGGGGCGCGTTGAGGGATGGTGTGTTTGTTCCCTGGGGAGTTATGTCAGTGTGGTGTTTGGGGAGGCTGAGTGAAATGGATAACTGACGAAGAAGAATCCGGTCGCGAGGAGGATGGGCACGAATGTCATGTGAATCTTCACGTTCGTGGGCTCCCGGTGGTATGCGCCATAGAAGACGAGGTTCTTCTTGAGGTCGAAGACAGGCATTTTTGGTATGTTCTTGTTGTGAAATATTCTTTCGATGTCAAATTCTCATATGGAGCTGATTGATCGTGTAATCGTGAGCTATCTCAACCTGATTGAACTTTGGGCAAGACAACTAAGAAACGGAGCGAAAGAAGAGATAAGATTCAGAACTGTTGTATTATTTACAAGTAAACGTGGTTCCCGTAAGTCTGACAAGGCACCACGCGCGGGCGAGGCGTAGCATGTAGTTAAATAGCTTCTCCGCAGTCCACTCCACACGGAGTAATCGGAAACAAGACCAGAAGCGAGTGGATGTCACACCATGCTTGGCCCACTACCTCCGGCCAATTCTCCGCATAATGCCTAGACAGGTCAACTGGGCAGCTATTTTAACTGGCCGCATAATCAGCTGCAGCGTGACAGGCGGAGGAAATGCGTCTTTCGTACTGGAAAGGATCGAACGAGCGGGGAGGAGGATGGAGGATGCCCCAATTCACGGATACCGAGGCTTAGATGCCCGATCGGGCGTAGCGGGATATAGATGATGGTCGACGTTGACATGTGACGTATGCTTATTGCTTCGTATTCTAATGGCTCTCATGCCTGCTTCTCACGACTCATGGGTGTCACTATTGGAGCAACCACTAATTCTGAAAAGGATATTAATTACCGCCTTGAAGGGTCAATAACCTTGACCTTGGACCTAAGCTCTATCGAGAGATGTGTGTGAATGGTCCCAGTTTTAATGTGGGGCTATAGAAAGGTTATTTCGACGTCTCGACCCTTTGAAAGCAGATAGTGTTGATACCTAGAGAGAACCGTTCGAGTATGTTTCGCATGTTGTTTTGTATTCCTGTGACACATGCCTGAACGTTCTTCATTTGGTATCTAGGTATCTAATAGAACAAGGTCACTCAACGACAATATCCATGAAGTCCAACCTCGTCGCGTTGAAGTCGGATTGGATCAAGGAAGCAGCCTCCTTTATATGCAGACAATGAATACGAGATTGGATGATAGGCCTGGCTCATGAGGCTATCGATGATCTTCAGCGCTATCTCTTTGTCATCTGCACATATGCCTGGTTGTGAAAGCAGAATGTGAAGAGTCACACGATGCGGCCGACTTGTATGGCTTACATGAAATCGAGAGTCGGAGAATCATGCACTGCCATCTTGAGAGTATTGGATACCTATGATGCCGAGTTGAATCACACCACTTCTCCTAGAGATGCAACAAAATGCAGCGGTCCGAAAGGGTGCTCGACCTACCCCATGGTTAAAATCAGCTGGAGCGGGGCCACCTCGAATACTGTGGAACGCAACCCTGTCGTGACTGTGTAGTGGTACCACTGGGGCAGAATCGTGCATCTGCATGTACGTACCCGCAGATGCGCTGAAATTGGCTAAATAATTTAGCAATTTATTCACTTGGGGAAATGCAGGAAGGCCCCAACAGCATCACTACAAGGACGATTGGACTGATAGCGGACGGGGAGCTGTGTAAGGAAGACATGATATCAAACTGGAAAGTGATTTATAAAGGATATGATAAATTTGTGCATAACACCTTTTGTCTTCTTGTACCGGTACTACTTACTATATAATTTCTTCAGTTGGTCAAATTCGATACATTGGCTAACTTCGACACTTCTCCTGCAGTTACTAGGCATCCAGTTCAGTACCCCGCAGCTACATAGGTTACCGTGAGTGTCATTAGAGCGGCCAGCTTCGTCCCTGAGGAAAGCGAAAAGCTCGCCTTGAAGGCTTTGCAGCACCTGCTCTTGAGAGCCATGATTGTATATCCAAGGCAGGCTGGAATAGAGCCAGGTCGAATCCCAGTTTTCCAATTGGTAATCATAAAGATCGCAAAGATAGTTCACGTGGAGCATCGGTTTGACATAGTCAGGAACTCAATAAGTGACATCCACATTTTATGTAATAAATACATCGACAAATCTTGTAGAAACCATCAGTGTCAAATAACCTACATTCAATTGCTATTGATATCTCCAGGACACAACCATAGATAGACCTATAACGCCAATTCTTGCTATGCTATCGCTTCAACAACGGACCTCGAGATATTTTCTATTTAGACCCCCTACGAACAGGATGTTCACCGCCAACTTCCAGACGGTGACCCTCCTTGCCTTTCTCAGTCTGAGTGTCCCCAGACTTCTTGCCAATTTCAGGGAAGTCAAACGGCTTGCTGACACCTCCCTTGAGCCCCAACCACATGCCTAAGTCGACCTTATTCGTCCAAACCAACGCACCAACCCACGGCTGGACGTTCCAACCCAACTCAAGCACCACGTCTGTCCTGTTCTGCAGCTTTCCCGAGACATCGGTGATCTGGTACTTGGGACGCTGGTTCTTGAGGTGGATCTCGCCGCGGGGGTATGGCGACTCCGCGGTCTTCTTGGACTTGTCTTTCGCTGACTTCGAGCTCTTGGTCTTCTTGGGGTTCGGGTGGACGTAGTGGACGGTGTGCCATGCTTGAGCAGCGCTCGCGAGGACGGCGTCCCAGACTATGGCTTCGGAGGCAGGCTCACCGGCTTTCGTGGAAGGGTAAACGGCTTTGAGGTACAGGAATACTTGTTTTGTGTTCCAATTGAAGAGGCTGCTCAGGTCTGCTCACAGGCACCGTTAGAGTGTGTGTCAAGATACGTCAATGGGAATACGTACCGGTGTCGAGGTCAAACTTGATATGAGCGTACTCCTCCTTCTTGTAGCTGTAGTAGTGGGGACGTCCGCGCTGCCTATTTCAATATTAGCCACCAACGTTTGTGCAATCCAAGAGGATTCTCTGGCCTATTCGTGGGCTATGTACTTACACCTGAACATTGCGCAACTGTACACTCGCGGAGGGGTTTTGAGGGTGGATGAAGGTTGACAGCGCAATTACCGTCGCAACAGTAAAAGCTACGGTTGTAAAGAAACCGAACACATTCTGCACTCGGACGAGCGTTGAATGCATCTTGGGCGAACAATTGGAGGAGGATGTGGGGGAGAAGGTAATCGAGGGAGCCTGCGGCGCGCGGGTTACGTTACGGGGGAGCTTGCTAACACGTCTCCGGAGCTGCTTCAGCCCTACGGAATCTTGGCAAAAAAAGCTCCCTGTAGAACTCCAACTTCTTTACAACTTCATTTGTATAGAGTTCATACATTAAATATTGAACGATATTTTCACATTGAAACTTAGTGTTTATAATGGACTCTCAATGGTAGCAGGACGAAAACATCATAATTCATTGATGTACATTAGTCTTGAGAGCTGCCGACGAGCAGACCGAAGTCTCTATCGCTTCAAGACAGCCTAGCTAAGTTTTGGCGATCATCTATGTATCTAGTCTGAGCACCCTTGATTTGAACTATCTACTGCTGGGGCGCCGGGTTCGCGGCTCCGCCTCTATTCCCACCCCTACCACGATAACCACCACGACCTCGACCGCGTCCCCGATGTCCACCTCGTCCATTCTCCAAATTGGCTGGAGGAGGAACGTTGTTGTATGATTGCGGCCTGAAGTTAGGGTTATTCTGGATAACACCGGCTGTAGGGTCGTTCATATCGGTTACAGTAAATCCCGACTTGTTCGGTCCCTGCTTCTGCCCTCCGCGTCCCCGACCATTGAAGTTACCGTTGCCTCGGGGAGCAAAGCCGCCTCTACCTCCTCTCGACGCAGGCTGAGTAGGAGCCTGCTGCTGTGTCTGTGAGGCATCCTGGTGGTTGGTTTGTGGTGGACCGCCGCGGATGGGAAGCTGCTGTTGATTTCCATTGGATGGGGCATGGGTTCCTCTTGGTGCCATACCCCCACCTCGACCACCGCGGGCTCCATTAGTACTGGCAGCACCAAAAGCACCTCGGTAAGAGCCTTGAAGTGGCGGCGGCGCACTGGCAGGCACATATTGTGGACCGGATGGCGCGCCATAGCCCTGTACCTCTAGAGGCTGGACGGATGGTTGAGGACGCTTTGCTGCGCCGGCAGTGGAGTATGAAACGACTTGTTTGTCGCTCAAGTTTAGAACAGCGGTCGCAGGAACTGTAGATCCGCGGAAGGGAGAGCAACGATCACCAAGAGACGATCCACTCATGAAAGTGGCATCGAAAACAATGTCCAGCAAGATCGTTCTTGCGGTACGTGTCTTTCCAATGATGGTACCGCAAGACCCAATCGGGACGCGTCCGGAGTCTTGGACATAGACAATGCGGTCACCGATTGCGAACTTTTGATTGCCCAGGCGTTGCTCCGCATCGGAAGGCTTAAGAAGCGCAGCACGGGGCACCTTTCCAATCTTCTTCAGGTCAAAATCTTGCGTCAAAGGCAGATTCGCATCGGCCGCCTGTTCGATCAATTTCACAGTATCCGAGTCCAGCTGCTCCGCATCCAGAGGAACCTTGTCGAAACTCTTCGACTCAACCTCCTTGAGCCATGCGCCGATCTCCTTTACTTTCTGTTTAGCAATGTCTGCAGGATAGAAATCTGTGTCGTTCCAGTTGTCGCCCTGAGGGTTGTTGATAATACCGGCAAAGAACTCGGGGAATTTGACCATGTAGGTCGCCAGTAGTTCGATCGCTTTCTGACTATATTCCCAGCCCTTCTCATTCTTTCGAGAATAGCCTAATACCTTCATCTTCTTGGCCTCAAACTTCAAATTCAGGCCAAGGTTCAGTGATAGACCACTGGAGTTCACCTTAAAGGAAGCTGTAATCTTCGATAGAGCGAGCGGAGGCATTTGAAGCTGACGAGCGACCACATATGAGGGGAAATATGGTACGAGTTGGTTAGCCCTGCGGGCAATGTCTCGCCCGAACTCTACCTCTGGCTTTTTCAGCTTCGCAACCATAATGGTAGCCTTATTATTAGCATGCCCAATGACTTGCAATGGTCGACCGTACGCATAGTCTCCCAAATAGAAAGCTCGCGAGCCTTCAGGAAACTCTTCTTCGATGGGCAAAGCTTCTTGTTCGATGAAACGAGGATCCGGGCTGATTACCTCGTCGACAATAGTCTGTGTTGCGTACTCCGTCTCAATGCCCGGAATGTGAGCATATTCCTTCACGGATGCTCCGTCATCAGTTTTTCGCAGACCTTTCAGCATCTCTACATGCACAATTGTTTCCACCTCACCCACAGCCATGCCAAGTCGTTTGCTGTAAGTGTTTGCTATCCGGTCTGATTTCTTTTTGAAAGCCGAAATTTCGTTGGGTCCATGCGGAATAGCAACGGGTGCCGATGTCCCATCGGTAGGAAGCACGTAGTCGAAAAGTTCGTCCGAGACCTTGACAACCTTTGCTTCTTGCAAGAATGGGTACCCAACATGAACCGCTTTACCAAGTTTAGCTTGTGCGTGAGCCAATGATGAGCGGGTCTCTGTTTCCAACAGCGTCACGATCATGCTCTCGTTACGACTATCTGACTGGAAAACATTGACACCGGCAAATTGAAGTTTTCCATAGAATGGCAGGGTTTTCACACTTGGGAAGCCTGCAAGTGAAGCAGCCCCGAGCTTGACACCCTCCATAAGGCCAACATATACCTCTAGACCGTCCATAGTAGGTAGTTCGAATATGTTCTCCACACATCGGCAGTGAGGTAGATCCGGGAATATTCCTGGTAAGGAGGACGGATAAATGTAGTCAACATCATCGGCATAAGTGAACTTCAACGAAACGCCAAAAGAATTCCGTCCCTTTTCGGCATCCGTCAAATCATTTTCTTTCGTAGCCATGGCGCTAAGGAGCCGCTCTTCCTCAATGAAAGGAATCTTGACAACTGCTTCCCAATCCATTTTCTTCCCATTCATATCAAGCTCGAAATCTCGAGGATAGAAGTCGATGATGGGAGAGTTGGGATTGGTCATTAGATCGTGATACGCAACAGGAACGATCGTTTTGCTGCGGTCAGGCAAGACGCCCATCAACTGCTGATAGGGCTTGAATGGCTGTCCAAGCTTGAAGTTGATATCAGCCCCAAGACCCTTTGTGACATCGGAAATCATGGGGGAATAGTGGTAGCCGTAGTACCAGGGCCAGGAGGCAACACCACGATAGTAGTAGTAAAGAACCCACTGCAGTCCCTGAACGTAGTTCTCCGTCAACTTTCTCAACTCTTCTTCGTTTGAACGATCCCAGCCATATTTATCCATGTAGTACTTGTTCTTCCATGCCTGGAACTTCTCATCGTACTTCTTGTCCATGGCGGCCTGGGCATCTTCCGCAGATACGTCTACAATCTTAGCTTTCTCGTATTTCTGCAAGACTCGCAAAATTGCTTGTTGAGATTCGTCATCCGCGCTCGCGTCTGCCTCGTCATCTTCGTCGTCCTGGGGCAACTTGGAAGGGAAAGAGAGTTGGATGTGCCGGTCACCTTCATCGTTTTGAATTGTTTTCCACTCCAAGTGAAGGCTTTCGGCCAAATCCTCGACGAATTTTCTGTCCGCCGCTTTCAGAGTAGAGGGAAGATCATACGGTGTGCTGTCTTTCGAAGCCAGGTATTTTCCCACGAAAGCCTTGACCTTCAAGAAGATCTCCCGCTGCTCAGAGGTTAAGACGGGTACCCCCCTCTTCTTCGTCCTTTCCATTACGTCCTCTTTTTCAAGCTTCTTGCCCTTGAACCAAGCAGCGTCTGCGTTTTCGTGCTCGAAATGCCGATACTCAACGTGAGATAATTCGTTAAGGAGTAGAGCCAGCCTCTCCATATTAATGACACCACCCTCATTAATGTAACCCTTTGCTTTGGGCAAAACAGTTTTGTAAACATTAAACATGAGTGCCAAGGCACCTTCGTTGATGTGTAGATGCGGTAGGTTCGGCAAGAAATCGTTGCCAACAAAGAAAGCCATGAGTATGAAGTCGTCAATGACTCTTTCCATATCAAACGGAAAGGCGAGAGCCCCGGGCTCCTTCAGTTCTTGAAATTCTAGTTCCAGATACTCGCGCACAATGCATAGGTGCATCAAGAAGAAGTTTTGGTGTTCCAGTTCCTTTGATTTGACTTTGCTCTGGCGGCCGAATGTTACCTCCTCACGCAACAAAGAAAAGTGAGGATCGTGACTCAACAGGCCAAGCATAATGAGATCAGCGTCCAAACCATAAAGACAGTGGCGACGGTTTGGGTCGTATTCGGGTTGCGATTTGGCCTGTCGAATGTACTCCATGATCTTGTGTTCTCCTTCTCCAGGAACTTCGTGACCAGACAGGACGACTTCCACGCCCTGCCAGTCCAAGTCCTCTGAGACCTTCTTGTTGATAAAGTATTTCAGCTGCTCAGTGAGCTTTGCCATAAACTCCGTACCAGGAGTAATGCAATTGCTGTCGAAGGGCGCCTCTTTCGGCATCTCTATACCCTCGTTTATAGCCTTCTCTCGAGCCTTTTCAGCATCGAGAGCAGTTCGAAAACGTCGAGAACGTTGCTGGTTCATCTTCGCGCGAGGTGCAACACCGTCGATGGCCATGAAGAATAGCTTCTTGGGCTTGATCTTGCCGAACAGATGCTCTATGTAATTGAATATAGCAATGAACATCTTGTCCTCGGTCATGCGAAAGGTGGGGGAGTCGGAATCATTGTGAGTACAGTTGTGAATGATACCATTCATGTCGAGCTGTGAAGTCAATTGTGTCAGTGGCGCATTGCGGAGGGGGCTTCTTTGGAAAGACGAACATAGAGACAGTCGAATTCTGGAATGCGATTCTCAGCGATAAGCTGAGAAATCGCTGGATATCGCTCGGACATCCATCGAAAGAACTTGGGTACACCCATGCTTGCGGTCAATAGGTTAAACTGAAATGGTATCGAGTGTTGAAGTGAGGTAGCTAAGAATAGGAGCAAGCTGAGGGTCGTCAGATAAGAACAGTCGGAAAAAAGCGGTTATAGAGAGAGCGCACGAGGCGCTGGGGGTTAAAGCTAGCAGCAGGTAAGGGTTGAGATTCTTGACGCTGGGGTCTTCAAAGAGCTCGAGTGAGGGCGTCGATCCGCCTCGAAGTCATAGACAGACTGCCAAGACTTCCGACTAGTTCGCCGCCGCAATCATGTCACGTGCTCCCCGACGCGCGTGAGTTCAGGTCTTAGAGGGCGCGTCTCGCTTCCGTAAGTTTGAGCTTCATCGCGAGCAAACGACTGCGACAACTTGACCAAGTCATTGAGACCCCACACTTCCACCAACAATAATTCTACGCAAAACCTTGTCGGACTGACGCCATGGATGAGACAATGAGCGGTATGTAGAGACCATTCAAGAATGCGATCAACGACTAATATGATCTTCCCCCGCAGATGCTATGGACAACGGCCACGAAGAGGCTGAGAACGAGGCGGCAGAGCAGAAGGTGATCAATGAAGAATACAAGATATGGAAGAAGAACTCAGTGTTCCTCTACGATCTTATGTATGGTCGTGCGCTGGAATGGCCATCACTCACGGCGCAATGGCTGCCAGACAAGAAGCCGTGAGGCATCCCGCTTTCTCTTCGTTCGGACGTGTGTTAACTTTCCACAGCATCGAGGGGACAAACATGAGCCAACACCGTATCATTCTCGGCACGCATACTTCTGGACAGGCCCAAAACTATCTCCAGATCGCACACATTGAGATTCCAGATTTCAAATACCCAGATCTGTCAGAGTACGATGAGCAGAAAGGCGAGGTGGGCGGGCATGGAAATGCTAAGAAACCCTTCGACTTCACAATCAACCAGAAGATCAACCACCCAAGCGAAGTTAACAAGGCCCGTTACCAGCCCCAAAATCCCGACATTATAGCTTCTCTTTGCACCGACGGCAGAGTACTTATATTCGACCGATCCAAACATCCCCTTCAACCAAACAAGGACGGATCAATCAAGTTTGAAGCAGAATTAATTGGTCATAACAAAGAGGGCTTTGGACTGAGCTGGAGTCCTCTCAAAGAGGGCCATCTAGTCACTGGTAACGAGGACACCACTGTCAGGACATGGGACCTCAAGGCAGGCTATGCGAAGAACAAGACTAGCATTGAGGCCACCGCTACCTACACAATGCACAGTGCGACCGTCAATGATGTTCAGTACCATCCCACCATTGACTTCCTGATCGGGACTGCCTCGGATGATTTAACTTGGAGGATAATTGATACTCGCATGGAATCACACAAGACTGCTATGCGCACTAAGGAGGCAGCGCACCAGGACTCTGTCAACTGCATCGCTTTTCATCCCGGCATTGACCACACGCTGGCGACTGGGTCCGCAGACCATAAAGTCGGGCTCTGGGACTTGCGAAACACTGAGAAGAAGATTCACGAGCTCAACGGCCACAGAGCCGATGTCATGAATCTACAATGGCACCCTCATGATTCAGCCATATTAGCAAGCTCGTCCAATGATAGGCGCATTTGCATGTGGGATCTGAGCAAAATTGGTGACGAGCAGACCCCAGAGGAAGAAGAAGACGGTCCGCCAGAACTGTAAGTGGTCACCCCTTTGTTAACCCTGCATTTACTGATATCCGCGTAGTCTTTTCATGCACGGTGGTTTCACCAATCGCATCTGCGAGTTTGACTGGAACAAGAACGATGATTGGGTCATGCTGGCCACCGCCGAAGATAACCAGATGCAAATCTTCCGTCCATCTCGCAAGATCGTCGAGCCGCTTCCCAAAGATGTCAGCCGCGGGGAAGTCTCAGACTGATCCCACAATGTCCTCCCCGTCACAGTTAGTGTATCAACTTGAACGGTTTGGATTGAAAGGCCCCTCGATGTGCATCGAATTCTTACATATGTGATGTCGTCCAAATATCTGGCAGATACCCATCCAGCAGATGATGATCACCCAAAAATTTCTCTCACGAGATCTATTTATACCCGAACCAACGTGGTTTTAACTGATTAAGGAGTCTGGTATGTAATTGTAGCTTAGAGACAATCAGAAATGTCAAGACAGCTGCAATCTCCAAGAGCATCTCTGTCGTACAAATATATTGGATAATGTCCTCTATCACAGTTCGTCCAAAAGGCCTCTCATCCGAGCTAGTCATGTCCAACTTAATTTATGCGTAGCGCGCACAAACCAGTAAAGATGTTGTCTAGGGAGTATGCACATACGGTACAGGCTTGGCTATAATCGCTAATCATCCTGGATCAGAAGTGCCTCATCTAGTCCACTGTCTCGTTCATTGCCTTTCCAATCTGCTATTCCTCGAGTGTATGTGAACTACTTCAAAGCATTGGAGCAGGACAAATAAATTTCACAGACACAATATAAAACTGGTCAAAAGAGAGAGATCGCAAAGCAATAGCATTCGGAACAAATTGTCACATTAGGGGTCTTGTCTTCAAGAACCAATTTCTTTCGCATCGTGATAATTAATTTCCTTCAATGACAGCACTTTACATGTGCTTTATCAAACCTCTTGATGAAATGACATCTCATTCGTCTTCTCCAAACATCATTCTCGTCTTTCCAGTCTTCATCAACGGCGCACCAGTTGATATTTCCGATTCTCCCCCAACCATCCTTCTTTTTGGGCCCAAGTGCCCAAGGTACATCGATATATTTCTTGTCCTCGGGCTTCGCAATTGTAAAGTGAACCCTTGTTTTGTCTTTGTCCCGTGGATCGTCAACTATGATATGAATCAAATAAGTTGCTCCGTCGATGTCTGCGTTATCTGAAGGCTCATGAATCTGCACATATGAATGCTCCGGATCGGCGTACAGTTCCCACCACAGCTTCGGCTCACCGCTTTTCGGGATCTCTTGTACCATGGACAAAAGATATGCACCCCATTCCGACGGGAGAGGTTTCTCAGGGTGTGGGGGTGGCGGAAATGCTGGCGGCGATGGTTTTCTCTTCTCTACCGAAAATCCAGCATCTCCACAATCCGTACTTATTGACCCTTTCCGACTGACTTGATGATCAACAACGCCTGGGATTGTAAGCATGATGAAAGAATCGAAGTTCAGAAAGTACTTACAGTTTCCACTACTTCTGATTTTGTCGAAGATATCTTTACAATTCAAAGGGCATTTCTCCCCCTGGTCGTTCCAGTAAAATTTCCAACTGAGAGAACTGCTAGTATCATCTTGATTCGTCCATTCCCAAGAGTCTCGTTTAAAGATTCTGTTATACGCCCGCCTTCTTAGCTCATTGTGCTCCTGACAGGCACTTTCCATCGTTCTACGGTTGTTAGCTGAGTAGGCACATTGATCGGGCAGTCTCTTACTTCTCGAAAGTTTCGCGGTCGGCGCTCACTTTGTTCTCCGAGTCGCATTGTGGTCCTTTCGTAGACTCATCCAATTCAGCGATCCAGGCTTGCAAGCCTTCAAGGTACCCATCTTGCACCATGTGCCTAATGGGAAAAATTACCTCTTGACAAGCACATCCTCGGACCTCTTTGACAGTGCATGTATCAGTTTGCACCCTTTTTCCGGCCTCGAAAATTGGGATCGTTGGTTTCACGTCGAAGTACCCCTTGCACTTTTCATCAAGGCAAATTAAATCTCGAGGACATTGTGCATCGTCTTGTCTCATCCGTGTCGTTTCCTCGCGGCTCAACTTGATCACCAGATCATCCACAATCTCGGCCGTATGCTGAATGACACGGTTGATAACGAATGTAGTCGCCAAGGAGCCTACCACCATTCTTCGGTTGAAGTCCCCTCTTCCCGTTCGCACCAGCGGGATAACTACAGGAACACCTTCGTTCATGATGTTGGGTATTAGCGCCCCTTCAGGATTATTGGCTGGATTGAGAGGGTTGTCAAGACTGGCAGGGACAAGATCATCCAACTCATGGCTCATTGCTTCAAACACTGTTCTTGACAGCGTAGAAAGCATTTCTTCGCACTCAGGACTAAGCTCGTTTGTGGGGGGTTTACGTCTGCGGAGCGGATAGAGTCTCTTCTTCCTTTTCTGGTGTTTCTCACAGGTCCTTCTTGCTCCTTCTGCACCCATCATTCCAAGAAAGTCTTCCAATCTAAACGTGGAATTCCTCGGGACGTATATGAGGAGATCACCTTTCTTGTTATCTCCTGAGTCACTCGTCACTTCCTCGATGCGTACACTATCTTCGGGCCTATTGAGCCATCGGTTAGGAGAAAGAAAATAAAGGTACGTGGCTTAGGCTTACTTGTGTGTAGCTTCAGGCGGGACAAGATCAACGGTTATGGTAGCCATGATTTTGTTTTCATTTCCAGTAGCAACAGCAATCTCACTGGCCTCTGTCATCGCTGGGATCTGCTCCAGAGGTCCACCTATTCCGCTTTCGAGTCTGACCCCAGCTGGAACCAAATTTGAGGCGCTCATGCCTATTGTACCAATCCCAACTGCAACAACGATGGCCGATACAGCAGCTTGCAATATCTCGGCAACAGTTGCTGCGGCAATGAGTGGAAGAAATCGTTTCGCATGTGTAGTAAGTGAGCTTTCTTGCAGTATTCTAGTAATGTCTCGTTGACATTCGTTAAGATTCTTCGGGTCTTTGCATTTATCTGTGATTGTGGTGGGAATCTTCTTTTGAACCACTGAGCCGAAAGCTACAAAAATACCCTCTTCGGGAATCACACTGTGAATACCAGTTGGGTATATGGCTATGGAACGTGGCTCAACCTTTTTGGTTTCCTAGATTGCTGTCAGCTACAGTGAAACCTGAAGTCGCTAACACCCACAGTGTAGACGGCATACTGGCCGACATCGCCTAGCGTCAGTGTTGGAAGGCTGTCCGCTCGAGGATATATCGAGGATCCATGAGAGGATGTAGAAGTAGCTTGTAAGTCTGTCGCAATAATGCAACTGCAGAAGATGAAGAGGGCACAAAAAAAAGGGAGGACAAGAAACATGCTGATGGAGAATTTGGAAAATGAGGCCTTAGTTTACGTCGTATGATTCAAGGAGTTGACATAAATATCTTATACTACCAGCGACTACGCCTCGCAACATTTCTTCAACGGAATAATCTTCCCAGTATGAGGAAATTGGGAAGTATGCCTACGATGGGCGAAGCTCGACTATGTTGCATGAAGTCTTACAAGTTCAATACAGCCACCCAATGGACATTCGATCTCGACTACAGCATGCACAAGGGATACTCAACATCCATGTCTTTAGGGTGAGATGAAGACCGCATGTCGACTTCGCTCAAGAAATGTCCAACAATCATGTTCTAAATTAATTTGAGGGTAGAATTTAGCGCTCGGTAACGCGGAATGGTCCCTCTGGGGCTAGGGTGGCGTGCAACGAACTTCGTGTACATGATAATCCAAATGTGGCGTAAACCACCCCCGGACAGAACCGATCTGGAGAAGTTCAAGCTATGTCTCGCGCCAGCTGTGCCACTTGAGGGACGGATTCTAAGAGTGGCCTATGACTGATTTAAGGCCAGCTGGGGCGAATTGATCGTTGCGTAGCACCCGTACTGGGGTTTATTAGGTAAGTCTGCAAATGAAAAGACAGACCACTTTACTTAGAAATTGGAAATTGTAATTCTAAGAGTCCATCTCCAGCGCAGCTATAGTATGCATGTTCGAACGATCCAGCACTGCAAAAAGACTAAAGAGATGATGATGAGACTGGAACCGCCCTCTAACCTTTTCGTCAAGGCCATTATAACTAATCACATATGCGATTTGCCTGAATTAACTAAAAGTTAACTTTAAGCCGCAAAGAATGTCTTACTTATTTCAAAACATGCAAGGGAGCACGTTTTGAAACACTAAAAAAACAGCAGGATCCAAGTATGTACGCAGGACTTAATTACAGAAAATCGTCCATTCTCGCCGCATTTGAAATGATATTCGTGCTGCAAGAGCAGTCCTCGCCATCTTCTGTTTCGTATCTTCGCCGTGTTGTCCTGGTAGAAACAAGTATCATGATAGAGGACATATTCTGATACCCGGCGCGCGTGTTGCGATGCTCGGCTTTTCGAATCATATTTAAGAGGCTTTGCTTCGAATCATCTATCGCCATATTCTGCCACGCTGATCACGCCTACTTATTGTTAACGAGAAGGTTCAATTGACCATGCGTATCCTTACCATATACCTTTTCTCCTTTGTTTCTTCCTTTGCTCTGGCTTACATGATTGACCAGTCCTGTCGGGATGAAGGCATTTGTAGGTGACTATGCGTATTCCTGATCGTAATGTTCGTTGAACTAATGAATTAGATGATGAGGTTGAGAATGCAGTAAAATCTGCTTTCGAAATGGCAGAAGCAGGCGTTGCTGCTCTTCAAGGCGCCCAGGACGTTGACCCCGAATGGGCAGACGTTCCCCCTCGACCAAGAGAGCTGCAGAGCCTAATTTCTAGTATATTTCTTCATGAAGATATTATCCGAGATACCATGCCGCGTATTCCTGACGATGAACTTACTGGGCTCAATTATCCAATGAACACGAGAAATGTCAAGCTCACCAACGTTTACGGTACTTATTTTACGACTCTTGTCTAGTGATTATACTAACGCTTCACAGATAGTTTGTCAGGTATCTTAAAGAATATTCGTGATCCCGGCAATACGATGAATCCGAGCAATATGGATGTGGTTTGTTTCGAAAGATAACCTAAGGGTTTGATAGGTTGCTGATTTAATGACAGAAGATATACTGCAACTATAAGCTGTTCCAATATAGCATCAAGGACGGAAAGCCTTGGGTAGATGATCCCGGTAAGTGTACATCCATTTCGACAGCTGGAAAGATGTTTGGAGTCATTCATTCGCTAATGCAACGTAGACAGTGGCATGAGCATGGACAAGAACTCGGCATTGTGTGGACCCGATGAAAACACCAAGTTAGGAGTGATTGCTTATGCAGTACGCTCTGTGAAGCGCAAAGGGGTGAAACTCACTTCCCCCATTCAAATTTGCGAGGACCTTGTTAAGTCTGTCAAAGACACAAGACGCATATCGCATCGATCACTCTTCAAGACCAATATTGGAAAGGTGAAAAGCCACCTCAAGGAACACCGGCCCTTCAATTTTGCTCAAATTGGTACGTTAAACATCATTCCACTATGAGAAAAGCGTGCACTTAGATCTTTCCATAGATGCTTATGCGCTTCTGGATGTTACACTTCTCCATGAAATGACGCATGTGGAAGCAGGACGGTTTATGGATGACGTAAGTAAACGATGACCCTTCTTGTCACTACTCTATGACTAACAAGGTCGTTATGTAGGTGCGTCTGAAGAAGTCTGCCTGGAATCTTCCATTCCTTCCCAAAAATAAGATCGAACCAACCTATTACTGGAAATCTATCATAGAACTGGCAAAGAAAGGTAACTATGTCGACAGACCAGGATTGGCGAGGCCAGATAGTGAGTGTGCTGGAGTTGCATTCAAAATGGCCGCTAAACGTTGAACAGGAAACGCGGACTCTATAGCATATTTTGCATTGGGTAAGTACAGTCAAAGGTCCTCTTTTTCTTCATCGAGTGATTGAGACGTACAGGTTGCAAGTTGATGTCGGATAGGGAGAGGCCTCAAGCCATTGACGGTCGTGGAGTTCTTAATAAACTTGATGCACCAGTGAATTGGGAGCCGAGAGATTGGTAGTAGGAATATGAAATGGTAGCAAGACGTCCAGAGTACCGATTACGATTTATAAATTGGATGGGACTAGAAAATAGTAGACTGCCAAGTCCTGCGGTCTTTGGGGATATGATAATTCAATCCCCTCTGCTTCCAATACAGCCTGGAGTCTATCTGGAATCTTTGTATTCAGTTCTAGAACAAATCGACGCGCATGGACCGCCATCAATGGTGTAAGTATTTGTTCAAAGTTAAATCTGCTCTCCTTGTGATCTGATGATAGAATCTCGTTCGTCGTGATTATAAATTCTTCACCACCTTCTACCAATTGGCATCCGTTCTCGTTGATCGTAATCTCAATCGTCAATGAGAACAAGTTGGACATGTGGCCGAGGCTTTGACAACAATTTTGCCAAGGCAGCAAACTTGGAGGTCGAAACCTACTATAGTCATGTGACATTTCATCATAAAAGCGAGCAGAGAAGTCGACCGACAGTTTGATGTGCCGAATAGAGAGCCACTGCTGCTCCAAGTAGAACCCTTTGAAGGCTGTTAGAACCTCGGGTTCCCTGAACGCGAAAATATTATGTTCGTATAGGATCTTTAGCGCTTCAGAATATCTAAGTGAAGATTAATCAGTAGTTTGAAATACATCGCGGAACAGATATTTACTGACATGAGACGGCAGGTTAAGAGAAGGTCAAATAATTTGCAATTGGTGTGAAAAGAATCTACTCTGACCGATCGCCAGTAACCATCGTAGAATCCTCTTTTCTCCAAAAAACATGTAGAATGTTGCCAGGTAGGAAAAGGCGAGTATGGGTTTATGCAGCGGTAAGACATGACTGGGGTCTGACGACGGAATAGGCCAGGTGTGGTGTTTTTGCAAATATGGATGGGTGCACTGGGGTCTCCAAGGGCGAACTGATATATCAAAAGTCGAAATTCGGGGCTTAGTTTGCGGATCAAGGGTGACTGGAATTGTGGATGAACTGGAGGTATAGGCTCATTGGAGCCTGGCAGTGGCCATGGAGCCCGGAGCGGAGACCTAGATCGCGGTTTAGGTGCATTCTGTTCTTCCGAGGAAGGCTTGCGTTGGTCGCGTTTCCTTCGCAACAAGTTTGCAAAAAAGAGGCGCATTGTATGACGAAAAAAACTCTAGAAATTATGGAAGCAGAAAGAGTAAATGATCATTTGGATACCCATAACTAGAGTGTACATAGCCTATTTATGTACATCAAGTTTAAGCGCTGCTGTGCCTCAGGGACGCAAGCGACAGGGTATTTGTCGCCTTGTAGCTTGTAGCCCCCAGCCATACCAATAAGTTCTGCGATCTGACCCTTTGTCTCACAGTTCAGATCATTCAAGCTTGGATGGTCAAAAGCTCCACAGGATGCTCGAGACTGAGACTACACTTTCTCACAAGAAGTTCTCACGTGGGAACCACCAATATATCGATAGCCGAGGTCCTTCGCCGGCTTTAGAGATACGAAAGACACGCCATAAAAAGGTTTGGCTGAGAAAATAACTCAAAATGAAGAGTTTGAATGTTGATGTTGTGCGAAAGTTGGTTGGAGTAGAGATATCAAGTCTAATTCGGCATTCAATGACATGTCGTCAGTCACAGATGTTACAAGGAAGGTAGAGCCGAGACACGCTAAGGGATGATCTTCGGGAGAGCAGGATGTCCCCATGGTGCATCGCGGAATGAGCCGTCGCGCCGCAAGCTCACCTCCGCGATAAATCAACTGCAGGTCGCGCAATCCTCAATAACCAAAACCATGTTGCGAATATAGCCTTCCTAGCTGGGATAAGGCGGTTACTCATCATGGACCATATACCAATCGCCAAAATTGAACCTCAGCTATCGGATCTATACTCGAAGTCTTTCAAAGCTGTTGTAACCCTACTCTGGCCGTATTCATCGTCCACGCGACAATGCGCTTTACTACTCGCCGAACCTGATTTTCGCCTCCGCCGGAAGAAAGGACAAGTCAGAGTTCGATTCTCCAGCTCCAGTGCCAAAGCTATTGCACAGACAGGGATTGGTATTGGAGATGAGGTTATACTTGAGCTACGGGGAGCGCAATTCGTGCAAGAGGATACAGATGCCGTACGCACTCCAGGAAGGAGTATAGATTGGGAATTATCGTACTCGCAGACGCTGGTCGTACAGGTACGGGATTCATTCCTTCCGTTCGAGATTCTGCTGACACTTGTAGATATCCCGCAATGGGACCCAGATTGCCACATTGGATATTATCGATGCTGCGCCAACGCCAGCTGTAACGTCACCTATACGCAAGCCGATAACCTCGACTCCATATAAGAGCCCAGCTCCGCAAAGTATTGACGATCACAAGTGGACCTCTCCCGCATTCCTAAAGCGATCAAGGCTGTCCAACGGCGCGCACTTCGAATCCGAGTATGACCCGCTTGTAGATGATGCAGAGAACGGGGGTGACAAGAAAAGGAGGAGAAAATCCTACAGGGACTGGAATGTCTGGACATACTCCGCTAGAACACCATCTCCAGAGAAGGAGGAATGCGAGGCCGAGAATGTTGACGGCATTGAAACTTCGCCGGTTCCTGTTTCTTCGCTTTCTTCAACGAAGCAGCCCGTTCTGGCAACATCGGCACCACCGATTGATATGAACGGAACAGTTCGAACTCCAGAGAGTCTCAAAACAGAGAATACGTCAAAACCCGAAGATTCGAGAAAGCATAATTTACCCACAGATAATAACAATTACGACCTCTATGCGGATCCAGACGAAGCCAATCCTTCTGATGTAGAATATGCATACGGTGGCGACACTGCGGAAAATACGGAGGCAAATACCGACGAAGAGCTTGACGATGCCTCAAATACACGAGATCAGAATATTGACAACGGTCACCCAGAAGTACCAAATTATGAGGTTTCAGTTGTGGTTGCAGTGGCTGATGGAAACGAGAAAAGAGATGACGGAAACAGTCATGAACAACCATCGATACACGAAGAGCTTGTTGTCATCGAGGACGAATCAGAAGACCAGGGACACATATCTCAGGACCGTCCTGCCTACGAAGGGGCTGAAGATGCACCGCCGTCTGCGAGCAGCCTTACGCCATACGTTGTCATGCCTCCACCTACACTGCCGACACTCCAGACGGACTTTTCCCCTATACCAACACCTGGCTTATTGACACCAATTGGCAAGGAGCCCTCAAGTCCTGTTATTAGGCCACTTGACTCCGCTACCTTGCCCATGCCCTCGCCGTTCCCTGGTGAACAGGACGCAACGACCTCATCATATCTTGATTACACGGCTGACGTGCTTGAGGATGTCACGGGAGTTCAACTGGTAGAAGAGGAACCTTTGAATAAAGCTGTCCACGACGCAGAGTCAAGCTTCTACAGCTCGACAAGATCTGTGAATGTGCCTACGCCACATCGCACACACGAATCGGCATTTACAGATATCAGGTTCACATTTGGTCTAGATGGTACAATGTTGTCACGTCAGAAAGAAGGCAAAGAAGAGCAGGACCCGATTGGAGCCGATTTTGATCACGCACAGGATATCCATGATGACGGAAAGCCAGAACTTGTTTCCGATACAGGCCTTGATATTCCGAATACATCTACAGTCGATGTTCCAAGTCAGGTGGACCCTCCCAGCTCAAGCCAGATCCAGGAGAATGAGTCAATTGTCATTCCTGAGACAATGCCTACCGAATCTCAATTGGAGGCATCTCCTGCACTTGAAGACGAGACCCCGCATGCATCAGTTCAGCAGTCCGACCCTGAAGTAGAGGTCATCGCACTGACATCTGATTCGGAATCGGATCGCGAGTCAATTGCAGACGACGCCGAAAGTCTTGCAGCGGGTGATGAAGAACATCAAATCTCGGCAGTGGATTGGGCTCAAGTACAGGACAATCAGCAATCAATGTCCATGTCTGATTTGATCGACTTGGACAGCGATTCTGAGCAGGAGATCGAGGAGGAGAAGGGAGTTGTAGGAGAAATGGATGTTCACACGGAAGACAGTCAGGAACGCGACGAGTCTGCATCCGACGTATCGCGCGATGAATCCGGCATGGCATCTCCGGTCAACTTGGATTCACAAGATTCAGGTGCTCAAGTCCAAAGTTTCGAAGAAGATCGGGAAATCGATGATTCTACCGAATCCGCAAAGCCACCGCACGGTGTTGAAAACGCATCATTGTCGGATCATGATGGTTATGAGCACCATGCGCACTTGAATGCGCAAGCTGACCCCAGTGCAAGCCTAGATACCGCCCCTTCTTTTGAAAATGCTCAAGTGCCTGAAGATGATCGTCTGTCTGAAATATCAGCTGTAGACATAGACGAGATAATACAGAACCGAGCTTACGCGCAGCCAGAATCGCGCGACGCCAGACCGACATCGCCAGAACACCATCCAGATATCAAGATAGAGTCTATCGAGGATGACAGTTCGTTCGAGTTGCATGAACAGAAGGATTCTCAGCCCCAGAAGCATGAAGATGGTTCTAACACAAGCCCGAAAGATGATCTTGTGATAGAGGTGCCCGGCCATAAAATGGGGGAGATGGTAGAAAAGACGGTCTCTGCCGCTGGACCTGCCCGGAGCACTCGATCAAAGACCAAATCATCAATATCACCCCCGAGAGAGAGCTTGACGCCCTCGCAACCTAAGAAAGTCCATAAGCGGTCGAAGGGGTCCCTTGGCTCGATTACCGATGTGGTTCTTTCCCCAACTAACATGCGGTTGCGGTCCACGATCACCCCAGACACTGCTCCGCCAGAGTCGCCGTACTACCTACGATCACAATCTAAGAGATTGACCTCAACACCAGTTGCCATCGAGTCGACGACTAGAAGGACTCCTGGGACTGCTTCCAAGTCGCTCGCGTCGCCTCTGCAGGATTCGTTTGGTGCGGCGCAGAGGCCGCTTGCCAACACTTCAATGACCCCCGAAGTTCCCTTCTCATCTCAAGACTGGAGGAGTTCGCAACGAAGTTTTGCAGATGTCACTGTTGTAGGGGACTCCGATGTAGAAAGTGTTCATTCTGAGGGCTCTTTGTCGACCAACACTCCGTCCAATAAGCGTGAAAGTCTAGCCTCAAACAACGAAGCTGCAGCCGTGGAAGCTTCGGGAGAGTTACTCAATTTTGGAAGTAGCCAGTCGATGGGCCAAGGGGTGACACCTAAAAAAGGAAAAAAGAAGCCAAACTACCTGGACTTAAGTGAAGTTGGCACACCCACGAGAAACGCGATATTGGGGGCATCCGAAGATGCTGTCTCAGAAGTTTCCCTAGAGTCGCCGATGAAAACACCAATTCGACGTTCACCAAGACTACAACGTTCGAGGCGGGACATTTACGACATTCCCGATACACCTAGGCAGGATCACGAGGCAACAGGCTCTGCAAACGGAAAATTACCGCAGATATCTCACGATTCCTTCCCCGGGCCTCACCTTCAACAAACGGAGAATCACCTCGAGCAGGCCAAGCACCTCACTCCGAAGCTCACGCGTATCACATCCACCAATCTCCACACCCAAGACCCATCTGAGGACATAGAAATGGAAGAACCAACCTCTCCCACCAAGTCCACACCCCGCCGCAACAATAACAACAACAACATCACCACAACACTCACCTCCCCCGCCTCACCAACCCGCACCCCCAGCGTCCGCTCCGAAGACCTCTCCGACCTCGAAGACACAACCACCACCACCACCTTCGCCGCCGCCGCCGCTCTCACCACCCCAACCTCCCCGCCATCAATCGGCCTCTCCACCCCAATATCCTACTACACACCCCTCAAAGACCTCCCCTACTTCCTCAACCGCTCCTCCCAAACCACCACAAACCCGGACATCCTCGCCCTCGTCACCACCCCCACAACCCCTCCCAAGCGCGCCGAAAAAGGCCCAAAACACTTCTCAACAACCCTCCACATAACCGACCTCTCCATCTTCTCCTCCCACCCTCCATCCGCCTCCCAACAATCCCAATCGCAGCTCCCAACCGCGGCGGAGAGGACAGTGCAAGTGTTCCGGCCCAACGCCGCGGCGCTTCCCGTCGCAGGGAAGGGCGACGTCGTGCTGCTGCGCGGCTTTGCGGTCAGGTCGGCGCACAGGCGGCCGTATCTGTTGTCGACCGAGGAGTCCGCATGGTGTGTGTGGCGGTTTGATGGGCCTCCTCCCGCGCTTGCTTCCAATCTCATTCCAAGTTCCACGCCTAAGGGAAAGGAGAAGGAAACAAGCAAAACGGTATGGGGATCCTCAAGGAAAGCGAGGGAAGCTGCCGCCGCTGCTGCCGCCGCCGCCGCCGCGAGAGGGGACGAAGGAGCGGAGGCGTTGAAGGCGAGGGAGGAGGTCAGAGGGCCGGAGGTGGAGAGGGGGATTGGAGAGCGGAAGGAGGTGGAGAGATTGAGGGGGTGGTGGGGGGATGTTGTTGAGGGGTGTTTGGCTGAGGGGGTGGGAAAGGGGGAGGGGAGGTGGTTGAGGAGTATGGGAAGGGATGGGGAGAAGGGTGGTGAGGGTGAGGAGGAGTAGGGGGAGTGATGGGTTTTGGAGAGGCGTTTGGGATGGTTGGGTTGTGTATATGTTATGGGGGGTTGAGTATATATATCTCGGACACATACATGTATATATGAGCATGAAGGTATTTTAGCGAGATCATTGGGAAAAGGAAAAATATATTTTCAATTCATTCATAACATATGGTCACAATGATGCTCAAATACACGTAGAGAAGGTTTTGTGCTTGGGTGCGTGGATGGATAGAATGGCATGATATGGCGTGGCAGGGAATCAAGGTACTCTCTTCCTCTCCTATCCGGACGTCGGATTTGAGATGAGAGGACGGGGCAAACGATTGAAGGCCATCAAGGCTTAGAAGAATGTCTTCCGGGCACATACACAGTACACACACATACGCAGAGCAAGAAGGACAATGACATAGGAAAAGATGAATTCATTTTCATTCAATTCCTAACATATATTTATATTGTTCATTTCTTTTTAATCCGTTTCGTTGTCCTTTCCAATCCCTTTTTTTGGTGGCAGTGTCGTCGAAACTTCTCATGTCATATCCCTATCCTATCCTATGGAGTGGATAATCTAAGGCTTCTCGTAGACCCAGTCGAACTGGGAGGACTTCCAGCTCTGGACCTCACCCTCCTTGAACCAGAGGGCGATCTCCTTCTTGGCGTTCTCGACGGAGTCGGAGCCGTGGCAGACGTTGCGGCCGACGTCCTTTGGTGATGAGTTAGTTGGTTGTTCGGTTTGAGAGGTTAGGGGGAGGGGGGAGATGAGGGAGAAAGAGAAGAGAGACGTACGATGGCGTAGTCGCCACGGATGGTGCCGGGGGCGGAGGCAAGAGGGTTGGTGGCTCCGAGGATGACACGGCCGGTCTTGACGGCGTCGCGGCCCTCCCAGACCATGGCGGCGATGGGGCCGGATCCCATGTCTTTGTGCAGGTTGTCAGTGATTTGTTTGTATCATCGTGGGTTGTTTTATGTTGTTGGTTGAGCTGAGAAGATGGGGACGGGGTTCTTTTCAGAGCGGATGAAGAGGACGTACAGGCAATTAGACCGGGGAAGAAAGGCTTGCCGGCAAGGTCCTCGTAGTGCTTCTCGAGGTGCTCCTTGGAGGCGGAGACGAGCTTGAGGGCGACGAGCTTGAAGCCGCGGTTCTCGAAGCGGGAGATGATGGGTCCGACGAGGCCACGCTGGATGGTGGGGTTAGCATTGGATTCAGATGTTTGGGATTGTGGTAATGGATTGAGGGTAGGAATTGGTAGTGCATAGATGCAAGGAGTGCAGTGCTTACCTGGACGCCATCGGGCTTGATAGCAATGAAGCTATACAGATGGATAATACGTTAGCATAACGGACTGGTTCAATTGTCGAGATTGTTGACCCATTGTTGCTCCAAAACAAATTGTATGAATTGGCGGGGTATGAGGGGTAGAAGTCTCAAGGTAGGGTAGATGGATGGACGTACGTCTGCTCGGTGGAAGACATTGTGGATGGATTGTTGTTTGTGGATGTGGAAGAGGGACAAGTAGGATTGGAAGTGAAAGGAAGAGAAGAGGAAGAGCTGGAGACGGTGGGTAGAAGTATAAGGGCGAAGGCGAGAAGGAGAAAGGAAAAGCGTGCTAAGGCGGTGGACACGAAAATATTGAGGGAGGGGCACCAACGACGCGGGTGCTGGCGTTTAGTTGCGTCTACTTAAGGTGCGGCGGTGCGTAGGCGTGGTCTCGATTCTATGGACACTTGGGAGTGGAAGGGATGGGATGGGATGGTTGATTGGGTGGGGGGCTTTTTTTCTTATGGAGGGGTGAATTCAGTAGAGATATACAAAATAAGGGTCTCACACGGTGGCTGGCTGATGGGGATAGATTCAGATGGATGAGGATAATGAGGCTGATAATTGTATTTAGCTAGTGTTATTGGTGTTCCTGATTAGGTCTTGTTGTTGTCTTTGTCTAACTGTTTATTTGCAAGCTGCTTCTTCTTGTCTCTATAACTATAGAGCTGTTGATGTTGATGTATTTTGTGCAAACCTACATAACATTTATGAATCGATTTTGGTGTGTGTTTCGAGTTATGCAGATTACCCAATGCGGACTAGCTCAATTACCCATAATTGGACAATCGCGGGGGATCCGGAGTTACACTCGGCCCGACATGGATGGGAGCTTGTTTCACCACCTGGCCATACGGGCATCCATGATCCATCCCATATCAAACAAAAGTGACGGCCATCCACCAAGACGATCACGAATTCATGGTTTGAGGATTCTGGAAGACTCACAACCCTTCTCTGAAGCTTGTCTTCCCTCCTCTCGCTAGGCGAACAGCTACATAAACTCCACCACCATGCTGTCTCGATCAAGCTCCAGTCCCCGGTGGACGGGCTTCTTCCTTGTATTCCTCTCGTTATGCTCTCTCTTCGTACCTGCTGGTATGTAAACCACCACTCCCTTGCTGACGATCTTACCACCAAATGTACAATATCATCGCCACCTCAGGCTACAATCAATTCGACTATCTACAATCATCCATTATACTAACCTCAATTCATAGTCTCCGTCAAACATGAAAACTTCAAGACCTGCGCTCAGTCCGGCTTCTGCAAACGAAACCGACAGTTCGCCGACGATGTAACCTCCTCATCTGCCTGGACCTCCCCATACAATATCGACCCCGCCACCATTTCCTTTAGCAAAGGCCAATTGAACGCCGTCGTTCTAAAAACCGTAAAGGACGGAGAGGACAAAGTCCGGTTGCCGCTGACCGTCACATTCTTGGAGTCCGGCACTGCCCGTGTTACCCTCGACGAGGAGAAGAGGCAGAAGGGAGATATCCAATTGAGGGGCGATAGCAAGGTCCGAAAGGAACGATACAACGAGGCTTCTCAGTGGGCCCTTGTCGGCGGACTCGAAGTCTCCGAGGGTGCTGCTCTGAGCGAAAAGGCCGAGGACGGATTTACCAAGGTGTTCTACGGCGAGGGAGGAAAGCACCAGGCTCTCATCCGACACTCTCCCTTCAGCATCGATTTCCAGAGAGACGGCGAGACCCAAGTCAAATTCAACGACCGCGGCCTTTTGAACCTAGAGCACTGGCGTGCCAAGAAGGAGAAGCCAGTCGAAGAGAAGAAGGAAGGCGAGGAGGAGAACAAGGAGGAAAAGAAAGAGGAGGAGGCTGAGAAGGGAGAAGATGAGAGCACATGGTGGGATGAGACCTTTGGTGGCAACACCGACACGAAGCCCAGAGGTCCAGAGGCTGTGGCTTTGGATATTTCATTCCCCGGCTACGAGCACGTCTTTGGTATCCCCGAGCATGCCACCAGTTTGTCCTTGAAGACGACGAGGTAAGGATGAGATTCACCAGTCCAGATAAACGATTAACTGACATGCTTCGAGGGGGGGGGAAGGTAACTACAACGAGCCGTACCGACTATACAACGCCGACGTTTTCGAGTACGAAATGGACAGCCCCATGACTCTTTATGGAGCTATCCCGCTTATGCAAGCCCACCGCAAGGGTTCTACCGTCGGTGTCTTCTGGCTGAACGCTGCAGAGACCTGGGTCGATGTCACCAAATCCAAGACTTCGGCCAACCCGCTTAGTCTCGGTACAAAGAGCCGCACAGATACTGAAACCCACTGGATCTCTGAGAGCGGTCTGTTGGACGTCTTTGTCTTCCTTGGCCCTACGCCGCAGGACTTGAACCGCCAGTACGGCGAACTGACCGGCTTTACCCAGCTGCCCCAGTCATTCGCAATTGCATACCACCAGTGCCGATGGAACTATGTTTCCGATGACGATGTCAAGGACGTGGACCGCAAATTCGACAAGTTCAACATCCCTTACGACGTGATCTGGCTCGATATCGAGTACACGCACGAGAAGAAGTATTTCACCTGGGACCCTCTGACCTTTATCAATCCCACCAAGATGGGCAAGCAGTTGGAGAAGAGCATTAGGAAGCTTGTCGTCATCATCGACCCCCATATCAAGAACACCGATAGCTACCCGGTCATTGATGAACTAAAGAAGAAGGATCTCGCCGTCAAGAACAAGGAAGGAAACCAATACGAGGGATGGTGTTGGCCCGGCTCTTCCATGTGGATCGACTGCTTTAACCCTGCTGCGATCACCTGGTGGAAGACTCTTTTCAAGTATGACAGTTTCAAGGGCACTCTCTCCAACACTTTCATCTGGAATGACATGAATGAGCCGTCCGTTTTCAATGGCCCAGAGACTACCATGCCCAAGGACAACGTACACTTCGGAGGTTGGGAACATCGCGATGTCCACAACATCAACGGCATGACCTTCCACAATGCCACTTACCAGGCTCTCCTAGAGCGTAAGAAGGGTGAAGTTCGCCGTCCTTTCGCACTGACCCGTTCGTTCTACTCCGGTAGCCAACGTGTTGGAGCGATGTGGACTGGGGACAACCTCGCGGAGTGGTCTCATCTCGAGGCATCGCTTCCCATGGTCTTGAACCAGGGTATCTCTGGCTTCCCCTTCGCTGGTGCAGATGTTGGAGGTTTCTTCGGCAACCCAAGCAAGGAGCTCCTGACTCGCTGGTACCAGGCTGGTATCTACTACCCCTTCTTCCGAGGTCACGCCCACATCGACACGCGCCGCCGTGAACCCTACATTGCTGGTTCTCCCTACACCGAGATCATGACCCAAGCTCTGCGTCTCCGTTACCAGCTCCTTCCTGCCTGGTACACCGCCTTCCACGAGGCCGCCACGACGGGCGCACCCATCATCCGTCCCAACTACTGGGTCCACCCCGAGGATGAAGCCGGCTTCGCTATCGACGACCAGCTCTACATCGGATCCACCGGTCTCCTCGCCAAGCCCGTCACGAAGGAAGGCGCTGACAGCGTTTCTGTCTACCTCGCAGACTCCCAGCCCTACTACGACTACTTCGACTTCACGACCTACCAAGGCGCCGGCCACCACCACACCGTGCCCGCGCCCCTCGAGAAGATCCCCCTCCTCATGCAGGGCGGCCACGTCATCCCGCGCCGCGACCGCCCCCGCCGCTCCTCCGGCCTCATGAAGTTCGACCCCTTCACTCTCGTCGTCGTGCTCGACAGCGCGGGCAACGCAAACGGCACGCTCTACCTCGACGACGGCGAGACCTTCGAGTACGAGCAAGGCGCCTTCATCCACCGCCGCTTCTCCTTCTCCGCCAAGCACGCCTCCCTCACGTCCACCAACCTCGGCGGCCGCGCAACCACCAAGACGGACAAGTACCTCAAGACCATGGCGAACGTGCGCGTCGAGAAAGTCATCGTCGTCGGCGCCCCATCCGCATGGCAGCACAAGACGTCCGTCACGGTGATGGAGGAGGGCGCCAAGGAGTCCGCGCGCAGGAAGCAGGTCGACTTCGAGTTCTTCCCTGCCGACGGGAAGAAGGCGGCCTGGGCGGTCGTCCGGGACCCCAGGGTCGCGATCGGGAAGGGCTGGAAGATCGACTTCTCGGATAAGAGCGGCGGCGGCGACCACGGTCACCAGCATTAAGTGTGCTGGGTGGGACTGATGCATGTAGTTTTGTTGTTTTGCCAAAATATCCAGTCGATAAGTTATAAGTCAATCGATCAAATGTATGAGAAAAAGCGTCGTCGTTGGAAGTTAGCGTTTGTGCAGTCGTACTCGACGTGACGCATCTCGCGCCGTCAGTGGTATGAATAGAGAAAATCATACATCATTTAGGATAGTTACCTAAAGAATCGACTTTGTCCAAATCTTCACATTCACATTCATCACTCATTCAACCGTTTTGATATGTTAAGATATGTTTTACATTGACTAATTTCTCTCTCTCTCTATTGGATACTCTTGATACACTCAATGCACTTATCTCTCTCCCTCAACGGACGAACAAACGCCATAGCATGGCTATCGCAGTACAAAAACAACCTCAAGAAAAACAGTCACAGTTTAAAAACAAACAAACACCCGACCTTCCATTCCTCTTCCCTACTTTCCCAGGGATACCCATATCCCACCCATGAAAAACGCCACAGCTAAAACCAAACAAACAATAAACACGCAATAAAAAACATAGTACCCGTGACCCAACCCTACAAATAAGGCATCCACAGCGGATCGCACGCCGCCAACTTCATCGGCGCGACCGCCTGGGCCACCAGATCAACCACCGTCTGGTTGGCTGGGATGTTGCTACTGCTCGGCAGCGTGCCGATCGCCATCGCGCGCTTGGTGACCTGGTCGCTGCTCGTCTGGACGGTCTCGCGGAGCGTGTCGGGCGAGAGGGGGCGGTGCTGGGAGGTGAACCAGTGGTTCGTTTCGTCGCGCATGAAGATGGCGAGGAGCATTTCGAGTTCGCCGTCGGGCTCGATGAGGCAGCGGGCGACGGTCATGACGGAGGCGGCGAAGATGCCTTCGACGTGGATGGGGCCCATGAGGGCTTGGAGGTTGGGGGTGAGGCGGAAGGGGACGGGTTCGTTGTTGTGGAGGATGGGCTTGCCGACTGCCATGGAGGGGATGAGCTCGGAGCCCCAGACGCGGCCCGAGGAGCGCGAGATGCTGAGTTTGTGGGGGTACCGCGTGTTCATGTGCATGATGTAGGTCATGAGGGTGAGGGTTGCGAGTTGGTAGCTGAAGGTACGGCGGAAGAGCCAGTAGTCCGAGTAGTTGGGGTATGTGGAGCGGAAGTAGTCGAGGAGGATGGTCTGGGGTACGTATTTCTCCTGGACAGCGGAGAAGGTCTCGAGGCGGATGCTGTTTGCATGCTCTGTGTTCTTCTGTAATTTCATATTAGCATCAATTGCATTCCCGTCATATCGCATCTTGTCGACACTTACGGGTTGCAGAGCCCTCAGCTTCTCAATGCTGAACAGAATCGGTTCGTCCTTATTCAAACCACTCTGCCGGCAGTGATCCTCGTAGATACCTTGCATGCTGATGTACGACGCGTCGTCCTGCACCATGCGGACGCTCGGCGTGATCGGCACCATGAGCGGGAGATGGAACTGGATGTTCCTCCTGCGGCTCTCCTTCCTCTTAGAAAGGATACCATTGAATATCCTGAACAATTGCAGGATCCTCTCCTCACGGCGCGAGCTCCTGGCTGCGGGGAACTGAATAGCGAACGGATGCACACTTCCATCGTGGCCCCGGATCCTGAGGCGGCGATGGCATATACCAATACCGCGCACCAGTTCGACATCTGGTAAGAACCGCTCGATGCGAACAAAGTCGGAGTTCTTGTCACGGTGCTGCAGGTACTGACCCGGCACTTCCACATCATCAAACTTGAGGAATCGGAACTCGTTGAGCTGGTGGGTGTACGACTCCAGTGGAACAACGAGCTTCCGCTTGTCGAGGCGTTCCTCGAATCGGTTGCGCCAGATTCGCAGTTTCTGGATGTACTGGAACATGGTGGGCTTGTGCTGGACGAAGTCGTTCTCGAAGGCCTTGCGGATGTGGGTTGGCAGGACGGATTCCGCGAAGCGGGTGATATTGGCCTCGGTTGACGCTGGGAGGCGAACCTCCTGAGCGTAGAGACTCGGTTGGCGACCGACGTAGGATAGACCATCGTTCAGCAGGGCCACGATAAGTCGGTAGGCATCCTCATCGGGAGGACACTTGAAGTTCTTCTGTATTTGGTCGAGCATCGTTTCCATGGACAGCGCAAGCAGAGGGAATGCGGTCTTGAGGATCGCCGAGATCTCCTCGACATGATCCCAAGGCTTCTTGACTGTGGGTGCAGGTGGCGCATTATCGACGCCGGGCTGTGGTGTTCCTTGCTGGCCTTCTTGCTTGACGACCGGACCATTAGCCGCGGGCTTGTTCTCACCACTGGCAGATGTTGGTCGATTGCCACTTGCAGACGAGCCAGGTCGCTCTGGAGAGCCCTGCTTTGGTGCAGGCGATCCCTGTTGTCCCTGCTGCTGCTGTTGCTGTTGCTTCCGAGCCGCCTCCGCCTTCTTCTCCTTCAACTCGTGATTTTTCTTCAGCACAATCATATCCTCCCTTGTGGTTCGCAAATGGCAGTACAGCGCCTGAGGATACGTCTTAGCCAACTTGCCAAGAATGTTCCTGGCGATGGGCGCCTCAGGTCTCGACAAGCTGTTCAGCAACTGCGGAATATATGTAATCCAGTACCAAGCCGGCGTATCCCCTTTGAACTCCTCGAATTTCTCCGCTAGACGGCGATCCTTGTCAAGACTGAGCAACCACAGCACGCGGCCGAGCAATTTCCTGGACTTAGCATTCTTGAACTGGCTCGCTGCTTCGAGGTAGCAGCTGAGCGCCGCCTCCGCCTTCTCCAAATTGGTCGGCTCCTCCTTGAAAAGCATGTCGTTGTATCGTCCCCACTCGGCCCACGCCTTGGGCAACTTGATGTCGAAGAACAGAGCGGTGCCAAATGCATCGTTGGCCTCGTTCTTCTGGCCCAGCTTGGCCAAGAACATGCCCTTGAGTGTGTAGAACTCGGCCTTCTGCTGCGCGCCGAAGTAGTTGAGGTTGGTATTGTTGATAACGTCCAACCCGCTATTCAGCTCGAGTTTGTTCTGGTAGTGGCACTTGGCCTGCTCTCTGAGCTTGAGGAAGGCCTCCTGGATCTCAATGTTGGGCAGCGTGTAGATCCTGCCCAATTGCTGGATGCACACGTCGGGGAGGGTGTGTTTGCGGGCGACGTGGGCGAAGCGGTTGATGATCCATGCGGTCTCGTGGTATCCTCGGTACGCGAAAGAGTTGCCACTAGCATTGTTCTGGTTCGGCGGCAGGAGGTGGAGATACACGTCGTTGATCAGACGGAAGATGTGCTGCCTCCATGTGACGAGGTCCTGCCAGGCATTGATGTCGTCCCAGAAGTTCGGCAGACGGTCGCGCCATGTACTGAGTAGCAGCTTGAGCTCTTGGGACTTGTGGTCGAGATTGGCTTGTGTGGTCTGCGCGAGGCTCTGACAAATGACGCTGGCATCGTGTAGCTCGACGAGCTGCTGGAAGTGCTGCAAGAGAGGAATGTGCGCGTTGGTGATGCGCGGCGGCAATTGGTGCCACTTGCGAATCGTCAACTGAATAGACTCGTCGCACAACCGGTGGAACTCAGGCTGCGTCTCCATCTTCGCATGCAGCTTCAGCAACGACATGAAAGTCTGGAAGAACACCCGTCGAGGCGTAGGTGCATCGCTGACAGCCTTGATCATCGAGTCCAGCTGCTCGCGCTGCTCGGTATTGTGCCATGCATCGATGTTCCGCCATGTTGCTTCCAAGAACAGATCGTTGAAATTCTCGTGCTTCGCGAAATCTCCGAGGATGTCCCACTGCTGCAACTTCTGAGCACACTGCACCCAGTGATCCTCCCAGAGCATGTATTCGCCGGATGAGAAGGGCAATACAGAGGTTCGTGCTTTGATCTGTGCTGCCTCGTACATCTGCTGTGCCTTGTCCCAGATTCCTGTCTGCTCGTACGACAACGCAGCGTTGCTCTCTATGAACTGCGACCGCCTTCGCCACGTTCCATAGAAGAGGTCGTCCTCGCCGAGATTGACGTAAACCTCCAGCAAGGCATCCAAATGAGACTCTCTAACCTTCTCGGTGTCGACGATCGGAGTGATCGCAGAATCTTCCAGATACACAGCGGTAGTGTACCACGCGCTGTATGTCCGGCCGAGGAACTTCATAATGTGCGGCGGGAACCTTACCCGCGGGACGCAATGCACGATAGCCTCCAGCATGGTGGAAATGCAGTTCGGTCGCTTATCCATCTGCCTCGTATGGTAGTCCTTTGTAAGGAGCACAACCATCGCCTTCTCAAGATCGATCTGGTCATCCTTTGACAAAGCAGTCCATGCCAAAGGCAGGAAGTTGACCCAGATGTTGTGTGCGAGATTGGTATCGGTGTGTTGGAGATGGCCGAGCGGCTCGAAGATGTCGCGGACCTTGACGTCGCCGAGCTGATTGACGAAGCGGCGGTGATTGGCGATCATGGTTTCGAGCGCGTCGTCGACCATGACATCCCCAATACGAGAATCCTTGCTGTAGGTTCCGAACACAGCGCTGGCTTGAAGTAATTTAAAGTCCTCGGGATGCAGCTGCGCAGTCGTGTTCATCTCAATGGATCCGAACATCAAATGTATAACTTGGCTGAGCCAGTAGCTCTCCCCTAGCGTATCCCAATTCTGCGACGCGAGTACATAGCTCAGGCGACTGGATGCAGTTCGGCTCAAGCTCTTATCGAAGATGGTGATGTAGCGGTTTCGCATCTCGACATCCTGGGCCCTCGTTCCGATCAGGAAGGCGTGCTCCATTCGCACCGTGAGCTCGGAGCGTGTGATCTTGGGGTCTTCGTAGATGCGGATGACAAGATCGAGGAACCTAGTAAGTAGCGACGAATCTTGCCGGCTCTCAAACAGCAACATCTTACTAAGCACAGCTGTCTTCTCCTTAAGTGTGGGCACGGGCTCGGTGGAGTGGAAGATCCATTGCTCGACGAGGTCGAGTACCTTCAAGCACACGGCATTGTTCTGCGATCGCTCAACAAGCGACGCCAGGACGCTCAAGTACGGGCGCCTATTTTCTCCAAGCTCGTTCATTCGTGCAGCAAGGATATCGATAACCTTGAGGATGAGGTCGTTCTGGATCTCAGTCTCCTTTGTATCGGCTGGGGGGTTGGCGCCGTCCTGTCGCATACCAGGGGGCCCACCAGGCTGACCCGGCATGCCGCTGTTCGAAGCGAGATGATCCTTAGCCATCTTCCCCTGGAAAGCCTTCATGATCTGAGGGATATGCTGATCGATTTCCTCGGGGCGCTTCTGGCACAATGTCCACAGGATGTTGATCGCGGAGATGTAGGAACCGTTCGAAAGTGCCTCGGTGGCCACGGCACCCAAGAAATTGATCGTCTCGGTTGATGGCGATTCCTCAACATTACCCTCCTCATCAGTAACAGGCTCAGGCATGACATCCAACAGCCGCTTAAGCGTAGGCTGAAGTGTATTTTTCCCATCTTCCGTCTCGTCGATTGCGTGAAGACTGGCCTGGACATCCGCATTCTCAGAACGAATGGGCTTGTCGAGAATCTTTTCAAACTGAGAAATGCGCTGCAACACCCATTCGTCAGGCTTGACGTTGATGATGACCTTGACGATTTGGAGAGTATTGATCATGCGGACGTTGAAAGGCTCTGCCTTCTCATCTTGCTTCAACTCAGCCATGAGGATCTCCTCGATCTTCTTAGTGAGCATGATATCGAGGTCTAGATCGCTCCAGAGACGTGGTGAGAGGAGATCGTGCAGAAGTTGAACAGCCTTCTTGCAGATCTCCGCAGGGTGCGTCGGCGCCTGGACGGCGACGGCAGCATCCTTGGGCTTGGGTGTAGCGACGGGGTACTTCTCTGGGAGGTACGCGATGAATTGGATGAGATATTTAATCAAGACCATGCGAACGTTTGGCGAGGCGACGAATCCCCTAGGTTGAGTAGTAGCCGGCACAGGTGTACCATCAGCCTTGCGCTTAGTAGCTGACGGCGATAACGATGCGCGTTCCGACGCACCACCAGCCTCGCTTGCAGTCCGTTCTTCCCAGGTTCTAATCAAGCCGATCAAGTTGAGAGCCAATTTCTTTGCCTCGGTCGACGGGTTCGGCGGCTGCGCGATCTTCTGAAGAGCCGTGATGATGATGGCGGAAAGCTGCTCGCGGGCCTCGTAGAACAGATCTGGATGGCGGACGAGGAAGTTGAAAATGCTCATCAGCTGCTGGAGATTCGAGCTCTCTTCAGACAGGATCTTGCGCGGGATCTGTGCCCACCTAGGAACCGCCTTAGGGTTTGAGTCGTTGCCGATCCGCTTCTTCAGGACGGGCGCCATGAGCTCGAGGGCTTGCATCACTAGCGACCGACCTTCGTTTTGATGTGCCTTCAACAGAGCCTGATAGACTTGTATCGCGATCTTAACGGGAGTATCGAACACGGCGATGAAGAAGGCAATGAGCACGTATGCTGCGTACTTATTGATGATGTCTTCGAGCTTGATGTAGTTCCACGCGAACTTGATGACGTCTTTACGGGCCTCTTGCATCATCCCAGAGTGATACTTGAGCAGTAGTGAGGTGAGCTGCAGCAATTCCATCCGAGAGTGATCGACGCCAAGTTGGGCGGTCTCCTCGGAAGTATCCGTCAGCGATTGAGGCATCCACAGCCGCTTGTGCATGGTGTCCGTCATTGCGCGGTCCATGAGCTTGGTGCCCCTATTGATTCCGAACAAGCTGTCCCAGTTACGCTTGATGTCCATGGCAAAGATGGGGTTGACAATGTTCCTGAATATGAACGTCTTGGTCCTCTGTGTGGTGTTGCGCGAAGTGTAAAGATCGATACACTTGTTGACGAGCGTCTTCCAGCGATCCACAGACTCGTTGCTCACGATCTCTTCATAGATGTAGTCGAATAGGCGCGTGGACGGCTTCAACTCCTCAGCAGTAACAGCGTCAATGAGCTCGAAGAAGAAATCGAGTCGGTCCGGTCCGTGAGTCATGTATGTCGTGAACACAGACATGACTTGATCTCCAGCCTGTTCAGTTGCGAGACGGAGCTCCGGATCGATCGTGTTTAGGCGAAGCTTGCTTTCCAGCGACTTCGCAGCCTGAAGAAGAGCCTTACGAACGTTCTCGTGAGACAGAAGCCACTTGTTGGACGAGTCGAACTTCGTCATGGCATAGGCGATGTGGATAGCATTAAGCTGAGCCTGGCAAACCTCTTTGTCGGTACCCTCGAATTCGAAAGATGACAGGAACTTGGGGACATCATCCATGACCTGTTGTCGAAGTGGACCACTGGCCTCACGCTCGAGCAGCTGTGCGAAGAAACGACCCTGCGTCTGGTCTTTCAGCGTCGGCGAGAAATAGTCCCATGTTTCCTTTGGATAGATGCAAAGATACTTGATGAGTGGGTCCCGGAATGGACTGTAATGCGTCCTCCTAAGCGCAGTCTCGAGCTCAATGACCTTCTCGATGAGTTGCGCGAGGAAGGTAGCCGCCGCTGGGGGCAGAAGATGGAAAACGTTGAAGATGCCCGTCACGATCTTCATCTTCGGGTTCTGTTCCACCATGGTGAAAGATATCTTCTGCAGACTCGGCCCATCGGCGATCTGTTTCATGTGGTCCAACAAACGGCTACCAATCTCCACCTTAAAGTAATTCGTAAGTAGCTTAAGGAGGCGAGCGAGACCGTCAAGATTCTCGACGGAGAGTTTGCGAGGATCTTGGAGGTTGACGAGAATGGGACGCAGACCGCTCTGCAGCACATCCTTGGGGAGCTTGTTCGTAGCTGAAATCACACCTGACAGGCCGAGGTTCGCGGCCTCGATGACCTCTGGCGATTTGGAGTAGAGACACTTGAAGAAGACGGCGATGATACGGAGGAAGGTCTGATTAGGTGGTGTGGTGCTGAACTCGGGGAAACTCTGCGCAGTTGAAAGTAGGCGAATGCATGCTACGCGCAGGTTGACAATATGATCCGCATTGCGCTGCTCAAAAGGCTTGCTGGCAAGACCCTCATCTTCTGCATCTGCTAGCGCCAGGGACTCCATAAGTAACCTGGTGAGCTGCTCATTGAACTCAAGAATGTTATTCTTGAGCTTTAGACAGAAAGTGATGGCATCGATGTACGCGATCTGGATACCAAACGGCAGAGCACGCAGAGGCTTGGTCCAAATGGGCATCACGAGTCTATCCTTAACCGGCAGGATGAGCTCGTGCACGCCGAGACCAGTCACATCGGAAAGGATATGGAAAGCCTTCTGCGTTGCGCTTCGTACGTTCTTGTTCATGTGGGACAGGTCGCCGACGAGCTGTCCGCACAACCTCATGGTAATGTTATTTGGCTTCTCGAATTCCACCTTGGAAGTTGGCTTGTGGCAGCGCTTGATCAACTCCTCCAACAAGCCTTCAGCTTGGATCCGTGTCTTAGAGTCAAGATCGATTGGCATATCCTTCATGACGAACGTCAACGCACGAATGAGCTCGAACTGGCGATTGATCATCCACTGATTACTCAGACTGAGTTTCTTGGTCATGATCTCGATACCGCGCGTTCCTCCAGACTTCATGAACCAATCTTCGCCGTGGCAGTTATGGCAGAACACCCGGGCGAGTTCGTCGAAGAACGGGAACTTGTCCAGCTTTTCTTTAGATCCAAAAATGGTCTCCGCAGTATCACGCATGGTCAGCACTGCTTGTTCAGCCGCTTCTCGAACGGCCACATGGTCGGAAGCAAGAGACTCTCCAATCGCCTCAGAGAATATGTCGCTCTCGATATGTACAGGACCTTCTCCCGAGTTCACATCGAACGGCTTCGCCTTGTGCTTAAGGATAGCAAGATGCGTGCCAACCTCCAGTAGCATGAAATGCCTAGCGAGATTCGTGACCAGCGCCTCGGCATCTGCCTTCAATTCTGGAACGGAAACTGCGAATATGCATGCTTTGAGAAGCTTCTTGAGAGTTTCTTGCTCGACGCCCTGCTTCACTATTGACTTTTCGCGCTCGGAGATGGCGAGGATGTCGGCGCCAACGTCGTACTTCCTAGCGACCATGTCATCAGCCTGTAGGCGCACGAGCTGCGCGAAGTCGTCGGGCAGGCTGTCGAATCCGACCAGCAACTTTGTGTGAGAAACGATGAGACGGAACGCTTGTTGCTTGTGGAAGGGGTCGGACTTCTTCGCGGCAGGCAGCTTGGGCACCTCGTGCAATTTGAGAATTGCAGTGTCGACACCAATATCGATGGGGAATGCTCGGTCTTTCGAGGATCCGATGAGGCGAATATCGATGGATGAGCGGTCGTCGGCAAACTTCTTGTATTCCAGCTCTGGTGGTCCAGTAATAAACTTACGATTACGGCCACCGAGCTTTCCGAGAATGCGCATCGTTGTGTGGGCATGGAAATGGCTGTATGGATTAGGCTTGAGATGTTCCCATAGAGCAGCCATGAGCTCGTCGATCACGGGCGCCATGATAGGGTCGAGATAATCCGCGGTAAGGTTGTCAACACAAAGCTCGAGCGTCCGCAGGCCCTGGCCAACGAGTTCCGATCCAGCTCTCAATGCGACAACGAGAGGCCTCATCAGGTAGCTCAAGTGCGGCAGGAGATTACTTAGTCGTGCAGGCACCGTGAGAGACAGCTCAACGAAGAGGTCCCTTTCAGCGGGCTTGCGTGCTGTGATGAGCAAGTTGTTCAGCACATCGAGGAGCATCTCGAGAAGTGGCAAGATCTCCTTGTAGAGGTGTTCGAAGCGTCCTCCACCAATGCTTCGGAACAATGACCGTAAGAGTAGGAAGTAGTTCATTGGCTCCTCTGCTGTGGTCGATAGTTGGATGGATTTGGTGATGATCTTGCTGACGTGCGGTAATAGCACCTGCTCATTGTGTGATGAGAAAAGGGTGACGGCCATGAAGGACAATTTGAATAGCCGGAGGAGAATAGAAGACTTCTTGACATCTGCAGTGCCCACTTCTTCTATGCGGTCCATGAGAAACTGAAGCAGCATTCCGGCGAAGCTGGGCGATGTCGCTTCGCTAGCGAGCAAGAACTGGGGAACGTGGAGTAACGCCGGATGATCGAACATCATGTCATACAAGTGTGGAATCTCCGACGAGAAGACTTCGTGGAAGGTGGCCGGGTCGATGTGATGGAAAACCGTTGCGAAAGCCTCCAGTAGATCCTTCTCCTCCTTGCCGCTGTTCATCATATGCTGGTTGGCCATCAGATCGCCAGGAGACAGTCCTTGTGTCTCGGATGGTTTGTCGGTCCCGTAGTAGCGGAAGACCTTTGCTCCCTCCCGGAAAAGCTTGATGAGCACTTCGACCTCCTCGGCATTATAGCCAAACGAGACTTCATGCCAGTTGGCCGAAGCATTGGCGACATCAATTTCCTCCTTCATCTTCGCAGGATTGCAAGCCCTGAGCTGGTAGAACAGATTCTTCAGTCCGTGGAGCAGGTTCTTGAACAAAAACTTGTTGTCGGCAATCGGATCTGAGCTTCGGTCACGAGGGTTCGACGTCTTTATGGGCGTTGCGCTGAAGATATCAATGTCGTCCCAGTCCGGAGGGTGGTCCTTGTCCGGCATGTGGTTCTCGGGCACCATATCAATCGATGGCTGGTTGTACTGCTGCGAAAGCTTCACTGCATTGTGATAACCGCGGTTCATCGCTCCAAACTTGTCGCCGATCGCATTCAGGATCATGATGAGGAAGTATCGTGCGTCTTCCTTCGGCTCGAGCTTAGCTATGCATTCCGCCATGTTGAGGAGTAGCTTCGCGCTCATCGTCTGGAAACTCGTCCCTGGGAAAGCGTCGTGGAGGTTCTTCGTGTATACTTCGATCGTCCGCCGTATCTGTTCTTTGGATAGGGAGTCTCGCAGGTGGTGGATCAAGTCAGCAAGCATGCTATACGCCAGCGGTCGCATTGTCTCGTAGACAGTCAATCCATCGCCGATCAGCGTCCGCTCGTCCAGGAGTTCGTCGATCTTGGTGAGGAAGATCTTGCGGAAGTTGAAATTGATGATGTGCCTTATGGCGACCAGCAACTCCTTGCGCGTACCGGATTTCTCCCTCGGGCAGTCCTTGAGTAGGCGCACTACGATGCCTGGCAGAGTCAGAAGAAAATCACTTAGCTGTTGCGCATACACCCTAAGCAAGTACGCCAGAAATGACATCGTCTTGACCTGGGCTGTGATGAAGTCGCCGAACGCCGCACGGTTCCGGATCTCTTTACTGACTCCTGTGAAGATCTTCCCCTGTGCTGCCGCTTCTTGATGTGCCTTCTCTTGCGGTTTTGCCTGGAGCATCAGCACATTCTTAATCAACGGTACGAAGAGCTTCACGTTCCGATTCACACAGTTCCTGTAGGCCTGGAACAGGGATACTACTATTATCGGACACTCCGCCAGAACCTTAAACGACTGCATTCCCTTCAGCAGCATGCGCGCCTGCTGCTGTTCCGAACCCATCTCTCCGGAGCTCGTCGAGGCGGTAGCAGGCGATCCTGGGCGCGGCGATTGCGAATACTGGTGGTGACTCGGTGTGGAAGGAATGCCCTGGATCGCGGGGGCTGGAGTGGGATTGTCGAAGGTATCTTGGACAGCTTGTTCCATGGTCTCGAACATTTCCTGGATGAGCTCGAGGAAGGGCTGCACGCGCTCCGCCAGCACTTTCGTCTGATGCCGCTGGAAATCCATAATCGTCTTCATGCAAAGCACGGCGTTGTCCTCGTTTTCAATCTTGACCAGCAGCATCAACTTGTCCACGATCTTCAGGGCGTGGGGTTCGACCGCTTCGGCGGGGTTCATAGGTAGGCGATGCAGGATCTCGAATATGCAATTCCGTATCCGCTGTTTGAGACATCAGGGCCAAATTCTCCAGCGTCCAGCCTGGTATGGGGAGAAAGGTACTCACCTGCTCCGGAGAGGTCGATATGAAAACGGGGGGTCCATCGAGGATCTTAAGAAATACTGGAACGAGGTGGTTTAGAAAGCTTGCGTAATGCTGTGGTGTGCAGAAGCTCTCGATGTTATCCCGTATGTCGATGGCTTGTGTGCCTTTTGCTCGAAGATCTACAATGTCGAGTCAAGAATTAGTCCTGGGATGCTCACAACTGGTATGTTGAACCATTTTCTGTTTTTCTAATGGAATAATATGGAGGATGGAGATGCGCCGCACCTGAACTCGGATCGTCTAGCTTAGAGGCCATGGCCTCAAAATTGTGATGCGCCGCCATGATTGCGCTCTATGCGGCAGCGGACCGCCGAAGAGCTATCGACAAGGCACCTAGCAGCCTTGGATATACGGTCCGCGAGAGGTAGTATGATAGATTTAGGATGTCGATGAGAATCGCATTCGTTCGAGTGGGCGTTGTTGCGCTTGCGATGTTGCTACAGTTCGAGGCTGCCGCGATGCACAAGACAAGATGCTGAGAATCGTTTCAATGTTGAGAATCAACTGAATTAAAAATTCCGGCGCAGGGGTGGAAAGGAAGGTAGTAGGCAAAGCAGAAGGCCGCTCAGCGCATTATAATCATTAAAGTAGGAAAGGGAAAGTAAACCCTAAGATGGAGTGTATGTGTGTAGAGGAGAGAAAGAGAGACTGGGAGGTTGTTAAGGTGTAGTGGTAGTGTACAAAGGAACTACAACTTAGTTCGTTCTGGGGGTCAGGGAAAGGCGAACGCGTCTCGTACCTTTTGCTCTCCTCTGCGCGGGCATGGCGTTGACCTGGAAGGACCTCTGGTCACGTGACTCGGTAGGCGGGACCACGGAGGTCCGATGGGGCCAGTCGTTTGGCTGCATCGCTCTCTAGTCTGACGCTAATCCCCCCGCTAACTTCCACATCCCGGCTGGTTCATTTCTTCTTCTGGAACTCGAAAGAGACAATCGACATCACACTAAGACTATCCAAAGACATCATACAAACAGACACTCTAACGACATCAGTGCTCATAGAATCTCAAATTATATCAATTTCAAGACATACATCAAAACGACCATCCACAGCTCACAGCTAAATTACGAATAATCAACACAATTTTCTTACAGCTAAGCCACGTACCCACCCAGTAACCACTTTGCCCTTCACACATCATCCATAAACGGGCATATATTCCACAAAACGAATACAGTACACTGTCTTATCCAATTTTCCCCTTTCTCCCTTTTAATGTTTTCTTTCTCGAAGACATGGACAAGACGAGACACCTCACGACCTAAATCATGATTAGAGCAAATTGTCATACAAGTAAAATGACCTAGATTAAACACGATTATCAAAGACAACTCACATCAGAGCCTCGCTAAATCAGAAAATCAAAAAAAATTAAAATAAAACACATCAAGATAGGAATCAGAATGAGAATTAGAAATATGGTGGTAATCAACCCACATCAGTTCTTGCTCACTTGGTCAGTTGAGAATTTATTGACCGTTCTTGCAGACGTATATCAAAACTTATGATGAGGTTGATCAAAAAATCAATATTAAACAAACGAAAATTAATAAAACCCCAAAATCAATTACAAATATAATGAAGATAAAGGAGGACATCTTAAAATTGAAATCAAGACACGCGAAAATGCTCTGACGTCCATTTCTCTCTGTGTGCTTGTACAATTGCCTCATCTTATACTTTCCCCGGTCTAACTTGACAAATTCACTACCGGACATGTCCTCATAGCCACACAGAAAGGTATTTCAAAAGTTATTCTATTGATCCTAAAAACCACATATCGTGTCTTTTTTCTTATTTACATACTACAGTATGTCATAAACCCCCCATCCTTCCCTCATGCGTCCCTCAAAACCAAAACCGCAAAAAAATGAATGATAAACAAACCAACTCCATACACATGACATTCCCGACTCCCAATCCACCCAACCCATTTTTACGATACATTTTCGTTTATAAGCTGCGAACGATGACGATGACGTTCTATCCGACCCAGCGTCTCGCGCTCCTAAACATACGACTCCATGGCCCCAATTCACCCCACTCCTCCATCTTGCCGCGCGGGATGTAGCTCGCGACCTCGCGGACGATCGTGCGCTCGGGGTGCGGCATGAGCGCCAGGACCTTCCCGTCCTCGCTGCGGACGCCCGTGATGCCGAGGGGGCTGCCGTTGGGGTTGAAGGGGTAGGTTGTGGTGGGGTTGCCGCGGTTGTCGACGTAGCGGAGGGAGACGAGGCCCGCGTTTGTGAGGGTTTCTGGGGATGTGGTGGCGGAGGGGGAGGACGGGAAGGTGGCGCGGCCTTCGCCGTGGGCGGTGACGATGGGGAAGCGCGAGCCGTGCATGCCGTGTAGGAAGACGGAGGGGGAGGGCGCGGAGGGGGAATCGGTGATTTCGACCATGCAGACGCGGGCTTCGTATTGCTCGCTCGCGTTGCGCTCGAAGGTCGGCCAGAGGGAGGCACCCGGGATGAGGGTCTTGAGTTTGGAGAGGAATTGGCAGCCGTTGCAGACGCCGAGGGAGAAGGTGTCTGGGCGGGAGAAGAAGTCGGAGAACTCTTTGCGGGTGTTTTGGTGGAAGAGGACGGATTTCGCCCAGCCTTGTCCGGCACCCAGGACATCGCCGTAGGAGAAGCCGCCGCAGGCTGCGAGGCCGACGAAGCCGGCGAGGGAGACGCGGCCGGAGATGATGTCGGTCATGTGTACGTCGATGGCGGAGAAGCCGGCCATGTGGAAGGCGAAGGCCATTTCTGCTTGGCCGTTGACACCTTCTTCTCGGAGGATGGCGACGCGGGGTTTAGATGTGAAGGCGGAGGAGATGGAGGTCTTCAGGGGCAGGATGGTGTCCTTGGGGTTGAAGGTGAGGTTGTAGGAGAGACCCGGATCTTTGTCGTCCTTGATGTTGGCATACTCGACGTCTGCGCACTCGGGGTTGTCACGGAGTCGTTGGATCTGGTGGGATGTGGCTGCCCATCGTTGTTGTAGGGATGAACGGCTGGCGCGGTAGATGATCTTGGATCCGTATGCGAGCGAGATCTCCTGCTTGGTGCTCTCTGGGACACGTCCAATCTTCTTGATCATTCCCGGGGGTGGTCCGCAAGTAGCGAAGCAGCGGTTGAACTCGACCTCATCCTTCTTGCGGATCTGGAAAACGGCACCAAGTTCTTCGTTGAAGAGGGTCTCGATGACATCCTTGGGATCCGAAGTACGTGCGATGCCGTCCATCATGATCTCGAGACCACATCGGCCGGCAAACATCATTTCCGCGAGAGTAGTGAACAAACCACCATCAGACCTGTCGTGGTAGGCCAAGACGATGCCAGAATCGTGGAGCTGTTCGACAGCGTCGTAGAAGTCCTTCAGGACATCCGCATCGTAGACATCTGGGGCCTCGTCGCCCACTTGTCCGAAAGTCTGAGCAAGCGCGGAACCTCCCATGTGCTTCTTGCCAGCGGCAAGATCAACGAACATGAGGACAGTCTCGCCGACATCTTCAATTCGTTCCAGGGCGGGAGTCCATGTGCGGTCGGTACGGTTCACTGGAGCGAAGGCAGTGATGACGAGCGACATTGGTGCAGTGACCTCCTTAGCAGCCTTGGTCTCGGCGTCGGACCACTTCATCTTCATGCTCATGGAGTCCTTTCCGACGGGGATGGAGATGCCCAACTTGGGGCAAAGATCGATACCGATGGCTTCGACAGCTTCGTACAAAGCAGCTCCCTCACCAGGGTGGCTGCTGGCCGACATCCAGTTGGCGGACAATCGGACCCTTGATAGCCTGTCGAACGTGCTGGCTGCGGCCAAGTTCATCAAAGACTCAGCAACAGCCATACGAGCAGATGCGGCGGGGGAAATGAGTGCCAGAGTGGGCTTCTCTCCCATAGCCATGGCCTCTCCGGTCCTGACACCTGCCATCAAAGAGGTGGCAGTGACGGAAACGTCAGCGACAGGAGTCTGCCACTTGCCGACCATCTGGTCTCGGACGGTAACACCACCGACGGTACGGTCTCCAATGGTGATAAGGAAGGATTTCGAGCCTACAGCAGGGAGGGTGAGTACACGATCCACGGCTTCGGGGATTAGCGCATCCTTGGGGGTGTCTGGGATGTAAATAGACAAGCTGCTGTCGAAGGCTGGGAGGTGGAGCTTTCGAGACTCTACAATACGAGACATCTTGGGTGGCTTTCCGAAGAGAACAGGCATCGGCAGATCGATGGGCTTGGGGTGGTCTTTTGACTCGCGGTCAGTGAGGACGAGGCGCTGCTCGTCTTTTGCAGTTCCCACAACCGAGTATCCGCACCTCTCACGGTGGCAGATCTTCTTGAAAAGTTCAAGATCGTTGGGCCCGACAGCGAGAACATATCGCTCCTGGGCTTCGTTACACCAGATCTGAAGAGGGCTCATTCCTCGATCAGTGCTGTCAATCTCTCTCAGCTCGAAGACGGCACCGAGCCCAGAGTCGTGAACAAGCTCGGGAAGAGCGTTGGAAAGACCTCCCGCTCCGACATCGTGGATGAACAGGATTGGGTTGGTATCGCCCATGGAGCGGCAAGCATCAATGACTTCCTGTGCTCTCCTCTGCACCTCTGGGTTGCCTCTTTGCACACTAGCAAAGTCCAAATCAACCTTGCCCTCGCCAGATTGAATGCTTGAAGCAGCACCACCGCCGAGACCAATAAGCATGGCTGGTCCACCAATGACCAGCAGGTGGGAGCCAGCTGGCACGATATCAGGATCTTTGAGAGCATGTTGGGGTCGAACGGTTCCAACACCACCAGCCAGCATGATAGGCTTGTGGTATCCACGAATTTCCGTTTCTTTCTCATTCGTGAAGACTTTCACGAGGAGCGTCCTGAAGTAACCAGTGGTGCAAGGGCGGCCAAATTCGTTGTTGAATGCGGCACTGCCGATGGGGGCCTCCAACATGATATCAAGACTGCTTGCGATATGTGCAGGCTTGCCAACGTCTTTCAACTCCCAAGGTCGATCGAATCCAGGGATGAGGAGGTCAGATACAGTGAATCCAGCCAATCCAGCCTTGGGCTTAGATCCACGTCCGACGGCTCCCTCGTCACGGATCTCACCACCAGAGCCAGTAGCAGCACCGGGGAAAGGTGACACGGCTGTGGGGTGGTTGTGTGTCTCGACCTTGCACAAAATGTGCACTGTCTCCTTCGTTCCCGTCCATTCTCCAGTAGTGTAGTTGGGTGCCCAGAAAGCGGCCGATTCTCCCTGAAGAACAGCGGCGTTGTCACTGTACGCGCTCACGACGTGCTCGGGATGCTTCTGGTGTGTGTTCCGGATCATGCCGAACAACGAGTATGGCTTCCGCATTCCGTCAATGGTGAAGTCGGCGTTGAACTGCTTGTGCCTGCAATGCTCTGAGTTGACCTGAGCAAACATGAAGAGCTCGACGTCTACAGGACCTCGCTTCAACTCCTGGGTGTATGCCTCAACCAAGTATTGGATCTCAGAGGCGTCCATGGCCAGACCCAATTCGCGGTTCGCGTGCTCCAATGCTTCCTTGGGAGTTCCGTACTCCTCGAAGCTCAAGGTTGTAGCCGGAGCAGGGTCGTGCTCGCCGAAGATAAGCTCTAGGTTGGGCGCATCGCGACTGATGGTCTGGGTCATCCGATCGTAGAGGGTATCTTGGTTGGGGATGGAGTCAGACTCGAGGGGCTTGTCGAAGGTTGCGGCGAAGACTACACCACGCTCGATGCGTTTTACGGCATCTTCGAGGGTGCAGGTTCGTGCAATCATGGTTGCGAGCGAGCTCCATGGCGAGATCGTTCCGGCTCGAGGGCAAACGTAGAAGAGCGAGGTGTTGTCGTCTTTCGGGGCGCTGTTGTTATGGATCGCATCTAGTAAGATCTGGGTGAGTCGATCCTGGGTATCCGGATCCTCGCCATAGTGGAGGATCTGCTTCAAGGTATCCAATTCCCTCTCGTCCAAATCTTTCAAAGGGTTGACGAAATGAAGCCAGACGGCGCGGACGTCAGTGGCTCCAATCTTGCGGGCAAAAGCCTTGAGACGAAAGTCGGAGAAGGCCGAAGAGCCCGGAAGGATCAAATACGGATCCCCGGAGGAGGCCATGTTGCAATGGTCGGACTCAGAATTCGTGGAGGCGTTGGAGAGAAAGTCACATCGCGGGGTTCCACATAAAAGTTTTGGAGGGGTCTCTATCGATCAAAGGCTTTTTTAGCGCTAGCGTGGACCCTTTCCACTATCCAAACAGAATTATCACGACCAACCCAAGCAATAAGAGATGGAATATATTAATCTGTACTTGGAGTCTTGAGATGAAACTAGTATTGTTTTCTTGACATCAAAATAAATGAAAATTGTATTGATGGTGGTAGTTCAGTACTACAGCCATAACAGACCCATCGGCCAAACATGACTCAATTTAGAACAGCAATGCAGGAAAAATCAAGTGCCGGTGCATCATGCATGCTAGATGCAATGTTTATTTTGATTTATTTATATGTGAATCAATTCCGATCTGTTGATCACGCCGTTCATTTTGTGGGATAAAGGCCTCCAAACGGCTTTGCCTGCCGTGGTGATTCATCGTCTGTGTCTGATGCTTCATCCTCATCAAGTTCAGGACCGAGCTCATCTCTGTTGTCTCTCCCCCCCACAACATAAGCTTCTTTGACAGCAGCGAAGCCGTCTCCCTCAATGTCATCTTCATCATCATCATCATCGTCGTCGTCGTCATCGTCATCGTCATCGTCGTCGCCATCCTCGCCCTCGTCCACATCTTCATCTTCATCTTCGTCGTCTTCGCCTTCACGCATGATTGCGTCTGCCGTGTCCTGGGCCTCTGTGAAGTCCTCCGGAATTTCCTCGTCTTCGTTCGGAGCTGAATCCTCCTCCTCTAACTCTCCCTCTACATCGCCACCCGTGCTTTGGTTGCCCCTTTGCCCACGTTCTTTCTCCTGGTTTTGCATCCTCTCAAAAGCATACCGGGGGTTTCTAGCAGCGCAACGGACATTGTACATGACGATGTGCTCTCGCGCCTTCTCCTTCTTGAGCTCTTTGTCGGTAGTCTCACTCCTATACGTTTGGGCCATCTCTCGGTCGTTCCACTTAGAAGGCCACTGTAAAACGCGTTGGTAGATGGAATTGTCCGGCTTTTGACCGCTGATAATTGTATTCATCTTATCCTTCATTATGACTGTAGCTTTAGCCCACGTTCCGATGTGGTACCAGCCAGGGAACGTAGGGGCGCAAGTATCGCGTATGTCGCGTGTGTCTAGGATCTGGCGGATGAGGGGATCCGTGATGTCGCAGAATTGGAATAGATTGCCGGTCTCGGAGAACGTAACGCCGTCGAAGATGTGTTCGGTGGCAAGCCGTTCGGGTGAGGTTCGTGCGAGCTCACGCACATGCTTGTCGAAGTTGAGTCTACTGCGGGTGGTGCCAATCTTGAGGAAGGAGATGAAGGAGATGGTTTGATAATGGCGATATCTAGGGTCTGTTCGGGGATCAAGGCCCCAGACGATGAGGGCCTCTCGCCAGGGACCGCTGGTGAAGAAATATCCACAGTAGACGGCGGCCTCTCTGATACGTTCGCGCTTGTCCCAGCCAAGTCTGTTGAATAATAGATGGCGAGTGATGATGGGACGTTTTCTGAGCTCAGCTCTGATTTCTGCAATGAGGTCTGTGATGAAGGGTGTTAAGGTGTGCTCTGGAGGGATATGTGATTTAGGACCTGTTGGTACTGATTTAGCGGTTGGTGCGATAAGGTGGTAGCCATCGACCGTTAGTCGTTTTTGCACATTGACTTCTTCGCGTCCGTCTCCAGTGTACTTTACGAATGGATTCTGTTGGAATCTACCATTCCATTAGCCGAGCGTCAATAGAGAATATGAGGGTACTAACTTGTAGTTGTAATGCACCGGCATTTGGAAGAATTCAGGGGTAAGACCGACATATCTGGTCAAGTCTGACCCAGGCTCTGTGTTGAATTTCCAGTCCTTGAGCTGGGAGTCTGATGGGGTGTGAGCATTGAACGATCTGTGATACAAATTTTGAACTCACAGCGAAGGGGAAGCAGGTGCTCCTTAATGTCAGTCAACTCCTTGTTACCTTCAGACGCCCACTGAATATCCGGCAGGGCTGACTGGTTAGTACATGGAAGAACTATTGTAGCTAGAGGTAGGATGCTGACGTACTTCTAAATCTATGTGACTCGTCTATCACACCGACCGGGACGACGCTGTACTTTGACGCATTATCTTGGATACTGCGGAAGATGATGCGTGCATCGACATATGGGTTAGGTGGTGCTGAGCCGCCCTCCGCCGTACCGTCATCGTGAAGGAACGGATCATTCGAACCCTTCTTCCGCTTACGACCGGTTCGCTTGGGTACTGTGATCTTGAGCAGTAGGTTCTTGGTAGACACCGGGGTTGCAGTAATGCGCTTGGCGAGAGGGTCGTCTGGTCGCAAGGAAGCAGAGACGTTCCGAGGAAGATAGATTTGTGGATTTTCAGCGTCTTCGATCTCATATTCAGGAATGGGTAGGGGTTGGGATCGAAGAATCTGGAAGAAATTTTGTCAACGGTCTCTTCTTATGAGTTTCATGGTGAGCATTGTGGGTTTTCTTACTTTACTTAATGCGACATGGCCACCCAGAGACTTGATGCCTTTGTCGATGTTTTTGATGATGCTGGGATGTTCGATTACGGTGATAGCACGTGAGGGGATATCAAACGACGGAGCCAATTGATCATTGTGAGTGGAAGTGTCTGTTGGGGGATTTAAGGTTTGTACAGAATCCGGGAGGTTCTGGTCCATGATAGATGGGGGCCGTATTAGTGGTTGTAGTCGTGGTATGGCGGTATTGGTGTCATTGGTGGTGGTGAATAAAATCCAGGGATTCGGTGGTAATCAATATAGCGTATCCGCAGTGGAGCATCAATCTAGGAAGCAAGAAGTCCTGGCACGATGAGTGTTATGAGTGAGGAAATGATACCATGTAGATGTCATTGTATGGTTTGGGTGTTTCTCTTGTATAATTACCTAGTCAGTGATTGTTGTGTGTTGTGTGTCTTGTGGAAATTGTCATGTCTTTGGTTGTTCATGTTTTGGTCGTCGAATGAGGGCAATTATCGGCGAAGCACGGACTATGAGGGATGGGCCAATCACATCAATTCAGGCCATGGGAAGGGAAGAGACCAGACAGAAAGATACTGATAGAGAGAGACAAACACCAATACCTATAGGGAGATACTAACTGTCAAGCATTGAGACATATACATAGAGAGAGATTTGAGCGACATTGGGAATGTGTGACCCAGAGGGATACAAAGGGATATAGAGAGAAACAGTGAATGCTCATCCATTAGTTACCAGGGGAGGAACCTCCTCGTAGGTACATGCTCTACTGTGTACTCAACAACACAAGTACTGACAAGTCACGCTCACCTATCATTTACTACTAATAATTACCTACGAGTACCTATATAGATATTGTACCTGGATACCTATAGTTACCTGATATGTGTGTTTGTACGAACAATTATATAGTGACAACTCAAAACTACTACTTACGTTGTATAGTCTATTAGGTACGAGGTACCCAAGTACCGTGTATATACACTCCAGCAGCAATACCCTCATTTCCTCCTCTCATTCTATTCGTAAGGTTTCGTCTCTACCTCAATCCTTCTGCATCCTCTATTCACTTCTCCTCTCTGCTGCCTACCTCATCAGTTTCTTCTAGGCACGACACACGCACACACACCCAGACACTTCACCTCCGATTCACGACCAACGACCAATCCCGCCTAGCCTCCTCTTCTGTACCCTACTTTACCTCATTACCCCGTTTCATCATCACTCTAGTATCATCGTCCACCATCCTCATCATCTACTCCGGTACCATCATCATTATACGAGTGGTCATCATCATCATCATCGTCGTGTTTCTCCTCTTCTGTGGCTTGTTGCTTGTGGTGGCTGCTTCGTCACTTGGCTCCCGCTGGCCTCCTGACCCCACACCCACACCCATACATACGCACACACACATAAGGGTAATAGCTTGTGTGTTTGTGCATTGCGCTGGTGCTATTGCTATTGCTATTGCTGGTGCTGGTGCTGCGTCTGTTGTCTGCAGTGTGTGTGTGTGTGTGTGTGTGTGTGTGTGTGTGTGTGTGTGTTGCTGCACTGCTTCTACGCCAATCTCGCCCGTCCTCCCGTGGATCTCCTCCCCCAAGCTTCCAACCTTACCCTAACTCAGTACTACTACCACCATCACCTACCACCTACCTCGTACTTCACACACTCACTCTACTCTCTCTACCTCACCTTAACTCAACCTCGACCTCTCCCATCAACCACGATCCAAATCCGAATCCAATCCTTTCCTATCATACTCTACATATCCCATCCCATTCCATTCGGTCCCCTCCATGTTCGTCTAGTCCGCCTGCGCTTCTACACCTACTCCTCACTCCTCACTCCTCGTCTCTCTCTCTCTCTCTCTCTCTCTCTCTCTCTCTCTCTCTCTCCTCATTCTCTCCTCACTCTCTCCACCACTGCGCGTCCTTCGCACTTCGATCGTGTCGACAATCACTCCGTACACTCCTACTCTGACCTCCTCGTTACCGTCCTGCTCCCCAAGGCGGCTCTCACGAAAAGCGTAACCCACATTGGGTTCCTCTACACGCCCTCTGATAATAATTTCGCGCCGCCAACGGTGCATTTGCGCCGGTCGCAGTCATGAAAGGCTTCAGGCAGAGGGTTGTAAGTCCATCCTCGTCTCGCTTTCGCTTTCGCTCTCGTTGTCGTACTCTCCCTCGGTGTCGCCATCCTGGGGTTCATATCTCTTCACCCCTTCCCCTCGCTGCCCCTTCCCGTGGTCACCGCTCACAGCTCAACGACGGCTGTATCCGCCCCCCCTTCCCCGCTGGCGTGTCCACCGCCTGACGCACTCTACCCCTCCCACCAATGCGCAAATGCTAACATGCTCAGCACGAACAGCTCTCAAGAGCGAAAGATAACAAGTCGTCAAAGAAGAAAGACTCGAGTCCCGGCACTTCGTCCCCTTCCCATGGCTCCACCCAGTCTCCCTCAGGCTCCGCACAGGCGACCCCTTCGTCGTCGCAGACCCAACTCGCAGATACCCGTAATAAGCCTCTTCCTTCCGGCGATAGCTCTGGCAGTGTAAACACACTGCAGTCACAACAGTCGGGCCCCTCGAACAACTTGAGTGGTGGAGCACCGTTCGCGGGACAGCCAGCCTTTGGCGGCCAGGGCAATGCAGGTGCTTCTGGTCCTGGCACACCGCACAGAGCAGGACAACCACTTGCACCCAGCGTTGTCATCAGTCCAAGTGCACCGGTAAGCGTTAATCGTTCCTATATTGTAAAGAATCAAATTGTATTAAAGTGAAATGCAGACTAATTCGGCCAACATTCAGCACATCCCTCCTCCAGGAGCCGCCGAGACTATGCCCGGCGACCTCCTCCCTCCCAAGGCCGGCCAAAAGTCTTTGATATTCGATCGTCTCCAGACCACACCGAAAGACAATGTCGAAGGTATCCGGACGCCAAAGAGGCAGCATTCGTCCCGATTCGACATCTCGGACCAGCGCCAACGTGACCTGGAAAAGCTCCCTGGCTTCCACGAAGTGCCACCAAACAAACGCGAGGACCTGTTCATGCAAAAGATCGACCAATGCAACATAATCTTCGATTTCAACGATGCCAGCGGGGATATGAAGTCCAAGGAAATCAAGAGGCTCGCCCTGCACGAGCTCCTCGACTACGTTGCTAATAACCGCCAAGTCATTACGGAGAAGATGTACCCTCGTGTTGTGGATATGTTCGCAAAGAACTTGTTCCGACCCATCCCGCCTCCGATGAACCCTCAAGGCGAGGCTTTCGATCCCGAAGAGGACGAGCCCGTTCTCGAAGTGGCCTGGCCCCATATCCAGGTCGTGTACGAGTTCTTCCTTCGATTCATCGAGAGCCAGGACTTCAACACCAACATCGCGAAGGCTTATATCGACCACAGCTTCGTGCTGAACCTACTCGAGCTTTTCGACTCGGAAGATCCCCGAGAGAGAGATTTCCTAAAGACGACTCTGCACAGAATCTACGGCAAATTCCTCAACCTTCGCTCTTATATTCGTCGCTCCATAAACAACGTTTTCTTCCAATTCATCTACGAGACGGAACGATTCAATGGCATTGCTGAGCTCCTCGAAATTCTCGGCTCCATCATCAACGGTTTCGCCCTGCCCCTCAAAGAGGAGCATAAACTGTTCCTCACCCGCGTTTTGATACCATTACATAAAGTGAAAAGTTTGAGCATGTACCATCCACAATTGGCATACTGCATCGTCCAATTTTTAGAGAAGGACGCCGCATTGACTGAAGAGGTATTGTAGACACTACGTACAGATATATTCAGATTGGATGCTAATGGTGCGTTTAGGTTGTCCTGGGACTGCTTCGATACTGGCCCAAGGTTAATAGCACCAAGGAGGTCATGTTTTTGAACGAAGTGGAGGACATTTTCGAGGTCATGGACCCTGCCGAATTTGCAAAGGTCCAAGAACCATTATTCAACCAATTGGCCAAGTCGGTTGCCAGCCCACACTTCCAGGTATGTCACGCGCATCCCCCACGACTAACGACCTCTTTGCTGACGGTTTCCCAAGGTTGCCGAGCGAGCTCTGTATTTCTGGAACAACGAATACTTCTGCAATCTCGTCAGTGATAATGTCGAGGTTATTTTGCCCATCATGTTTGCGCCTCTGTACGAGAATTCTAAGGGACACTGGAACAGGTATGTTTACATTTTTTTCGAGATAGTGAGTATGTGAAGCTCACCAGCCGTAGGACGATTCATGGAATGGTGTACAATGCGATGAAGTTGTTTATGGAGGTCAACCCGCAACTCTTTGACGACTGCTCGCACGACTACGCCGAATCGCAAAACAATGCCGCGGAGATCAAGCAAAACCGACAGAACAGGTGGGACCAGCTGCAGAAGCTGGCAGAGGCGAGGCAGAACGGCACGGCAACGAGCACGGCACCGCCGAACTCGGCCAAGGTCAGCTCGCCCATGAGGATAGACGATTCAGACCCATTGAGCCAGGACAGCCAGCGGCGCCTAGAAGCATTGAGACTGCAGGATGACGGGCTTGCAACGAACCGGCGGCCCCAAGAGTTTGAGCGGCAGAGTAGCCAGACATCGGTACGTTGATTCTTAAGTCCTTAGAACTCAACAAGTGGGATGAGCATCTTCTACGGCCGAATCAGTGTACTTTTAATCCTATCCCTAGACTCTTTCCAAAAAGGTCCTTCATTTTTCCGTTGTTCAGTCAGACTTGCATATTGGATTCGGTTTGATGATCTGACTTTTGTGTGCTTTACCTTTCTGCAGCGGCAGCAGCAGCGTCGACATCATGCGTCGTCATCGTCGTCGTCGTCGCAATCTCAGGAGGATTCGCATCACTCACGGCGGTCGTCTCGCCCGAGGAGTAACTCTCGACCTGGCTCGTCGGGTCACCCTCAGGTCCATCACGCCCACACCACGACGTCCTCTCGCAGCTCGGGCGGCAGCCGTGGACATGTGCGATCCAGTTCTGGCGGGACTATTACACGCGTAGCGTAGCGTTAACTTTTTCTTCATCCATCTGTCTCCGTTGCCTTCATGCTGTTGGGCCTGCTTTTTTGTGTCTTTGGGTTTGGAAATTCAAGGGGCTTCTTCCTTTTTTTTTTGCTCAAGAGGAAACATTTGCACTTACCACAATTACATTTGACTTGTTCCCTTTTTCTTCTTCTCTTCGATTCGTGTTTTTGTTCCATTAACACCGTTTGATTCGGGTGTGGGGTTCGGAGTTGGAGTGGTCTTGTTTGCTTCGATGAGCCCGAACATTGCCTATTTTTATCATACTTACTTGAATCTCCGTCTTCATCGTCCTCTTTCTCCTCCCTCCTCCTCCTCATCCCTCTTCACCCTTCCTCTCCTCTTTTCTCCCGTGTCAATATGACCCAATACTTCCAACATCCCAACGCACCACACAAGCAGATAACGCGGCAGGACTAACACAAACCCCCATCTCACGCGACCGCACCCCACACCCATGACCTCGATTTCACCTTCATCCAACCCCTTTTCCCTTTTGTAACTTCGACGTACACTTCAGCACTCTTCTTGTGACATAGACATATAATATAGATATACACACACTAACTCCTTCATCCCTCAATCTCTCGACAACCCCTTCCCCTCGCTTCAACCTTTCCTTCTCATCCACCACCACCACCACAACCGCCACGAGATGTATAGATGGCTGGATATGAAAGCGTGTTACACTCTCCTACGTACGGTTTGATGGCCAGTCTAGTCCGTGTCTTTGGTGTGCTACGCCGCGTTGCATGTACCGTTTTGCTGGTGTGATGGCGGGTCTGGGAGTAGATAAGACGGGCGCTAATTGATCTTGTGGTGTTTGATACTCTAGGTTTTCTAACGTGTGTAGGAGATTCGTACATGGAGGGGGGGGGGGGTTTGGGACGTTTTTGGTTTGGGGCTGCGTTGGTGTTGTTGGTGGGTTAGTTGTGATTTTCTTGGGTAAGATCCTATGGGTGCGTGAGCTCTATTTATCTGAGCACGTTGACGGTTTTCTTGGGGGTTATTGGGGTTGTTTGCTGGTGTAATGGGGTTGGGGTTGGGTTGATATCGTGAACATTGTACGTATGTAAGTAATGTGGATTGTGCGTGAGGACGGGGGGATTGGTGTTAGTCATGGGAAGGGGGGAAGTAAGTGTACGTGGGTTGGTGTGCTGATATGCATCTTATGGTCTGTAGTTTTACCATTACTTTTTCGTCTTCTTTGTATAGCAAGTGCACTCGTGTGGATGGGTAGATGTTATGTTGTGTTATGTTATATTCCGTTGGTTTGAATTCGTCGACTTGCCGTGGATGGGTTGGTGATGAGGTTACAATGGTAGAAGGTTAGTTAGTTCATAGATGTATGCATTTGAGGGATTCGAGAAGATGTCGATTTCACGTGTCCGCTCAGTTCATATCATTCTGTATGTGATGGAGTGGAGGTACTGTGTGCAATGCCATATGTAAGATAAGGACGATGCAATGCAACTGTTCGAAGTATGGTTGTAGGGGGAGGGTGGTAAGTATGTACATAAGTACTTGGTAAGTAGATAGTGCGTGTATGTATGTATGCTTGTGTGTGTATCCGGGAGTGTGATGTCACGTCAGGTCATTTGGTTAGCAAACAGTTAACAGACAGATCTAACACTTCTCGAACGATTTCACATGTCTAAGCAACCCTTCTATTTATTTTCACATGTGATGGGCAAGTCGTCACGACATCGTGAGTCCGTGACATCGTACGAATTGAACTGCGTATCAAAATCGACAAAAGGGGGTTAAAGGGGTTTCTTTCTATCAGCAGCAAGCACATAGCTAGCAGCCAAACAGCCAGACAAATAGCTATTCAGACATGTGTACATGTGCGTGTACCTAGGTATCACAGACCGTCCAAGTAAACAGCAAAGCAATTGATTAATCAACTAAATCCCCACATACAAGTCAACTACATTTCGGCATCGGGCAACGAATTTCGCACGCCGCGAGGAAGGGAAGTGGTCTAGTCCTTCCGCCGCAAGCAGTACCGTTTTGGGACGGGAGGTATAATTTACTGTTTACATGGGGGAATAGGGTATAGGTAATTACTTAGGAGATTTATTATCGTGTGTGTCTACTTGGGGAAAGGAAACGAAGGAGAGGATAGGGGGTTAGGGGGAAGGTGATTGGGTGGAGGGGCTGTTGATTGGATTGAAAGTTGTTGTTAAGGGGATGGGGAGATTGAGCCTCGGTTCTTGGCGGTGGGCTTTGATTCGTTGGATTGGTTGCTGTGTTTGGTGTTTTGATTTGTATGTTTAGTGAGCGAGTTGAGTATGTTGGCGTTGATTTTATTCTCGTTGTGGCCATGGGCGAGTATGATTAATCTCGGGGGTAGGGCTGTTGTCGTGGTCGTCGTTGTTATGTTTTGGTATCTTGTTGTTGTTGTTTTTGGGTGTCACGGCCGTTGCAATTACAAGTTGATCGTATAAAGTTAACCCCGATATGGTTAGTATTGTTGTAAGATAATATGATAAGTTACGGTAACTGACTAATTTAGTCAGATCAAGTAAGCGAGCGTTTGATTGGCTCGACCCCTTTCCCTTTCCGATCAACCCGACGTAGGCAGAGGAGAGGAAGGAAAAAAAAGACGGAAGGAGGGGATGAACGTCCGCCCGGTCGCTCTTACCATTAATTACTACCTAATTACTACGCCTAACACATCTACTCCTAGTTGCTCCTACTCCTAAGGCGATTACTAGTAATCCCAACTATCTATCCTCCCGACTCCCTCTTCTTCCTCTTCTTCTTTTCTCTTCCACCTCCACCTCCTCCTCCTCTTGCTCTTCTTCCTCCTTCACGTCCTTCTTTAGGCCATTGCTGCCACTCCTTTCTTTCTTCCTCTGTTTCTACGATAGACTACACCTCCTCGTCGTACTGCGGTTTCCCCGGACGCGCCCCTGTTGATTAATTTTCCTCCGAAAGCTTCGTCAACACCACATCACAAACCTCCCACGGCTCAATTCACCACCGTTCGCAATGTCTAAACCAGACTGGATCCAATATGGCGTTCCCTCGCTCGACCGCCCCTTCGGTCTCGAGTTGTGGCCCATCTTCGAGGTGGCCTTCGAATCCGCTATGGGATACAAACCCCAGGACTTCCGCTTCACTCCGGGAGAGACCCCAATCTCCACCCTGAAGACCTGCAGCGCCATTCTCCTCTCCTACTACATCGTTATCTTCGGTGGACGCGAGTTGATGCGCGATCGCCAGCCCCTGCAGCTCAGCTTCCTCTTCAAGGTCCACAACTTCTACCTCACTGCCATCAGTGCCATTCTCTTGGCCCTCTTCGCTGAGCAGATCATCCCCACCGTCGCAAGGCACGGCATCTTCTTCGCTGTCTGCGACCATGCCGGTGGCTGGACCGACAAGATGGTTATCTTGTACTACGTATGTCTATCTTGAAATGTGGATTTATTCTCTTCTCTAGACGATTCCGCTGACATGACGATAATAGCTCAACTACCTCACCAAGTTCCTCGAATTGCTTGACACCTGCTTCCTGTTCCTCAAGAAGAAGCCATTGAGTACGTACAGTCCCGAAAAACTACCCGATACTTTTTTCTGATTTCTCATAGCCTTCCTCCACACCTACCACCACGGTGCTACCGCTCTCCTCTGCTACACCCAGCTCATCGGCCACACCTCCGTCTCATGGGTCGTCATTACCTTGAACTTGACCGTCCACGTCGTCATGTACTGGTACTACTTCCAGAGCGCCCGCGGCATCCGCATCTGGTGGAAGAAGTACATAACCATCATGCAGATTGCTCAGTTCGTTTTGGATCTTGGTACGTCAGACTCGTAATATCTACCATGGTACAATTTCTAACACAATCCAGGCTTCGTTTACTTCGCTTCTTGGACCTACTTCACCAGCACCTACTGGCCATGGCTCCCCAACGCCGGCAAGTGCGCCGGCGAGGAGTTCGCTGCCATCTCCGGAATCTGCATCCTCACCTCGTACCTCTTCCTCTTCATCCTCTTCTACTTCGCTACCTACAAGAAGCCCGTCCCCAAGGGCCGCCGCAGGGCTACCAGCGCTTTGGTTGAGATGAAGGATGAGAAGGTACCCACCGTCGGCGAAGCCCGCAGACGGTTGTCCCAGGGTGCTCATTCGCTTTCTAACGGTGTTGCCACTGCTACAGGTGCCAGCCCCAACGGACGCGTCACCCGCAGCCGCAAGGCTTAAGCGAATTCCGGGGAATCCCCTCGAATCCAGCACTAGAGGCGGAGCTGCGTACTAAGCCGACGTCATCAAAAGGGGTCGAAAGATTACCTGAGTGGACGGTCGCGGACGCTCGCTCATCGACACGACTACGCATGCTCCTTCGCCGCGACGAAAATCGACAAGATGGGGATCCTCTCCCGAGGCCCATCCCCAACTCAGCCCCACCTTCTAATTCTGAAGTTTTTTTTTTGTTTAAGCCTCATGTGAAGAACTCCCCGGTGGGTTCTTCGCATGCTCTTTTCTTTTTGTTCCAAGTTCATTTTCGTATCTCTTGTAATCACCACGCGCTTAACTCATTTATTGTTTTATTGGCATGAATGATTGATCGAATATCATAGAAAAACTATTTGTATCTGGATGACCAAGACGTCATGTGTAAGATCACGGTGGGAGGTTATCTGCAGTCGGCATGAAGCAGCGAGATGGTGCCATCGGAAGTGGAGGGCCTCACGGGGGGATAGAGCTAGAATATGCATGGAGGACGCACTCATCTGGTCTCGTTTGAACAGTAGAGTTGCTCTTTGACAAGGCCATGGATAATGGAAGGGGCAACAGGAGACTAGATGAACGTTGCATGTTGTTGTCCGAGTGGAACGGAAGGGCGACGAGAAAGCAACAGAAAAGAATGAAAATCAAATGCAACAATTGGACTCTACAACTCTAAAGTGACTTGTTCGTTCTGATCATCTGGAGTTGTCAATTGTTCAAAATGACTCGTAATCCGCAATCCGAGAATCCACAATCTGAGAAGGTGAATTCATGATCCCCCCTCGTCTCACACAGTAAACATGCCCAACGACATACCTGCCTGCCTGTCCTTTTACATAGTCCTATACATCATTGGGACTTTTTATACAACCCCCATTTAAACCCCTTAAAAAATAGGAGAAGAAATGAGTAATCTAAAGATGAGTTCTCTACAATGCGTTATGTGAAAAAAGATTATGTTATTTCTGTGTCTGATCAGGAATGGAACCTACCAGATGACATGGATATAAAGATGTTTTCTGTTATCCGGGGGATATGCTTATTTACTTATACATACATATGTAGATGTAGAAACTTCTATGGTTATCTTGTCGGTGATCTTGGGGTGAACTGGTTCGATGGTTGGGTATGAGAGTACTGTTCAGCGGGCCCTTGGAGATTAAGAGGAGTTCTGTATCCAGATGGATCTAGACGGCGTTTTTTGGTCGAGTTGGGGGGTTTGGCTACGAATGCGTTGGTTCGTTTTTCGTGGGCGAAATGATGTGTTTCTATGGGGAGAGGGGCGGGTGTGATACTGCAGTGTCTGAATAGTAGAATGTTAACTACGTGATCTGTTAGTCTTTGAGGTCTTGAATATGGAGTTCAAGACTTAGGGTTCTAGAAGGGAGATTGAAGATACTTGGGTGATAAGCATCAGCTCGGATCTTTGATGATGTATTTGACTTGATTTGACTATCATGTCGTGAGATTAGATGGGTTTTCAGAAGCTTGGAGGTCTGAATGATGGCAGCCGAATCTGTCAAGGATGTGAAAATGAAGGGAGAGAAGGGAGCGTTTGTCACTGTCAGATACGTAATCCGTCAGCTTTTGAGGCCTTGACATTGCATCTGAAAGCTTAGGGACTTGGGGAGGACGACTGTAGGTATTTAGGCTAGGAATGTAAGCTTTTGGATGCTTGTTTTGGGTGTTGGTATACTTGTGAGAAATGCTTTGGATATGACTGCTTGTGTTGTATGATCTGAAGCTTGGTTAGAGTTAAGATGAAGATATTAGAGAATTCATTCCATAGATAGAAAAGATGCATGCCACTCAGCCAAAAAGCTGAACTCCAACAGACAGAGCAACAACGACGCAAAGAAATCCCCAAACCTCCCCCTTGCTATTGCCCAGTCTCCTCCCCTCCCTCCCTCTCCGTCAAGAAAAAGCAAGCCCCATCAACCTTCCTTGGTCCTCCGCCCCCTCAAGTCTTGACTTCGCTCCCCAAGACTCTCGTCCCCCTCTCGGCAGGTTTCAAACAAGACCCGGGCATTGACCATAGCAATCGGCTTTTATATCATCAAGACTTTTCTCTTTTCTCGGCACTCGTTGATCGACGGCGGCGGCGCGACGCGCGGCGGTTGGCGATGTTTCGGGGTTTTGCACGTCGGTCCGATGGTCGACTTGTGAGGCTGGGCAGGCAGCGGGGGCGAATGAAGATGTGCAGATGCGGTTTCCCCGAAAATGGGACGTCGATCGGGCCGAATGGGGGTGTTTTGCCTCAGGGTGTAAGGGGACGAGGGGAGGGAGGTTGTGTTGTTTGATGTCCTGGTCGGTTTTGAATCAATTGGTGAGATGGGGTAAGTGATGGGCGGTGATGGTTGCGGGGATTGGATGATGTTGAGCAGGGATTGCTTTTGTGCTGTGTTATTACTATTTTGGGGTGGGCGAGTAATGGGTTAGTTACTGTTTTTGGGGATTGTATTTGTGTACGGGGTATTTTGTAATGTGTATGGCTGTTGATGTGGATGGTAATCCTTGATGCGGATCTTGGGGGTGTTTCGAATGGTCGGAATGGGGAATTTGGCATTGTGACAAGTTGACAGCCCAAGACTATATTCTGTAGATGGGAGGGATCTGCAATGGACGATTATCAACGTCGGACCCTGGGTTTTCTTTTGATTTCAGTTCTTCTAGATTAAATCCTGACGATGTTGGATTATACGTACAGTAAGTACAGTGGGATACTCGATGTTCCGTGGCTTCGACTACATTTCAAGACATGCTTCTCCGGATCTTCAACAGGCCGCCTGCAATTCTATGCCTACTGCTCACCACCCCGCGATGCATTCCTCGAATCACTTCTCCGGTTTCTCCCAAGACTTTGACCGTGCATGTAAAGAGTCTGTTACAGACCCGCTGCCTAGAAATATACAAAGCGATTCGCCCACATTAACCCACAACATCCCAGGAACACCGAATGGCGGAGACTTTTCCCCAACCCGGGAGAGCGTTATGACATGAACCATGCACGGGGTTCTCGAATGTCTCCTACATAGATGCATGCCACGTCAAAGATCGTCGAGATGACATTGAAAGCCGCCGAAGTGATCCTGGGCATAAGTGGACAAGAGATATCGTGATATCTGTCATAGGTAGCAAGCCTGTGACAAGAGGTCTCCTTGATACAATCCAAGACCTGTTCCCCCAAGCTTCAACAAAACAATCTATCTCGTGGAGTACCTCTGTCGAGAAAGCTCGCAAAGGGGTTTTGATTGAAAGTGGTTCGATGTCAAGACAATGACAAGCAATCGAGATGGCACTGGCCCTAAGAATGCTCCGATATCTTAAGATGGAGTAATTGCTTGGTCCTCTATCCTATCTATCCTAGTCAGTCTTTTCTGGATTCTTTTTCTGAAACCATGAATTCATCGACCGAAGCTGATCACTCTAGTAGTTCTCGTCCACACTGCAGCAATCACCGATTATAGCAGGAAACCCGAACACAGTAACGTAGCACACACTCATCAAAACGTTACCTTTCACCGACGAGAAGGTTTCGAGAACTGAACTCTTGCTTCAGATGTGGTCCTGAACAGTCAGGCTGCATGTGGTACTAGTTCGGATATCTTACTTTTCGGGTTAGCAGGGATGACGATACCAGTATGTGTACGGCACAAATCGCTTCGCATGTGACGGATCATTAATCAGCCCCGAGCTATCAACTTTTCACATCGCGATAAGACATCACCGTCCTGTGTAGTTCGCTGTCAAAATCGTTCATTCAATATCCTTGCAATATAAGCTATCAAAGTTGAAAACCCTACATCAAACCAACCATCTCGCCAGCAGCGCGAACATCTTCGATGGTCTAGTGGTCATGATTTCCGCTTGTCAAGTTCCTCTTCGGAATTAACAAGCGCGGGAGACCGGGGTTCGATTCCCCGTCGGAGAGTCATTCTTTTTTTGCCTTTTCTTCTTCTCTCTTTTGCAGCTGTTGTTGGGAGGGGATGTCTTTTTTTTGCAAAATTGATGCGTGTCGGGTCGGGTAGATTGGGTGTGGACCGTGCGCGCACTGGATCGGGTAAGGAAAGGTTAAGCTTAAATGAGCAAGCGCCGCCTTACTGGATTGGAGAATTTAGGCGCGCCATGTGGTAAGCTAACCGGATTGAGTCGCTGTAATGAGAGAAGGAGGTTCGCTATGGTCTTCCTGAGGTACGGTGTCTTTCGAAGGGTTGGATACCCGCCTCCGCTTGCGGTTGCTGGATAGACCGTCTGGTAGGACAATCAGATCAGAAATAGGAGGACACTTTGGGACAACGCCTCGGGTCGTCATATCCCTCCAGCAATCAAAAAAGATGGCTGAAGTCTTGCGCTGCTCTTCGGCTTGTTCTTGGTTTCCATCTGGGTTAGTCTGTGCCCGGACACGAATGTCGATTGTCTCCTCTATGCCTCGGAACCAAACTGACTTTAAGAAGTCTCGCCACTTCTTGCAAAGTCGCCTTCTCTCTATTGAAATTCCCTCTGGTGGGGAGAAGATACTCCCAAGGTCGACGTGCCCAATGATTGGCTGGTACATGCGATATATCAGGGTTATCATGTCCTTTGTATCTTTAGGCCATGAATCCTGAATGTAGGTCTTCCGTTCTGATGAGGATACCGCCAGTAGATCAATTCCTTGATCCTTGCATCGCGCTACAAGGTGACGAGCTGTTGGGAGTAGAAAATCCGTGCATATCTTGCATTGCCAGTTTTGAGCCATCTTATTGACCTGCCGAGTTTTCAGATAAGCTTTGTTCGAGCCTGACTGAATATCCTTGTGGAGCAGCCAAATTGAACGTCCCGAAATCTCATGGGTGCATAGATATTCGCTCATGAACGCTACTCGAATGATCGCGTCGGATGTCCCGCCCTCATTCCCAAGATCTGAGAACCAGCCCATCTCCTTGATTGTAGTCGCTTGTGTGTGGTCGGACTGTGGTTTCCCTCCAAGGAATAGTGTGTTCGGGTCGTCTCGAGCGTATTCTTCGAACTTCCGGCGACGGTGCCCGGATGTCGCTCCTTCCTCTGCTCCTCTACTGGCGGCTTCGGGGGAGGCGTATGTGGGGCCCGGCATTATGGTAGCGAAGAGAAGAATTGAGTAGGAAAAGAGATTATGAATTTGAAAACTTAGATCGGAGGTTAACGGGCTAGATATATGGAAAGATAGAGGGAAGGATAGAGGTCAAGAAAGAGAGGCTAAGAGAGAAGTGAAAGATATACAAAAGGCGGAGAGCTAGGTAAAAGTCGGTGTAAAAGACAACTGGATATCATATTAGATTGTAGTATAAAATGAGGTAACTCGAAGACCATAGAACCATAGGACGAATGTAGAGCCGCCTTCACCTTACCTACCTTCACCTTACCACCAAACTTGTAAGACATGTCTTTCCTGTAATGCTGGCTTCTTAACAGGTATGTAGACGCGATATCATACACAAAGAATATTCAAAAACCATCGTCAACTTCTTCAATAGGCTTGAAAGAAAATTTGGTGTAAATGGCTCCTGGATATCTAGAATTACAATGTATGACTATACTACTCCTTTCTCCCCAAGTTTATGAGTATATGCATGACCAACACTTGCGGTCCTTCACTGTACAAAGGATCAACATCATATGTATATGTACAGAGGATTGCACGTCTGGCTGGTCACCTGCCAGCTTCATGTATCTTCAATACCTAAATCAAGAGTGTACTGTAGCCAGTAAACACTCTTAACTCCTCGCGATAAAATCTCGGGAATGCACTGTTGTTGATATGAAATACTAGCGAGGGCCAGCCCGACGTGCCATCCCTCTGGATATGTATTAATATATGTCTACATATTCATCAAAAAATCAGGAGAAAGCTAGCTAAATATCTGTCGCATATGTCGCATAAAACTGTGACATGTTGTATCATTCTGCCGCAGAGACATTGGCCTGCAAAATCGGTCATATGAAAAGATGCCCGAGCCTTGGCCCGGAATGAAGCAGCGGAATCTTCGGAAGATTAGAAAACTAACTGACGTAGAGAATCCAGCGGAAGTCCTCCTGTTCCTTAGGGCTGGCGGAAGTACGTATTCACATGCACGGAGAGGATCTCATCTTTCGCCAAGGAAAACGTGGTCAAATGAGTGATGTGATTGGTCCGTAAAACGTCTATGTAAATGTTTGATTTCTGTTGAAGTAATTGTGACGATGAGATTAAGATATCCAAGGATGCAGAAAAGCTTATGGATTTGCTTCAGTGGTCAATGTTACATCACTGTGATCGTTTTTTCTTGCAAATTTCGCTATTCCTTTGTGGACTGTGAAGTCTGCGGCGCTCGCCGATCGCCCTATATCACGACGCCAAGCTGAAAGGGATGGACTTCATTTCTCGCTTTGGCCTGTAGATGGCCTGAAGATGGCGATGAAATGACCGCATAATTATGGAGGAGGCCTGAGTGTATCGGAATTACGGCACTCTTTGCTAGGGAACAACACCTAGTGTCTTGTAGAGATGGTAGAGATCCGAGAGATTGCATGAATTAGAAGTGACTTCGGTGGGATTCGGTGTATTCATCCCTTGGGGAACATACGCATCTAATTCAGGATACGGAGTACGATGACTGTTCAGCCTTGTGGAAATATACAGTACCCAGGCTTAGAAGCCGACTTCAAATGAGCCGTAGCAAAGTGATGAGAGTCGATACGGAATGTACGCTTGATTGAAGGCGTACTAATCAATGACAAGCGAATGGTGATGACAATCATGTTTGCCGTACGGAAGGCAACTTAGTCTGCAACGGGTTACAGAGTACTGGCTAACATGGTCGTAAGCCTTTCATCAAGCATGGCCATACGGGTGATTTCCGAGCCTGCATGTGTCGGTCCTAACCGACTCCCTCCCTTAGGGACTAGATGATGCTGATACGGACTAAAGAGTGACAGCCACGAGTCCTAATTCAGCCCTACACCAGGATGATATGCCTGCCAATTTCCATCGTCATTGTCAATCATGCTTGTCGTGTGAGCTTGCCTGGTTAGAAGGTTTGTGATGTTGGTGACATCAACAAGTAATGAAGCACTTCGATATCGAGGTGACGAGAGACTGAATGACCTCAATGAAGTTGAAAATGATGAAAGATTGGCAAACACGTTCTGAAACCGAGTTCATCTATTTGCGAGAGCGGATGAAACGGCATCACGACAATAGATGGTCGGCATCATTGAGGAATTGGCAATCTGTGAGGCCATGATCATCGAGGACATAGCGTCACGTGACCTGGCCGAAGCGACTACTCGTGCGTGCTGAGCATCACCCGTGTAAAATCAATCTCTCCGCATGATGGTTCAACCCAATGAGGTGGAGGGAAGTTGACATCGGCACCGGCAAAGATGGAATTTCCTTGTTGGTAACTACCCGTGCAGGAGACTGGCGTGCAGGCTTGCAGGTGTGCAGTGTGTGCGCGAAACACGCTCGCGGGCATTAAGGCTGGGGGCGCTGGTGGTGGAGGTTTCGTAGCGGCTAAGGCGAGAAAAACCCCTCGTGGCCGTACCACGGTACAAAACCAAAGATGCCTCAACACCAACAATCCAAAACGTGCCTCCAACATGTACTCCCATTGGCCATGAAAATCTTCAGCGGGTTCCACTCGAGGCAAAATACCAAGTGCAGCGGAAACTTGGCGGCCGCTCTTTTCGCGTGTTGATGCGCGGATTGTGGACTTGGCAAAGTCTTGAGCTCCTGGGCGGGAACATGGCCCGACTTGTATTGCGAGCTCGTTCTATGGGTCTCCCATTCGGGTGAGTGGTCGTGTGCCCATATAAATGTAAAATGTTGCCCATATGCAGACTGGATTCTTGCTCGACCGGACCTCCACAGCTCTCTGCACTGTTGTCGAGAGCTGATTTTCTCTTCTTTCTGCAAATTCATTCCCTTTTCTGATAATCGCCCATCATGTCTATTCCAGCGGCTACCGCGAAATATGAATGGATTCTCGCCATTGTAACCATTGCCTTCGTCTTCTCTGCCTTTGGTAATGGAGCCAACGATGTTGCAAACTCCTATGCCAGTTAGTGATCACACCAAAAATGATTGTGATCGTTGCCTCCTAACCATTCGTAGCATCTGTGGCCGCCCAAACATTGACGATGCCCCAAGTCGGTTTCCTTTCGATATGTACGGAATTCATTGGTGCCGTCGGTCTCGGAGCACGTGTTACCTCCACCATCAAGAACGGAATTATCTCTATCGATCGCTTCAGGGAGGCATCAGACCCTGGCACCCTCATGCTGGCCATGGGTTGTGCTGAGGTCGGCTCAGCAACCTGGCTCATGCTCGCAACACATCTTGGAATGCCTGTGTCGACTACACAGACGGTCGTTGGTGCTTTGATTGGTGTGGGTTTCGCAACTGGCTCGCCCATCAAATGGGCCTGGGCAAGCGGTTCCGTCTCGCAGGTCGCCGCGTCCTGGGGCATTGCACCATTGATCTCTGCCGCCTTCTCTGCACTGATCTTTGGTACCGTCAAGTGGGGTGTGCTCGAGCGTGCCGACTCTTTCAAGTGGGCGATGCGTCTCATTCCCATGTATATCGCTACCACCTGTGCCATTCTTGCACTCTTCATCGTCGTTGAGACACCCACTGCCCCCTCCTTGGAGGAATTCGGAGCTGGTAAGGCAGCGGGAATTATTCTCGGTGTCTGGGCCGGTTGCTTGCTCATCGCCTATGTTTTCTTTATACCCTTCTTCGAGCGTAAACTCATCAAGAAGGACCCACGTGTGCGGTTCCACCACGTCATCCTCGGCCCCATTCTCCGCAAGGATAACCCGCCCCTATTCTGGCCTGGAAAGGGCGACGAATACGTCAAGAACTACTACGCTGATGCCTACGGTGAGGTTCGCGCCGGTGCCAACGAGGAAAGAAACTTCGCTGGTACTTCGAACGAGGCAGCCAATGCCGGTCCCGATGACATCACAAAGCACAAGACCTCCAACGACCCTAAACAAGAAGGTGCTCTCCCAACCGACCCCGAGAAGTCGCCCGTTCTCGAGGAGAGTGGAAAGGACGATGCCCCTGCCGTTGCTCCTCTCAAGCGTCAGCGAAAGTCCGAGCCATATGAGCGCTTCATCGGTCCTGTCCAGGGTTTGTCGTGGCTCAGCCCTCAGAAGTGGTATGGGTACCTCAAGTTTGTTATGTTGCAGGGTAAGTAATCTGCATGACTCCGTAGACTGTATGCATATGCTAATTTCTCGAAGGCGTAACAAGGGACGTTATCACGCACGACAGCGACCACCTTCGCGCCATCCATGCACGCGCCAACCGTTACGATGTCCGCGTTGAGCACCTCTGGACTTACTGCCAGGTCTTGTCAGCAATGATGATGTCTATCGCTCACGGAGCAAACGATGTTGCCAATGCTGTCGGACCTTGGGCTGCCGTGTACGAGACATACAAAGCTGGTGAAGTGTCTACCACCTCTCCAACCCCTGTCTGGTTCCTCGTTGTTGCCGGTCTGCTGCTTGGTCTTGGTTTCTGGTTCTACGGATACAAAATCATGCGTGCCATGGGTAACAAGATCACTCAGATGTCGCCGACTCGTGGATTCGCCGTTGAGCTCGGTGCTGCCATCACGGTGTTGTTGGCTTCTCGATTGGCTTTGCCTGTCTCCACCACCCAGTGCTTGACTGGATCCGTCATGGGTGTTGCTCTCATGAACATGGATTTGGGAGCTGTCAACTGGAAGCAGTTGGCTTTCATCTTCATGGGCTGGGTGGCGACGTTGCCTAGTGCTGGGCTTATTGCTGGCCTGCTCTGCGCTATGGCACTCAACACCCCCCATTTCTAGATTCTTGAATTCAGACGGGCCTGTCGGAGGGTGGCAGGTACTGATATGGAAGGGTCGGCGTATTCAGGTGATAGAGAGATATCGGTAGACATCCTCAATTAGCGGCTGCATTTCGGAACGGCGTTTTGGTATATTTCGTTACTGCACACAGATTATGTGGGAAGGGAGTTCACATTGAAAAGTTTGGAAGGTCAGCGTAGACAATCGTTAGCAAATTACCGCTTTATGAAGAACCCAATTGATACTTCGAAAAGAATCGAATTCTTGACCACTGCCTAAGGTGTGATTGCACTGGAAGTAGAAGTAGAAGTAGAAGTAGGGGTTGTATTACAGATTAGAGATACATTTCGTGTAGTAGCGAACATCGTGATGGAAAATGAAATGACTGTTTGATTAGATCGTCGTCAATGTGCATTCCCAAGACAAGTCTGAATGCAGTGCAGGACTGTGAGCTTTCATCTATGCAGACAATTCCAGGTGGTGTGGTGTTTCGCACAGAACCCGGAGCCGTACGATGGGGAAAGCCGACCCACCCATCACGTGACACTTCCAAACTAGATCATGCCACTCGGTGCTGCTAGGAAAATAGCTTGCGAACGTCCAACCTCATATCCTCTCCAGCCCACCGCCCACACCTCCGTTCACCGCAACGCAACTCCATCTACCCGCTCCAGCGACCCTTAAATCCCTCCTATACCTCCAAATTCGGCAATTGAGACCAGTCATGTCTTTCGTTCGCGCCGCATCCAAGGTTTCTCGAGCCGGTCTTCGAGTTCCGGTCAACCGTGCCGGCCCAGTTGCTTTGAGCGCACAGCGTGCTTTCAGCGTCTCGGCCGCTAAGCTCAGCGATGCGCATGCTGAGGAGTCATTCGAGGAGTTCACTGCAAGGTACGACGCCGTCTGGAGGGGGAATTTAAGGATACATAAGGAGAGCTAGTACCCGAGGCCGTGGATGTGGCATTGAGCTCAATTGAGCACATTTACGACGCAGGTAGCTAATGGATCATCACCGTAATAGGTACGAGAAGGAGTTTGAGAAGGTCAACGACGTTTTCGAGCTTCAGGTACGTTATCACAGCTCCCGCCGCTCCTCCAATCACGGATACTCCCAATCACCTGACTCAGCTTTGGAATAGAGGTCTGGTATGGACCCATTGAGAAATTGGAAACTGACGATTCCGTAGCGAAACCTCAACAACTGCTTCGCCTACGATCTCGTTCCCTCTCCATCCGTCATCATCTCCGCCCTGAAGGCTGCCAGGCGTGTCAACGACTTCCCCTCCGCCGTCCGTGTTTTCGAGGGTACGTTCCTGAACCGACCATTTCAAACTTACATATCTCCATAAACACAATTGCAGTATGCTCTAGATTTGAGCTAAGCCTGTGCCGCCGTTTTTCGGAGTAGCTATCAGTGCATGACCGCTGACATCATAACCAGGTATCAGGTACAAGGTCGAGAACAAGGGCCAGTACGAGGAGTACCTCCAGGAGCTTGAGCCCATACGCGAGGAGCTCGGCATCCCATTGAAGGAGACCATGTACCCCGAGGAGAAATAGGCGGCTTGCGACAAACCTCATCTCTTCTTTAGGATTACGTCCCACCGAGCTTAGTTGGAAAAACAACCTTATCACCTGTACATCGCCGGCCATCTCTGTGGATAATTCCTTAGAAAGAACGTACCAGGGAGAGACGGGATGCTGTATCACTAGTGGGAACCCTTTTCATTTGTTCTTCCTGCACGGAGGGCAATGAAGACGGAACCTCGAGCGTAGACTTGGTGTGCGGGTTTAAAAGGGGCGAGCGGTATTCCGCTGTAGTTGCTGTACAGATTCCAAAGTTTCTTTTTCAAGATGCATTCTATATCCTACGTTCTAAATGTTTCATGTGATGATCTGTGGGAGTCGTTCCACGGGCCAACCAGAGCCTTTGGATTACATGATTGAGTCATAAGGCAAGGGGATGATATGGACATGACTCGATGATTTTAATCTCTATGGTAAACTGGAAATAAAGTCGTGAACGCTGAAATGCTACAGATTCATCCTGCCGGAACTCCTATGACACAATGTCTGGCATGTTATAGTATCCCCCTTAACCCTACTCGTAATGTGAACAGTCCAGCACCACGACCTGTGTGAACTTTTATACGAAACCTTCAAAAATAGAGCGTGTAAATTAGTCCATGCCAACATACTTAAACCACAGAGGCCGGCAGTCCTCCCGGTTCAGCCACTTCTCGCCGTCAGTGAACATGCCAGCCGTGCAGCCTGAGCACTTCGGGCTATTCGGACAGTTGAAGAAAGGAATGTGCTGGTAGCCGATATCACGGAACCTAGTCGTCGAGTCAGCAAAGTTACATTTCAACTTGTGTCGCTTGGGATACATACCAATGGATCTTGCTTTTATCCTCGAACAACCCCAACGCAACGCTGTGGACAGGCGCATCACCCCACCGCTCATAAAAGAACCCACCCGCTCGATCCAAATGATCAAAGTAATCCCTATACTTCTTACTCCTCCAGAATCCCAAATCGCCAATCTCGAAATTGGACCAGAAATGGCAGGTTGAGTACCCATTCGCTATCCTATGCTTATCCGGCCGGCGCTCGTTGTCCTGCAGCCACTCCCTTGCATTGTTCTTGTGTATGTACTCCGGATGGTCCTGCATGAAACGCAGGGTTTCTGGCCACAGTGTTTCCACGCTCTCCGGGCTGTCGTAGATGTTGATGTTGAAGCCGTACGTCTTGTTGTGGTCCTGCATCCACCTGAATACATCATAGTCAACGTCGCAGAAGAAGTGGACGTTGGGCTCCACGCGCCAGTAGTATTGGTAGTCGGCAAGTGCGGGGTGTTGGGAGAACATGCCGCTGTTCCATCGGCACATCTGGTGGTATGATGTCTTTTCCATGTACTGCACGCGGTGGTCGTCGTCGGTGAGGAGGGCGACGGATTCGTGGTAGAGGTCCATGTTTATCCAGTCGGGGATCTTCCAGTGGTCGGCGGGTACGAGCTCTACATTTAAATTAGTACTGAGATGTTTATGGAATTGTGTAAACCCACCATAGCGGACCTCCGCTTTCGTAGCGGCCCTTGTCTTTTGCTTGAATTCTTCTGTAAAAGGTACATCGTTGAAAAACGTCCAAGGGTAGTTGAATTTGTGGTTCCATGTTCGTTCAAGATCCCTCATGCTCTGCAACAAGTCGTCCAGCTCTGAATTCCTCACTAGACTAAGTATCGTGGCGTTTATGCGATCGCTATTCGCGTTGTCAGCGTCGTAGTTGTTGCCATTGACCCGACGAAGCGGTTCTGGAGGCTCGCCAGAAACTAGACATACAAATATTAGACTCAAATGTACATGCTTTGAGGTTGAGTTCTGAAAACATACCATCTTTTTGCGGGTCGTGTGTCCAATCGTTGATCTTCTTGGGTGTCTCTACAGCCGCCTCTCGATTCGGTGGTTGTAACTCAGCGGGCGCCTGGAAGATGAGCGACACGAGATAAATAAACATGCACAGTGTGATCGCCGCAACAATGCGCATGCTCTTCGGGAGCGCCATTGTTAAAATCGTTACTGTGGAAGAAAGCTCACCCTCTCTACCTTTTTACACTGTCCCTTCCACGAGTCTACAATCGAAAGCTCCGGCCAAGCGTCGTCGTCATACAGAAACGCATTAACGGAATCGGGAAAGGTGGCAGTTCGTCCGTCAACCCAGGCGCTCCCACGCGTTTCACCACCGCAACGGCGAGGGCTGTGAGGAGATCGACGCCCGACCGTTTCGTGCGCCTTGACTTGGTAACTCACGCGTCCAGCATGGCGCAGAACGCGAGAATTGCCGTGTTGACGGACGAGTTGATCCAATCCATTGTCGATTTTAGACCTGAAACAAATCGCCAGGCTTATAGAAGAGCACGCGATATTGCGGCAAGGGCGTTGAAGCCACATCAGTATAATCGCACAAATCAGTTTGAAGTGAGGACGAGCTACGAAGGGCTTGACGAAAAGTTCCGCGTGCTGAACCGCGATGATCTGGCCGATGCGTTGGGGGAGCGCATGAGGGAACTGGAGGACCATCGTCACAAATGGAAGCCTGAATGTTTGAAGCTGCTTTTGCTACTCGCTGATAGACCGACCGAAGATGCAGATGTCAAGGCCCTGGAACTTTTGAAGCCACCAGAGGAGCAAGATCCCCTTACGTGGAAGGAAATTCTGGACGAGGATCCTTACTCCGACGAGGAGATCTGGAAGGACATTGACTATGCAGAAGAGTCCTCAGAGGACGAGAAACCCATGCAAAGGAGAAAGGAAAAAGTAAAAGATTCACCACCATCAAGTGCCGAGGAGGATGATGTATTTGATCCCGAAACTTGTGTGCTTCCGCCTGACGAAGGCATCATAGCCGAAATCAAGGATGCCCAATTTTGGAAACATAGCAGGCTCGATAGATCTGAAAAGATCGAGATTACAGAACTACAAGCAGTTCGAGAAACACTTTTCATGCTTGCGGGGCTGGAAACATCACTGTACCTTAGTGACAAACGGAACGCTAGTGTGCGAGTCAATCAACATTACGCTGTCAATCATGCCATACCGAAAACTATGGACCATCTTCTATCTCAGCTCGGCGAAATTGGTCGAGACATATCCAAACTTCGACAGTGGACCATGCGCCCTTCTTCTATTCCACTTGTCCAAACATTTGAAGCAGTCATCTGCCGGCGCCTGTCTGATTTTGATAGGTATCTCGCCGACTTACAACGCCTCTATCTGCTCCCTGATAGCCCGACAGTAGTGAGCTTGTTGAAGCTGCATTCTGAAATCGATGAAAAAGCAAGGCCACTCCTCAAGCTGGCCCAGCTAGTCATCGACATAGCCCCATCTTTACTAGTGAACCCTTTTGCTCACTTGGAAAGACTGTTCGAGCAGACAACACTGGCTCAGATGACACTCGAGAAGGACGTATTCGATTTCTTTTCTACTGTCTTCTTCGAATGCCTTCAGACGTATCTCAAGCCTATTCGCCAATGGATGGAATTCGGCGAGCTTGGAGCCAATGATGAGACCTTTTTTATATTCGAAAACGACTCTGGCAGTGATGTTGCGTCACTCTGGCACGACAGGTTCGTTCTGCGACGAGGGCAGGCAGACAGACTACGATGTCCAGAGTTTCTGCATCCTGCGGCACAGAAGATTTTCAATACTGGAAAGAGCGTGATATTTTTGAAGGAGTTGAATATCTACGACAACCTCTCGGACTCTGCCGTGCCCGAACCTCGACTCGACCACGACGCTGTCTGTGGTGGCCTTGATCTCCCTATTTCACCATTCCCAGATCTTTTCCAGTCTGCTTTCGATGGGTGGATCAGGAGTAAATACTCTAAAGCTTCGACAATGCTCCGCAAACATCTCTTTGCAGAGTGCCGATTGCTGGAAATTCTCCAATCTTACAACATCTTGTATCTCGGTGCAAACGGTTCAGCATTTCAAGATTTCGCAAACTCAGTTTTTGAACGTGTAGACTCAAAGCAGCGAGGCTGGAATGATCGATTTTTGCTCACAGAGCTAGCCCGCGGCATCTATGCGCACATATTGGCACAGACAGAGGTTGATAGAGTAGTTGTGAAGTCAGTACGGACCAAGAGTGAAGGCCATTCAGTCAAGGGTTTGGCAAGTGTATCCATTGACTACGCTGTAAGTCGTCTTTCCTTCTCTATCAATCGAATTCCCTACTGATGCAGTCTAGTTACCTTGGTCAATCATGAATGTCCTCCAGCGCTCTTCTATCCCAATGTACCAACAAGTATTTACCTTCCTACTTCAAATCTACCGAGCCAAGTACATTCTACAAGGCATTCAACTTGTGGACATTCGCATGATTAAAGATGCGCGCTTGCAGGCATCTAGCTACAAGCTGCGACACAGTCTGATCTGGTTCGCCGATATCCTACGATCATACCTCGCAGAGACAGTCATCGCCCGATCAATTGAAGATATGGTCAAGGCAATGGAGGCAGCAGAAGATATAGATGACATGTCGAACGTCCACATTAAGTACCTTGCTCGCCTGCAAGAGCAGGCACTCTTAGCGGACAACTTAAAACCCATCCACTCTACCATCATCGCAACATTGGACCTCGCTGTTGCATTCAAAGATGCCCACGCTAGGGAAGCTGCAAAGACAGACAGTACCAATGCTTCGGAAGCGAAGGACAAGAAGAAGCCTGCTCGCCCTGCCTTGAAAAGCGGGAGGAGAAAGAGCGTCATCCCTGCAATTGTCGAAGCCGACTCTTCGGATTCCGACCTCGATGCAGCTGCTGCAGAGGACTCGAGCAGTCCGATCAAGAGTGAAAAATCTCTTGACAGCACCTTGCAGGCTCTGCAAAAGATCGACCAAGATTTCAATAGACAATTGCCTTTCATAGTCGCTGGCCTCCGCACGATAGGACGTGTCGGCGCCGATCCGGTCTGGGAAATGCTAGCAGACAGATTGGAGTGGGACAAGAAGAAGGATAGATAGCTATTTAGATCAAATTTACACATCAAGTATCTGCCACACTTCAATCCCAATTCTTTGGGGAATGTTTCAAAGCCTCTGGCGGCTCACGCCTATAGCCGTGAGATTATATGGGGTACCACGCTCGAAGCGAAAGCAGCGCGTCGCTTGGGCACAAAGCGTGCAACATTAATTGCCCCACCCCCCTCTCCTATTTATTAGCACGTTGCCTGCGTCCATGCGTTCCAGAAATTGGAACCCCACGTTGCGGCCAATTTAAACCACGGTGTGTTAGCTGCAGCGAAGCTTGTGCTAACATCATCTCTTCAACCTCCCCTGTGTCTCCGACATCGCGCATCCTTGCATCGTCCGTCGACACCGCTTCTTGCATTGCTGAGTCTGCTCGATTGCCTGAAGAGCGCTGAGAGACGAATAGAATTGGTTTCAGACTGCGGAATATCTTCATCTTGACGAATACAATCGAGAAATACGCACAGTCGGACTTGGGCGGACGTGTCGTTGAGGAAAAAAGAGAGCGTTGTAACGACACAACAACGGAAGGAATCTGCAATATAAGTGTCACTACTAAGAGAAAACAACAAGGTTGCAAGACATAATACCAAAAGGACACAGAAATACTTAATCGTAACTGCTAAGAGAAAACGACAAGACCGCAAGACATTTCACACGAGTGTCAGTAAGCAGCTACAATTATTCGCACCGCAAGGCCGTCAAGCAGAACACATCACAATTCGAGCAGGTGATTTGAAGATCTGAAGTAATTAATTCGATTCAATTCTTTCCTTTAAGAGAGGTTGAAAATTAAGCCTCGAACTCCAGAAATACCCAAACTCCAGAAATACCAAAACACCAAAACACCTGCGGAACCCAAGGATATCTGTTCGAAAACCAAGCAAATATCAGAATCAGAGAGAGAGAGAGAGAGCCAGTCCGTCCCCAGCGTCAAAAGCCTCCAGCCATGCGTCACCCAGCCGCGGCAACAGTAATCGCGATCTTGCTGGGTTTGTTGTTCCTCATGACGGTCGCCAATCGTTGGATTTCCGATGGTCATCATGAAGGAAACCCACATCCTAACGATGTACCCAAGCAAGTCGATGTCCAGAAAGAGAATGGCGAGAACGGCGACAACGAAGAAAGCGAGGAGGGGAACGAGGGAAAGGACGAAATACACCTTGCAAGTCTTTAGGGACAAGGGACTCTTCACTTTCCGCCGCGCCTCTTGCCGTTCTCCATGCGGCGCTTTTCCTTAAACTCCTTGGAGTTTTTGAGTTGTTCGTAGCCGTTCAGCCACTCTTTCACGACCACCTCCGCCAGCGTCCTCCGGTTGCTTGATGGCCGGCCCCGCCTTGGCTTATGCTCGCTGTTTGCCTCGGGAATTACGCCCAGCAGTTCGAAGCACACTGCCCTCACGTTGTCAGCAAAGACTCCAACTTCGTTCTTGTGGATATCCTGCTGCCATTCCTTGGTGCGAGTCTTTGCCCACCGTGGAGCGCCTTGCTTGGCCTCATCCTGAGTTGACGGCAGGTTACTCAACCCCACCATGGCCGCCTTGATTGCGCCCCAGGGTTGTGATTTGTCCCCCGGGTACCCGAGACAAATCAACGCCCAATCGGTGAGCTCGTTGACCAAATTCTCATTCTGAATGAGATGTATTGGCTTCCGGACGAGTGGGCGAGGTACGGCGGGCGCGTGAGATGCGACAGGCCAGTGAGGTACGCCAGCCTGCACTGGCATAGGTTGAGCCATGGGCTCGAGCGCATACTCGAGCCCTGTGCCTGGCAGCTCCTCCATGGGGAATTGGGGAGCTGCCATCGGCTGGCCTTCGCCAACCAGAGGATAGGTCAACTCCAGACCAAGATCTGGCAGGAGCATACCGCCAGCTCCCATCTCCTGCTCTGCCAGTGGCAGATCGCCCATCAACAGATCTTGGCCTGCCTCTGGCTGCCAACCCAGGGTCACGGGGTCATGGACCAGATCATGGTCGAGGTTGTTGAGGACCGATTGTTGGTCCTCCACGTTGAACAAGGGGTTGAAGGCCCCCTCTGTCCCCTCTGACCCCTCTGACCCCTCTGACCCCTCTGTGCCCTCTGCCTCCTCCACCCACGCTGTGTTCTCAAACCACGCTGCGTTCTCAACCCACGATCCCCAACTTACCACATCTGCGGCCTCTGCGGCCCCTCCATTCATCATCCCGACCTCCTGGTCGTGGACAAGTGGCTCAAAGAACCACGGGTCGACGGACCCCTCCACCATGCTGAGATCCTGTCTGAGGACAGAATCACTTCTTCTGCGAACAAATGCGTTGAAGGGAAAAACTTCCCCGCTCAGCATTTGTTGCGATTGATGATTCATCTTGTGTTGGGTGATGAATCTGATGGCTCCAAGAAGTCAGTTGAGAAAAGGTGCTGAGAGAGTTGTTGAGAGTACTTACGGAGTTTTGGGAAAGGGTCTTGGGTGTGAGGGAAGAGGATTCGAGGTTTGTTGAAGGGAGTGTTGGGGGTGTGTTTGTGTGGCTTCAAGCGGTTAGATGAGAGACAGTGTTGGGAGAGTTGAAAGTACTTACGGAGTGGAGAGAGATTTGGGAGTGTGAGAAAAGAGTATTTGAGGGATAGGGGAAGGATATCTGGGAAGCGTTAGAAGAGCATTGGTGAAGTGTGGAAGAAAGTATGTGAGAAGAGTCTTGAGAGTGGATGGCAAAAGTATTGAGGGTGGGTGGGCAGAGTGTTGAGGGTAGATGGAAAGAGTGCTGAGGGTGGATGGGGAGAGACTTACGAGTAGTTGGGAAGTGTCTTGAGAGTGCCTTTGGTGACTCCTTTGAGAGTCTTTGGGATGTGTCTTGGAAGAGTATCTAGAAAGTACCTTGATAGTCTTTGGGATGTGTCTTGGAATAGTATCTGGGAACTACCTTGAGAGTCTTGAGATGTGTCTTGTGGGTGGCTTGAAAGTTTCTTGATCGCGAAGAGTCTTGCTGATGTCTTGCTGAGCATCGAGGGAAAGATCCAGCGGCTTTATATCTAGTAAGAATGACTCTATCGTACCCATTACAGCGTCTCTCAATACCCATTACAACGTCTCTCAATATTTTGAAGTCTTGGAAATGAAGCAGTGTTGGGAACTTTGCTAGATGTTTGGCTCACGAGTGTGTATGTACCAGTCATCGCATCAACGATTAACCAGAGTTTGTCCCGTTGAGACCCAATGATGTAGACAACGAAAAGTTCAATTTGTCCAGACACATGGTAGCTATCGAAGCAGGAACCAGTTTTGAGCAACATGCACCTTCTATATCACACGTTCGCCAAACCCGATGCCATTCATCCCTGGATCGTTCACGCTTTGTCGAAGCAAAACGTGTCAAACCCATTTATGATTCTCGGAGACGCTCCCGTCTTGGAGTCAGAGAAGGAAACAGCTAAGAGGAAAGAGGAAATATTGCCCTCGTCAAGCCTGTCTGTGCTTTCCAAATGCCCGTTACACACATACTGGGAAAGAAGGCTGTTGGGAGCCTCCCTGCAGTATTCGAACCTAGTAGAACGCACTTCACATGAACTCAGCCTTGGAAAGAAGCGTGGAGAAACTCAGGCTCACAACAAGCATGATTATTCAAAGACTATTCTGATATTTTAGAAGGGAGGTATGCATCTTCACACTTCACATGCAAAGTACCGGGGGCAATAATCGTTCGCGTTTCTGATTGAACAGTGGTGAATCCCAACACATCATGCTCAGGAATACATTTCCCATTAGAACGATTACACTAGGAGCTCAAAAAAGTCCTTCAAAATGTGCTCACCAGCCTATTGGTGCCACATCTGGTCAGTGATGACTTGCTACATCACTACGATTGTTGGGTTAGCAATCCCCTAGTTTTTCTTCTCGTAGAATTGTGGGAGACCAGGGGTATTAGACCATCTTGTCTACCAAGATCACAGCATCTCAAGCATATGTATTTCTCGGTGCATAGTGTGCGCCACCTGCATTACATGCTGTATGGCTCCTATTCCGATATGCGTTCCCTGTTGAGGCCGTTCTTACTGACGCCAAAAAACGCAGTGAGTAGGTACGCAGCTGTCCTTTGATCTGTGCCATACAATCATCATGTGATTTATGAATATTATTCCGAGGGCCAGCCATAGAAACGAAATGCTCCTTTGCTGTATGTACATAGATACCAGCATCAATGACCAGACCCTCCTGTAAAGTAACCATGCATGTAAACATCGACTGTCTTCGGCTAATGAATTACCATGCGTGGCTAGCCTCCTGCTCAATACGGACGGTTCGCATCGCCCCGCGCGCTAATCATCCCTGCATCAGATGTACCAAGATACACCCCGATTCAACTTCATTCCTCTGTTCTGAACAAAAACCTGTCATATCATATTATATTTGTTGTCCTAGATGTAAATACTAACCAATGGTTAGCCTGCTTTGCGCTCCCGCAGGCACTTGCGGCTGTCGCACCGGTCGCCCGCCCCCCTTTCACGGCGTACGCACCTCAATCGCCTCCAGACCCCATTAGGCTTGCGCTCAGAGGTAAAGAAGACAAGGACTCCTCTGATTTGCTAGCAACTCGCCTCTTCACCGATTACTGCACTAAAAATCGCTCCACAAGATACCTAAGCTCGCATTTCGCACATGGGATGGCCCATATGTTACATTGCTCTCGTGTGCCCTTCCCATCTGAGATCCGATCCAATCGACCTGGTTACGTGTGAAAGAGCCAGCCCCCTGCCCGTAGCCTGCTTCGATGCCGACATGGGCATACTTTGAACACGCTGAGCTTTTGACTAGAGTTACTCTTTTTGGGAAGCAATCGGTTCGTTCGACGTAATGATTATGCTCGCCTAAGTATGCAATGAGCGAGAATGGCGATGGTAAAGACTATAAGTAACGGCTTTAAATTTGCTTTGACTACAATCATGAGGTATATTGATCAGTTTACAATCTGTACAACCGATTCCATCTTTCCTTTTCACCCTCGGTTTACCCATTTCATCTACAGTGGCCATGAGTTCTTCCAACTACATTTCTTCTTCAACTTTACCGACATCGACTACTCACACCATACAAACCAAGAGAAAATGCAATAATACAACTGTTCCTTGCTCAACCACACCTTCTATGTCAACTCAAGTTCCAAAGCCTGCGTTCTACGCCAAACCGTTCGATAGGTTTGTGTTGAAAGGCGGAGGTGCACAACACGACATATTCAGGCGATTCAAAATCCGCCCGGCCGAAGAAGAAGACTTTTTGATACACTGGAGCCAAAACAGGGTCAACTCGGGCATCTTCTCACGCGACGAAGGAGGAACGTTAGAATTCCGCATTAGCTCCTCTGATGCCTCCAATCTATCCAAATTGGGCATCGGCGGACGTGAAGGCTGCTTCAAAAGTGGCGTCCAATGGACGCACGTCTACGACGAGGAGGGCGTATCTTGGCTCACGCAGGTTCACTGGTATGACTCCGACGAATGGTTCCCAAAGGTGTAAGATGAGAATGGACACGACATGGAGAGCTAGGGAAGGATCGGTCGGTATGGCCCGTCAGGGTTGACTCCGGGCGACTATTGCTTCAGCCGATTGGCAAAGTGTCGTGAGGCACAGTTCGACTGTGGAGTCGATAGTTCGCAACTTCAACCCCAGTACATGGCACCACTGCTTCGTTTTGGGATTTTTAGCAAGCGCTTCAACCGGTCTTGATATCCTATCAGCAGCATGGAACTGTGCGGTGTTTGTTTTCCAACTTATGGACACTGCCTATGGTTGAATTGCTCTCTGTGAGTAAGGCACTAGGTAGCTAGAAGAATACCAAGTATATGGGAAAAACATAGCTCTAGCCTTTTCGCTCATCCAAGTATACTAGAATTATTTTTTCAATTATTGCCCATACATCTGTTCTTCGGCGTTCCGCTTCTTCCGACTAATGCTATACGGTTGATCTCGCATCGACGATACGACCGGACGCGGCACGTGTTGGACAGCAACTGCAAGTGCGTGATGACAGAATTAGCAGAACAACGCCGCAAAGCTGCATCTTGTAGTCTGGACTATCACCTGCCTAACAGAATCGGCTAAAGGATTAATCCTATCGGCGCGCAAGAACTAAAGCCAACGGTCTGGTGCGCGGCTGCAGCGAAGTCTCTGATTCGTCGTTGCGGCACAGCAGCGCCAAGATCTTAACGGGATGCATAAGTCGCTGTGCCTTACCCTAGTCTTCACACACGCAGCAAACACCTCTCCAATGAGAAAGGAATCAGGATGACGACTTACCGGCCTGTTGGGTCGAAATACCCTGGGGTTGATGTTGGAGTTGACTCGTTCTGACCTATCTGAGTTGTGCATGTTTTGACCCTCCGCGGCTCGACATTCAGCCTTACTCCCTTTGGACGCCAGCTCAATCAACATCACTATAATTAGTGTAGAAATGGGTTGAACATCAGACGCGCTGCATTGATTCGAAGCGCTGGCAAGGCGGATCCTAGTGTATCTTCATCTGTGGGCACTGTCTGCTTTGATGATAGTTCGTGAACGCATGGAGAGGTAGCAAGTTGATATAAGTACGGCGGGCAGCTGCTTCAACATATCTTTCTTTCCACCATCATCAATAACAAAAAACAAAAACAAGAAGAGCAATCTCCTTTCTTCCATATTTCCTTTAGGTGGTTTTGTTATTTCCTTTCTGCTTTCTCTCCTAGCTCTCCTATCGTATCTTTCCTCTACGATCTCCTAGCCTCACTCTCTATCTCGTCTCAATCTTCTTCTATCAACTCAATCAACGAATCTCTTTCATACAACACAACAACAACAACCAAAATGCCTCGCCCAAACCGCTACCACCCCTACCAACGTAGCAACAACCAGGCCTCTCAGCGCTCACCCTCCACCTCTCCACGCTTCCCATCCAACGCCTCCCTCCACATCCAACAACCCCTCTCCGCCATCGCCGAGAACAACGCAGCTGAGAGTGGCATCACATCCTTCCACGCCGTCAACCCAGGCTTCATCCGCGCCATGACCGTCGATGGCACGCCGCTGATCGCACGCTCCGTCCTCCAAGGCCCCAACGGCATGTTCCACATCCAGATGGAAGCCGTGCGGTACCCCAGCCAATTCGCACCCACGCAGCAGCAACAGCCGTACTTCCAAGCCCAGCAGCATCTCGGCTTCCCAACTGGCGTGGAGCCCTCGGTCGATGCTAGTAGACTCGCGGCGACGGTGTCGGCCTCGCGGATCGGGCGGGCGGACAGCGTGGTGGGATCGATCAGCGACAGGGGGGATGAGGGATCGATCAAGTCTCACGACGATGACTGTGCAGTCGAGACTGACGACGAGGACGCCGTTGGCGAGGAAGACGACAATGCGTTTGACACTGTCGGTGCGGGCTTGGTGGACTCGCAGTACGAGAATGCGGTCTCGGAGCAGAAGCGCATGATGTTCGAATACATGCAGTCCAGGTATTCCGGCAGTGTTGGCTTCGTGCAGCCTTAGATGGCTCTGCGAAAAGGTCAGTAACACTGGCTGGCTTAGGGGGAGTCGGACTCGATGTGTCGTTTCTGGCCATGTACTCCACTGCTCTTTCCTCTTCTTCTTCACTCTCTATTATCTTAGGGTTCTTTTTTCTTGTCTTGTATCCAAGCGCCGCTTCCCCTCCAGCGTTCGCAACGAAATTGTCTTGTAATGACCGGCGCATCTGGAGGTTAGCGATCGATTTCTGTGGCCATCTGTCTTTCCCAACTCACTTAGTACTGCAATCAATTCATCCCTTACCATTTCCTCACTGTCCTCGTATGATTCTCTACACGTGATGCTTTCACTACACAGAACTATCGTGCACTCATCTCCTCAACAACACTGGAACACCCCATAAATTGAATCCACGGTACTGAAAAAAACACTCCTCATCTCAACGATCCACCTTCTTCATCAAACCCCTCGGCCTCCCCGACTCACGAACTCATGGTACTGGAAAGCATCCTCACGTTTCCATCCTCTTCTTCACCATCTAACCCACCAGCCTCCTAATATCACGTTTGCACCCTCCTACTCATTCCCACCCTCACGAGCCCACGGTACGTACACATCACACATCTCAACCATCCAACTCCTCACGTTTGCACCCTCCTACTCATCTCCACCTCACGAATCTCACTTAGCCCCCTCCCCCTCCACCTCCCGATCTCCCTCCCGCACCGTTAGTTAGCTCCCCTATCCACCCGTCCCGTCCACCCATCCATCGCTCCGCCGTTGACTGCGCCGCCACAAGCAGCCGCCCGCCCATGTTCCTGTGCCTGTGCCTGTCTTATTCCTCCGACCCACTCGATCCCGCTTTCCTCTGTCGGTGTTGGTTCTTTACCGATGGGGGTTTGATTAGGGCGCTTCGATGTGGCGCGGTTGAGTGGTGGAACAGGGGTTCGCACTAAGAGTTGGTTGGTTGGTTGGTTTGGTAGGTAGATGGGATGAGGTGGTATGAGCTGATATGAGATGGCGCGTAGGGTTGTTGGGGTTCTGGGTGGTTGGGTGTGGTTGTGTTGGGAGAGGGAGAGAGATATTGGATTGGGAGGAGGTGGAGGAGGAGGAGTCAGTGAGTCAGTGAGCGAGTGGTGGATGGATGGTGGAGTGCTTGTGTGTATGGACGTTATGTGCAGTTGGCTAAGGGAGTAAGTAAAGAAGTAAGCAGTTGCTATGTTCTCTGTGTGTCTAACATTATGTGTGCCCAAGTTTGATAGAATCCTTTGTGCCCCCTTCCTTTCACTTCAATAGTAAACAAAGGTTTGATAGCTCAGTCACTTCCACCATCATCCCATCACTCATCCCATCACTCCTTCACTTTCTAAAAAGTAAAAGCAAAAACACAAATCCCAAAAATAATTACCGCTCCTTCCCAGACTCGAACCCACAACACAAAAAAGTGCAAAAAAAACGGTGGCATCTCTTTGATTGAGCGTGTCATCCTTAGTGCAGGGGCCATGCTAATCTTCTCTGTATAGTTTCATTTGACCAAGTGTCCCATTGGGACAAGAGACGTTTGAAAATATTTTGTTTATATACATGGTTCTAAAGTCGAAATCAATATTGTAAGTGAAAGATTGCGGTGGTGGGTGGTGGTGCTGGGGCCAGGTGAGAGTGAAAGGCAGCAGCGGGCGTCATGTGACTACGACAGTGAGGGCCATGCCTGCCTAGCTGGGCACGCAAACGTGATGGGAGTGATTGTGGTCTTGAAAACGGGTAAATGATTGGTTATGTTTATTGTAAGCTAAAATAATATATGTACGGAGAAGAGAATAGTAGTAAATGATGGTAATGCATACCAGTACACATTATCTACGACCCAGCGATCTTGCTGTGAGGAGCCACGCCTGGGTAATATGAAGCTGGCAACGTCGGGATGGGAATGCTGACAGTCGTTCCAAATGCGGTCTTGAGATCATCTTTCATGGAAGCTGCGGAATGACCAGTGGGTGCCGCTGTCTGTGTGCTCGTCGTCGCAGCGTACGATTTGCCGGTGCCGGATTTCAAGCAGAAGCCACTGCCATAGCCAGAACGGCACGAGTAGATCTGCTTAGAGCCGGTTTCGGTCCACATAGAGAGGTCGGTGATCTTGATGTCAGTGCATGGCGCGCTGTCTGCGCATGCAACCTTGATGGGTCCTCGTTGGGCGCCGTTCGCCATGCCGCCCTTCCAGTTCTGTATCATCAGTTAGCATCAAGGGTAACTGCCCGAGGAGATTATGATCTACCTTGAATGTCATGTTGCTAAGTTGAACACCGTTTCCTTCCAGCTTGCTCATCGATGACCAGTATTGATCGATGTCAAGGGAGTACGCGTTCCCGTGGCCGATGAAATTCTCGAACGTGACATCTTCAACATATCCGCTCCCACCGTTTGACTTGATCATCATCATCTGGTTCGACTTCCAGGTATAGATGTTCTTGTAGTGAACTTTCGAGATAGCTGTGTCAACACCCAGGGAACCCATGGCGCATCCGCCGCTCCAGTTGCAGTAGATGTTCTCGATGAGAATATTCTTGGAAGGGCTCTTGACCGTCACACATTCGTCCTTGTTGGTGACCATGATGTCGTGAATCCAGATGTTATCGCCCCAGATGTCAACGCCGTCGAGACCTCCCCAATCTCCACCGCGGATGGCCATGTTGTAGGCCTCGCCGTTCGTGCAAGTCGAGAAGACTAGATGAAAGGCGGGCGCATCCACGAGAATCAGGTCGTGGACAGAGAAATTCTGAGACTTCTCCACGCGCAAGAGACGGGCTCCTGACCGGCTGCCTTGAGCGTGAAGCTCGTAGCCATTGCCTAAGTATTTCATGAGCAAGCTCCAACTAGATGGGATGGGATTACATACCTTGTATAGCGCCCTTGCCGTTGCTGCTGAACATTTCAAAATCATTGGTATTGCGAATGAACAACATGTTGCCTCCTGCGGTACCCGTACGATAAATGACGCCGTCTAATTGAAGCGCCCATGCCTTGCCTCCCTCAAAGGTGACCCAGGTCTTCATCGCATAATTGCCCGATGGAACTACAACGGTGCCTCCCGTCTTGCATGCTGCAAAGGCAGATGCAAGAGGAGGTCCAAGATCAGTCGACTTGTCCGCCTTCGCGCCGTAGTTCAACACATTGCAGGTTTTCTTTGCAGTCTTGGTCGCAACACTGGTGGAGGGTCCGACCTTGCCGGAAAGCTGACCGAAGACAGCTGTAGGAAGCACAGCAATGGCTCCGAGGAGGAAGTTAGCGAAACGCATTGTTTGTTAATGAGTGAACCTGCACAGCAAAAGCACAAAAATGAGTGACTGAAAAAAATGAGTGACAATGGTAGTAAAACGAAAGTATCTCCCGACTGAAAGGAGTGTCAAGATGACCGAAGATACACAAAAGGGACGATGTCCTCGTTTTGAACTGTTTCTAGACCTCATCAGCCCACGATCCACCTTGTGGGACTTGCCACGGGACAACGCCCTCTCATTTCAACTCGGCAAAGCTTAGCAAAATCCACGAGTCAGGTATTTCAGATCGATCTATCAACGAGTAATTCCGACTCATGGTCATCGTTCCCTTTACTTTGAAATTGGCCTGGTTCTACAGCGCATATTTGCACACGACGAAGCGTTTTCCAGTCAGCCGGAGGGACTTACGATGCGGCTTTGAAAGGTTGTAGATGCATGGAAAATCGGGAAATAAGTCAAAGCCTCAGACTCGGATAGATGAAAAGGTGGAGATGCAAGCGTACGCAGGCAATCAAATTTGGCATCGAAATGAACTAGAAACGGATTCGTGGAAACGCCGTTTCATCATCAATTAGAGGATGATCGTCGCTAGGAGGTCCGCTTGCACCACAAGACTGGAACCGTCGAACCTGTCGATGGAAGCTCTAGAACATTTGCCCTGAAGAAATTCATAGTGATCGGCGAATAGGGTATTTAATGGATATCAAACAAACGACTGATAATGGATCATGATGGATGAGGGATGGAAGTGTTGAATCTCTGAGGTGTCTCATTCACGCTAATCCTATCTCAGTCAATCTGACAGCCAGCCGGGCAGCCTTAGCGCAACCCCTATCAGACTACGGACATGTCACGATGAGTGTGAGTGAATGCTCATCCAACCTCTAATACAATTTGTATTTATGCTATGGCTACGTTAGGTCCTCGACAGCTCTTATTCACTACTAACGTAATGACATCATACGCTAACCCCAATATGCTGAGCATTTCGACATGCAGAATCTACTGACGACCATGAATCAATCCAATCCATCTCATCTAGCCGGTCCAGACCTTGGGGCCGGGCATGCTGTAGGATCGGGGGTTGTTCCACTTGTTAAAGGCGATACCTGAGTCACGTGGTTAGCGATGGACGGGTTATCTTCGTTCATTTTCACAACTTACCTGGGTCGGAAGCCTTGTAAAGGCCCGGAATCTTGACGGCTGGTCCTGGTGTACCTCCACCGGCTCCATCGATCTTGAGCTGGTAGCACTCAATGTAGAACTGTGCCTTGCCGACGTGGCCCTCGTGGAGACCAATGTGCTCGACACGGACGAGGTACTCGCCTGGAGGGATGTTCTGCTGGATGGTCCACTCGAGGCGATCCTTCTGCCAGCTGCACCAGCTGCCGTCGTTGCCGGGAGAGCTTGGGTTGCAGAGACCGTTCTCCATAACCTTGACCCAGTCACCAGATCCATCGTAGTCGGCGACGGAGCCGGGAGCCTTGGAGATGTAGACGAAACCCGGGCCGGGGTGCTCGATGAACTCGTTGTTGAAGAGCTTGAAGCCGATCTTGTCACCGGCCTTGACGCTGTAGGTGGCGGTTCCGCCGGTCTTAGCGCCCTTGTTGCAGCGGAGGTCGTTGCTGTTCATGAGCTCGCTGGGGAAGGCTGGGTTGTACGAGTTGCTGTTCTTGCGAGTGTAGGCATACTCGCCACCGATGGACGCGCCATTGACGATGAGACGGTTGAAGATGTAGTGGGCCTCGGTCAGGGCCGGTGCTAACAAGGCGATGACAGCAAAGGCCTTCATGGTGGTCGAAGACGAACGAAAGACTTTGGCAATGATTGCGGAGCTCGTTGCTACAGGAGAAGAGAAATCACATTTCCGTCTCGAGATGCCTGAGTATTTATGCTCCTCCTCCTATTCCACCACTATCAAACCCTTTTTCTCTCATTGGAGGAATATTCACATCTTGGCCTTTCTATTCGTTCATTTATCTGTACCACTTACTACAGATCGAATTTGCACGTTATTCATCCTGCAATTAATTACTTCAGGACGAACTATGTGGTACGGACTCACCGCCAAGCATCGGGATATATTCCGGATGAAAGCTTCGTTCCAACCACGAGCCGCATATCTGGTTTGCCAAGATCTGGGGAAGATAGAGTTTAATCTGGCCCTCTCGACTACCGACTGCGGCAGTCATAGCGAGCAATAACCGAAGTTGCACAGCTCCCCATACCCTGGCCTTTTGCCAGCGTCTCGTCGGAAATATCTCGCGGGTTTGACGCCTTCCGTATGACTGGTTTGGGGAGACTACCGATGTAGCGAAGATTGCCATTGCTTCGGCTGGATGGATCCACCATACATAGTGCTGTCTTGCCAAGGGGTGGTCTATTGCCCGTGGAATCCAAATTAGGATTCATGGTAATCTTTGAGTGGCAGCTGATTAGATCCTGTGGTTTCTCCGGCGCTGACCCACTGCTATGCAGCGAATCGTCGATAGAATCTTCTTGGAAGGGGAGCTACTTCGAGAAGAAGTCTGTGAACTCAAAGTTGGCATGGCCAACCTCTTTGCTGGAGTGCTTTGCACCATATGATGTTATATTGGAAAGCGTCCTGGCAATGGACTAAAGCAAGGCAGTCATCATTCAAGCCTGTGAGCACATCAACATCTCTGCGTTGCCCCAAATTGTCAGATTGAAGTTCGAAAATGCCTCAGCACTGCCCACCACATGCCGTATTGAAGAGTTGGTCGTCGAAAACGACCTGTGGCAAGCATTGATGTTTTCCTACGGAAGTTGAAATGGTCCACAGCAGGGCCGGCAGACATGATAGTCCTTAGTCTGTTTCAGGGTAACTCTTATAACGATTTAAAGTCGTCCAGGATTCAAGTCAAGTGGTTCGGAAGGAAGGCTTACGCAACTTCGTCGCTCGGTCTATGCCGAAATCTCACCAGCCCTCAATATCATAGGTAAACACCCAACGCACAGAAGATGCGACTTTGATGTCTTTTGAATGATTTCTTGGAGGAGCAATTCGCACATTGCAGACACTCATATGTCCCTATGCTGCTCAAGTTCGATTGTTCGGACAGTAGGTGCAGTCATTCTCGAAGCGATCATCCCTTTCCCTAAACCACAACGACGAACATGTCGACTTCAGGACTTGACAACATTTCGAACATTTTTTCAGGGTTCTCTGCGCTTACTTATATATCCCCAAAGCTTTACAGCAAAAGCAATTCACGTTGACTTCGACACCGACATGCATTGGCGTTCTTGACACCTGTCCGCCGCAACGACCAACACCACCATCTCAAATCCCTCCACTCTCGACAGCCTCAGTCCGCACCAAACAGTAAAACAACAAAACACCACAAGAAAACCCCTAAATAACCCAAACCTCTCCCACCCATCATCTCCCCGTCGCCAGCCAGCCCTACGCACCCACGCACAGATCTCAACTCGCACCCCAGCGCAGCCCTACGCACAGGCGTCGCGACCCAAGTTTCAGCAATCTGACATCAGCGCGCACGCACCCACGCAACCAACCGACCACGCCGCACGACGCAGAGGAAAAAAAACACTTTCAACGTAATGCCGAGTGATCTGAAGAAATCTCCTTCGATGTGGTCGTGCGAGCGAAGGAGGCATGCACGGCGTTTTACGAATGCGAGATGAGATGGCCAAGAGATGCGAGGCGCGTGTGTGTATGCAGGTACAGAAACTATAGTCCTCTGTGAAAGGTAATAAGTACCATCGTGGCCGCTTGGATGCAGTGGACATCAAGAAACAAACAAATCTGCAGTGCAGTCTCCAGCGAACAAGAAGAACACGATTTTCATTTGTCTGTATAACATTCATCGCAAAAGAGAATTGCAGTAATATCTATCTACCTATCGACTCGACATCCAAAACATCAACGAGCCAAAGACTTTTTACTTCAACTTCAACCACTTCATCTGTACATATATATATCAGTACATACCAACAACTGCACCAAACGAATCGCTTTACATATACACACCCACAACCAACAAAACCTGCACCACACACTCCACCCAAAAATCCCCAATAACAACAAGATGATCGGCCTCATTCTCCCAATCTACAACATTCACACCTCCTGGTCGCCATCACCGGCGGACACGATGATCGCGATGTACCAACTACCCACAATATCTTCACCCGCAAGTCAGACCGCCTCATCGCCACCGACTACATCTCCATCTTCATCAACATCCACATCCACAAATACATCGCCATCGACAACCACGCCGGGGAATGGAGCTCAGATACAGCAGGCGTTAGAGCGTGCATTAATGTTTTGTGAGGGTGCGGAGGAGGGCGATGTCTGCTGGATGGGATAAGCCTGGTACGAGTGGGGGTGGGGGAGTGGGCCTGGTGCCGAGTAATGAGGAAGTGGAGTTGATTGAGGGGGAGTGTAAGATTATGTGTATGATTATGTATATATTGTATATTATTGTAATTACCAGCATGAGGGTTGTATATAGTGGAAAGGGTAGATGGATTTAATGGATCTGTATATATTTGGAAAGAAACTTTGATTTGTATTGCACTTGAAATAATTCTTAACGAACATATTGCGTTTGTTTCGTTACCGTGTAACTACATGGTGGAGCTAGGCTGGTTGATATCTAAATTGACCTCTAACGAGATGTTACAGAAAAGTTATCTGTTCATTGTGAAGTAACCTTCTTTGAAGATTCCTATAATATATGTTTCAGCACATTTAACAATAATTATCTAATTTGTGATCTTTTTCTGAATTATCACGAAGCTGTGAAGAGGGAAGGTTGTTCTAGGAGCATGGGCCTATGACATTTCGTGTTCATTTTCACATTTCTCTTCAGCATCTACCCTGTGGCTTGTCGACCAGTCATGTGCAGTGCTCAGTTTCATGATTCTCAAACATGATATTCAGCGCTTGGGTGTTGAAAATTTGTCGAAACAAGCGCGTGAGGATTGATACCGGAGAATTGTGAAAAGATTAATCTACGAGTCCGGTTATTGAACCTGAGCATGCTGTTGTTCAAGCACTATTAGAATGGCATGGCATGAGATTGTTTACCATCTGCGACCTGTAGCAAGGCCTTCCAACGGTGTTCGGGCGTCCGATCTGGCCAGAGGCACTGGGATGGTCGCATGAAAGAGCCGCAGAGCCGCAAAGGAGACGAATGCCACGCGGAAGAGGATCATAAGGCGTGCACCGTGCTCCTTGGGGGAGAGATCGCATCGTGATATCCATGGTGTGTAGGGCTAGATTTAAAATTGAACGGGCGTGCACACCTGGTAGACAGGAGCCGAAACACAATCCTTCGATGGTGTTCTTGCTGGTAAAGGGGGGCCGTTGAAGGTGATTTTCCAGGCGTTGCAAAATCGACTGGATCGGGTTGTTAGTTGAACCTCGATGAAGGATTCCCACGTTCGACAAGTGCCGCCTCATTCTAAATATGTAGGTAAGAGGGGGCGAATCTGGCTGCGATCTAGGTTGGCGTTACAGATGTTAAATCTCCGATTCGGTGCGCTGGGGTGAGAGAAAGTTTTACGATGCCCTCAGACGCAATGTCAATGCCGGAATGGTGGAAGCGATTCGCTGAAACAGAGAGTATTGCGTGTACGGCAAGGCTGGCACGTCCGTGTGTCGTGCCACATGTCGTATTCATCATATTCAGCTGTGGTAAGAAATTCGGCTCAAGCCGAACGGGCGAGATTCCTAGACCTGGCATCCCACTAAGGGACTACTGGTTCTCGAGGAGAGACAGCGAGGGTGTCCTGCGGCGTTGAACAGTTGTTCCCGAGATGCCGCACGTGTTTCGCATGGAAGAGGGCAACATGCGTTGGGAATGGCAGTGAGTGTATTTTAGGCGATTGGTTACGACACATGAGGCTGATTATCGGTATTCTTCGACGAATGAAACTGTTTGGATCATGCACTGTGGCTGTCCTCTGTTTGAGCACTTATCAAACATTGATGCGAATGATGGGAATGGTTCGGCAGTGACAGGTCTGTTCTGTTTCGCCCTGCTCTCTGCTATCCTATCCTGTCCTGTTCTTACGAGGTAGAGTGGGACTGGACTGGACTGCCACGCGAACCCATATGCGCGGTTCGTCCCGAGTGAGTGGAGAGGAGTGGCGAAGTGAGTTTAACGTCTCAACCATGCGATATTATTAGCTCTCTGCGACGAACTACAGCCTATGATTTAATCAATCATAGGGCCCAAGATGCAGGAGAATATCTCGTAGGCTCTCCTAAGGCTTTCTCCAATATAGTGTGATTCGATGAGGCAGAAATGTCGAGACTCCAAGTTCATCGACGTGCAGCATCTCGGGCCACGAACAGGAAATGGGATAGCCGGATCCATGCCGGTGTGACCTCATGCTCGTGTAAGAGGGCAATAAGCGGCATTGGCCTAGCCAGAGACCGGGGCCGAGATAGAGAGGGTAGTTGTTGGATCAGGGCGAAAGCCAGTAGGGAGAGGGAGATAGGAAGGGAGAATTGAGTGATGGCCTGTGCACAGGCTCATCTCATGCCATGTTAGAGATGTGGCATGGAGTATGGGTGGATGAGTGGATGAGTTGGACGACGGATTGGTTGAAGGGTTGAAGGGTTGATGGTGAGTGGATGGTTGGAGGACGGAAGGATGAATGATGCGCATCTGAGGGGGCGGCTGTGTTGGACTGTGCACGCCTATTCACACTTGCGACTGTCTTTCCAACAGCCCAGCCAACACTTAATCACACACAACTTTGTACTCCTCCTCTACTCATCATCTTCAGCCTTTTCCTGTTCTATCTCGTGTGCAATTAGGAGAGAAAGAAGTCGAGGAAATTGCCCTCGGTCGCATTGGTAGTCTGCATCTCCATCTTCTCAGCCTTAAGGGGTTTCGATCGCGCGGGCGGTTCAACCTGTGCAACGTGCCAAAGCCATTCCCGCTCAAACTGTTGGTCTGACTGTCACGAGCCACATCTCAAGACTTGCGCAATTCTGATACATCCATAACAGACCATACCATACACACTGTCGGCCGGCCTCCCTTTGCCCCCTACCCTTTCCCACGTCAGCAGTGCACCCTGACCCGGAAGATTGCTGCTGCACGGATCCTGGGAGACCGTCCGTGGCCTCCAGCAGTAGAAACAGTGTACAAGCGCGGTTGTTACAGGCCCCTCGGCTTGGGCTGCCTTTGCTTTGCGTCACAGTAGCCTTTCGTGCGCAGTTCACTCCATGTGGTTCATATAGAAGTCCTCGCAGAGAATCGCAGGTTGCAGGTCCAACGAGCAACCAACTCTCCCCTCTTCACCCCCACTACGACTTCATCAAACACAACATGGGATTCTCGGGAAAACCAAGCAAAGGCTGTGCGCCGTGTCGAGCAAAAAGAACAAAGTGAGTAAACAATATCTTTTTTGTCCTCTTCTATCCGTCTGGAGGTCGAGAAGACGAGTCGAGTCGCCCAATCGGGTAATAGTCTCGTGGTCCAGGCGCATTCCTGCACTCTGATTGGCCTGAGTTCACTATCTTGTTCTGACGTTTCACCAGATGTGACTTGGCCGTTCCCTCTTGTACTCAGTGCATCCGCAAAGGCAGAGTCTGTTCTGGCTACCGAAATGAACAAGACCTGCTATTCAGAAACGAGACAAAACTTGTCGTTCGAAAAGCTAAGAGACGGCACGAGAGCCAATCGCCACCGCCAAACCACCTCCCGATGGAGGCTTTCTCCATGCAATTGTTCAACCCTATGCCCTCAAGGAGAGCAGCAGTGAACGACGAGGCTGAAATGCACTTCTTCGCACATCTCAACGAAAAGCTATTTGCATCCCAAGATTGCTCTACTGGTGGTGGTTATGACTATATCCTTCCCGTATATTCGCAAGACCTCCTATCGAACGGGCCCGTACCGGAGATAATAAGAGCAACTGGACTGGCAGCACTCGGGAGCACTCGAGGATCTCCAGAACTCCTGATCGCGGCGAGACAAAAGCGAGGACAGGTTCTTCGACACCTGAATCAGCAACTACAAGATCCCAGGATGGCGCTCTCAGACTCGTCAATATTGACTTGCGTGTTACTGAGCCTATTCGAGGTAGGCTATTCCGTTCACCCCCGAAAACTACAAGGTGTTAATTCGTGTCCAGAATGTGCTTTGCGAAGGCTCACAATCTACTCAAGCGATGACCTACCATCTCCAAGGCGCCTTGACACTTTCCGAACTTCGAGGCTCAGCACAATTCAGCACTGAAGTCGGACGTGGTATCTACGCAAGAATGCGAGGTTTCATCGTGCGTCCTCCTCTTTTCCCATTTCTCATTCAATTTCCAGTCTCAGCTAACGAATTTCCAGCTTGCCCACTGCCTGCAGACCCGCGATCCCATCCCTCCATTCATCCTCACCTTCCTCGACGACGAATCCATCACCCAACGCGACTTCGCTCCTGACTTCTACAAACTCCTCGCACGTCTCTGCCAACTACGATCCGACCACAAACAAAAGGGCTACGTCGACGCGCCCATGGCCACCGAAGCCTCATCCCTCGTTAACGAATTCGACCTCTGGCACCCACACATCCCCGATTGGCACCCATACTCCCGGCCCTCAGCCGACGACTTCCGCCGCAACGTTGACGACGACACCTACCGCTTCATGTGGCTCTCCAACACCTGGTTCTTCAAGCACACAGCGCGGGTCCTCGCCTCGGACATGGTGATCGAGTACGCGCGAGCCCAGCTCCTCCTCGCACCCGCCTCCGCCTCCGCGACCTCCACCCTCGCCGATGCAGTCTCTACGCAGACCTCCCTCTGTGTCGAACTCCGCGACTCGACGGAGTACTACTTCGACAAGTTCCGCAGCGCAGAGAGCTGTCAGCGCACGGCCGGCGGGTACGGCCTCCTGTGGCCCCTGTACGTGCTCAGCATGTCGGCAACTAGCACAAGCGAGACAATGCTGTGGATCAAGGACATGGCGTCAGGCATCGCGGATGCGTTTGGCATCAGGCAGGGCAGAGCGATGGCGGATTTCATTGCGCTGTTCTGCTCTCCGCCGGCGGATGACGGGTTTTTGGTGGGTTTGTGATGGGCGAATGTATCAGGCTGGAACCTCGGTATCGGAAGCTGGTGGTTGTGCTGCACGGGTTGCTTTTCACTTTTCACATCTTTTTTGGGAGGTCGCATGATCTTTATTTTATTTGGGAATGATGATATGATGGGGTAATTCGGACGATAGAGACCTCTTGTATATTTCTGTGTATTTGTACGACAATTAGTATATAGCCAACCAAAGTAGCCTTAATCAGATTTCTAGATGTACATACAAACAACCTCTCTTGTTCCTCCTCTTAAATAATAACCATAGGACTATCTCATGGGTGTTCGGAGAAAAAAAAAATAGAATTAAAAGATTGTTTAGATAAGGTCTGGGATTTTGCTGGTGTGTGGATTCGTAAAAAGTGCCCTTAGCCTCTTCACGCAAAATGAGGGCGCACACTACCTAGAACACCACTAGATGCATCACGGAGTTTGATCCACCGACCTCGCTACCACTGATAACATTGCCCTTGATGACATCGAATAGTTCAAGCAAGGACGCGAGGGAAACTGCTACGAGCTCGTTGACAGCCTTGGCGCATAGTCGAGGTTGCACCCGAATTGTGCCCTGTACAGAACTCGAAGAGGAGAGCTAATGCTAGGGGTAATCCTGGTGAAGAGAGTACGGAGTACCAGCAAGAGACTTCGTTGAATGCACGTCGATGTTGATTGTAGTTAACTAGGGGACTTGATGCCATTCTCTGCTGAGACCGACTTTTCTCGCACTGAGCGTCATTGACAAGCGAGACCTGGAGGCGGTGACCTGGTGATGTGGGTGTTGATCATCTTCAACCCGCTCACTTAAGAAAGCAAAGGCAATGGATAATTTATGAAAGTGAATAATTAGTATTGATATGAAGTTCGAAGGGCACCATTGGCGATGATGGTGTTGTCATGGTGGTTGATAAGGACATCTCGACAAACAAACACTCTCCGAGTCCTGCTGCTTCACCCCTTGCGATGTCGCAGGATGTCTTCGATTTCGATAGTTCAAGAGACGCTTTCGGAAAGAGAGGTGTGACGTGGTGAGACGTGAGATGGAGACATGGTTGGGTGTTTGGGGTTTGGAGTTGTTAGCGGTTGGCGTGTCCGGGGTTGCGGCTGGGATGGTTGGTTGGCTGTCGTTGTTGGGGTAACGCGCGGTCAGTCGCCGCCTGTAAACACACGAGAATCGACTATTCCCTCTAGCCTCACCTACCTCTACCTTACCTATTATCTCTCCCCCATGTCCGTCCATTAGTTGCCCTTACTATCGCTCCCCACTGCTACCAACATCGTCACTCTTGAGCAGTGCTTTGTGTTCGGTTTCCCTTTGGACGGACGTGACTCGAATCACATCACATACACTCACTCATTTTTACTTTGCTATCCTACCTAGCCATCTGCATCCACGTCTCGTGCCCTCCGCTCTCGTATATCGATCAAACAACGAATGTCGTCGCGCCATCATACACTCGCTGGATGAGTTGCAATAGGATCAACAACTGAATTTGATCTGAGTTTGGATTATAATAACAAACATTCGAAATGGCGCCAGGTGCACAAGCATTGCCCACACGGTTTCCATGTTGGTGCAAGGCTGTCTACTCATGGGGCGGTGAGGTATGTTTTCTGGAAAACTACCATGATGACACCGCGGCGGACATACTAACATTCTCATTATAGACGAAACGCGATCTCGGATTCATCGAAGGCGATCTCATCGAATGTCTTAATGCGGGAGACGGTTCATGGTGGATGGGAAGGCTGAAGCGGGATAGACGCATGGTCGGACTGTTCCCATCCAACTTCGTCGAGTTACTCGACGAGTCTTTCCAACCGTGGAATCGAAATGTCAGCCCAAGGACCAGCGGAGGAAGCATCTCGCGGCAGAACAGTGCTCAGCCTAAGCAAGTGCCGCAGAAGGCGAAAAGCATGTTTAGGAAGCCCTTCACCGCCTATGCCGCTGCATCTCAGCCGAACCCAGAGGCCGCCAAACGCCAGATACAGAAGGCTGGAGGTTTATCACCGAGCGGGTCGAATGCAGGGCAGAAGACACATAAGCCGTATTCGTCGATGAAGAGGTCTTCCACTGAAAGCCGCGAGACTGCCTCACCTGTACCTGCTGTTCCTTCAAATCTTCGCGCGGTGTCGCCTCGTCCTGCGCCATCACGACTGGTACAATCACGGGCGCCATCTCCATTGCCGCCAGCCGATTACTCTCGTGCTCCGTCACCTGCGCCTCCTGCACAGTACCAAAGCTATCAGCGAGCTGCATCACCAGCACCGCCCGTGCAGCATCATTACAACCACAGAGCCGTGTCGCCTGCACCTCCCGTACAGCATCACTATCAACATCGAGCCGTATCCCCAGCACCTCAACCCCATTATCAATCACAACCGCGAGCCGTGTCTCCAGCACCATCATTCCAATACCAGCGGGATCCAAGAGCCGTATCACCTGCTCCATCGTTCCAGTACCAACAACACTCTCGAGCGGTGTCCCCTGCACCTCAACCGCAATATCACTCCCATTCGCGGGCAGTATCTCCTGCCCCGTCGTTCCAGTATCGAGCATATGACCGTGGTCCCTCTCCAGCTCCAGAAATCTACTCTCGTGAACCGTCGCCTGCGCCTCAACAACAGTATCGAGCCTATTCTCGTGGACCTTCACCAGCTCCTCAGCAATACGAGGCTTATTCTCGTGGGCCTTCACCTGCTCCTCAGCAATATGAAGCTTATTCTCGTGGACCATCCCCAGCTCCATTCCGAGAGCCGTCTCCTGCCCCATATCAAGATGTCGACTCGCCGCCTCCGCCTCCACCTCCTCATCGCGTTGCCTACAATCCCAGCCGCGTGCCATCTCCTGCACCACCGCAGCATGATTACCACACACCTGCTCCGCCATCTCCTGATCCGCGTGCGACGACCCGTGGTAACTTTACACCCTCGCCACTTACAAACGCCATGAACGATGTGATGTCTTCGCTCCAGGATATGAGTATGTCTCGTAGTGAAACTTCTCCCGATGAACCAGCAACACCGCCCTCAATATGGTCTCCAGAAGCGTTCGATGAAGTCTACAAGGCATCGGCCAAGAAGGTCCGCGCCCAAAGCCAGGTTGTTTACCCCGATGATGACGACCTCGATGAAAACCCGCCTCAAGTACAGAGCTACGTCCAGCGCATGGAGAGTCGCCTTCGTAAAATGCAGCAGGAGGAGAACCAAGGCAACAAGAAAGACGAGCTATTCATGCCCCAAGATACAGATGGTCCCCCGCCTGCGCCACCGCCGAAGAACCCAATGTATCGCAATAGGTCAGGCTCCACTTTGGAGAACGACGAGCCGGATCTTGAGCGTAAGGAATCGAAAACTCTTCGACATAGGAAATCTGCGTATGAGATAGGACGAAACGTCTTGGGCCGCACATTCACGACGAAGACCAACTCTACGAGCGCTACTAATAGCACGCATCATACTCTAATGTCTGGACATTCTGCTACTGGAATGAGCGCGACAAGCGCAGGAAGCTTCTACCGCAAGAAGCTGAGTAAGAACAGACCAATGAGTACCATTGAGACTACCCAAACGGCCAAAGGATACGGGTTCGACGATGGAAGGCCGGAGACACCTTTCACGGGCGTCACATATCACTCCAGCCATGCTTCTCAACCTCGACCTTCAACAAGCCATCAACAACGAGAAGAATGGAATGATCCTATGCCAGAAGGACAGGATCCCCTTGGAGGGCTCACCGCACCGAAGCCGAAGAGGAGCGGTTTCTTCCGCAAGATGATCGATAGTGCAAAGACCCAAGCAGCGAATGCTCGAAGTACGATTGCCACCAGCTCAATCAGCAGACCTGGCTCAAGAGCAGCAAGCAGGGCAGCTTCGAGAGCCGCGAGCCGATTGGACAACAACGCACCAACAGGAATAGCTGGTGGAACGGCAGTCCAGTCTCATGGTTCCCGTGATATGGGAATGAATGGCGGCGTGGACTGGGTTCAAGTCCGCCGAGACGTCAACAGATCTAATTCCCTGAGCAAGAATGAGCGAATGGAGAGAGCAGACAGATGTCAAATGCTTGACATTCCCGTACTCAACCCGGTTGAGGTCCTTTACGAATCTGCAGAAGGAGACGAGGGTCTTGATGGCCTGCCAATCGCAGAGCCCACCAATTTCACCACCTCGAATCTTGGTCTGGTCGACAAGAGCGCACGTTTCATCAACAGTATACCGCTTGGAACAACTTCCTCCCAATTGGCACAAGGTTACGTCTGCCGACCGTATCGTAGCGACGTCCAGCGATTGCGGGCAATATTCACATGGGTTAGTGAGCGTGTTTCATGGGATGAAGATTTCGAAGGAGATATCGATACCCGACAAGTGATCCAGAACAAGCGAGGATGTTCGGAAGAAGTTGCGCTGCTTGTCGCAGAAATGTGTGCTTCGGTCGGACTCCACGCCGAGGTCGTGCGTGGTTATCTCAAAACTCCCGGCGAGCCTTTGGACCTGGAGAGCGTCGCGCGACCGAATCACTTCTGGAATGCCGTGATCGTCGAAGGGGAATGGCGTATCATGGACTGCTCACTTGCCGGTCCAACAAATCCTAAGCGCGCTCAGTATTCCGATGCTGGATCCCAGGTCGCCGACGGCTGGTACTTCCTTGCACGACCGATGGAGATATGCTACACGCATGTACCCCTCTTACCTGAGCAGCAGCACATCTGTCCACCACAGCCGCATGAGATCCTAATGGCTCTACCGTGCGCTTGTCCTACGTACTTCAAGCATAGTCTCCAGACGGTCGACTTCGATACTAGCCTGCTGAATCTGGATGGTCTTGAGTTGGCCCACGTATACATCACAGTCCCTGAAGACGTAGAATGCTTTGCAGAAGTCGAGGCAAAAGCAGTCTCTCAGGATGTAGATGGTGATTACTATGAGAGTGGTGATGTAATACGGAAGCCTGCCCTTGCACAGGCAGAATGGAAGGGTGGTCAGAAACGCTACACCATCAAGGCACTTCTCCCGGGCGATGAGGGTCATGGAGTGTTGAAGGTATACGCTGGACCTCGTGGTCTTATGGTAAGTTGATAAGATTTGCACACAGCTGTGCTTAATCGACATGAGCTTTGCTGACCAGTTTCACAGCACTCCAACAAACTCAACCCACACTCGCTGGCGCTTGGCTTGCCTATCACTCATACAGGCGTCAACCCACCGTACTCGTTCCTCACCCTGCACCCAACTCCCCATGCCCAACGCCACGATCTCTACGTTGCACAACCTCAGTGTGCCAATCTCGCACTCAACAACACTTTCGTTTTCACCGTGCGGCAGCACCCATCATCCCTGACCCGTTCCCCTGACGCTATCGCCGCCCCCAGCGGCCGTGTAAGCCCTAACCCCTTTGCCCGTCCCGCCTCCGCCATGTCCATGCAATCCATCTCAGCATCTGGCTCCAACTTCTCCCATCCATCGAACTCATCGTCGAACTCTTCTTCCTCGAATCCGTCCTCGATGAAGCCAGCGAAATTGGCAATCCAGACCCCGACCGGCAAGATCATCCGCCTTACAAGAAAGAGCGAGCATATGATGTCCACTTCAGATGTCATAGAGGGCAGTGTCTGGGAGACGGTAATCAAGATCGGAGAGAAGGGTACCTGGAGGGGATTAGTGCTCGCGGACAGGAGTGCTAGGTGGTGCGTCTTCGCTCAATGGGAGTGCAATTAGGCATGTTCACCCCATATGAAGAAGTGACGCAAAACATACTGTTGTTCTGTTCAATTCTGGGTTTCGAGGGATTCGAGGTTGACACTTCATTGCCTTCTCCCCTCTTTCCATTTTACGGTTTCCCTTTCTTTCCTCAGCCTTGTAATGTCTGTCCAAGAGGTACCGCTTTCCCAGCTAACACCTCTTCATGAAAAAAGCGCGCGATTAAGACGGCCTCTTTTTGTCAATTTTTTTCTCTTCTCTGACTTTCCTTTCTTTTATGGCGCTCGGCTGCATAACACGGCGGCGTTTTTTCCTCTTCTTCACATTTACGACTTGTTTTCTCTGGCTTCTTGACGGTCTTTCTGCTGCTGTACGAGTATAGTGCGCACGATTTTTTTGTTATTGGGGAGGTGGGATTTGGGATAGGCGTTTGAGAAACATTGCATAGCATTATCACACTTTATTCCCCCCTTGCTCATATGGGCGGGGGCTATGTTCAGGAACGGAGAAAATTCATGTGCACAAATTGTTTAGGAAATGAAATTAAGAGAGTTTAAAAGTATGATTGGTATCTTGTCTGGTTTAGAGTTATGCGCAATGTGGAAATTTGTGATGCTGATGTTTGAACTTGATACGACTTTTGATTGTTCTACGAAAGTGCTATAGTTTTGTCTACTTGCTCTTGCCAGTGGGGATCTGGAACGCGACGACGGGCTTGCCATGGGCGAACGCCTCGTCAATCCTGAAGTAGCCCTTCCTGTCGAACTGAATGATGTCGTCGACCTTGAGGTTCGCGACGTTGCAGTCGGCCAATGCCGTGGTCTCGGTCTTCGTGTTCGGGTTGAGGAACTTCTCGAGCTCGTCCTCGGGCTCGAGCTTATCCTTCGTGATGAGGTAGTCGAAGTCGACGAGCTTCACGGGGACGAGGTCCTGATCCGCAGAGAGCCAAGTAACCTTCTTGCTGGTCTTCTTGACGTCGCCCTGGAGGTGGAGTTCGAGCTCTAGCCCGGTGACGGTGGAGAGACCCGCGGGGGACGCGAGCGGGTTGATCGAGTGCGAGATCTTGCGCACGAACGCGTTGCCCCAGTTCATCAGCGTGATCTCTTCGTCCTGCGCGAAGGACGCGGCGTCCGCCTGCTCGAGCAGGATGTTGCCGCTGAAGACGACCTTCTTCTTGCCGAGGTTCGTGTACTTGGCGTGCTTGTCCTTCTCCTCGGTGTGGATGCCATCGCGGGCGCCGACCACGGTGACGGGCACCTTTGCCGCGTCGGAGATCGCGGTGTAGCGTGCGGCGACCGGGTCGATGTGCTTCTTGTTGGTCGCCCAGAAGGAGTACCAGTCGAGGTTGACGATGTTCTTGGAGGGGCCCTGCTTGAGGATGAATTCGCGGAGCGCGGGGATGGTGACGCCGCGGCGGCGGACACCGCGGACGGTGGGCATGCGCGGGTCGTCCCAGCCGTCGACGAAGCCGGTGTCGACGATCTTGGTGAGCTTGCGCTTGGAGAGCAGCGTCTTGACGAAGTTGAGGCGCGCGAAGCCCCAGTTGTAGACGTGGCGGCAGCCGAGGGCCTTGAGGAACCATTGGTACTGGGCGTCGCGGTCGTTGTACTCGGTGGTGCGGAGCGCGTGCGTCACGCCTTCCTGGGCGTCGACGATGGGGCAGCAGAAGTCGTAGGTGGGGTAGATCTTCCAGCGGTCGCCGGTGCGGTGGTGCACTTCGGGGCTGCAGCGGTAGATGACGGGGTCGCGGAGGGCCTTGTTCGGGTCGTCGACGGAGATCTTTGCGCGGATGCACCACTTGAGGCCTTCCTCGGTTGCCTTCTTCATCTCCTCGAAGCGGGCGAGGTTGTCTTCGACGCTGGAGTCGCGGCGCTCGCTGGGGATGCCGTCCATGCGCTCCTGTCGCATCTTCTCTTGGAGTGTGTCGTCCGCGTAGGCGTTGCCATCCTTGATCATCTTCACGCAGTACTCGTATAGCTCGTCGAAGTAGTCGCTGGTGTAGCTGATCTTGTCGGCCTTGATGCCCATGAGCGCCAGATCTTCGACGATGGAGTCCTGGAACTCCTGCTTCTCCTTGAGAGGGTTGGTGTCATCGAAACGGAGGAGCAGAGTGCCCTTGTACTTCTCGTGGGCGAAGTAGTCGTTCAGCAAAGCGGCCTTTGCGTGACCGATGTGGAGGTAGCCTCTGCAGTGTATTATTAATGGACATGTCTTTGAGCAGTAATGCAAGAACTTACGAAGGCTCCGGTGGGAATCTGGTGACAATGCCAGTGCCGTCTCCAACGTCCTGGAGACCGATATCGTAGTTGGCACCATCGTCCTTCTTGTCCTCCTTTCCACCCTTTGCGTCCTTGCCCTTAGCAGGTCGCTCGGGGAGAGTTGTCTGCTGTGGGTACGCCTCCTCGATGTATCTGAACCAACGACCCAAATTGGGCATCAGGCTCTGCTTGATGAAGGCATGGGCGACACGGTTCTCGCGGAGAGTCTTCCAGACGGTAGTATCGGCGTCGGTCAGTCCATAACCCACGATGTGGGAGCGGAGAGTAAGGTGAGCATCAAGCTCGCCGAGAGCAGGCTCAATGGCCTTGAGGTTGAGAGGCTTGAAGGCCTCGGCGCGGTCTTGCCACTCTTTGATTTGTGCCTCCGCCATTATTTCCTCTTTGTGTGTGAAGTGGAAGTAAGTGGTTGCGACCAAAAAAGTAGTTTAGTTGTGACTGGAATGACGGCGAGGTGGGGCGATGGTTGATTGGCGGGGTACAATCAAACACTGCAAACATTTTGATCATTCATTTCTTGGCGAAGTGATATCAACCTCAATCATCTCATGATCGGCACTTCATTGTTAAAAGGTTGGAAAAAAGTTCACGATGTTACCCAAGAGGGTTACACTAATTGCGAGTACTATGTGTGAATTACGCGACTACCATGCGTCAAGCCAATTTTGACGAGAGCGCGGTTCATCCGTTTTGCTTGTTCCATTCAGCAAAAGTATATTCATCTTGCACTGTGCTTCAGAAAAGCCTGCATTGTTAACGTAATAAAGGAAGCTCGGGTGATTGGAGTAACACAGAGTCTTTCACTGCTCGCTATGGAATAATCACGCGATTTTAGGAAACAATGTTCAAAAGTAATGCATGTACAATACCCCATAGCAATTTATCATATCGGCCTCTTCACCATGACATTCTACAGAGACGAATGGGGATCAGATATAAGGACTCAAAGTCCCCATTTTGCAATTTAGATCACCGTTGGTTCATGGTCAGTGAATATGTCCGAAAACCATGGAAATCCCGAGTTCCCCGATGAACAAGGCATGCTCCATATGATTAGGACGTTGCAACTGATCAAAAAAGAGGTTGCTGGCTTGGAAGAAATGGCGAAGGCGGAACTGTTTCCATCCTCTCCGCCAACCCCATCCTCACGACGCAAAGGGGAACAGATCTTGGAGGGACTCCAGTATTGCATCAAACAGTACAAGAGTGCAATTGATTCTTCGCCGCCAGTGTACCCTTGTTTATCCAAACTTGCGAGGGAGCAAGCAGAGTACAAGTCTTTACAAAGTCACGGCCTCTACGAACTCTTGACTTTTCAAAGGACTTTGTTATACAATCTGGACGGTCGATCACCGTTCCCTCTTCCCAAGATCAACGAAACCCTTTTTCGTCGCTGGTCATTCAACTGGACAACTGATGGCATGCGTCACCGCCGAATGGTCGCTTGCCGCATCGGGCTTTTACTGTCAAAAGCGGAGCCGACATCACCCACGGGTTGTCTTGACGTGCGAGAACAATTGTATTACATCCTGAACAATGATGAAGGAGATATGCAGCTATACCAAGCATGGGAGAACCGGACTAAACAGAAAATCGGACCAAAACACCTCTGGCTCTTCGACACCCAAGTCGATCCCGACTTGGAGTGGACTTGCTTAGTTTACGCGACTGGGCAACTTATGGAGCGTGAGACGCAGTATCGGCTACGCATGGAACGATGGGAGAAGGCAGATCGCGAAAGCCACGGCCGCCTTCAACGAGAGGCAAAAAGGTCCGGACGGCTAGAACCTTTACGAGGTCTCTCTTGTATCTGGGGGAACAACAACCTCATTTCTGCAATCGACAACCTCCTATTACAGGGTATGCAGCAGACATACGAGCCCAAGTTTGGGACCATTCTGGAGTATACGATGCTGACAATTCAGAAGTTGGACTGCCTGGAGAAGTGGCTAGACCTTGGTGAATTTCGCAAGTATCGGATCCTCGACAACGACGTCGCACAGCTTGTGCGTGATGGTCTGTCTGCTATCGGTAAACTTCTCTCGAAAATTCATGAATGATATGGTGCGATGATCTCACGATTGGAATGACGGGACTTCGGTAAGGTCATGAGAGTAGACTAGGCAAGCAGCCAGTCACGAAATGAAATGTTTCATGTCCTCAAGGTTATCTAATAGAATCGATAATTCATTTAATTGAGTGGTTGGAATCAAGCCACAAAGTATACAATTCTTTTGATGAGCCAATTTTTCGTTTTGTCAATGATAAATGAGTGACTAACAGACCATTCCACTCGCACACTGCTGCCAATGGTCCTTGAATCAACACCATAATCTCCTTGATAAATAGGAAATTCAATCGCAATGCCATTGGTAATTTCATCGGATAAGCGCCTAAACACCACCGCAAGTCAAGGCTCCTTTGCCCTTGTTCATGGCACACAACTTGTTGCAACACTTGGTACTTTGCCAGCAGATTGCTGTACCAGGGTTATTATTTAAGTACTTTCAACAAATATAGAAATGACCTACCCCCTTTCTTGAGGCATTTACGACTCTCCAGCAGCCCAGACGCTTCACGAGCGTCCAGTTCAGCCTCAGCGAGCGCTGTAATATCTCTCAAGGCGAGAGAGTTTTCATCTGGGGCTGGGAGAGCCAGGGCCGAAGCAATGAGTGCAAGTAGAGGTAGAATGAACTTCATTTTGAAAGGTTTTGCAAAGTGATGTATTATGGAAGCTGATCTAGGATGTAGTCAGAGTATTTCTCTTTGGATTGCTTTAGAACACATGACGAGCGCAGTTTTGTACCTTTTTATATGCTTTGTAGGACACAACGGAATCCGATTGCCTGATGTGACGCACTCAAAAGACCCCATTAGGAAGATATAAGAGTACAGTACTCATTTGTCGTGTCACCTGTCTCATTATCTTCACTGATCGATCGATTTTTGTTGGCAAAGAAGGCGTAGTACGAGCCCACCGTGAAGCGGCCCAAGTTATAGTGCGACGAATAAGACGGAGTTCAATCTAGTGAAGAATCTTAGAGAGATCAATTGCAGGATCCGTTTTGTCATTCCGTGTCTGAACCTTTTCTTCATTATAAATCACTAAGCGAAGATGATCGCTATTGTTAAAATAAAGATTGTACAGAAGACGATCAGGAAATACATTGCGTATATTACCACCAGCAATGATTGAAGTGATTATACATAACAATTCCAAGGCACGGCCGCCTATTATTCCGAGTCTGAATCATTTTCTACTTCCCCTAGGCCACCGCAACCCCTACAAGTCTTCGTACCATTCCCACCACAAGATCCACAATCCACCTCCTCAGTATAGTACGGTACTTCAAATGAAGCAAGGCTCAATGCCATCATCTTCATCGCCCCAATGTTTATGAGAACGTTCTGAATCCCTTGATGAACTTGTGCGATCTTGCTCAGATCACCTCGCCCCATGGGGCTGTATTTGGTAAGATTGTACATCTTTGTACCCCAGAACTTTGTAAGACGTTACAAAGTGAAACTTTACCACTCAAGTGTATTGTGCAATAAATGGTGATGCAAGCCATTCTATCAGGAATCAAGGCTCTGTATCCAATTCTGAGGCTTCAAACATGGTATGTAGTCAAAAATGATAGAGTAAGAGGCAATATCGTCGCCTGGTAAGCAACGCATACTTCACTAAAAACCTTGATGTACACAATATTGGTCAGCTCACATATCCGATAAAATGTCAGCGTTAGCTCAAGTGGAAGGAACGACTTTAGAATTAAACCTTTGGATGGTAATTTACAATATAAAGATATTCCTGTAAACCTATTTACACCAGAATCAGACATAACGTGGCGACCCTGTGGTATTTCAGGCATCGGCATACACAACATACTCAACCTCCTCGCTCATCTCGCTCAACGGGGTGGGGTGCACATCTCGCTCATTATGGTGAACAGGGTCACCTGACTCTCCTGAATTAACGTCAATAAGAAGTTGAAGTGCGCGTAATTGGCAGCCCCCTCCAGCGTTTTCAGCGGGACAAGTTCCTTATTTTGCGGTTCCATGTGAAACTTCGCCCGGCAAATCATGCAGCTATCCGAGCGCTCAAAATCCGCTAGAAGCCACTGAGTAATGCAACTCGAATGAGCCACATGAGAACATCCCAACTTTCTAATCGGCTCTTTCTCGTCATAAGGATCCAAACATACAGGGCAGCTCTCATCCGCCAGGTCTGCAGAAAAGGCAACGGGCTCTGAGAAGTAATCGGCATGGACACCTCCTGTGAGTGCGTTCGGGTCGATGCCTTGCACAGTTTCTCCTTTGAAGAACCGGATGACCTCGTCGTAGGTGAACGAGCTTCCCGTCAGCGGTAGCAGCTGACACATATCGATATTAGAATCTACCCACAATGCCTGCTGTTCCTTAACGATCTCTCTCGCCGTACGGTTGGCCGAATCAATGTCGTCGGCAATGGAATGACGGAGATCTCTGGTTGCATTAACATACGCTCCGTGGTTCCCAAGTATCGAGTAGTCCAGCTGTCTCTCGAATGCAGCGATTCCCTGGGAAATGGCTTGACAGTTTTTCATCAAGCTGATACTTCGCTGCATGATCGATGACCGCAAATCAGGGTGGCTCGAACGGTCGCACTCGAAATGTCTCAAGCGATCGAGGTGTTCTTGAGCAACCTTGACCAGTCTGATCATCTCCAGTTCGTCCGCATCTAAACCGTCGCTAGGCAAAGGATCGTATTTGTAATCGAAATAGGCAGACAGTCTTCCAGGAAATTTGCCATTCTCTCTGAGGCGCTTGCCGAGATCAAAAATTTGTTTTGAAACTGGGTTATAAGGGTTTACCGGATATTCTGGACCAGCCATCAGTTCGGAAACCTCACCATTTCCTATAAAAGATGCACTAGCCATTATACGTGCATAGAAAAAGAAATGAAAAGAGCAATGAGCGGGTAAGTCTTGATGGATCGGCTTGTCGTCGTTGTGGTATCCGGGTTGTTAGCATGGCTCTTCTGACCATAAATACTGTCCTGCATCATACATTGTGAATTACAGAACATTTTACACCTGATGTAGCATGCTTTCACAGTGAAAGAAAGATCTTTGAATATATATCAAAGAGCTTGGCTTATGCTATAAATGGCCTTGTTCTTTGTCAAGAAGTGTTGCAATTCTGTCCAGTGGATGGGTACCAATCGTCCAAAGCATGAAATACTAACATCATTGTGTAGATCTACTTATGAGATACTTGAAAAACCAACGAATTTTGTATCACAAGCGGCAGGACTCTAGACTAATTATGAGATCTTTACTGTCAAGTATACTGCGGAAACCCAGAGCAGCTACAGTTCCGCATTTCCTCTTCCAAACCATTGTTGGACCGATGTCAGAAAGAGTCAAGGTTACTTCCCTACCAGTCGCTACAGCTGGGCATTGTTCATTCACCACAAAACACATTGTAAACAACAGCAAAACAAAGACAAATCACCACCTACAACCTCGCCTGCACTATCACCTCCGACTCTCTTACCTCCACCGCCTCCCTCCTCTTAGCCTCACTCGCCCCCTTCAACTCCGCTCCAAGCTCCTCTATCTCCCTAACCCTCGTCCTCCCTTCGCCTTTAGCCGAAAACGCCGCTCTAATCCCCGGCAGATTCGCCCTACACCAGAACTCCCACGGCCCCCATACCGGCGCCAACCTCCCCTGCCCATTATTCTCCAAGCCCCTGACTCGCTCTGCCTTGAGCGCCCACGCTGCCATTTCATTGATGAATAGTCCGTCTGTAGGAGCGTCCAGGACGTGGAATTGATGAGTTCTGCCATGTGCGGCGAGCGCTTTGACGTCCCATTCGAGTAGTTCTGATGATGGGGGGAGCGCAAGGCGGCCGGAGTAGACGCGGGATAGGACGGCGGATTGGGCTTCGGCGAGTGTGAATGGAACGCCGCGGACATTGAGGGCTAGGAACGATAATGTGGGACGAGGGGCGTAGAAGAGATGTTTGTACGTGTGCTGGACGCGGCGGCCATCGCCGACGGGCTGTGGTTTGAGGCTGGAGAGGAAGGGGAGGGAGTAGTAATATCCTGTTGCGAATATAATGGCGTCGACATCGTGTTCGATACGGCCGTCGTCGAAGTGTATGCTTCCGTCATCAGGAACGAACTTTGATATCTTGCTGTACTCGGGCCGCTGTGGATCGGGGAGCGGTTTGAGCTGGGATGCGGATCGGATGGACCAGATTATTGGTTGCTCAGTGACGCTGACTAGTTGAGCGGATATGTCTACACCGGAGGCGGAGTTTCCGACTACAACTACTTTCTTCCCGGCATATGATTCTGCTCGTCGGAAGTACTTGGAGTGTGTTATCCTGCCTGGGTACTTCTGACTCCACTCGCGAATTCCAGGTACGTCGGGAACGTGCGGTGTTATGAAGTGTCCGTTAGCAACGATGACAGCGTCAAACACTTCCTTTTTCTCTTCTCTAGTCCGCAGGTTTCGCGTTGTGACAGTCCAGCTTCCAGTGAGACTCTTATCAAGGGGCTCAACCTTGATCACCTGCGTTTCGTACTCCACCAAGTCCTGGACCTCTCTGCCGTGCTCCTGTAGATAATTCACTACCGCCCCATGGCTCGGAAACAGAGGTAAATGATCCGGCCATTGCAAGTCCTGGAACTGCATCAGACTCTTCGGGACATTCGTTTCCAGCTCTTCATATATCGGAGTCAGGAAACTCGCGACGTCGTTGTGCTTTCTTGCACTGTCTGCCTCTTTACCCTCGTGCTTCTGAGCCGGAGTCCAGGTCGGATCTTGATTCCCCCCCTTTGGATCTATCTGAGGGACGGCGAATAGGTCTTCAGATGTCTGGTTGGGAGTGTAATGCCATGTCCCGCCGAGCGCACTACGCTGTTCAAAGATGGTGATCTTGTCGAAGGCTTTCTCTGCGCGGAGATATTTTGCGGCTACTACACCGGATGGACCGCCGCCGATGATGGCAATTGATTTCACCCGTATGGAGGTCATGTCCCTATGCAAAGGCTAATAAGAGAAAATGTATGGAATATAAACAAAGTAAAGAGAAAAAAATGAATCAGTGCTGGATCTATTCTAACAATGGAGAGAGGAAAGATGAATGCAACAAACCATAAATCGATAGACATGCATTTGATTTATAAACCAGCATCCTATATCCGAGCATGATGTGATCAGATACAGAAATGACTTGATAGACGGAAAAGCGAATTTATGCATTCGAGCACGAGAAAACGCCCCCAGCATGCGCAATCAGTCTAACATCCACTATTGGCTGATGGCCTTACACTGTACCCTCCCCTACGCGAACGATACGATAACGATAAGAACAAGGGTGCAAGGGTAGATCCGAGCACGGACGACATCCCGCAATTGACATCAGAGCTCCCTCGAATTGAGTACCTAACTTATTCACTTTCGAGCTTCATATTTCCAAACACTCCCTTTAACAGCAGTGCAAGACTACCCATAGCAATTGCTTAGCCACTCCCCCGCATTGTCCCCCAGCACCCGGTACACAAGTACCACCCCCTCCCCCGAACAATGCTTCAAACCCTCCGCACTCTACGCTCTCTCAACCCCACCACACGCACCATCCGGAGCTTCTCAACCCACACAATGGCCTCCTCACCACTTCGAATAGGTTTCGTCCCAGGTACATCCTCCTCTCCCTCCCCTCTGCCTCCTCCTACACCTCAATTCCTAACCCAAACAACCAACAGAGCACTTCTCCACCCCCCTCGAGTTCGCGAAAAAACACCACGGCCTCTCCGCCACGCTCCTCCCCTTCCCCTCGGGAACCGGACACATGGTCACCGCGCTCCAAGCCGGCGACATCGACATCGGCGTCGGGCTGACCGAAGGCTGGGTCTCCGCGCTCGGCAAAGCGCAAGCCGCGCGCAAGGACGCGGGATTCCGGGTCGTGGGCACGTACGTCGAGACGCCTTTGTGCTGGGCGATATCGACGGGTGCGGCGCGGGGGGACGTCAATGGCGTGGAAGACCTGCGGGGGAAGAGGGTCGGGGTGTCGAGGATTGGGAGCGGGAGTTACGTTATGAGTTTCGTGCTTGCGGATCAGCGGGGGTGGTTGGGGGGGAAGGGGGGAGGGGAGGAGCCGTTTGGGGTGGAGGTGCTGAATACGTTTAAGAGTCTACGGGACGGGGTTAATGGGGGAGAGGCGGATTTCTTCATGTGGGAGCATTTTACGAGTAAGAGGTATTATGATAATGGGGAGATTAAGAGGGTTGGGGAGATCTATACGCCGTGGAGTTCGTGGAAGATTGTTGCGGTGAATGGATTGTTGAATCCGGAGAATTGGTCGAGTGGGGAGGGGGCGGCGGCGGCGGCGTTGAAGGAGGAGCTGGAGGATGCGTTGGTGAGGATTAATAAGGGGGTTAAGCATTTCGAGGAGAATCAGGAGGAGGCGGTGCAGTATATCAGTACGAAGCTGGATTACTCGGAGGAGGATGCTAGGGAGTGGCTCAAGACGGTGCGGTTTGCGGATGATGTGAGAGGGGTTGATAGAGCGGTCATTGATAAGACCGTGAATATCCTGCAAAAGGCTGGTGTTTTGGACGACAGGGTAGATGAGCAAGCTATGATTGGGCTTCAGCGAAAATGAGCGACAGGAATCTGTCTAGAAAATGTATATTTGTATATTATCGCTTATAGCTATGCGTGGTATCTTTTGTGTATATGTGTGTATGGTATCCATATCTTCTGGATCTGGTGTCGTTTACTTGAGCCATAGCGAAGAGAGAATGACTTTTGGGTACGGGTCAGAACTGGTAAACTGGTATGTCAGGTGAATGCGGTAAGAGCATACCTGAACGTCCATTTGATATCGACCTATGTGGTACCGCCCAAAACGCCGAGGCTATGCATCAAAGCACAAGCTTTCGCACTTAACAACAATCTGTATCCATCTACCTTCTTCCCCGTCCCTGACCAGGCATGCCACCGGGTCCTCCGCCACCGCCCATCATCTGCATCATGCTGGCCATGTCCATGCCTCCAAGCGCAGACATGTCGGGCATACCACCGCCTCCGCGCCCACCGAGCATCTTCATCATGGCTCCGATGTCTGGCATGCCACCACCACCCATGGGATTCGCTCCGCCCATACTTTGCATGCGTTTCTGGAGGGCAGCGAGTTGCTGCTGCTTGTTTCCTCCACCCATCGCGCCCTGTGCCTTCTGCATGTTCGCCATGCCACCCTTCATCTTCTTGGCCATTCCAGCCATCATCCGGTGCTGGGTGAGAAGCTCCTCGACTTCGCGCACTGAGGTTCCAGAACCATGGGCGATACGCGTCATGCGGGTAGGTTGGTCGACGAAGATCTTGCCGTCAGATTCAAGTTCCTTCTCTGTCATGCTGTCGCAGATGTAGATCATTCGCTTCAACTTCGCGCCACCCTCTTCGTCGTCCATGCCGCCCATCATGTTGCTGAGGCCTGGGATCATGCCAGCCATTTTGGAAAGAGGACCCATCTTCATGATGTTTGACAATTGGTCCCGTAGATCCTTGATTGTGAAAATTCCGGATGCAATGTTCTTCATCGTATCCTTCTGGTCAAGCTTCAATGACTGCACATGCTCCACGAGCCCGGCAACGTCGCCCATGCCGAGCAGTTTTGACACAAACGGTTCTGGGCTGAAGCGCTCGAGATCGAGCATGTGTTCACCATTACCGATGAAGACGATAGGGGTATGTGTTGCCGCAACGGCAGAGATAGCACCACCACCAGCGGCGGCACCATCCGTCTTCGTGATAACGATAGCTCCGAAATCAGCCGCCTCCTTGAAAGCTCGTGCCTGCGCCTCTGCAGCCTGTCCGATCGTTGCATCCAAAACCATGATAGTCTGGTCTGGCGTGACAGCGTCCTGAATCTGCACCATCTCGTCGAAAAGATCCGTCTCTTGCCTGTGTCGTCCGGAAGTATCCACGATGATAATCTCGAACCTCTCCTTCTTGAACTTCTCCACACCCTCTCGCGCGACAATAACAGGATCCGTTTGCGTGTGGCTACCGTAGTAAGGAATCTTCGCCTTCGTCGCGTTCTGCTTCAGCTGGTCGAACGCACCAGCACGGAAAGTATCCGCGCAAACCAAGCAAGCCTTGAACCCCCTCGCAGAGTACCACCTCGCCAACTTCGTGCACGTCGTCGTCTTACCGGAACCCTGGAGGCCGACGAACATGATGACGTTTGGTTTCGATTTGCGGGGTTTGAAGGGTTCGGCATGGGGGTCGACGAGCTTAACGAGCTCGTCGAAGACGGCCTTTTGGATTATGCGCTTCTTGTTGACGCCCGCGGCGAGGTGCTTGAAGTCGACGGATCGCTTTATCGATTGCCGGAGGTTCATGACGAGCTTTACGTTGACGTCGGCTTCCACGAGGGCGTTAGAGATCTCCTTGACCATGGCTTCGAAAGCCTGCGAATTCCTATTAGCTTAACATGTATGGATGGGTGAGGTTAAATCGCCACGGGACGACGCACCTTCTCGTCGAGGTTGGGCGACCTCGTGAGGTCTGAGACCGCGGCATTGATGCGCCGACCGAGATCTTGAAGGACCATGGCGACGGTTGTGCGTGATGGGTAGCTGGGATGGAAAGGGATACGTTTAATTGAGAGATGCAGCGCACACGATGGCACAAGTTTGTGTGGGGGAGGGGGATTGGGAACCAGAACTGAGGTCTTGGCAATTGGCGGTCGGCGAAAATCGTCGATGAACCTCCGATCTCCATTGAACTTTTTTTCCTACCCAGAACGACCGACTTCTTTGCTGCGATTCTAGTTAATACATCACATCCACAAACCACTTTCTTGCACAAATATGCCTTCTACAACGTTGAAAAGAAGACGGACGGAGGAGGGAATGAGGGGGAAGACGCCCAAGGTACAAAAGAAAATCAAGCGCCAGCGTTATTACCACAGTTCCAGCGAGGACGACTCTGAATCCGAAGACGAAGCCGCAGAAGCACCAGAAGACTTCGCACCCGTGAGTCTAGAGAGCAGCGACGACGAAGGAGACCGCGCTGCCGCCAAACCAAAACACAAAGCCTCAATTGCAACCAAAAAGGCCTCGAAAAAGGACCCTGCCCATGACGACGAGCCCAGCGACGAGGAGGACTTGGAATTGGACGCCGACGAGTTCGAAGATGGCGATTCGGACGATGTCGACGACGTCGACGAATACTCCGACATGTCCGAGACCTCGACGAACAACCCCCGCAAAGTCAAGAAACGCAACGACCCCGAAGCATTCGCGACCTCCATCTCGAAGATTCTCGGCACGAAGCTCACGTCGCAGAAGCGGTCCGAGCCCATTCTCTCGCGATCGAAGGCCGCGCAGGAGACGAACAGGACTCTCGCGGACCACAAGTTGACGCTCAAGGCGCAGCGGGCGATCGTGGCGGAGAAGAGGGCCGCGCAGGAGAAGGGCCGCGTGAAGGATGTTCTTGGGTTGCAGAGCGAGGAGGTGGCTACGGCGGAGATCGTCGCGAAGGAGAAGGCGCTGCGGAGGACGGCGCAGAAGGGTGTGATTAAGCTGTTCAATGCTGTGCGAGCCGCGCAGGTCAAGGCTGAACAGGCGGAGAAGGAGGCGAGATCGCAGGGTGTCATTGGTGTGAAGGCGAGAGAGGAGCAGGTAAAGGAGATGAGCAAGCAAGGGTTCTTGGATATGATTGCGGGCGGTGGAAAGCAGAAAGAGGCCGTCGCCGAATTGGAGGAAGAGGCATAGTTGGTTTGCATAATTGGCGTTAATTCTTTCTCCTTGTTCATGGGCGAGGCTTGACCAAAGGTTCAAAAAATTTCATGATCGATACCTGATACCATTATACAAAAGATGTTGTTCTAAATATACAATGAACCTATATAAGGTTTTTCTTCGTGACGCCCGATAGATCCGTTCCGCCCGTGGAGATTCCTTTTTGTTTTCGTTCGCGTATAATAATACATAAGATCCGCCATGTCATGATTCAATATATCGTGTTGAAACCCCACCTCCTCCGATCCAGCATCTCACAACTCATACCCCAGACCACCCCTCCTCTACTTAAAATCACTCGCCTGCAAATTCCTCGTCATATTCGGCAACTTGACCACCAACCCATCCAGCTCCTTACTCATCTTGACCTGGCAGCCGAGCCGACTCGTCTCGGTCAACCCGAACGCCAGATCCAGCATGTCGTTCTCCTCGTCGTCGGGCTCCTCCATGGCGTCGAAGTGGTCGGACTCGACAATGACGTGGCACGTGGAGCAGGCGCAGGAGCCGCCGCAGGCGCCCTCCATCTCGAGGTCGTTGGCCTGCGCGATGTCGAGCAGGTTGTCGCCGTCCGAGACCTCGAACGTGTGCGAGTCGCCGTCTTTGTCGATGAAGGTTATCTTGCGTCTGTTGCGGGGGAGGTCAATGGATTTGTACGACGGTGGGAGGGGGGATGAGGGGGTTTCTTACTCTTCGCCCGGGCGTGGCGGGTCGATGTGACCGTGCTGGGTGATGGGTGTCGTTGAGAAAGCTCTCTGGAGAGTGTTTCGGTGGGTGTGGGTAGTCGGTCTGAGGGTGGATTTGTGTGATGAGTGCCATGATGGTGATGGCTTGGGTTGAGGAGGTGTTTGTGCTGGCCAATTGTTTGCGCGACTTGAGAAACGCTGGATTCTGGACGAAGAGGTCCGCAATGACGCGGAGGAGGCCCTGGATGAAATGGCGCCGAAAAGCGCTTTGCCCGAGGAAGCTGCACTCGCCATCGGATGGGTACGAAAGATGGACGAAAAGAATGAGACGAAGGGAAAGAACAAGATGAATGCTTCGCAGGAGGATTGGGAATAAAGGCGGTGGAGAAGAGGGGGAAGAAGAAGGAGAGAGAAAAGAGTTGAGCGGGAGTGCAGAAGAAAAGAATATCTAGTTTGCTGTTGTGTAATGTTGCCGGCACACAAGATGGGCGATTGACTGGTCACTGGGAGGCACAACGACAACTGATTATTGAATTGAATAGGATGGATCTGATTGAATGATTGAATGATTGACTATTAACTTAACTCTGACCTTAACACCGATGGACCGAGCAGTCCCCTCCATCTATTCTAGTTACTGTGTATTTCTCTCCCATCTGACAGTCAACTTGTACAGTTGCAGGTTAGTCGCGATAGGAATTTGTGACGCTCACACCGCCCCGCGTCCCCAACCCCTTCAAACCCATGGACGTCAGTCAAAATACATTCAAGTGCATTCGCGCCTCACCCGAACATTAAACCCAACCTAACTAACCTGTTACCTCATCACACTTTTCAAAACACGCTTCACACCACTCACTCACTGACTCTGCTTCTTCTATACCATACAATATTCTTCCCAGGACGCTGCAGCGATGGCGACCTCTCGTGACGCCCCAAATCCGCTGCGGCCATACTACATCCCTCCTTCTATCGGCCTCCCACCAGACCTGCCTCAGAACCAGACCTCACATACCCACTCGTACAACTCACGGAGCCCAAAACCCAGCTTCGGTAGCCATGCACGCGACATCCTTTCCGACCTAGACTACGACTCCTACTTCCCCGACAGCTCCCCCACTCTCGCTGAGCACGCAAAGAGACTGGTAGATCAGGCGTTATGGAATTACACCAGTGTGCTGTTGGCCCAGCCATTCGAGGTTGCAAAAACCATTCTCCAGGTCCACATGGCGACCGGACAGGCCCCTCCAGGTTTGAGTGTCAATGGCGACGACTTCAAGAGTCGACCGAGCTCCTTCGCGAGCGGGAAATTCGAGGACTACCCATCGGACGAATCTGATGACGATAGTCCGAGCTACTTCACAAGCACTGCTCCGCGTGTTCCGTCCCCCACCCGTTCGCCAGAAAGACGACGAGCTCGTCAGGCCCCGAGCAGATCAGACGCTTCAACGCCGACGCAACCGCCGCCTGCCGCATTCCGGAGGCTAGAATTGAGGAAGTCGGATTCATTGTTGGAAGTCATATCCCAGTTATGGCAGAAAGAGTCGGCGTGGGGCGTGTGGAAGGGAACGAACGCAACATTCATCTACAACTTCCTCCTCAAGACCTCCGAGAGCTGGACGCGCAGTTTCCTCTCCGCCCTCCTCAACGTGCCAGATCCCGGACTCATGGGCGCTTCGGCGAGCGGCTTCGGCGGACTCGACATCATCGACAGCCCGAGTCCACTCATGTCTCTCGCGGTAGCAGTCGCTGCCAGCGCCGTTGCGGCCGTCGTGCTCGCACCCCTCGACCTCGTCCGCACACGCCTGATCGTCACACCGACCTCAGCACCCCCACGAACCATCTGGCCGTCCCTCTCCCTCCTCCCAACCTTCTCCATCGCGCCCGGCCTCCTCCCAGTAACCCTCCTCCACTCCACAATACCCACCTTCATCTCGTCATGTACACCGCTCGTCCTCCGCTCCACCCTCGCCATCGACCCCGTCATCACCCCCTCCATGTACTCCATCTCCACCTTCCTCTCCTCGACCGTCGAACTCTTCGTCCGCCTCCCCCTCGAAACCGTCCTCCGCCGCGGCCAAGTCGCCATCCTCGACGAATACGAGAACCAACGCCTATCCGACACCTACCAAAACGGCGTCACCAAATCCCCGGTCTTCGGCATGGAAAACGAAGACCCCTCCGTCCGCAGCTTCCGCACCATCGTCGAACCGGGCCCCTACCGCGGCATCTTCGGCACAATCTGGTTCGTCGTCCGCGACGAGGGCGTCACGATCTCCGGGCCCGGTGCCGCTGCTGCGGCGAAGCAGCCGCAGGGGGCAGGAGGCCGCGCACCGGGCTTCTCGTCGCGCACCAGGATACGCAAGGGCCAGGGCGTGAATGGCCTTTGGAGGGGGTGGAGAGTCGGGTTCTGGGGGCTTGTTGGCGTGTGGGGCGCTGCTGCTATGGGCGCGGGCGGCGGCGAGTTTTAAGGATCATGCACTCCTCCCCTCCGCCTTCCCACACTCTCTCATCGTACGTCGAAAGTTCGAAGTAAAAAAAGCAAGAAAGACGACATGTTGGCCCGCCCGCCACGTTTTATGTTTACCCCCTGATTTCCGTTTTTGATATCCAAAGGCTTGATACTCAACTCTACTCTACTTACTGTTTCCACGCTCTTGTCTAAACCAACGAGCATTGTTCTTCGTTGGTTTTCTCACGATTTATCGTTTCTTTTTCGTATTCATGTTCATGTACAGGGGCATGCGTGCGCGCTCTCTCTCTTCACAAGACTATCGATACTCAATGAAATGAAACGTAACGTCCTCACGATCTAGAAAGTTCCCAAAACACACGTATAGCTTAGTAGCCACGTCAAATATACAAACTACATATATACCTATATATATCTCTCTCTTTCTCAATAGAAAGAAGTCGCAGTTCAAAGCTCGATCCTCCCCCCAACCCCACTCGTGCTGCCATCCCACCACACGTCCCCAACCGCCACGACGTCCGTCTCGCCGACCTCCACCTCTCCCTTCGCCAACCTGGCCTGAATCCCCGCTTTCGCGACCTCGTCTTCGGCGATGTTGGCGTCCAGGTCGTCGAAGATGGCGGTCAGTTCTGTCGAGTTGAGGGGACGGAGGTTGCCGGTGAGGGTGCGGTTGAAGGAGGGTCCTTGTTCTCCTTCCGTGATGGAGGGGGAAGCGGGGGAGGTGAGGGCTACGTTGAATGTCTGGGGACGGGGGGTTAGTTTGAGGGTGAGGGTGAGGGGGTAAAGGGGGAGGGGATGGGTAGGGACGTACGTAGTTTCCGGCAGTGTAGTCGTGGAGGGATATGGTGACCGCGATCTATTGATTCGATTCAAGTCAGCATGTATTCAGTCGTAAGTGCAAAAGGGCATAGAAGGGGAAAGAGAAGTAGGAAGAACGATGACATGATACGTACTTGAGGAACGCCCCTCTTCGCCGGCGGGATCCCGTCGACCTCGATCCTCGCGACCACGGTGTTATTCGCGACCGTGGCCCTATCGCCCTCGTACATCTCGATGACGGCGCGGGACTGGTCGTCGTGGGTGGTGGTGAAGTAGCGCGTCACGCTCGCGGGCAGGATATACACGCGGAAGACGACGGGCGAAGCGATGTCGCCGGCGGTGCGGACTCCGAGGGAGAGGCGTGAGGTATCGAAGTTGCCGACGATGCCGTCGTACTCGTCGGTGTCCATATTGCGGGCGATGCTCCTGAGGCCGTGGTGTATGACGGATTCCGGGGGGATAGAGTCGTGGATGGTGGTTGTGGGGGGAAAGTGGTGGGTCAGGAGGGAGGTGAGGGCCGGGATGTTGAGGGTGCCGCCGATGGGGATGATGGCGCCGATGTCGTAGATTGTGAGGTTCGCGGCGTGGATTGCAGAGTCGATGTGGGAGATGATTTTGGGGATATATGGGGCGAGGATGAGGTTGAAGGCGTCGCGGGATAGGGTGTCTTGGATGGTTTGTCCGGTGCTTGGGATCTCGAAGGTGAATTGCGCGGTGTCGTTGGAGGAGAGTACCTTTTTCACGCGCTCCATCTCGGTGGTTAACTTCGTGGTGGTCAGTAAAGAGAAGGGTCTGGGAATCGATGTACTCACGATGGAAGACTCGACCTCTTTGAGCGCTGGATGGAGTTGCGTCACATAGTCCACCAGCTCGCGGTCAATGGCATTGCCATTGATCCAGTTGTCTTTAGACTCGCCCAGTACCTCATACACGCCGTCCTCGGCCTCCATGACAGTCACACGAAAAGAGCTCGCCCCGATGTCATAGGTTAGCACATTCAACCAACCTTCTTCATATTGGTTCCAACCAAGAAATCTTTTCCAATGCCCGTTGACGTTGTAGGCTATGGCACCTAAAATACCGTCACGAACAACGCGACTTTCGTTTATGCCACCTATTTCCAGGGCTCTCTTGATGACATCCTAATGTGCGGACATGAGCTTGACTGTGCCGGTTGCACTGGGAGTGACAGGAATACGTACCCTTTCATCGTAGTCATCAGCCGGACCAGCAGAGACAAGAACAAGGTGGGCCTTCTTCTTCGTATACTCCTGCATCATATCCTTCAGCCCCTGGAAGAAGATGCCTGCAATTTCTTCCGGGTGAAACGTCTTCACTTTGTTGCGCAGTGGGATGCGCACGAGTGGGAACCCTCCATTGTCGACAACCTCATACGTTCGAGTTACCAAATCGTCGGTCTTATTAAGTAAGAGGTTTCTGAAGTTGCAGACTGTTCTTTCCGGATGCGTGGACAATTGCCTCTTCGCTGCTGTGCCTATGAATGGCTCCCCTGTTTCTGTGAACGCGACACATGTTGGGATAAATGTTTGATTGTCCTTGTCGGGGACGTATGTGGTTGTCTTATTTACATCACTATCGTCTCTTGTTAGTGAATGAGATTCAAATGGACCGGTATCGTGACTTACTATACAACAGAGGAATAAGTGTTTCCGAAGCTAATTCCGATGGTGGGAGGGATCGTCCGGTCGAAAGCGCATGTTTGCGCGGGACGGACCAGAGCGAGCCCGCATGTGAAGACGATAAGGATCATGAATGATAGCGAGGGCGACCCGGTGAGACTGGAGAGTCGACTAGAGCGTCTTCTCGAACGATGTCTGGAGGTCGGAACCATGGTTTCGGGAGATTCTGGAATGTCGTGACTGAGGTGCGCTAGGGTGTTGATGTTTAACATCTGAAGTGAGGGCATATGGTGTATGCCAATTCATAAATTAAGCTGTTGCCTGAGAAATAGAATCAAAGCTCAAAGGATTCTTCGTTTCGACGAATAGCAATCAATCATAGAAGTAGCATCTGTTGTTGAGTCATTCATAAGGCCATGGTGTCCTTACGATACGAGTGTGATTAAGCAAAGGGTCAAGAAACGATATGGCGTGATGTTTATGGGCAATGTCTGGATAGTCTGACCAGAGAATTTCTTTCTAGAAAAGTTCTGGAAGCCTTCAGACGATAAGGAGGTTACAAAGTAGATTGTAGTACAGCACTGAGAGTGAGATGTAGTCTGTAGTATCATTAATGTTAGTGCAGCGAAGAGTTACTGAATACGAGTTAGCCGTCGATCTAACCACTTTGGTACTATGGATAATCTGTATAGCATCAATTGCACATGTCCACCTTTGCATATCATCTTCACTATCGATAAAGGAAACGAGGGCTTATGAACATCAAACATCCAATTCTCATGCGACTCTTAACAGGGTCAACGGGGAACCGCGAGGTCGGTAATGGTATGCCACATGTTAAGGGACCACGCGGATTCTCATGTTCCAGCCTTTGTTTCCAGGGAAAATTCTTTTACACCGGTCGAATTGTGCGCCATGTTCGCTTTGTCTATGCTAAGAAATGTCACATTGAAATTAATGAATAATTGTGATTCTATCTTGCTTGATATGTGGTACACTGTATGCAGATGCTGAGTGAGAAGATTATAGACATGTTGAGCAAGAGAAGAATCCACTTTTCATTGAGTCTATTTCTGTACATACCATTCTTACATTCTTTGGACCATTTACTAATCGTTTTTCAGACTTTGTATGTTGTGGAACGCATACATGTGAACATACGAAGCAACGGGAACGGCCCACCAGCATTCCACTCTGCTCCCGCCAGGCGCCCACTTCCCCGCATCTGCACAAGCCACATCCGTCTCCGCCCGTGCGATGAAGACGACGCCATGCGCGTAGCTCTTACAGGCACTGCTTGAATTATGTACCATTTATCGATCTGTGTGCTGGGCGGAGCAAGCCTCGCACGCGGCGATCCCCCGGATGGCCAGAAGGCTGTGATGCTAGCTCTAGGCAAGCTTGGAGATGACGACAAACACTTGGCTGCTCACCCAAAACAACATCAGGCGGGAGTCTCGGAGTGCCCTCAATGGCAGAAAGCAGGCTTCGCAAACTCTGCACTGAGACCGTTAGTACTTGGCTTTGGCCTGTCATAGGGATTGATTGAGCCACCGACTCATAATGTATGATGGGGGTGGGTGAAAGCCTCACGTTACGCCTTACGATGCATTGTACGAGTGCAATCGGAATGCTTGTTCACCGGCATGTTTTAAATTTATGTCTTAAGTGAAGAGTCTGTTTGTAAAGATAAGCTGACGCTTCACTCGGGGTAGGGAGGTTACGAATGCTGCGAACTATAATGCACCAGTATTTCCTTTTCCGGAAACATAGAACAGGCGATTCCTTGATAGAGTAAACTTGGTATTGTCACTTGGCAATACCGGGAGATGTACTGCTTACACGCCATGCCCTTGCGATCCAGAAATCTGGTATAAAGTGTGGATGGATATCCGGAATGGCATTTCCATGTGCTCTGGCCGCGTTGCTTTTGTTCACTATCATTGAGAAGGCCTACCCAAATTGCTCTTCTAAACGCAATCGTTGCCCACTTCTCTGTCTTTGATCCTCTAGCTAGTCACCATCGTTCCTATAGTAGACAATCTCCATCATGCCATCTTTTTCAGCAGGGCGGCTTCTGCTGTGGACATGCTTCTCTACAACCTTTCTTATAAATGCAACGTCGGCATGGCCAACCAACAATCGTTACAATGCTCGCTTTTCTAAACGCCAGTCAACAGAGGATCCGCCTGGGCAGCCTGCGGCAGAAGAGCCAAATTTCAATGAAGAATATGATTTTGTCATTGCTGGAGGTACATCACAATGACAATAGTCATTCTACAAAGACATCAACTAATCCGTTCAAGGTGGAACTGCCGGTCTGGTTTTGGCCAACCGCCTGACTGAGTCTGGAAAATTTTCAGTCCTGTGTCTTGAAGCAGGCTCGAACCCTGAGATTGTTCGCGCATACGAGTCTCCCGGTGGGAACCAGTTTATCAAAGGCATGTGAAAACAGATTTTCTTTTATCAATGATCCAAGCTAACAACATGCTTAGGTAGCGCAATTGATTGGAACTTTCTCACCACACCACAACCACATCTCAATAACAGAACACTTCAATATCTACGTAAGTAGTCAGTCTCGATGAAGTTGCCCAGATTTTCTGACTCCAATTAGGTGGAAAGGCATTGGGCGGATCTAGCGCTACCAATGGTCTTTATTATGCGCGTGGATCAGCTAGGGTCTACGATCACTGGGTTGAGAAGGGGAATCCCGGCTGGGGCTGGGATGAGGTCTACCCACTATTTGTGAAGGTAATAATCATTTGAAAGAGATATTCCATGCATAAAGTCGTTAATACAAAACAGAGTACCACTTTCAATCCACCGAATACGCCCGAGCTTCAAGCATTTGATTTGGACTACAAGACCTGGACCGAGTAAAGATAGCCTCTGAAAAGTAGAAGAAAGGACTTCAACTAATGATTAGCAGAAGCGCATACGGGAATGGACCTCTCGAACTCGGTTTTCAAGGCTACGTGCCCCCATCAACTAATGGCTTCATTGTCGCTGCATCGGAAGCGGCCAACATCCCGATTGTAGAGGACTTGAACACTGGAAATGCCTTCGGAATCAAGCATGGAACAGCAACACTCAACGAACGGCTGAGGCGAAGCTCCAGCTACGATGGATTCTACCAGCAAGCAAAGAATCGCACTAATCTACGAGTGTTGCACTACGCACCCGTGACTGGAATCATCTTCGGCGATCCGCCTCAGAACTCTACATCCCCTACCAATGGTACCGCAAACCCACGTGCAATTGGAGTTAGTTATATTGAGCAAGAGACTGGTCTTGTAAAGCAAGCACGCGCAAGGAATGAGGTCATCGTCAGCATGGGCGCGTTCCACTCTCCACAACTGCTCATGGTTTCGGTCAGTAAATCCATGTTTTCAACACAATCAATGTACTAATTCATCGCAGGGTATTGGACCTGAGGCAGAATTGAAGAAGGTCGGAGTAGAACCTGTCGTAATCAATGAGAACGTTGGCCAACAGTAAGTGCAAACATTTCAGCCAGAATAATCTTTATATTAACATTCCAAAGTCTCAATGACCACTCGGTCTTCAGCATCATGGCGCTTGCCCAGCCAAATGCTTCAACGACAGAGATGTCCAGCAGCCCGAACAATTTGCAAATCGCGCAGGAGAACTTCTACACAAACCTGACCGGGCCATACACTGCTCCATCGGGCGTGACGAACGGCTTCCAGAAATTGTCTACCGAGGAATTGCAGCAGATTGGTGCCCAGGCCGTCATTGACGCTGGACTCGCCAACCAGACGCACATCGAGTATCTGTTCGAATCCGTGTGGTATCCTTGGATTCCAACGCCATTCTACGTCCCACAGAGCAACGAATCTTACATCTCAGTCACGGCCAGCAGCATGGTCGCGCTCTCACGTGGCAACATCACGCTCCGCACGAGCTCGATGTCAGACCAACCCTACATCAACCCGAACTACTACGCCGACGAGACAGACCAAAAGGTTGGCATCGCCTCCTTCAAATACCTCCGTCAGATCTTGCGACACCCGTCCCTCGCACAATTCACCATTGGCGACAACGCCGGAGAAATATCACCTGGTTCCGCGGTCGCCGATGATGACGATGATGCCATTCTCGACTACATCCGCGCAAACACGATTCCCAACTGGCACGCATCTGGCACTAATCAGATGCTACCGATTGAAGACGGAGGCGTAGTGGACCCCAGACTGCGAGTCTACGGCGTCGACGGATTGAGAGTCATCGACTGCAGTATCATTCCCGTCCTGCCCGACGTCAACATCTTGGCGTCCATCTACATGATCGCAGAAAAGGGCGCCGAGATGATAAAAGAAGATTGGAACGACGAGTCGTGATGAGAACGTTCCCGAAACGGACGTCCGCCGTAATTGAACTGGCGGGCGCTTTTAATGTATTTCATTAACGATTTTCAGACTTTCGCCCCAAAAAAAACCTATTATTGAAATTCCGCGAATAAATATACATTTGATCTAGCCAACGATTCAGACAAGTGAACAGTGTCATGGACTCATGGTGTGTCGTCTGTAGTCCGTCCTGTCATAATGGTAGAGCGTTCTCGACCCTTGTATGCCAAGTGCGGCCACGATGGAAATGATTTGTGGATTCATTGCTGAAACGCCCGCTAGGGGAATTTATATTAGCACGTCGACCCTAAGGCGGCCTTTTAATGACCATAGCGGAGAAAAACAAGAGCAAACATCACTCGTCGGTGCTGAAGTGGAATTTAGTAGTGGTGGAGGAGTGGAAATAGGAGTCGATAGCTGGAGATACAAAAGCATCGCAAGTGCCTTTCTATAACTTCATCTTCTTCAATTCTTGTATATTTTTTCTTTTGAACAAGCAAGTCTTTCCTGTACTTCAAAATGGCAGTCATCAACTTGACATTCCTCCTTTCCATCCTGCCCAGCGTTCTAGCAGCAACCCTCTATGTCTCTCCCACAGGCTCAGACAGCGCCGCCGGAACCCTCGCCGCGCCCTTGAAGTCCATCCAAGTCGCCATTGACAAGGTCGCCGCTGGCGACACCATCTACCTCCGTGGCGGAACCTACGCCGTCACCAAAAACATCCAGGTCAAGAAATCCGGCACATCATCTGCACCCATCACCCTCTCCGCCTACCAATCCGAAGTCCCCATCATCGATGGCGAGGGCCTTCCTAACACTCCCGCCCCAGTCGGTGGAAGCATTGCGGCGGCCGACCGTGGAATCTTGCACATCGAAAAGGCGAATTTCTGGAAGTTCATTGGTATCGAGTTGATCAATGGTCCGTATGGCGTGTATGCCGATAGCGTGAACGACAACCTGTTCGAGAGGCTTGTCACGAGGAACAACTACGAGACTGGCTTCCAATTGCAGGGTGCTAGCTCTAACAACAAGATCTATTATCTTGACAGCTACGGCAACCGTGATCCCAGGAAGAATGGCGAGAGTGCGGATGGATTCGCGTGTAAGGAGGGTACGGGCGAGGGTAACATCCTGAAGGGAGCTCGTCTGTGGAACAATGTTGACGATGGTCTTGATCTCTGGTAAGCATTCTCACATCTCTATTGTAAGAGAACCCCTAGCTAATGCAACGACACAGGGAGTTCAAATCCAAAGTCACCATCATCGACACCATCTCCTGGGGCAATGGCTTCAACCGCTGGAACTTCCCCGACTTCCAGGGCGACGGCAACGGCTTCAAGCTCGGCGGAGGCGACGAAGCCGACAAGAAAGCTGCCAACCACAACGTCTCCAACTGCATCGCCTTCAGCAACGCCGCCAAGGGCTTCACTGACAACTCCCAGCCAGGGAACTTTGTCATGCTGCGCAACACCGCGTGGAACAATGCGCAGGTTGGTTTCCAGGTCAAGACTGCGGTCGCGACGCTGACCGGAAATCTCGCGGCGGTGAACATGAAGAGCACGAAGAATGCGGATCAGGTTAGCTTGAGCAGTGCGCAGAAGTTGAGCGGGAACAGCTGGAGTGCGAGTGCGACGTTGTCGAATAGCTCGTTCAAGAGCGTTGATGTGAGCCTTGTCCAGGGCAAGCGGGCGGCTAATGGAAAGATTGCGGCGAGTGACTTCTTGCTGAGGACTGATGGCTCGGCTATCGGTGCGACGACTCACTGGGCTTGAGTTTGAGTCTCGTAGGAGGAGGGGTTCTTTTCATTGTATATAATTATTGTTCGAAATCTATCCAGACGTTCTTGAGTGATAAAGGTGTTGTTATGCGTTGGTCGTAGTGCACTTTTCTTATGACCATGTTGTCAATCGACAATTGTGAAGCGATCAAATTCAGGAAAGGTCCAGATGTAAGCGGTCGAATTTACGGAGAGACATCTCCAATGTGGCATAGGGCAAAGTATGTGTGGAGAAGACTTGACAGTGCCGTGACGCTAGTGGCGGGTAACCTGATGATTTGAGGTATCAGAGAGAAGCAACGTGGTTTTCCCAGGGTCGAAAATTGCTTTGAGAGGATGTGCGATAATGCTTGTATGTGCATTTCGGTAGACGCCGCGCGGAGAGTAATTGAGATGTGGCTTTCTACTTTACTGGACTACCCCTCGTTTTGTTGTCTTCATTCAGAAGGCGGTTTCGTTGCGATGCCTACGTGTACCAACGATTACTCGGTCTCGACCCGGTGGTACGATATCCATGCCTTCGGTCTCCTATGCCCCACGATTTTCTTGGCTGGTGAACTCGGTCTAATTCTCATGATTTAGAACAAATGGATTGTTTGCATAAGGTACGAATCTGTGTTGGTAGCTATAGTGAATATTAAAGTAGGTGGAGGTAAGTAACGTTGCTGCATCCGCTGAGTTACGGAAAATACAATGGCACACGATAATTAATACTCGTTATTGCTTGATACATAGCAAGGAAGAAGTTGAGCCGGTACAATATGGTCAAAATCTCAGATGGTGCTTGATGACGTAGACTGGGGTCAAAAATTTGGGGTCGATAGACGATCGCGGAGAACTGTGACCCGACGCCAACATTTTGGCCGTATATAAATTAAACGATTGCTCAAGACTGCCCCACGTCAAAATTGAAAACGATCTTAACTAAAATTCAAGTAAAGCTTGCAAGTTTATCACAATGTCTATGTCAGTTGAAGATGTTCATGTCAGGGAGGGTTTCCCACGACCCTTCCCTGACACTCCTACAAATGTGTTCGAGCAATTCTCGATGAAGGGCAAGGTCGTAGTTGTGACTGGTGCTGGAGAAGGAATTGGATACTCTGTGGCTGAGGGAATGGCTGAAGCAGGTGCAAATGTTGTTCTTCTTTACAATTCGTAAGTTAGAATTGCTCTACCTTGTACACATTGTCGTGAACTTACCATTCCCAATTAGGAATGACGCCGCCATCAAGAAGGCTGAAGGTCTTGCAAAGACCCACGGTGTCAAGACTTCCGCATACAAACTCAATGGTATGGAGCTCATATTCAAGATCTATGATTGCCAATCGATCATCTTCAACTAACAGCATTCCACGCTAGTAACCGTTGCGGAAGATGTGAAGAATATGATCGCGAAGATTGTAGACGACTTTGGAGCCATTGATTGCTTCGTTGCCAATGCAGGTAGGGATCTACTGAATTCGAGAGAACCACTAGCAGATGATTAATGTTGACATAGGGATGCCCGACTCAAAACCAATCTTAGATATGAGTTTGGAGGACTACAGAAGGCTCATGTCGGTAAATGGTAAGTAAATATATCCCGATACTCTGAGGATAGATCTAACATGAGCAGTCGATGGCGTTGTGTATTGCTCTAAGTACGTTGGCGAGGTATTCAAGCGTCAAGGCCGCGGCAACCTCATCATCACTTCCAGCATAAGTGCCAAAATCGTCAATGTTCCCATTGACCAGCCCGTATACAATGGCACCAAGGCATTCGTAACACAATTCGGCAAGTCTCTGGCCCGAGAATGGAGAGAGTTTGCTCGCGTCAACATTGTATCTCCCGGCTTCTTCGATACCAAGATGGGCGCTGGGCCAGAGACGGTCAATGAGGCCTACAGAATGGCTGTGCTAGGCAGGCAAGGCCATACTAAAGAGATCAAGGCTTTATATCTCTATCTTGCCAGCAATGCGTCAACGTACACAACTGGAAGCGATTTCCTTATCGACGGAGGTTACTGCCTGTCTTAAGTTTTTGTAAATGAATACCCAATTAATTTAATAGACACGACAAGGCACGAATTCAAATACAATGTCACCAATAACAACCATCTTCGCTCAACTGGCAGACCATAGTAAGATTTCCGTTCATAGCACTGCCGTTAGGACCCCTGGACAAAAGAAGCTGAAACTAGAGCGCCCGATGTCCGAGCCTTCATACAGTTCAGACCTCGCATGAACCCAACAAACGCCTGATATGAATGGTGGAAGAATTGTGCATATACGCTTGCGCGACAACCAAAGATGATCAGTTGTACGCTGACCAAGCTATGATTCGTCAGTCGACACCATTACAAGTCCCGAGTGAGCCAACGCAATGGAGTTAGGAGGGCCAACGGAGTGCATCTGTCTGGCTATAGGTAGGATCTCGATACGATTGAGACTGGTATTATGGTGTGTACATGAATGCTGATAGGTTGTTCGTCGAGATTGTTTAGACGTGCAGGTCTTCTCAGTGGATCACTAGACATTCACTGGCCGAGATTTTAAAATGGATGTAATTACCCAAATGTCCACGAGTATCCAGTCAGCATGAACGATATACACGTGCTCTAGCGAACCAATGAAACGTTTCCTGTATCGATGGATCTGCCGGGCGAAGTCATCTTTAGTGATACCTAACGCTTGTCCAAACGTCTTTCAGATTTGTTTCACAGATGTCTGTGGGTGTTTTCAGCTCCTATTGACCGATAACATACAATTATAGGAATAAAATGCCTGAAATCACCAGTTTTTCTTGCGCCCCACGATACCAAGCACAACTGTGGTTGGACGTATACAGACAGACCGTCTGAGAAGCATTGTATGTACACCGTTTTGACACAAGTGCCCGATCGCTAACATGAAACCTGGGCAGGGCGTTTTTTGTTCACCTTTTTATCTTTGAAAAACTGAATACGACGATAGGAACTATCGGTGGGAAGCATGCATGAAGCTTCCCCAGTATCGCTAACGATGTGGTTGGTTATCGCCATTTTCCCGGCCATCCGCCACAGACCGTGAAACAGCTCGGACATCGGCCCCCCACCATTCTCTCTGTGCAAGACACAGCCGACCAGTTTGTTAGAGACGCTGGCACGGCATACGAAAATCAGGAATCTCGGCAAGGATTCCAGAAATCCCATGCCGGAGGTAGAGCACACCAGTCGCGTTTGCCTTTGTATCAACGTCGGAAAAACACGGTACTAGCACATGAACGATAAGAATAGTTTCCGACTTTTTATTCATTCATTATCAGCTAGTGGATACATTGAAGCTTGTTACAAATTCTATCATTGTCCAGAACGAGAATTTGTCGTGTTATTGGACTCCGTCGCTCCACCGTTCGTACCAGACGCAGCTCTTCCTTGTTGAGTAGCGGCATTATTATTTCTGGCTTCTCCTCCCGTTGTTGTTTGTGTGATAGGCATGTAAAGGACTTGGCTATTTGTGAGCGTGGATTGGGATGAGGTGTTCGTTGCCTGGTCGTGATGTCAGTTTTTGATGTATTTACCATTCTCTCGAGGACTCACGCACCCCAGACTGCCATGTCTGGCACTCCGTTCCCTGATAACTGTTAGCAAAAGTGAAATAATAGATGACTTGTTTCGTACCAGGCCATTTCATAAGAGCGACGTACATGAGAGCTATCCAGCGTGTTGGGCTGCGCGGAGCCATTGGCATTACTGGCCGCATTGAGATGTGCATAACTGAAAGATAGTGGGGGAATCATTGTAGCTCAAATCTTGGATGCTGGAAGATACAAATTGATGTGGAATGATGCTTCTACCATACAGTTGGATGATATGAAGTCTTTATACACTTCACTGACCGAAGGACCGCCGCTGGTTCACGATACGAAAAGCAGTCCGCGGAACCAAACGATAGACTTTCAGCAGTGCCTCATTCGCCAGAATAGGATAGAATGATCGATTGTAGAACCAAGAGAGATACTCTAGCGTGTACACTACTACAACGAGCCTCTATCAATCGTCGTAGACGATCAGGCTGTGTCTCTTTCGAGACAAAGGCGTCGGTGCCTTAACGGCTCGCGTAAAACATACATTGCCAGGTTCGCATGGACATTAATGCACCTAGCATTGAAAAGAATATCTACGATTGGTATCTTGAGTCTATGTTTTACCAAACTGAGTGGGACGATCTGTGACGAGTTCTCGCTACGTAGCAACTAGCCTATATGGGCTCTCTTTACGCAACGAACGATTGGAGCCAAATTCGATAATGTGGCCGAATTGTATTGAATTTCCATTGATTAAGCTTTTTTTGTTTGCGTCATCAGAGGCTTTTCTCCACAGGCATTCATCCTCGAGGAATCGTGGCCGTAATCATTGACCTCCGGAGCACGTGCAAAGATGTAGTCTCTCATCTACGCCCAAGTATGTTCGTTTGAAGGATTTTGTCATGGTGCGATGCACAAGCACACTCGGGTAGATCCTTTCTCTAACGCATGCATGCACGAAGATCATTCTTGAACGCTTTGTGAACTGTTGACCTGAATAGCAAAACCACTTATACCCCCCAAGCAAAGGCAGTGCATCAAAACAAGTGGTCCCTACATCTGAGGTCCAAATGATGGCTCCAGTCGGAGAATTTCATCACATGATTCGAAACTGAGGATGCAGTTTGATGCCGCATGTTGGGGATGTCGGTTCCTTAGTTATGCATTCCCCACATCAGGCTGTGGCATAGCTGTGTGCACTATGCTAGTTTCGAGTTTACAGGGCCACTCTGAGGAAGACTACGAGGGCTCGATGAGGCTCCACAGTTATTCGCAGGATGTCTTTCTTTTCAACGGCACGTTGCTCGCAAAGCCGAATTGTCGGATTGCACTGACTGGGGGTCTATCTTGCTAATTGGGACCTCTGCCCAATTAACTCCTCGCTACTCCTTGTAATTCACTGAATAAGTAGTATCTCTCAATGCAGGATCATGCTAAACTATGTGTGATCTGTTGCCGGTAGGCACCATTCGAGTTCTGGATGTCTTACCAAAGACTTGCTTGCACGCTTCCCAAGTTGCAACCAGTCGCAAAACATCTTGCGCTCCACATATTTTCTTGCAAATTGGGGGCGGATCTTGATCAAGATAAACATATCTCGCATGAACGTTTGGCTCGGTAAATTTTGAAACGTTTGGGCATGTCCGCGCCACCTCATTATTATCTAAGCACTACGAATCTTCTTCCTTTCTGGGAATGGGGAAAGGATCGCCACTTACGATTTTACGAGCAACCCTACAATTGCAGGAATCCAGTCGCTTAATTGATACAATTCAATTGCGCGAGCGTGATAGCGCGTCCTTCTGGTTTTAGCGAGACCTCAAGCCTCGGGTGAATGGCGACGTCACGTGCTCCACTTGGCTACACGATGAGCCAAGTATGTAAATGGACTCGTGTCAAATCGGAGCGAGGAGGACGGAGCTGAAGTCTATCTGATCCATTTACGGTCACGCATGCGATGTTTTCTGTTTCTACTACGCGACGATTCCCAAGTGTGGCCAAAAAGCTGATCGCAAGTGGTGAGTGGTGGCCATTTTAAGTGATGTTGAAGCATTTTTGGAAAGATCTTTTGCTATTGATGTAATTGTCTCGGATCAAATCCGAGGAGGCGTATTGATCCTACTTTTTTCATCACCGACGTTGGGTCAATGGTGGAAGTTGGTTTTGTCGCTACTGATGGTCATTCTTGTACGGTCAGGCTGACTCTCGCGCGTAAGGAATAGAACGTAACACATTCGCAATCTGCCAATGCATTGTCGTCAATTGAAAGACAAAGTCGCTAAAGATAACAAATCAACAGTATACTACTTGGACAGGTCAATTCGACGCAGTGCTGAAGTCTTGTTTGAAGATGACTTCGTGCAACATTGCATTCAAAACCAGTCACAAAAATATATAATCAACATGAATAACTCTCTAACAATTTATGAACTTAGTAGAGCAGAATTTGCCAGGAATCTACTTAACGGCGTTATACATATTGATGTACCTGCATTGGTCTGGTAATTTGAAATATCTACATCAAAGGGTGCTTGAAATGCTTTCAAAAATGAAAGTTTATCTTTTCACTTAGATTAGCCCGAGGGATAAGAACGTGCAACGTCTCGCAGACCTAGGGGTGACCGGTGAACTTCATGCCTAAGTGCCAGATTCTGTGGTCCGTACATCTATGAACTCAGAGCAAGGGCGGGCCGTACTTTCGCCTGATTTTAGGCAACACTACCGAAACAATGGAATCCATCCTAGCCTTGTGGCTCCATAGCGCGGGGCACTTATCACTCGAGCCACTACACCTACGAAATTGATGACTTCATGGTAACGGCTTCCTAGGTAGTAATGAATAATCTCAAGTCACTATACCCGTATTTTCCAACCTACAATGTCGGAAACCTACAGTTTCATAGCCAAAATAACTGAGCAGCCATGAGTGTAGTTATTAATCGGAAAACAATGGAAACAGCCGCACTAACGTCCTCCCCTTCATCACTCGAAAACCAACAAATACCAATATTTGTGATACTTGGAGCTATCCGCGGTCTCAAGGAATATTGGGGGACCATGTAAGGCATTCAATAGATCCCCAGAAGGACTCCGTCACTCCTTCAAAAGCATCCATGATTGGAGGATACAAAGCGTTGAGGCGAAGTACAAAAATGTCTGACCATCGAATTGGGAAATCAGTGACATCTTCATGATCAGCAATTATTTGTCAATAGTAACATTCTTGACAGATTGATTGACCCTTGTACAGCGCAGGAATGATGCGTCCCTTCAGTGCATCGGTCCTAATCGATGATGAATGCAGGACGTCGATCGCGTGACTCAACAAGATGAGCATTGCATCAAGGGAGGTCTTTGGTATATATCAGAGTATATAAAGGACTACTGGGGCGACGATAGATTGATCAGAAGGCTAACCAGACTCCTCGTTATATCTTTCACTATGGTTTTCGATTTGGAACTCATTACTCGCGCTGAGCGTGCCATTGGCTATGTCTTCACCAACAAACTCCTCTGCGCAGAGGCTCTACAAATGGAGGCACCAATAGTAGACTTTTTCATCGACAACCGCGTACAAAGAGTCGAAAACAATGAGCGCCTTGCCCTGTACGGCCCCATAGCCACGGCTCACCTCATGTGCGATTCATGGTACGAAGGTGAGTGCAAACGAGCACGTGTGACATCATGTTTATCCCTTTGAATGAACTAATTCATTGCAGATGGAATTGCAGATCTGAAGGCTTGGACTACAATGCGAGGCGAATTCCTGGATAAACGTCGACTTACTGAAAAAGGCCGGCAGATTGGGTTGGCAAATTGCATTGCCAGGGCTCCAAGCACTGTTCCAACTGATAGAATGGTTGCTACCACTTTGGCGGCCCTTCTTGGCGCTGTCTACAGGGACGGTGGAGATGAAGCACTGGAGAGAGTCCTTGGAAATCTTGGAGTAGAGCTTTGGCGTGGCCCATCCAACGCCGGTTCTGATGTCTCCGACGACTCCAATAATTCCAATGACTCTTTTGAGCAGTTGTGATATGGGATCATTAGTGAAGACATAGCCAATGGTACCCTCAGTGCTAGTAATGAGAGACAGTCGCTCCTTCGTATTCTTTCATCTTTAGGCTCAGCAATATATTCATTCTCCCTATCTTGTGCTGAACTTCGGACTACAATATATGATCTCTTGGTCGATCGTGATAGCCGAATCTAACCTTGAGCCATCGCTGCGCATATTATTATTGGAAGGCTTATTCAAAATCTTGAGTAGAATTGGAGCGGAATCTCAAATTCCCACAATCGATTCGAAACAGTCACATCACACGATCGAAGGTCTCCATGCGTCATTCAGCCACTTGAATTATTTCTACGCCTATCGAGTCTCATTGGATACAAAGCATCATGAATATATCTAGTACACATAGAACACAGTAGTCTCTGGCTCATCCCTTCGCAGTTTCGTATTGCGACGCTGCAGACTGATCCGCATAACCCAGGTAGACGCGATAGCAACAATGGAAAAGGAGATGCTCGCCATCCACGCCTTGAGGAAGCGAGGGTTATCCGTGGACGGCCACAGATAAGGTGTGTACACACTTGACATGTTGCCCAGGGAGTTGCAGAGGGCAAGGGCGACCGCCTTCTTCTCCGGAGTTTGACCAAGAGTCGCGGCGACCCATCCTAGCATAATATTGTTGATACCAAAGGAGAAGGTGACGAACATGAAAATGGCGACCATGCGGGCGGCGATATTGGTCGTGACGGCAGGGATGACGAATCCGGCGATGATGATGCACTTGAGGACAGTGATGTGCCAAGTACGTTCGTTCCAGCGGCCAGAGGTGTACGACATGACGACGGCCATAATGGCGGCAAGCAGGTATGGCGGGCATGTAAGGGCCAGTGTGGTGGTTGTGTCGTAGCCGAGAGTCTTCACAACTGTTGGGAGGAAGCTCTGGAAACTGACTGAGGAGATGTGGGTGTTGTACATGAGGCAGAAGACCCAGGTACGCCAGTCAGCGAGAGCTTGTCGAAGACCGACCCATACGCTGGTAGCCTCCTCGCGCTGGGTAGTGTCGGCAGCGATGCGGTTGTGTGCCAATTGCCTCTGCTCTGGGGTGAGCCAGCGGGTCGTCAGGGGATGATCGGGCAACAAGAAGAACGAGAAAAGGGCAACCACAATCGAGAAAGTGCCCTGTAGGAGGAAGAGCCTAGTATTACGGTTAGTCTTTCTCGGTGGCAAACTCATCTGTAGTCAACTTACCATCGCCATCCAGCAAGCCCACGAACCCCGTCAAGTCCAGCAAAGACGCCAGCAGCGATGAGACCAGCGAAACTGGAGGCTATCATGTTGCCGGTGTAGAAGATGGCCATTCTTGTCGCGATTTCTTTCTTGGTATAGAATAGCGCTAAAAGGAAAAGAGCGCCGGGGTAGAACTGCGAAACTTTGTCAGTTCTGGAGTTTCGGTGGAATACATTGGATCGCCCTTACCGGAGCCTCAGTCACACCTAGGAGGAAGCGACATGCCAACATGCCTCCAAAGTCTTTGGCCAGATAGGTCAACAGACAAACTACCGACCAAGCCAAACAGAATCCTAAACAATCGCATCAGCATAAAGACGCCACCTTTCAGATCAGAAGTACGTACCGCCTAGATACCACGAGGGCCTGACACGATTAAGAATCATGTTGGAAGGAATTTGTCCTGCGATATAGCCAACAAACAGAATCGAGATGAGTGTGTTGTATTGGGTGCCCTTGAGGCCAAGATCTTTTTCAAGCGAATTGAGCTTAGCATTGACGAGGGCGTTTCGGTCGAGGAAATTGAAGCTACAAGCTTGTCAGCTTCAACGTTAAGCAAATCGTGCCAATTCGCAGTAGCTTACAAGTACATTATCCAAAGCATAGGCTATTATTGAGGTTAGCTGACGGTTATCAATAGTGTGTTGAAGGGACTCACCAAGATCGTGCGGTCTAATTTCTTGACCAAGGCAATCTCTTCTGGATTCGTTTTGCTACGAGCACCGAACTCGTCCACCTTGGCATCCATCATCACCTTCGCAAGGCCGATGTCATTTTCATTCGTTTCCGTGCGTTCGATATGGGCAGGTGCCTCTTTCCCATCAGCGTGATCAATAGGCGCAGTGGTGGCCTGCGCTGGCGCTTCGTTGGTGATAGCCATAATTCGTGCACTTCGTCAAAGGGGATTCTCCTCAAGAATTGAAGCAGTATGATATGCCTAGAGAGGAGAAAATGAACTGGGGAGATCAGCGATTTATACGAGGCATGCCTCCCACCATGACGAGCATCTATCTACCCCAGATATCTGCCGTCCAAGCCTGCACATAAACTAAAACCATGCCTCAGCATCTTGTCCCAACAAGGTGGCTTGGATCGGACCGTTTCGAACAAGATCAAGTCGCGATTCAGCCAACGGTTGATAAGGACATTACTCGCGTTTACCCCAGAAACTCCCCGCAATACGGAGTGGAACCCTCACGCGGTCTGGTACGCCAAGTGGGATCCCCACGCTGCCAGATTCTAGGCTCTTGATAACCTGGGGTCGCCATTGGCATGCCCAGCAGGCTTGACCTCTTTGTTGTCGCCAAGTTACTCCTTCGACGGCGGACTCGATTGGCGTTGGTCGCGTCGGGCCATTGTCGGTATCCCTTCCTCCGTCTTGTGAAATTGACCAAGCATGCCAACCAAGATCGCCGGTTCAGAGAGAGAAGGTTTCAAGGCGAGGTGATCTCATCGGCGCGGCCGATACTCCAATTAGAGTCTATGTAGCAATCCGAAGTGCTCATTGAGATGCGGATGTGCCCATTCTGGCAACACTCGCGTTCTGCGAACTTGCTCACAGCCATCGGCTACGGGCTGACCATCCTCACCCGAAGGTTGTAGCACCTTGGCTTGACCACTAGCACCCCATATCTGAACATTAGAGCTATGCTAGCTAGCCTCCACGAGGGAATTTGGTCCTACTGTCTGTCCATTTGATAATTGAATTAAGAGGCTCTGCTAATTAGGTTTTGGAGCCTGATTAAATGCGGCGCATCCCACTTGTTGAACCCCCACGCCCTACTTCTAACTATCAGTCAACAGGACTCAACTGCCTCACGGAGCCTAGCATATGTGATGTGTTAGAGGCTATGCGATGCGGTAGTGTCGTCTCCCCAGCGTTCTTTACGCTTGCTCATTCTCAATCTTGTTATCCGCTAGGTTCTGGTTCTTACGATCAAACAGCCGCTTCTTCTGATAACCGAAAATTTGTTGCGCCGTCATGTAGAAAACAGGTCCTCCCAGCAGTAACAACCAGCTCAAAGCTAAACCCACGAGAACCATAACACAGAATCCCCAGAAAGCCAATGACATATCGGATGAGTTTCGAATCCAGACGCGTGTATCCGGTTCGCCAGGCAGACTCAGAACGACTTGCATAGCAGACAATATCAACGATATTGAAGCAAAGACAAAGAGCCCTGCTTCAACGAATTGTCGCAAATATGCGGCTGTAGACCAATACATTGTATAATAGTGTCTGTTGTTGCCACGGTCATCTCTGTCGCGAGGACGAACAAAACGGATGAGCAGGTTCAGCCTGCTTAGACGGAATTGGCCAAAGTGATACCGCCTCGCGACTTCGTGGTCTTCGATGGTACGGGTCCCTCCGATGAAACGCTCCCAGTCCAGCCATTCAAAGTCCTTTGGCAACAATCCTTTCTCAATGGCAATGGCCAGGTCTGATCGATGCTTTATGATTCGACCATATGATCGTAAAAAGCCCAGTGCGACCTTCGGATCGAACATGGATGCGTCCTGCCCAGTCTTCTCGTCTTCGTCTTGTGCGGCCAAGAATCGTGTCCAGAAATCGTGATTCATCAATGCTAATGGCATAGGCTTTACGCAAATACTGTCGTTGAACCACACCAGATGTAGGGCTGGGTCCTCGGTCACTAGCACTGTCCTACCTTTAAGGACGTGCTCGTGAAGTGTATCAATGCGGGTGCTGTCCTTGGTTGCACATAACCATAACCATTCATACATCCTGTCCAGAATCTTGGTGGCCAGCTCGGCCTCGAGAAACATCCGAACATGGTCCTGTTGTAAGGTTATGGAAGGGTGGTCGGGTATGTAGTCGATGATTTCTAAGCTCTGCTTATCGAGTGCAGAGCCTCTTGGGAATGGCGGATTGGGGGCCATAACTCTAACTCCGATCGACGACCAAAGTAGGAAGATTGTGCGCGACGAAATGAGCGTGCCCTCAGAAACAGCTTCACTTAGTCTTTTTATGAAATACAACAGGCAGCAGTGGAGGCGAAGTTTATACTCGTGATTCGGTTGCGTGCAAGCAAAATGTGACGGGGGTGAGGGCAGTGCTGGGTCTCACCTAAGCCACAGCCAATCATTCACGACAACCTCGTGGCGGTGCGGCAGCCTCATGAGGCTCCCAACATTGCTTTGGGTAGTGATATGCTCCGGCTTTCGTCCTAACCGTCACTGGATATCAGCAGAATTTATGTAGGATTCCTTGCAGCGAATAGGCAGTCGCACAGGTAATACTAAGCTTTCCGCTCAAATGGGGCGGGATGATTTGGAACCGCATTGTTGTGTCCCGATGGTCGATATACAAATATGGACTCTGCAATACTGGAGAGTTTTGTCCTGCTCAGAGCAGTCACACAGAATCTGTCAAGCCCTGAAGATTTGTTGTACTTCTTACTCAGTTATCTGCCCTTTCAATTCCATCATTTGATCACCTTCATCGAAAACCCCTTCAATATTGACTGAGTCCCCTCCTTCGACATGGTAGTAACAGTCCCAACTACAGGGCAGTCTACTGCTTCAAAACAACTTTTTCCAAGCACAGAAGGAACTACTCCATCGGCACTCGTCAAATACGAACAAGACAACGAATCACTTGTAACCGACGATGGAGAAGATAGACGATGGAGAGAGCAAGTTCACAGAGCTGCCGAGGAAACTGGAAATAGATACCACAGCTTCTATCAGCATTTTGGTAGGGCCCAATGATCCAAATTATGAACCGCCATAGATACTAACGTTCACGAAAGGCTCCAATAGCAGTTCCGACTCAGTGGACCAAGCCAGCTACGCACAGGTCCCAAGACGCATACCAGAAACGGTGGTCGAGACCAATGCAAACCGATCCAAGCGCATTGTCTACATCAAACATAGACCACTCCGCGAGTGGATGGAGACGAAGGGTGCAAAGGGTCTCACATTAAGAGTCCTCAGCCATCTCCAGATCGCCGCCCATTGGGGTCTCGCAGTCGGGCCATACACGTACGACATACACCAGAACAAAGGCGCCGTGATCTTCAGCGTAGGGAAATGGCGTACCGACGGGCCCGGAGGAAAGAACGTCGTCAAGATCAAGGAAGTGGGTCTCTCGTGCATGACCGACATGGAGATACTAAGAAAAGGTGAGTTGTGATTCACTTACGAAGCCACACCTTAGCTGATCCCAATATTAGCGGAAAGAATATTCGAGAAAATGAGGCCAGACGGCTATGACGAGAAGTTCAACAACTGCCATCGTTTCGTCAACGTCCTCGCCGAGCGCATTTCGATCCGCGAAGAAGTGCAGCACGTCACGCTTCGAGTGCGTCTGCTATACATTTGGAACTCCCTTCCAGCATCCCATCTCTTCCAAGCCGGCGAGTACACAAAGCAACTCGTCCGCCTCCCGAAGAAAGTCCTCTTAGAGAACCTCATCAAGGAGCTACGCTCACACGGTTACTCTGATCCGTTCTTCTGGGACAACATAAGAAAGCAAGGGAAGATCGCGTCGAAGGCGATTCTCTTCCTCCTAACCGTCGGCGCCATGACTGTGTTCCTGCAGATGGCGAGAGCACTGACGCGATGGGATCCGGAAGACCCGAAGCATAGGGAGCTGTACATCAAGATGTTTACGGATTACGTGCCAGGGGTTTCGGAGGATCTCGCAAACACGTATCTGCTTTGTGCGTTTGAGGGTCCCAAGGGTCTGCGCAAGGTTGTGGATAAGTTGATTACGACGGCGTCGGCGAGTGGTGGTACCCAGGATTTTCTCAAGAAGAGCTTTAAACAGTTGAAGAACATCGCTCCGTAGATTAGGGAGGCTAATGTAAAGAGAGCTTAACTCAAATTGGAATCTGTATATATTCTTTCTAGGCCGAATGCTTTGGTGTATCGAAATATAATTATTAACATCTCATGAATATACTCGGAAGCTTACCTTTTTTCCAATGTACTAAATACACCCTTCAATGCCGAGTAGATACAAGAGGAAGCCAAAGCAACCTATTCAACTTGCTACTCGATCATGCCGATAGGAGTAGGAACTGATAATGATGACGTCCTAAACTCCGAGGCGTCTAAGTCAGGTCCTGCGATGTCGCGTACTAACTGAGCTTTTTCGTCCATGGACAGGAATTATAGCATTTTTTCTTCGGTAGGTTAGCATCGGGTCCAAAGCATTGGACTTCAAACTTTAGCAAGGGTCTCATCACTGAGAACCCTGGAACATATGTTCATGCAAAGGCGAGGATCACTGCAGGATTTGAAGGTGTGGAAATTGTTGAGGGTATTATCATGACGACACCGAGCTATTAGCTGAAGGTGTTGAAATGGTTGAGAGGGTATTATTTTGACCACACTGAGCTTTTAGCTATGATAGATGGTACTGGCCAATTCGATCGCCATCTAAAAAAGAGGAGACCAACAGGACACAGCGAACTAAACTTCCACTGCATGTTTCCTACAGGACGCGAATACCTTCCTTATAGACGATACCTGAAACCGAAGGTCTTCCAGTCAGTAACATCGTCATAGTCCTCAGCCTGAAGTTCGATCTCTCCAACTCTGGCGGTCAAATCGCCATCCATCGCATCCGCCATCTTGCCACCAGCAACAACACCACCTGCGCCTGCGCTTCCCTTGACTCCCTCATCGCGCTCTCTCTTGGCGTTGAGCCACTGGAGGTAGAAGCGGAGGGCAACTGCCATGCCAACGACGAGGCAGTAACACACAAGGATGGCGCGGAATGCCATGTTGTAATGGGGCGCATCGGTTGCGCGGAAGAACTGTGGGCCTGCGATGTTACCGGCGCAGTATGCGATGAAGAGAAGCGCGGTCATGGTCATCTTCTTGGTGACACCCTTGTAGTTCGAGCCGACGAGAGACATCAACAGTGGGATGGCGCCGGGGCCGGTTGAAAGGAGGAAGTAGCCGAAGAGCTGGACACCTGAGGAGGTGCGCGGGCGGACGTAGATCAATGAGCTACCGACGATGGCGGGAGTGACGACGCAGATGATGAGGATGCAGTTGAGCTGTCGAAAGCGGCCAGCGATCCAGCCAGTTCCAGCGATCGTGCCGGCGGCGATGACGGAAGCGGGAATGACGAGCAGAGTCGACTGCAAGCTGGTGAATCCGAAGCTCTTCAGGACGATGTTTCCGAAGTTCTGGGTTCCGCCGTTGGGAATTTGGGTTAGCAGACTCATGCTGAAGATCAACCAGGTCTTGGGATCAATGAGACACTCGACGACTTGATCGAGCTTCCATCCTGCATTGTCGGTTCGTCCGGTACCGGCGATGACCACGCGATCGGCAGCAAACTTGCGCTCTTCCTCTGTAAGGAACTTGGCCTTCTCGATGCTGTCGGGAAGGAAAAGAAGCATAGGAATGGCCCAGACGAAGGTCAAGACTCCGAGGATGATATACATCCACTTCCATGGCGCGAGCGAATCCTCAATATGTCCAACACCGAATGCGAGGAAGGACGCCACAAGACCTCCAACAGAATTGCCTGCAAACCAGATTCCCGTTCGTGTAGGTATCTCGTCACGGGTGTACCTGTCCAGGATTAGCTGAATTCTAGTTCTGATTTCGAATACAAAACTCCTTACCATGTACTTGTGATGAACATGAATGCCGGTGTAATTGTAGCTTCTGCCACACCAAGGAAGAATCGAACAGTGATAAGGCCACCATAGTTGTGGCAAATGGCAGTCAAAGCAACGACTGTTCCCCACATGAAAGTATTGGCGGCAAGGTACTTAGCAACTGGGATTCGTGCAATCAGGAATGTAGTAGGGTATTCCCAGAAAAAGTATCCAAAGTAGAAGACACTCGATACCCACGAGTATTGCTGGCCTTTCAAATGCTACATTGTAGTCAGCCTCACTGCACTGTAGACGGAAGGTTGGCATGGTTGAAAACCTACCGTGTCGTCCCTCAGACCAAATACAGATGCCGAGGATAGAATTGTCTTGTCCATGAAATTCAAGTTGTAGGTGATGAACATGAGTGGAATGAGGCGCCAATCGATTTTGCGCAAAACCCTCTTCGCAAGTGCAGCATCGCCGTGGTTGTTCACTTCGGCATCTTGAATTGGCGCTTGGGTAGCAGCCGCCGTGGTGGCGGGCTCTTTGGAGTTCTCCATAGTCGTCGGAACAAGCAAGATCAAACGAATCCGCCTTAGAATTTACTGCACATCCAACAAAGTCCAAGTAATGCGCGCGTGCAAGCCACCATTTAAGCAAGACACGACAAGAAAAACCCGACTGCGTAAACTTTTGATTAAGAGTGCAAGTGGCGTTTCTTATCAGTATCAAGGCGGCTTGGAGCGTGCCGGGAAAGAAATCGGAGATAACGACCGCCCCGCTAATACGTGCTCACGCGACAAAAACGAGCGTGTATACGAGGAGATCGCAAAAAGTCATGCATTTGCCGATCAAATGTTACGCGAAGGTCAACCTTAACTCCCCCTTTCGTCCAAGTTCGTCTGAGAGGGGTATAAAACGTTGTGACCGTCGGACTACTCCGTACTGTTAGTTTTTTCTCTCTATCGAAATGTGTGACTCGTGTACGACAGTTCACGATGTTACGTAAAGCCATATCGACGCACTCCGAAAGGTCGGAGATTCGTTGATGAGTGCGGAGTAAAAGAGCGAGAGTGTAGGTACGATAAGCAAATTTAGCGACCAAGCCTGCAGTGCTGCACTCAATCTCCATCCCATCAGCAATCCATCATGAACGGTCTCGAGATTTCGCCCTTCATCAGGGATCTCCCGAAAGTTGAACTTCATGTGCACATTGAAGGCACCCTGACACCCGCCTTGCGCTGGAAGCTTGCGCATCGAAACAACATTGAGCTCCCATACAAGACTTACGAAGATTTGCTTGACTCGTACAAAGTCACTTACAACCACCGCAAAGAAGTCAATGGGGATGATGGTCGCCCAACATTCCTTGAGGCCTTTTTCGCCGGCTGCCAGGTTCTCATCACCGAAGATGACTTTTATGAGCTCGGTATGGCGTACTTTGAGAGATGCGCGGAGATGAACGTACGATACTGCGAGCCATTCTTCGACACTCAGGCACATACCGAGCGCGGCATATCAGCGATTACTGTAATGAATGGCTACTATCGCGCACAGCAAGAAGGCGCAAGCAAGTACGGCGTCAAAAGTAATTGGATCTTCTGCTTCTTGCGCGACCGACCATTACAAGAAGGTCTCGATGCATACGCAGCTGCACGGCCATGGGCGAGGCTCGCTGATGGGACCGGTAAAGGTTTATATCATGCCGTAGGTCTTGCTGCGAATGAATTCGAAAAGCCGCCACTATTGTTCGAGGAGGGATTCAAGATGGCCAAAAGAGATGGACTCCATGTGACATTACATTGCGATGTTGACCAGAAGGACGCCGCTGCTCACGTGCGCGAAGCAATCTTCGATGTCTGCAATGGAGAGGGCACAGAACGGATAGACCACGGCCTCAACGTATTGGACGATCCTGAATTGATACCCGCGCTGAAGGAACGAGGCATTGGACTGACATTATGCCCACACGCATATCACCGACGACAGGCGACAGAAACACTATTCTCTAAGATCCAGAAGCTTATCGACGAGGGTGTGAAGTTGTGCATCAATAGCGACGACCCAACATATATGCACAATGTCTGGATAGACGGCAACATGCAGAAGATATATACGTATTGCGGACTGGGCAAGGCGGACATGGTCAAGCTAGCAAGAAATGGAGTTGAGATGTCTTGGGCAGGCGATGACATTAAAAAAGAGTTACTGCTAGAGTTGGACCAGGTCGTAGTACAATGATGAGCCACAACTAGAAATGAAGTTGATTGGAAAGGTGAGGGTGAACGGATTGTTTCGCCCTCGCGACTCATACGCGCAATGAGCGCGATATGCACTCGACCGGAGTACGACATTGATGAACATGGAAGGTATGGAATCAATCTCTAATGCTTTTCCTTGGAAAGCAATTGTTTCCCTATGATATAGTATAAAAGTGTAAATAATAAGAATGGCGATGATTGGAGTGCGGAGTAAATTGCATCTTCCTGGGGCGGGCGTTCGGTTTGTCGGCTAGTTCACTTGGCTGGATTCGGAAAGGACGAATTGATCACGAGCCCCACTTTCCTTCCATTCACCATCAGCCAGTATAAACAATTGACAAAGACCTCATTTCTCCAATGCCATCTGCGCGCGTTGATAAGCGCGACAACTCTCCTGACACATCAAGTCAAAGTAATTCAGAGCCATCGCCTCCAGCCCCACCGACGACATGGCGTGTCTCCCACATCCTCATCGTTGCCTTCCTCATCCCAATTGTCATATTACAATGCTGGAAGCAGGGACAACATCTCTATCACTACCTCGATATCCCCACATTGTGGCTACGCGTCAATGGCATTGTTCCTGAAGAGAAAGCTCAGATCGATGAGCTTGCATCTTTGCTTGATCAAATATACTCCACGCTGGCTAACATGACCTACTTACCATCGTCATCTATCAAGCGTGGCCCCCATTCCATTAAGACCACCAATGCCGCATACAATTCTCAGATCTCTCAATTGCTATCTGCCCTTCCTTACATAGATCAACCTCTACCTGACAAGGAGCCGTGGCTGTTCGAGACCGATTTTGTAGACTATACGGATCCGAAGGAGCGAGAAGATACCAGGGATCCATTGCTCTGTGAGGGACAATACATGACGCCTTCTATGATAGCACTCAATTCCATAGGCGTCGGGTGGTCTGTGCTTATATACGACTTTGAAGGCAACAAGATCAGAATGATAAACGCTCTTGAGTGGTCCAATTCCGCTCTAGATTGGCAACCATTGCTAGATTTCGACCGCGTCGAGGCACGCAAGAGAAGAGACATGATATGCCACGGCGACGACATTCGTCAGTTCTGGGAAGACTTGCCCTATATCGAGGCACCGTTCTTCCTCCGCGACCTCCTCCAGCGGTACAGAGACGGAGACATGATTCCCTGGACCACAACTCCGGAAATGGACGCCAAAGCCTACAAAAACCTACTCCTCCAACACGGGTGGCCAGACACCTTCAACGCAGACAGATTCCGCGCCAACCTATTCCGCCTCCAAAACCGAGCATCCCCCCACGGCAACGCAAAAGCCGCCCACTCCCTCGCCGCCGAACTTGAAGGCAAACCCCCCTTCACATCCCCAGGCCTCATAGCCAACCTTAAACAGCACCTCCTCGACACCTTCACCCAACTCTCCACCACCCCCGAATCAGACTCAGAGACAAAACTCCAACTCTCCTTCCAGCATGAGCGCCTCTCCCTCGACCTCGCCCGCCGGTACGACGAACTCCACGCCGCGAAGACACTCATCGCGAGACTCTGCCCTGCAGGCGTGTGCGTCAAACCAGAGGACGTCGCCTCACGCAACTGTCTGAACGTCAAGAAAGAGCACGCAGAATTAGTCGCGCGATTCCAGAGGGGGTATCCGGAGGAGACCGAGTGCCATTGGCGAGAGACGGCCACGAAGCGTTCACGTCGCACTTTTCTGGGATGGCGGAGGAAGCAGTTTTGGTGGGCGGGATTGGCGGTTCGAGAGTGCGAGAAGGATGTTAGGGCGGAGGGGAATGGGGTGGATTTGGATGAAAGACAGCGCATGGAGGAGGAGGTGCGTCGTGAGAATAGGATCGAGTGGCTTCGTGATGACATCCGGCGCCAAGAGGATGTCGTTAAGGGATTGCGAGAGTGGATTGGCGGGCTGTCCGCCGAAGAAACTGCCATTGTTGCTCAGCACCGCTGGGTCGAAGAGGAGATCGCTGGGCTGGAGTCGTCGATAAGGTTGAGACAAGATGTCCTCGACACTTCAATCGAAGAAAGAGTAAGGCCACGATCACAGGTTTCACATTGCCCAGGAATATCGAATGTTGTTCTTTAATGGCATCTTTCAAAGCTTTTCTGAGGTATTAAAAAGAGGTATCTCTATACAGTACAGCAAAGCGCCAACTGGGCCAGGGCCAAAACCCTATGCCCATCACATACCCCCATGGACCTACACGCGGGTCCCCGAAACAAGAGAAGGGAAAAGAGTTCTATATGCAGCCTATGACCGATTTGGGTTTGGATATCAAGAGTGAGCGAAACATTTGTACCAGAAGTCCCCCATCATCAAAGAGAGTGAGGGAGTCATGAAAATAACCGAGCGAGATGGTCGTTTAAGAAGAGAAGTGAGGGGTGTTGAGGAGTATGCCCATGAGGCAGCCACCGAGGGTACCGGCGATGGGGATGGTCATGATCCAGGAGAGCATCAAGAGACCAACACGCTGCCAGTTGACGGCCTTAAGGGAACCGTTGCAGAGACCGACACCGACGGTGGCACCAGTGATGCACATGGAGGTGGAGACGGGGAGCTTGTACTGGGAGAAAACGAGGACAGTGATGGCAGCGCCCATCTCCATAGAGCAACCACGGCTGGGGGAGTGGTAGGTGATCTTGTTACCCATGACCTATTGTGGAGTTAGCAAAGAGTGAGGGAGATTAGTGGAAGAGGAGGCGACTGACCTTCATGATGTTGTAACCATAGGTGATGAGACCAACGGAGATACAGGCGGAGAGAACAGCGAGCTGCCAGATGGGGACGGGAGCCTTGGCCTTAGCAGCCTCGCCAGTGGTCCAGGCAGAGTAGATGACAGCCCAGGGACCGACAGAGTTACCGATATCGTTGGCACCGTGAGCGAAAGAGGCAGTGCAAGCAGTGAGAACCTGGACGAAAGAGTAGGTGTGCTCGACTTCGTTGGGGTACTTGGGAGCCATCTCGTAGACGCGAGCCATGCGCTCACCCTCGGGGGTACCGTGAACACCAGACTGAGCAGCGTGGATATCGTAGTGAAGACCGTAGAGGAGACCGACAACAATCTGGGCGGGGAGGCGCTTGACGGCCAAGATCATGTTCTTGCGCTCGTAGATCTCACCAGAGCCCATGGGGTTGTTGTGGAGAGTGCGCATAGCCCAGCCGAGAGGACCGCGTCCCTTGCGGAGCTTAGCGTGGAAGCGCTCCTCACCGCGGGCCATGAGCTCCTTGTAGCTCAACTGTCCAACGTTGGTCTCAGTGGCGACGGCGCGCTTCTCGTTCTCGGCATCAGCCTCGACGGAGTCGGCAGAGCGAGTAGAGGCAGCGGAATCCATGTCCTCGTCGTGCTGGACAACGGCGTAGTCAGGGACCTTGGCGACCTCAGAGCCCTCGGGAGCAGGGCGGGTGAAGAGAAGAGGACCCATGACGAACATCCACCACTTAACGCTGTGGTCCTTCTTGATGATCTTGGCGTGGACGAAGGGAACGAAGAAGAGGCAAGAGAGAAGGCAGACACCGAAACCGGTTCCGAGAGTAACGGATGCGATGTACCAGGCGGGCTTCTTGCCGAGACCAAGGTTGGGGGAACCCTTGTAGACGATGGAGAGCGTGCAAATGGTGGCAGCGATCAAGAACCAGAGAGGAGAGCTGTAGACAGCCCAGGGGACTGGGTTTTGGCGCATGTGGACAACGGTCTTGATGAGCATGAAGATGGTGGCACCGAAACCAGCAGCAATGGCGGGAGCCATTCCCAAACCAGCGAAGATGGCACCGAGACCCTGACCACCGTTCCATCCCCACTGGACTTTGCTGGCTCCAGCAGTAGCGACACCGACACCAGCGACGGCAGAGACGAGAGAGTATGTGGAGGAAACGTGAGCGGAGTGCTTGGTGCACCACATGACCCAGGTGGAGGCAGCGGCGAGAGCGCAGGTGAAAGCAAGCATCTGGACACCGGCATCGCCCTTGAAGGCATCGTTGGGAATGATCTTGTTCTTGATGGTATCGGCGGTACGAGCACCGACAGTGATGGCTCCGAGCATCTCGAAGACGGTACCGAAGATCATGGCCTGTCGGTAGCTAATGGAGCGGGAGGAAACACTGGTAGCCCAGGCGTTTGCGACATCGTCTATCGCGGATGTCAGCGTCAATGGTCGGACACGAGATGGCCAGAGGACCAAGAATGCTAAGCTACTTACTGGCACCGTTGTTGTAGGCGTCCAACATGGCAAACATGGTGCCAATGGCGAAGATGTAGGTGTACTCTGAGAGAACCATCTTGAAAGAGTGTGATGGATTACTGGGAAGGGTAAAACGATCGGGAGAAAGATGCCGTCCAAGAGAAGACAAGAGCAGGAATGTTACTCTATATGTATGTCCCAAGGGAAACAAGCGGGGCGTGCTGGAGATGCCCAAGAGATTGGAGTGCTTGATGCTGGAAACCAAGAGCAGGGAGCGTGAGATGGAGTTATATAGATACTTTCTGGAGGTACGACTACGAGAACGCCTCCTAAGCCTCAGACATTTCTCGGCAGCCGCGAAGGAGGGTAGGCAACATCAGAAGAGATCCACGACGCCAGGGAGAGGCGAGACACAGATGGAGACGGAGCCAACGAGCACGGAGGACCCCCATTACGGGCAAACATACAGAAGAGAATAGAGATAGCCCGAGAAGGCATATTCCCCCCCACCCCCTAACGGGGCTAGTCCAACGTATCGCAGCGGAGGAGTGGCAAGCAGAATTGTTGGAATGGACCTGGACTGGCGTGTTTCTGGCGAGTCTGGCGATGGTGGTAGAGGGTGAGAATGCTAGGAATGCTGGCAATTGCCTGCCAAGGCTGGCGTTTCTCCTCCCCAATTGGACTGTTTGGCAATAACCCAGAAGGTGCATGATTGCCTGCGTATTGCAATCTTGCAGTGTAGAAGTTTGGATATTCCGCTCGCACGTTGCACAATGGAGCATTCTGATTGGACGGGAGATTCGAGATACTGACCTAGAAAGATTGAGAGAAAAGTCAGCAGCGGACCAGGGTGTAGTGGGTGGGCCCTGCCGCCTTCCCCCTTTGAGTACCTTCTCGATGCGGGAGAGTTCCATACTCTCCCAGGCATTGGATGCTTTTTCCTTACACTTTCCCCTTTCCAGTCATGGCCTACAACTCTAACGACTCTAACAACTATTCCCTCCATTATTACTTGATCCAACTCCCAGTCCACTCCTGGTCTCCTCACTCGCAAACTCAACGCACTCACGGTCTCTCCGAGGCTTAAACGAACCCGGGTTATCTGGCGGAAGCGTCTTGGCCAGCGGTCTTGGCTACTGCTTGTTTTCTTGGCTTTCCCCAGATTATCGACCACTCAACGTCCAAGGATCGACCACGTTCTCCCACGCTCCTCCCACGTTGCTCCTCAACTCAACCTCATCTCATCCACTTTCACACCCATCCTCCCCCAATTCTCCCCAAATTCTCTCATGTCGCCATGTCGGTGCGCCAAGACATGGACTTCTACTACCATGCCATGCCGCCGGATCCTCATCCCATCCCCATCGATGCTTCTTCTCCGTGGCTCTCTAATCCTCACTCTCCCCCTTCGTCTAGTCCTCAATCAATGCGCTAATGCACTTCATGTTCCACCGCAAGAGAATAGGTAATCCAGTAATTCCACTCCTCCGTCAATCCAAACTAACAACCTCTAGCTAGGTGTACGTATTCTAAGCAGATACTCGCTGCCACTATCGACCCTCTAGTACTGACTACTGTAGTTCGCTGTGGTATTGTATTGCCTCGATAGGAAATTCGGATATGCTCCGCCCGTTTCTTGTTGTCTCTGCCATCGAGTTTGCCTCTCAAATCGACCGTTATTGTGACAACCCATATCACCTTCCATACACCAACCCTAATCCAGTAATCACAAGCAAATCTTCAAATCCCTCCTCCGCGCCTTGTCCTTCCAGTTCCCGCTGTACTGTGTAGATCTACATGACCGGCTTCTCGGCGACAGCGCCTCAATGACATATAGGATCGCGCAGGATCGCAACGGTAGCTGCATTATGGCACGGTCGTCAGATGTGTCGAAATGCCCTCGGTACCCGTTCATCGACCGAAAAAAAGTCGAATTGAAGAATCGTCATTATTTACAATTTCAGTAAGAGGTCGGAATTCGGCAATAGTCATGCTCAACACTTGATGAGCATTCGTGGAATCGTGATCCTACGGCAATGGCAACCGGGCTTGTGCGCTCGTACCGAAACCACGCTACAGTTTCTAGAAACGATAATGCGCCAAAAATTGTCAACAGTCGCGAATTCTGGACTCTTTTCACTCTCCATGCCCATAGACGGTGCCCGGAACTTTTGAACATTATGCCGTTCGCGATCTTGCAAATCTGGCTCCAACTTCACCTTCTGCAATGCTTAGTAGTCTTCCTGGTAAATAATGCCTAATTGCCGACAGGAAGAGGTGACGAAAATAACTACAACGAAGAGAGCTCGTGATATAACTCCACAAGCAGCTGATGCAGAATTGCACACTGCCCAAAATGGAGCGGATATTGATGGACACCATTTACTGGAAACCTGACCGATGTCCACAATAGGCATCCTGCGATGCTCACCACCCACGGGACGCATCCCCAACCCAGCATAGAGTGCTGGCATGGTCTGGTCTGGTCTGTATCCGTAAAGTTAATAGGTGGGGTGTTGTGGTGGGTGGTGTGCATATGCACCGAACACATCTTGTGGGCCTGCCCTGTATCCACCGCCCGAGCACCTGTCAGCTAGGCGCCTCCCAATGATCCAGGATAATGGTACCGCAGCAACAACTGCTCACTTAGGCTTCACACGTGGGCTCCTAACTCGGCACTCCCATTGGTCCATTCGAAATTTTTCCTTCTCTTCACTCCTTCATGGTCTACCCGCACGACTAAATTACGCCTCGTTCCACAGTCCTCCAATATCAGGGTCTCCAATTCACGACCCGCATCCATGTAGTCTGTTTGCCTGTTCTAGGCGGATACTGTAAGCCAGTCTGGACGCCAGCCAATGTCACCACAGCTCAACGCGAAGTAAACTTACTTCTATAACCGGACCTACTTACCATATTCTTCGCCATCTCCTTGATGATCATTCGTTCCAATACTTTACACGAAGTCAAATACACACGACCCTCTCAGCCCTTTGTTGTTTTACTTTTTTCACGTGGCGCTGCTTTGGCCCTCTTTTGTATCCTCTGTCACGCAGAGGTGACATTTAATATTGCTGTCCAATACGAAGCGGGTCTTGAAGCACACGTGTGTTTGCTAGCGCCAAGGTTGTTCACTCAAATCCTATTCTTCGTCTCCTCTTGGGCTGTAAGGTTTGCTCAGCTGGACTCTTGTTGATGGCTCTGTTGAAGGTGTCGTTACTTTCCTTTGCCATCGGCTCAGCCCTCTGTCCGCACTCCTTTGTCATTGAGCCCAATGCTCGACCTACTCCCCCAGCCTAAGCATCGACACCGACCAAATCACTACCATCTACAATCAATCCTCTCTTTTCCCGAACACCAACCTTCGACATGAACAATTACGACAATCAACACCCATTACACAATCTATCAGTTACGAGAACTGGCAATGATGGGATTATGCTGATATCACAGTACATGGGAAGATCGAGATTGCAGAAACCTTGAGTCCCCATTAATCGTCGACGTCAGGGGGCGCAAGAACACCGGCCGATCCCGCGTTAGCAATCGTAGGATCAGCCCTTCCTTAGCTGTTTTCCCTACTGCCGCCGCCGTGCGCACATTTGCACTTCTTGGAAGGTCAGGTCGTTCGTCTTGGCTGGGCAGATGTCAGTGTGAGGGCTTTTTTTCGCTCATCGATCTGGACTTTTGTCGGCTGTGTCAGCTAGATTAGTAGTCCGGAGAGAGATGCGGTGTTTCGATGATGGGGTAATGTATAGACGTAGGCTTGTGAGCAGTGCGATGGCTCTGTGTAGGTGATGCTGGTAGGGACTGCGTGCTCTTGCGGGTTTACTTTTCCCACGTTGATGAGAGTCGTCTTGGGTGAGGATGACTTCGTAGCGAGGACTGACATCTGACTTAGGTGACCACTGAGACTTGCTTTGATGCTGATGGTGCCCGGTCAGACACATTTGGATAACTGACAATCGCAGAATTCTTCCTCAATAACGACCCTCAGTCAGACTGACCGGCCACAACCAAACGATCATCTGTCCAATGATTTTCTCAATCGAATAATCCTCCTTCTAGCGGTCGATGGCCATATCGTGGAGAACCCTATTTTCTCCAGCACCAACAGTTTTCCTACCGCATACTTTATTTCATCTCGCTGCAGCACCCCTTACAAGTAGACCCGCTATCCCTCCAGCAAACGCACAAAATCGAACAACAGCACTCCTCACACGATAGGATTGCCCTGCAGATTCTCAGGCAGCACCTCTCAGCAACAATCCACCGATCTCGCGTTCCTAGAACAATCAGTACGACTCATCCCCCTAAAACTGACGAAGCCATCCACCAGACACCATCTAAACGCACAACCTAACTCAGGGTGACCTCATCCCGAAGTCTTCAGAACTGCGTACGATGCACCCAGTATCCTGTGTTAATTGACACTTAACATAGCTGCGCCGACAAGCCGTCCTGAACTATACTTCCTCTTGCTATCTCGTAATCGACGACGACGACGGGTATATTACCTGCTCATCTACAAATCCATCGTAATCATCATATACCCTCCATCTACTAATAATTTAGCACGACCTACCACTTTGCTATCCACTTCGAGACATCCGATCTAAGACCTCACATTGCGAGACGCAATCATCGTAGGCACGCAACAAGCGAGGTTCTCCCCTACGGAGTTCAATTACACGCAGTAACATACCTGACCAGTTACGTTCTGTCGTACCATACATTACGACATTGTAGCAGGGCTTGAAAACATTATCAACATCACCGTCTCATCGTTAGATCGAGCCGGAAAGTAAGCATCAGACATAGAATAGTAGAAGTAGTGCCAGCCAAAATAAACATTACAAAACCCTCCATTGCCTCATTCACCAAGTCTAAATCAGTACTCTTGTCACTTGTTTCCTCCTGCCTTCTAACGCACCTTACCATACCATTACAACCTCGTGCAACGAACAGCGCCATTCCTCACAACACATCCGCAGTAAACCCATCCATCTCCTTCTGCCATCACAATCATACCTATCTCACGTCACACACTCGAATATTAACTCGCTTGCTCGACTCGATTTCATCACCACGGACGGCTGCTGGGTGTTCGAATTGACTTCCTCGCTCTGTCGGTTTCGTGAGATACAAGTTACGAGTATACGTTCCTTCCCGTCCCTTCTCCTGCGGATGTGGTGAATTCTACTCGGTGTTTATCAACTCGGATGGAATGTCGTCGTTGACGGTGGTGCCATCGCAAGTTGTGTCGTGAGATGGTAGCCAGACGGTGTGAGGAGTCTGCGCATGTCGATGGAGGGGGAGGGTATCGAACGTTAGTGTGGATTTTGTTAATTTTGCTTTTATCAAAGGGAATTATCAAAGGGAATCATGAACCTGATTTGTAATAATATATGGTGGGGGACGCTTTTGAGATAATGTTAGTTATTTTTGTTCGTTGTAAGACTGGGTTTTCAATCTAATGGTTCCATGCTAGGCCAGTAGACTTAAGATTGGTTTTAATTCCAAAGAGATTGCTTTTAGGGTAAATTTGGGGAAACTAGTTGGAAGATAATAAGGAGATGAAGGGAATGAGACGAAAATATTATTTGAGGGCCTTTGATGTGTTGGGGCTTGTAATTGGCATTTCTGCTGTTCTAGGTGGTAGTGGTGATGTTTTTCTTGGAGAGGTTCTCGTTGTGGTGTGGTGGGCGGGTAGTGTGAAGATGAGCGTATGTGTGACTACAACGGCGTTTTGAACGGCAGTAAATATACTCTTATGTTTTGCAATTTTTAATTTGTTTATTCATTTATATCCACATCTCACAACATTCTCACGACTTATCATCCTCAATCTTGATATTCTCCAACTCAACAACGTCCACGCCCTGCAAATCCACCAGCCCAATCAGCGCCTCGTCGTCAATAACGTCCTGCACCTCCTTCTTCCTGTTCGGCTGCTGCCCGTGCGCCGCCATCAACTTCACCTTCTCCCCCTTCAGCTTCTTCTCCTCGATATCCTTCTTCCACGCCTTCGGGTTCTTCTTCTCCGGCTTCCCGTGCTCCTCAGCCTGGAACTGGTACCCTCTTACGCGGGGGCCCCTCCCCGTCTTCTCGGGCAGGGTCGGCTCGTAGAAGGCTTCGAAGGCGGCGACGTCGCGGTCGAACGTGCCGTTTGCGATGGAGGTGCGGATCCCCACGAAGAAGGCGTCGAGGACGGCGTGGTTGTGGATTTGGATGAGCACCCAGCCGAGCATTTCCTTCGCGGCGAGGAGGTGCTGGATGTAGGCGCGGTGGTGCTTTGTGCAGGCGTAGCAGGTGCATGATGCCGACAGGGGGGTCACGGAGATGGCGTGGGATTCCTGCCACATGTCGACTCCAAGGGTCTGGCGGGTTGGGGAGGTGGTGGTGGTGGGCGCGGGGAAGGTGAAGTCGAGGGCTATGCCGGCATCGGTGGCGTCGGATACGAAGGGGATGGTGAAGATGTCCATGCCTAGGCTTACTTGTCGTAGGATTTCCTGGGGACTGGCGGGCGCGTGGAAGGATAGTCGGGGGAGGTGGTGGAGCTCTTCGGGGAGGTCGTCGAGGAGGTAGGCGTCGTAGATGGCGACTCCGCTGATTTTGCTGATCATGTCGTCTACAAGATGCTCGAGGTACCATGACTGTAGATCACGGTCGATTGGTAGGATTGGCGCGAAGATGTTGTATCTCGGTTCTCCCTTGTCGATTCCATCCCGCTTCGCAATGATGTCGCGCGTCCATACTTCTGTCCTGTCGCTCATTTTGTCCTTCCTCTTCAAGCCCACGGATTCCTGTCCGAAGGGTATATCTGCCAGTCCAATGACGATATCTGGATGAAGTTTGCGCGCCGCCGCAGCATAGTAATCCGAGCTTATCGACTTGTATCCCACCGATGTTAACAGTCCCACCTCGGTGTTTGTATTGGCGATCGGGCTGTATATGGGAGGTTGACGGCGAGCGCCAAGTACGACGAGAGTTTCGTTTGGAATAGAATTGAACTGCCGAAGAGGGTCGGGAGCGTCAAGCTGGAAGATTGGAGGTGTTTTTTGTGGGTGTTTTTCCACGACTATAATCTAGTCAGGCGCAATTCCGACGCTCATGGCGGGGTACTTACAATCTTCCAATGCCATATAGAGGCCATTGAGACCTATACTCTTGCGGAAATTGTCTTGTGATATATGCGGTATGGTTCCTCGAGACGAGTTTCCTAGGAAAACTGGTGTGAGGATGGTTTTGCGGCCCGGAATTGAGAGACGACCCAGCCGCGGGGCGAGCGCGCCTGTGGTTTTAAGAAGTGTGAAATCGAGCATCTCCGGGGGTAATTGAGCTAGATTTGGCGTGGAGATCTGTTCAGCCATCATGAGAACGACGCAATGGCCCAATCACCGGAATGAAGCAGTTTTGAAGTTTCCCCGTAAAATGCCCTGTGGTGTAGTTGCATGAGGGACTGATGTCAGATTTGGATTTATTTCCTAGCGCGGTCCAGAATCCCATCTATGAAGGCACGTGATAGCGCGTTCGCGCGTCGCATTGTCAAAATGTCAATTGTCTGAGATCACTTGGACCAGGTTCATGTAGTTTGATTTTACCTAGCTGTCTAATGTTTGCTTAAAAATATTCAAGAAAAGCATGTAATCAGTTCCGTGGTGACCTATGATCATAATGGTAGAACTGATTGGTGCCTAGACCGCTCGTCTTACATTTGCCAGTCTTTACCATCGTTTTTGCTAGACATCACTCGGTGATTCAACCTGCTATAGTTTTGGTCTTAAATATCTGTTCGATTGTGGAATTGTTTTTATTTATAGCTCTGTAGGAGCTCTGTTACTAGCAGCTAGTCATTACAAGTTTCGCTCCATGGCTACAAAACGTAGCCCAACGACAGAATGGGGTCGTTTTATGAGGGCGCCTCTCAGCTACCTAACTAGCTCCACATTTATCTTCATAAGTAGCTTCATACCGCTGCCAAATCCTCGAAAATACATTCGCATCGTCTGTATTTCTGATACTCACAATCGGACCCCCAAAGTTCCCGATGGCGACGTGGTCATTCACGCTGGCGATCTATCAAATCACGGCACAATAGCAGAGCTACGACCGCAAATCGCCTGGCTGGACGGCCTCCCGCATACGACAAAACTTGCAATTGCAGGAAATCACGATAGTTGGCTTGATCCAGAACTTCGTGCAAAGAATGGACTGCAACATGAATCGCTGTCCTGGAAATCCATCACGTACCTTCAAGACAGCGAAACCGTCGCCCACGTGCCTTTTCCCGATGAGATGAGAACAGGAAGATTGTCGATATATGGATCACCGTGGGTACCGCATCGTGGAGTCGACTATTATGCATTTCAGTATACGAAAGAAGAAGCACACGCGCGATGGCACCACACTATCCCTCAATCTCTGGATATTCTCATCACGCATACACCGCCACGATATCATCTCGACGTTCCTGACGGCGGCGCAAATGTAGGCATGCATTTCGGTTGTGATGCTCTACTGGAAGAGCTTTGGCGTACGAGGCCGCCTCTCCATATCTGTGGGCACGTCCACGGCGCGCGTGGTAGGATTGTGCTTAGATGGGACCAGGGACAGCGAGCATATGAAAGAGCTTGTGCAAGGAAGCCTGGAAACGAGGGTTGGGGTGTATTGGAATTGCTGCACTTTGAGGTGTGGTGCGATTTATGGATTGTGCTTGCTTCTGGCGTTTGGGGGCTTGCGAAGAGCTACGCAGGTTGGGACCACAATGACCAGAAGACCATTCTTGTCAATGCAGCTGTATGGTATGATGAGAGCGGGGGGCTAAAGGTTCCGATCCCAGTCATTAACGTCTGATCGGGTCTGTAACTTGGTCGACTGGTATGAAACTATCCCTTCCAATCGGTATGAGCCTTGTCCCTACTTGAAACGGTTGAGAATCCTGGATTGTCATTTCGGAAAGCTCGTGTCGGGAGCGAGATTCATTCCCAGATGAAGCCGAGCGGTCGGCAGTGCCATTTTGCGAAAATGTTGGGGGATATTATGCGAGATCCGCCCATCGTCAAAAATGGAATCATGTAACTATTGAAAGAAAAATGCATGATTACAATAACGGACTACAGAAACTCATTTTACACAGTTTGCTCAAATGGACATTGTTGCTCTCACGTTCATGGACTTGACCTTGTGATTCGTCTACATGGGACGGGAAACTAACCCAATTGGGCAGCCGACAAGAGACCATGAGTCCCTCATCTGCTACCGATGCCACTTTAACTCTTTCTCTCTTCAAACACCGCACTTCATATCAAATCAGATCGTAGGCCGTTGTCGCTCGTGCCTGCCAAGGTGCTAGGTAGAGCGGATCGACATTGAGAAAGCAACGACAAGCATCCAAAGTGAAAATTGGCAGATACAAAAGAGACCACCGTGCCAACAATCGATGCCAGCAGGGTCTCTGACTTCGAGTATCCTGACCGAGGTTCCTTGAGTTGACGGCACAACTCCGAGTTCTTAACATGCGTTCAATTGCTTCTTTGGCGTTGGGAACGCTCGCAAGCGTATCACTCGCGGCCGCTCAGGATGCGAACATCACGCTCGTTCCAGCAGCAGTTGGCTTTGAGCCCGACAATACTGCGCTCTACTACTCTTCACCTCCCCTTCTGATAGCAAACGACGGTAGTGCTGCAGATGGCGGTTTCCGCGTCTTCGAGGTGTCCGATAAACCTTCGTTTGCGCAGAGATCCCACCAGAAGACTGGTCGTTCGAAGGTCGCTCTACCAGTATATGATATCGGTGGTCGGGACTTGGTATTTAACATCCCTGCACCAGACTCGATCCTCCGCGCATTTGATGTGAAGAACTTCAAAGAGGTCGAAAGTGCAAGGAAGAAGATCCTAGGAGATTGGTCTACCTTATGCGGCTGGAGGAGTCTCAAGAGTGGCAATCAGTACCTTTTCCTCTTTGGGAAGAAGAAAGTCGTGCAACTGTTGGTCAGGGAGCAGAAGAAGGACATTGAGGTTCTTGAGGTACCTTGTTCGCCTTGATACTTTATAGAAATTTGTTAACTTTCCTTCTAGGTCCAAACATTCCCGATTGCCATTGAGGGAGAGGCATGCATTGTCTTCCAAAACGGATTGGTCTATTTCTCAGCGGAGGACCAGCCATTGTATTCCTTCCAGGCTGTCGAGTCCACAAAGGCGCCCGAGATCAAGATCGCTAAAAAGGATGCCGAAGTTGTGGGTCTTGCAACTTACCGCACAGGCGCAAAGGACTACCTCTTTGTAGCACACGATGAAGTGGTCGACGTGTACGATGATAAGCTTCAGCAGAAAGGCACCATCGGTCTTAACGGCATCCCGGAACTTTCAATCGAAGGCGGACTTTCGATCTACCAGGCAGTGACTCCTGGATTTAAGGACGGTCTGCTTGCCTTCGCGTTCGAGAGCGAGGATGACACGGGTGTTGCCGTTGGATCGCTCGAAGTCGTCTTGCAGCAGCTAGACATCAAGCCTAATCACAAATTCGACCCCAAAGAAACTTGCAAGCACTGCGAGAAGACCATCTCCAAGAAATGCTCCAACAACGGTTTCGGTGGCGACTACGGCTGCGAATGCTTAGTCGGATTTGCTGGTGCTGATTGCAGCAAGCTCACCTGCAAAAACGACTGCTCAGGCCACGGCACTTGCGCTGGCCCCAACATCTGTAAATGCCGTGATGGTTGGGAAGGGCCCGACTGCTCTACTGTTGCCGTCAAGGCGAAATATGAGACGGAAGCTAACGGCGGCGATGGCGATGATCCCGCTATCTGGATCCATCCTACCAGACCAGACCAATCCAAGATCGTTACAACCACGAAGTCTGATCAGGGGGCTGGATTCGCCATCTTTGACCTAAAGGGAAAGCTGTTGCAGCATATGGCCATGGAGAAGCCCAACAACGTGGACGTCATGTACAACTTCACTGCCGGTTCTCGCAAGGTCGATCTGGCCTTTGCCGCTTGCCGTGGAGACAACACTCTCTGGTATGTCGAGTTCGAACTACCTACCTCAAAATAACACTACTAACACAGCTTCATAGTCTTGCAGAAATCAACTCCACTGGCCTTCTTTCGCCCATTGCAGGTGGCAGTCAGCCTACACCCGAAGACTACGAAGTCTACGGCTCCTGCACTTACCGCTCTCCAAAGACCGGAAAGCAATACCTCTTCGTCAACAACAAGGATGCAGAATACCTCCAATATGAACTCACATCCTCCACTAACGGCACTCTCCAAACAACACTTGTCCGCAAATTCATCGGCGGCTCCGGCGGCCAAGTCGAAGGCTGTGTGTCAGACGAGCGGTCCGGTTACCTCTTCCTCGGCGAAGAACCAGAAGGCATCTGGCGGTACGACGCCGAACCCACCGGCTCGGACAAGGGCTTCCAACTCGCGAAGGTGGGTGATGGAAACCTCGAGGCTGATGTCGAGGGCATGACGCTCGTGCCTGCGAAGAACGGGGACGGCGGATACATCATGGTGTCTAGCCAAGGTATCAGCTCGTACATCGTGTATGATAGAGCACCGCCGCACAAGTACGTCATGAAGTTCACCATTGTGGATAACGAGAAGGCAGGTGTTGATCATGTCACCAACACGGATGGTCTTGCGGCGGTGGGCGATCGGTTGAATAAGGATTTCCCGTACGGATTGATCGTTACGCATGACGACGCTAATGAATTGGCCGAGGGAGGTACTGCTGAGGAGGCTAGTTTCAAGCTCGTTAGTCTTCTTGATGTTCTTGGAGAGGAGCGGGCGAAGAAGTTGGGGTACTAAGTCGGGTGCAAGACCTCTGATTTGGTCAAAAAACTTCGTAATTATAATCAAAAAGAAAGTTTCAACCAACCAACATATGAGACCTCAGTGAAACTTTCTATGATGCTCGGAGTGGATGGTTGTTTGCGCCAGTTTTAGTCGCGATCGCATTTGAGTTAGGAGGGCTTCATGGACAGTTGTCACTAATCAACGTCGCCACTGTTGGATGACCACATAATCTGGTTGCATAGGGGCACTCACTACATAGTTGACAGCGTTTTGGACAGCATTCAAATAATTCCAACACTTGTAGTTTCCTCTTTGACCTTGTGTTGGTCGTTTCTCATCAGCCTTTGCATCTTAGAGTTTATGTTGCTCCTCGCCTAGCGTCAAATGCCATCAGCCAAAGAAAAAAAAGAACCCCAATAAATCATCTGTAAACTTGAAATTTCAGGCGGGGAGTGCTTTTACTCAGAAAACGAGTTAGTTTGTCGTATCCATCTCATAACAAGCGTAGTCCAGAGAACATTCATCTTCTAGTTGAGTCCGCGGTTCCATAACAGAGCGATCAGCGCTGGGTCACCCATCAGTTGGCTTCCGGTCCTTCGCGCTGTACACAAGACGGAGGAAATGATCAGTGGAAACTTCCAGCGCGGGCTCGCAGGGAGACAAATTGCAGCAGGCCCACACGTTGGGGCGAAAAGTAGCGACGGTGAACGATTCTCGAACCCTCTTCCCAACGATACATTGCATGACGGGGCGATATTGATATGACGCAGCCAATATCGATCAGCGTGTCGCAATCTAAAGGTACTGCAATCGTACCAGTACCGGTAGGTACATGTGGATCCACCCACGGACCCTCGGTACCAAGAACCTTGTGTTGACCTCACTCCTCGACAACGTCAGTTCAAGTTTTGTGATATTCAAGTCGATGGGAAGAGAGAATGAGAGCTGGAATTGAGTTTATGGTCCAGAAAGGCGCGCAAGTTGGTTTCTGGCTCTTCTTTGTTGGGTGAGGTAGGTTTGCTAAATGTATGAATGTTACGGTGCCAGGGTAAATATTGACCGAGACTCCAAAAGAGATACCAAGACCTGGGGGTTCTTCTATCATCGTATTTCATAGGCCAGAAGCACGATCGCGAGCTGAAGCCTGCTCAGAACTCCAATAACCTCGTGTAACCTTTCACCCCTTGAGCCATCACGATACATGGGCGCAAGCTACAGGGACTTCTACTGGTCATACCGACTGTGTGTACACCGTGATCCAACGCGACTTGAATATATTCACCATTCATGCTCAATTCTACTCAGGCCATTCATTCCTGGGTTAAGATTGAAGACCAATTGGCATGCTCTCGGGAAAGTGCCGAGACAATATAAGTAAGTTGGCAAGAGAGTAACAGTTGGCATACCTAGTCGGTTGCAGGCCGAAGAAAAGGAGGTCGAGCATGTTTTGATGCATTGTCACGACCGAAGATCCAATAAGTTGTCGTCCTGGATATTAGCGACGTGGTGGACCCTGCGATGGGCTCACGATGATGCGGGGAAATTCTAGAAGCCATCCCAAATTTGTCCTACCAGTCATTCGTCTCCAATTTAGAGTAATATGCAATGGCTCGACTTCTGGACTTTGTCACGCGCGAAATCAAGGCTGCATTGGAACTGCACCCCCGGTACAGCCCCTAGATCTATGTCAAGAACTGCTAATCACCCGCGACTAACGAATGATCACGCAGTGTAGGATTGTTATATTTCCGTTTCATCTATTGCCATAGAAAATAGATTAGGCGGGGTGCATAGCCGCACTTGGCCCCGGCTTTCTATCAGTCAACACCAAGACCATGAGGCCTAGGGTCAGGAACATTTAACGAGCTCAAGCAACCCTTCAAAAAAGCTTGTCTTGCCCACCTTTCCTGTTCTTGATGAATGCTATTCATCCTCCGCCTCTGGTACGCTAACCCCGCACGCAGCATGGTCATACAGAGTCTTAGCTTGATTTACTTGGAATGAGTATAGCTTGGCAAATACACGGCTTGTTCACCACTTGCAACTGTCCAAGCCAAACAGAAGAAAGAGACAAGGCTCACTGCTTCAAGATTTTGTGTTACTATTGGGCTCGACATCTCCTTCTTCCCCTGGGATGTTTCATACGGAATACGATTCCAACGGCCCGTTGTCCGTTGACTCCGATGGACCCCAGATCCATATGAGATGAGGTCTTGGGACCTGTTTGGAGTATTTGGTAGCAATATGGAAAGGAAAAACTATTGCCACGGATGTGATTTTGGGAGACTACAGAAAAATGGCATATAAAAGAGTGGAAGAGCCTCGATGAGCCTCCCAGCTCCATCAGCCTCCTATCTAGCATCAGAAGTTTCACGATCATCTCACGATCATTATGGTGTCCTCATTCGCTATCAAGGCCATAGTTGCCTTTCTCGCCTCCTCGGCATCTGCTCAGCTCATTGGCAAGGAGCAGACCGAGACCCACCCTAAGATGACATGGCAGCGATGCACTGGCAAAGGTGGAAACAGCTGCACCAATGTCAACGGAGAGGTCGTTATTGACGCCAATTGGCGATGGCTCCATGTCAAGAATGGCTACGACAACTGCTACGACGGTAACAAGTGGAACACCACTGCTTGCCCAGACAACAAGACCTGCCTCCAGAACTGTGCCATTGAGGGTGCTGACTACAGCGGAACATACGGTGTCACCACTTCTGGCAACCAACTCAGCCTCAAGTTCGTTACGAAGGGTCAATATTCTACCAACATTGGCTCGCGCATGTACCTCATGAAGAACGCCGACTCTTATGAGATGTTCAAGCTCATCGGCAACGAGTTCACTTTCGATGTCGATCTATCTGCTCTCCCCTGCGGTCTCAACGGAGCTTTGTACTTCGTCTCTATGCCCGAAAAGGGCTTTGGCACACCAGGAGCCAAGTACGGAACTGGTATGAGCTACCTCAACGGCCCCTTGATCATGTACTTACTCAATGTCCAGGATACTGCGATGCCCAATGTGCACGTGACTTGAAGTACATCAACGGCGAAGCCAATGCTGAAGGCTGGGAGCCATCGTCGAACGACCAGAACGCTGGCGTCGGCAAGCGCGGTGCCTGCTGCACTGAGATGGACGTCTGGGAGGCCAACTCCGTCTCCACCGCATTGACTCCTCACTCCTGCCAACCCGAGAAGTATTCTGTCTGCGAAGATACCAAGTGCGGCGGAACATACTCTCTTGATCGTTATGCTGGAAGCTGTGATGCCAACGGCTGCGACTTCAACCCCTTCCGCGTGGGTGTTAAGGACTTCTACGGCAAGGGCAAGACCGTCGACACATCCAAGAAGATGACCGTCGTCACCCAATTCATCGGCTCTGGAAGCTCCCTCACCGAGCTCAAGCGCTTCTACGTCCAGGGCGGCAAGGTCATCTCCAACCCCGAGCCTAAGGTTGAGGGCATGACCGGCAACACCATCACCCAGAAGTGGTGCGACACCCAGCAGAAGGTGTTCCAGGAGGAGGTCTACCCCTTCAACAAAGTAAGTTTACCCTTGCTCAAGGATCCCAACATGAAAACACGGCTAATAAAAATGTAGTTCGGCGGAATGGCCAGCATGGGCAAGGGTATGGACCTCGGAATGGTCCTCGTCATGTCTCTCTGGGATGACCACTACGCCAACATGCTCTGGCTCGACTCCAACTACCCCACCGACGCCGACCCGAACAAGCCCGGCGTTGCACGTGGCGAATGCGACATCTCATCTGGCGTTCCCGCCGATGTCGAATCCCAACACGCCGATGCCAAGGTCGTGTTCTCGAACAGTAAGTCCTTCATGCTCTCTACAATTCCAGAGACATGCTTTGCTAACAGACCTAAAGTCAAGTTCGGCCCCATTGGTTCCACTTTCGCCCAGCCCGCGTAAAGTCCCCAATCAAAGATTTCGGATAGATCGACGAGCGTCTAGAATGATTGATAGTTCGGCAAGTAGGATCAGGGAACCTTCAGATGTATATAGTCGGTTGAGCTGTCACTCGTTTTGACTTATTGTCACAGCCAATTAAATCTGTAAATTTCAGTGATCACTTCCAGTGTATGTGAGATCCTAAGCGATATACTGGCCTTGGTGACACAACAGTGTTGAACGGGACTACACTGTCATGTGATCGTGGAGAGTGATCGTGGAAAGGGATCGAATTATACCCCGAAAGTTACATTTCACTCACTTATATCGGCCTATATAAACCCCAATATTTGTAAACACTTCCATGAGAACCACGACCCGGACTTTAGGCTCGATCGACCAGGTGGCCCACAGGGTAGCTTGGCCGGTTGGGAATCCTGGGCTAGGCCGTGGTTCTCTGTCGTAGGCTGTAGGCTGTTGAGTAGACCAAATTCGATTCCCGCTGTTTCGGGAATTTCTTTTTTTGCTTTTTTTATTTGCTGGTGTGTAACAAGATGGGATGATTTTAGTGCCGTCTGAAAGAGAGGCCCGGATAAATCAACTTGGCCCTCCTCCAAGGAACATTATGGTCCGTTATAATAGATGAAAACAACGCCACGGCAGTTCAAGGTTGCCATCCTTCAAGAGATGCACGGGGCTCAGAGGCTGTTTTGTTTGTACTTTCTCAGTACCAGCTCTCAAATCCACCTGAGGTTTGGGGCAGTCTTATCTAACTACTCTTTTATGGAGATAGGATGTTCCACGCTTTCAAGTGCTAAAGATTTCTAACGTGTTGGTAAAATCCTATACGGCCCCAAACCACTATTAGACTTGGTTTCTCTGACTGGCTGCCTTAGTGACACTCAAACGGGGATGCTCGACCATATCGTGTCTGTCAGCAAATCATACAACAGCGCATTCGAGGGCGGGCTGTTGCACAAGAGGCGAGTGGCTTCAGACGACAGACACACGATTGTGCACGTAGTCATACCACTCACTTGAGCAATTCCCTACGCAGATGATTTTGAGCATCCTCAAAGGCTTTTCGTAAGTCACTGACGACAGTGAAGGTTGGCTTGGTTCGGTATAGTCAGTGATCGGTTCCTGCAAATGCTCATCGAAAGAAATCGTCCCATCCTGTTGATATTGATCCAGTAATGCCTCGTCACATACATTGTGCCTTGCGTTAGCTCATTGCTAGTTGGATGAGGCATGCCGCTATCCAAAGACTGGGGAGACTACGGCGCCTCCCGTTGAGCCGTCATTGTTCGTTGATTCTAGGGCCGGGAAGCCCCAATTCAAGAGAACCTCAGGCTACGGAAATGGTATATCCACAGATATCACCTTCCCGTTTCTGCCATTATTTTCTGTAGGCCAGGTCTCCGGACTTGGCTTAGCCACTACGCATGAATATCAGTAATGCGCCACATGTGGCATAGCCTCATTCACTCTTATGATCAACAAACGACTGGACAACAGTGCTGCATTTGATAACATTTGACGCCTTGACAGCCTCGCAGTGATAACCTGGGTGAATACAAAGTCCGTAGTGCGGCACAGCGAAGGCATGAATATACATTGACGATTTGTATAAAGGATTATTGGGCAACTCTGGTTTCCCTGGGCATTGTCTTTCTTGTACTTTTCATTGATTCTGGCCCTGCTATCTGAGGATAAGAAAACAACGATATTTGCGAACCCCCACTCTTACGCCGTTCGCTTTTCCGACAAAGTCCTTTACCAATATCCAATTGAAGTGCAACAGCTTGAGGTGATTCTGACGCTAACGCACGAGCGTTTTGCCCCCACCAATCACAGCGGGTGTAGCACTTGTTTTGCGGGTTTCTTCTTTTCTTACACAATACGCATCCCTCCCATTTGCGCTCCAACAAAGACATCACGCAACCGTAGCTTTCAATCGGTTGTTTTATTCTCTGCTTTGTTTTTTCCTCTGGTGTTATGAGGAGATACAACGGTTTCCAAGCATCAGACTCGTTTCAATAAAGAATTGCATTGTCAGTTTGGGGGCGGCTCACTTTCACTCACTAGTGAAGCAGCAAAGCCGCCCAAGCAATCAAGCGGAGACCAACATCAACGTACCCACGCTACAAACTCCATCACCACATAAAAACACCGAGAGCAGTTAACGTATTGGATAGACTCTGCACTTTGGGAGGCAAAGCCCGATCGCCCTCTCCATCCATACATCCATCAGTCACTGCTCCAAGGACCCCAGCGCATCATCCGTTGTTTTTGAACTCGATCTGAAAAGAAAGATAAAGACGAGTACATAGCTAACAGCGGTATAGATAGCGATCCTTGAAGTGAGGTAGAGTTCGAGATGGCGTCCCTCTCTCAATCTCAGACCAATAAGATTGTTGCGCAGCTGTATTTGGAGAAGTTCTGTAACACTTCTGGGAAATTAGTGAATGCAGTAAACCTTGACAAATTTCGAAAGGTAGTCCTTAAACAATATCCAAATTGTTCAGAGACGATCGCTGTGTCATTGAAGACACTCGACAAGGAAATTATCAAGGAATTGTGCGAGGACGGCCATGTCGACGCCAACGGTCGTTTTCTGGAACCCTCTGTTCTATGCCTACGGCTCCAAAGTATGCGACCTGATCTCGGCCCAGTCCAATGCAAAGTATGGGTTGAAAAGATTGAAGAAGAAAACATCAACGCCACTGCACAACGATCGAAATCGCTCTTGCTAAATCGACAATGGGATACCAACAGTCAAATAGGGGTGAACCACCTAATTGAAACTGAATATCAGCGGCGCTATTTTCTCAAAAATGGGAAGTCTTTGCCACTAAAGGTCAGCAATTTCCGTAAAGCGCTGATTAAGGAACATCCGCAGTTGTCTAGCCACATTGATGTAGCTTTCGAGAGGTGAGTTTGCGCATCTCACTAGTCAGCGAAAATTCAGATTATTGATGATTCAAATAGACTTGAAGATAGGATCAACGGTAAGGGTATGGATACAGAGACTACCGTACCCCCGGAAGCCCCTGCAACGACAGTCGCATCCTTGCCCCTAGAGGAGTGGGTACATAAGAAGTTCCTCTCACGCGGATTCGATAAGGATGGCAAGTTCCGTGGATGGCCGAAGTTCACTCGCATTGTTGTTGGCAAAAAGCCGAAGAAGGAAGAAGAGATATTGAGCATAATTAAAAGGTACGGGGATGATTCCCCCTCAACATCAGTTTGAAATGTACTAAATATGCTGCAGACTGAGCGACCCTGATCACCCACTAAGCTGGCCAAATCTTCCGACTACTCGAACTATTGCGAACAAACCACAAACGCCTCCCCCTGCACTGGAGAATCATATGCCTAATCTATCTACACTAGCTCTCGAAAGCACCACTTCGGTCACAGCTGACCCTGTCTCTAGTGATGAATCAGAGCCGGTAAATGCATTGGAGACGAAAAAGACAGCAGCCTTGACCGAGAATACGAATACACTTGCAAGCAAGTCTGGAAAATCTCCGAGCAATGCCAATGGTATTCTTACGCCCCTGCCAGAACCAAGCTCGAACGCAACAGTACCACTAACTCCCAGGACAGGCAATGCGAGGGTCAAGCCCGAAACGGATCGCATTACAAAGAAAGACACGCGAGGCAACAAGCGCAACGGCCATGTCTATCCGAGCTACAATCATATGGATTGCCTACTTCCTGATGATCATGAGTTGGACGATGTGCAAGAGACATCTGCGCATGATGTTCGGCATGCGCCATTGATCGCTGAGGATCTAATCACACACGAATACAAAGATGCTCTGCCACAGTATGGATTTTTCGGATTGCACGAGAAGTCGAGGCTATTTTTGAATACAAACGTACCATTCTCGGCGTTCATATGCGGAGTACAGGGTAGCGGGAAGAGTCACACGACCTCCTGTCTGATTGAAAATGCACTCATCTCGTCGCAAACTCTGGGCCGGCTGGAGCAACCCCTCTCGGCACTAGTGTTCAGTTACAGCAACATGAATGGAGAAGGATCTGGACTCAATGTCAGCGAGGCTGCCTTCCTTGCGTCACCAAATCCCTCCCTTCCTAATCATCCATATGTTGAAAAGGTTACAGTGCTGTATTCGGAGTCAAATCCGGGCTTAGCAAGGGCCTACAAGCGCCTTCCGAACGTTGAAGCAGTACCATTCAAGATCAAGCCGAAGCACCTTGACATTGGAACCATGCTCACGTTGATGAATGTCGATGAGTCCAGCTCGCCACCTCTGTATCTAGGTGAGGTTACTCGGATCTTGAGGGAAATGGCAAAGCGAGGCTGCGAGGGCGTGGACTATATAGAGTTCCAGAGGAAACTGGAGTGCTGCGATTTCAATCCCGCACAGCGACAAATGCTCGACCTTCGTCTCGATATCCTGGAGTCATTCCTCGACTTGAACGACGACATTCCTGAACCTCAATATCGACCGGGCGAAATCACAATCATGGACATGTCGTGCCCGTTCGTCGATGCGAGTACAGCTTGTGTTCTCTTCAATATCGGGCTAAAGAGATACTTGCAATCCCAAGCGGCAGGAAAGATGGTTGTGCTGGACGAAGCACACAAGTACATGCTGGATAACCCCGGTGCTCGAGCCTTGAATAACCAGCTCTTGCAAACCATCCGATTACAGCGTCATTTCGGGGCACGCGTAATTATTTCCACACAGGAGCCTACATTGCTGACTGATCTTATCGCACTATGCTCTATCGCTGTCATCCACCGCTTCTCCTCACCACAGTGGCTCTCGGCACTAAAGAAGCACATTCCCACATCCTACCTCGACCACGACACGCTTTTGAGGGATATCGAGAGTCTGAGGACGGGTACTGGGTTGCTATACTCTCCGAGCGCAATTCTGGGCAAAGATGAGACTGGCGCATTGATTAAGGGCATGAGCAAGCTTATCAATGTGAGCATCAGGAAGCGAGTAACTGCAGATGGCGGTGCTTCCATCATGGCCGTCTAGAACCTCAGAATTCTTCTGGGACGGGACGCTCATCATCTCCTTGGAAGTTTGAGCTGCTTTTGTTGCCCTCCACTGGATCTTCGGTCTGGTGTTACAATGGTGTTGCATCTAGGTTTTTTGACCGATTGATGAAGGTTACTGGTTGGGAAATTGTACTACAATAGGCTATGTAATGGATACTAAATGAAAAACAATGATAATCAACAAACTGCAGCCGATACTCTGCCGTTCAATTTCCATACGATGGGATGTAGAATAGGAGCAAGAGTCACGTGATATTATACTATCATAACATATTGCAACCCTGAAAAACACCCAATCAACAATAGTAGATGAAATGCACCATTGAACGTCTGGCTCTTGTCCTCGTCAGGGGTTAGGTTCGACCGTAATCTTCTCTTTGTAGGCAACAACGGTCCGTGCCCACGATCAATGAATTCTACAGGTTATAGCTACTTAAGGAATCGCCCCGTCGCCATCATCCATCGACAATCCCACAAACCCCTCATTCATCCATCATGGCATATCCGGCTGTGTTCGAGGACACTCGCCGCTATTACGAGGCTCCAGAGTTTTACTTGGGCGATTGTGTTTCGGTGATTTTCCTTTTCAAAACGCACCGCCAGCAACGCCACCAAATAGTAAAGAAACTGTTGGATGGCGACGATAAACCTTGGCCAGAAGGCGTTGAAAAGAAGCGCTTGGAAGTTATGCCGTGGTTACGAAACTATACTCCAAACAGCAACATCGTCTTTAAGCTCTTGAACGAATACAACGGATCTGCAAGAGTATTCATTGATGAAGAAGGTGCAGAAAAGGGCAATTGCATTATCGGCCATCTAGTTAAGGTCAAAATTGGAGCTGGATATGGAAATGACACATTCGAGCCTGAGTTCGCGAGGGTCGAACTGAAAAAGACATTGTACCTCATTTCGAGCAATGAAGCACGACAATACCAATCCTACTTCCCTGGGTTTCTTGATGAAGGATGCAAACTAGAAGATTCTGGTGTCGATGGCGCAGATAAACTTTTACAAGAAGAGTCTATTCACACCCAAAACGAGTGGAAATGGCCAACACATATCCCCGGAGATCTCCGCCTGCAGATCGAGAAGCCTGTTATAATATCACTTATCCACCTCACGGATGCGGAACTGAAGGAAATCCAAAGTGATGTCGGGACAGATGACGTTGATATTATCAACTGGCCCTCCGATATCGATCCAGCAACTCAGACTGACACCTGGCACATTTTTGATCGAATCAAGCCCGACTTCCCAGGCGAGAACACCAAAGTGCACGGCTTCTTCATCGACAGCGATAATTTCGCTGGCCCAAGACGGGAACCCGAACTTTTGCTCCTTACACTCGAGCTTGGCGAAGCCTGGTGCCGTGGTTTGAAAGGAGGAGATGGTGTGAACACATTCACTATGGAGAACTTCTTGCGAGGGCATGCGATCGAGAAGAATTTATTTACAGATGCGTGGAGAGCAACCTTTGTGACCCCCGAACTAGAGAAGGAAAACCAGATGCGAGGTCTGAATCTCCACGGAATGTTCAGCCCTGTCAGTGTCAACATTGGGAATCCACACGTACCCGCCGTAATATCAGAGTTACCCGTTTTTGTGTTACAGAAAATCACAGCCGTCCAAGAGCGCATGCTGCGAGACGACTGTAGACATGACTGGGACGAGCAAATTGTACACGTACCTAGAGGCGATGGGACGTTTAGGTCTCTAATGCGATGGTTCCAGACGGCCGAGTTCATGCGCTACAACGAGAAACCACCACGGGATTTCATTGCTATTGATAAGATCACTGTAGCAGGGCTGGATGAACGTGCAGCAAAATCAGGCGATCCTACGACTACGGAGGAAAGGCCGTTGAACATTTTGCTGGCTACATGCGCAAATGTTTGGTATACAGGTGACGACGAAAATGGACCACAGCTAGGACTCGACGAGGTCGGCTATCGAGTCGGTCGTGTATTGAACGAAGACTGTTGTTCATGGCAGGAATGGACTGGACATTGCTCGCAGGCGATGGGGCTGAACAGTTTCATCGAAGAATATGAAGAACAGTTGGATCAAACAGGTACGGGGAATTTCTACTGGAATTGCTTTGACGAGGACGATGAAGAGTTGGATGAGTTGGTAACCTTGATGGAGTAGCTACCGATATTACTTCCAAGATCTGTCCTCACAGTATGAGAGTTCTGCCAAAAGTGGTATAGCATTTCAATGCCATCCTCAGGTGCATTGCCTTATATTAAACAAATTTCCTGCTCTACCAGGCCAGAGAGTCTCGAAGCTTGGAAGTGCATGATACCATGTAAATAGCACTCCCCGATAAGCTTATACTGCCCTGGCTCTTTACCTTCCCTCACCACGAAGGGCACTCTTGAGCCAAAGAGTAATACCACCTTGTCACCGGGTTTTGTTTCTCCAGGCACAATTCCAATATACCCCTTCTTTGTTGTGCATAGTGCGGCTCCTGGAATCAAACCTAGGAAGTTCGAGACTGTTTGCAGATATGCATTGACGAGCCTTCGTGACGCATCCGACATTTCATCCATCTGTTTACGAGCGTCCTGGTCGAGACGAATGCCACAAATTGTCGATTTGAATTCGGGTGCCCACACCTCTTGTTTTGAAGATTGCGGTGAGTTCTTGTGATAAGGGCCTATAGCATCCCCAATGAGGCACTTTACACGAAGGTCGTCTTCCCAATCAGGGCCTGCGTCTGGGTACCGACCAAAGTTTGCTATGCGTTTTGAAGCTTCGAGTACATCACTGAATTTGAGTGAATATCGTGTTATCTCAAGACCACGACAATCTCCGATGGAATCGAATACATAGCCCTTCAGTACGAGTATTGGGGCAGCGTCTGTCGAATTTGGTTCACGAACGACAACACCTCGCGATCCTGGAGGATGGGCATTGAAAGAATGGTTACCATCTCCGGTACCAGTAACCATCCAGGATGATATTGTCGGCATGTATGGTTCTACCCTTCTGAAATTCATGAAATCAGGTATCCAAGTGCAGAAGAAGGATGACTTTCCGCTGCCTGCGCGATACAATAATTGCAACCAATCATGGGATGCGACATACTGTTTGGCGTATCTTGCTAGGATAACATTATCCGTTGACTCGTAATCTGGGTAGAACGCTTTTACATCAGTGGCATCCGTGGCCATGTGTAACATCGCGAACAGTTTGTCTCGTGGTTTAGAGGATTCAGTGTGGTGGAACATCTCCAGCAATTGCAATAGACTGTATCGTCTACCCTCCTTCAAATAGAGCTGCCGGGTCTTGTTGAGGTGCAGGGCAGGGCCCGATCTGTGTAGTGCTTCGCGCTTCTCCAGTAATTCCTCTTCACATAGAGAAATTGCGGCGATGAAGTCATCCCATCCAAGTTCTTGGTCATGACATATTATTGACACATCTGAGCCAAACACCAGCTCTTGTATCGTCCAAGTTCGACCAAACCATGCTCGAGCCAGGAACTCGCTGATGTGTTCGATTTTAGTTGCTGGATCCAAGGTAATGTCGGATGAACGGGGGAGATTCCGCAAACTGAGGAGCCAGTCCATTGCATACAGATCTTCAGCTCGTTGACCTCCGGTCCAAATTACCACTTTCTCTGCAGTGTTGTAGAGGGTTCCCATCCGCCGTACTTGCATATTCTTCTCAATGTTGTTGCCTTGATCAATACAGATCGCATCAGCCCATATAAGAGCCTTTACACGCTTTCTTCTGAGACACCTAAGGCACTCATTCAAGGAGTCTGTGATTCGTATCTTCCCTTTGCTAGTCTTAAAGAAAGGGGACTGGTCGTTTGGATCAGATCCCCAGACATAAGAAATTGCCCAAAATGATGTCTCGGGGTCCCTCAAATCCTTAACAATGAGTTCTCCTTGTAGATGCTCGTTATCATTCCCAAGTGTTAGCTCCAACAGTCGTATTTCTTGGTCACCGACGTAGAGGTCTTTGTAGATATCATGTATTTCCGTTACGAGACCTTTGCCTAATGAGTCTCGTGAGAGAATTGCAGGGGTGGCCGTGGAAACGCTGCCTTCGAAAGAGCTGTTGACTTCGAGAGATATCACTCGTTTCAGATACAGCTTCCAAGGGTCCGCGTAGAGCGCAAATCCAGGATCATCGTGTATATTGTACACTCTTGCAATGATGTAAATATTCTCGATTGAACCTTGCCTGCCGACTGTGGTCATTTCCCTGGCCTACCAATCCTCTTTCATTAGTCTAATGCACAGAAGATTGAATTTGCGAAGAGACCGACTGGTCTCAGACGGCCTCAACTGGATTATGGGCTCACCTTTTCGTACTGCTGACTTGGGAGGATGAACGGGGAGTGGAGTCCACCGCTAGTAGCGCATACTTCTATATGGAAGCTGCAGATCTCTGCAAGCGAAAGACTATCGACAGCATCATCAGCATTCATCAAATCTTTGAGCTTCCCCTCCGTGTCTACAATTGTGAATGTAGAATGAATAACATATTCATTCTGGTTCTGTGGTAAGAAGGGTGCGTGTCCATTTCGTAGACGAAATTCACTGGTCCAATGCTCGTTCGGTTTGTACACGTTCTGGCCGTGGATGTCCTTGCCGAAGAACCCCTCGAAATGGCGTGACATCTATACAGGATTAGTTCTCGGAAGCACATATAGGCTTATAATGGCCCATACATATAGCTCAGCCAGATACCGTGTCTCTTTGGTATCTTCGCCATAGAATACCATCCTTGGGGAAGGATCTACCAAGTGTACTCTTCCGGACTTCATATGCACAAATCGCTTTGCATCCTTCCTGTATCTCCTATTGGATAGCAACGTTTCGTCGTAGTCCCTAGAAGAAATGAAATCCGCTCGTTGCGGTGAGGGCTTTTTCCCACTTATGCTGTTCTCCATCGAATCTGTTGACGCGGTCCTTTGTTCTGTGTCATTCGACGGAAAATCGCGCCATTGAGCATTAAATTTCTGTTCACTTATCAGGCCCAAGGAAGAATCATGTTTCTCTTCTCCTTCAGGCCTCTCAGTGTTGATCTCATGGTGGACCACTTTGGTATCACCATTCAAGGGCTCGACCTCTCCCATTACACCCTCATCAAGCGTCTGCGATGCAGGTTCTTCTTGAACCATCCCTTCCGCTATAGTCTTATCTCCATCTACCCCAGATCCTACGCTAGCCTCAGAACTTGCCTTCTCAGCCACGCTTTGACTTGCTTGTAGTCCTATTTCTAGTCCAGCTGGCTCTTCAGTGCTAGACGCCGTGAGTGCTTCTGGGATCTCTTGCTGGCCATCTAGCATTTCGTTTGGTTTCGTGGCCGGAGAATTCGCAGAATCCTTTGCCGTATCAACATTCTCCGGTGCCAAATTTGTCTTCTTCCCTGAGTCTTCCTTATTGGATGCCGGATTCTTACTTTCAGGCCGGACGACTTCTAGCACAGATCTATTAGAATAGTGCAAGAAGGGGAGAGAAGCATGAACCGCAACCAGATCATTTTGACACTTGCTAGGCAATAGAACTTACCTTTTCTTTTCATCTTCATCGGATGTCTCCGCCTTGGCCATCTTTCTAGATCTTTTTTCAACCGGGCCAAATTATTGTAAGCAAGAATTTGGGTTAGGCACACGGCGTCATCTTTGTCCTCAATACCGAAGAAGTCGAGAAGCCCTTTAGACATTTCTGGTGGAGGCGGCTCAGTCAGCAAAGCCTCTTCCAGATCGTTTCCCCCCGCAATATATATCACGAGCGCATTATCTTCAATTCTACAGCTCACTTGAGAATGGTCAGGCTGGCTCTCAATGACCATTTCGCCAGAATTCAGTGTCCAGCTGTTGCCGATCTGTTCACATCCTATGGCGCGGATATTTTCCACATTGCTCATCAGTTGCGCAGGATCTGGGAATATGTAGTTGCTCAGAATTGCTCTACAAAAGAGTGTCAGTTTATACCAGAATATCATGTAATTTTCTGTTACTCACGAATGTATGTAAGGCACTTTTTTCCGAAGGGCTTCTGTGTACTTTTCTAATGGTTCTGGCTGCTCGGCTTTGAAGGCATTCTGGGTAGCCACTTTTGACAAGCACCTTTCTTCCATCTTGAGTCCCTCTATCAATCTTTTCAATTGGATAGAATTCAATGATGACAGCTCGGCCATATCAACCAGCCCGACGAAGGCTTTATGCAGGTGATGACGATCTGGTATAAACCAAGATTTGTCATCGTCGCTTGAACGAAGGACGAAGGTATCCGATCTGGAACCCGTTAACCTTACGGGAATCATGGGAATGGACTTGAATGATTGATGCATGGAAGAAACCCAGGCTTTCTGGGGATCTGCAATTTCTGTCGGACTGTAGTGCGCTGAATCCACCCAGAACGTTGGGATGTGGGCCAATAGTGATGATATGTGGTCTATGCCGTCCGTGTCGCGTAACTGCATGGCCTCTAGTATTAAATCCTGTTCTGTTGCATTTCTCATTGTAAGTTTTGCCGCAAAAAGATATTTTCGATCCTGATAAAAATCTATCAATCGCGGGACCCGCTTCAAGCATGAAGGTCCATCCCATACACATGCGTAGAAGCCTTGCCAAACTCCTCTTGATGCGCCAACTGATTCGGGCACGTAAATCGCATCGCTATTTTGGAGAGCCTTTCTGAGGAAGTACGGTCAGTTTCAGTGGAAAATTTGGAGCATTTGAACTTACTGAATGCCTCTGCCATCAGGACCATCGATAAAGCTCTCTAGATGCATGTATATATTATCCATGTGGGCATGGCTTACGTTTGTACCTATAATCTGGTGCAAATGTCGGACGAAAACGCTGGCCGTGAGCTCATGAATGACACCGAAGTTGTCGAGAAAGTTCCATGAATCCTCGTCAGGATCTGGCACATCAAGTAGTCTATCTACTGGTACCGCTCCTCGTATTTCTTGAGAACCTCTTTCGCTTTGCAACGAACACAATGTAATACAGATCGAACATCTCTCAATGCGGCGTCCGCAGCGCTCAAACGTTTTCGTCTCGCAGAGCTCAAGTAACTTTTTCCTAGGAAGATAGGCTTCTCCAAGTTTGATTTTGATTGACCGATCCTTACTGTGACATGGCACCATTATATCTCGGACAGCTTTGTTGAGTTCCTCCTTCGAACTATTCTCCAATGTGCTTGGTGCATCTCCAGATTTGTTCCGATCGGACTGAGTGAACCAAGGGCCATAAAAACGCCAAGTCTTGCTCAGCATCTGTAGCATTCGTATCGGGCGCTCCTGAGCTAGAGACTTGAAGTCGTTGTGCAATTTGCAGCCGATGCCATCATCCGACGTTGCTACACGTAGCATCTTTCGGACTTTCACAATTTTTACCAAGAACTCCAGCCCAGCTGGCTCATCGCCGAATTCTTTCATATAATCAGGATGAAGAAACCGTAACCGAGTCTTAGAGCCATGAGATACTAAACTTGCAGACTGGGGCTCGGAAGACTGAATGTATATGTCGCTTGTTCTGCAAAACTCTCCACTCTCGTCTATCCACCACAGATCTGGTACGTCATTGTGCTTTGTCCTTTTTGGTGTCCAACCTGAGCGATAAAGAAAAGTCATCTGTGACACCATATCTTTGGTGCTGTAGAGAACTTTCAACTTATCGAGTAATTGATAGGAGTCCCACCATGTATACGTTCTGGAGTACTCCTTATGTTTTTTGATGATATGCTTGCAAAGTTCTGATGGTGTACCATCCTTGATTCCAATGGCCCTAAGTAATTCCGCATGCGATTGGTTCTTCATGACTCCGGGGTGGACGACGAACACATTCTCAACGCTTAGTGGGAATGCTAGGTTATCCTGCTGTTCAGGAGCAAAATAGCAATAGCCAGCAGATGGAGAGACCCAATCACCACTACTGAGCGGCACAATCTCTAGGCCCGCAATATCCTCACGATAATCCTTGAGCAAAATCATCAAAGCATTGCATAGTTGCTCATACCACATAAGTGGCATTGTGCGAAAACGGGCCGGATCGTCGGCAATGAACCTCCGAAGATCAGAGAGAAAACCTTCAGTTGTTTGCGTTTCGACACCGAGACTTTGAAATATATCGAGTACACCAACAGATTCAATAGGATATTTCGGATTTAGTGGGGGTCTTGCACAGTGTTCTTGAGGTATTAGTGGGGAGCCATCTGTGTTCATGAATTCCTTCGGGACGTGCATCAGATTGCCGGGTAGCATGAAATTCCCCTGGGAATCCTCAAGAATGGCGGTTTGAGACAGTGTAGCTTCTAGCTTTGCTGGCAGAGAACTAAATATATCCAGCTCAGCATTCTCAAAGTGAATCAGCAGCGGCCATGAGTATCGCAAGACAGAGTCGTCCCAATTCTTGAGCTGCTTTATAGCTTCTATTAAAGCAGTGTGGAGCATATCGACGAGGTGACGATTCCATTCATTGGAGTCAATCTTTTCACGACTTGTAGTGACGATGAAGTCGGACTGAATGTAGAACTAAGTCATGTCATTAGTTGAGTTATCAGATCGAAACTGGATACAATAACGAACCTTGAAGCCATACTTCCCCACAGGTAGATAGGCATATACGCCTCCACGGTTGTCTTTGTCTCTCGAGCCAAAGCTCTCCGGAAATGCCAGGATGATCTCTGTGTCATTCTGAAGTGGTCGTGATACATGATATGGAAGGTCGATCACAGGATATCTGAAAACCACCAATGATGAGCCACTTCTATTCCGCTCACACCGAATTCTATGAAGTACCCTTGCAGTTTTGGGGATGCTCTCTGCGGTGAGTCTATTGAATGTTGGCCCACGAGCTCTTGCCAAGATACCATCTGCATGGATGCTGATATTAATTTGTCGGACTTGTTGAAGGAATAATAGTATGATTGGATCTACCCCTTCCAAAGCACTTCGTATGTGAGCATTATTTTCAGCTTCCAAGTCGATCAAGATTCCGGTGTAACCTGGTGTGGTGGACACGGGGAACGCTTCCCAGATAGGCTGAATCCTGCCCAACAGTATGTTTTTATCGAATTTGAACTGGTAAAAGCCTGATTTGAGCCAGACAGAGCTACAGACCTTGAATACCGATTTGAAGCCGATACCCTTCTCGCCAATCTGTTTTCTTGTTGGGTTCGTTTTTTTCTTCGTGCTATTACTTGCATCGCATAATGCCTCAACGTCGGCTTTGGAGAATCCAATTTCATTGCATTCAAAAAGCAGTCGGTTACCGGAGTGTCGAATATTGATAATTGGGCCTGCGGCATACTCCGTGTCGTCCGCGTTCTGGAGTAGCTCATAAATGAAATGGCCTCGTTTGCTGTACATTTGTTCACTGATCCTTACATGGATGTTATCATCAAGATTAAGCACTCGAATGCTACAAGAATGTAACTTACAATTTATGCAGACGATCCTCTCTTTCAGCATGGGCGCCAGATAAACGTGCTCGAATAGCTTCTATGTGTTTCTCCGCCTCGGCGGGAGATTTAGGGTAGTCTACGCTCCTCGACATTGTGTGGCGTGCATCTCTGTATCGAGCTCTGGTTTAATGGACAGTCCAATATTGAATGTCATACCAGAAAGCTGATATTTCAAGGGTACCGCAATCGACGGGAAATCGTGTCAGACTCAAAGCGCGTCGCAGACTCTGGTTAAATTTTGAGCCCTCAAAGGGCAAATTGTAATTCTAAAGACCTTGCCCTAGTCTACAAAAGGATGCGGCTCCAAAGTAATGTTCTGATGCTGAGCTGGCATTCTGTCAACAGGTCGAAGCGAGTCTGCATGATTTCGCCGACGTCGCATACCTCGGTACCAATGAGAAAGCAGTGAGTGACAGCTGAGGTGACAAAGTGCATTCAGCTCAATGCCATATTAGGGCACTGCTCGCGTACCCCACTTTCCCTGTTTACACAGCTAACTCGGTCCTTGGAAATCCATCCGTGCCCTATCAATTGGGAGTGGTTCAAAATTGCCATTTGCTGCGATAACCGCCCACCATGTTCCACTCATCACAGAATCTCCGATTCGCGTGAAAATGTCCGTGTATTCGGCTTGAGCGATGGATGGTTGAAATTACTTGTATTGAAAAGCGGCTGATCTAGCCATCACATCTTGGACCACTTGCTGCAGTATCACCAGCTTATAATTCTATGTGCGTTTATCCCTCGAGCAACTCACATATTACCAGTGCAAGGCCGTACCCTTGTGCAATGCACGCCTGGATATTCTTTATCCGCCACAAAATCATGGCGGCATACACAGTCAACATGCACGCAGGAGGGCCCCCTCAAAATGAAATTTTGGGCCTTAGCAACATTGGACTACTCTAGCTTGGTATATCCATTCTTGTTTCTCATAAGAAGCGGAGCGTGAATTTAGTTAACCAACTATGTTTCACTTTCGTTGTGGTCCTAATACTGCTTCTATTCCATATCAGAGGGCTGCAGATCATTCTTGGAAGTACTAGATTTATTCTTACCACCAAGGCTGGTTTCTCTGCACTGTAGGCAGGGGCAGCGAAGCGAACAATGTACACTTACTACCAGTACACCTTTCCTCCAATCTTATAAGCTGAGGATGAGACGATTCACTGGTTGTTATCTGCAATGAAATTATGTATTTGCTATCGCAGAATATGGCTAACGAGAGAACGTGGACTTCCATTGAGAAGCAAAGATTTTAATGGCAATCATTGTATATCTCTAGGACATTCGTGTGATATGGTAGATACAACGAACTGCCTCCTTGATCTCAATCTACCCGTTAATTCTATTGGCGTCATATCCGTCAATTAACCCACAACGACCGGCCATTTCCATTAACGCATAAAGAGGGCACCGGGAAGTCGCTACAATATAATGAGAAAGATTTTGTATGCAAGTTGGAGCCAACATACCATACGTTATTGCTGTGTATCAGCGCTCCTTTTCATGAAGTCTTTTGTGGGAAGAGTAACCCCAAGAGTTCTGTGTCGGAGTCTATTTCAGAGTCTGATGTGGATCCGTCGAGATTCAGAGACATATAGAATTCCAGGAGTTGACGGCAGATGGCTTCAAGCACATTCTTTACATCGTGTGCCAAAATTAGCCCGAGAAAGCAGGACAATATCAGCAAGGCAACTTCGTATCGTCCGCATGGTCCGGAATCCCGGGGTTGACTCATCTCGTAGATCTTTTTGCCAGCAAGTATGTAGATGAAGCAAATCGCGGGAAGAAAGATTGGGTAAAATTTCATGGTCTGATATACTGCCACTGTTGATGCGGAGAAGAGAAGGCAAAGAACATTTGGCTTTGCAGCCTTGATGATATTCTTGACATGTTGGGCGAGCATGGTTATTGGTAATTTTGTATTTGAGCTCTGCGAGTGGAAGATTTGATTATTCGTTGTGGGAAGCGCAAAGTGGCAGAATCATGGGTATCAGTACATATAGGTAACACTGTACCAGTACTGCGGTACCTAACCTTAAAACGATTGCTCAACAATAATATTCTTCAATGTGGCTTTTGTTACAACTACCAACTTCTTGGATTTCGTAATAACACCGTTCTATAAACATATAGAATACTGCATGGCCGAGTAGTGTGCCTCATGAGAAGATATTGACGCTCCGCCAACGACTTCAAAATCCATACCTCTAAGATATCTCATCCAGGACCCTAGCAGGTCCCCTATGTTTGCGTGTGCACTCTTAGCATCAATGTTAAGGTAGCATATGACCAGTTTTTCGAATTTCGAGAAATCTTGTCTAGACCTACAGTCTGTTCTAAAGTGGAAGCAGAGAATTTGTTCAAAAGTGCTTCCAAACGATTTGTTGCGTTAGAGGCTGCACATTCGGAGTAGACACGCGATGTACGCAGATTTATGGGTAACTTGTGCATTGGGAATCCTAGAGTAACTTGATTAGAATTATTGCTTAGGTTGTATTGATGACGTTAACTTAAATTATCAGTAGAATTCGAAGACCGCGAGTTTGGTGAGCCTCCTGGTTCAGGATGAGTACAGAACCGCTGCCCCATCCCACCCAAGAATTACGCTGTAGTTTAGGAATCAAACAAAAACAACAGGGTCACAATGATGCTTCGCTATTTCTGCACAGAAATTTTGTATTGAAGTACTTTTCTCAGGTATTACAAGCCATCGCACATTACTTTCATGTGCCTATCCATCCTAAACGATAGCCCTAACTTATCGACGTGCAATTCCAATGAACAGCACATCATCACTTTAGACAATATTCAAACTACCTTAATATGTCAAAATGTACAGAATGAGGACAACTGTCTCAGTACTCCCTCTGTGCCGTTTAAGGCATCCATCCTTCATCTCACTAAACCTGTTTCTCCTTAGCATTTTCCCGCCTCGCCTCGGAAGATCGATTTGCTATATCTCATCGCTCTCTTCCTCAGCTCATAATCTCTTCCCTTCTTAACGTTCACTACAACCAAAATCTGAGTGGTACTTCAGCACTGTTCGATCTCGCAATTCATTTTAAGAGGCAGGTAACAGAACAAGCCACTAAAATTACCAGAACACTTCAAATATATGAGAAAGTCAAATAGATTCGGTCCTCTTATGCCTGGAACGTGTAGATCTAATGTGCTCGATATATCTGCCTAGATATAGTGACATTCAGCATCTCTCATGAACACCTATCCGCATATCTTCCACAACTGTACAGGATCTAGCGAACGCAGTGTATTAGAAGAAAATGGCCGCGGTCGGCATCCAGCTGATAGACCTTCCATCAGAGCTTCAGCTCAACGTCTTCCTGCTCCTCTCGTCTGTGACCGACGCCTTTAACTTACGCGCAACATGCCGTACCCTACATGACATATGGACAACTCACCGGCCTAAAATCATCAACGATCTCGTTATCGAACAGCTGGAGTGTTACCCCTATGCTCGACAACTTCTCATCACGCAACATCACCACGGCCCGTCCTCAGAGCCAAAAGCTCTGTCCGACCACGATTTATTCCGTTTGACACAAAACGCAAGGCGCATAGAGGAAGTGATACAGCATATTGAGCAGAAATTCGCCCTCGAACTCAAAAGTACATCTCCAGAGACACTCATCGTTGTCGCAGTATCTAACCTTTCTAACAGTTAGCGGCGTACCAACGGGTAAAAGAAGGAAAACTTGTGAAGGAAGCAACTCTCCTCCATCCAACCTAACTCATACCGAACGCCTTCGTGTCATCAGAGCCTGCTATCAGATATGGAGCATGTCGACCTACTCCGATAAGAAATCCGTCAAATCAAGCGTATATGCCTTCCGGCCTCGGGAGTTATTCTACCTCACCGAGCTCCTTGACCTAGCGGTTGATATAAAGTTTCCCAGTACACGTCTCTGGGAGATATCTCCTGCTTTCAGAGCATCAAAGAGCGCGCTTAGAAAGTTCTACCATGACACTTATGGCTGCGACAGGCACAGGACCAGACACTCGTACAACGATCCTGTAGCCTTGTTCTTTATCTGGGATTACTGGCAAGACACCCTAAAGAATCTCATTTGTAGGAGGCCGTTGTCAAATATGCGATGGGACCCACAGGCCGAGTCGCTCGAGCATTTGTGGGATTATGAGGCGGGAGACGAATTGCTTATTGCGAAAGACTAGTCGGCGACCTTTTCTATTTTCTTAATGGTATGCACAAATCAATTGGATTCTACCACTGAACGATTAGAACTTTTCACTCTCATACATTTAAGATTTGGATGGAGGGAGATATCAACAGTGGCGCAGCTGATATCTGCCCCTGCCTTTAGCCTTCCAAATGAGGTTAAACAATGACTCCAACTACACCCAATAGGGACTACACAGCCTTTTGCGCCCTTGAAGTATGGCGGTGCTTTTCTATATGGCTAGCTGTCAAGGTCTGCTGAGCATAATATTGATTGAACGACAATCCGTCCTGGGCTGTTCAGCCTTGTTGCTGCCTTACGTCTACTCTAACTACTTTCCTCCTTTCACTTTTCAGTGACTCTACCCTGCCAATCAAAATTGAGTCATACCAGATGGGAAGATACATAAACGAACTTGAAGCCACACTATATTCGCATACCTCAGAACATTACAATCAGTGGAGAGTCTGAAGAATCTTCATTCTACTAGACTCCACCTTCTCACCTGCGTGCTTCATCATGGCGGTCCATCTCCCCAATACCCTACAGACGCACTACGGCATGATAATATCGGCCGGCCGTCCCCAAGAGCGCCAATTCTTACCTCACATTGCAGATCTACAATCAGCGGGAGGCGGTTCGAATGAATCCCCTGTCTCCCTGATCTCGCAGGACAAACTCACAAACGACATCCGTGAAATCAGGAGCTTCGCCAATTGCAAGCAATACGAGCCCTCGGAGACATTACTCAGTGTAGTTGAGAACTACATACGAAACCCCGAGAAGCCTCAGACAGCGGGGGAGTGGAGTGATGGGAAGAAGAGGCGGATCGCAGCGAATCTGACTGCGTGTACCAGCGACGTGAGCAAGGAGGACTTGAAGAGATGGATCATGACGAAGACTCGGTTCGATCTGGAGCAAGCGGCGGCGGCGGTGGTGTCGGCGTTTGTGCAAGATGGACGGGTCGATGATGCGGTGCGGTTGGCGAGGAAGCTGGGAAGGGTTATCGCTACGAGTCATATGTGGATTGATCCTAGATACCCTCTACCTGCTGCGAGCACGACTGCTAGCATGGAGTCGGTGGCAAGGAAGCTCCGCATGTCTGCGGCACGGCAGAAGCAAGATATCCCTCTTGCTGCGGATTATCATGAGCTTGTTAAATTGTTGATGAGGGTGCGAACTACACGAAGGGCACCTGAGAATCGGTGTCTTCATATCCCGAATTGGATGTTCAATGAGGCCAATATCGAGCCTTGTGACCCTTTCAAAGCGCTGTCTCAGAACGGTGTTGTTGCTGGTGGCGACGGTCCGATGGCCCCAGTCCAAGAAGATTCAATCATAATTTCTCGAAGGCACTTCCGCCACCTTCAGAAATGTCTTTACGCTCTAAACAGATTCTGGGTTCCTGGGGTGCAGCTGAGAAGGGATATCAAGAAGCTCGGGGATGATGTCTTGTACGCGCACGGTTGGATCGAGAAGCATGTCTTCCAGGCAAATGACATTGCATTGCTCTGTCATTACTTCTTCCATTTCCAGCGCCGGCTGCAGAAAAAGGTTGTGAGCAATATGGACTGGACGGCCTTTATGGGCAAGGGAGAGGGAAAGACGTTATTCCAGAACAACCTCTCCATGAAGTCAACATTTGAGAATGCCCTTTACAACATTGCGGACGCCAATGAGGATGGTATCATTGTGGCAATGGGCGCAGATAATACCCTCGAGCTAATCGATCAGACATGTCTGATGATGAAGGAATATGTCGACACTCACGGAGCAGGCAAAACAGAGAATCTCACTTTCAAGAAGGGCGAGCATGGCGGGTCAGGCCGCGGGCCTGTAGATGACTACAACCTCCTCTGTGATATCCTCTCGAGTCTTAGGAATCAAGCCAAAGAAGAGGGAATTGTAGACGTACCGGGCCCGACGCACAAGTTTTTGGCCAAGGACATCATGCAATGGAACGATGCATGGGCGGACGATGCTTTCGCCAATGGCAAGAAGGCAGGTTGGGAGGATTGGCTGAGGAAGCGTGGATTGGCTGATGGCGATGACAATTGGGGAATCATCGAAGTAGAGAAAGACGAGAAGATGTTCATGCAATAATGAGGGGATTTTTTGATTTCCAATGTGTATAGGTCGTTGTCTGGGGTTTTTTTGGTGTTGCTATCTCAGCCCGAACCACGCCGAGGGAATTCCGGCAGTTTTCGGTATATTTTGTTTTTTGTAACCTCAAACGAGGAGTTCATCTTTTCGCGCAGGCATTGATCAATAATCATAATCATCATCCTGGAAGTTGCAAAAGAAAAGTCCTCGGTCTGATAAAAAGGAAAGCTCAGCACTTGCGTCAGTTGCAAGCCTATAGGTCGTCATTAGAAAAGGATCTGTAGGCCGATGTGATCAAACATGGCGCGAATGAACCAAAGGAGGCTCTGTTACACCATATATTCAAGCCATGTTCAACAACTGAAGGGATCCGAGTCTTTAACTTTGTAGTATGAACGATCGAAGGAGAACGCTAGATGCAAAATAGATTGAATCAGACAGAAATGATTCAGTGGCGTCGAATCGCGCATGTGATTACTCACGAGTCACGCAGTCCGTCTCGGGCAATGCGACGTGCCTCGGTTCAATCTTCCCCACACCCCCAGTTCTACTGCCAGATCCCCCAAAGTCACTTCTACTCCTACCATATAGCCGACTGTAGCGCAGCTTGTTGTTCTCTCCAACTTTCCACAATCTTTTTTACTCTTTCCAATATCTTCGTTCTTTGACCCTTCCCATACACCTTAGATACCCATACATACAACATGCCGTTCGACACAGAGCTCACGAGGGCACTTGGCATCAAAGGTTCGTAAGCTCTAGGAACGCCGTGCCGTGTGACAGGAAACACCAAACTGACACATCGCAGTGCCCGTAGTCCAAGGTGGTATGCAATGGGTTGGATACGCTGAGCTCGCCTCCGCTGTGTCAAATGCTGGAGGTCTTGGAATAGTATGTGTTCAATCCTGTAGTGTCATTGTTCCGCCCATCTAACGTCTTCAAAGTTAACAGCCCTCACCCAACCCACCCCCGAAGACCTCCGCAAAGAAATCCGCCGATGCCGTCAGATGACGAAGAACCCCTTCGGCGTGAACCTTACCCTCCTCCCCGCCATGGTTCCTCCGGACTATGGCGCATACGCCCAGGTCATCATCGACGAGGGTATCAACATTGTGGAGACTGCAGGAAACTCTCCCGGCCCGGTCATCAAGCAGTTGAAGGCAGCTGGCACAATCATTCTCCACAAGTGCACGACAATCCGACACGCACAATCTGCCGTCAAGCTCGGCGTAGACTTCCTCTCCATTGACGGGTTCGAGTGCGCTGGACACGTTGGCGAGACCGACATCACAAACTTCATTCTCCTCAGCAAGGCGCGTCAAACGCTGGGTGTTCCCTTCATCGCGTCCGGAGGTTTCGCAGACGGCCAGGGTCTCGCTGCCGCGTTGGCACTCGGTGCTTGCGGTATCAACATGGGCACCAGGTTCATGTGCACAGTCGAGGCGCCCATCCACCAGAACATTAAGCAGGCGATCGTAGACGCACAGGAGACGGACACAGAGCTTGTTCTCCGAAGGTGGAAGAACACTTCGCGACTATTCGCCAACAAGGTCGCCAAGGCTGCTGTTCATGTTGAAAAGACCAGCACAACCGGAGAGTTCAAGGAGGTTGCGGAGTTTGTCAGCGGGAAACGGGGACGACAGGTGTTCCTCAACGGTGATAAGGACTTCGGTGTAAGTTTTGGCTATCGCATTTTATCTTCTGTACAAATTGCTAATCCGTGTAGGTTTGGACTGCTGGTCAGGTCATCGGTCTGATCCACGATGTCCCAACATGCAACGATCTCCTTGAGAGAATCGAGCGCGAGGCCGTCGAGACGATGCATGCCAACCAGGCTCTCTACAAGCATGATGGCGCTGTTGGAAAGAGCAAGCTATAGATTCTAGATTCTAGACATCAGCAATTGTATATACATGTTAGCATTACCACGCCATGAGCATTTTTCAATTCAGGAATTTCAAGGGTCTCATCATCCGCTGATCTAAGTTCAAGCATTTCTTGTGCGGTCCTCTCTCTATTGATTTTATTAATTACTCTCGAAGCTTTCACCAGTACGATACTCCTTTTCGAGCTTCCCCTTCCCCAACTTCCTATCTCTCCGCCGCTTCAGTATTCCGACCATACATCCTGGTACTCTGCGACCCCTGATCAAACCAACGCCTCCAGTTTTCGTGATCGACACCAATTGAGTCACCCGGTAATCTTGATCATAGTACGCATCTTGAAGAGCATTGATCTTCGCCAACGCTTCTTCTTTTGTCAGTACAGTTGACTGCTCGGTCTCACGCTTCCTTCCGAACACGCATTGAACTCTCGACAACATTCCTGGCGCCTTTGGTTCGGATACCGTTGACTTTGCCAGTCTGTCCGTCGATAACGAGGTCCTTGTTCCCCCAATCGATCCCTCTTTCCCGTCTTCCCCGTCCTCCTCCACTATTTCGGAGAGAATGGAACCAAGCAAAGATTGAACAGACTTCCCGTCCGTAGAACAACTCCCTCTCGACGCCTGCTCCACTTTCACCGTCCGCAACCCGAACTCATGAACCAACAAATCGTTCACCAAATTTCTCGCCAACACCGGAACAGGCACATACTCATCCTCCCCACTCCCCATCCAATAGCTCGCACAGCTGCCAATCGCATAGATCCGCTCACCCAGACACGGCCTCTCCACACGCAGCGTCTCCCCGTCTGTAAGAACGCGACCCTCCGAATTGAGCATGGACCGCGGGAGGAAATTTGTGTTCGGTATCCCGCCTGTCGCGCAGATTATCATGTCTGCGTGCGTGGTGGAGTCGTTGTTGAGGATGCTGGAGGAGGTGCCGTCTGGGTTTTTGGTGAGGCTGACTTGCCGGATGTTGTGGATGACTTGCACGCCGAGTTTGCGGAGTTGCTTTTCGGCTTTTTGGGCGAGGGTTGGGGGGAGCTTGGTGAGGAGGCGGTCGTTGCCGGATAGGAGAGTTATGCTTTTTGAGGGGGCTGGTGATGGTTTGTGGGATGGTTTTGGTGGGTTGAATAGAGTTGACTTTTGGGTTTGTTCGATGTATGCTGGAGGCTCGTCTTTGTCTTCGAAATGGACTTTTCGATCGAAGATTTTGATGGACTCGTGTTCTTCGACGGCGTATTGCGGAATATTCTGGCTTGCCTTTTCTGGCTTTTTGCTGGACTTTCGTTGCTTGTTGAAGTACAGAGCTACTGCGCCCGCTGTCTCACAGCCAGCAGACCCGCCACCGACAACGACGATCGACTTTGCGCACTGTAATTGCCGTTTTGCTTCTTCAATGACTACCAGTGTCTCTGCAATCGTTGGTGGTAGAACATATAATTGATTTGGCACCGAGCTACCAGTAGCGAAAATGAGTGCATGATATGGGATGCGTGACGTCCTGATCTGCTCAACATTCGAAATTGAAGTCTCGTTACACGTTCTCTTAGATCCGTCTGAGCTGACTGAAAGGGACCTTCTGTCACTCAGATCATCTTGAATTTGAAGTTCTACCGCGATGTGTCTAGCACTGGGTTCAATGGCTATCACATTCCCCTGCACAAATTCGAATTGAGAATGGGGGTATTTGGCGAGTTCTCGCCGAATATCAATAATGCTGTGGGCTTCTGGTGAGATTGCGGCAGACAATATTTCTTGCGAGTGTCTAGTAATGGATCCGCTCCGAATATAGATAGGTAATGGATTGACTAGTATCAGTCGATAAGCTGGTGCACCGTCGAACGTGCGTAACTCCCTAAGAACATTTTGCAGGATGTAATGTGATAGTTCCAATCCAGCAGGCGAGGCACCTACCACTAAGATGTTCAGAACACATGACGACATGGTAAAAGAGGAAGTCAGGTAGTAGGTCCGGAATGCGATAGTAGGATGTGAGTTGTTTAGGGTAGTAATCAATCGCGGAGGCAAGCGCCGTGCTCTGATACATGTATGTGATTTAAGACCTATTGATAAGACATTGTTAAATGTATGGATCGAGACATGAATGCGGGTAGCAATCGATACTGTGCATTCCTACGAGCGTATGTTTAACTTTGGTGAAACATTCCTACGTTCGGGCCAAAAGGATGTCACAGCCGGGGAATGCACATGAAGCCCCTCAGTTCCATTCTCGAAACTCTAGAGGAAGAGACCCAGAGCAAGCACGTTGAAAAGGCCGTAATGAGACTTTGAGCAAATAAATTTAATGTTTCATTTGAGAAAAGTGGTGGGAATGGGTACGTGGCTGAAGTACCCTGAAGAATATCCACGTCAACAACATAAACAACATGCAGTCTCCCCAAGTTCAAACCCGGACCCCAGAGCAAAATGGTAGAAACATAATGAGATGTACACAGATTGCTCGTAACTAGCGCAATTCTGGTCTAATATTCAACCAATGGCGTTCAGTGTCGAACATAGAAAACAGCATTCGAAATGTCTCGTCTCGTCTAGCTAGGTAGCCATTGAATCGCTGTAAGAATTTTCCAAAGCGCGCTTCAAATATCCAGAGGCGTGATCAACTCTTCAAGCTTCTAGAGTCAGCATACCCCATAGTCACAGGTAGTACGGTCGGAACTGTACCGGTGGTAGATCGCCAAGACTTGATGCTGCAAAGGCCCAGGATACTGGACTCGGTGGAGGCTGGGGTGGGGGTGAAGGAGGGTCTGCTCTTGAGAATTCGTTTGCCGGACCCTGTTGCGAGCAAAGGCAATGCACAGAGGCGGCTCTATCCATTTGTGGTTGTCTATGCATAACGTATCCGCGTCGGAGACAAGGAGAGCGGGTTGAGCAAGCAGTAGGTTCCATTTATTTTAGATTGGGCCAATAAGATCAGGCAAGCAAGGTCACTGAAGAAAGGATAGAGATAGAAGAAGAGCCTTCAAGCATAGATCCCAACTCTTGCTCTGGCAATTGATGAAGCTTAAATATCATGTCGCTTAATAGCTAGCCAGGGCAGGCCCAGCTTGCAATCGATGTCAGGTTTGGCAAGCAGAGTTGCAACGGCCCGCCCGGCACGACGGAAAACGCTGAGCAGACATTGATACGTCCAGGTCACATATGGACAGGAATGAATGTGTGATGTAGTGGGGATGGTACACAGCGGGGTGCTTCGAGCCCCTAGACCATAGCCCATGTAGAGCAATATTGGATTTCTGATTCGCCCCTGAGCAAGGTACGAGAACGTGGTGATGTGTACAGATGAGATTCTCAGTGTGAAATCACACCTCACAGAGCGTGATGAGGCGTAAACAAAGCGAAACTGAGGCGATGTTTGCTGGCAGGGACAGGCAGATCAGAAACATCACCGATACCTACTGATTATATGGAGGCGATCGGTGAAGGAGCTGGTCCTCAGTTACTTCGTCGGCCAGTTTCTTTAGATCAAGGGATGGATAGACCGTTCATCTGAAGTGACAGCAGGATGATCAAGCAAGCAAGGCACATGTAACGTCTTTGGATGAAGTCGTGCAAAGCTGCCAAGGCCACCGATTACATAAGCCTGTGACGCCCGCTAACTATCCTCTCCACCTCTGAACATCCACACAAGAAACTATACCGCGTACGTTTGGTCGACCGTTGCAAGATACGCTGCCATTGCAACCAAGGAATTATTCCAAATACGAATCTGTGTTTCTGATTCCCCTCGGCCACCTTTGTTTATCCGTCGGAACATCGCCGCGCAACCTCATGCGAGCACCCGCAATGAGCTTCACTTGAAGACTAAGTAGGGCTGGCCATAATATATCCAGCTCTGCATCGTTGTCATCTGCTACAACTCTTGCGCTCTCTCCTTCTCTCTCCGGCTTCCCCGATTCGTCGCCTCCTCGTAGACTCCCTTCTTGGTAACCGGTTTCCACGTCTCGCAACGCGCTTCACATTACACAACATACCCATACTTCGCTAAGATGTCGACCTCGATCTGGAACCCAGAGAATATCCGAGATGTTGCGGAATCTGTAGGGATCGCATCACTGTCGGACAATATCGTTGATGAGCTAGCACGCGATGTCGACTTCCGCTTGGCTCAGGTGCTGGAGGAAGCTCTCAAGTTCATGCGACATGGGAAACGGACAACCTTGACTACGCACGATATATCTCACGCGCTCAAGATCTTGAACATTGAGCCGCTGTATGGTTATGAGGCTACCCGTCCTCTACGGTTCGGTGAAGCCTCACTTGGCCCTGGACAGCCCTTGTACTACGTCGAAGACGAGGAGCTCGACTTTGAGAAGCTCATCAACGCGCCGCTACCTAAGGTGCCTCGGGAAGTCACCTTCACAGGTTCGTTCTATCCATTTTTTTTGGTTGTTAATCTCCCTCTTGCGATCGTGGACTAATTTGAACAGCTCACTGGCTTGCCGTCGAAGGTGTGCAGCCATCCATACCCCAGAACCCCACAACAGTAAACCATGCAGACCTCTTGCCCAAGGGTCCCAACGCGAATCAACATCTAGCCGCGGCCAATGGCTTGGATAACGTCAGTGTAAAGCCGCTGGTAAAACACGTCCTTTCCAAAGAGTCACAAGAGCTGTTCGCGAAGCTATCTTCTGCCCTCGTCGACGAATCAAATCCGGAATGGCAGAACGCTGCTCTGGCATCTATCCAAACAGACCCGGGCATCCACCAGCTTACAACCTATCTTCTTACTTTCATTGCTGAGAAGGTGACACACAGTATGAAGAACTTGTTTGTCCTTCGCCAAATGATGCTCGCTACCAATGCGCTTCTCAGCAACCAAGCGATCTATCTTGATCCATACGTCGCGTACATGGTCCCACCTGTCCTGACATGTTGCACGGGCAAGCACCTCGGACCTACCACCCATTTACCCCCTTCCAATGCCTCGTCGGAAACTCTGAACGGCAACGGTGCTAATGGCACCAACAGCACTATTCCACTGGCGCATTATGATGTTCGCGACATCGCCGCCTCCATTCTCAGCAAGATGTGCTTGCAATACTCATCTTCAAATCAAGGCCTTAAATCACGGATAGCAAGGATCTGCTTAAGGCAGTTCCTCGACCCTAACAAGCCTCTAGGCACTCACTACGGTGCTCTAAACGCCCTGCAGTTGATCACCGGTGCGGAAGGAATCAAGATGCTAGTGCTACCAAATCTGAAGATATATGACAAGCTACTGAAAGACGCATTGGCTGACGAAGTCAAGAGGCCTGAGGGGGAGAGAGTCCTTGCTCTGATCTTGAAGTCGTTGGACTCGTTGGAGAAATTACGAGGACCGACAAGAGCGAATGGAGTAGCAAACCTTGAAAGCTTGAAGGAGCGCCTGACAGAAAGAATCGGCGAGGTGGTGGCAGAGAAGATCGTCTCAAGTGGCCGATCATCCGTAGCTCAGGTCATTCTGGAAGCAGATTTGAGCTTGTAGCTGGCACGTGAATGAGACCCCGATTGGCCAACAGGTTTTGGGAAGGACGGCGTCGAAAGGAAATATCATGATACCAATGTTCATTCATCCTACATTTTTAGTATTCAGAATATATCAAACCTCATCTGTTAGACTGGGTTGTATCAGCATTTGGAGACCAGTGATGATTGTTAAAGAAAACATCTGATCCGTGACAATTAATATTATGAGATATCCTCTTCGACCGGATTCCAATCACAAGCACACATCGCCCTATGGATATCGGCCTGGCAAACAGCCCTAAACCACCAATACCTCCTACATTCATCCGGCCGAGCCAGCAGCTCATAATAATCCCGTGCAATACCACCTTCCAAACACGCTATCTCCCTGACACAATCAAGATAGTAAAATCTGTCTCGTTTCATGACATCTGTATCCCTTCTCTCCCAATCGAACGCCGTGAATCCGGGGCAAATCTGAACTGGTTCATGCGTGAGAAAGCGAGGATACTCGGCTGCGAATTGCAGCGGAACCATGTCGGCCCAGCCGAGATCGAGCACACTGCGAGCGAGAGTTGAGTGTCAAAAGTCTATATAATAGAATGGACATCATACCTTTTCACATTAAACTCCTCGTCCACCACGATGTTGTTAGGACTCAGATCCCCATGGACGAGTACATGAGGCGCATCATCGAGGTCCGGTAACCAGTATCTCTCAATGAGGCTGAGTTGTCTTCGACATCCTTCGGCGTCTCCGCCTCTGTATTCGTTACGTTCGGCTCTCTGTATCTTGCGTTTGATTATCGCTGTAACAAAGTCTCTTGCCGGGGGGCCTGCATAAACGTCAGTGATGTTGTTTTATTGGCTCCGCGGAAACTACTGGCCATGTTTCTGAATCTTCAGGAGGTCAATCGTGACTCGGGCGATTGCGCGGATGACTCTATTCCTATGTTCGACCTCCACAGGGACGTCGTCCGTCCAGCGAAGCGTAGTTCCACGCGCCTATTCCAGCGTAATGAATGGAGCAGGTATAAGGTCGTTCCCCCTTGTCGCACATCCAATGACCTTTTGAAAGCCTGAGACCCCGGCACTCTCGATAGCCTTACGGAAATTTACTTCTTTCTCCAAGACGTACGAAGACCCCTCCGTGGGACTGTGTTGGATGCGCATGCATATTTCCTTTCCGGCGTGATCTCGCAGCGCGAAGACGGTGTTTTGGCCGCCAGCGTAGGGGTTTCTTTCGGTGTCTAGGATGAACGAGCAGGCTGAGCAAGGCGGCGTTTCTGTGGGTGGTTGAGCCTGCTGGCAGATGTGCTTGCGGACGTTGAAGCTGAAGTTTGGGAGGATGTCATACCAGGATTCCATGAGGGGTGGTATTTGGAATTAAATCTACGAGGAGGATAGAAGCGAAGGAGTCACAGGTACAAGGCAAGCTGCGCTGCTGTGGTACATAGAGTGAGACATGGTAACGAACAATACTTTAACACCACGAATTTAAACATCGATTTCTCATCTGCGAGCAAGGAAATATGTGAAGTCAGTCTGGTAATCGACAGACTCAATCTATATTAATAACAAGTGAAAAAGAACATAGAATTATTTCCAAACAACTAAATATAAGGATATAGCTATTCGTTCAGTGAATCCTGATGGAGCACATACACAAGGCTTATTGGTGTAGCTCGGCTCCCCCACCGCCGTCATTTAGGAACCCACGACGTACATGCATGACATTGAATTTATCAAGCCACCTATCTATGTACTCAAAAGACCACCGTCTCAGGGTAATGTAGACATTGATTCATACATCTCCAGTAAATGTGGATTTCAGATTGGTGTGCTTCTACAACAAGGTCTTGACAATACAGGCAAGGCACCGCTTCTACTCCGTCCACACGCTCAAGAAACACGCACCTTCTGCAAGATATAAATCATCCTCATTTCCCCATGATCCTTCAACGTCGAACACATAACGAAAACATGATTTACCGAGACGCCGTCTTCTAACCCAGCAAAGCCCCCCTTCCACACATTCGTCTCGGACAATTCCAATCTTCCGTCTCCTTTCACATCGCAACGACCAACCAGCCCCGACCCTCCGTTGCTCCGTTCCTCCCTACGCACCCATGTACTCCATTCACTCATACTCTCCCTGTAACTACATCATACGCTATGTCACTCGATCCGATCCGACCCGTTCCGTTTTCATTTGATTTGAATCATAATTTTATTATTTGCATTTACATGGTGGTTTTCTATTTTCCTTTCTTGCTCCCTTCGTCAAGCCACACCCCTCCTCACGAGTGTCTTTTGGCAAAAGAAAGAGTCGAACTCTCTGGCCGCACTCCACATGGTCCCGTCGGCCGTACAAATGCCATCGCACACGCAAACGCAAAAAAACCGAATAGATCAAACAACGAACGCCGCCCAATGAGACACGCCTTCACGAGTTCCTCCCCCTCCTCTTCTTTCCAGCCTTTCGAAAACATGACAAGAGAAAACGGGCACGAAAGGAAAAGAGATGGATGATTGATGAGATGTCGATAGCTGTCTGTCTCCTTGCGAGTGCCGCCGTCTATGAACAAGAACGAGAATTAGAGTAAGATTATACGGGAAAGAAAGACTTTTCATGTGTGGCATGGGAAAAGTGAGTATGGAACGGCAAGGAGACTGAATTTCGACCGTGAGAGCAAGGTGCGGATCATCGGAGGGAAAGAAAAGGCGTGGAAGAAAGGTGGGTGGTGATGTTCCGTGCGATATGTTTATCGCCTGTTGAAGTTGAGGTAGCGAGACTGTAGCAAGAGTTAGTCGATGTTTCATCATTGGTGTTTCTGTTCGGTGGGGAACACTTACAGCAAGGAAGAGGATGATCAAGTTCGATCCGATGAACGCAGTGAAGATACCGAAATCCCTCCAGCGGTTCTTGAACTCGTAGCCGAGGGGCTCGTAGAACTGGTCGCCGACCTTGAAGGCGCAGTACTCGCACATGTTGGTCGCGTTGTTGAGGAGGTAGCCGGGGGCGCCGCTGGAGAAGAAGTCGCTCATGTAGGAGCCGCAGTCTTGGCCGTCGGGGGCGGTGAAGCGGTTGAACTCCATGTTCGTGCAGGTGACGGGGAGCTCGTGCAGCTCGGTGACGATCATGCCGCCGATGAGGCGGGTGAAGGGGTTGAGCTGGTAAAGCCAGGCGCGCCAGAAGCCCGGGATCTGGGGCTTGGGGATCGTGACACCGCAGAAGAGCGCGAAGATGATGATGACGAAGGGGTTAACCAGAGAAGAGATGAAAGGAGTGGGCGTGAGCGCAGCAATCATCTGACCCAGTGTGACGGAGAAGATTTCAGTGATCAGGATGATGAAGAACTGGTATCCAGCACGGGAGGACTCAGAGTTCAAGCCAGGAATGTAGTACAAAGGAATGAAGAAGCAGACGGCGCAGAGAACGCTGTACGGCATCTCAGCAATGACCATGGACAGTGCGAATGGGAACGTCTTGTATGCCTTCGACATTTGCTCGCGGTAAGAAATCATACGAGCGATAGCGTACTTGGGCTCGACCTGCGCGAGAATCAAAGCGGGGAGAACGGTGACCTGGAAGATGATGAAGACACGGTACTGGAGCGATGAGCGGGAATCGTCGAGCTGGAGATACATGAGACCAGTGAGCAGGGCGATGATGACGTGATTGAAAAGACGAGTGAAGCCGTAGTTGGGAGTTCGCCAGAAAGAGAGGTTCATGCGCTTATTGACGAGCTTGATCTGGTGCCAGAGTGGAGTTGCGTATTCCTTCTGTACAATGGGCTCGGCGGAGCCGACCTCAGCAATGCGCGTATCCTTTACACGGAGGATCTCGCTCTTGACCTCAGCAAACTCTGGCGAGTCCTTCCAGATATCGGCCCAGTCCTTGTTTCCAATGCGCGGGGAGGCACCTGCGCCTATAGCATCGAGCATCCATTCGGCAGGGTTGGCACGAGGAGGGCAGTCGGCGCCGTTGCGGTGGAAGTAGTCGATCAGAACGTGTGCGTCCTTGCCGATGTCACCGAAGTAGACACACTGTCCACCACGCTGGAGGAGCAAGAGGCGGTCGAAGTTCTCAAAGAGGGCGGAGTTGGGCTGATGGATAGTGCACAGAATAGCCTGACCAGCGCCGGCGAGCTTACGAAGGAAACGGACGATGTTGAAAGCACTCTGAGAGTCAAGACCGGAGGTAGGCTCATCCAAGAAAAGGAGGAGTTCAGGCTTAGCGGCAAGTTCGACACCAATAGTGACACGCTTTCGCTGTTCGACAGCAAGACCGGTTTCTGGGTCTCCAATGATGGCATCGGCGATATCCTCCATTTCCAAGAGGGAGATGACCTCCTCTACGTAAGCGTATTTCTCCGACTGCGGGGTCTCAAAGGGCTGGCGAAGGTCGGCAGAGAATCGGAGTGCCTCACGGACGGTGGTTGCGGGTTCGTGAACATCGAGCTGCTCGGCATAGGAGGTTCCACGCTGGAAAGCGATACCAGGCAGCTTACCATCGACGAGCTTGTCACCAGAGATGACACCGATGTTCTTGCGGTTGGCGAGCACATCGAGAAGAGTGGTCTTTCCAGCTCCGGAGGCTCCCATGAGGGCAGTGAGTTGACCAGGCTTGACGTAACCGAAGATGTTGTTGAGGAGACGAAGATTACCGGAGGGAACAGGGACGTCGTAGCAGAGGTCTTCCCAGGTCAGGACGGCCTTGGAGGTGATGTTCAGATCCGAGTTCGAGTCCGTATCCGCACTATCCTCTTTGCGCTGCTTTCGTTCCTTCTTCTCGCGAAGCTTGTTGTTAAGGTCCTTCAATTCCTTGTTCTCCTTGACGAAGAAGGTAACAGTACGGCCACCAGCGCCCCACTTCACGTACTCTCCGAGGAAAGCATTGGCGAGGAGGAAACCACCGATGAGAACCATCATGATACCCCAATTGCGCCAGAGGTCCTTGGGGTCGTAGCTGAAAGAAAGCTTGACGTAGTCGGTTCCAGAAACAAAGTTAGAACCAGAAGTGCTGCCGGGGAGAGTGCAGACCTGATGGTCGAGGTCACCGTAGCCAGGTCCAGATGGGATCAAGTTGCTGCCAGCACAGGTTAGATCAAGGCGACCAAATTCGTTCATCATCAAGGCGGAGAAACCAAGACCAAGGGCGTTGATGTAAAATATCCATCTCAGCCAAACTTGTTCGGACTGCCACTGAATGAGATATCCGGAGGTCAAGACGAAGAGCGTAATGATGGTAGCCGCGAGACGGATAGCGACATCAAAGTCAGGGCAAAGACAACCAACAGTTCTGAAGAAGAGCGTCATAGCGAGGTATCCGGTGATGATCATGAGTACGAAGATGAAGAAGGCGCCAGCATCTCGGACAAGATTAGTCATGAAGTACACAATGATACTAAAGACCAGAATCTGAACCGATGAGAATAGCAGATCAACACCAATCTGCGCGATCCAAAGTGCAGACGGCCGATGGAAAGTGAACGCGCGATGTTTGTTGATGATCGGTCTACCCAACATAGTACTGGCTAACTCAGAGAAGGCTTGGAAGGCATTGAAGAGAAGAGCAATGAAGAGGACACCACCACGAGTGAAAGCGCCTTCAGACGTTTTGGGGAGATCCAACCAGACGGTACCAGTGACAATAGCAATGACGATAGAAGTGATCCAGGAGACAACCAGGGAGAATTTGTCCTGCCATTTGAGCAAGAACTGACGTTTGGCGAGAGCCCACAACTGCAAGTAGAAGGGAATGGAGTAGACGGATTTCTTGGAGGCGTGGCGTTTGCTGTCCTTGACGGCGACTTCAAAGTCATCGTAGACGTGCTTCTCCTGTTCCATGCGGCCGCGGTACTCAGTCATCTCGGCATCGACGCGAGCGGCAATGTCTGACTTTCGGAAAGCTTCAGCAAGCGCTTCGGGAGTGCTGGGAACATTCTCTTCACTGCGTCCAGCCTTGTACTCTCGCTCGAATGGATCTGTGCAACCAGTGAGATAGTCAGGTGTGGTTTGGCGGGGCTTCTCGAGGAAACCAAGACCCTCGAAATATGCGCGGGCCTCTGTCGCGGGTCCAAAGTAAACCTCACGTCCACTGTCAATGACCAAGACCTTGTCGAAACAGTCGTAGATGTTTTCGGACGCTTGGTACAGGGATACGAAAGTCGTTGTCTTGTAGATGTTGGTCAGGACGCGAAGCGAACGGGCGTAATCGACGGCTGTAGAAGCATCCAGACCACGGGTGGAATTGTCCCAGCTGACAACGGAAGCGCCCGTAATCATGGTCTCAGCGATAGAGACACGCTTGCGCTCTCCTCCCGAGACACCACGCACAAAGGGGTTTCCCACGATGGTGTTGGCGGTATGCTCAATGTTGAACATCTTCAACATCAGGTCGATGACCTTCTCCTTGAATTCGGTTCGGGACAGTCCAGCAGGGCGCTTTCCGGGAACCTTGGTCTCCAGGGCGAAATCGAGGGTTTGCTTCACGGTCAAGGTTGGGTGGTGGTTCTCATCTTCCTCGCAGTAGACTGCCTCGCCTCTGTATCGCTTCTCAAAGAAGGCGCTGTCGAATGGTCCATAAGCGACGTCACCGTCGACCTTGGTGTAACCGTAGCGCTGGTTGCTGATAACCTTCAAGAAGGTAGTGCAGCCAGACCCCGGGCGTCCGAGAACCAAGACCATCTCACCAGGGTTGACGACACCCTTAAAGTTGTTAAGAATGTCGAACTCTCTGCCCTTCTTGCCCAGCCCAAGAAGGCTTTGGGCTGTCTCGAAGACATTGAAGAAAGAGACAAACGCATCAGGAAATGTCTATACAATTCGTATTAATTAGCGGCAGTTCATTGTGTGCACGGAGTATGTACGAATCCTGAATAAAATGGTGACTAACCTTGACATAGTTCTTGACGCCACCAATGCCGCTGACAGTCAGACCATCCCACACCACACCAATGCGCTTGGATTTTATGCCAGCGGCCTCCTCCTCGTCACGATTGCCGCGCAGGACGGCCTGCAGGTCGAATGGTTCGTCAGAGGAGTCGTCGGAGGCAGGAGCCTTCTCGACATCCTGGGAGGCGGTGTTCTTGTGGCTTTGGCGACTCTGCACACGGCTTATCCTACGCGAGAGATTACTCGTCCGCGAGAGCTCGCGGTTGAGCTCAGCGAATTCGGCCTCGGCGCGGGCAACATTGACCCCGCCTTTGACATAGGCAGCATCGGTGCGCTTTTCGCTGTGGGCTTCGCCGGCAGTTAGGTCGCTGCTGGAGACGGTAGAGATGCTGGCACGGTTGCGCTGGTGGTGTGCGCCGGCGTCGGTGGTGCTTGGGTGTTCTGGGTGGATGGCCTCGTAGGTGGGACCAGATGGCTCCTCGCGGTCGGTGGAATTGTTCAGAGGAACATTGGGTTTCTCCATGTCGAATATGGTGCTGCAAGGCGCACCCTGCCTGTATCGTGAACCTGGTTGCGGGGAGCTCTACGTCAGGCTGATTGCTGACAGACCGGTTGTACGAGGTTTGGTATAGTAGTATTGAGAGGTACTGCAAGTCGCTGGTAGAATAGGATAGTATGTACGCTATGCTATGTACTGGTTCCGCCTTGTCAGGATTGTAACATGGGAGAGGGAATGACGGTGTATGTCAATGTAAGAAGGTCGAAGAATAAGATGAACAATAGTTCATTGATTAAGGTACGAGTTGGTAGGTAGGTATGTAAAGGCTTGGTTGGTCGATATCAAGAAAGGCGACCACCGAAAAAGAAAAAGAAACTTATACCCCAAGACGCAGCCGACGAGGCAGCAACACGGTAGTTAGTGTCGATGGATGGAGGGAGAGAAAGAAAAAGAGAAGGGGAATGGGGAATATTTAGTATGAAGTATGTTTGTGATGGATGAGCAAAAAAAAAGGTAAAGTACGGAGTAGAGTTTGGGGGTAATTAGCCCACTTTTATTTCCCTTAACACCGCTTTGGGCCGATGCCATTTGCCATGTGGGTGGTGGGTGTGGGTGTTTGCGTGTTGTGCCTGTTGTTACCAGTGGTGCCTATCTGCTCGTCTCCTTGTCCATCAATGGTCTAGTCTACTCCTCTACCATAGGGTTACGACCTTACGATGCGGCTTAGGTAGTTTGATGATTCATTTAGGCAAGGAGAGACGCTCTACAAAGTGGGTCGGTTTGCCTATAGCAACGACAACCGACAACGGACCAAATCGTCGAGGGAAGACAAGGGCTGACACTTCAATGTTCTTGGCCTCGTCCTCCTAGTCCCATTGCCGTTTGGTTGCAAGATGCGGTCAGGGTCAGCTTAGGAGGAGATGAGAAAGGAGAAAAAAGAAAGAGAAGAGAAGCGCGAAAATAACGTTATTCGGGGTACTAGTGCGAACCTAAGAGGGAACAAGGGCGAAGATAGAAGGGCGTAGGGATAGATGATCGTCATCGTTGTCATATGGCAATGTGCAATTCCAATTCCTCAGCGGACACTTAACGGACGGACGAGAACCGATCAACGACTATGATACGAGAATGAGATCCCAATGGAATGGTAGGCCATGGGGCTACTAACTACTATGACTGTAACTATGACTTGTTGGGTGCCGAGCCCATAACAACAATGTACGGAATTCAAGTACGGAGTATGGACACATGAAAAGGGAGCCTCTCAAGCTTTTGTAGATAAGCGACGAGACGAGACGGGATGAGATGAGATGAGACGGAATCAGAACAAAGTAAGTATTATCTCGCAGCAACTAGGCCAAGAACGACAACCCGTGGATTGGCCAAGTTGGCCAAGTCGTCATCATGTACGAAGGGGAGAAACGGAGAATTGAAAAAGATATAAGGAGGAAGGGGAAGCGAGTCTTGATTACCTATCAACCAGAATCCATGAATCGGGCAGCATTCAATCAATCAATCAATCAATCAATCAATCGACTGCGAGGAATCGTCGCCGGTGCCTGGTCTAATTGATGGATTGCACTGTTGAGAATCTTTGCAATTGATCTTCTGTACAAAGTATATACACATAGTGCTGGGTATGCAGCTATCCTCTTCGTCTTTTCGTCTTTCGATTCCTTCGTCAGTTGTTTTTATGAGAATCCATTTCGGTACTTCGGCATTACTTGGTCGTACATCGATTGTACATCGTTTTGCGTACAACATCATTCATCCTGACCAATCAACGGATGATGTCCTCTTCCACATCACTCGTGACTTCGCGACAGAAGACATGTCTCCAATTGCAATTCCAATTCCGAATCCCGATTTCAGACAAATACCAACGTAGAAAATGCAACGAATGGCCATTCTGACAGGTGAGTCAGACAGTTCGAATCAAAAGTGCGGGATAAACAAACGTTCGGCTGGACACTGTGCGACGCGCGAGAAATCACTAACGTTACGTTCCATACTGCGCAATGAATTATACTTTCGGGCATGTCCTAGATCCAAATCTGATACAAGCAATTAATATCTGTACTCGTAATGCTAATAGTATAAATAAGTAATCAGCGCACCCGTTGAAGAGTGCACAATTGATTGATCATCCATCATCTCCTGCGTCTCAAGTTTTCAACCTCAAGAAGACGAGAATTGCACAGAACAGATTGCTTTGTACGATACACATTTAAGAGCCCCACCGGCTCCACCGTTGGAATTGTCAGCTTTGCGACAGGATTTACCCCATTGTGGACTAAACTCGTCCTACCCGGCCTTTGTCCTGTGCTACCGCGTTCCAGAGTCGCCCCCGAATTCTACAACTGACATCGCATTCCCCTTTGTCTCCATTTCAACTTACTCGCGCGCACACAACTTGAAGGTGAGACATTCAACTAGACTCGCGGGCAATTTCTACCGCTATCAGATTTACACTTGCAAATTCTGACGACCGGTTGGCCGGACCTTGGTTCCATCCACTCTTCTCGTCGGCGGTTCCCTTCCCATTGGATGGAGTGCCTGACTACCAAGTCGTCCCATTCTGGACAAATACCCCCTGGTTTCCTCCACAAACTCTTCGTTTGAACGATGAATGTCTCTTATTCCCGAAGTTTTGCCACTGTGAATCAAATCCACCTACGTCGAAGGCTTGCTACAAAAGCGCATTACGGGAGAGCTACATACGAGTTAGTTTATCCTCGCGGAACGAACAACACTCGCACTTTGACTAACCCACAATCTCTCTGGTTGCAGACAACGACAAGGCTGAGAAACCGAGGTCGTGCCGAAACAAAAGAGATGTCCTGTCCTAGACCTAGACTCGCGTAGTAATAACAGTAAAGCCATTATTGTTGCTTTTGCGCCGGTATCGTTGTATCTCTCAGAATGGCTCATATTTGCTCATACTGATTCTGCCCCAATAATCAACATGGACCACCACCATTGGCCAGTGTACGATCCAACACAGTATCTAAACCCTCAAAAAGTCAACTAAAAGATCCATCAACATGAGTGAACTTCGATACAAAAGCACTCATACTGTTAATTTCAAGAAGTAAGGGCGTCGGGTCAGCCCTTCCTACAACGATGCTCCGTACCTACAGTGTATGTACTCTGTGTGTACTCTGTTCGACCTTGTCTCGTTCATAGCTACGAGTACCCTGTCATATACCAACGTGTTCCCATCAGCCTCAATTTCGCAAAGTGCATCTACCATCGACCTGTCACAGTTGAACGATCGCATCCTCGGGTAATCGTGTCATCGTGCATACCGCCTTGGCTCCGTACAAGTATTCATTCGCATTCATTCTACGAAGTACTCGGTATATTCACAACAGATCCACCAAAATCCTCCCTCATACAGACCATCTTCAGCTCCAGGCTCCAGGATCATTTAGGTCGCGCATCTCGCCCCATCTCATCACACTTATTTCGAGCACATTATCTCGCCCCTCCCGCTCCCATCGCATTCATCTCAACGATCCTACCTATGTACCATTTGCCGAGTACCAATTTGACACCGCTCCTCGACTGATCCCTCTCCCATTCGCTGCTTCGTGCGCCCATATGCAGCCATTACATGTCCACACGTGCCTATCTCTCGGTTCCGTCCCGACAGGTCCTCATTCCCTGATCAGCCTGCAGGCCAGTGTTCCAAAAATATCCATCTCTCCGACCTCACCCCTCTACCCCGACCCCAGCTGCTTTCCATTCCACCACTCATGTCGAACAGCTTCAGACAATGCCATCATAACATCATCACTCGAACAGGATCAATACGAATATTCAAGAGTACGCTTGACTCAACCTGTCCGTTAGCCTCATACCGGTCACCATGTTGCCGTCGACGCCGACTCCGAGACTCTGGTCAGGGACAGCCATTGTCCTCTTTCATCCTAGAGATCTCTCGCACCTCCAATGAGCTACCCGAATTCAAGAGTTGATTTCTAAACAAACACGAGTTCATCACACCGTGGCTGGGCAGATCAATCGCAAATCTTGACAGCAAACAATCAAATCGCGTTGGCTAACCTCTTCTCCTAGCGGGCACCACCACCAGGCTGCAACGCCTCGTTCGTAAGGCGTACACACACCACGTTAATTCCATAGGTAACCCTTCGAGACCCGCGGGCGAGTGACGCGGTATCATGTGCGAAGGCGTTCACCACTTCCCGACTGCCGTCTTCTGTCACCCGTCACCGTCTCGCACCGTGTCCAATCGCATTCGTAAAGATGCCCTGAACCAAGCCGGCCGGTCGCCATGGGGGGGTAGCGGTGGGCATAATCCCTCTGTCTCTCTCTTTCCTCGCATTTCTTTTTACAAACGTGTTCTTCTTCGTTCGGAATTGTCTCAATGATGTATTTTCGGTGATTGGAAAGCAAAAAAAGAAAAAACCATACTTCCCGTATGACAATCTCCCTGCTGTTGTCTGTATAAATACAGACATGTGTAGACTTCATCCTCTAGTCAAACTAAACCACACTTCCCAAGCCATCAATCAATCCCCAGAATCAAACAAACAATCCCACGCACATTCGCAACCTCGAGAAAACCCAAATCTCTCCTCTCCACACCACCACCACACTTTCCAAATCCAAAAACAAAAACAAAAACTCAAAAACTCCACCTCCCGTTTTAACATAAACGACAATGTCCGGCTTCATCCCCCCAATCCGCCTCACGCCCTTCCAAGTCAGGAACGTGCCTTCCGCGGGCGGCAGCAGCAGCAACAACCAACACCCGTTCTTCCAACCGCAGAACACGTCGGCGAGTTCGCCCGCGTCGCAGAGCACGTCGAACTCGTCTTCTTCGTCCTCTTCTACGTCGACGAGCTCGCCGAACACGCCGTCCAGCAGGGGGTAGGTGGATGGATGGTGGGAGGCTCTCGACGCGACACTGAGCGACGGATCGGCGAAGAGCACACGATAGGGGTTTCTGCCTCGTATGGCTGATTCCTGGTCAAAACCGCACTTTACGAAAGGATTCAGAGAAATAGCGGTGCTCGTTCGTGAGTGAGTGACTGAGTGAGTCGGCGCGAGGCGTTCGGGGGCAGTGCAGGATGGTTTCTTTAGCTGTACCACCACCACATCCACTATCATCACTAGATATCACTATTCATTCGTTACCATATGCGCGAGGCGAAAACAATGCCTGAAGAATACAATAAAAGGAATGTTTCAATCCAGATTTGCGCCCTGGTGTATCACAGATGTCGTTCCGTCTAGACGTGCTCGAGACCCTCCACTTGCTTCTTTCATGTTTCCATCCCTATCATTGACGTTCAGTACGAGATGTCTTCTCTCTGTATTTTGAGTTTCTAACTATCTTTCTTGTTCTTGACATTTATGTCACCCTTATCCTATCCTTCAGTAACGTCCATGAATACACAAAATTACAGCAGTGAAACTACCTTAACCCCCTTATGCACACCCTCTCCATCGTCTTCATGCCATGCCGTAGCGTATACTCTCAACTCAGTCATAGCCGATAACTTTCTCACTGTATAGAAAGAGGAGACGAGGTGGTATGTACCCACGTATATCTCACACTCGAGCACTCGCTGGTTGGGTATTTGTTTTGTCGTACTATGTATGTATGCTACAGTACACTACACTATCCTCGAAAATACAATTACTTCCCTCTCACGACCCTACCGCGTCTTCTCACTTTCACGATCGCCGTGGTAGGTTCGAAGGTTATAGCAAAGTGAGAGAGGATGTACGTACGTACGTGCATAAGAAAAGTCAGGGAACGGATAATAAACAATAATAGTAACGGCACTTCACACTTCTCCAAAGAGACAAGAATGGGAATTGATTTCCTGATTTTTTTTTTTTTCATTGTTAGTTTTGGTTCTTTTAAGGTTTTTGTTAGTTGGTTGGATTTGGATGTTCATCTTCCTTGCTTCCCTTTGCTTGTCTCTTTTTTTGTATTGTTAGTCCAATCCGTCGATTTTGGCAGATGTAGCCATAAGTTTGGGGTTAAGTTTTGTGATTTTAAATACTTGTTTTGGAGGTCTCGTCGGAGGAGCGACTTGATGGACATAGTAGCTAGCTGCTTACGCCCGAACCATCATCATCCTCCTTCATCTTCTCAGAAACTGCGAATAAGAAGTGCAGTCCCAGTTCGAATTCCTACCGATGATATCCAACTTCAAACCACACAGCGGTCAGTTAGCCCTGTGTACTCATCATCATCTGGTATTTCGACGCAGAAGACGGAGCTCGTCATATTTTTACCCTCCCCATCCAATCCCCGGAAACCACATTTTGCACATCACCCCCCCATCGAATAACTTAAGGTACCTACCACATTGTAACATCGGTTTTTTGGAGGAAGGACGTCTTGGATCAGCTCATCTCACCTTCATTTCTCCTTAACAAGACATCATATGTATATGCACCTACTGTAACATCATCCAAGTGAGAGAGAGAAAAAGAATTGATATTTCAACACACGCAGCTCTTTACCTAATTCCTAATCTAACGCAAAAAACGCAAAATCGCACAGGAACAACAGCCTTGAATCACGAGAATTTACCAGGTTACCAACACCTGATTGTCCTTATTCCGTACCCTATAACGCAAAAATGAAACTCGATTGTCCGAGACGAATAGAAGGATGAAATGGAAATGGAAATGGAGGGGTGTGGGAGGGGGAGGAGGAAAGTGAAGATGAAGAGGATGAGGTAAGGTAAGGTGAGGTGAGGTAAGTAAAGAGTATATTTGTTTTCCCCCCGTTGAAGATGTTGGAACGCCTGTGTTGTAGTATACTGGTAACTGGTAGGAAATATATGTGTATGGAATATCCGTGTGTGGATGGTGGGGGATTTTCGTTAGATAGATACATGGTGTGAAAGATTGTTTTAGTGAGATGTTGAGATATCGAGGTGTGAATGTGGGGATATATTTGATAGAAGATGAAAGGAGGAGGTATCGCATTGATGAAGGCAAGTAGTAATATTCTCAACAGAGACTAAAAGGCGAGACGTTTAGAAACCGGTCTTCTCGTCCTTTGGTGAGAACGGCTTGCCAGTGCCGTTGACGACGGTAGTCGTAGGAGTACCATTGCCATTGATAGGCTTGAACCCCTGATGGAAGTTGTTGGAGCCGGCGGCACTCTCGTCTCCGTTCACGCTCTCGCGGGCAGCGCTGCCGCCATTCTTCCTACCCATCCTGTCGAGCCACGCCTCGGCGCTCTGGACGGTGCCGTCGACGACGGTCGTGATCTGTCCGATCATGTCGAGACCTTCCCGCGCGAATGCAACCATCCTGTTTGCGCCGCGGACCTCGCCTCCGCCTGCGGTCTCCTCGTCGCGGCCGCCAACAGCACCCTGCGACTGCTCGCCGTGACCGTTGCGTTGCTCGTTGGCGGTCCGAGAGGCGGAGGCCCAGCGTTGTGGAATCGAGAGCAGCTGTGTGCGGACGACTTGTGAGGCATTTTGTGGGAGGGCACCGCCTGCGTAGTGCGAGACGGATTGCACGACGCGCTGTAATGTTTGCCAGATGTCCGTCGAAAGCGCCTGCATCTTGTTGGCGATCTGACGAACGTGGGCGTCTTTGGCGGCAGCGTCTGAGTCTTGGCGGTGGAGGGCCTTCTCGTCGGGGTAGTCAGATTGTGAAGAGGAGACGGCGGATTCGTATTCCTCCAGTACGAGCTTCAATGCTCGCATCATTGAGTCTATGGATGTGGTTGCGTTGCGCAGCAGGCTGAGGCAGATCTTGAGGGAGCGGAGGGAGGTGTCGGATAGTGCAACGCCCAAGCCGGACGTTGTCATTATCAACTGGGTCGACCAGTTGACACGGCGGTCTTGTGATGTTTCCGGGTCGGCCTTTTCGCCCGTTGACTGCTCATTGTCTGTGTCGACAGTCTCTTCGTACTTTGGCGAGCGCTGGTCGTCGTATGCGGGGAGTGTCTCCGCATAGCTCGAATGCGATCCGCCTCTTGTGCGGGTAGTGAAGGCCTCGTCGATGTCCATGGCATCGGCCGTGGGCTTGGGGCTTCCTCGTCTGGGACGTTTGCGTGCCACTTCTGAGTCGCCTTGCTCGAGATCGCTGGGTCGGCGATGGACTTCGCCTAGATATCGACGAAGGTTCTTCTCCACTCCTGTGCGCCGGCCCACGGAAGATACAGTGTTGACTACCGTCGAGCCGATGTTGCGCTCGATCAGCTCGGCGCCGTATTTGACGAAGCGAGGCGAGTACGTCTTGGTTGTGTTATAGGCAGATATAGAGCCGTTGATGGTCCCGCCCAGCCAGGGATGATTCGATGTGATGAGCGATAGGAGCGGTTCTGGCTCTGCGCTCGCTGTGTCGCGAGATATGGTCATGGATCGGGACGCGGGGGAGCGGGCATAATCTATGTCACAAATGGGTTAGCAAGCGAAGAAGGCGGACATAGATAAGAGGACGCAAGGGAGAGGTTAATGGTTTATGGGTACTGGAAGGAACGAGGTTCCGGACCATTGGGCAACGGCAAACGGAGCACATGCTAGCAAAGAATGTTTCTTTCCACATACATCAACCACCGCGATCGCGAGCCGCATTATTGCACCATGTTCTCCAAGGAGACGACGAAGAAAATGAACAGCGAACAGGAAAGTACAACTCACCTGGATTCCCCAATCCTGACAATGCCTCCGCAGCGGCTCTTTCGTCATCGTCCATGCTCAATATGCTCGCTTCTCTCCGTCGGGCAGCATCATCGTGTATGCTCGCCACACTACCCGTATCCATAGGACTGCCAACGTCTACATCCATGCCCCCTCGTGGTATATTGTCCGGCACCTTGGGAAATGTCGCACTGTTGAGTGGAGGCAATGCCGCCCACTGCATGGCATCTCCCGAGTTGCTCGCGCCAAGATCTGCGAGGTTGGATGCATTGCGCACTGCAGGCGAGGCATTGGGAAGGTCGAGAGATCTTATTCCCGGAAGTCTGTCATTGTGCTGTGGTGGAGAAGGGAGAGCGTGTGTCGGAACGGATGGGAGGTTGAGGGACTCGGGTTCGTGCTGGATATAGGCCGGCGGTGGCGGGCGCTGCTGCTGCTGTTGTTCTCGTTGCATGATGTGGGAATCGTGTATGATCGAGGAAGCCTTATTTGTTGGCCGTGTCGTGACGTCGCGAAGGGAGAGGATGTGGTCCTTCGAGGATCGTGCGCCGAAGTCGAGATCAGATGTCGGAGTTAGAGTGTAGCAATAGTAGTGGCACGACTAAGATGGCGGATACGAGCATCCTAGAATTCCCAGGCCATGGCGTGGGGAAGAGATCGAGTGATGGGATGCGATGCGATGTTATTGTAGGAGCCGTGGTGGTGGTGGTGGTAGTATAGAGATGGGATCTGGTGATGGTGGTAGATGACGGAGGACTATTCTTCGATAGCGGCTCTACAGAAGGGCAGAGAGGGAAGATGGGAGGCGGATGAGGACGACAGAGACAGATGAGAAAAGGCGGGCGTGCGCAAGGTCGCAGTCAATTTGGTTCGTCAATCATCTTTCATATGACAGACCAAGAGTTTTTGGGGGATTGGGATTGGGGTTGGATTGGCCTGATTCGATTGGATTGATTGGGGGGGGCGAGAGGGGGGGGGAGGCGGAAGAGGCAGACGAGGAAGAGTAACTAGAGATTCACTAAGAGAAGAGGGAAACTTTGAGACGTGGAAAAAGCATGTGATGGTCGCATCCCCTGTCATCTTCTCATCTTCGCTATCATCATCATCCGACTGCCCTGAACGGAAGTATTCGCCATACTTACAATACACCCATCTGAACCGATATACTCCTCGTCATTGGTCAATTCACTGGCGTCAACCTCATCGGAACATATCAATACGAATTGTCAGTTAGCCTCGCACCCACGGCTACTCATTCCGATCACTAGAGGGGAACAGAAGACTGATTACTAGAATAAGGCTTGATGATAACCTTTCTCACCCGAACGCCACACTCGCACAACTCCTCAACTCCTTTGTCTAACCGACCTCGTCTATCAGTAACTATCTGCTGTCAGGAGATAGACACACAGGGCAGGCAAACGCACATGTAACAGTTGAACACACCTAGCATTGCGACATCAAGGTGCAATCACTGCCTCCTCATCGCTTTGACAACAATCACGATCCTCAGAGGACCGACTCATTGCTATCATTACTCGTACATTAACTATACACACATTGAAACACGCCCTACTCCGATAGCCCTCGCCAGGCACAACTCACAACTGACGACCCTTTCCTCGTATCGTGGAGCACGTCAACAGCATCCATCGTATCGCATCTTCCAGAAAAACCCCCCAATAATAACCACAACAACAAACATCCATGCATCCGACCTGTTGTGCAATCGCAATAATGCATCATCCAGGGTCGTTACTGGAGACACAAAAACTATCTAATCAATAAATCCGCCCTGTCCTGTCCTGACCAAAAGTTTCGACTGCCGATCCGCAACTCCACTCCACTCGTCTCTCCACTCCACTAAAAAACCATCCGCTGACACGTGCTTGTCGCTTGACATGAGATCCCTCTGTCTCTGTCCCTGTCCCTGTCGTGTCTCTCTCCGTGACTCTACCTGTGTCTGTCTCTCGGTTGTGGAAATAAGATGGCAAGAACAATAAAAGAATGAAAGCCACAACCTCTACAAGTTTGATCATCATAGGGCGTCTAATCCGCGGAGCATCCCCTTGACATCTGAACCCTCCGCGCCCTCTCTCTCTCCCCTCCCAGGCGCTTGTATCATCATTAACGTCGCCATGTCATGTCACGTCTAGCACAACTCCACTGCACGACCTTCGCAAACGCCGTGCAACCGAGCTGAGCAAACAGAGACCCGTTGTCGCGGACTCACGATACACTTGATCCAACCAATCACATCTCTACCTAGGCTACCACTTCCCCTTCCTTCGATCCTCCCCATCTCGTTCGTTCGTCAGAATTGTCACACACAAAAATAAATCATGAGATACAAACCCCCGATTTGATGCTAGTTAGTTAATTAGCTGCCTGCCCAGTCTCGCGAACGAGGAAACCCCATAGTTATTTTCTCGTCCCTCGGGATAAATGGAGGCGGTGGATTGGGAGGGGGGTGATTACTGATTGTAAGCGGTGCAGTGCAGTGCCATATCGGAGTACGAAGGGCTGTACCGTGGTTTCGACCCCACTCGCTCGTTTGCTTGATGTAGTAGGTAGGTAGGTAGGTAGGTAGGTATGGTGGTTATTGTTGTTGTTAGTTGTGGGTTAAGCATGGGCCGGTTGAGTTGCCTGTTCTTCCTACATACTCCAAATTTCGACGTTGGGTGAATATGTTGATGAGTACCTACCGCCGTAGTGGTAGTTCGAGTACTGTTTTGTATGGTAGTCCATTTGCGATGGTAGACTGGTCAGTTGTTGCGATACATTTCGATCGCTGTGAGATGATATCTCTCACCACCTCGTTTGTCACTATCTCTGCTGTTTTCTAGCCATGTAATACGTATCGCCAATCTCTACGTACTTCGTAGTACCTCTCACATGAAAGCTTAATACCTACCTCAACACCATCCATCGGACTACCCTCCGATGCCGGCTATCGTCACCCTCTTCCTGTCCCTGCCATTCGCCGTCCCAACGAGATAGGTAGATAGCTAAACCCTAAAATTGTGGGAAGTAAACTTCGTGCCAGTTCAACGATTTAACGAAAACATGATGTTGAGTATGTTTTTGACAATGACGGTGGAGTAGGGTAGACGTCGGCGCTGTTATCAATGCGTTTCATGGTTGGGGGATGGATTGGTAGGCTAATCGATCTACGGCCTGTGTAAAATTCGAGAAAGAGCGGGTTATTGGAACGACATTATATATACCTCGGTACATGCGTAGATACATGAATGTTTATGGTAACTAATATACGCGACTAAGTCGTAGAAAGTTAGATAGGAAGCGTATATGAGGTATAATATACATGTGTATGCATGTGTGTATAACGAATATATCAAGGTTCATTAGTACTTAGTCACAGTCTGTTCTATTTCGAGAAAATTGGAATTGGTTTTGTTCTTGGTATCTCGTATAGGCTTTTTTTTTCATGTTTATGCTAATGTATTTATTGGCTTGAGTACCGGTAACAGCATAAGGAAAGAAGATGTGAGACATAGGTAAGAAAGAAAGACAAATCAGATAGGATATATGGAATAGATGTTGGGTGATATCTCGAAAAGATTTGCAGTAACAGAAATGTGTGATAGATGTGTACTTGCATGCCAGGATATATCGGGAGTATCATCGAGATGGAAATTGATCGATCGAGGAAATGGGGTGGTGTTCGTAAATGGTCGTATGTTGTCGTTGAGAACAAACAATGAGATGATAACATAGGAAAACAAGAAATAAGGAGAAAAGGAAAAAGGAAACATGAATCGTAGCCCGACAGGTGATGGCATGAAGCCCCCTGTATATCAACACCGCATGAATCGTAGTTGGAGATTTTGTCCCAAAGGAAGAGAGAGGACAAATGAACAGAAACATGTTCATGTTCAAACTCAAGTTCTTGCTTATTCCGACACCTCTTCCGCTCTACTATTTTGTACCCAACAGTAGAAGCCAATTAATAAGAGGATGATATTCTCAATACCTCCTCGCCTCCCTCTCGCCGAAAAATCCAGATATGTTCCTCTTTCTCTTGAGACCTGAAGCGGAACTGGGCCTCGATGGAGGGGTGAGAAAGATCTCTTGCTCTGAGGTGGGCGATTCGTCGTCATAGACTACTCTTTTCGACTTAGAAGAGCCCACGCGGTTTGTTCCGGAGTCCAGGATGGTTTTCTCAATAGAGAGAAAGGTTTGATCTGAGATGGGCGAGTCGTCGTCATAAACTAATCTTTTCGACTTGGAAGGACCCACACGATCTGTTCCGGAGTCTAGGGTTGTGTTCTCAAAGGTGAATGATAGACCTGTATGTAGCTGTGGTGTTCGCGCTACAGACGGTCCGCCATTCCGATGTGTATCTCTATTGGGAGTCTTCGGTGGATATATAGAAGCTGCATTGGCGTTGGCGGGAACATTGACGTTGACCGGTGCCTTCGATAAAGAGACGCTCGGTGGAGGGTTGTTGGCTTTGAGAAACGTATCAATCACCTCCAGCCAATGCAAACCATATTTCTCCAATTTCATAGGTCCTATGCCCTTGACCATGCGGAGACTTGCAGTGTCTTGTGGCTGAGAACGCGCAATATTCTTGAGTACTAGATCATGGGCAACTACGTATGCGGGTAAATTGTCCATACGGGAAAGATGGGCTCGTTTCGATCTGAGGGCTTCGAATAGAGCATTTTCGGTCGCGTCGAGCTCCTTGAATGGCGATTTCTCTAGTTTGGGAGCGGGTGACTTGGTACTTTGTGCTGGCGGGGTCGTGAACTGAATGGTAGATACAGTCCGAGGGGTGTGCACTGGATCTGGGGCGTTGGGGCTTTCGTCATTGAATGCGGCAATGACCCTAAGGAAGTCCGCTCCGTACTTATTAACGAAGACCCCTCCTATACCGCGAATCTTCTTGAGACGATAGGCGCTATCTGGTCTTGTTCGTGCCATCCTTTTGAGTGCAGCGACCGACGTCACTGCATATGGTTCGCAGTTGTGCTTGATCGCTAGCTCGTTGCGACAATTCTCTAATCGGTCATACAACAGCATTTCCGTACCATTCAAAGGATCTTGGTCCACACTCGATTCGAATGAGGACTTGGGTTTCTTCGACTCGCCGTTGTTTGCCTCAACATTAGCAAGTTGCACTCCTCCACCATCTGCTGTCAAATCGATAGTTTCAACATTGGTCTGATTTTCTTCGGTCGGGACAATGGTGGTTTTTGCGACTGCGAAGACCTTCTCAGCTGTTGTATACTCTTCACCCTTAACATCTGAATGCAGGCGAATAGCTTGCCTCCCCGCTCCCTTGAAAGGCAGGTACTTGTCCGCAAGCAGTGGCATAGGTGGAACGGGATCCATGGCCAATCTCTGCGCATTCATACAATGATACAGCATGGGGCCGGCATAGGCATCAGCAGCCGCATAATTGAGCCTCTTCTTGTGAGGTTGCCAATGGGCGTAAATCTCCCTCCTCCAGTTGCACTTTCGTATGTCGTCGTCCTTGCACATCGGATATCCGAGATGCTTCTGCACCATCGCCCCAAGGCTCGTGTTCCTGATGACAGTGTTGACTCTTGACGGTTCGGTCGGTCCATGGGTGACAAGATAGTCAAGGTGACATAACTCGAATATTCCTTTCGCCGTGATACCGAAGTACTGGAGCAGTCGGCCGCAGTCGGCAGACATAATGTTATGCCCCGTCTTGACGATGTTGGGACTTTCGATGATCTTGCGTAATGATGGTGCAATCAGGTCGTCTGTCGTTTTACCCACGTGCTGTCCAATATGGAAGAGTGCAATCTGGTGCTCGCTGGCGATCTGTATCATCGATATTTCGTCTTGAAGATCCCGTATCTCTCCCTTCTTGTATGAGATCACCCATTCCATGTCGAATCCCACCAACTCTTCACCCAAGAAAGCTTGAGCGGCATTTTCGGACTGTTCTTTGGTCTTGCAGTAAGTCACCTTGACTTCCTCGTTGTTCGGACCTCGATACAAGGTGTGATCCCAATATGGTTTGTAGTTTATAGTGGGTTCAGCGGCGAGTTTGAATGGTCGGGGCCATGTTTGGTTCTCCCCGGTTGCATTTCCAGCAACATCTTCGAGATTGGACGTCGTCTCCTCGAACATGTGTCCAGCCTATAGATGCCTAGGTGTATGACTCTTCTTCAGCCTCGTCGAATGGTTGGGTCGTTAGACACTTCAAATGCTCCTGGCCTTGAATGATATATACTGCGTAATAAAGCCAAAGATGAACTAATAAGAGACATGAATTGATGAATAGAAAGTAAGGGTTTGGTAAGATCTATATCGTCCAATATTGATGTTGTTGTTCAGCTTCAAGATAGCCGCCGGGGTTCAGGTGCTTCAACGCTCGGACCCTCTTGGGTGGTGATCTTCAGTGATCGCGTGGGCACGTGTGACAAACGCGCGAACACATGATGCCTAATTGGGCAATACATTCATTGAAAGCCTCAGGTAGAGGAAACCATGGTTATTCTTTTCACAAACACTCTCTTTGTTTATTCTTCTTAGTTGAGTCCAAGAATTTTCGTAACACCATTGCTTGCCAGGAACTAAATTTGGTAGCATTGTACCATAACGAGCCCCAAACAGTGACCCTTCCTGAGACGATGATACCTGGTTGGTTCTGATTTTGTGCTCGGTAGGCCATCTGTCTGAACGTTCCAAAAAGTTTTAAATAGCGCACTTGGTGACGCAGAGCTAGATGACGCGCAATCGACACATTCCGAGGACTTGAGGGGGTTGTCTTTACCATCTGTCATATTTTCTTGGAGATCCACCTGAGCGATTTGACATTGCAAATTGCGGGCTAGCAAAACATGTTAATTCCCTCTTTGATGTTTCATTCTCCTTCTGTCAAGTTTCCTGATCATTGAAGTTGACGTCATATCTCAAGGTTCTCACGATGCTCGACTTCATCCATTCTCGGCTGAACAGATCGGGTCTCCTAGTACCGACATTACTGATCACTCCACATGTTCATTATTCCTCACGATTCCGGATTTCCATTCCGATCATTTCAAGGATCGAATTTGCCTATTTGAGGGTCAGAGTGTTGCCAAGGCAGTCAGTGTCGCCTTTCCCACGCTCCGAGTTTCAAAACTCGCCTCAAACCATGGCTCGCCCTCAGTATCTACCGGAGAATATTCATGCATCTCGAATGCATGCCAATTGACATGCGCCTTGATGGATTCAACGGCTTGGTATTCTTGATGCGGGGATATGGACGCGTAACGTCTTTCCTTCATTATATATTCGCCATGCGGAGCTTGTGATGTACTTACTACACACACATTTCGCTCTAACCTCTGCGAGGATTGCCACAATTCACGTCCTCTTCTGTACATACGATCATTCAACCTTAATAGACCATTTCTAGATTCTCAATCATGTTCACCTCTACCGTCTTCCTACTTGCTTTGGCTGGAATTGCGCGGGCGCAAACCCCCCAGGGCTTCACGCCCTCCGTCAACACAAAACTCGACGTCTTCTTCAACTCCACAAGTGTAGCCACACCCGGTCAACGACTCAAAAAAGCCAGTCAGTTTACCCCTCTCACTCTCATCAGCCATCAATCAACCGTACTAACCCTCCCAGCCACGGCATCCCAACCCCAACTCGCCCTTCCCGCCACCGCAAACGTCTCCTCCTCAGACTCCTACATCTTCGTAATGATAGACCTCGACGTCCCGCCCGCAGAAGGCCAAACAACCCGCCGCACCATCCTGCACGCCATGATCACCGACTTCAAAGCCACGTCGCAAGCAGTTGGATCCAGCGGCTCGCGACTCCTCGCGTCCCAGGAGAAAGGCCCCGCAGCGTACATCGGTCCCTCGCCGCCAGCGACAGACAGTACGCCGCACCGCTACGTGGAACTACTATTCCAACAGCCCGCGCAGGAGTTGAGTGTCAGCGAGGCGGACTTCGAGGACATACAGTCGAGGATTGGGTTTGAGATTGAGCAGTTTGCGCAGCAGAATGGGCTGGGGGAGCCGCTGGCGGCGAACTTCTTTACCGTTAGTGGGCAGCCTGGTGGTGGTGCGAGTGGGACGGCGGGGAGCTTTGGTACGGCGACGGGGAGTGGGGGCATCGTGAGGAATACGCTTGCACCTGAGGAGTTTGAGGGGAGGGCTGGGAGGGTGGATTTCTCGTTGGGGTTTGCGGGGTTGGTTGGGGGGCTTGTTTTGGCTGTCGTGTAGTTAAAGCAAGATCATGAATTTAACGATTGGAATGCTTGCTTGATGACGAGTATCTTGTGTGGGGTGTTTTGCTTCAAGAATGGAGACCATAAACGATATGACTTGACGACAGGGTTATCATTTTGCATTGGATAAGCATTATTTTCATCAGGTCTATTGTGATCTATACTAATTCCTAGTCATGCCTATATTCATGTCGGGTTTTTGTCTTTATGCATTCGTAAAGTCTTTTCTTTCTATCCACATTTTGTGCGTGTATGTCATCAGCCCGTATCGACCAAACACCACATCATGCAACGTCGTAAAATCATGATCAATTTGTATCCTGTTCCCTCCGTCGGTACGTTCAACTAAGCCCACATGGCCCTGAACTTAGTGTCGAAGTCCTCTCGCAACATCTTGAATGCCTTGAGAACGTTCATTAGGTCCGCGCCTTCCTCCCAGGCTGGCTTCTCTGCCATCGCGGATTGCTTCTTCTTCTCTGCCCTCTTCGCTGCAATTTCCTCTTGGAAGTCTTCTTCATCCGCATCATCATCCCATGAGTCGGCCACCTTCTTTTTCTTCTTCGTCTGCACGGTGAGATCTTGTTTGGCGGCTCCGAATTTGTTTGGCATCGAGGTTGTTGAGGCAGTCTCGTAGCCCGAGTCCTCAGGCAGAAGCTCGTCTTCTTTGCGCTCCTCTTCTTCCTCGCCTTCTCCTCGGACGTCGGTGAAGTCGAGATCAGACGCAGAGGTAAGATTCATGAAGGTCGAGAGACTGGTGACAATAGTGGCTAATACCATGCTAAAATCATTGAGAACGTACCAAACGTCGCCGCTACGGATCTTGTTCGCAGACGCGAGAGCAGCAACATCTCCATGCGTGAAGAAATCATACAAGTACGCGTTCAGCGGTAGCTCGGACTCCTCGGGATACAAGGGAACATATGGAACCACAGCCTCTTCGAGGAAGACTCCGGATCGAGCAGTATTGCATAGGTCGTGGACCGAGTCGAACTGATCATCGTGGCCAGAAAGAGCAACGAACGCCGAGCGAACGTTGGTCGGAGGGCGGCGCTCAAGGGATCGGGCATGCGTTGGGACATCCTCGCCACCGATCTTGATCTGAGTAAGTGGCAACTTGTCATCCGATTGGTCGATATGCTTTTCGGCAAACGTCTGAACATAGGCGCTGAATATTTCGAGAGTTGAGCTGTTGTGGCTACGTAGAATATGTGCGGCGTCGGTGGGCATTGGCGGTAAGAAGACGAGCGACTGGCTCTTCTTCACGACCTCGTCAACATGTTCCTGGTCGGCCTGTCGGCAGTACACGCGACCAAACAAATGGGCCAATGTCAACATCAATTCCTTCAAAACATTCTCGGAATTCTTCTCCACATTTGCGCACAGCTTGTGGAAGAATCCATCCTTCAGTAACGCGTGGAAAGCGAAAGCCGAGTTCTCGGCGAAATAGAGATGGCTTACGCATCCGGCGAAGTTCAATGGCGCGCCGCGAGAGTCAAGCAGAAATTGTCGACGCAAGTACTCGATTGAAAAACGTAGATGATGTAGCACTGTCATCTTCGATTCTTCCCCACCAAGGTACAGGCGTGGTTGAGACAAAAGAGCATTGACGGACCGAATGGCAAAAGGCGATTCTTTGGACTCATTCAACAATGTGAACAACCTCAAAACCAGCGTTGTGGTAATGGGAAAGTGACCATTGAGGTCCGGGAGACGAGAGCTGACCAGTCTGTGGACTTTACCGAGGGAGATACCGTGGAAAACAACGTTTCCCAGCATGTCAAAGCCTCGACGACCTGCACGACCCGCAGCCTGTCGATAGTTTAGAGCCGAGAGGAAGACGGAGTCACCAGAAAAGACGACAGTCTTGCAAGGCATGTTGATACCAAGAGCGAGGGTACCTGTAGCAATGACTACCCTTAGGAATCCCTTCCTGAATAGCATTTCGACGACCTGGCGGTACTTTCTGTTCATACCAGCGTGATGGATTCCAATGCCTCTCCTTAATGCATCGAGCAAATATTGGGGCACTTCACGTCGGATAAGTTCCTTGAAGTACTTCGCAAGCTCCTCCAGAGATGCCTTCCTCTTGTCAGCAAAGTGAAAGCCGTCTTGTGGATTTTCCGGATCAAAGGACGCCCATGGGCTAGCGTCACTGGAGGCCGCATCTCTCATCAAGTCGGCTTTTGACAAGACCTCATCGTCGCCCCCACCTCCCTTCTTTTTCGACACCTTCGGAGGGCCTCGCTTGTCCGCCTTAGCCATAGCCTTCTTCCAGGTCTCCCAGGCTTGAAGGTCGGACTTCCACTTCGGACTGGTCTCCTTCCAGGAAGCTTCGGTCTCTACAAGTTGCTTCAAGAGGTTTTGACCGATCTTCTCAACAATGCCTCGATCATAGTTGAAAATGATACCAGGGAGTGCATCCTGGGAGTGTAGGTTTTCCAACAGTGGCAAGATACCGTCGATGTCATGGCTCACTTCTACGTCGTTAAGTTCTTCATGATCTTCAACTACAGTCTTCGTATCGGCAACCTCTTTTGTGCCTTCGTCCTTTATGGGATCTTCGAGCATGTTTGCGTCCCGGCTAAGATCTTCATGGACGGCATCAAAGGGAGAATTAGAATCTGCCAGCCAAGCCTTAAGAACTTCCTTAATTGATGCTTCCCATTTGATGATATCGGTCTTCTTCACCACATTTGGTAATGCCGAAGCTGGGTCCAGCGATTTATCTAATGTGTAGCCTGGCTTTTGATGTTTAGACATGCTCTCCCACAAAGTGAGACAGTCTCGGGCTTCAAGACTGAAATCGCTGGGTACACCTCTGCCCCGGTTCACTAAACTCGTGATTGGGTGCAAAAACGTGAAATCTTTGGCATTATCCAATCCCAGTTGTGCAAAAGCGCGATTGTCGGAAAGACCCTCAAACTTGTAGGCCTTTGGAGGCGTATATACAAATTTTCGAAGGTCGCTGTATCGGTGTGGGTGCTGCACCATGCGCATCTTATTTCCAACGGCTTCTTGGGTCGAGGTGAGCCAAGCATTGAATTCTTGCGGATTTCCAATAGTCGCAGACAGAGCGATGATTGGGCAAGGAGCCAACAGCAACAACTGTTCCCAGACTAGACCATCCTCAGCTTGGCCAATACAATGAACTTCATCGAAGATGATCCATTTCACACGTTGTGACCATGACTTTGCATTGCTTGGAGCCAGCAGCATCATCTGCAGGATGTGGGGGACTGTGACCAAGATCTGACAACCCGTTGGGTTGTTAATTCGGTAATCACCGGTGTGGATACCCCAGACGGAATTTCCGCCATACTCATATCGTTTCGAGAAGCGTGCTTGGACTTCAGCTGCGATTTGATTGACCAAGGCTTTGGTAGGCGCCACGTAGACGAGGATATCGTCATTGTTGGCTTCGAGAACCTGCTTCATGGCGTAAAAGGAGATGAAGGTCTTTCCTGCTGACGTCGGAGCGATAACCAGCAAACTGTTCCTGGCATCAATCTCGTCAAGGACTTTACGTTGCCATGCGTCGGGTTCGAAGGGAACGCGATGATCAGGGGCAGAGTCTATGCTTCGCTCAAAGTACGGACCGCAGTGTAGAAGTTGAAACCTTTGCGCTGGTAGGGGAATCGTGATATCTACAGTCGGGGAAGCCTTCAGTACGAAATTGAAAGACAACGCACGATCCTCAGTGGGCGATGGTAACACGAGTTGAGGCAATTTGAGAAGTTTGTTTGAAGTCGTCAAAGAATTGGCGATAGTCTTGGTGATAGGACGACGGAACTTTTGGAAAGAACTGATTGTGTCGAAGACCAGAGCAGCGAGATGTAAGTTTTGCTCCTTTTGATTGTTCCTGCAAAATCCAATCCACATCTCCAAGAGGATGTTAAGTTGGTAGAGGCGGACCTCAGCTTCAAGGGTGTCGCGCTTGAGATCATTGTTGAGCGTGTTCTGGTACTGTCTTGCCTTTTGGTACTTTGTGGCTAGATTCGGTTCTTGATCTAGTGTTTTGCATGATAACTTCCATCCTTGTATGATCTTTTCTGCACTTGCCTCGTCCTTCTTAGACTTTTTTGCGGCAATATCTGCTAACATGGCTTGCTTTTTGGACATAGCAGGCTTCTTATTGTTCTTTGCGTTAGCTTTTCCCTTTGCATTGCCTTGGGCAACTTCCGCTGGAGGTGCAGTTGGTGCTTTGCTCCCTTTGACACCGGTAGTAATGATTTCCGGCTCAAGCGCCTTGCCAACTGCATTGGTAAGACTCGCTGCATAAGCTGTCATCTCGGCCATGAACCACTGGTTGCGGCGGTTAGCAAAGAACGCTTGCTTCTTCGACCGTGCGAGTTGTTCCTCCCTGATTTTGGGGTCCACTGGTCGCTTGCTGTTGTGCCAGTTAAAGGCCTCACGGAAGACCATTGCTGACGTACTATCTGGTTCATCCCCAGATCGATCTACAACCAGCTCGACGGGTGACAAATGTTTATCGAACACAGTGTTAGATAATGGCAGCACAGCGTAGGTATGGTCGGACTTGTTGAGCTTGTCGAATTTTGCCTGCGATAGTGGCTTCGAAGGTGGAGCACTGGACTCGCCCAGAGGAAATTTGATCGCATCAACGAGGATTCGGAACCTATCGCCGGCACCTAGAGACTCATCTTCAAGACAGGCCGCGAAGAGTTTCCCATCTACGAGATCGGCTACGTCGCAGACGAGACCCAACTTGGCAACATCATTTTGCCAGTGTACTGATTGTAGTATACGTCTGCTCTCTGAACAGAACTCTACTATAAAATCTGTACCATCTTCGTCAAGATCGATGTCTTTGGGAAGTCGAGCGGTAAGTGGAAGCTCAGACAGCAAAGCGAGATGGCGAAGAAAAGCAGAACACTGCTCCATGTCAATGTCTTCCGAAGAACTAAGCTTCAAGAGAGTCAGAAAAGTTAAGTACTCGCGTTCCGTAAGTTGGCTGGTTGCGCGTGAATGAATGGAGCTCAAGCGACTCTGATCATACGGGACGGAATCTTGCTCGTCATTACTAGGTTCGTCCGTTACATAGGACTAATGATCTGTTAGCTTTGGAATTACAAATTAAGATGTAAGGTAGAATCAGTGGATCATTTACCGTCTGCTGCTGTGATACGTCGTGTCTTTTTGCCCTGGAGTTTTCCAGGACCGTAGTGACCACCTTGGTATCCCGGAACCTAAGGCCATTCACCAATGCGGCATTATAACCCCTCTCAACGAACCAGAATATGAGCATACGGAACATGATCTTAACTCTTTCATTTTGCTCTTGATCTTCATTCTGGGTGGTAGCAGAATCTTTGTCAAGGATCTTTCGGTCACGTGAAGAGCCTGACACGGCACCATCGTGGCATAATATGAAATATACATCTGTAGTACGAAGGTATTCTGCGAACCTCGTTGAATGTACAGAGGGAAAATTGTGGACCTCAATGTCTGGATGAAGAGACTTGAGATTTGCACCCAAATGTCGGATGATGGCAGCTCTCGCCAGTAGATATTTCTGCCGATCATCGGCAGACACATGCTGCGGTACACACAACTCGCGATGCTGATCGAAGAAGGCAATATGGAAATTGCACCGTCGAACAACAAGGCTGCGTAGGAAGCTCTCAATAGCATATACAGCGTGAAGAAGTTGAAAGTTTGGATTGAAATCGATCTGCTTATCGGTGAAGCAATGCAACAGTATGGAGTCTCCCTCGATGATGAACAACTCCTCGCCCGCGTAATCGCCTACAAGATCAACGCGGCGGCTATACACTTTGGAGTACCAGTCAAGGACTGGACTGAGGGCCTGCTCTGCAGAAGAGCCATTGCTGTCGGCCATGATGTGGGAACTAGTAGACCGAGCGCTGGAGGCGAACGGGGTGATGCAGAGGTGAGAGAAGGAGCGGGACAGTCAACATTGGACGAAGAGGTCGTATAGAGAATGCTTTTGTGTCAAGACGAGACGGTGCAGATGGTTGGAGATGATGATGGTGATAATGATTGATGTTTTTTTGATTGTCTGTCTGATGGCAAGTGCAGGGAGTAGGTGTATGTAGCACACGGCACAAGAAGTGATTTGATTGCTTCCGCAGTGATTGGCGGGGGTGTGGGCCTGCAGCAAGAGAAGTTGAGGCGAATTACTGATGAAGTCTTGCTTGTTTGAGAAATTGTTTGCACAAGAGAAACAAGTCCAAGTGGGCGGCGGTTATGGGTCCGTCTCGCTTAAGACTGTTACTAATCCTATAACAGACTAGTGAGAGAGCCGTTCCGGCCGTAGCCGTATCCATATGTCTTTAGAAACCTGTACCATCCGATTCAGCCCGCCGTTCTCTTCCATACCGTGGAAAGGAAATACCATTCGACCGAGGCAATGTCCTTTTCCTATTATAACTACTCCGTACTACATTGATTTTAAATTCCTTACTTTTGTCTTCTTCCTAAACCTCCATCATTTCGCTATGTGCTGATCCTTAAGAAGCAAATGATCCCCAAGTCCTAAATGGAACCCGAATGGAACCAACACGCTCAATCCCAAGAATGGGCCTAGCATTTCCTCCACCCAAGATTGAGGACTTCGCCAAAAGCCGCATCCGCTGAATCTCCTTTTACATGGCCATTTGAAGTCGACACTGTGGATGACAATGAGACCGACAGACTGAGCTGAAACTTCGCTGAGGCTTTGGTTGAGCATATGGACTGTTCTCCATCCCCTACCTCCCCATCTTTGTGTAACAGAAAGTCATCCTTGAACGGACCCGTCAACTTCTTTTGGGTGTTGCCCTATGGGAAAGTAAGAGACGGAAAGATCATGGATGCGAGGAAAGGCATACCTTGCCCTTGATGTCCAGGTTCGTCTTTGGGTCGATCCACTTCCATCTCGACACCAAGCTTGCATCAATACCCTTACCGAGATCGACATAACCTCTGAAGTCGACGGATTTGACGTCAAAAGCCCAACCTGGTGACGCCATGGTCACATTGACCCTGCAGAACGCTCTTTTCTTAGTGCTGCCTGCTTTGGGGCCAATCGCAGCCTGGAAATCATCGAAAATCAGAGTCATAAAATTGTTGTCCTCCGATATGAAGACTCCAACTGAGCCGGCACGACATCCGCTTCCCTCGGTATCCACGTCTGGGGCATCGACGTCGACCTTCTGTATGGTTGCAGCGCCTTTGGGTGGTTTGGTAGCCGCTTGTGGAAGAGCAGAAACAAAGGAGCAGAATATGAAATATGACACAATGACGAATGACGGTAGCATGGTGGCGTTAAAGGACAATCGAGACGGAAGAAGAGATTGTGTGTTTCCTGCTCGCACTCTGGAAGTATCAAGCGAGCCTTTAAAGAATATACTTCCATATAGTACAACATCCACAATTCGGAGATTATACTTAGCCAGGCCCTTCCGAGCGACTTATACCCGCAACACGCACGAACCGTTCGATTAAACAAGGCGGCTATACCCGCAGAGATATTCATTCAGAGCTCTGCATGATAATTCGGCCCTGCGTCGAGATCCTTCTACGCCGGATTAGGCTCTTCCATAGTATGTCTCGAATCCAAGTCAGCCGAAAATAGATGGATGCATCCTCTCAAATTCCCATCCTGGACTCCAAGAGTTCATCAGTGACTATGGACTTCGTGTTCGCTTTCAATTGTTGTCAAATTCGCCAATGAGAGGGTGTTCGCGTGTCACTTTTAGCCGGCATTATGAACACAGTCTGACATCCATGGTCTTTCCGGTCTACCGGATTACCGATAAAATGAATTACCCTGGAATCCTGCAGTAGTTCGAACAAAAGGTTACACTCTGCCGGCACCAGGTACTTTGAAGTATATGATCTCAGCCCCGGTTTGGCATACAGATTGCATATCTGGACAAGAGACTGCAGACTCGACAGGTGGACAATAATCATCAATTTCGAGACCTTTATTCGCATCTCCACACGACTATTGTCGTAGCGGCAGATTTTGAAGCTTCTCCGGGCGACTTGTGGCAACAATTCATGAGCAAACACTTCGTATCCTCAAACCATATATGCAGTCAGCCGAAGCCACCACCACACTGCTGGGTCCTCCCAATGTTCTCAATACTAGGATGTTGGACTGCTTAGTAGATGATTGTTCCTCAAGAAGGCATCCAAGTTTCACATTTAAACTCTCGACCTCTTTCGATTTGCACGGCACTTGTCGCGTATTGCCCTGTTGGGATATGACCTTTCGAAAGAACGGACAACAGAACGCCAGGCTCCTGCACGTATGACATTCAATAAAAGGGGTTACGAAACATCATCGAATCGCATGTTCCCAACTCTTCTAAATTGTTGGCAGAACCCTATGCATTGGCAAGGCAACGTGAAATCTGGCGAAGAAAAGCTGATTCCACTTCTTAAGCTCAGTTCGTAAGAAACCAGATGCGAGCCTGGAACCTCCTGTAAGCTATCAAAGGATCAAACATTCAGTACAAAGCCACTATCACTAATAGAGTCTCGCTGCATGCCCTTCATCGGTTCAGCATGCAATTCCACCTCAACCATGGATGTCCACGGGAATGTACTACCGGTCCCCGCATCTCCGCCCAGGCTCACACGTTTAGTAAGGAACGGCTACTCGCCTGCCACTAAGCATTGTTGACAATATTGGCCGCAACTTCCGTTTCGAGGTCAACAATTAGGACCGCTGAAGTCATTGGCCTTGGTATGCTAAGATGCTTATTGTTGGGTGCCATAATGTCTGAAAAGCATCAACCTCATACCATCAGCAAAGAGCTGACCAATCCGCAATATACCAAGGGAAGGATCAACAACACAAAGCCTACGCGAAGATCCAGAGCTTGATGACGACCACTCCTTGCATCCTTTTCCGATGCGCATCTATTGAAGTATTTGGTCACGAGAATAACGCCAGGGAGACTGTTCTCGCCCAAGAACAAACCAAGAACCTACGAGTATTGTGACTCACAGGACAGCATGAAGGAGCTATCATTGATTGAATTGAGAGGTCCAATTGGCCTATTCAATTGTGAATGCAGAATCAAGAGCAGTTGCTGCGAATATGTTTGTAATGTTCTCGGGATTCTCGCCGAACTGCACGCTAATCGCACTCGAAATCGCCTAGCTGGCCCCATAGTCGATCGAAATGCCTCAACGGAAAACGGCCCCGGATATGCATTTTCAATCGAATGTAACCAATCATGAGTTCTTCAAGAGAATTGCATGACTCTTGATCAGGAAGGACTAATGCATCTTCAACATCGTGACGCTACCGACTTCGGGACCCATATTTTTCTTCCCCAGCCCGGGGACCCGTTTGTTCCTTCGTTCTTCAATTTTCGCTTTAAATATCTGCCATTCGTCACTCTGCAATGAGCGTTTCATGAGCATCAAGATATCAAAATGTCTGTTCCCCTCCCAGCCCCACTGCCCACTGATCTAGAAAAGGGCCAGTATGAACAGGAGAAGATTCTTCAACATGATGGCGACACACACTCGGAGCCTCGTTCATCACTAAGCTCAGAAAGAGAAGGCGGTGGTGAAATCACCCGGATCCGGACTCAGAAGAGCACAAACTCCAGATCGTTTGGGCAATCACTCGCTAAGGCCATAACTGCACGATCCAATGCCTCGATCATCGACCCAGGGCCACCACCAGATGGCGGGCTCAAAGCCTGGACCCAAGCCATCATGGGTCATCTTGTCGTCTGCGCTACCTGGGGCCAAATCGCAGCATTTGGGAGCTGGCAAACGTATTACACGCAAGAGCTGGGACTGGAGCCATCGGCAGTGTCTTGGATCGGTTCGGTCCAGATGCTGCTCCACCTTCTGGTAGGCATGTTCTCAGGACGGGCACTTGACGCGGGCTTTTTCAAATGGGTTCTGATCCCAGGAGTTATTTGTACGACGGTTGGGTTGATGTTGACGTCGATCAGCACTCAATACTACCAACTGTTCTTGGCCCAGGGCCTTCTGTTTGGCATTGGATGTGGCCTCCAATTTACGCCATGTGTATCAGTCGTCTATACATATTTCAGTTCAAGAAAAGCTTTAGCATGTGCTGTGGTGGCCTCCGGAGGCGCAACTGGAGGTTTGATTTTCCCTACAATTGCACGTCAGTTGCTCCCCAAGTTGGGGTTCGCATGGACGATGCGTATAAATGCATTCGTCGGGCTCGCTGTTGGCTGTTGCTATTGTGTCTTCCTCAAACCTCGCATCCCACCTCGAAAAAGCGGTCCCCTCCTTGAATTGCGGGCATTCAAGGAGGCGCCGTACACGCTGTATGTTCTAGGCGTCTTCCTCACCAGTTTCGGACAGCTGTGGGCATTCTATTACATTGGACCTTATGCCATTGACGTGCTCGGCGCTTCCTACAGCGAATCTATCAACCTTCTCATGGTGCTCAATGGTGTTGGTCTTGCAGGCCGAATCATCCCGTCATATTTCGCAGACACTGTACTTGGAGGTCTCAACACGATGATTCCAGCAATTCTCGCCAGCAGCGTCATCATGTTCTGCTGGCCGGCCGTCAACTCAATGGCTGGGTTGTACGTGTACGCCGTAGTGCAGGGCTTCGTGGCTGCCTCCTTCCAAGGACTATTTCCGTCTACACTGGGGACATTGACGACGGATATGACCAAGATCGGTGTCAGGACTGGACAGGGTTTCAGCGTGATCGCATTTGCGAATCTACTCGGCCCGCCAATTGCTGGAGCTCTGGTGCAAAGATCTGGAGGCAAGTATCTCTCCGCCCAAATGTGGAGTGCTAGCATGATTTTACTGGGAGGTCTAGTGCTTTTGGCCGCTAGGATTAAGTTGACGGGTCTCAAACTTCGAGCCAAAGTTTGAATGCCTTCATGTTTGAGAGATGGTGACGAGAGATACATGCTAGGGTATCTTGTGGTTGCCTCTGGTGGTGTTTGATTTGACCGCGAGTTAGGGGTTGACAACATTGTATTGCGTTGAAGCATTTAATAATTATAATATTTGGGTATCTGGGACCTAAAAGTGATTTGGTAAAGCGAATAATATTAGCATTAATATATAGGTAGTTACCATACTAAATACATAATTGATCAAGTCAGTTATCAATACTCTTTAAATCCATACTTGATGTCGACAACATCTTTTAAGAAACACATATGTACTAACTACAACAACCAATACATATAGAATTACCAAATGACGCACAACTTCAGAAAAAGCATATCTCACCAGTCTAACCTCTTCAGATCGTTACGCTGATACCAGATGTCGAGTCCGATCATCTGAAGCTCTGACCAGGCATCAGGCTCCCCGCTGAAAGTCCATAGAGTCCGCCTGCCCCGCCGCGTAAACGACCTCGATCTAGACTACAGCGTACTGATAACTTCTCAACGTCCGCACTCGAGTCTGCCTGCACTTCGTATATCGCCACTACGTAATTCCACCATCGCCCAGGAGCCTTCTACACCGAACCGACCACTGCGGTCATGGATACAGACACGCCCAATCACCCAGCGCATTCGCACTTCCTCTCTCTTCCTGCCGAACTAATCCTCACCATCATCACGCATCTCGCAGACGACCGTCCAGCCTTGTGCTCGCTCGCGCAAACATGTCACTACCTCAAGCCGCTCGCCGAAGAGCATATCTACTCTACCATTGAGCTTCTCTCGACCGACGATCTGCGCGCCATCATTACAGCCTTCTCTCGGGATCCCCAGCGCGTCGGGGCGGTCAACACCCTCAAGATTCTGTACAAGCACCACGATGCGCTGTCCACGACCGTCGAGGAGCGGCAGACGTTCAATAGATATGTCAAGCAGATGAAGTTGCTGAGGGATTGGCATGTAGAGAGCCCGTATGACAATTTCAAGTGGGCACACGGAGGGTTCGAATGGGTTGATGAGGATATGGAGGAGTTCCGACAATCATTAGAGAGTGCCGCGCTTCATTCTGGACAGCCTCTTGTGGAGGAGATTGGCCTGGCGAAGCTAGAGAAATGTATGTTCGCATTCGGTCAATGATGAGATGAAAAGATACTAATCGTTACAGTGATTATCCATTCTCACGGCGCCGACACAGACTTCTGGGATCTCAAAGATTTCCACTGTCTCTTCCGACATCCTTCTCTCCGCTACCTACACGTCTCGTGTCTCAATCTGCCATCAGACATTCCCGAATTGGAACCATATGCTGCTCAGACACCTCTCCAAACGCTCATCTTCGACGAATGCGAACTGGAACCTCGAAGTCTCGGCCGCATACTAAGCACGCCGAAGTCACTGAAACACTTGACATTGGGCGAGAATGTACACAACATAAAGAGAGACAGAGGCATACAACCGAAACTCTCCAACGCTCCGGACGAAGCCATAGAAGCTCTTGCGCCGGTCGCCCATTCATTGGAGACCTTGATCCACATCGACCCCAAATTCAACACCCTCCCCGACCCCTTCCACCCACCGGCTCTCCGCCTCCGCGGCTCAGGCATGCGCAACTTCCACAAACTCCACTCCCTCGAATGCGACCGGTGCTCCTTCCTCCACCAAGGCATCATCGCCAACCGCCTCCTCGCGCCCCCCAACCTCCAAACCCTCCGCATGTACAACCCGCGGAAAATGGACAGCTCCTTCTGGGACGACCTCCCCGAGCACACATCCTACACGCAACTCCCCTCCCTCCGGCTCCTCGAATTCATCGAAACCACCACCCTCCGCACCTCCGCCTTCCTCGCCGACTACGTCGGCGACTTCGACCGCACGCGCGAACGCCACGCCTACGCCTACAAGCTCTTCCAACACAACATCGACATGAAGATGTTCGCCGAAGTGCACCACCACTACGGCCTCATCCCGCCGTACCTCGACGGCGAGGAGACCCCCGTCCGCCTCTGCCTCTACGACTCCTCGGACATCGGCTTCCACCGCGTCGTCCAGGACGAAACGCACCACCTCTCCCCCATCATCTCCAAAGTCGTGCCCCACCCGGCATCCGAATCCGCGTCCGCAGGTTTTGACATCCACATCCTCCCCTCGACCTCCTCCCCCGACGACAACCCAGAGGATCAAGAGGCGAGGGAAACAGACCACCTGTCCAAACGCGACGTCGCGCGCCTCCGCAACCAGATATGGCGCACCATGCAGCGGCACCGCGCGGCGAACGGGCGCGCGCCGCCGGCCAGCATCACGATGAACCTCGCGGACGGCGGGGGTGTCGTGCTGGAGCTCGTCACCGACGATGGGGGCACGGATGACGAGGAGGATGACGAGGATGTCGATAGCGATGATTTGGACTATGCGGTTTTTGAGGATGGGGACTTTGATGATGAGGATGAGGAGGATGAGGATGGTTTTGAGGAGGAGGAGGAGGGGGGGGAGGAGTTTGAGGACGCGGAGGAGGGGGTGTATGTTGATGGCGATGGTGAGGGTGAGGGTGGTGAGGGTGACGGGACGCCGGCTGGTGTTCCTGTCATCACTGCTCTTGCGACGTTTACTGCTGCGGACGATGATGAATTGGATTAAATTATGCTGCAATGTCATAGTACATTACTGATTTACGTATATATACTCTTTCTATTTTTGCTTTCAGTCATGTTTTGTACTTTTGTTCGAAGGCGTCGCGGGCGTTCCAGTCCGGTCAGGCCTGTATGCCGGGAACTTGATATACCATTGGCTCCATGTCGTTCTGGCGATGGAATGGCTGGCGTACGGGCAGATAAAAATATCTTCAAGGAAAGGATAGGAGGTTGGGGGGTTTAATGTACGGGTTACTATGATTTAGTGGTACTATGAGAGAGGGAGTAACGAGGGGCGTAATGTGGAGGATATGATATCGATGTCTTTAACGAATAGATAGATAATGGTAAAGAACATAAATGGATACATGCCCTACGTTGCGTGCGGACTGATACCGTCGTCGTCAAGGGAAAAACATTATGAGGGAAGTAATGGGCCAAAGTGGGAGATTGTCTGTGTACATGCCTACGAAGTAGGTACCTAAGTTAGTTACAAGGTAAGCCAGGCACGTCAATTCACAGACACTCAAGCAACGTCACTCAAATCTCAACCAAATCTCTTCTTAAACCGAGAACCCCAATTTCATTCAATCATCCATTCGCCTCCTAAACCAAAAGAAAATTGAACGAAAGGCAAAAAAAGACGACGCTTAAACAACAAACGACAAAACAACTTTTTCCGTATAACCCAACTACCTCTTCTCTCTCTTTTTTATGGTATCTCCCTTTTTCCTTTTTCTCTTTTTCCAACCTCGCTATTTAACGCTTCCTCCCTCCTTCTTCCGTTCAAATATCCCCGAGGGGATAACGGTGATGATACGTATGCAATTTAGACATGCAGAAAGACGACGGAAATATGGACTAAATGGAGTGGAGAGGAGATGGTACATGCAAAATATATCGTATCGGTACTAAGATAAGGGGAAATGAGAGCATGCGTGATGATGATGGGGTCGTTGATGTCGTTATGCGTTGGATGGATATCTTGGTCCTTGTGTTCCCTGCTGCTGCTTCTTTTTCCTTCGTCTTGTTCGTTTTATTTTTCGTTTTGAGTTGGGATGTCAATGTATTGTTGATATGCTGGGAGGTTAGTGGGACGGCAGGGAGATGAGATGGTAGGTTGGTGAGTGGGTGGATATCCGGTCCGACGTGCTTTGAATGGGTATGCAAGAGTAGTCTCCGCCACACATGGTAAAAAGAGCAGTTGAGAACCCAATGGAGCGACTGGCAGATCTGACAACGCCCCTCATGCAAGGAATCGAAAAAGCCAGTGGACAAAAAAAAAAAAGAGCCGCGGCTCAGCGGCGTGGGGCGATTATGAACGCTCTTAACTCCACAACTGCAGAAAAGAGATTCCATAATCGTCCAAGAGAAAAAGGTGCATACGGACGGACATGAGGTAATCGGTGAAGAAGGGTAAGAAGAGGGGTTCGAAAAGACCAAGCCATGGAATCCAGCTCCCCTCCCCTCGCCCCCGTGAGAGGAATGAGGAAAGGTCGGGAGATGTGTTGTACAAGTGTCGTGTGATCGCTCACTCGCTTTGGGAAGTTCTGCAATTTAGTGATGTCTGGCCCATGACCAAAAGTGGATTTCGTTGCAGTGAACGTCTTGTTCCCCCACCCACGAACCCGCCCACTTAGTCGCAAATCAGCAATTCGATCGGTGGGAAAAAATGGGAAAATGCCAGCAGGCGAATACGCTGATCCCAACGAATTACTCCACTTTAAAAATTCCAAAATAGTTGAGGCTCGTGGGAAGGGGACAGCGAACGCGCTACATCCCACGCATTCCGTAAGGTACGGAGTTGGAGTTTTGTAGTTGCCGTCTTATCAGTGACTTAGTGAGAGGGAGAAGCGGCGGATGGGAAGCTGTGGTTGGCTAGTCAAGCGGTGCTGGAACGCCATTTTCAGCACCGTTCAATGCACCCAACGCACGACTCCGCTCGTCTTCGCTCACCATCACTGTACCTGCTCGAGCCGTCGAGAGGTAACTCATCTCCACTGGGTTTTCGAGTTGTCCACTCGTCGCGCCGACTAGACGTCCTGCTACTCCGCAGACAATACCCGTGCTCTCCATGGGTAATTCGCGCAGATCGAGAGTGATGGGAATGAGATAGTCATCCTTTGAACCCAGTAGGAAATCCGGGGCGAAGTTTGGCAGCAGCGTGTGGTCGATCAGGAGCGAAGGCGGTTCAGTGTCGGTCAGTGTGAGGGATAAGAACCGCGGGTAGGGTTCTGAAATGAGGCATTTTACGAGTCCAAGATGTAGCGCATCGTCCGCCGCGCTTGCCATGCTATTGCGATTGTGACCACCCTGGCTCATGCCGTTCATGCTGTCTCCGCGACCTGCACATTGGATGAGGCGCAGATCGGAGCTCACGGTCGGGGTGATTCCACATCTCTTCAGTGTTGCGAAAGTCCGGGTCTGAAGTTCCGAGACGGTCGCGGGCGGAGGCGTGCCTGGTATGGGAATGTCGAATGATGCAACTGAGCTTTTTCGACCTTGGTTGCTGGGATGATTTGGGTTGACATACGACGATGTTTGGTCTTCGAACTGGAATCCACGTTCCTCTAGAGCCTTCACGACCTGCGCGCGTACTCGTACCGGTACGAGAATGTAGTCGGCAAAGTAGGTCGTTATGAAGAAGATAGAACTATACTCGTTACACTAGAGTCTTTGTAGAATCATTACCATCAACTTACATTCCTGCCAGAGCGAGCGGGCTGGTGAGCTCCAACACTCGTTGGCCAGCATCGAGGCCCTCGCCATCAACTTGCATCACCACAAAGTCCTCGTTGGTGATCGAGATCCGGTCCTTTACTCCTGCGCGGTTGAGCTCATCGCGTAGAGGGACGAAGAGCTTCTCGGCCAGTTTCCGTGAGCATACTATCGAGCACTCCACTGGAGTGACGGAGATGTTGACGAACGGACGGTCGTATGGCCAACCTTTCGGGGCCTGAACCGCGCCATTGCCATTGGCGACTCCATTGCTGATAGTGTCGCTCGGCAGCAAGAGTTGTAAGATCTTTTGGAGGAAGTTGGAATATAGTTTCAAAGGAATGTGTACCAGAGCCAGTTCCGTGTCCTTGAAGTTGAAGGAAATCATAATGTCAGCGAGGGTACCAACGATCAAGGGAGGGGGATTGTGGGGATGCGAGATATAAAAAAAAATGAGATGAAAAGATCGAGCCAGCCCTACGGAACGGTGTGGCTGAGGGATATACCTAGCCAATCTCGTTCCGGAAGGCATGAGCGTACAATGTCTCAACGCAGTGCAGTGCAGGTAGGGTATGACGGATGACGATAAGATACATACAAGGAACTGGATGTGTGCACTCAGCAGTGTCATGGACGAGTCCATTACGTGCAACGCCGGAAGATAAGAATAGAGGGTCCGATGATGACCGGTCTCGTGGACAGGGAGGAGGACGGTGCCTGCAGGCTACAGTTGCCCAGGGTGGGATCCGAGCTAGAGGGGAGTTGGACAAGGCTCACGGCCAAACCCGAGTTGGACAGACGTTGGCGTTGGCAGTTGGGGGAATCGAGGCAGATGTGTCGAATTCCGATGGTGGCAGAAGAAGCAATGCACGCCCGAGGAAGCTGTGACGGATAGTGGGGGGATTGACAGATTTGCAGAGTTGCAGATTTGTGGATTGTAGATTGCAGATTGCAGTAGTAGAAGATATGGGGGATTCGAGCTGGGATTCGACAGTTCACCGATTGATGTGTTCCTGTCCGACGGGCCAGTGGGAGGTGTTGTTTTTGAAGTTCATTCCCGAATTTGATGGAGCAAGGAGATGGTGAGGAAAATAACTTGGACGGGTTATGGGGTGGATGCGCAGATTTGGGGGTGATTTCCTTGGTCAATGGCGATGGATACCGCTATACGAGCAGACGATACGACACGACACAAACGGTCGAATCGAACAGAGAGATGATTGAACGGCGGGTTGGCGTGGAGAATTGGTGACACAACGATGGATTGGACCTACGAAAGCACGCACACGCAGGACAGGAGCTTACGCGCACGAGCCGCGGGAGATGAGATATTGGAGAGGAAAGGCGTAGGCGTTGTTGATTTGGAGCAAGGATGGGACGAGATGGGACTACGCAATGGAGAGAGCTGCAGTCTGGGGTAGGTCGTGCAGCGTGGGGTAGCAAGCGATGTGAGACGGGATTGTAATTGGCGGAATGAGGCGTGGATCAGGCAAGCACAGGCGAGTGTCGACAATGCAGGATGCTTGGATGACGAGTGGTTGTGTTCCAAGGTTGGTAGGGATGGTGGTAATGGTAATGAAGTGGAAGTGGAAGTGGAGGTGGTGGTGGTGGTGGTGGTGGTGGTAACAACGTTGGTGGTAAGTATGTTGATGACCCGTTCCGAAGAGGCACACGATCCTGAGCTGAAGTTCGGAACGTGGGGTTTTGGTTAGGAATGATGAAGTTGGGATTGGAGATGACCAAGGAAATGGACTTGGGCCGAGACTGCTTGGTGCGCTTGAGGCGGGTGGGTTATTCGTCTTCTGCAGGTGCGGGAACGACAGCGGACGTAGCCAGCGCGGGTGGTCGTAAGGGAAGTAGTAGCAGCAGTGGTGGTGGTACTACCGAGGATGATGACGATGATGCTGGTGGTGATGGCGGCTGGGAAGAGTGGGAGTGGGAGTGGGAGTGGGAGTGGTGGTGATGGTGAAATGACTTGACTGTCTGGGCGGGTATGATGAAGTCGGATTAGGATATGACTAGTAACGGATGGATGGAGTCCAGTCAGAAAGAGGGAAAGGGCTCTTTCTTCAACACCAAGCCAACTAACTACCACGAGAAGGCCAAAGTAGAAGATACGAAGGTGAGTTGTTTGGCAGTGGGGAATCAGTAATATATAAATACGTATGTACAAGCCAGTGCAAGAGATGCGACCGGTAGGTATTCTAGAGTGGGACTAGGAGTCTAGGAGTCTAGGACTGCCGTAGCCGTAGGTGACGATGGCTCAGACGAGACGGTACCGACAGGAAATTAGGGATACCTAGAGCGGCAATAATGGACTTGGACTTGTACTTGGGGCTGATGACTCGAACGTTGGAATTAGTGGAGCAGCACGCCGCAAGACACAAAGGAGAAGAGAGCAGAAGAAGACAGAACAGGGACCCGAGAAATATTCCTTGGAGAAAGAGAAAGAGAATGGCGAGTGACAAGTGACAAGTGACGAGTGACGAGTGACGACGGACAACGGGCTGTTACCGCTGGACTGGTAACCACCTAACGACGTGCACGAGAACGAGAACGAGAACGAGAACTAGGGCTACGGAGCTAGAACGAGAACTAGAGGCCAAAAGATGCCGACGGCGAAGAACCAATGAAACGGGCGGTTATAGAGAAAGAAGGCAGAACTAGACGAAGAAAGAGAAGAATTAGAGGAGACTGGCTATGACTGGACATACGAGTACCTAACTACAACACAATACATGCATTTCAAGGTACGAGTATGAAGAGAATGACGAGAGTGGTTGGCCTTCTGCAGGCGACGGACTACGACCCTGAACATACCTCGTACAGGCATGCAATGTAGAAAGCAAGTCTTCAGTACATACATACAATCAATCAATACTACTAGTACTAGTACTAGGAGTACTTTGTATCAATATCTCTCATGTCTATCTAGTACATGGAACAAAGGCGAATCAACATCAAAGAACAGTGCGAGCAATAGTATATTAGATCTATTCCAAAGGTACCTACCATCCCTATGTACCTAGCTATCTGTATGTATGTATGTATGTACAGTACGTTGATTGCTATTGGAGACATCTTCAATTTTAGGATAGTAATGGCATAGATGCCTACTTAAACTGTACAGTATTCAATATTGTATCCAACATGGTATGCTGTCACAACTGTGTACACAGTAATAGGAGAATCCAGTTCCTGACCTGGATACCATCCTAGCACTAGTAGCAGGTACCTAGTCTGACCTATGCAGTCTACCATCTGCATCTCTGCGTCATCGTTGCCTCTTTGTAAAGGCGACAAATCTTTCAAAGAACAATATTTTCATTCTTCCTTTCATTATTGAGTCATCTACTATACTATAGTTACCATTACTATTGAATCATGGATTGAATAATTGATTCATCTGATGGCGCCAATGGAGAGCGATAGATACCACCATCCCCCATGTGGCCTGGGACCCGTCTTCCCTTATCGCAACCCATCTGCCCATTCCCCACCTACAAAGGAAAACTTCCATTGACGGCGGCATTTGCTATTCTGACTCTACGTCTACTCTAAGTTTCCCCCTCTTCTCCCTGATCGTGTGTCTCATATCCAAACTCTAAAATCCCAGAGAGAGTGGGATGGCAATGCACAAATGGATAGTGAAAGAGTGGGGAAATGTGGGAGTGGGAGAAACAACACTCAAGAGACCAATGGAATTCCGACCTTATCCGACGCAACCGCTCCTATTATAGACAGTCTATGATATCAAAGACAACAACCACCAATCTCACATACAATAGTAGAACAATATGCAATAATCACTCGTATTTCTGCATAAAGGACCCTGACACGCTATAGGTAGATGCCGGAAACAGGCACGGATTACGTGCAGCGATGTGCGGCCGTCTTGCCCATCTTGGGATATGCCAGCACCCGACCGATGGATGCTCTGGTGGATGATGGGATGGCTGGATAGTTGGATCACCTTGCATCGTCTCGAGTGCAGGCAGTCCATACATCTATGTGCTTGTAAATCTGTATATATGTGAATATGTGAATGTATGCTGATTACTGGTCCCTGTCGATATCTACCATCACCACCAAAGCTCCTCGCTCACAGCATCATTCACACCATTCACCATTCATCTCACGCCTTCATAACAACAACCCGTGCCTCATCACCGCTTATGAGCCCATCCATTCGTACCTGTAATGACAACAAACAACTGTCCCCCCTTCTCCGCACCCGTGTCACCCTACCCTACGTAGCCATGCCCTTACCCCGCTCTCTTCTCACCCCGTCATCACCATCATCACCAACCCCAATCACCTCCATCTCACCACCACCTCTTGGCCTCCGCGTCCTAAACCCACCGTGCCATCGTGACCGACTGTAGCATGACGTATCTTCCTTCCCCAGATCCCAGGCTAACGCGGCGTCCGCATGGGCGAACCTTGTCGGTCAAGTGATGATGGACAGGCACGACACGCCGCCTCCCGAGGGCGAATCCACAATGCACTTCGAGTTCGGGTAGGGTAGCTGTGGAATGGATTTGAGCATCTGCTTCGTTGCTATCTCTCTCTGTGTGTCTGTGTCTGCTTGTTTAGTCGGATATCCAGCTCCTCTGTAGACAAACAAATCCATGCCCTCCCCTCGTCATCACCATTGTATAGGTATACACTTAAACACCCATAGCAAACACATTCCCTCCCTGCTCGGATCCCCCCGAAAGCAACCATCCCTCCCTCCTCCAACCATACAGACGTCCAGACAAGGGACCCAAAACCCCCACGCACGCACGCATCCCTCCATCCATCGTCACCCGATCGAGCGTCAACCTAAACCGCAGCTACCCTACCCTACCCTTACCCTGTGCCTGTATTTTGTGAACACGCTAGAAAGCCTGCAATGGCGATGGGAATTTATCAATCTTGCGCGAGAAACGCCCGTATTGTGAGGGCTGTGGATGGAGATGTGGTATCTGTATGCTGTACTGTGTATGTTGTGCTACATGCAAGCAAAAGTGGATATGCTAGGAGGAGGGTATGTGTGTACCCGTCTACTACCGATGGACAACTTTCGACGTCTTTTGCTTCTCTTCCTGCTCTGTGTACAGTGTATAGTGGAGAGGTACGAGCGTATGTGCATCCTCTTCAGTGTCTACTTCCCTCTCCTCTTTGATACAGCTTGCTCCATGAGGGTACGAGCCTACCTTCCGCATACATCACCGAGAACTCGATCTCAGGTACCACCTTCGTACAAAGGTGAATAGTACAGTGGCTAGATTTTCTCGCTCTTGATATCAGTGAGGACCACATAGCGCAGAATCTCGATCAGTTGAACAGTCAAATGCACTCTTGTCCCATGTGAAATCGTGGTGTACTGGTGCCTTTTCGTATAGACATTCGTGTACGCGTTGATGCATGTCCCCTCGGAGATATGGTTTATGTTGATCGTGTCTTGTTAGCTGTGGATATGAATTGTACACATGGGATTGTGGGGTGTAAGCTACGCAGTGAGACATGCAGCGAAGCATGGGAGATGTATCTCAAGTTTGAAGCTATGGGTTTGATGCTTGTTCTGGAGATTAGTACGTGGAGACTTGTGAGGGATTGCGGATTTGATGGGAATCTTGATCTAGTTTGGGAGGGGGTTTGCTGGTTGTGGATGCAATAAGTTGACTCTGTGCTTTGTGATAGGGCGGAGGGATTTGATGTTAAGGGATATAATGTCTGTGGATTAGAAACATTCATCACAAATTCCTTTTTTCGAGTGATCTGGATTGCTTTCGTATTTTTGAATTGAAGCTGTGATATTTCTCTGGTGATCCGTCCGATCGGAAAAAATTGTCTCTTCGAACATTGCAGATAAAATCTTCACCATGATCCACCGCTTCCAGGCTTCGTCGTCGAACATCCCCCATTCTCCAGAAAAGGATCGAAACAAGAACGCCGTCCCATTGCGCCAGTTTTAGTTCGCAAATGTGCTTTCCCCCAGCAACTATTCGTCCCATGCCGCGTTCCCCTCAGACCGCCTCGCACTCGGGTATTTCATCTCTCCCTCCTCATATCTTCCATGGCGTCGCTCGTCGCTTATCGCACACGTAAATATATCGCAATGTCGCCGGTAGGAGATCTCGATGTCGTATCAATTGCTATCCATGATTTACTGTCCAAGCGCAACCTTGTCCTCTGCGGAAAGAAATCAGCACCACAATTCGTTTCGTCCAGGGCATGTTAGAGTCGACTACTCACTCTGCTGGGTGATCAAAAGTCCGTAGCGCTTCTTGATCGTGACGCGGTGCCTGCACATCCTCTGTCAGTCCTCTTTTCTCATTTCCCACATTCGCCAATCAAGCATTCCCAATCCCTAGATCTTCCACCCTTCGAATTCTCCAACGCTCTTTCCGTCTTCTTTCTCTTTCTCTTTCTCTTTCTCTTCCATTCTGCGAAGGGGGACTGCGTGAAACGTACCTCGAGTACCGGTCATCAGGCGAGAATCGCGCCGGGTGCGCAGACTTGGACACCTCGCTTCCGACGACCTTCTTGAGGGTGTAGACGCGCTTGCCGGCGGCGTCGAGGGTGTACATAAGATGCATGCTGTTTTCATTGTTAGCTTCGGTTCCTGGTTTGCTTTCCTCTACTTGGAAAGCTTTGCGATTGATTGAAATGGAGTGTCGTTTTGATGCGGTTGCCGTAGGCGCAGGCGCAGCGCCTTGAGATTGGAGAGGAATACAATGGGATATATGTGTATACGTACGTTACGGTATTATGTGAAGAATTGAACGACTAAAAGGTGTGTTGAATGTCGAGCACGTATGTATCAATCGAATCGTGAAGTCTCTCGCACTTTTTTTGGCCCTGCGGAAAAATTGGCGTAGCTAAGCTAACTCCCCCCCTTTCAGTTTAGCGCATTTTCGGCTGAACTAAACTCTTGGCGCATTTGTCACGTTTGCCCATTCCCTTCGGAATTAATTAAGCTCCCCAAAAGCTCCACCTATACATCATCAACATCCCCCGAGCTTGCTCTCAAAACAAAATTCACCACAAATAAAAGTCTCATTATCACGACAATCCCCAGCACATACACACAATGGAGCTACGAAACGTGCTCCTCCTCGCCGTGAGCATGTTCACATTGCAAGCGCAGGCGCAATTCGGCTTCTTCGATCAGATGTTCGGCGGTGGTGGAGGCGGAGGCGGAGGCGGAGGTGGGCACCAGCACCATGGGGGCCAGCAGAAGCAGAATGTTAGGAGTGATAGTAGTTGGTATCAGGCGCAGTACGAAAACGGTGAGCTTTCACAAACTTTCTTGACAATCAGCCCCATTTTTGTTTATGTATTGTGATGGTGTTGCAGAGGATGGTTGCTGATGCATTGAAATAGCACATTGCTCAAACTACCTCTGTCCCGGAACGCTTTCGTGCGTGCACTTCCCGCATCACTGTCCCTGTGCGTGGGACACCGTGGAGGATAAGGTAGAGCTCGGGGACGGCATTGCGGTATGTGCGTCCAAGGGCGGGTACAAGGCGGACGATACGATTAGGAAGATCGATTTGGCGAGGAAGGGGCTGCTATGAGCGGTGCATTGAAAAGAAGTTGGGAATGGCTCACTTGGAGGAGGGAGATCCAAGAGGAATTGGTGGAATTGGCGTTTGTGGAGAAAGGGAATGAATGGAATATATGATATCACGAAGCACGAAAAGGAAAAGGAAGGAAGGAAAGCATAGTGTTGGAAAGAAAGTCTTCTTTTAAGAGTGCGAGTAGGCTCATGCACACGAAGAGCAACGAATATACCCTATACCGACCCCGTCATTCATTATACATGAGCATTTTGTCCCCTCAAAGCTCGAATGATAAACCCAAACGCCGCGCTTGAAACCCAAAATCCCAATTCACCCATCGCACCCCAATCATTCATGAACGCTTAACGTACTTGTATTTGTACAATTGATTCTCCTTCTCCGGCGCAATGCCGCACTCCTGCTTCCCCCATTCCCGCAGCAGTAATCGACCCCTGAGTTCTTTCTCCTCCTTAAGCTTCTCCATCGCGTCAGTCCACTGGCTGTCACGCTGGCTTACGACCGTCTTCGAGCGCTCCTTAAGCACTTTGCTGATGAGGCTTGCGAGCCGCTCGTCCATGGCTTTGTTGACGGCTTCGAATTCGGAGCGTTGGGTTGAGAGTTGGTTGCGGAGGGTGTTGAGCTCCGAGGTGAGTGCTTTGTTCTTTGCGTGGAGTGCGGCGTTCTCGTCGTGGAGGTCTGAGGATTGTGTCTGGCGGGCTTTGGAGGATTGGACTTCCTTGCGCATGGAGGAGTGCTCGGCTTTTAGGGTCTTCATGGCGGCAGCTTGTCGCCTTAACAGCATCCGCAAGTTTTCGATCTCGGCTTCCTTGGGGTCGGAGTGGCTGGAGAGCTCGGTCACGTCCTGGTCGTCATCCTTGTCCAACTCTGCCTTCTGCGCAGCTTCGCTCTTCAGCCTTTCAAGTTGTGCGGTGATGACCTTGAGCTCCTTTGCGAGATGCTTCTTCTCTTTCCGTTCAGTGTCCAGTAATGCACCCGCTTTGCGGACCGCATCTTCTGCTTTCGACCGGACATTCTCAGCCTCTGCGTCCTGCTCTTCCTTGAGCGACTCAAGCTCCGACTGCACCTCTTTATACCGGTCTTCGGCTTCAAGTTTCAGCTCCTTCATCTTGACGAGTTTCCTGTCAACGTCTGCCATTTTCCTCTCCATCTCTTTCTTGGAGTCTGCGAGTCTTTCACTTGCGTCGTTGGCCTCGGCCGTAAGACGTTCGACGTCCGCTTGTGCTTTCGCTCCTTCTCGATGTGCATCAGAAAGCTGTTGGCGAAGCGTGGAAATCGTCTTTTCTAGTCCTTCGATGCGGCCCTGCGCGCTGCTTAGGCGCTGCTCTATACGCTCGTGCTCTTCGATGTTGCTCAGTAGCTGCCTGTCCTTCTCGTTGACATCCTGTCGGGATGTCGCAAGCTGCGATTGGAGGTGCGTCAGCTGCGATTCTAGGTCTGAAATCCTTCTTGTGTGGACTTGGGTGTCTGATTGAGAGGTGGAGCTCTGTGCGGATAGAGAATTACGCTCTTGACGAGCTGTATGGGCTGCTGTGTTGGCAGCATCGGCTTCTTGTCGGGCAGCCCGGGCTTCGGAGGTAGCTTTCTCCAGATCGGACTGGAGCGTATCGGCGAGAGTTTGAAGGGATGAAAGGTCTTTGGTCAATTGTGCGCATTCGTTCGTCTTGTCCAGTATAGCGTCTTGTTCCGATTTGGTCTGCGTAGCCTTGAGAGATTCGAGATTCTGGGTACTCTGCTGCTCTGCTTGACTCAAGTCATTCCGCAATTGCACAAGTAGGCCGTCTTTCTCTGCGACCTGAGCCTCAGCCAGTCGCTTCGCCTCCTCGGCTGCAGCAAGCTGGCGCTCAAAATCTTCCCTCTGCTTCTGCATCTTAGCAAGAGTCTGCAAGCGCAGTTCTTCTCCGAATTCCTCCAGTCGACGGCTGAAATCCGCGTCTTTGGCCTTCAGCTGTGCCTCCATGCTCCTGATAATATCTCCCTCGTCCTTTCTCCGCCTCTCGCCCTCCTCTAGACCGCCAATGCGCTCGCGCTGGTTGTAGTTTTCCGCTCTAGACGTATCGAGTTCTGCTCGCGTGTACGTTAGGATCGTTTCCAATTCTGTGATCCTGGTTTTCGCCGCTAGCTCCTGCTGCTCGAGTCGCGCTTCGAGTGCAGCGATGTGATCTTGTAATGAATCCACGGTGTTATCGATCTGAGTGCTAGGCTCGCGAACATGATGTATGACGGTCTCCTGGGTAGGCTTTCGTGGGGTATCATAGTCCTCAACTGTTGCTTGAAGCGATCGTGCTTTCGGGGGGGAGTGGCTTGGAGGGCGCAGTAGGTCTTGCTTTGCCAGTCGTAAAGGCGTGGAAGTAACAAAATCTTGTGTCTCAGTGTCCGGCAGAGCGCTGAGATAACTTATGACTTTTTCGTCGTTCTCCATTGACACTTCTGAATGATCACCTCCGACACCCTCTTGGCTGTTACTCGTGCCGTTTGCTCGTACGGTAGGCGAACCAGAGTCAAACTGTGACTCGACTTTTCGCTCGTGCCCGCTATCTTCAATCACAGCTCGGTCGCTCTCTTCAGTGAGGTCCTGGCCGTCAAGCTGGCGCATAGCATCACCCCGAACCCCAGCTATCCTGCTGGTTGCCTCCTTCCGTGACTTGATTTGCGACAGAGGAAGGTCTGCGGTCATGTAATACGTCAAGTTCGCTGTGAAATCATCTGGACCGTCGATGTCGCTAGTATCGACCACGTCCACAACCGGCGCATGTTTCGCCTCCAGGTCCGTAGATTCGAATGTCGAATTGTGGCCTAATGCGCTGAGGTCGATCTCGTAGTGTGAGCCATCTTCCGTGGGTGGACGGCGTGCGGGACTGCGCTGCGGAGATGCGAACCGCGTTGGGCTCGCGGTGTAGGATGATCGTGATCGCGGCATGGTTCACAGCATGAGTGAGTATATATGAATGCGATTGGGCGCAGGGTCTTGCGTTGCTTCCCAAGAGCGATATGGGATAAGAATTGGGGGTGTTGAAAGTGTGTTTGTTGTGATGTTTATGTTGTTTGCTTGGCGTATCAACGCGTTGTCGCACTGCTTGAACAGTTTACTAGAGGGCCGGGTTCCCTGTGGTTCGGTTTGCGGGGCCACGTGCGCTAGGGCGAGGCCTATCTACTGTAGGAACCAGTCCATAGGTATCCATCCCAAGTGCATACATAGCTCTTCACGACTCCATCCATTCATCAATAATAGCCATCGATCCATCGTTATCTCTCACGCCTCGGCTGGGAAGTTGTATCGAATTCGAACAATCCTATTGTCCCAACATGGCTGTTCGGCCTTAGATTTTTCTCGTCCACTCGGACCATGCTCGAACCGACATCCGCTCTCGTAAACGACACTACTTTCTAGACCTTCCTATTCTCGCATAGGCGATGATATTGAGACCTCGTGTGGCTGCCAGGAATGGGCATCTCTACCACTAGGAATTTGATGGGACACCTCAACGCGGGCCAGCTTAACGCTTATCAGTAAGCTGGTGTGACTGACATTCTTGCTGTCGGGCCACTGTATCTATTTCCAACAGCAACAACAGGTCGGTATGTGCAAGGTAGGTTGTTGAAGATTCGCCTTCTTGAGGAAATACACAGTCAATATAGTATTAACTAGCAGACAATTTTCGACTACAATACGAATTGAACTTGGGTGGTGCCCTATCTACTCGTACAAGTTGGCAGTCCGATCATCGGATGACAGTCGCCTTCCATCCAAGCATGTGGCTTTCATGAAGCACTCACATCGTAAAGGCTTATGTTCCTTTAGCAATTGAGTCGTATGTATACTCTTTACTCGTCTTAGAAGGTCGTCAAGATCTAGTGCCAAGCTAGTGATATAACTCTCGAGCTAGGACACCTAGGACGACACCTTCTGGTCCTGCTCATCCTTCTGTGTAACCCTTTTTATCCAGGACTGTTAGGACTGTCAGCCGCCGGGCCTATGAGCGATTAGTTCTTTGTATACGGAGGGAGTACGAGAGCATACTCTAAGTCGTGTACAGCACAAGCTTACAGTACTAATCCCGTAACCTTAAAAATAGCCCCCAAAAGGATAACGGTAACAAGCTCTATCCAATCCTATTCCCCATCCTTCCCGTTTCATTCGGTACAGGGCCAAGTTCCCTGCAGATATTGTTCTTGTACTGGTCTGGTCTCGCCCCATTACTATGCAATCCAGACCCATTCAGAAAGTACCTAGGTATGGGTATGGATGGATATGCAATACGAAGGCGGGGTTCACCACTGTTATTGCCTAGCGGGTCGGTTACAAGGGTTTGCCTTGGATACCCAATGGCGTTCTGGAAGAGAGGCTTACAGGCTCGCCGTTTATTAAAGATGGCTACCATGCCCGCGCGCAGCATTATTGTCGTCGTGATCTGATCTGACCTGCCTGTCAATCTATCGGTCTGCTTGTCATACCCTTGCCTGTCGACTGCCCATAATATTTTTGTCGTCAGTCGCTGAACGCTACATATCAGCTTTGGGGTATCGATTGAAAGCGGCAACGACGATAGTTGGAATCCAGTGATCCAGCAGGCACAGCCCGACGATTCTTTGCAATCGACTACGCCGCAAGGGCATGTACTGAGGACTTTCACGACTATCTCCCTCTGATCACGGCCGGAATAAATCAACAATGGTGGCACGAAACCTCTTCTCTTTGGCCGCTGTTCCCATCCTAGCGGCCTCTGCTCTGCCTGCAGCAACCTCCACTGGTCCAACAGAACCAAGTCCCACCAACCTCGACAATGGCTTCTGGGATAGCTTCTCCTCGAACTGGACTTGGCCTGCGCCTCTCGATAAGGGATTCCTTCGTACCTTTTACCTGGAGAATCCCGAGGAGACGAACGTCAACACCACCAGTGAGACTAACGACGACGTCGGACGGAAAACGGACTTGATCCTCGCAGCCGTGAAGAACGTCACGACGCCCAAGGAGGGAGAGTTTGGCAGCGACAATGTTGTCGTCAGGGTTGGCGATAGTCTGAAGCCGGAATTCTCTGTACCCGAATCCTCCACCGGCAAGAAGAGGAGAGTGGAACTCAAGTGTCTTGTTTGCTCTAAAGGAAGCGAGAACGGTTCGATCTACGATGCCTGCGATAGTTGTAAGTTTATCAATCCTTTCATTATCCGCATAAATCTCTCTTATCTATACGAATCTGCTTTGAAACATGCCGCATCTGGAATCACGAAAACTAATTCCCCAATCACAGACAAAGATTCCTCGTCCGTGTCGTTCTTCTACAATGCCACAGACCCCATCGAGTCCCAAGAGCGCATCACTCTCCCAGCATTGTCCTCATCCCTCGAGCTCCCCAAGACCACCGTCGGCCTCTGCATGTTGACCGTCTCCCGGAGCGAGGAATCATACGCCGACTTCGACCACTCCATCCCCTTCGCCGTGACCCACGAACCCCGCGAAGACGGCAAGGCATGGCTCTTCAACAAGGCCACCTCGACCGGCGCCCTCGACGCCGAACAGCCCACCCAGTCCCCCGCCGAAGCCACCCCACCTCCCCAGCACAAGAGCAACGGCATGCACATGTCGGGCGGAGCCATCGCCGGCATCGTCGTCGGCTTCCTGGTCCTCTGCGGTATGATCGGCTGCGTCACCGTTGCAACGAGGGGCTCCCAAAACATCGGCAACGAGGCCAAGGTCATCGACGAGACGGAGTTGGGCCCCATGCCGAGCGGCGACCACGCCCAGGGCGGTGCTCCTGGCACTGCCGGTGCCGCTGCCGTCGAGAGGAGAGTCGAGACCGATGACAACGGAGAGATCCCGCCTTCGTACCAGCAGGCCGTCGCTACTGGTGAGCCTCAGCCGCCGCCAGCCACGCAGCCGCCGCCGCAGCGATACGCATAGACTGGATGACGCGAGGAGGTTGAAGTCGTCTTCAATGGCATGTTGGGAGGAAATTTTAAAAAGCTCAGGTCGGATTGGGCGCGTTTACATGGAAGTGATGTTTCGAAACTGTAGTTTAGTTACCTAGTAAATATATATCTCTGTACACGAATAGAAAAGTTATTGGTACATGTATTACACGATAACAAGAGCTTTAATGACTGCCTCCAATGGAAATCACCCTGCTCTGTTTTTCAAAATTGAATCAAATAATTAAACAATTAGAAATCTTACACAACAATGCAAAAGCTCAAAGCAAGTACCCCCGTACCTGTTGAACCTTACCCCGAAATCCACATGAACACCACATCCCCACACGCATACTTCACGTTTAATTCTTCTATGTACTGAATCTAAATCTCCAATCCAAAACATCCATCCCCAACTACCCAATCCATCCGTCCTTCAAACAAAATTCTAATCTCCCTAATGATTCCTCTCCCATCAACCCAGTCAAGCTTCCCGCATCAGCATAAAATAAAGCACGACTCCCACAGCAGTGGTAAGGTGAGGATATAATTCGATACAGATTGATGTCATTACGCCAGTCATGCAGTGAAAATAAATAGCTACAATAATCCACCAACTCTCCCTTTCCCTAACTCAACATCAATCGTCTAACTCAACATCAATCTCCCAATCCCATCCCCACTGCCTCACATTTGGAAACCCACCTCACCACTCAGGAAACGTAGAACCTTAACACCACACACACACGCACCCCTTCACTTCCCTCCCAAACGAACGTCAATGGTTGACTTTACACGCGGACGCCGGATCGCGGGGGCTGGTTGAACTCTTGGACAGGATGGATGATCTTCTTTGGGAAGGGGAGGGGTGTTGGGGTTTCTGTGTACCTAGGTAGGTGGGTGAAGGGAGATTTTGGTGAATAGTTTGTGAGGTATCGGCATAGCGGAGGGAGTATGTTCGATGTTTTTTTTTTATTTGATCATACTTTTGAGATTTAATTTTCGAATAGGCGTTGGTAGAATGTAGCGAGGCGATCGAACAAATATGTACAGACAGGAATTCACACTCAATAGACGGGATTTCGAAGTGAGTAACAAAATGATATCTTATACATTGTCCCCAACCCTAAAGAATAAAAAATCTAGAAAAAACCCTTTTCATGCAAGTCATGTCCGTTTTCCGAAAAAAATCTATTTACTTAAAAACCCATCCACTCGCCCTCGCCCTCCTCGTCATCTTCGTCCATGATGGCATCGACGTCGTTTCCGTCTCCCGCAACGCCGAAGTCCAATTTCAGCACTTCCTCCTTCTTCTCGACGGGTTGCGCGAGGAGGTACTCGATGCGGTAGATGTTCTCGTCCGCAAGCCGTGCGAGTTCGCTTTGGATGCGCTTGACGGCCTTCTCGACGACGCGGAGTTCGCTTTCCATGGCGGCGCGGTTGTCCTTCATCCAGCGGCCGTGCTTGCTGAGGAGGGCCTCGATCCACATGAGGTTGAATTCGAGGTGAGGTGACTCGTCGGCTTGGATGGCGATGAAGCGGAGGAGGCGGGCGAGGTAGACGGCCGGGACGTCTTTGACGACTAGGGGAATGTCGGATGGGGGGATGGATTCGTAGACTCGGCGGATGAGACTTCGCTCGTTGAGGCGGAACGCCATCACGAGGGCTTTGAGGTATTCCTTTTGTGCCAGTGTGGCCATGGTGGTTGCGGGGGTGACGGTGATGTCGAGGTCGAATGGGTCGAATTGGAAGAGCGTGTCGAGAGAGTAGATGAGGAGACCTTCTGTTGAAGCGGCACAGAAGGCGCGGCCAGTTGGGGAGAAGCCAACGGCAGGGACACGGACTTGAGGTCTTGTCTTTCGAGCTCCTTCGCCCTTCTGGGCTCCTGGGAGAGTACGATCGATGCGGTCTTCGAGATCGGAGGCTTCACCTTGGGAATCTATCAAATCGCGAGGACCGCCTTCCGTGAGAAGCTTGCTGTTAAGGAACTCTTGAGTGCCGTCCAAAGAGAGATTGACCGAAACTGTGAACTTCTTCGCAAGTACCCCCGACTCGCAGTCGTAGAGACAGATGTACTTGCTATTACCTCCAGCAAGTACGCATGTGCCATCCGCACTGTACTTCACAGTCGTGAAGCTTTTGGTGCCAGCTGCGTTGGCGGCAGTTCGCCTGTCGGAAATTTTGCGACCACCCGATACGTCTCGTCGTGCATCGACACCGCTCTGTTGTGATGCCTCTGATACGGACCAGAATGTTAATTGACCGTCGAGAGTAGTAACTGCAATCTGTTTCGAATCTGGGCGGAAAGCGACGCAGAGAACATCGGCCATGAGCTGTAGCGGTTCACTTGTCTGTGTACGCGCGAAAATATTCCAGAGGCGGACTGTGTGATCCCAACTTCCACTGGCTAGCGTGCTAGCATCTGGGGCGAATGATAACGATGATACGGGCCCTTCATGGCCAGAGAGTCGATCGAGCAGCTGCCCGGTTTGAACCGACCAGATGTGGATATCAAAGGAATCAATCGAGCCAGCGCAGACGACCTCACCGCTTGGATCGACCGCCAGCGATGAGAAAGATAGCCTTGTAGGCGCAGTGAACGTTCGGAAGTTGCGGTATCGAATCAAGTCCCATGCTCTTACGGAACCGTCCAGACTTGCCGTGAAGAGCACATTGCCCCGTTTTGCGAATTCGCATGCCGTGACGCCGCTGATGTGTTCGGTGAAAGTGACAATGCAGAATCCAGAATTGACGTCCCATACTTTTATCTTGCCATCGTCAGAAGCGGTCACGATACGTTGACCTTCTGGGGAATATGCTATCGTGTTCATGGAATCGAAGTGTCCTTGCTGCTTCAGCACGTATGATTCTGACTGCCATTCCCATACCAGAAGCTGTCCGAGTTTGGATGCACCGAATGCTAGCCATTCTCCTGTCTTGTTTATGGTGACAAAGTCGATGTCATTTTGCGATATGCTTAGGTTTTGTATCTGGCTGAAGTCCGGTAGTTCGTGGATCATAAATGTGCCGCTAGAAAATCCAGTTACGAGGAGGCCAGATTCGGCATGAAATGCAGCGCATGTTACGTGCGCATTGTTCTGCATGAAGTAATGTCTCTCGGATATTCTCCATTGCGAGTACTCGTCGTCTTCTTCGTCGACATCCTCCGGCGCATCGGGTCGAAGCATGTATTTCCAGACGAAGACTGCGCCGTCCTTGCTGATTGTGAATATTGTCTCCTGGTCCTTGGAGAACCATGCACCCACGACCGCCTGTCGGTGGCCTCCAATTGTTGTCGGCACGAATCCTTCTTCCGGATCCAAACTCCATATCCGCGCTGTCAAATCCTTCGATGCAGTGAGGAAGAACCTTGAGTCGCTTGACCACTCTATACTCCGTACGATATCAAAATGTCCTGTATAGACTCTATGTCGAACGAAGGGCGCAAATTCGAGATCACCGTCCGCCACATCCGGTGTCGAGGGTGTGTGCCATACCTCAATCTGCCGCCCAATTGCCGCTGCGAAATGTCGTCCAGAGGGTGCGAATGCGAGCGCGGTGACCTCCTGTTTGAACGAAAAGTGATACAATGCTATTCTTCGAGGAACATTGGTGAGGATCGCACGGCCGTCTTCGTCCACGGAGAGTAAAAGGTTTCCTCGAGGATTCAATGCCAATCGGGCGATACTTCGACGATGCGCAAAAGGTAACGTATATGATTTTGAACTAGAATTGTATAAGCCATGATTCGCAGTTTCTCTAAAATCCAACGTACTTCACGAGGTCGAAAACTGTCACGCGATTTCCGACTGGAGAGAAGAGGCAGGTTCCATCTGGACTGAACAGAAGGTTGCCTCTGCTGTACACTGTACCCAGCAGATTAGAGAACTAGAGGATTGGGTTAGGCCGTAGACGCTCCAATCTAGAGATCCGCACTCACATGAAAGTCCGTCTTCATTTTCACCACCGTCCAGAAAGTCGTTAGTATTTCATTGCGACGGGATTTGCGGGGACATTCACATCTTGAACTTTTTTCTGGCGATGGAGCTCGGGCCATGTGCCAGGGCACTAGCGCGCCTTCCCCGTTCGGGGTCAGTGCTTGCCGAAGGGAGACGTGCAGAGAAAGGGGACGCCAAATTATCCAGCAACACCACGACACCGCAGCTTTCAACACTACAACCACCACCTCCTCACTACTCCTCCATCCTCACGCGCACCGCCTAGGCTTTCTCCATAGGAAGGGTCATCTCTCGTGGAATCTCCAGAGTAATTCACCCCTTCTGTCTTACTCTGTCACTCGGACACCTCAGCTCACTGGACCCTTGCAGCAGCCACCTCCACAAAATAAACAGTTTGAACACAGGACGAAACTATGGCCGATTCACTGTCCCCAATTGGCATTGCCAATGTACGTTTCATCCATCCCCCAAATGCTTTTGACAGTTGTGCTAATCTATCCGTGTAGTTGCCCAACCAGCGGTATGTTCCAACAGGAGAACCCACGTAGCCTCTCCCAACCTAACGTTCCACAGACACAAGATTGTTGCGAAGCGTGGTGCTGCTTTCACGATAATGGTACACTCTCCATCTTCCCTATGTTTGAAGAAACGGATTCTGACTTGCGCGTAGGTCGCTGGTGAGTCCGGACTCGGAAAGACCACCTTCATCAACACCCTCTTCTCGACGACCATCAAGAACTATGCCGATCACAAGCGCCGACACAACAAGCAAGTCGACAAGACTGTTGAGATCGAGATCACCAAGGCTGAGCTCGAGGAGAAGTTCTTCAAGGGTACGACCATTTACAGATGATTTCTGGTTCTGCAGATCACTAACGTCTCCTAGTCCGCCTCACCGTCATTGACACCCCTGGATTTGGCGACTACGTCAACAACCGCGACTCGTGGCAGCCCATCATCGAGTTTTTGGATGACCAGCACGAGTCCTACATGTTGCAGGAGCAGCAGCCACGCCGCACGGATAAGATCGATCTCCGTGTCCACGCCTGCTTATACTTCATCCGCCCAACTGGACACAACCTCAAGCCCCTGGATATTGAGGTCATGAAGAGGCTCTGCACTCGCGTGAACTTGATCCCCGTCGTTGCAAAGGCCGATACTCTCAGCCCCACCGACTTGGCCAAGTTCAAGTCAAGGGTCCGCTCTGTTATCGAGGCCCAGGGCATCAAGATCTACCAGCCCCCGCTTGAGGACGATGACCAGGCCGCTCTTGCCCACGCCCAGGGCTTGATCAATGCCATGCCTTTCTCTGTCATCGGATCTGAGAAGGACGTCCAGACCAATGACGGCCGTACCGTCAAGGGACGACAGTATGCTTGGGGTGTTGCTGAGGTCGAGAACGAGGAGCACTGCGACTTCAAGAAGCTCCGTGCTATCCTTATCCGAACCCACATGCTTGACCTTATCCACACCACTGAGGAGAACCACTACGAGGCATACCGTGCCGGCCAGATGGAGACCAGGAAGTTCGGAGAGGCTCGCCCACGGAAATTGGACAACCCCAAGTTCAAGGAGGAGGAGGAGGCGTTGCGCAAGCGCTTTACCGAGCAGGTCAAGGTCGAGGAGCAGCGATTCAGGCAGTGGGAGCAGAAGCTCATCGCAGAGCGCGACCGTCTCAACAAGGACCTCGAGCAGAGCCACGCTATGATCAAGCAGCTCGAGCAGGACGTCGACAACCTCCAGGGCAGCGTCAACCGCTCCCACGGCCGCCGCTAAGTGTGGTCTCGGGCGTAGGTGGAGTACTTCGTTCCTCACAGTTGCACATAAGGCTCCAAGGAGCTTCTTATCTTCAATATCTTATTTTTCCAAGATTCCCCTCCCTTTCTGTTTCATATGTTTGTAATGTCGCGTAGCGACGGGGTTCTGGCTGTCAAATAGGGGCTTGTTTTGATGGACAGTTACACGAGGGAAAAGTTCTGGACTTGAGGGGCTAGTAGCTTTCTCCTAGAACTAGTAGATTAATATATTGTGTTGCGGCCGGTCGCATTGTTGAGCCTTCTAAATGGGATTATACTCTCTAAAGAGCGATCTTTCGCGAACGTAGCCAACGGCACCATTCACTTCACGTCTAGTCCACCAAACATGCGATCTAATTCCTCTCCCTCTCGCGTATCGGGAATACCATCCCTCTTCTCAATAAGACCTTTGATGCCCACACTAGTTCTTCTCTCAGGATGTGAGCCTGGGTGGCCATGTGTGTCCTCATCTTTAATCATTTGCGCGTTGCTCCCTTCTACGTTCTCTGGCTGCAGCAACTTGACATCCCCGTCCAACCAACCCGGAGCTACTCTCCTCTTCTCCGCCAACTCAGCGGCCTTTCTCCTATCCTCCCACTCCTTCAATGCCGCGCGTGCATTCGATTCGAGTTGCTGTAGATGCGTCTGCAACGCCAGGCAGGACGAGAGAATACTATCCGGCGTAGCAGTGACACCGGTCGAGGAAGTGATATAGGCAGGCTGTTGTTGTTGTTGCTGAGGCTGGCCGTCTGCTGCCGTCTGGTTCGAAGATGGCGGGGAGGAGAGCACCGAGGGCGGAAGCGTCGACGGGAGCTGTTTGTAGGTGTATGGGAGCGGGGTCGCGGTAGGCAGGGAGAGGAATGGTGATACAGTGAGGGGCACTTGGGCGAGGAGTGGATGGGGGTCTAGATTGGTGAGGTTCCGTTAGTTAGTGTCTCTTTCTTTCTCTTCTCCTCGGTGTTGACCGAAGTGGTGGTGTTGAGGAATGTTGCTATTTGGGGAAGCGTCCCCCAGCATTGGAGGGATTGATTTTGTGCGCCAACTCGGAGTCATGGATGCAACAATTGCAGAACGGAGCCTGCTGGAGAGCAGATTCAAACTCCATAGCAGTGTGGAAATCCTCATAGAATGCAACATGGGACGTTTGCTCCGTGGTCGTACAGGGCAAAGTGTCCATCCGGCGACGCGGGTAGGAATCCGGGGTACTCACGTTCGTCGTGCATATTGTAGGTGCGATTAAGCTACCGGCTAGCGTGGGGACGGCAAAGCGGCTCTGTGGGTTCACGGGCAAATAAACGTCCGGATAAATCAATTTGTTTTTTGCGGAGTGCAGATGCGATGTAGATTGAGGGAGGGTGGACGGTGGTGTAAAGATATCTCGGGTCCGGGTCGAGCTCGAGTGAGATGTGACGCAGAGCACGTGACGCAGGCTACTGGTGGGGCTAAGAGTTCGTATAGATGCGAAAGAGGCTCAAAACATGAAATTGTCACTGGCCAATGAGATGAAATCGAATGTATATAGACTTGTGTGTCTGGTTGTTACTATATTCCCTATGCAAGGCCCCCATTATAGGTGGATCGAGACCGTGCAATGCAGGCACCCAAGGCGCGTAAAATCAATACCACTATATCAATTCTCCAGCACAACAACATGAGTGAGGATGTAAGTGACCAAATAAGCCCTTAACAAGCAAAGACAGTTGGTCCGGGGATCTTGTACGCCGTAGGAGTTGGATAATACAATTGGAACTTGATGCCTGGATCAGAGCCTTTGTAGGCACCAGGGAGGTTGACCGTTGGTGGATTGGCATTTCCTCCTCCTTCTACTTTCAGTTGTGCACATTCCATGTATAGTTGAGCCCCTGGATAGTTAGCTGCCCCATGTAGCGCAATAAGCTCAGCCCTGAGAAGGTATCTGCATGTCTGAGTGAGATTGAGCAGAATTGAACGGAATAGAAGAGCACTAACTGTCCTGGTTGGATGCATGCTGGAAGAGTAAAATCTACCTTGCCCTTGTTGTTGTAGAGCCTGGTTACGGCCCATTGGCCTTTACTATCCATCCCATCTTCGTATATCTTGAACCACTTAAGGCCGGTGACCTTGGTCGACAAAGCATCGTCTACCTTGGCAAGATAGACCATGATCGGTCCGAGATGGCCGGGATCAATCGGATCAGATTTGTCATTCGTGCCAGCGCTGTCCAAGGTATGATGCCACTCTGCGGTGAGCTTATCACCTGCTTTTACCTGCTCATTGTAAGCATTTCTATCGTGTGGCGCTGTTGCGGATGTACAGAGTCACGGACATTGATGATGTCTTTGGGAAGCGGTTGTCGAAGCGGATTCGGGCTAAATGAATGTCAATATCGAACGCATGCCGAATTGGGCTGCATACCCTCCGTTACAAATAACATCGTTGGATGTCACGTCAGTAATTGGCCTGGTAAACGACGTATTAGTCTCGGTCCAGGTATCCCATTAGAGACCAGTGGCGCTGGAGGTCCATACCCGTCATATGTCTGCGAAGCAATGCCAATTAGCGCGGTTTATGAAATGTTGCTGTACGGTGTGCGCTGCGCTTACGGGAACCCTGATACCCTTGGTATGTCCCTGGGCAACGCCATTAACCCAAAGTTGAGTAAAGATCGTATGCGCTGAGGCGCTGACGAGCAAGGAACACGTGATTAAGAAGCTCTTCATTTTGGATTTGACAGAGTATGCGAGTGAATCTCGACTCTAACACTTCAAAGGTCACTGGCTCTATAAGAAAGCATCTCGAGTTCCCCGATTGAGAGAGTTTCCTTTTCTAGCACGGAGCGATGCGGAGCCACATGTGACTTTTCCTCAGAGGCGGCACTATGATGAGTGGACAGCATCATACTTTGAGGAGGGACTTCATATACGGCGTGAGCGAAATCAATATACACGCGATGATAGCGCAGCACGTGCCTGGAGGGAACTATAGAGCGGCCAAAGATCGGACATTTTCAGGCGGGCCCCCAGGAGGAGATATGCAGTTGGAGTACATACGCCACCGTTATAATGCCCGTGCGTTATATGGGAGCGATAATGCCGGTGGGCGTATGGAACATTTGGAAGATTTATTGTTATTGCAGGACGGCGAAGCGAACAGACCGAGAGTGCAAGTGAATGAATGCTGTGCAGTAGGTCCCGCTGGATCAAGGAAGAATTCCACCAATCTAATAGATTATCATCTATTGGACGGCTGAGTTGATTCCACCATCAAACGGTCCTCAAGATCATGGCCATCGACAAGGGTGTGTTGTTTCATTTGCATTGGCGGATGCTATGCGGGTGGCTGTCCGGAGGCGAGAAGCTTGGAGCTATAGGGCCTCGGGAGGAGCGGGTGGCACAATAATAGTGTACAATTCGAGAAGAAGGAAGAAGGATTCTACATCATGTATGTACGTTGTATTATTGTTGTGTGCGCTTGGGATGATGTGCCTGGAGGTGTTGTTGGCGAAATGCACCAATTCGGCGGAAGTCCAACGCGATGCTCCCCCTTAAGCATAAACGTGGAGAGAAGGAAACATACAGACTAGTCCCGAACCAGTTATGTAGGCGAGTGTGGGGTACCCAAAAGCAGCTTAACGTCACTGGGCGGACAGGCCTCGACGGCAGATGTAGCCTTGTAACCCGTCCTTCATCAATATATATCAATCACCTCCCCAGCAATCGCAATCAATGCTAATTAAACATCTGTCCTGGACCTCGCTCAGATTGGCCTTGTGATACCCCATCCAATGGCGTCTGCGATTATGCTCATCCGGCCCTTTAGCTTGGAACACATTGGCAGGGGAGAATCTCACTGTAATCCGGTACCTGGTACAGAGCCATGCAACGCGGCTTACGGTGGGAAAATGGTCAAGCATTTTTCTTCGCCAATTCGTGACACTCTCATCACCATGCTTTTGTCCTGACATATCTCCTGGATAAATTGAAAATGTATATAACAAGCCTCCCTCGCGCCAGCATGGGTGAGACGTGGCCGCTGTCTGCTTTGCCTGGATTTCATCTGGTCCATTCGGTCTTCACCTCCGGTCTTGATAGTTACTTCTAAACATGAAGGGCTCTACCTTCGCCAGAGCGGCATCGCTGCTGTCTCCTCTATGTACGTCTGCTCCAGTGAAGCTATGTTAGGCCAATTGGGCGAGCACTAACGACAATGACGCATAGTCTCTCTTGCTCAAGCTCAGGAGAAGTGGACGCACCCGGGTACTGGAATTGAATTCTGGAAACAGACCGTTGACACTTCCCAGACCAGTGGTGGCTTCGAGTGGGGTTATGCCCTTCCAGGAGAGCCCACTGGTAGCAACGACGAGTACATTGGTTATATTGTAAGCGATTGACACTGCATCAAAAAAGATCAGCATGCTGACTTGCTACAGAAAGGTTCAGCAGCCGGCAAGAAGGGATGGTCAGGTGTCTCCCATGGAGGAGGCATGCCCAATGCTCTTCTATTGGTATCCTGGCCTGAGGGCGATGCTGTCAAGACCACGTTCGTCTACGCAGGGTAAGTATCATTCGTTCTCGCAAGGTAGCCGAGTTTGCTGACGCCATCAAGCGGATATGTGAACCCCGACCCATACACTGGGAATGCTACTCTCACGCAGATCTCTCACACGGTCACTGATGACCACTTTGAGTTGATCTACCGCTGTCAATGGTGCTGGATCTGGGACCAGGGTGGTGCAGACGGTTCACAGCTTCCCACAAATGAGGTGCAGGTCATTGGTTGGGCCCAGCACAAGGACGTACCGTCAGGTACCTCATGGACATTCCACAACAATGGTCAATCCCAATTCGGTGCTCAACCCGCCCAGGCCAGGAATGCTAAGTACTTCGAATGGGCCAACGGTGGTGGCACAACGCCCACCGCCACGCCCACTGCCACGCCATCTGGCGGACCAACCCCAACTCCCTCCCAGGCTGTACCCACGACTTGCGTTGGAAAGCCCGCCCCCACAGGTTCTTTCGATTACATCGTCGTTGGTGCCGGTGCCGGTGGTATTCCCGTAGCCGACAGGCTCTCTGAGTCTGGCAAGAGCGTGCTGCTTATCGAGAGGGGTCCACCATCCCTCGGCCGATTCGGCGGAACCATGAAGCCAGCCTGGTTGAACGGAACTGACCTCACTCGGTTCGACGTCCCCGGTCTCTGCAACCAGATCTGGGTTGACTCTGCTGGCATTGCTTGCACTGACATCGATCAAATGGCTGGCTGCGTCCTTGGTGGAGGCGCCGCTGTCAATGCTGCTCTCTGGTGGAGGCCCGTCGAGAAGGATTGGGACTACAACTTCCCTGCCGGATGGAAGGCCGCTGATATCAAGGCTGCCACCGACCGTGTGTTCAAGCGCATTCCGGGAACAGATACCCCATCTACCGATGGCAAGCGTTACAAGCAGGAAGGCTTCAACGTCCTCTCTACCGCTTTCTCTGCTGCCGGCTGGAAGCAGGTCAAGGCCACTGAGCAGCCCAACGAGAAGAACTTCACATACTCCCACTCCGTTTTCATGTACGAGAAGGGACAGCGCCAGGGACCTCTAGGGACCTACCTTGTCAGCGCTCTCGAGAGGAAGAACTTCCAGCTCTGGCAAAACACCAAGGTCAGACGTGTCGTACGTTCCGGAGGCAAGGCCACTGGCGTCGAGCTTGATGGTGGCGATGGTGGATACTGCGGCACTGTGAAACTCAACGATGGTGGACGTGTCATTCTTTCTGCCGGTACCTTCGGTTCTACCAAGCTCCTCTTCCGAAGCGGCATTGGCCCCAAGGCTCAGCTCAACATCGTCAAGAACAGTATCCAGGACGGATCCACCCTCATCAACGAGACCCAGTGGATTGACCTCCCCGTCGGCCTGAACTTGAACGATCACGTCAACACCGACACTGTCGTCAGGCATCCTAACGTGTCCTTCTACGACTTCTACAAGGCGTGGGATGGCGAATATCCCTCTGACTCCAAGCAGTACCTTGCCGACCGCTCTGGCATCCTCGCCCAGTCCGCACCTAACATCGGCCCCGTTGCTTGGGAAGATGTCAAGGGATCTGACGGTATCGAGCGCGCCATCCAGTGGACCGCACGTGTCGAGCCATCCCCACCAGCAACCGACAACACCTCCATGACCATCAGCAACTACCTCGGCCGTGGATCTACCTCCCGTGGTGCCCTCTCCATCAACGGAGCTTTGAACATCTTCGTCTCCAAGGCACCTTACCTCCAGACCCAGGAGGATTTCGATGCCGTCGTCACCTCCATCAAGAACCTCCAGGCCGCCATGGCCAAGGTCCCAGGCATCGTCTTCGAGGTCCCAGCGCCCAACGTCACCGTCGAGGCCTACGTCAAGAGCGTAAGTTAACTATCTTTTGTCGAGGACTTCAACTAACATAAACATCCAGCTCCCCCTCACTGCCGCCGCCCGCCGTGCCAACCACTGGATCGGCACAGCCAAGATCGGTACCGACAGCGGTCTCACTGGCGGATCCTCCGTCGTCGACCTTAACACGCAGGTCTACGGCACCGAGAACATCCACGTCGTCGACGCTTCCATCTTCCCCGGGTACGTCGTCCCTCATCCTCTCCTCGTGTACACCTACTGACAAACATCATTAGACACATCCAAACCAACCCCACATCCTACATCGTCACCGTCGCCGACCACGCCGCCGCGAAGATTCTCGCCCTGGGCAAGCCATCCGGCGGAACGCCGGGAACACCCACGCCTGGAAAACAGGCTGGCGCGGTACGTAATTAAACTCTCTTCCTGGATGAAAGAAAGAAAAGAAATACATACATAAACATACGGCGTTTTTATTTATGGGATGGGGCGAATGTATCTTTTGCGATTTAGACTTCATGTTGGGGGGTTTTGTTGCAGAGGGCGGAGAGAGAAGGGGATTTACGAAATGCTGCTGTCACTTGTTGTTGTATCGCACTGGGCTTGGGCCCTTTATTGTACATGTACGATTGATTGATGGATCGGTTGCATGATGAAAAAAAAATCAATGAAAAAGAAGAGCGAGGACTGATGTTAGGTTTTCTTGAATGTACAGTTCCAGCAGTGCGGCGGTAAAAACTGGAAGGGTCCTACCCAGTGTGTTCGCGGCTACACGTGCAAGGTAAGTTTTCAATCTATCTCTCCGCCGAACGATGCTGACTTGTTGGAAATAGAAGCAGAGTGCCAACCTGAGCCGTTGCCTTCCTGCATAGTCGTTGCGTCGGACGTGACGAGGCGAGTTGAGAAGAAGCTGGGCATTACTGGCTCTTACTGGAGATTCTTTCCTGTACATACTGTTTGCAATTGAACATATGAATGTTACTTGATGTATATGTTGTCTTGTGTGGTTACGACAAACGTGATTCGCTTTAATTACTCGCATCAGTCCAAACGGATTACCAACTACGAACGATCGACCAGAATAATGAGAACATCAAATTCCCAAAACATAACTCAAACACCAACAAGATCAATCTAACCCATGCAGTCGTTACCGTCATTACCCCATCTCAACCTCAACTACCCCCCAGATCCCAAAACAATGAAAACCGACGAGAACGACGACAATCACATCAAAAGCGGCCTCCTCTCCCCATCCCCCTCCCTCCCTCTTCTCCACGCCCTCCAAGCCCACCACGACCTCTCCCCCGTCCCCCCATCAACCTCAACCCCCCTCTCCCTCCCCTTCTTCCTCACCCAAACACCCTCCCCCCCATCCCCAAAAACCACCCACCCCTCCCTCCCCCGCGAGACCCCCCTCCTCCACGCGCCCCAGCCCTTCCACCCCGCCCATAGAACCAACACCCCAAACAGCGTGCAGAAGATGGTGACGACGGACGTCAGGAACGTGATGGTGGAGACCTGGCAGCCGAGGCCCGCAGTGCGGAGTTCGAAGCGCTCGGGGCCGAGCGCGCAGATGGATTTGTAGCGGATGGGCGCGAGGAGCGGGAAGGTGGCGTAGAAGGGGGAGGTGGTGGGGAGGGGGAGGCAGGTCGAGGACTGTTTTTTTGTTCGAAGGGTGAGGGGGGGTTTTTGTAAGAATATGTGATGGAAGAAGTAGAAGCAGAAGGAGGAGGAGGAGTGCGAGGAGTACGTTATCAAAAAAAAAGAAACATGAACATGGGATACATGTATGGTCGACAGTACACGTGATATCAAAATACTCCCATGCACTTCACCGGATCGTCACAGAAAGATATCAAGCAAGGAGGTTATAAAGGTAATTCAAAGAACTCACGATAGCGCACCACCCGCAGAACCCCTCACTCCGGTGACAGTCCCCGCAGTCCGTATACCCCCAGCACTTCTCGAGACGCTGCCTGTCGTCCTTGGGACTGTCCTGCCATCGTTGTGCTAGGATCAGCTGTGTCGTGTTGGCGTTGTAGTCGTTAGAGCGAAGGGAAATGGTGGGACAATCTGATGCCATTTGTAGATTTTGAAGATGTGATTATATTGGGTTGGGATGAGGGTTATATTGGGATTAGAGTTAGGGTTAGGATGAGGGCGATGATGGGTTGGAATGTATGGAGTGCATACGGGACGGGTAGTTATGTGTGGCTGGGGGAGTGTGGGGTTGGGGTTGACGGAGCTTGGCATCACCACCACCATTCATTTCTTGTACAAATTGTGATCACAATCCTGGATTGGGGTTGTCAAATTGAATAGAGTAGAGTAGAGATGTAGTTTCGACTTGTGACTACGAGTGCTAAACGCACGAAAAATTGGGTTCGTGAATAGGATAATGCATGGTACGAGGTAGCATACGGAGTGGTACAACAGTGGTATGGGTTGGACTGATCTCGTTGCTGTATTAGTTTGTTTTGGGAGTTTGGAATTACAATTAACATGGTTGATTGCAGTTGGTAGGCCATTGGAAAATTCCGATTTGTATCTTGACATCGCGTTCAATTGAAGATTCCTTTCCTTTGGTAGTTAAACCCGTGACGCGATTTTGGTGGACATGGCCAGCTTCCCAGAGCCACCGATCCAAAAAATGTTGTTCATCTGTTCTTGACACATACTTCTGGATCAAAAGTCGATAGTTCCAGGTACTATACCCCTACCTCAATAACCAGGTGATCAATAGCACTATCACGATTGACCATTTTCAAGTAGCTGAATGCGTACGAATGAAGTTCACATATACACTTCACGTCCAACGTTAATTAGTCTAAGCGCGTTAGCCCGCCATTCCAACATATACACGCCTTGACTTGTTTTCAAAGCGTAGCAGACATGCTGAATGGTTGGTTTTCACGACAGCAGCGGAATCTATTTTCCGATTTCTAGCTATGATGTCAGAAACCACCTCCAGCAATCATTTCGCTGTGAGCAAACAAAAGTGACCCCCGGCCGCGGGGGTGTTGGGCTTCGCACGGCGCTTAGAACGGGATGTGATGACTGATGCTTTAGGACAACAAAGGGAGAAAACTTATGTCGCACAGATAGGATAACAAACGAAGGGAGAGAAAGGGAAAAGGGAGAAACGAGAGGGTATGACGCAATACGCGTTATGGATTGCTTTGAAATGGTCGTTAATTCCGTCAAACTAGAGGGGAGGGGAGGGGAGGGGAGGGGGGGAAAGTTGGTTGTTTGATGTGAAAGCACGCACGCTACGTAGGGGTAGGGGGTGGATGCGATGTCACGTAGATACGATGATTAGGAGGATGGTGGACCAATGGGAGGTTGCATAATATCGATGACGGGTGGCAAGGGAGAGGAGTAGGTTGAGGGGTGGTCGTGGCAAAGGGAGTCAGAAATGTCGTGATAATGGTTCATTATTGTCAAGATAGTCATAGCTACGAGTAGGTATCTGTGCAGTTACATGGGATGGGAGAGATGAAACGAAACAAATGGAGAACGGGAATGGGAGAAGATGAGATGGACGGTTGTGATTGGCTGGGAGATGACTGGGAGGAGCTCCGCCCCTGCAGTCACGTGATGATATGGACAGGCAGTGCCAGGGTCCAGGTCAGTCTTTATGGGAGGCGTCACACGACAATGGCCTGACAATCAACTGAGTCCAACTCGACCATTGTTGTTGACTCTTCAATCAATCAATTCAATCAATTCAATCAATTACCCCACGGTTCAACAACGAAAAATATCACTCAATCTAGACATCTTCGCCTATGTAGTATTCCTTCTGGTTGTTCTTGCGAATTCTGTTGTTCGTCGTATGTAGGCATAACTTGAAGAAGATACAGTCGCATTAAGTATCTTTGTTGCATTAAGAGTAGTTACCTTAGTTACTAAGTAACTAAGTACGAGGACCAACTACATCATCGCGCAGCCACATCTGGTAATAAACTACTACAGTAACTAACTAGTAATGACTCTTGACTCTGCTGTAGTTACCCACTTTTGACCAATTATTCATCCATCATTCAGCTCTCAATCATCATCCTCGTAACTACGAGTACCCAGGTATTCATTCAGCCTTGTTGTAACAGTTAGCACTGCCAGGTACAGTGCGAATACTGTCTCTGTTCGTCTTTCTGGTCACTAGGCAGTCGCGTCAATTTACTCCACCATTCGTCATCACCCTCTTCTCTTCTCTTCTCTTCTCTTCTCTTCATTAATTAATCAACCATTCAGTTTATAATCGTCTTCCTTCTCCTTCTTCCCCCTCCTATCCCATACTATAGTTACCTTATTTATTGGGACCCTCGCGTCACTTCTGATCTGACCATTTCCCAATCCAACCCTTCTTCACACTCAATAACCCCTCAAGTCACCTTCAACTCTCTCCACTCTCCACTCTCCACTCTCCACTCTCCACTCTCCACTACTGTACTCACCTTGTACCTGTGTCGTACCTGTGTCCTGTACTGTACTGTGCACTGCGCGGATCCTCGGCCAGCAATACTCTCCGACCGCCCTTCCCGTCCACCGTCCAGGTCGAATCTCGTACCACAACCATCCCATCCCCCATCGACAATCTCCATCCCAGCTACACCAACTACCTAGCTCGCCCCACCTCCCTGGCCTCCTCCCTCCTCCTCCAAGGCTCCAACTACCTACAGCCCACAGCCCACAGGCTACAGGCTACAGGCTACTCCTCCCATCCGCAAGCCCAACTGAAGAAGGTGGAGAGCATCTGCTCCGCTCAAACTTAAACTCCTGTTGTTCATACTTAAATCCAACCCTCCCAGTCCATTCCACTTTCAACCAAATACTTGAACCTCCAAAACACTTCCACTACTACTACTACTACTACTACTACTACTACTACTACAACCACCAACACTACTACACCAATACCACACTACCGCCACATACCACCACCACCACCACCACCAAACAACCTCCCCACAACATCACCACCATCCACAATGGCCTCCGCCGCTCGTATCTTCCAAAGCCACTTCCGTCGCTACTCCACGCACATCCCCCGTGATCCCCGCTACCGACTAAAAGCCACCCTCATGACCGGCTACCTCGTCTCTGCTTTCACCCTTCCTTTCGTCCCGCCTGTCCTTGAGACCAGGAGGACCAGGGCTGATGGATCCTATCTCACAAGGTGAGCCTTCCCTCTACTCTTACCGTCCGTAGCAATACTAACGTGCCCTATAGACCACAAATCGAATTCGTGCCTGCGCCTAAGTACTAGACACTAGTATTCGACATGCATACAGCATAACCAAACCGCAACGACATCTTCCTTCCTTGCTTCCTCTCTTCATGACTTGAATCTTTGACGGCATTCACATACATACCCCTGTTTCCTCAGCATCATCATCATCATATCATTACCATCATCATTATCATCGCCGCCGCCGCACATTCGAATCGCCATCCCTAGTCTCTCCGTCCCCTGGACTCTTGCTCCTTTCATTCTTACTCCTCCTTGCGCGGGGATTCGACGCGCCGTGGCGATGGAATTGGGCGTTTTTTGCAGCTTGAAACTTTGACTTTGACTTCTAATGCTGCGTTTTGCATCAGTGGCGTTTGGTTTTTTCGTTTCTTTTTTTTTTTTGGTTCGATTTGGTATAGGCGACCGACGTGATCTACCCGTTGGGTGAGGTCGCTTGCATGGTCGGTCGTAGGAATCACGAAGACGGACTGAAATGTTCCGTCGAAAGGAGGTTATTGGCTTTTTATAGAAGCCTAGAGTGGATATGGAGTGGCATCGAATGGATCGCCCTCCCTCCTGATATAGTCGAGAGTCACATGAGACGCGACTGGTACATGGAAAATGAAATACAAAAATACATTTATCATCAATATCATAAAACCGAACGACGTACATCGAATCTTTCGTGTGCATATTTGACACATGCATGCATGCAACTCCCGTCCGCCATTCTCACCATCACCTCCTTTCCCATCCCTCGCTCTACCTCTCCACCACATCCATCACTCCAGCCATATCCCCAACAATCTCATCCTCACAACCCCCCAACAACCCCCCAAACCGCCGCCGCAGCACCCACAACCGCAACCGGCACCCCCGTCCTCCTAACCGCACCCCCCGTACTCGACGCCGTCGCCGCTCCCCCTCCCCCTGCACTCGTCGTCCCCTCAGCAGCCGCAACCTGCACCCCGACAACCGTACTCGCGACCCCGCCACTGACCGTCGGACTCACGACGCTAACGACGCTCGTCTTCGCCGTGCAGCCCGCCCACGACGTCCACGGCGGATTCGTGCTCCACGGCCCGACCGTCCAGCCCGGCCAGTCGGACCCGGGGCACGCGGTGCCGGCCCACCAGTTCGTCCAGGGCGCCGACCATGTCGAGGGCCAGGCTGTCAGGGTCGACCATTCGGAGGCCCAGGGGCCCCATGGGGGTCCGCCGGGGCCGCCGGGCCCGTGGGGGTGTCCTGTTTACGTTGGCGTTAGCTTTCGATTCACCAAAGGGGAGGGGGGGGGATGAATCAAAGAGGTGGTTATGTAGGAGAATAAAAAGGATATAGAGGGGGAGAATGGGGAAAGGGAATACGTACCAGGACCCCAGGGCCCCTTGCCAGGACCACCAGGACCTTTATACCAGGGACCGTAGCCGGGGCCCCATTCTCCCGTCGCCCAGGGCGGAGGCGCGGTCAGCGTGGACGGGATGCGGCCTTCGGAGACGAGGGAGTTGTAGATGGATGTCCATTCCGCGGGGTTGGTGGAGAAGGGCGGTGGGACCAGGATGGCTTCTGTCGTGGTTTGTGCGGCTGTGAGGAGGGGGAGGATGAGGAGGGTTAGGGGGGAGAGGAGTTTCATTTTTGTGTGTTTTGAGGGGTTGTGGATGTTGGGTTTGGGAGTGTTTGTTTGTTTTGGATGGGAGGTCGTTGCTGGGGATGGAGAGAAGTGGTTCGATTGGTATTGGTGTTGTAGTATGGAGAAGTGTCAATGGTCAGGTACGGTAATGTCTTCAATCGAGCTTCGTGTGACCCGAGTATAAAAAATGGATTGATGTATTCAATCAACCCACGTTGTCGCGTACGTCAATGTCAACCAGAATAAACTCGATGTTCCCCAAGATCAAATCCTCGGGACCGTAACCTACAATTATATACATGTCCCACGAGGGAGGGGACTACCGACATACGCGGCCCCCCCCCCGGGGTCATGATTGGCAGCAAAACGATGTGGCGTGCGTAACATCATCGACTCTTGACTGGACAGACAGCTTGGCTTGTGAGGTAAGCATGCAGAGACATGATGGTTGTTAGTGTGTACGTGGGTGGGTGCGACGTCGATTCCGGAGAGGGGTCCCGGGCGTGAGGCTCGGGTTAGCTAGCATCATCTTGCAGCGATACCTCAGTTCGTAGCTTAGCGGATTAGTGCCAAAACGACAAGAGGGACATCATTTCTTGTGGAGGATAGAGGGAAAGGGAGGAGAGCGTACACGACGACTCAAGCGCCTGTCATCATCACCGTCATTGCTGGAATGGTTCAAGATGTTCTCGTCCCTTTCCTCGCTGACGCGTCGCTTTCCCTCAAATCACCGGTACCGACGACTGCCCTTTTCGGAAGCGCGAACCTATGTCTTTGTGGGCGAGGGGTTGATCGATTTCGAGGCCAGCCCTATGGATGTGATCCACGGCACTCTGGCTTTGTCGTTCTCACCTGAGAAGTTAGGGGAGTGCGTAAGCTGGGGACTTGGCTGCGGTGGATGGGCTGGCTGCGGTGCGGTGTAATGCAGTACAACGCAGTGCATTGCGTTGCTTTAGATTGGAGATCCCATGTGACGGATGTTTCTGATCTTCTGTTTTCTTTCTTTTTGGAAAGGGTTAGAGTGGTCTTGGAGAGTGAGATCTCGTGGGGAATCTTGCTGATCATTGCTATTGGTGTGGATGTGGGTTTCGGTGAATAGGGTGGGGAGATTCCGGATGTGCTTGTGTGGACATCGGTCGTCTGTGGGCGAATCATGGAAGTATCATTATTTGTCGAGCGGGCTTGCGTTTGTTATAGAAATCTTTTTATATTGTTTATTTGAAATTCTCGATTGAAATTTGGACCATTGAGGGTAGATAGATGATGATTTTACCATGCAATTTTGGAAGGAATATTTTCAATGTTGACATGTCGTTGCCGTAGAGTCCAAGTCGGACGTTCCCCAGCGCCCGGATCGACAGCTAATAGCAGACAGCTAAGGCTGATCACGTCGGCTGCCGGGCTGCCGACGCACCGATGGATGTCTTCATCTCCTCATTCTATATCTGCCGTTAGCAATTAGAATGATCTTATAAAAACCAACGGAATAAATGAATGCAAGGAGAGACACGTCGCTCATCTGCATACGCGTCCTTACTGCTGCTATGATTACAGCAGTACGTATGGCCGTTGATGACTTGCATTATCGCTGATCGTTTCCCTGGATAATGTCTGCAATCGGAATCGGTTCACCATATCTGATTACAAGTCCTCTCAAGTGCCGAAGTCTATTCTATCCTCGATGACGAACGGCCAATTACTCCAAGTTTTTGTCTGCAGTTCCCGTTGCACGGCGCCGCATATGACTACGTCTGGTATATGTCGCTGTCGTTATGTCGTGCGATCAAAGATGCATACTGTCGTCGAGGGATGCCGACTGAAGTACAGCAGCAACGTGCAGGTAATCATCTGCCATTAATACAACGTGCGACGTACGCTGCTGTCCTACTTAAATGAACATACCTTACCATTAGAAGCATTGGGTCTCGTCGGGTTACCCAATCCATCCACTGTACAATGACGACGATAGAGCCAAGCAAGTTTCGAAAGATTTCGACTTCGCATACCGGGTGCCGGCACCGTCGAAACGGTTAAAGGGCAACTACTGGCGGAGCCTGATTCAGGCATAAACATGATTTGAGCAATTGTTGTCGAGAGCATATATGTTTGCGGCTCTTCGCACAGGCCAACTCATCTACCCCCGATCGAACATATATAGAAAATACACAATCTCACGAGAGATATCGTCCCTCAATGCCGGATTTTGAGCCTCGTGTGAAACGACCTCGAATTGCATTGTTCAGGCAAGGCCAACCGGTGTAAACACTGTACAATCCACAGAGCCTTTTTCTCGCGGAGCTACTGCATCTGGACTAGACACGGCAGCGCAGAAACGGGTGCTGTCGCAGCTCCTGTTTCGGCACGTGAAACGCCCCCTTCAAAACATATATCGCGCCACCACCAATTGTCAAACTCGAGTCAGAAAGCGGCTGTTCCCTGCTGTATTCAGTCTGTCAACTTGTCAGCCGACTGCTTGTAAGTTGTCGCGCGCGTCAACGACGCATTTGCAACACCGCCCGCACGGACGAGAAGTGATCGTGACCCACTATGGAGATGCCTCACCATTTCCCATCCTTACGTCCGGCCTCGCCAGGTAGTCCTCACTGTCAAGGACCGCTTCTAGCTGACATCGGACCACTACAAGCATCTTTGTAACCCGAAAATCCAATCTGCCGCCTACGTGAGGCATTCAAGATGGGGCTCAACTGAGGCTATCTCCTAAACAGCTCCTCTTCGCGCCAAAGGTCTATGTTCAGAAGTCCCCACTCAGGCACTTCCTCCAAGGCTCCCATGAGTTGAATGGTGCGTTTCTCAGTACATAGCTAACAAAGTGTATTGCTTGGCGGTATGTGAAGCATTGGGATCCATCAAGGGGTGAATGCTTGAGCGCGTAATAGAGAATCATAGCTTTTCAGATACTTTATAATGTAGGGAATCTTCGGACTCTTTGTTGGTCTTCACTCACCTCACACTCATAATTCCAAACCTTTCCTTTCTCCTTCCTTTCGATTCACTTTAGCGCTGTGCGCCCTTTGTATATTCCTTCAATTCATCATGTATTTTTCTACTTCTTCCTCCATGGCGCTAGCCGCTCTTGTCTCTGTCGCTCACTCTCATGGTGTTATCCTTGCGGCTACCGGTGACTCTGGCGAGAGTCAAGGTTTTGCTGGTAAGTCTTTGAGGGTGTCTTGATGATGATCATTGGAAACTAACAACCACCTTCAGTGAACGAGGCCCTTGCCAGGAACTGCACTACCATCAGCCCATGCCAGCTAGATGCCACCATTATTCGAGACTCGGAGATCACACAGAACATCGTCAACTCATGCGGACGCACAGAGCTCCAGGGAAACATCGACGTGGGTGAGGAGACGGAGAACGCTCTCGCCGCCAACAAAGTCACCACCGTGACCAAGGGAAGTTCCATCGACGTCACGATCCACCAAGTCAACGCCGACGGAGCCGGACCCTATGAGTGCGAGCTTGACGAAACGAGTAATGCTGCCACGAACTTTGTCCCCTTGAAGGTTTCCAACAACGTCCCTGGCGCCAATGGCCTCTCACAGGCCAAGGAACAGCAGTTCGTCATCAACGTCCAGATGCCTAACAACTTCAACTGCATTGGAGGTAAGCTCTCTGAACATCCATGGCATGACCCTTACTCACATCATCCCAGCTTCAACCGGAAACATTTGCACTGTTCGATGCCGCAACACAGCCGTCGCAGGACCGTTCGGCGGCTGCTTCGCTGTCCAACAAACCGATGGCACTGGCCGACAAGATACCGCAGCATGTAAGATAATTTCACTCTAACCCTCCCCTCTTGTTCACATCGGAACCCCATTGTCTCCTTAAATCTCTTTCTGTCCAGCACATATCATGTACTCATCCATCCCGTAGCCGTCGACACTGCCCAGACCCTCAAAGGCATTCAAGCCCAAGTCCTACAGAACCAGAAGGACCTTGACGTCGCCATTGCCGCAAACCAGGCCGCCGGTCTTGCAGGCGGCAATGAGGGCGCTAGTGCCATCTCCGGTGCGTTTGGCAGATTTTCATTTCGTTTTTGTTTTGATGTTCCGGGCGAGATTGAGTTTAGATTCGGGTTTTTTGCTGACTTTGTTTTGTCTTCGCAGCTTTGATTACGGCGACTCTCGATCCAAATGCCGCCCAGCCTACAGGTGCGGTCGGAAACGGCAACGGAAACGGTAATAACGGTAATGGTAACGGAAATGGCAATGGAAATGGAAGAGGTCGGACCGGTGGTAACGGAAATGGCCGTAACAGGGGTGGCAATGCCAACCAGAATGCGAACCAGAACGGAAACCAGAACGCAAACCAAAACGGAAACCAGAATGCCAACCAGAACGCCAATCAGAATGCGAACCAGAATGCCAATCTGAACGGAAACCAGAATGCCAACCAGAACCAGCAGACAGGACAGAACAACAACCAAGGTGGGCAAAACCGAAACAACAACAAGCGATCGTTCATGGCATACTTCCTGGCATAAATCACCTCTCCGAACCCGGTCGGAACCAAAACAGTGCTCTAGGAGGGGAGTCTCACTCCAAAGCATACCACTCTCAACTCGACGCGGAATCAGTTTCCAAGTCAATCAGTGGCAGGCCCATGGAGGAAGTCTAGTATCTTTAGAAAGTAAATATTTATACCAAAGTTTTCTCAATCTTCATGTAAATTTGAATCTCCACATAGCACTGTTCCTACTCAGATGAGTGTACACGATTTGATGAAAAATCCCAAGTTCTTACGTGTAGTTACGGGCTTTTGACCGATGGTCCTTCGCCGGTGCGAGCTTCAGAGACCCAAGGCCAACACCAAGTCCGACAGAAAAGTTTGCCTTAAAAATGCAACGATGCCTGAAGGGGGAATACTTCGCCGAACGCCAACGAAGGCATGAATGGGAATATTCCAGGCTAGCTTGCAGTGGAAGCGCGACGCCCGTAACTTCCCCCCATATCCTTCATCGACTTCCTTATCAATCAGGAAGAAAAATTCTCCTAGTGGTAGTACCTTCATCGTAGCCTTAAAAGTCTTGGAAAGAGTCCTACCTTGAAGCTTCCTCGTCTCAGGCTCATGCAGGCACCCGCAGGCGGCCGCTCCGTGATTGGTCGGGTGAACTCCCTCCCAATGCACATCATTCGCTCCATCACCGTTGAAGATGCCAGACCTATGGGATCAGGACTCAGAGCGCCTGAAATCGGATTGCGCGAAATATGGGGCCTGAAAGGAGGAACATTGCAGACGTTTCGCGTAGAATTTGTATGAGAAGAAGAAATGAGAATCCTTCGATCGAAGGAGTAGAAGCTGCGGACCGCTGATTAAAGAGTGGTCTCTGCCACAATTACAGGGCATGGAATGCTGTGCTGGACTCTGTCTGCAGCATCCCATTGTTGTACCTCGTTTCTTTCGAGCACTGCCCCAAATTACGTCGTGTGCGGATGACTTTACACGATGCCACTTCCGATCGTACTCCTGGCGTTACTCACGCTCGCTACAAGGCATGCTGCGCAGGGGGAGAGCTTCCAACTGCCTTGCGAGGCGTCGCTAGCCAGCGAGTTCTCGACGCTAGACAGGCTCGAACTAGACAGCCAGACGCAGGTGAAGTGGAATACGAACATCAGCAGCTACGAGATCCGATTGATGCAGATGCTGGTGAAGACATGGAGCTCAATGAAGGGGCCACCTATATATGGTATGTTTCCAACCACCGCGTAACGATGATGATGATGATGATGATGATGATGATGATGATGTTGAGCGTCGGTGGATTGCGTTGAGGTCGTGGAAAAGAGTATGGAAGGCTAATACGTCTGACAGAGAAGAGGGTTGACGAAGAAGAAATAGGCGAATTCGAGTGGACGGTGACAACCACGCATTTTGACCTGAAAGAATCGCCAGTATACTTCTTCAATCTTTACCAGACCACGCACCCATATACGATGTTTGCGAGTTGCTACTTCAACATCACCCTAGCGGCGAGAACACCTCCGCCTGGAAAAATACTCCCAACTACGACGGCCGGTCCTATGCCTACGGGCTCAGGCAGCCTTCCATCACTATCATCGTCATCATTATCATCATCATCATCGTCGTCGTCGTCGTCGTCTTCAGCATCAACGGTACCCAGGAATGAGGATCCCGAGGAGCGAATCATGCATTCAGCACGTTGCATGGGACTCGTACTGGGCGTCAGCTTGGGTATAGGTATCCCACTCGTCCTTGGAATCGCGGCAAGCGTCATCTTCTACAAACGGCGCCGTGAATGGATAGCGAGCAAGGACAGCACCGTAGCAAGCGGCTTTCACCCACATTCTCCACAGCTATATCCTCAGGATCCTGTGAAATATGTGTCGAATGGCCCTCCCAGAGATTATGGACAGCTACAGAGCGGCTATGGACAGACGCCTTGTCATCATCGTTGTCAGCAACAGTTTCAATTCGTACAGTTGAGCGAGTTGCCGAGCGATAGACAGCCTGCGGAGTTGGCTGGGAGGTAATCGTCAGATCGGTGCACAATCTTGAATGTCGAGGAAGAACAGCGCCAGATGAACGTATTTGAGGGACTTCGTGGATGTTTATATTAGCGATGGCGTGTGTATTGTACCCTTCATTCCTGTACTATTAGAAAGTAGGATTCCGCTAGGAACTACTCTCAAGTGATGCTATCCATTAGATGTATTATAGGACACAATGTACTTCAACTGATACCTTCTCAGTGTAACAAAATCGTCGACCTCTTACTAATGTAGTCAATGTGTCGTCATTGGATCTTCTTGACTGCTATTAGAAAGTGACTGGATACTTGCGTCCAGTTCGGACGGTAATGCAAGCCATTTCTCATAAACAAAGTTGATCGGTGGAGACTGGAAGTAACATGATCCTATCTTGAATTATAGCATTCAAGTGCAGAAGGCAGCGTCGTTCACCGGAGGAGACCTCCGCAACCCCCGTACTCGCCAAGGCCAACCGACCAACCGCCGAACAATCTCCGTCAGCCCTATGAAATCAGACCACTTCTACATGCGTAACGAAAACATTTCTTCCCAAGCACCCATTGACAACTCTACAAACATCAATCCAACTTCCAGAGACTAGACAAAGTATATCAAAATGAACACAGTAAGCCCTCCAAATCTCTCCGTTTCCGACGAACGCGACATCAGCTCACACAACAGCTATGTAGATCAAATCCGTATAGTACGTCACTCACCGCAGCTCCTCCTCCGTATCCCTCAGTCCACTTTCACACCACCATCGAACAAGCGCAAACGTCTCGGAACAACCAAGATGCGAATTCCAAATCTTCACATGCATATCCCAATTGATACCCACATCCATGAATTCCCGCCTCCACGCAATTCCGCGCCTATCCAGCGAAACACACGATGAAGAAGAGGAAATCGAATACAATTCGCAAAAGCTAACAATCCACGCAGCTACGGTTGGGGCACCTTGATAGTAGCCGGCGGAGGCGCATACTACTTCGCAAAGCGATCGATCAACGCCGAGCGCGCCGCAAAATCCGAGGCCGACTTCAGGAAGCGCCAGAGGCAGTACGAGATGGAGCAAGCACACATCAACGGCGGAGGCTCGACATCCTCGTCGACGAGCTCGCCGTATGCGCCGCTCCCTTCAGGAATCAGACCCGTCCCGCCGTCTGTTGTGGACGAGTTGAAGAGGAAGAGGGAGGAGGCAAAGGCTGATAAAGATTGGCATGTCCAGGATGACAATGCGGGGCACCCGAGTCAGGAGGCTAATAGCGATCCTGCGCCTACGAGACATGCGCCTGAGGATGAGTCACAGAAGGTGACGGAGAAGAGCAAGTACGAGGCGAGCGATGTATATAGGAGTAGGAAAGGGGACCGGTTTAGCTAGGCTTGTGCGATTGTGGGCGGTCGGTGAAGTTGTGTCGAGCCGGGTGGAGTTATTTTGTGTACGCATATATCACGAGCGATGGGTCCTCGCGGATAAGGAAGGATGCTTTTTAGGAAAAAAAGATTCCGCTCTTTGCATTTGTACTATATACAGGTTGGTCTGTTACGATTACTGAAATAAAAATCATAGCAAATTGTGAGCCTACCAGTCAGACCCAATGCAACCGTGTTAAACAAGCTAAACCAGATGAATTACAGCAGGACGCCCACGCAATATATCAGGGTATAAAGCGACCATTTTGATCGTTTAAAGTACATCAAATCGTGACATTGATTTGGTCCTCCTCTCCTCAGCTGAGCAAGCTGCTCTTAGGGCTGTCCCTCCGCTTCTCGTATAGCCACTTGTTGTTCAGCCCTACGCTGGCTCTGCCGGTCCCTGGTGTAGGCGTTCCAGGGGTATTGCTTCCGCTACTATCGAACAAGCTGCTCGAGAATCCACTGCCCCTGCTATCGAAACTCAATCGCTTGCTGGCAGATGCACCACCCACTGCTTTCTGGAACAACGGGCTGCCGGTGTTTGGAGAGAAGGGGGAGTTTGAGGTCGACTTGACCATGCTCGCACGAGGGCTGCCGGACAAGGGAGAGTGTAAGTCGGCAGGGGTGCCGAAGCTGTTTCGCGGAGTGGATCTTTGGTATCGCGGGGGGGTCACGTAGTTGGGGGAAGCATATGCAGAACCGGGTGTTTGAGGGGTTCTGACGTTAGGGTCGAGACCCATTGCTTCTCGCTGGGATGGAGTGAGAGGGATATCGGCGATGTCGTCGGGCTGGTAGCGACGGAAAAGAGGTAGACATGCTTGTCCAACGCCCATGAGGAGCAGAAGGCGGACCAGCCAGATGAGATAACTTATGTTAAGACCGGTGCTTTGCAACAAGTTTCCTGCCGAAGAACTTGCGCGTTGGGTCAGTATTGAACGTAGAGATATCGTTACCAGGGCATACTCACAAGATAGTGCGGATCAATGGGACTTCTCCGATCAAACCAGGAGCGACAAATGAAGCGACAATCAGACCGCCATTAGCAACGATTGCCTTGACATTGCGCTCATCAAACGTGGTCGCGTACTGTCGACGGGTAATCTCGTCGAACTTTGGGTGCTTCCAAGCACCAGTGGGGGTGGGTTCATGCTGACGCTGCGCCGAGGGAGTCACAGGTGTCGCAGGAGCTCGAGGAACCCCTCCATTGGATATGAGTCTCGCACTCATCGCGTTCAAAGGGAAGTGGAGAACTGATTGTTGGGCGCAAGAGTTGAATGGGTCACTGGCGGATGTGGAATGTTCTGAGAAGACCAATTGTTATGCTGGAAGCTGTAAGGTTAGTAGGTTAGTATAAATCACGAGCGTCGATTAACTCGTCATGTCTTTGAAGGTCGGATCTCTGAAGAGGTGTGCATATGTAGTATGGAGTTGGTTGAATGAATGTGTTGCTGTGTTTTGAGCAACTAGCGTGCCAAGGCTGGAGCGTAGCAACGGAGACGAGACCCCTGCAAGCCATTCCATTATTGTCAGGCGGCGGATGTGGGCGCCTTACTTGTTTCGGGGCTGGCAGCTGGACTCGTCATAGCAAGTGACCCCACCGGTAACATCATCCTACTTACACAATACACACCATACTTTAACACCACTCCTTCTTCAATAATCCTCAATTCTACCTTTTTCCAACCTTCGTTTGCTTCTGATATTTCTGTTTTGTTGTTCTACCGCAATAAATCATGGCGAGCGTAGTCGAGCAGCTCGATGCTCAAATCGCCCAGCTGCTGTCCGGATGGAATACCCTCTCCACCATTCTCGTCGTCGGCATTGTTGGTTTTATTGGCTGGGTCATATATGATACTCAAGATGCTGATACTCATCCTCTGCTGCTAGCAAGACAGGCTCAGGCTTCCTACGTCAGACAGCCTGGAGAGTCTGCTTCATACAGGTCTCCAGAGACCCCTCATGGCTGTATGATCCATTATAGCGCCTGCTCGCTGTGCCTCAATGTCCCGAAATGCTAACAGCATACAGATCCTCTCCGAACAGGCCTCGCCGTCAAACCCCCAGGCGCTCCGATGTACTCTGCTGGCAAAGATGGTGATCTCCGTGATATTTGGCGCCGCGTTACCGGCGAGATTCCCCTCGAGAAGAATGCCACCCCCGACGGGACAGGCAAAATCATCACCGTTTTTGGCAAACAGGATATCACCGAGCACAAGATTCCCGATATTACAAAGGAGATAGCAATCATTGGAAAGCATCTGCAAGATCACGGTGCTAAACGCGTTGCTATTTACTTGCCGAACAGTGTCGAGTTCCTCGCAGCTCTATTCGCCGGCGCTTTCTACGGCTTCTCCCCAATCTTGATTCCATACAATCAGCCGCATCCCACTTTGATCGAGCTTTTGGCCCGAACCAACGCGGATTCCCTCATTGCCGAAGCTGGCTCCCTTCCGCTCGCTGATGTCACCCGTGGGGCGGCTGGTCTCCGCCAGGTGATCTGGACTGTCGAGAAAACAAGCAGGCATATGGATTGGAACGAGGTGCCGGAGGGTATTGGTGGTAAGCTCGATGTGTCTGTCTGGCACGAGCTTGTACAGGATCACAAGAACGGTTCAATCGAATTACCCCAGAACAGTGGAAAGGCACCAAACGTTGTTTTCCTATGGCAGCAAGGCATCACCAAGTCTGTAGAGATTGTGGAATTCACACAGCAGGTGGGACAGCAACGCAATCAATTCTTTCAATATACTGACATAGTGCAGAACTTATCTGCAGCCACTGGAGCTCTTATTTCAGCATTGCCCGCCCATCAGCGTTTCTCGCCATCTGACACATTGCTCCCCGCCGACTTGTTTACCCACTCCTACGCATTGACCCTTACACTGGCAGCACTCTTCTCCCACTCCACTGTCGTTATCAATTCCGTCGCCGGTCCTGGTGTAGATTTGACACTTGCCAGCCGTTTGGTTTCCCCCACGATCATAGTTGTATCCGCGGAGACGGCCGCTAAACTCCACAACACTACGACCGAAACCATCACTGGTGCTCTGAAGAAGTTCGCACATTACCTAGAGTCTCGAATGCTGGCCTCTGGACGTCTTCCTACGGATTCGCTGTTCACTCGCCTCAACGCACCAGTCAGGGCATCCGTCGGCGCTACACCAGGAAAACTACGCCTTCTTTTCGTCTCCGAGAGGGTTGGTCAAGATGACACGCCCTTGAGCTCTGATGATCTTTCCGACTTACGCATCTATACGAAGGCTCGTGTCATTTATGCGTTGACGGCCGCTAAGGTAGCTGGCGCGGTTGCGCAAACCTATATTTATGACTATCGCCGAGGCACGACGCCGGCATCTAAACACAGTCATTTTGGCGTTCCGCTCAGTTGCCTGGAGGTCAAGTTGAAGGATAATGCAGCTCATAAGACGACCGATGAGCATGTTGCGGGTGAAGTTATTGTAGCAGGATCATCTGTAGCAGGTGGGGAGACATCATTGGGAGTAAATGGTATGCTTCTCACTCCACTTGATGCAAGGACGTCACTAAACATCTCTAGGTACCTTCCGGGAAGACCACACATTAGCATACATCTAAGCGTTTCTGTCATAAAACATGCAATTCGGCTAGATAACGTCGAAGACGAAGCGTGGACTAAATATCGATCTTTAATTCAAGCTCAAAAAGTTGTTATCGCCGGTATGCATTGGTAATGTTTCTGATATCCGAGATAGCAGGGTGTCTCTTAGTAGTGGCGAATGCCTCTGAATACGACAAGACTCGACTTCTTTCTCTAAGTCGACTCGTATATTCTAGATCAATTGAGCTGCCCTGCCGTGACTTTCCGACTGACCGGGCCAGGGAGTTATGCGTCTGCAGGGCAAGGGATCTCTCATCCAGTCATGCGTATCTATGTACTCCTTACCATCGCAATGATGGCAGTCCCATCTACCCGCAGTGAGCTATCCCATCGGCCAGACCCGACCACGAGGCACATGGGTTGATACTTGAGTGGTGGGTGTGAATTACCCAACCCCGTGGGTTTGCGTATCTCTACCTGATAGCGAGTCGCGTGGGGACCCCCCTGTTCCCTGTTCGAGACCTTTAGAATCTGGGGAAAGCGTCCCGTTTAGCGTAGAACCGGCGTGCCGATCTCCTACATGGGGTCTTATCACAACGACTCGCCGTCGAATGAGAGGCAACCGTTCTTGACATTGACTTTGCACAAAGGACTGCGTATCTGGCGGCATTTTGCAGGTATCGGATACGATTACTTGTATTGTCCATGGACGGTTTGCCTGGTTGCCATCGCTTATGGGTCGATAACCATGGCTCAAGCCTCACCAGACACGAACTCTCGGGTAGAGTCGAGCCACACATACTATGCATAGATAGACCCCAGCCTTGTCGGCAGCAGACATGCACAGCGTTTGGCTTATCTGCACCTTGGCATGGTGTTGACGGATCGACCCATGTTTGGTTGATAGGCGTGTGCGACCATACAAAAGCCTGCATGATCCCCGCGCGGTCAAAGAATCCTCACGCCAGATCTTTCGTACCTCCTCATAGAAGAGAGCAGCGGCTCCAGAGACATCATGCCTCAATTCAAGCGACCGCATCTCAAGGTCGAACAGCCAAATTCTGTTTTCGCACAGGGTAACGCCAGATGGTGAGTGCAATCTTGAAGCTCTTCTAGCTTGTTGCGGGGAATTGATTGGGTAAACTTCCAGGACCAACAAAGATCTCGACCCTGTCCCGAGGCACGAGCGAAAATGGGGTGTTACTTCATTCCTTGCATACTGGATCAGTGATGCATTTAAGTAAGAATTGTCTCCAGCCATTCCTCATAGATCAAGAGGTCCTCATACATTCTCAGTGCGGCAACATGGCAATTCGCGTCAAGTATAATCGCAATTGGTGAGACAGAACCCTCTCGTGCGCACATGATTGATTATGCTCACCTCTTCCAGGCCTCACATGGAGGGAGTCATTGGGAATCGTAGCGCTTGCATTTTTCATCATTTCGTTCGTTATAGCGCTTAATGGAGCTATCGGCGTAATTCGTAAGAAACCAGCATTCATCACTCTCTGTGCTGTCCACTGATGCAAGCTAGACCACTCTCCATTCCCCGTCATTGCGCGAGCGTCATGGGGTTTCTGGGGCTCCTACGTCGCCATCATCTCCCGTACGATTCTCAGTGTGTTTTGGTTTGCCATTCAGACCATGAACGGGGCGAACACGGTACGAGTCATGATCGGAGCGATATGGCCATCATTCCTTACGCTCAAGAATACTATACCCGAGGATCAGGGCATCACCACGAATACGATGATATCGTTCTTCATTTTCTGGTTGATTCAGGTGCCCTTTTTGTGCATGCACCCCAACACTCTACGTTGGTTGTTCATGGTCAAAAGTGTGGTCGTACCATGCGCGTGGATTGCCATCTTAGGCTGGGCATTTGCGTCCACGGACGGGGGCGAAATGTGGAATCAGAAGGCAACGATTACTGGAAGTGCATATAGCTGGGCTTTCCTGTCCTCGCTCACTGCTGTCATCGGAAATTATGCCACTCTGTCCGTCAACCAGGTATGTTTGTCTGTCTTTTGGCTAAGCGATTCACAGCTAATGGATTTGATCTAGGCCGACTTTTCTCGATACTCTCGCGTCTCTGTGAAATGGCAACTGATTTACGTTCCATTTCTCCCCATCATCTTCACATTCATCGCATTCATCGGTGTCGCCGCTACATCTGCAGGAACGGTCCATTATGGAACTGTGAATTGGGACCCAATGGCCCTGATCGCAAATTGGGAATCTCGCGCGGCCCGCTTCTTTGCTGCCTTCTCCTTTGCGCTTGCCGCCCTAGGTGTCAATATCTCTGCAAACTCTCTTTCCGCCGCCAACGACTTAATGGCACTGTTCCCTCAGTACCTCAATATCCGCAGGGGCCAGATCGTGTGCGCAATCCTCTGCTGGGCACTTGTTCCCTGGAAGATCCTTGAGTCTGCAGGCACGTTCCTAAACTTCATGGCCGCATACGCTGTATTCTTGGGTCCTATCGCCGCCATCATGGCGTCGGATTTCTGGATCGTACACAAGCGCAAGTACGACACGCTGGCTCTCTACCAACCTTACAGTATATATCGATACACTGGTGGCGTCAACTGGCGCGCCATCACCGCTTTCCTCATCGGCGTTGCACCCAACCTGCCAGGCTTCATCAGCAGTATTAATCCTAAGATTGATACCGGTGTAGGAGCTCGCCCGTATGCCTTCGGTTGGTTGCTGGGATTCTTCAGCACTGGTCTCGTGCATGTTTCTTTATCGTTGTTGTTCCCGGCCAAGGAAACATTTATCGCAAAGAGCGTGACACCGGATGATATCTATGACGCCAATGGCGAAGTCGACGGTGTAAGCATTGGAAACTCTGGAAGCGGCGAGGAAATGGGAGCAAGCAACGAGAAGGCAGGCTGGAAAGCCAGGTTGGATAGAATCTTGTAGATTATCATACCCTCGAGGGTTGCACATGTAAATGCATCTAGACGGCACAGGAGATCAAGGAACAATAAGGTTCTTTCAGTAATTCAATCTATTCGATCTTATCAAACATGTAATTGTTGTGATTTTGCGGTGCGATTACATGATTCCAATAATTCATCTGACATTTTGATTGATCTTGCTGTGTAATGATTAATATCTGTCTCTACCACCAGTTCAATACACGGAGGCGGCATGCTAGGCCGCATCAAAGCTTAGCGTGACGCCGGCCTTGGCATCATAACTTTGGCAACATCGCTGAACCTAGCTGTCCATCTCAAGATAGTACCCCGCCACCGCCTCTCTGCGAACGATGACCCGATAGAAGCTAAATTTTCCCAATCCTCTCGTCCTTCTAATTTCTCTGTCAAATTTCCACAATCATGGCGTCCGCGATCTTCTTCCTCGACCTGAAGGGCAAGGTGAGCTTGTGGGGTAAACTCGGTGAAGCATCCAGACTGACGATGTATGCATATAGACCCTTCTGGCGCGAAACTACAGAGGTGACATTCCCATGTCAGCCGTGGAGAAGTTTCCTATACTTCTCAGCGAGGCGGAAGAAGAGAGCTCCGCAGTTCCACCATGCTTCTCGAGCGAAGGCATCAACGTACGAACCTACTCCCCCCGTCTCCAGGACCTCCGTCCTCCTCGATTCATATATATTATATCTGAGTTCCCAGTCTAATGGATAGATTGTTTAGTACCTCTATATCCGCCACAGCAATCTGTACCTCCTTGCCCTGACGAAGCGCAACACGAACGCCGCTGAGATCCTCCTTTTCCTACACAAGATTGTCGAGGTTTTTACAGAGTACTTCAAAGAGCTGGAGGAGGAGAGTATAAGGGACAACTTCGTCATCATTTACGAACTCCTGGACGAGATGATGGATTTCGGGTATCCGCAAACGACGGAGTCCAAGATATTGCAAGAGTATGCCGTCCACGATTCGTGCTTTCGATTGGTCGGGATTGATACTGACCGATATGCTTTCGCAGGTACATCACGCAGGAGTCACACAAGCTCGAGGTCCAGGCCAGGCCGCCCATCGCCGTTACCAATGCCGTCAGCTGGCGAAGCGAAGGTATTCGATACCGCAAGAACGAAGTGTTCCTCGATGTCGTCGAATCTCTCAACCTCCTTGTTTCCGCGAATGGCAATGTCCTGCGCTCTGAAATTTTGGGTGCGATCAAGATGAAGTGTTATTTGTCCGGTATGCCCGAATTACGGTTGGGTCTCAACGACAAGGCCATGTTTGAGACCACAGGACGCGCAACACGAGGGAAGGCTGTGGAGATGGAAGACGTCAAGTTCCACCAGTGCGTGCGACTATCGCGATTCGAAAGCGACAGGACGATCAGCTTCATTCCTCCGGACGGCGAGTTCGAGCTCATGAGCTACCGGCTAAACACACAAGTTAAGCCTCTTATCTGGGTGGAGTGCATAGTAGAAAGCCACTCTGGAAGCAGGATAGAGTACATGTTGAAGGTATAGTCATCGACATACTGCCGCCACATATAGAGACTGATGAAACAACTAGGCCAGAGCACAATTCAAGCGACGAAGCACAGCCAACAACGTCCAAATCTCGATACCCGTCCCCGAAGACGCGGATACCCCTCGATTCCGCACCAACGTCGGCACCGTCCACTACGCCCCAGAGACCTCCTCCATTGTCTGGAAGATAAAACAGTTCGGTGGCCAGAAGGAATTCCTCATGAGGGCGGAGCTGGGCCTGCCCTCGGTCCGCGGAGACGACGAGAAGGGAGGCGGCATGATGGGCGGTTTCGGCGGCAGCATGGGAGGTGTGGGCGCCGGCAAGGGAAAGCGACCCATCAACGTCAAGTTCGAGATTCCCTATTTCACGACCAGTGGTATCCAGGTTAGGTATCTGAAGATCATCGAGCCTAAGGTTAGTCGAATCCCTTCCCAACACTCTATCTCATCCTGAACGTAAAACTAACCACCCTCACTAGCTCCAATACCCATCACTGCCCTGGGTGCGCTACATCACACAATCAGGAGACATTGCGGTCCGGTTACCCGATGTACAATAGACGATCATGCAATAGAACTCCCCTTGATAACATGCGCCACCAGATTTCACGTAGGACGGAAAACCATCTACCCCCGCCCAGCCTTGTAAAACCCTTCCTTGTCCACATCCACCCAATGTCTCACGTAGTTAGAACCCTCCAGAGGCAGCAGTGATGGCATGACATGGCGAAATAATTCTTTGTACTCTTTCTTACTTCTTTAGCGGGCGATTGAATCGATTACTCGTTTGTCTTTGTGTATACCTCACAAAATTAAAATCATAAATGGAAAACAAATCAATTAGTCAATGATGCAGCCAGTGTCACTCAGCCAGTCAGTCATAATCGCATGATTCAAACATCACTTTCACGTCACATCACGTCAATTATGAACCGAAAATGTCTTGAAGAGAAGAAAAGTAGAAAATTGGATTCCGAAAAACCGTCTATGGAATGAAAAAGAAAAACTCGTTGATTTTTGATCCCGATGATGAAAAAAAGAAAAAGGAGACTCAAGACTCAGGCTCTCGGCTGTTTGTGAAAAAAAAAAGGATAAATATACTTCACAGCCGGCCGGTCAGTCTCGTCTCGCAGTCCAGTCCATTTATAGTCCAGTCCAGTCCGGAAACGCAAATATCAGGTAGGGAAAAAAAAGAGAACGCAAAACAAAAATCAGATAACTCCTTGGACTGTAGACTGTAGACTTTTGGACGCTGGATGTTGGGTATTGGATGTTGGATAATGGATGTTGGATAATGGATGTTGGATAATGGATGTTGGATAATGGTGGTCGAATGAACTCTGTGTTCATGACTGATAAAGAAAACTGATGGAACTGAATTGAAAACCGAAAGAACCGAATGATCGCACTCATAATATAAGCCCCGATGGTGGCTGGTGTTGTTGTACAGAAACTGATGTGAGAAGAAGGACAAAGACGGAAATGGGGCGAGTGGGTCATTCCGGGTTTGAAAGGCGTGGAGAGAAAGGAAAACGTCGGAAATGGGGCAACTGGGTCATTCCGGTTTTGAGAAGTGTGGAGAAGAAGGACAAAGTCAGAAATGGGACACTGGCTTCTCATCTGGGTGTGATGATAGTCGTGCTTCTCATCTGGGTGCGATGATAGTCGTGCTTCTCATCTTGATGTGATGATAGTCGTGCTTCTCATCGTCGTGCGATGATAGTCGTGCTTCTCATCTTCGTTAAATTGAAATCCGTGTTGGTAAGAATGATGGCAGTGGGTTCGAATAATCATGAGTTGTGAGTTAAGTGTTGAGTTGACTGGCCGTTAGGTTACGTTTTCGAGATTCAATGTTCATGAGCGAGACTGATGATCGTGAGGTTATGTTCTTTAAGAAGACGTTCATGATGTGGATATCGAGAGGCTGAGATCGAGAGATTGATGTGAGCAAGGTGATGCGAGCGAGACCCGATATTTGTGAGTTCTATTGTGAGCGAGATTGATGTGAGCGAGATTGATGTAAGCGAGGTTGATGTGAGCGAATTTAATGTTCGTGAGTAAGTTCAATGTTCGTGAGGTTCAGTGGCCGTTCATGTTCGATCCAGTCTTTCTCTGAGACGGATTTTCAAACTCCGAAGGACGTCCACGTTACTCTTTCTTACTCTTCTCAACGCGACCACTCTTTACCTTCTTGTCGGCGGACTTGGTCTCTTTCTGTGGAGCCTTCTTGCCTGCCTTCTTGCTTCTGGCCTTGAGAACACTGACTTTCTTGCTGCCTCCACCAGCAGAAGTAGATGTTCTTGGACCTCTCTTGACACCTTTGTCGCAGCGAACTTTCCTTTTCTGTTGCGCTTCTATGGCGCTCAAAATCTCATCAACAAGTCCGTTCTCAACGATGTGGTGTATAATGTCAAGGCCGACGTCACAGAATTCCTGGACGCCACGAACAGCTAAGTAGTTCTCTCGCTCCATGAGAAGGCCGACACGCCATTTGTCGAGGCTGGTAAGGAAGATCTCGTCGACATCGAGGGTGGTATTTGCGCTGCCGGAGCCGCTGCTGTTGGAAAGCTCAACAATGGACTCGATGACTAGGATGGCGATGTTGTGAAAATTAAGTAGCGAGATCTTGGGATCAAGCGATGGGTTCATTCCAGTCATTCTTGCAGCCATGTCTCGCTGTGAGGGGATAAAGACATTCTCAAGAAGCTTGAATTCGAGGGCGGAGTGATCTGGTGAGAGGATGATTTCTTCGCGTGGCATGCCAGGGAGAGAAATCTTTGCTGTGTCCTCTTTGTTTTTAGAAGTGGCGGTCTGAAGTATGGCTTCGTACTGAAGTAGGAGTTAGCTTTTGAAAACTGTAGGGGAGTGAGTGAGAGAGAACTTACATCAGGAAGCTTCCAACTCATTTGGGCTTCAATCTCTCCCTCATGTTCGCTGTCATCCTTACTTTCATGTTCGTTGCCATCTTTGCTTTCATGTTCGCTGCCAGTCTTCATCTCATAGTCGCTGCCAGTCTTCATCTCATAGTCGCTGCCAGTCTTGCTTTCATGCTCGCTGCCAGTTGTGCTCTCATGTTCGTTGCCATCTTTGTTACCGCCTTCACTGTCATCCATGTTGTGATCCTCAATATCATCAGCGCCGTCAGCTTTCTCTGAAGTTGGTGTAGGGGTAGTGGTTCTGTCTCTCTCTGAAGTGATAATGGGCGTGGTGATCTCGTCTCTCTCTGAAGTGATTATAGGCATGGTGATCTCATCTCTCTCTGAAGTAAACATGGGCGTCGGCATCTCATCTCTCTCTGAAGTGGGTGTGGGAGTGTGAGTGTGAGTTTTCGAATCAGTCTCTTCGCTGACAACCTTGCTTTCATCTTTGCTTTGAACTTCGCTATAATCCTTACTATGACCCTCACTGAGGTCCTCGTTACCGTCTTTCTCTGAAGTCGGCGCGGGTATGGAGGGTATTGGATTAGCGTCTTTACTGGCTTCGACCAGTTCTAAGCTGCTCGCGGCCCTTGAGGTAAGATGTCCAGAGATCATGATCACGCTTCTTCGCCTTCCTGCCAGAGCTGGATCGAGCTTGTGGGCGATCGTGACTGAGCTTGATCCTCTTGGAAGAGGAGAAATAACTCGTATTGGGAGCTGGGGAATCGGTACTGAGCCTGGTCCTCTTGGAAGAGTAGGATGAAGCTGTATTGGGAAGTGGTGGGAAGACTGGTGGTGATATAGGTGTCGTTGGTGGCGCGAAGAAAGCTGATGCCGCGAGTTCGGCCTCGGGAGAGAGTGGTTTGCGGGTCCAAAGATCTTGATTGAGCTTGGTCCTCTTGCCACCTCTGGTCGAAATTACCTTTGGAGGTCGAACCGCCGGGCAGGGTGTAGGTGCTGCACCGAGAATGGGGATGAAAATGTCTGCCGCGAAGAAAGCGGATGCCGCGAGTTCATTCGCGGGAGAGAGCGGCTTGCGGGTCCAAAGATCGCGGACGAGCTTCTTCTTGCCAGCTCCAGACGCAGACACCTTTCGAGGTGGCGGGCAGGGTGTAGGTGGTGTTGATGGCGAGGATGAGGTGGATGAGGAAAGTGAAGGTGTGGAAGCACCTTCAGGTGAAGCTGAGCTTCCCAGTGGCCGGTTGAGCCTCTGCTTCTTGACGAAAGGGCGGTCAGAGCGACGCCCTTGAAACTTCTGGTTGTTGGCCACTGGGAGGCCAGCTCCAACCTTCTCCGCCTTGCGCTTCACACCCGTTGGAGGGAAGGTCAGGGAAGCATTCAGCCAAGCCGAAATGTCGTAGATGGTGGTCACATCAACAACACCCCAACCTTGATCGACCAGCATCTTGCTTCCCAACGAGGGAGTTTCTGAAGCGACTGATTCAGTCTCAGACGCAGCGTACTCGCTCTCCTCGTCGAAGGTGGCGGCACGACTCGCCATTTCAACCTTCGAACCTCCCACTCCGCCGGCAACGACCGCCACGCTCTTGGGCTGCTGAAGATTAGTATATATGACTACGTTGTTGGTGGTGGTTATGACACTTGCCTCAACTTTAGCGTGAGCTTGCTCACCCATACCGACATTGAAGCGGTGGCCGCTGGGCTGGTAAAGTTTAGTATATATTGATGACTGTTGTTGTTAGATATGAGACTCACTTGGACGACCACCGCTTGCTTTCGCTGATCCTCCGGGATCAGCGGGATCTCATACCCCTCCATCCCCACGTCGCCCCAGATGCGGCCCTGATATTGAAGTTTAGTATAAGTTGCATTCCATTTGAGAATCGTAGCACTTACTGGGGCGACGGGGTCATCGTTCGTGAGCTCTTGCTCACTCTCCGCTCCCTCCCCCTCCCGGGCTTCATCATCCGGGAGATCAGGCTCCCCAGAAACGCCTGGCTCAGGCGACGGCGACGGTGCTGATTCTCTGCAACGTGCCAGAGAGGCACCGGCCATGGGGGCTTTGCCCCGAGCCTTCTGAGTCTGGACAGCGAGACCTCGCCGTCCGAAGCTCCGGTCGTCCTCGTCCTCGTCCTCGTCGCTGTCGTCCTCGTCGCTGCTGTCGTCCTTGACGACGTCGTCGGCCTCCTTCTCCTCCTCCTCGTCCGCTCCTGAATCAGAGCGCCTCTCGCCGCTGGGCTTCATGCCCTCTGTGGTGCTTCAAGACACGTCTGCTTCACTCACCCCGTCAGCAACGGCGGAGGCAAGATCGGCAGTGACGGCCGAGGCGGCACCAACAGGAAACAATCCACGCCAGTCGGTGAGGAGGGTCTCGTCATCAAGATTGGACATGATGATGATGGTGGTGGTGATGATGATGGTGGTGGTGATGATGATGTGGTGGTGGTGATGATGATGATGTGGTGGTGGTGATGATGATGTGGTGGTGATGATGATGTGGTGGTGGTGATGATGATGTGGTGGTGGTGATGATGATGTGGTGGTGGTGGAGTTGGAGTTGGAGTTGGAGTTGGAGTTGGTGGTGGAGTGGAGTGGTGGTGGAGGATTGTGAGAGTGGAGGGTTGAGGAGGAAGTTGAGGAGGAAGTTGAGGAGGAAGTTGAGGAGGAAGTTGAGGAGGAAGTTGAGGAGGAAGTTGAGAAGTAAAGGTGAAGGACTGAGCGGAGAGGGCAGGGAAAAAGGCGCTAGTGGGCAGACAACGTGGGCAGGCAACGAGAGCAGGTGGAGGCAAGTGAAGGTGGGCGAGTTGAGATGGACGACTTCAGAATTGAGACGGAGGGAGAGAGAGGCTTGGCTGCTCAGGTGAAGGTGGACGCAGAAGAGAGAAGGTGAATAGGCTTGAGTGGCCGTAGGTGGTTGTTGGCTCGGATCCTTTTCGTTTATAGTAAAATTATATCAATGGAGATGGATATAGAGGAGTTGTGAAGGTAAAAGAGTTTTGAAGGCCTTCAGTCTACTGAACTACCGCAAAGAAGCTGGAGAGGCTCGATGATGCGGTAGTAGTCAAGATATATTGATATCGAACTACGTCGAGGGCGAGAAACATCACGAGCAGAAAGCACGCTATGTTCCTCTACGGAATGTATGCCATGATCCACTTTGATCACATTCAAATATGAGTGTATATAGAACATAGCTTCCAGAGAATTTGGCAACGGGAAGCCAGAGAAGCTTTCACATTTGAGCTTTCACCGACCTCAGTGAGGGAGCAGGTCGAAGGAGGAGTTAATTTCGGATCTGTTGGTATTGTTCTGGAGTACTGAGAGGCTGGGTGGCGGCGAGGAAAGAGCAGTGATGGTGATGGTGAGAGGCCAAATTCACACGGCCGGTGAATTGAGGTAGAGCGAGGAACGGGCAGTTAATGGGTGACACCTTGGAGTCGTGGCTAGGGAGTGCCATCGTACGTGATGATTTGAGAGAAAACCAAAAGCTTCAAAAGTGGGTAATATACAGTAAATCCTGTGAAACGCTATTAGTCTTATACAAAATGTTATGTTCGAAAAAGAAAGAGAACTGAGAGTTGCAAAGACACTTGATGATGAGTAAGCGAAAAAGGAGAGACCTTCAATACTTAGCATCATCAAATCAACCTACACTGAAGGCTGAATAGATTGATATAAGAGAACTTTTGCATGTCTTCAAGAAACCACAGCGTACCTCAACCAGAATCTATAAGCTTTTCCATATAATTTGACGGCATTCATGAGTAGGCTCAAGTTGAGGACGTACTACCATCTTGCACTGTTTCGTAGGCGGTTGAAGACAGCGAGGTATATAACGGAGAGTCCGTGGCACATGAAGCAAGAGCCATCTCCACGTAGTAGAAAGCAAGTTCTTATATGGAGATACATCTTCTCATGAATTCCCTCAAGACAAAGAGAAAGCATGCAATACAACCCAAACACCAAAACCAAGCCACTCCCTCCATAGTACCAAGCAGCAATCATACAAAGCCACATTCTTACGAACTTACCAAACTCCATCAAACTACCACTGAAAACTGCTCCATCATACGTCCAAACATTTCTCTCAGTCTACTCAACACTAATTCAATAGCAACAGTAACCTTTCCCCACTGTTCCATCACAGCTCCTCCTGTCAACACTGCCCTGAAAGACACCTGAATCAGAGCAAACCCAACCGTTCCACCTCTGAAATACACGTAAGTACAAAGCAGCAGTCAAGTCCTAACATCATTCAATCACACAGCCAAACACCTCTTCAATCCAACACTCTTCAACTTTACCAAGCCTAGCTAAAAATCAACCGACTCAGAGACCACAACTACCTTCAAAGACAACCATAAAACCTAGCACCGAAGACCCCAAAACCGTCCCATCAAACAAACTGTTTCCCGAAAAGCTGTGTCGGCTGGAAGGTGTGTTGAGCGGTGTCAACAATCAATCCAGTTTTGTTGAGAGGAGTGGGTCACCGAGCTGATCCGACTATCGTGCTGACTGAGTCAGGAAGCGATGGTGCAAGCAGCGCGACCAGCCTAATCGCTGAGAATGATTGATCGATCTCGAACAGGTTGGTTTTGAATGAGTAGTTGCTCGTATCGATCCAGCTGAAATGGAGAAAAGCCCGTATTGGGAAAGTGAGGATTGCTGGGGAAAACGTATGCGGGAAGTGGTTGGAAGACAAATCGATTGTGCGGGTATGTGCTGTTATGGTAAGGCGAGGCGTTTGGTGGAGTAATTCCTGATGGAGGAGTTACGTCGTCGTCCGCACACAGCCCTTCTCGCCGTCTTAACCTACCTACCCATCTACTCAAAGATCTAACTCTAAACAAGATCATCAAAGACACAGCACACTGCACTTCACTTCCCCATCAAACCGCCGGCAGCACTCAAGACAACAAGTCAAGACAAGACAAACAAACCCCTTGCCAAGACGGTTTATCGGATGAATACCTTGTTTACGTATACGTTTCAAAGTCAAGTGCGTGAAGACAAAAACACGAATTGCGGGAGACTTGACAGTAGTGATATGGCGGTGTGCTGGCGGGGTGTTTGTTGGTGATGTATTCATATTTTATATTATTTTTATAGCGATTGTAGAAGTGGTTTTAGTGATAAGAGATCGAGAAGTGACGAGTAGGTGGCTGGGGATTTTTTTTTTGATTTTTTTGAAACTGGAGGTTGTTGGAAAAAAGGTTTCTATTTGACTTCCTACGGACGAGGGTGAGGACGTGTTCACGGGCTTTCAATTCTAGTGATGCGGTTCAAGGGACTTACGTGCAAGCATGGACATGAGAGAGAAACAAGGAGGGAGTGGAAGGAAGTTCTGGGAATCGTGAAATAATGGTTAGTTTAAGATCTCTGAAAGTGTGAACACACAAAATGTATACTTTCAAGTCAAGTTAACGAGCACTAAACACATCACAACGAGACACAGCTGAGCTAGAATGAGTGAGGAAGACGAGTGTGAGATTGAAGGAGAGAATAAGTAAGTTATTTAGGAGTAAGAAAAACCATGACCAAGGAACCGAGAGGGCATGATGATATTGAAGATCACGCAGTTGCAATTTCGACTAAGAAAGTAATTATTGAGGCAGGGAAAAGAAAAACAGGAAACGCTCTCTTAGACCAGACTTTTAGTATCCCACTTCTCCGAGCCTCGGGATTCCACCCTTCCAGTCGTCGCGCTCGTAGTACCTGAAGACCAGGTCGTAGCCGTCGAGGTCGTGGACGATGCGATCGACGCGCTTGTATCCCTTGATCGTGTCCATGCCCTTGCTCTTCTTGATGCCCTGGCCTAGTTCCTGCTCGCTGCTGGGCTTGGCCTCGAAGACGGTGACGCTGAATCGGCCGGGCTTGAAGATGTCGACGACGTGCTCTACAATATCGGACGTCTCGCGCCCGGATTGGCGTGCTGGCACGTTGGTCTCAAAGGAAGCGTAGCTACAATGAGGCTCGGGCGTCACATGGACGGTGAAGTAGTGACCAGTGCTCGTGGTCGACTTAGTCTCATCGCCGGTATCAGCAGAAACCGGGGCGGGAACGACACCGTTGGCGGAGTATCCGCAGGGAGTGAAGAGGTAGGCATCGATCTTGGCGTCGGGATACTTGGAGATAGGGTAGACGTCGGACAATCCGCAGGTCTCGGAGACGACGGTACCGAGAGCATGACCCTCAGTGTTGAGCTCTTCGGGCGGGGTCATGAGAGCATCGTCGTCCGAGTTGAACCCGGAATGGTCAGAGGAAGTCTGCTCAAAGACGTCGAAATCGTCCACAGCAGGCTGGTCCTCTGGAATGGCGCCCAAAGATTGAACTGCATTCTTGCGAGCCTCACGAGCTTTCTGGAAAAATCGACCTTCCGCGACCGCACTCGCGTCCTCGAGATAGAACTGGCGGGCGTTCTGCTCATCGAGATCGGTCATGAGGATTTCCAAAGTCTCGTCCTGCTGCTCGTCCGCCATCGACTCGGGGAGAAGGCGCTGGGGGTGGTTGATGAACTTGGTCTCGGTGCCGGGAATTTCGAGCGACTCGCGATCGGGGGTTGACGGTGGGGTGAGGCGCGTGTCCGGACCGGTGATGTACAGGTACCAATGCTCTCCGTTCATCTTTCCAATCATATATGCACTTCCGCCCTCGAATCGCTGATCAAGGTAGCGCACTTCGTCGCGCCAGCTACGGTGTGGGCCGCGCTGCTGATCGGGGTTGAGGAAGTTCTTCCTGCTGTAGAAGACACGGTATGGCGTGGCGGCAGCTGGAAGACCGCGATCCGGCTTAGCTGCAACATGCGGGAAACCGGCGTCGACTGCCGCAATCTCGAGAAGACGGGGAAGACCCCACAGTAAGGTGGTTGTGCCACAGGTTTTCAGGACGACCTTGTGAGGGAAGACGAACATGCTGGACTCGGAGAGTAGGTAGGCATCGACATGCTCGGATTCGATGATGGAGAGGACCTTGCAGTTGACCAGATCAAGCATCTCCTTCCAGGTCTCCGGAGAGACTGCCTTGAGACCAAGCGGACCTGCCTGGCCGGGCAGGTCGTGTGCAGAAGCACTGAACCATACCTCTAGCAACTTCTCGGGGCCTATTTCGTATTAGCATGAGGATTTGGTTGAGCGCCACAAGAGATATCATACCTTCAAATGCATCGGAAGAATCGAGGCCAATAGTTGCCTCCTTGTTGATTGTCAAAAGCGGCGTTCCGATATGAGACGACGGAGACGCAGTGTAGGCGCTGGGGATCTCAGTATTGACCATCTCTTTCCCTTTTGATATGCAAAAAGCACTTGATGATTGGCGAAGGGTCGATTCTACGGTGTACGTTTGATGTGCAAGTTAAAGCAAGCGCCTTGGTTATGCAGTGGAGCACAGTCTGTCACCCTACGAACAATGCGGTGTCCGTGAGGTGAAAGAAGGCCCACGTTCGGGAAATTTATTGAGGGCTGGCGATTGCCAGCTGCAGCGGGTGGGGAAATGCGGAAACGTCCTCGAAGGGCGTTATGGAGGTCGGGCGGAGAGGGGGATAAACGAGGCTTTGCGCCGGGAAATGGTGCCAGTCGGTGGTCCTCGAGCGACTAGATTCCGATACCCTGGGGAAGTATCGGGTCCAGCAGACGAGGAGATCTGCTCAAAAAGTTGGTATAGTAGGTGGTGGTGACGGTGAACCGAAGGTTGTAGCGGGTGTTATCTGGGCCTAAGAGAGATTCAAGTCAGCATCTGGTTGCGATATATCTATTTCGAGTTGTCCAAGAAGACCCAGGAGAAGGCGCTCTTGTGTTTATAGTTTGCATGCAGCAATGGGCAAACGCAAGCTCAAGATCTGACAGTGAATTGATCTACCACCCGAGTTCGTGCATTTCACCGTTTGAGCCTGGTCGTGTGACGCAACTTTCTGGGCTTGATACGCAAAACCAACGAGTGTCTCGCGGAGAAGATGGTGAAGCAAAGATGAAGTGAAGAAGAGGATAAAGAAGAGAGAAGCAACTCACTTCGCAGGCTTGGATAGAAATCGTACGAGGTCCTCTTGACGCATGGAAAGACGGAAGGCGGTAGGGGGCGAAAACGTGGTCTGCAGTGGGCCTGTGACAGCCTATGCAGGAATTCAAAGATTATTCGAGGGACAGGCCGGATTGTTCATCAGAATGTCGAGAGGGCGGAGAGCTTGAATGGGTCTGGTATGGTGTGAGTGGGTGAGGTTTGTAAGTAGAGGGGAGAGCACGAGGGCGCGTTTTTGGGAGGATATTTTGGGGTTGCGGGGTGCGATTGGGCGGGCGATTGAGGCGTACCTGTAGGTGCAAGAAGGGAAAAGGGCAAGGAGCTTGCTCGAATGGAGTTGAAGCTTCGGGCAAACTTGTTGGATAGAGAAGGTTGATGATGTTTGTTGTGTTGTGGATTGTTGGTGGTGGAGGAGTGTATGAGGGTGAGGATGATGATGATAATTTTTGTTGTGTGAGGGATTTTCAAACAAGCAAGCACATGGAGAGGAACAGGCGTCACTAGAGCGTTGGCGGCAGACCAAGTTTAGCCATGACGAAACCAGCCGAGCCCAGCCCAAACTCCGCTCGTACTTACTCGTAGCTACCTAAGCTACTGCTACTGCTACCTAGGAGTAGGTAGGTGGTTAGTTAAACAACGTCCCAACCATTATTTTCTATTATTATTCCAATTAATGTTACTCCCTGGTTGCGTTGCTCCCCACTTCTACCTGCTTGAGGATACCTTACGAGTAACATCTCCCGAGTAGGAAGAACACACCAGTAGAAACAATGGATGCACCCGCCCACATCCACAATTGGGCCGTCTTCTCTTCCGATCTATTATCAATAGAAGACCATATAATACTCTATCCTCCTGTGCCCGTGCTGCAATAATATTCTTCACTATTGTAATTCCTACATGTGACTATTGTCGAAGCTTAAGACATCCAGAGCTAAGGACCTATAGACTACCTAATACGTACACTAGGCAAGCAACTAAGTAAACAAGTAGGAAGATAGGTAGATGAGTAGACAAGGTCATGCTCGATCCCTCTTGCTGCAAGTGTTCAGGTTCAAGGTTCAAGGTTCACCGTTCTGTTTGTCTTACTGTTCATTATTGCTTCTTCTATGAACAGGCAGGGCCGCCGGGCGGCATGGTGAACGGTACTCCAGCGCCATGGGGGTTACTATGAGGGAGGCAGATATATACATCTACCATGCCATAAAAGTACCACCGGTTGTCAAAGTGCAGATACCGAGTACAGAGGCCGAAGAGTGTAAGTGTATGTATTGACCCACCGCTAAATAAAGAAACGAAGAAGAAAAAGTAGCACAAAACACTATATCATGTATACCCAACTCCCCCCATGTCCCTACCCATCCACCCAACCACCCCCATGTGTTTAACTCTGTATAATTATACATACATACAGACATGCATCCACACAGGCAGGCATCCATGATATATCAACCACATTACGAAAAGTGACCACCCAGCCGTACTCCGTATAGTGTTCTTGTCCTCCTCCAATCCCCATCCAATACCAATCCCAATCCAATCCTTCCGGGGCCTTGAGCCGGTCCATCGCCCGCAATGTTGGATTCGCATGTCAGCCGCAAGACCCCAGCTTGCAGCCTGCATTGACGCACTCCACCATCCACCCGCATCTGCACCAAACTTTTTCTCTCATCTCTCCCTCCGCATCCCCGATTCACCACTGCCATTACCCAATTCCTGCATGTCCTTCCTCTCCGAGTTCGATGCCCTGCACACGCTACCGCGGGAACTAACCTCCCAGGCCTGATCGATATGCATAAAACGCATAGCAAATGCTCAATATACCTATAGCAGCTTTCCACAGTTTTTATCATCTCCCTCCCATTCCGCTCCTAGCTTTCCTGTACAGGAAGGTTGACGGTCCCGTTCGACCTGAAAGTGCCGAAGCACTCACGCATGTCAAGCACAAGCTGGTCCGGCGCTTCCCAAGCTGGCGATAGGCATGCTGCTCGTTGATGTCGCTTCACCCATGCGATGTGCCAGGACGCCGCACCCCACATCAGCGGTGTGCTTCCTGGATCCCGCCCACTGCCACCACTGCCTCTTTGGAAGGAGGATATGCCGAGTGGTACTGGGCAGTACGACGTACTGAACCGTGACGTTGGATTGCTGTCGAGTGTTGCGCGTCGAAGCCAGCGTAAAGACGCTTCAGGGCCGGGCAGCCATGTGAGCATCGTCCAATTGAGCATCTCAGTGGGCGACCAGCTGGAAGTTTTCGTAAGGAGGTCGCTGTCGTCGTGGTGGGTTCGTTCGGTTGTGCGGTCGGTAGGTGTGTGGGATCCGTTTGCTGCAGAATGCGCCTCGCCATCCTGCAGTTCCAATTCGGACGGGGAGAGGAAGGGCGATCGAGATCGCGGGGCGGGATGCGAGTCAGAGGGGGTTCTTCTATGTATGATATCCAGAAGGCATGCAAGCAGCCCGATTGGCGAGTCGCAGAGGGAGAAGGCCAATGTCTGAGGTCGTAGTGCGTACAGAGACGTCAATGTTGCGCCTCCTCCCCTGGAATTACTGCTTCCTAGCAAACTTGATGGATGATTTCCCTGATCCCAAGAGTCGGCGGTCTCTGTAGGCAGAAGCTCTGAAGGCACATAACCGAAGCTCAATGCTGCGATTCTGGCCTTCGTCCACTTGGCAACTCGATACTTTGCCCAGGCTGATGGGCTGCGTTTGAAGTTCGGCTCCGCAAATGCGGGATTACATGTGTGTACCGCAAGACAATGTCGCGGGTGATTGATAGCCACTGCGCGACATATGTTAAAGCCCCTGCCATATGTTAGTTGTTCGTGGCGTGTGTCGTCTAACGTCCTTTATATTTCTTACCATCCAGTGCCATGGCCAACATAGTGCTCGTACCCGAGTTTCCTCATAACAGCATGAAAACAGTCCGCCGTCTCGTATAGGCCAAAGTCTTCTACAGGACTTGCATCGCTGAAGCCAAACCCTGGAATGCTCGGAGCAACGACATGGAAGGCCTGCTGTGAGCCTGCACCAAGGCTTGACAAGCTTTGAGGGTCTGTCAGAGCATCGATTATCTTGTTGACTTCGATGAACGATGCTGGCCAGGTATGGCAAAAGAGTAGCGGGATAGCATTCTTGTGCTTTGATCGCTTGTGTACGAAATGTATTCGCAGCGAAGGGGCACCTTCCTCTAATAACTGTGATGCAGTTCGTGGTTGTGGTTGTGGTTGCGATTGTGACTGTGACTGAGACGACGAAGGTAATGGAATAGTAGTGCGATACTGGGGGAGTGCAGTGTTGAAGTGTGCCTCTTGAGTTCGCCAGTCGTAGGACTCCAACCTGGTGCTATAATAAGCTTGATATCGATGAATGCGGAAACTGAATATTGGAAAATGGAAAGCACTGGACGCTGTCGGCGCCGGCCTCACTTCCTAGTGATCGCCGTAACCGTTCAACTTGGCGAAGAACAAGAGATATTCCGAACGAGATGGTCGACAAAATGGAAGAGAATAAATGAAGAAAGATGATGCCAGACGATGGAAATGGAAATGGAGATGAACGTGAAGGAGAGGAAGGAGGGGTTCATGCATCTCTGGCCATATGCGAACACTGCAGTCACAACACATCGACATGGTTCCTCCCTAATTCCGCGATAGCCGGATTCAAAAGACAGCACTTGAGAAGATGTGTAGTTAAGGAAGCGATCGCATCGCAAGAACGAATGATATCCTCGACTTACCAGAAGTCTAAGAGAGGTTCAAGCACCGCTTTCGGTACCCCGTACTCCCATCTTCGCGACTCGGTGAGTTCCAGCTCTCGCGGCAGTCTTGTAAGCTCCAGTTTCTTGCTCGTTAGCTCCAGATACTTGGACGACACCTGGTTTGGAGTTCACACATTAGTAAAGCACATATATACCGAACACGTAAGGCAGGTGGTTCAACACACATGCATACTATATGGCTGAATAGCCTCCAGCTCCTCCTGTACAACCTCGAGTGTACCAGACATGGCCATTAACACGGAATATTGGGGGCAACTATCTCAAAGAAAGACAAATCATGTGTAGCAGAGTAGGTACACATTTGCGCGCGTGCAGTGGTGAGGCCAGGCGTTGTATATCATTTCAAATCCCATTTCAAATGGCCAAACGAATAGCATGACAGGTATTGAACGACATGCGAAACGGGGAAATTATGCAGATCGAATAATCGGCTTGCGTGGACTTGCATCAGGTTCTATTGAGCCCAGATTTCCCGTTCCAACATGTATCTTTCGCCATCGTTGGCTATCTGACTCTTAGTCGGGTTGCGATTTCGACCTTTGGCTTTCGGAACGCCACTCGTCGTGGCTGTGCCACAAAGATCTGCACCTCCGACGTTCGAAACAAGTCAAGTTGTTTTAGTATGCATGACCAGGAACACCAATCACATGCAAGGACTTGATATTTCCCTTCTCTAGAATACATAAAAAAGTGGCCAAACCTCGCGACTTGTTCGCTTCGCTGGCTGGATATCCTCTGACACGCACGTCCACGCAACTTACACTCACACATCCCTAACCGTCGGGGGCGCATCGTTGCCACCGCCGGACGCAACCCGCTGCTGGGCCTGGTTGGCCGGTCCTCTGAGATTGAGGCTGCCAATTCGCTGCACCAGATTGCTTCCCACAGCGTCGACAGCCCCTCGTGGCGCCAAAAGGGAAGGTGTTTGAGCAGCAGTCTCCTGGACCCTGAAAAGCCTTATGCTAGTGTTGTTCCATACGCCAGCGGTACCCTTGGCTACAACCATCTCGCCCGCAAAGACGAAGCCCCAGAGTAGTGATTCGTACCACCCAAGCGACAAGGGTGACCACTCGAACAGGTGGACCCTGATGGGCGAGGGCTCGATACCCCGTACTTCTGTTTCTTTGATTACCTGTAGGGCCGCTGCGGTGTCGTTACTGGCCCCCCCATTAACCCTAGGAGCAAGCTCCGAGATTAGCATCAGAATCGTGTGCAACGGCAGCTCTGGGAGCCAGCTTTCAATCTGTTGATGTGGTTAGCCAGAGCTTGCAAATAAGACTACATCTACTGACCCATGCTGTTGATGGCGTGAAGAATTCGCTAGCGCCGAGAGTAGGGGTTGTCACGCTGTTCAAGCTGGTTGTGCTGTTTTGTCGCGAGAATGCCGGTTGACCGATGGGCCTTTTACCCCTGGCCTTCTCTGACATGCCACGTAGTTGCAATGGTACAGTGTCGTCGACTGATGATGCGATCGACGCACTTCTTGACGCCCCCGAAGGAGATTGCAATGGAGAGCGTGGCTGGTGCGCGCCATTGTCATCGGTCTCAGCATCGGAATCATCATCGTCTCCTATGGCGAATGCGCTGTTTTCCTCTGGTACGTTACTCAGAGTGGGAGTCCTCGATATCGTCGGACTCCGCAAACTATCAATCGAATCGGCTCTGGGTGCGTCGCCCCCTTGCTCCTTCTTCTGTTGACTCTGGCGCTCAATCTCTTCCTGGCCACTCTCCAATGTGAAATCTCTAAGGGCTTGGAATCTCTTCCGTGATCTCAGGATGGCGTAGGCCAAGTTCGGATTTGCTGAAATGCGTTAGAATGACGTGGGGAATCCTTGTGTTCCTTGACTTACTTGAGTATTGGTGCTCAATCATCGCATTCAGCGCCTCAAGTAAGGATTGCAGAAGCGTATGGTTGTTCTCGTTTGCAAACAAGAAACTCGGCGAGGACATTGATGCGAACAATTGAAGTAACTTTGAGCTAGGTGCCCGTCCCAGGTTTTGTACATACGCTGCTATATTATTGATGATAGCGAGCAGCGCTGGATAAATCGCATCCAATTTACCCTTGCTGGTTGTAAGAAGTGTATAGATAGACTGTTTAAGTCAGTACAGAACGAATTGAGCATACGATCACACTCACAGTGATAAGATAGTCAGCGTAAGTTCCATGAAAATTGGGGATCCGAATGCTTGCTGGGAGTGACTCTTGGTTCTCAAATGTCTTGTTTAGACTCTTTCCAAAGTGCGGCTCCACACTCAGGGTTTGTAATACGAAGATGCACATTCGAATCAAGCCTTGCCGGGCGGGATCATTGCGCTGATCAATGGCATAGTATAGCACCAATACCATGAAGTCATGCGCACGGTCAGTATCGATGATGAATGAGCGGAATCGCTTGTTGCACTGAAGTGCTTCCCAGAATAGCATGATCATTTCGGGAGCCCACGTTAGCGACTTCGAGCTTCCCGGTAGATACGTGGATGTGGCTTGGAGCTATGATATGTTAAACAGTGAAGCTTAATGATAAGAGGGAGTGTTCCGAACATACTGGCTGGTTGAGAATTCGAGTCATGCCATCGACCAAAAATTGGAAGTCCTGCGGCCGGTGCAGTCGCCCAAGAAAATGGCGGAAAAAGTTCTTTGGTGGAGGGCCATTACCAGGCTCGGGGATCGGATATAGTACAAGCACAAGCAGAAGTTGCAAACAATATGTGACTAGAATCTGCTTCTGGTCTTTAAATACGACATGGTCGTAGGGAACACGCCATGATGCAGGGTTGTATTTGAGAGTCTGGTGATTGTCAATTCCTACGAGTAGCAACAAGAGGGCACAAGACGTACAGTGTTCAGCAATGAGCAGAGAACGGATAGAACTACTTGCTTGTCGGGGCAAGTAGCTAAGTAAGAGATGGCTTTGACACCCTTCACTGGAAGAATATCTGACGTGTATTAGAGCATTTCCAAGCATACAAAGCTGACAAGACCTACTTGCGGACATGTACATAGACTTGCTAGCAAAGGTGAGTAGCAATCTCAAGATCTCTGTTCTGTTGTTTTCGAATTCTTTGGTAGATGCAATAGGCGTGTTGCAGCCCACGCCACTCTGCCAGATTGCATACGTAACCTTGCTCTTGCCGGCTGGCACCTTGGGTAATGTGAACTCCGAGAAGAAGAGCAAATCAATGAGAGTATCTATGATCTCCTCTGCGAGCGGCTTAGCTGTCTCAAATTCGGGTTCATTGTCTGTCGGTGTCTGGTCCGGGTCCGCTTCGTCGAATATGATTTCTGTCTTAACGATTTGTCCCCGTCTACTTCTTTTGCGCCGCGCACCCCAGAAAAACTTGTCCTCCCAAGACTCGAGGTGTTCTGCCTCATAGATGAAGGGCAGTATCCGTGTAAGGACGCGAATGCAGTTCAGGGCATCTCTCTCAGGGGCGAGTTCGGGATCGGGGAAGGAGGGGTGGTTACGTAGGACGCACAGCCGTGAGGTTACAGCTAACACCAGCGTCTCGAGATTCGCAAGATTATTGTCGCGTGTGCGGCGTATGTCTGCGGGGGAAAAGAGCGAGAATACATCTTCAGTGGATTCGGGAAGCTCCCAGAACTGTGCGCAGCAATTTGTCAATAGATGTCCACGGTATGTTTATTCACACGAGGGTTGCCTACGCCTGTCCAGTATGCATCATCAGCGGGGATTTGCTTGGGCTCCGAAAGGCGGAAGATGCCTTGCTTGAAGCTGAGTTTGGAGTCTGAGGCACCCATCGAAATGCATATCACCTCAAACGTCCATCAGCTAGATACTCGAAGCAATCAGGAGAGTCTTGGTGAGGTTGGTAAACCACGGTAGATTGATTGATTGGAGTGATGCGCTTGGTTGCAAACTGGACAAACAACCCCGGTACTGGGACTCCGCGCCTCCGCCTCCCCGTCCGGTCCTCTCACATGCGGCCCTGACCTCAACGCCAAGAAGTCCCTTGACATCTGCCTACTTACTCGGAGGCTCGTATTATACATCCTTAACTCCAACCTCTTTGTTCCTTCCTCACATCTCTCCAACATATGCACGTTCTGCGAACCTGAGTCGAGACGTCGTATCCTGCGTTTGCAGTTCTGTCGTGAGATTGAGACGACCGCATCTCGCTCGCTTTTCCGAGTCAACGCCACCGCCGTAAGACCACGCGAACGCTTCTCTACAATACTTCGATCCCGCTTCCCCTTCGACATCTAGCACATCATCCCCGAGACCCGCAGCCTCTGCGCAACTTCTTCACACGCCCCTCTTAAGATGGCACCGAAGCGCAAGGCACAGACCCAGGAGGTTGCGGCGGAGGATGGCTTTGAGTTGGAGCTTGAGGAAGCGGCATTGTCGGATCAAGAAACGTACGACAAAGTTCGAAATCAGTTCGACGCGGTGGCTTTAAGCAAACGAGCTCGGGCTGAACGTGGCACGGATGCTGCCTCGTTCATGTTTAAGAAGTGTGATCAGTGGGACTCCAACCTGAAGCCTGATCATATGAACCGCCCGCTGTGGATTGACGACGCGGGACGCATCATTTTAGAATCATTCAGTCCAATATTTGATGAAGCACAGGACTTCCTGATCAATATTGCAGAGCCGCAGTCGCGCGTTTCCCGTATGCATGAGTATTCTTTAACCACACATAGTCTATTCGCTGCCGTCTCAGTCGGACACTCAACCAAGGAAATCATGCAAAGGCTAGAGAAATACTCCAAAACGCCATTATCTCCTACGCTCTGCAAGTTTATCGAGGGCTCTACGTCGTCATTTGGTAAAGCAAAGATAGTTCTGAAGAAAACGCTTTCATATATCGAGAGTGACGATCCTACAATATTACAAAGGCTGTTGCGCGACCCACAGATTGCACAATGCAGAGCGGACACCACTGATGGTTTGATACAGGAGGCCGCTCCCCAAATTGGCGTCATGGCAATTCCTGGAACAAAGTTGGCCGCCGGAGCAAAACAAGTGACACAAACTACGGAGCCGGATCAGAATCCTGATAATCCACAGAATGTCCAGAATCCCGGCGATATGATAGCCGCGCTTAGGGAAGACGATGAGGACGAGGAGGTTGCGCAAGTCCATTCATTCCAGATCAACAAAGCAGACCGAGAGAACGTGATTAAGCGATGCCTTGCCATTGGACTGCCGCTGACAGAGGAGTACGACTTCAATAACGACGACGTCAATCCAAATCTGGAGATTGATTTACAACCTCATGCTCAAATTCGGTACTATCAAGAGAAGGCACTAAGCAAGATGTTCTCCAATTCCCGTGCACGATCGGGAATCATCGTTCTTCCCTGTGGTGCTGGTAAAACCCTTGTCGGCATTACCGCAGCCTGTGGAGTAAAGAAATCCGCACTCGTACTTTGCACGAGTGCTATGTCTGCCGTGCAATGGCGAGCAGAATTCTTGAAGTGGTCCAATATAAGTCCCGACGACATCGCAGTGTTCACAGCCGAGAACAAGCAAGCCTTTCCCCGACAGGCAGGTATTATCATCAGTACATACACTATGATCACTGGCTCCAAAACACGATCCTATGATTCCGAGAAGGTGATGAAATTCATCACTGAGCGCGAGTGGGGCTTGTTGATCGCAGACGAGGTACACGTCGTACCAGCGAACATTTTCAAGAAAGTTACATACAACATTGCTTCTCACGCGAAGCTTGGTCTGACAGCTACCCTTTTGCGAGAGGATGACAAGATTGAAGATTTGAACTTTCTGATAGGGCCCAAACTATACGAAGCCAATTGGCAGGAGCTTTCAGAGCAAGGCCACATAGCAAGAGTCCAGTGTGCCGAGGTTTGGTGCCAAATGACTCCGGAGTTCTACAGCGAATGGTTAAAGCCGTCGACAGTCCAGAAGCGAGCAATGTTGTCGATCATGAATCCACGAAAGTTCCAGGCATGTGAATTTCTCATCAACTATCATGAGGCACGTGGCGATAAGATCATTGTCTTCTCCGACAATGTATATGCGTTAGAGAAATACGCACGAAAACTGAAAAAGGCATACATTTATGGCGGTACGCCGCAGGCGGAACGACTTCGCATCTTGGAGAACTTCCAACACAACGAAGCCATCAATACCATCTTCCTCTCGAAGATTGGGGACACCAGTCTAGATCTCCCAGAGGCGACGTGTCTCATCCAGATATCCTCGCACTACGGCTCGCGCCGTCAAGAAGCCCAGCGTCTGGGCCGAATCCTAAGAGCGAAGCGCCGAAATGACGAAGGCTTCAACGCGTTCTTCTATTCACTGGTATCAAAGGACACAGACGAGATGTATTACTCATCTAAACGTCAAGCCTTCCTTGTAGATCAAGGGTACGCTTTCAAGGTCATCACACGCTTGGAAGGAATAGAGCAACAGCCCACTCTATCGTTCCGCACTCCACAAGAAAGGCGTGAACTGCTACTTGAAGTGTCACTCGCCAACGAATCAGAGCTTGGCGAGGAAAGGATTGCTGGAGATCTCTTTGGTAGCAAATTCGCATCCAAGGGAGGCAAAGCCAAGCGAGCGGGAGCGAGACGTACAGCTGGAACGTTGTCTGACTTGTCTGGAGGGCAAGACATGGCATACATCGAAACTAACAAAAGCCGGAACAAGGAACTCAAGAAGAAAGGCGTCCAGAACAACTTCCTCAGGAAGATGCAGACATCTCACTCGAACCTTAAAAAGGCGAACAAATAAGTTCACAACTAGACCATTGATTCGTATCACGAGAGCGGCGTTTATAGATTGGAATTTGTATGGTCATTTATCTACAACTACCTAGGTAGGATTTTTTGGCAGCTCAGGTTAGCATCAGGCGGCGTTGTGTATTCTTCACTTTGGGAAAGCAAGCTCGGTGTCATATCCAGATTGGTTTCACTGTATACTATTACCATTGATGATCAATTACCACCAAATATTTTCCACATGCCTGTGAATATCTTGCATTCATTTGCTTGTGATACTCGAATTTACTCGTACGAACTGTGTAAGGTAATCATGACTATTGGTGTGTTTTGATGTAGCAACCCAAAATAGAAGGGGCAATGCCTCAATATAATTCGTTAGGACCCCGCTTGCCCGCCTCTCCCGCCTTCCACCCGTCATATCAACCCCTCAAGATTTACACCGCGGAGATGCTCCTATTGCTCCACTCCAGAATTTCATGATGATCCCATAGTTCATACCTCGTATGGAGTACTGATTGGCACTTTAAGCACTGTGAGTCCTTTGAGTTGGGCCTGGAAGGTTGCTCAACGACGTCACGAGTAGTTGTTCACTTCCAATGCAGGGCAACATTGTCCCATGAATGACACCAGCGATGTATCAGCTCTAAAAAAAACCGCGTCAAGACACATTAATTAGAGTATCTATACTCCGTTCAATGGAATGAGGAGTAACATCAACAGTGGGTGTCGATCACTGCCGGAAGAGCTCAAGTACAATTGCATTCAACTTCGCCGATTACTGACCCCTCAACCTGCCATCTGGTTCCTCGCCTTCCTCCGAGGTTCCAGATATTCAAGAAATGCGAGTCCCTGATTTTGACAGCTTGGAAACATGGTTCGCGACGCGCGAAGACCCGGGGCATCCGGATCTATCTACCGAGCCAGCGAAAGGAAGGATTCCAATTTCAGATGTCAGTTCGATATACACTAAAGGCAGTCATAGGATATCAAGCTTGAAAGCGTCTTAGCTGCTGGTACAGCCTCACAGAGCGTTGAGGCCCAGAGCAGCCGAATGGCGACAAAAAGGGCTGTATTGGGAGCCACCCTCACTGTTCCGTGTAATGTCTTCGCCCACCATTTGAAACGAAATGACTGAAGCAGGAAGGCAGACACCCATGAGCAATACAGTCTGACATGACGCATTTCATTTTGCCTCCTGCAAGATTCGGTCAAAAGATTGATCGTCCTGATTGCATCATGTTCTCTCCTGTTCCCTCAGTACGTTACACATGCGCCCATAAACAGTCAAATACACAGGCTTTGGTCGTACTGATGGACAAATGTCGTGAAAGTGATGACCTATCAAGATTTTGTACTCGGCAACAGCGGCATGTTTCTGCTCTACTCAATTTTTGGTGACGTTGAAACAGACTTTTAGGCGCCGCCCTGTCTGGATAGTAGCCCAGCAGCGTGGATTCACGAATGCTCAGATCCTGGCATCTGACGCGCACGCTCTATCTGCATCTGAATTTGTTTAGTGCAACCATATTCACAAACCCGATGGTCTGGTTATTTCACCAGATACATCGTCCGGGGGCATCTGCGACATCCCACGGTTACACACTTGTACGCTCGTCACTACGCCTTGTCGATCATTATTGAGAGAGAAGAGAGAGGAGCACAACCGCAATTTGGTGCGCCCAGGCGAATCGATTTATCCTTCCGGATTAGATTCCGACGCAGAAGTGGTGGTACTACGTCAGGGAGTGAATATTGAATAGTAATTTTGAACATGCGGCATCTTGCAAGCGATGCCGCTTGAAGACCCTGCGCCATTAGCATAACGCAATACTGATGGCTGTCTGACACGAATCCCACCTTTGGGCCAGCGCGAAGCTCCATGGCTGCCGTGCAATCTCCAAAGGGCTTTGAATGGGAAGAGTACCAATGTGGCTTGACGGAACAATGTCCGTAGATGAGACCAGACGAGGGCCACTGGGCATTAGTGGACGGAGGGGCCCGGTAAGCCTAGCCGCGAATTACCCTACAACAACACTTGATTTGCATACGAACTGTCAGACCGAGATACAGTAACTACGGGAGAATAAAAACCCCTCTACCGCTATCATGGCATGCATGACGAACAACGAGTAGTGATGGCCGTCGTTGGTGGCGGGGTGGAGTCCGTCAGTCCGCGGACCGATGGTCGACAAGCGGGCTGATCACTAAGTCGTTTGGTGGTTGTTGAATGCTCACCTCGTCTGGGAGGTGAGGGTACGAGCCACCGAGCCACCGAGCCTACGACGTGGGACTTGGGTGCTTCCGCTTGGTAGTTACTCATAGCTTGTGTTACTACGCTTGTCGGGAGGGTACCATCTGGAAGTCGTCGCTCATGCATTCTGGCCCTGCCCCATCCCATGTCGTCTCCTCAGTCAGGGTCAAGTTCCTTGCAAGCCATAGCAGCCAATGCGCCGGCAAGCCTTCCCCACCGAAAACCCTGTCTCTCCTCCCCATCACAGGCACCGTCGCCATAACCTTTCACAAAAAAATGCTGGGTCCTGGTAGTTGTTGACATTGACCGCCACTGACTCGCGCATCTTCGACCTCTCAACCCCCCGTTCCTTTCATGACCCCGTCCCGCAATGCTCACTTGCCGCAAGTCCAACTTTCCAATTCACCAGCGATAATATGGCAAACTTTCGCCCTCTTCAGCCCGCGCCAATGGATCAGGAGCAACCGTCACATCCACAGGGTAGACCAATTCTAACACAAAAGCCAAAGAGAACAGTGACATTGGGTGCCTGCGTTGCTTGCCGGAAACGGAAATCCAAGGTAAGGGCTTATCGCATATTACGAATAAATCTTCAGATTACTCAATTTGAATAGTGCGATGGCATCCGGCCTATCTGTACCTGCTGCACGCAAAAGGACACAGAATGTATTTACGAATTGGGGCCAAATGAGAAGCCGTCCCAGGCAATGAAGAGGAAAAATGAGGAAATGCAAGGGGAGCTTTCAAACCTGCGCCAGGTCTACGACTTCCTTCGACTCCGGCCTGAGCAAGAGGCTATGGAAATATTCCGACGAATACGATCTGATCCTCCCGATTCATTGACTCCTACACAGCATATTCAGGACTTGGCCGACTTCGTGCGCCATGGGGATCCGTCATTGCAACACTCATTACCTCCATCTTTAGCTCACCGACCTGAATCCTTAACACTACCCCCATTACGTATGGCCCTCGACTCTTCGAGTAATGACCCAAGCATACTGTCAAGCAATTTCTCCATCGGCAGCCGTCTTCCTTCAATCTCGTCAGACGGACCATCAAGTCAAAGGCGAAGACATGATTCCGATGTCGATGTTTCTGCACAGTAAGTTCTGAGCGTCCAGTAATCGAATGCATACAATGAGATTTGACCGAGTATAGCTTAGATAGCCAAGGATCACGTCCTCGCCCCATCTCCATACAGGCAATGATTCATCAACCTGGTTTCACGGAATCCCAAGCTCCAGCCGATGTGCGACTTCACTCAGCAAGGAATTGGACCAATGCCACAGATGATACCAATCTTTTGGTGCATCTCATGTCTGCATGGCATCGGTGGGAGTATCGCTTCTATCACTTTCTCGATTGGGAGATATTCTTAGATGATATGGCGAGCGGCAGGACTGACTTTTGTTCAAGATTGTTAGTGAATGCCATGATGGCGTCTGCGAGTGTAGGACTTCTTGATCTCTGTGTGTATCTTCTATTTGCTAACTCCTGCCACAGTTCCAATCGTCCAAGGTCAAGGATAGGTCTAAACCGTTCTCCGACAGCTCATCAATAACTCGATTTTACAAGGAAGCGAAAGCGCTTTGGGAAGCAGGAGAAGGTCAAGACAGCTTGACTAGATTACAGGCTGCAATGTGTTTGTATCTCGTTCTTGGGAAGCACGGCCGAGACAAAGTTGGTTACACCATGCTGGCAGAAGCCTGCCGGATTGGACGTGATCTCGGCCTGTTCCGCCTTACGTCGAGCTCACCAAAGTCTTCGTCGGTGTCTTCTGCAAGATGGGAGAAGGCGCGAGCAGTAACTGCTTGGGCATTGTTCAACTTCCAACTGTGAGCTCGTCAATGAGAATAAGTCTTTCGAATTTAACTGACTATTGCGGGATAGAACCATGTCTTTTACGTTTACCTTTCCAGCTCTCATAAAATCTCAACCTCCGCTCGCGATTCCTTACGACGATACCCCTAATTCTGAAGGTATGAACTTTTCAACAAACCCATTCAGTTGCTGACAGTCTAACCAGCTCTGTTTCGTTCTGAATGTGCACGACATGTTATTCTACTCGACTGTGGAAAATATCTTGGTATGGCTGATGATAATGACAACGAAATCCCCCCAAAACCAGAACAAGTCGAGGTGTTCTACAACCGCTGGAAGCTTTGGTATGACAACAGGCCAACTTCAATCGAACCGCATGCAAACCCCTCCCCCGAGAATCTTCTGACCGCGTAAGTCATCTCATGTAGATGCGCAAATTAGTATTGACTAGACACAGGATGGTATACCACATCACTATCATAAGGCTTGTGCAACCATTCGTAAGCCGCGACAGCCCAATCGAACGGATACGATCGTATCAAGACCGGGCTCGTCATCTAACCTCCGCTTCGATTGCCGAGATCCGCCAGCTTCTAACGTTACAAGAGATACACCATGGGTGGAAACACGCCATACCTTATGTCCTACATCCAGTCATGGTTACCAGTTTCGCATCGCTTGAGGAAGTGATACTGGAGGAGGAACTCAGGCGGGAGCCAGAAGGTGGGGTTGCCTATCAGGGGCTTCTTACCTGCCTTCGGGCTCTGTCCGCATTGTCCCACACTATTTTCTATGCCCAGGTTCTCTTCCGCGTTCTTGCGCAGACCTGCCTGTCGCTAGAAATGAGGCTACCGCCGGATATGCTCGACTTACTGGACCTATACCAAAGCGATGAGTGGACAAAGAAAGCTGCCGCCTCGGTGAGCAGCCAATACGTGGCCGACCTCAGGAAATCTGCGTTGGACATTGACAATGCCCGAATGGACAGCATCATAAGCCAGTGGGATGAATCTCTTGCACTGGGAACGCGTTCCAGCAGAGACTCGAGCAGAGCGACATCCGGCAATAGCGACATTGTGAAACCTGAAGAGGTCTAGACGGTTCAACAATGTCTTGGCATCAAAATCGCTCCAGATGCAGTTTCATTATTGCATCCAGATTACGTGCTCCCTGGCGAATTCGACAAGCGCAGTCTGTTTTGCTGTCCATGCAACAGAGGGGAAGATAAACTTTCGCATATTTTCGATGACAGTTCCTCGGCAAATTTCCTTTTACGGGGTTTCCCATTCCTATCGGCGCCCTGCGGTTGGCTGCTTGTGTTGCCTTGTTCTCCTCATCGTCGAACGAAGAAAAGGAAAATTAAGGACAGCCCTGGCCGAAGGAAGCCGGACCTCAATTTCCGATTGGACGCGTATCCGCGTGCACTTGCTTGCACGATGACCCGAAGTCGTTCCGGCCCAGCGATCGCACCGTACCCACACTTCCACATTCACATTATTACCCCCATTATGTATGCAAGCCACGAGAACTCGCAACGCCACTTTCTCCCGGATATTGTATCTTCCCAAGGCTGCAGTTACAATACGCTCGATTGTCCCTGGGTGGAGACACCGCTGGCTCTAGGGCCACGGTCAAAGGCATGCGGAGTCGCGGACTCCAACCACCTGACTCTTCTGGATAGGCCCTGTGCCCACACAGGAGTATGACCTCAGTGTGGTAATTGATATGCGATGGGGCACAGAAGCCTTGCGAATTGGGGTATACGACAGGTGGGGACCCAAGGGCTTCTTTTGGTCTTGATCCTCGGCGACAGACCTCTTTGGGTGGTGATGTAAGCATCAGCAGCCAAACTTTGGGGTGTGGAGGAGCTGTGTGCAGAGGCCTCTCAATGCCACATCAACTTCCAAAGCCACATTTGCCGTTTGGTAGGTTTGTACAAGGCATGTACTAAACTACTAATTAATCAACGCTTCTGAGACTCGTCTCGTGAACCATTCGTGTCAACGTTTGTAATCCATGTCCTCACATCGAAAGCCATTCCGGCCAACCTCGGCCGAATAGTAGAGGATTTTCCAACACATACCTGCGGACGATCTCCAAACCCGAAATGATAACATCGCTTTCCTCGTACGGCTACTGCCGAAGCAATCATATAAAAGTAATGGAAATTTAGGAATAGCTGTCTACAGATACAGTAGTGTACTCACTGTGCTGGATACAAATTGGGTGATCCATTTTTCTCGGTCTAAATACGAGGTTACCTTGCGGGAAAGAGGACAAGATAAACCTTATATGCATGCACCGTACACCTCGCTGCGATTGAACCAAATTAGCACTGGCTTATAGAACTCAATCGGAAAGCTGCTCCGCTGCTCGATGGAGCAATTCTCCGGCCGACCTTAGAGCGTCGCTCATCTTGACAGACGTAGACTAGCATTCCAAGCATGGTTAAGAAATCCCACCCCAGCACACTTCGTCAACCTGCCTCGTACCCATCCACTCCACTCGACTTAACGGAACACTCCGTCTGCAGGCACAGAAAAGTGTCAATTACGGAGTTAATCACTAGAGATCCGATGGACTCAAACTAGGGCCCTCTAACCAAGGCAGCATGCTTCCATTCGCCTAATATTCCATCGCTGCTGCCGAACGTATCTTTCACCCATACGGTACGGGAGCGGTTCTCGGGACTTCGAAATAGCCGCAAACTCTAAGCGCTCTTGCTTGTAACTAAAGTGTTTCGCGAAGAGGTGCATGCCGCAACAACGGCAACAGCGGCATCCGCTACCCTTGCGCATGCTTCTAGCTTCTAGGCTCTCTGCCCTCACCTGGTGAATTATTCAAAGCACGGGAATAATAATAAGTGGCTGTTCCCGATGTAAATCTCCTGGGGTTCGAAATAGTCATGCCGATGTATCGCCATAGTTGGTGTGCCGATCATTTTCGGCCAGACATGAATACATAGCAGGAATGGCCTGGCTGGCCCCCTGTAACATATCACACAACCTGCTATCGCAATTTGCCTCCGTTATTTCTCTTTTCCCCTCACCAAAATCTGACCGATGAAATTGCCATCATGCCGTGGAAAATCGACGCTGCGTGCTACTTTCGAAAACAATCACGCGGGATGCTCGCTCGCCAGAGATTCCCTGAAGCCTAAATAATCTGAGACATGAATAAATCCTGCGAATGCTTTATTCGTCGAGTACATATGTACAGTACGTCACAAAGATAAGCTTGAGTCGAACATTTCGCCATTGGCCAGTGCTGCCGTGCGTGATAATCCCAGTATTTCACACAAAAGTTTGATGACTCGAATCACATTACATCGTGGCACATGCTTGATTAGCACCCTGCGATGTGAATGTTTCCAAATCCTCCATAGCCTGAGGATTCATATGGACACAGCCAAATCAAGGGCATTCCCAATTCAAGCTCACCAAAAACATCTCCCGAATCACAGCATAATCCAGAGCAGTCGATTAAGCGTTAAAGCATTACCATTCATATCATTCATTCGTTAATAACTAACTACGACGACCATGATAAAAAAAAGGATCGAACCTAACATGGGAAATAACATATAAGTCTAAAACATTCGCAGAACCGTTAATCGTAGCCGGAATAAACTCCTTCGACGCCCTTGAGAGATGATCTCCTCCGAAAAGATATGGGTGTGTATCTGTCAATTTTGGTCGATCATGATTCCTCCATTAGGAAAGAAGTCCTGGGTGCTTCGGACCGGGGAAGTTGTGGTGGCACAATACCCAGTATGCCAGACTGCCCGCATGCGTAATACATGATTTCCATGGGACCCTGCATACCGGAATTCGTTTGAACGGGGATGGGTGGTGATGGGCTGTCGAATGGCGACGAGCAGCCATGTGAGGAGGTCACTCCGGTAAGGCTGATTGTGTCGTGTTTACTTTCAGCTGAACTTGAAATGGGCATGGGTCTAATTTGTTTCGAAGTTCAGTACTTGGCGGTGTCGTCCCGCTCATGCATATCATTGTTTCATCAATTTGTATTTCACTGGTCTGCCGCGGCATTCCCATTCGGCCCATCTGCAGTCGTCGCACCAGCCTCGGGCACTGTAGACTGCTGAGCTAAGAGCTGTTCTAAAGCGTCCATGACCGCGGGTTGAGCAGCGAGAGCATGGATAAGCGCTGTTTCGTTGAATTCAAAGACAGGGTGGCTCGGCTCCTCGAGTTCCTGACTGTCGGGTGACCCGTAGTCTTCTTCGTCCTCGGTGTGGATCATGTCCGACTCGGCGATGCCTTCCTGCAGGACGTCGAAGCACACATTCTGGTTTCGAAAAGACCATTTCGGGGAGTAGAAGTCGACGCCCCTGATGTCGACCGAACGGTGGACGCGCACGATGATCTCCTCTAGGTCTGGGAAATCCTTCTCAACTGAGAGTGAGAGGTCGTACAGTGAGTCTGAACATCTGTCTGTGTGTTGCTCTTCCTCGAAGACAGTCAGAGCTAGTCGCTCTAGTGCCGGAGGTAGAAGCAAAGGAAAATTGACCTCGATGTCTTCATGTATGGAAAGGTTATTGATATCAGAGTCGGAACCACTATCGTCGCCTTCCGGATCCAGAGCACGCTCCGGAAATGCTTCGAAGGGCGCAGCGAGAGTGGTCAATTCAGGAAATTCTTTAAAGGAGCTGAAACGCCCTCGAGGGTAGAAAACAGTGTTCGGCTCCCTGTTGGCGTTGTCATCAAAATCAAATAAACAAAGGGTATCCTTGTGCTGTTTTAATGCATTGTAAAGTGTGGTGTAATTCACTTGATGCGTGTGAGTACCCCATGCGTGGGCTGTTGCTGTGTACACGAAATGGAGATGTGTCAAGCTACGACATGCATTCATCAGAATGGCAAGGCTTGAGCTGGCGATGAAGCTATGCAAGATTATCAGACGAGAAACGGATGAGAATCGGGTATCGGTTTCAATTTTGTCGAACGTGATGGGGCACGTATGCACTTCCTGGAGCAGCAACTCTTCGAGCATAGGTAGACGAAGAACGGGATAGATTTGCTCAAGAGTCATGCCAGCTAGTCGTAGACGTAGGATGCGCAGGTGTTCGAATCTTTGCGCGTACAAGGGACGGTCGGTCAAGCCGTTGGTCAACATGGTGATGATTTTTGGCGTGTAATCTATGCGTGATGGATAAAATTGAGCATAGTATGAGTTTGGGGTGTCATCCTCAATGCAGAGAGTGTGAAGGTTTTGAGCGTGCAGCATAGCTAACCTGAGCAGATCTGGCGATTGCCCTGATGAGAAGTCTTTGACCCATGCTGAGCGATCAGTCACACCTAGGGCTTTTAGACTTTCGCGTAGAGCCCGACAGTCTGCGGAAGTAGGTTGGGGCGGAGCTGCTGTTACTATTGAATGGCTGATAGGTGTATTCAATTGCCACGTGATATTCTTGACAAAGCGAGCAAGTTCAGGATTTGCGAACAATGTCTTCAAAAATCTTGCTGAGCGGCCTGGACTCAGGCGACCGTTGAACCACTCATAGAGAAAGTTGTTCGCTGTACGGTTGAGTCGGCGGCTAGTCAGTGACATGTTGTAGTAGGCTTTTCGCTTTTGGAAGGGGTAACCCGGGACAAGTGACAATATACGTAGAAGGATTTCATCTGGCAGGCTCTCCAGGTAGCATTTGGGGACATCCTCTGTTATTTGGTCTGCGTCCTCAGGCAAATTTGTAGCAACTGTCTTTCTCTTCTGCCGTGCAGAGGCTCCTGGCGCGATTGCAGTCCTGGCCTGTCGTGCAGCTGACGACGCATATGGATTGCTATCTGACTTGCTTGTTCGATGCCTTCTTGGCCTAGTTGTGTGTGTAGGGTTGTTGGCTGACATTTGTCGACTGGAACGTCGTGTTGATGGAGCCATATCGAAAAGTGCTTTTCCACCTAGATAGGTAATCGTCGGAGTACCGGCAGGAAGCCGACGTTGGCGAGGCTTCTAGAAGCCTTCAAGAAATTGTATGCGGGTAAAAAGAAGTGTTGCAAAATGGGAGTCTCGAGGTCGTCAAGTTTCGATGAGTACAAATTTGGAGTAAAGCTTCATCTCATCCTGCGTTTAACACGACATTCAAGACGGTGCCGCAATCATTCTACCCACATACCTTTGGGCGCCTAACTACCTAGGTGTCATGCGGAGCTTTGCGGCTCAATTTGAATCAGATGAAACGACAGAAGAACACAGCCAGAACCAGTGATAGATGATTATGAAGGAGTTCCTCGAATATTATCGCGATGTTTGTCAGTATAAAATGGGAATCTTCAGTCAAAGATTGCGGCGTGGTATGTGATGTTGAAACGCGAGGGTTGACTCGATGGCCCAAGCTTCCGACACGTGATTTCGTGTATCTCCAGCTCCAGCCAATCAACTTCATTGCTTTCTGGTTCCGGTTCAACGGCGCCACGGCCGACCGCCGCTGTACTCGATTTCCAAGCAACTCAAACTCGAATTAGATTCGGAAATCTTCGATTGACTCAAGTGGCAGCATAAATGATTAACCTCAACACCAACTTAACTTCCCTGCCCGCCAAATCACCTCTACGCACGCCGGATTGATAAGGACTCTCTGGCCACAATGGGACTCGATAATGTCAACAACATCTTACTGGTGCTCTCCGGAAAAGGTGGGGTAGGAAAAAGCAGCATCACAACCCAACTCGCCCTCACACTTTCGCTACAAGGCCACTCCGTCGGCGTCCTGGATATCGATCTCACCGGACCTTCCATACCGCGATTCTTTGGCATCGAATCCTCCAAAGTCAGACAAGCCCCCGGGGGCTGGATACCCGTCCCAGTGCACGACGGCCAAACTCTCCAGAACCATCATCCCACATCAACCGACCCGGCTGAATCAGCAAGGCAAATAGGGCCCCTCTCATGCATGTCCCTCGGTTTCATCCTAGCATCGCGCAATGACGCTGTCATCTGGCGAGGCCCCAAGAAGACAGCTATGGTCCGACAGTTCCTGAGCGATGTGCTATGGCCCTCGCTCGACTATCTCCTCATCGACACTCCGCCTGGTACTTCTGATGAGCACATCTCTCTGCTCGAGACCCTCCTCAAGAATACTTCATCGCCCACAGCACCCCCCAACCAACTTGCAGGCGCCGTTGTTGTGACGACCCCGCAAGCCATCTCTGTGTCAGACGTGAAAAAGGAGCTCAATTTCTGCAAGAAGACGGGAATCAGGGTGCTCGGTGTGGTAGAGAACATGGCAGGGTTCGTGTGTCCGAACTGCTCAGAGTGTACGAATGTGTTCAGCAAGGGTGGCGGAGAGGTCATGGCCCGCGAATTTGAAGTCCCTTTCCTCGGCAGTGTGCCGATTGACCCTGCTTTCGTCATGTTGATCGAGGAAGGCACGAGACCGACCTACCCGGCCGGTACGGTGATAGCTGGGAGAGATATGAGCGTGGAAACGAATCAAGATGTGGGAAAACAAGACTTATTGGTAGACAAGTACCGCAGTTGCTCGCTGGCCCCGATGTTCGATGCTATTGTTTCAGGACTTGTTAATGATGTTCGGAGTCGAAAATAAGCAGCAATGTAAATGTCAAAATTTCAAGTTGACAGGTATGGCGACATTAAATCAAATCTGATATCTAGACTCACAATGTGACACTCTACTGCCGTCACACCCAATTCGCATAGAGATGTACATACGAACAAACCTGTATCAAAACTCATCAATGTCGGCAGCGAGACAAATGCTTTCATTGTCACAAAGTAGAATGGGACATGGCACTCAGAACGCTAGCAGGGCATCATATCAAAATATTACATCCAAGAAACCGAATGAATTTCAAGTACACAAATTATTTCCCTCTGACAAACAACTCCTACACCTCCTCCACAACAACTGAAGATCGACAAATGAAACCGTTTTCATGATATCTTACCCGTCTCTAGTCACCTTCAACATATTCCCCACTGCTTATGTTCACCTACTTGCCTACTTGCACTTAGGCCTCTCGATCACCTCCTTGCAGCCTTGATCATCGGGACCGCAGAGAGTGTTGCAGGTAACACCAGGAGCGACGTAGACGTATGGCTGTCCTGCAATATGGATCTGCTTGCTGAAGTCCTTGGCGTTGTGTCCATCAGCTCTGTAGCCAGCACGGCAGGCACAGTAGTATTGACTTCCTCCAGTGGTGACACAGCCAGTGGTAGTCTTGTCGCAACCAGTATCCCATGAGAAAGGATCGCAAGCCTTGGGGCAAACCTCATCGAGAGTGTCGCCGGTCCATGAGCTACTATCCTCGCTGGACTTCGTCTCTTCGGCCTCAGGGGCAGGGGTTTCCCATACCACAAGAGTTGAAGTGGTTGTGGAGTATGTGGTGACAAAGTCAATGCTTGTGCTAGTCTCAGACGCAGCGGTTGAAGTGCTCTTAGGGACAGTCACAAAGGTAGTCTTGGTCGTGGTCGTGGTTGATGTCTTGCCCTTGGACGACTTGGTGCTGGTCGCTTTCTTGCTGGTCGACGTCTTGGTGCTGGAAGACTTGGTCTTGGTCTTGGACTTGCTGGTAGATGATGACGATGAAGATGTTGATGAAGCACCCCAGCCTCCATGTCCACCTCCATGTCCACCTCCTCCGCCGCCAGTTGGCTTTCCACCGCTCAAGTTTCCACTCCAACCGCCCTCTTCTCCCTCGCCGCCGCCGCTTGGCTTTCCACCGCCGCTACCACTCTCACCACCAGGCTTTCCGCCGCCGCTGCCACTCTCACCACCAGGCTTTCCGCCTCCGCTACCGCCCTCACCACCAGGCTTTCCACCTCCTCCACCTCCACCTCCGCTGCCTCCATGCTCACCTTTGCCACCTTTGCTACCCCCCTTTCCGTACTTGGCCTTGCAAGATCTCGGGCACCGGCTCCTATCTCCATCGCCGTAGCTGTCATCGTCATAAGAATCGTAAGAGTAGTCCTTGGAGGGCCAGTCAAAGTTCGAACCTAGAGGAGCACGAAAGGTACCAGAGGCACTATTGGCAGATGGAAGATCGCGGGCGTGGACGCGGCGGCGGCGGCGCTCAGGCTTTCCACCGCTCTTGGAACTTTCCTCGCTCTCGCTCGACTCTTCTTCAGAGGACTCTTCTTCACCCTCGGGCTTTTCTTCGGACTCGGACTCGGACTCTTCAGGCTTTCCACTGCTTCCCTCAGACTCAGAAGATTCAGGCTTGCCACCGGCACCAGCAGGAGGGCCACCAGCACCAGCGGGAGGGCCGCCACCACCACTTTCCTTGTCAGGGCCGAATCCACCGACGCCCTTTTCCCAGCTGTTGTCCTCGCTGCCAGAGCCGCCCTTGCCTCCAGATCCGCCTTCGCCTCCGCCTCCGGATCCGCCCTTACCACCTTTGCCGCCACCGTGGCCTCCTTTACCTCCACTGCCGTAGGGGTCGCCGTAGCCATCGCTATAGCTGTCGCCATAGCCATCATCGTAGCCGTCTCCATAGCTGTCACCGTAGCCATCGTAGCCGTAAGAATCATCATAGCCATAACCATAGTCGTCGCCATATCGGCTCTTGTCGTAGCCATAGCCGTAATCCACGCCATCACCAGCACCATACCAGCTATCGCTGTACCCATCATAGTCATAACCTCCGCCGCCACGCTTGGCAGCACGGTAATGGTCGTAGCTATCATAATCACCATCACCATAGGAGCCATCGCCGTAGGAATCGTCACCATATGAGTCGTAGCTGCTCTCACCGTACGGATCATATCCTCCATCATAGGAGTCGTACGACTTCTCGCCATATGGGTCATAGTCGCCACCATAGGAATCCTCATAATCATAGCCGCTGCGCTTGACTCGACGGTAGTATTCCTCGTCGTAGCTCTTGGAGTAAGAATCATCACCATATGGGTCGTAGCTCTTCTCATCGTAAGAATCATATCCTTCGTCGCCATAAGGATCATAACTCTTATCGCCATAAGAATCATAGTCGCTATCATAGTCACCTCCATAGGAATCTTCGTAGTCATATCCACCACTGCGCTTGTTTCGGCGGTAATAATCATCATCGTAGCCGTAGTCGTCGTCGCCATAGCTGTAATCATCATCCCAGTCATACTTAGAGCACCATTCAGGGCACTCCTCGTCGTCGTAAGAACTGCTGTAGCTTTCGTCACGACCCCAGTGACCACCATGGCCATAACTACCTTTGCCGTGGCCGTGGCGGCCCTTTTTACCGTAGTATTTGTAGCCATAGTCATCATCGGCGGCGTACCTCGGGTCGGCATCTTCCCAGCTGTATTTATCACTATACGGGCGTCCGTATGGCCATCCGTTGGGCAAAAAGCCGGAGGACCAGCTTGGAGGGAAACCGTAAGGATGGTAAGGGTCGTACGGTGATCCATACGCAAAGTCACCTGGGACTGCAGCAGCAGCAGCCTGTTGCTGGGCAGCGGCAGCCTGAAGATTGGCGGCTTCAGCAGCGGCCTGAGCAGCGGCAAGGTTAGCTGCCGCAGTTATGTCGTCCACGAGTGGTACAGGCGCGGCCACAGAAACTGCTGCGGCGATCGGACTCGCTACAGGGACCACCGGTGCCTCCACAGCTAAACTAGTTTGTCCTGCAACTGGAGTTACCTGGGGAATTGCTGGAGGGAGGGGAATCGCTGATGCCGCAGGTGTTGCTCCGGCCAATGGTACAATGGAAGGTGGAACAGATGGTTCAGCGGATGGTTCAATGGCTGGTTCAAGCGATGGTTCAACGGATGGTTCAAGCGATGCTTCAGCGGAGGCTACAACAGATACGTCGGCCTCGAGTGGAACCTCAGAATTCACAGCGATCGGCCCGAGACTAGGAAGTCCTGGAACAGGTAGAGGAAAATCAGGGAATGGGAGAGGAAGGCCGGGAATGAGCGGCGGGCTGCTCGCCTCAGGTACCGTTCCAAAGGGCTCTTCAGTTGGCTCTGGAAGACCTGGAAAGGCCGTATCGAAACTGTCCGATGGCAGAGCTTCGGGTGATGGTTCTGCGGGCAGTCCGAGGCTCGCTTCAGGCTCAGATGCACTCACTTCAGGTAGCTCTGGGGCAGCAGCAGAAGGAGCTGGCGCAGTTGCCAGAATTGGTACGCTCTCTGCGGATGGGGCCTGCGCGGATGCGGCCAGCTCAGGTAGACCTGGGGACGGAGGCAAACCAATTCCAAAACTCGCCTGAGCAGAAGCAGAAGCAGCCACGCCAGCTGTGCTCGGTAGAGCCGTACTACTTGGGACTGCTGGAGTGGGAGGAGGAGCAGGAATGCTGGGAATACCAGGAGCAAGAGCAGGGGTAGGAATGGACTGCTGTGTAGCTGCGATTGGCGGCGGCGGAGGAGGAGCTACGATGGGTGATAATCCGCCTGTTGCAGGAGGGGGAGGGGGGCCTTGTGGTGCGCCCAAGATTGGAGGAGGTACAGCTGCAGACGGCGCTGGAGCAGCCGTAGCAGCTACAGAGGGAGCTGGAGGAGGCGTGGCGGCCAAAGAAGGAGTACTTGGAAGGGCAGGGAACGCAGGCAAGAGTTGGGCATTCAGGGCCTGCGTGAGCAGGGCCCCGACGAAGATGCCCCTTACCATGGTGGAAGGCCGTCAGGAAAGAAACAATAAAAGAGAGACTGGACAAACCTGTCCAACAGAATGAATGAGTGTGTCAGTATCAAAGAGTGACAACAAGGAGAGCTGCCCAAGACTTTGGATAAGACATGAGGCTTCCTTAGTTATAGCTGATTTGCTAAATTCTTCCCAGTGCACGATCAAAACAAAAATAAACCGAGAACACTGCTGTCAGAAGGGAGAATCGACTGCCATCTAGCTACATCGAGGGCATAATGGCAAATGGCGCTCGAGACATCACAAGACCATTGGACGGTGTCCATGTCCGCTAGGCTATCAGAAGTGTAGGAATGTATCGTAGATTGCATGTGTTTACTTGCGCTCCCTGGGTCCTTTTCTTCCTCTCGACTGGAATGCGGAGAAAAACACAAGCATGACCGCAAAGTAAGCATCCATGGCCCGTTACTGGGAAGCAAAAGGTTGGTTGCTCCTCGACACCTTGCAGCTCCTTCTTGAATATTAGTTTGCATTCCGCCCCACCACTTCAGCACTGCAACATCTCCAGCGCCGAGAATGTGTTGGCAAGGGGTACTGACTTGAACCAGTTAATTGATATGTCACATCCCAACGACATCTCGTGTTTTGGCGCAAATAATCACCTTTTCAGTCTCTGGTGGCAGCTCAAGGTTTCCAACTACTGGCCAGGCTTGATTTGTTTGTGCTTCATTACCGTCTTCACTTCAACAGCGAGGGCAAGTTTCATGCACTGATATCTCCTTCTACGTTAGATTAAGGTCAGCAAGAGTCGTACAGAATCTACAGAGTACAAGGTCCGCGGTCCTTGCCCCTGTCTGATGCCAGCCATCTCTTTTTATGGTTTCCTCACCAGTTCAACCGCGAATCTTGTATTGACATCCCCGAAAAAGTGTCATGTTAGAAACCAGAGTGATTAATCGGAGTATGGGGTAAAGGATAAAGAGCGCATGTTGCATTGATTTAGAGATAGGTCATCACCATGGACAAGGAGCTCTGTAGGAGTTGCTACAAGTCTTGAGTCGCATCAACACTGGTATGCTCAACATGGTGGGACAGTTATTAACGTCACTGGACCGATTAACACCTCTATACAGCCTGATACGCTCCATTCTCTTGAGATGGTAACCTTCTAATTTGCAGACAATCTACATTTGGGTTGTTGAACCGGATCAGTGAGGGATGAGGAGGATATCGTTACACTAACGCGTGCATATGTAACGCGAAATTCGTCCAATCATGATTGACGTGTGTTCATCCAGTTGTTGATAGAGGAATCACTCAATCAATGAAATCATATGTACGGTCATTTGGCATAAAATCAGTATAATTGAATCTTCCTATCGCCACCCACTTTAGTTATAATCACACTGAGGTCCTGTAGCCAGACTTCCTCGAATAGCAGCCCGTGCCTTTGCATTTCAAATCGAACCATTCCATCACAACATCTGCTTGATTCGGTATGTCATGAGTAACGCCTTCGGCCTCATACGCTTCGAATGTTGTTCCGTATCGATACCGTGTCCATCCTTTGAGTGGCGTATTCGGAGTAGTTGAAGTTGGAGTGCTACTCAGACCCAAGACAGCCGTCCATTGCTTGATCTCTTCTTTCAAGTTTTGAGGAAAGAGAATATCGTCTTTTGTGCCGTGGAAGACCTGAATCTTCGGCCTGAAACTGTTGTAACCCGGATACGCCGCCTTCACTATAGCTGCCCACTCAGTGCCATTCTTGATGATCTTTCCCTTAGCACAGTCGTCGCTCCATACACCGAATCCATCTGCTGCATAACATCCAAAAGGAACACCCGCCCACGCACTGCCGGCGGCAAAAACGTCCGGGTATGAACCGATCAGAACGTTCGTCATCATCGCGCCTGAACTCGTTCCAGTGACGAACACTCGATTCTTATCTCCTCCATACTTCTCCAAAGCCCAGCGGACCATTGATACGATGCCCAGCGCATCTCCACCACCATTGTGTGTAAGAGACTGCTTGCTGCTGACGTCCCAGCATTGGTCTGCTTTGTTTGGAGAATCAGGGTAGATGGAAATGAATCCATATTGATCTCCAAGTGAAGCATACGGCCTCCCCCTAAAAGCATCCTGAGCAGTTCCGTGGCACCAATGGGGAACGACTAGGATTGGTGGTTTTGCGGTGAGGTTCTTTGGTACGTAAATGTACATGGAAACATTGCGAGGGTTGGGACCGAAGTCTTTAATCTGGGTAAGTTGAGAGCTTAATTGCTGCGCTGAAGCAGCAGCAGCAAAGAGCACAGCATACACTTTTGATAGCAACATAGTTATTGAATTGCTGTGTTGAAATGACCCCTCTGAATGCTCGAGGTGCTCGGAGCCATTGGATTTATAGACGTCCGTTTCGACGAGGATGTTCAACGAGGTTACCCTTCACCCGCACTGCACTAAGATTTATACTCCACTTTAGATGATGATCTCTGTTAACAGCCTGGTTTCCATCATGAATCTACCAGGTCGTCGGCCCTCGTTCCGCCATCTGTAGGCGCAATCGTGGGAACGCTCGAGGTACGATTGATCAGGCTAAACCCGATGAGACACGGAGGGACAAAAAGTAGATGAACTGGGTGCAATAATATATACACCCATACTAGCAGCTTCCTCGATGCTGGAATATGAACATCAATTGTCCGTCTTTGCGACGTAAACTTCAGGTCTTCCGCTTCAAATGAGGCATCGATCATGAACGGAGCGAGTAGCTGCTTCTACAAGACCGAAGGCCCGAACCCTATTCTGCTAATACGAATTGAACATTTGCTGTCGGACTTGATTTAAGTCTACGGAGCCTGTAGATGCAGTCCGAAATTGTTGCAATGTCTTGAATCGCATGCTCCCAGTCCCATCAAGATGGATTGGATTGGATCCTGATGCAGGTACTTATGCTCATGCAGAGGTGATGCGCATCGCGATGTAATAAAGAATCTAGACTTTCGCCGCTGCCGAGACATCATCCACGGGTTCTCATAGACGGAGATTGGCTTGTTTGCTTCAGATAGAACTGTTTCGTAGCAAAACCGTGTTGTGGTCTCCAGTCGGAAGAGTTATTCTTGACGCTCCCGACCTTGATAATCGCAGACTCGAAGACGAGGTTGTGTGTACCAGCGTGCAATGTGCAGATATGATTATAATGTTATAAAGATGTACTGCTCCTATGACACCGCCCGCGCAACCGAAAAAAATGCGCGGCCAGCTCTAATGGAGCACCAGAGATCCCTCTCCGCATCGCTGAATCGCAGACGCTCAATGTAATAACTCGGACGCTCGATACAAGACGTAAAGAAGCGGATGAGATGAGTGGCTGAACTGTCTAATAAGATGCGTTGTAGAAGCAAGTGCAGCAGTCGATTGCAGAAAATTTAAGGGAGTTTGGCGCCAAGGCGCTTGTGACTAATCTCGCGCTTCGGCCTTCTCTGGCAGTCTTTTGCAGGTCTGGATGGCGGACGAGCCAATGGTGCGCGGACGGCAACCATCAAGTGTAGCACAGGCGCACGTCATATACCCAAGATCACAGCCTCAAACATTAATAATGCTGGCCCTTCATTTATGATCACCATCTACGGATGCTCTCCACGCCGCTTCCGATGAAGTCGTTTCTCGTCTTGATAAGCCTCGACAAATTTTCTCTCATGTGTAAGCACGAGACGAAATCGCAAAGATGTATTACGAGACACTTGCTTGTACTCCTACAGCGGAGGCTCTGTGTAAAGTGTTGAGACAAGATATGACATTCGAATCGGCTACTATGCGAATATAGATATCATAATAGCTTATAATAACATTATATGTCGCTTCTCTGATGCTCACGAAACAGGAAGTATCCACCAGCGGTTATCAAAATAGTATCGTGATTGAAACAATGGTCAATAAACCCGCATTCAATTTCATAACACTTTCACACCCAGACGATCTTAAAGACAAGGATACGCAGAAGAACATTCGACGCCTGGCAATGGCCGAAGTGGGAAGATCACGAAGAAAGCCGAAGACTGCACGCGCAAAAAACGAAATTGCACTGCAGTGGAGAAAGGAGGACCATCCACTCCCTCCAGGGGATTTTGATAGATTGGGGAGCGGAACCATCGATCCGTTCACACAATTCCCAATTGAACTAGACGATACTGCCCGGGCCTTAGTTATGTTCAGTGAGTAAAGCCTCTTAGTACTTATATGATATGCATTCTGACCAACAAACATAGTTTTTCAGCAAAATAGTACACACTCCTCCCTCCTCCGTGGGTCCTGGTGGCCCGTTGGGCTGTATGATGCTGCTACATTCAATAGTGTGCTCTCCAATTCCCAAGTCTTCCTGGGAATGCAGCAAACAGGCCAATCCTACGCCACGGAAGACAGTGTGGAAAGCCTAGCGTACTACTCAAACGCTGTCCAAATAGTCATGCGAAAGCTTGACGATCCAAAAACCCATACCAGTAAAGAGCTTCTTGGTGCAGTAGGATCTTTCGTCTGCCACAATGTTCGCAACTTCGCAAACAAATCCTTCTTTTCTCTCTAATAGCAGCTAATACGGATATAGCATATAATAGGTGCATTTGATCATTGGGCTCAACATAGACAAGCATTACTCACGATCCTCGATCTGAGTGGTGGTGTCGAGTCAATTAAGAATGAAGATCTCAGAATTACCATGTCATGGTAGGTGAGACATTGTTATAAGTACTTGAAATGCAAAAGCTCTTATACTGACAAATTTTTAGGTGTGAACTGGGAGGAGCATTCGCACTGGACATTCCGACCATGATCCCGATGCCATCTAAATGGTTAGCAGACTCCAAATCGCCACCTGGTTCACCGCGACCTCTAAGTGCGATATCCTTGCTCTGGAAGCGCCAATTTCCAATGAAGCAGGATTGGATAACAATCTTCGATGACATATCTCAACTCATCTCTCGCGATCGAGCACTTACCGACAAGCAAATCGAGGCGGCAACTGCAAGTGGCGCTTGGACTGAGCCAACAGTCATCCGCCTGCTTGCAATCAGACCATTACATTTGGGGATTTGCCCTGCCAGTATTATTGAAGAGATATGTCGGTTGGGTACACTTCTCTTCATTGCTCCGATCTGGAGAGCGATGGGTGCGAGTCCTGTATGGACGTTTACTTTTACCCGTAAACTTCTTTACTTACTGAACAGTTACGTTATCGACTGGCAGGATGTTAAACCTCTATTGATATGGAGCGTATATTTTGCTGCCATTGAGACGAATGACGGGACTGAGAGAGCCCAATTTTGCTCCATGCTTGCAGTACTAATAACGAGGTTGCGGATACCTACGTGGGAAACGTTGATGGAAGTCGTCAAAAATGTTTTATGGATGGACAAAATTTTCATCGATAGTGATCACAACATTCGAAAAGAGGTAATGTCACATGTAGAGAAAATTCATACAAATGAATCTGATCCTACGTCAGTGGGCTTCTGAGCAGGTAATTATAGTAGATATAGTAAAGCATAACAAGAAGCGAAAAGACTATGTTGTATTATTAGGGACAATATATAAGAGCATAATTTACGAGGATTTGAACGATCACCAGATACTTCAATAAGAAAAATTCTCGATCTCGTTTAGAAAGCGACAACAAGAAAGTTCCCCTGAGTTTTGAGGAAGATTAAGCTCCTTACGAAACGTGAAGTTCGTATTTCGTGTAGTTACTGCCCGATTTGGTGGGCGTAAAAATCGCCCCAGGGCGGAACTCAATCAAATCAGTCCTCACAAGTAAATGGGCTAGGCGCCATTATCAAGAGCCTCGTAACGCTCGCATTGCTGACCACAGTAACTGGGCGCTTACTGGGGCGCAACATTTGACACCAAACCCGGTAATTTGCTCCCATGTCTTATTGGTAGATAGATGCAGGCCGCCTCGAAACGTATAATAATTGTAAAGCTTTACTGAATGCGATCATATTGTGTCCTGCGTTAAATAATCACAGGAGGATTGGCGCGCGACTTTCATGAGGGGCGAGAACAGCCTTCAGCGCGTGCATGGCTTGGTGCTTCATACTTATATCACAAACAAGTACGGGAGTATTTTGAAAATACTTGCTCTATCCACTACTCACATTCATTCTATCTTCATAATCGTTCTTTGAATCAAATTTACCTTAAATACATATATTTCCTACTCAAAACCTTCACGCCATTCTTCAAGCACTTCCACGATGCAGATCAAAGCGACTTGTCTTGTTCTCATGGCCGCCCTCTTCACGGCCCAAGTTATCGCATACCCTACCCTCCCGCGGCTAGCTGCAAGGGACGAGGACTCGGAACTAAGCGATGCAGACATTTCTGACGAATTCTCATTGGAAGAGAGTGCCCTGGAGGCCGCGGGAAAGGTCAGTGTATCTTCCTGGACCCTGACTACCTATCTCTTGATTGAGGACTAACCTTCTGCAGGTCGAAGTCTGGCCGCCAGCTCTGACCGACAGAATTATCTGAAGCTCACAGTTACATAATGATGAGCGCCGTCCAAACGATCAATCCGGGATATGGTGTGTTGTCGGAATTCTACATGGCATAACATAATGCCAACGTGTCGAGGTGGCTATTGGAGTTTAATGTTCCGGTTTGTCGAACTTGTTCTATAATTTTTGTTGCTATGGCATCGAGGGAGGCACACAATTCTGGCATGCATGGTGCCCTGTATAATACAGTCTCAAACGTTACATCTGAGATTTGGATATAGTTTAAAGGCTCATAAAACTATCTAAACAATTCCCGACTGTCGTCTATCAAGATCTAGCCCTACAAATACCGGAGGCTGGCGCACATTGGTGCTAGTATTTATCAAAAGAGTGATGATGTAATTCTGTCAATGCTGATAAAGAGTGTCCAGTCGAGCATTCCTCATGCAATTCCGATCCTCGTGTTGCCAGAGCAGCCTCCCTGCCAGTGACCACATTGGCGCGTCACTCCGGCTATTCCCTTGCGTCGTATTCGATCTGCGGTATTAATGAGGGGACAAGTTTGAATGGGGTTCGTCCAGTAGCGACGAGGCCCATACCACGCTACAAACGCTACTCAGAAGCCTACATCCTGATCGGAAACATAGTGTTTCGTCCTTTTCCCTTTCAACGATCTCCAAGCAGGATTTTAACGTATCAACAATTGTCTGTCGTGGCGGTATCATTCCCTCAGAGGTGAAATCGGCTGAAAGTGGTGCATCTCGGCGAGTGAGGTGTACTCCAGTAGTGAGTGCTGCGGCGAAGAAGTCTAACATAAAAGGTCGACAAACCAATTGGCCATGGAGAGAGTCGTCAGAGGGCTGTTCGGAGAGCGCACGGTGGTGGACAAGAAGTGCAAGGCTGCATTCCAGGGATGACCAATAAGAAGTTGGATACAAGACCGGCCTGATGAACCATATCAATTATTAGTACGGATCCTGTGCAGATTCTCTTGGGGAGAGACTCACCCTTCAAAATGTAAGGCATGGGAGCGGTGTAGACATGAAAGAACACGTCGAAAAAAAATATCAAGCGTTATCCGGAGAATTTCGTCGCCCTCGAGACCAACAAGATATTGCATGCGCTGTCGAATCTCCAGATCATATTGCAAGACCTCATCATAGCTTATCGTGCCGTCACTTGAATTGATTCTGGTCAGAAAATGATAGATGATTGGAAATGATTCGGGGAGCACTGATTTCCAACAGTCCTCCAACGAGATCATACAGCTCGGTGGCAATGTATCGTCGCCTACAAGAAGCGCATCCGGTGGAAGTGCCGAGGATTGACCTGTGATCAGAGCGAGCTGTATATCAAGGTAGACTATGATGGTCCATACTCGGCGATGAAGCGCTCGTTCTTTAATGACATTTTTTGTCAGACAAAGAGTACCACCATCTAGATGAAGACCCATCATGACAGCTAAGCGGACTAACATGCCCATGATGTTCCAGCAGGAGTCCAGCGCCCAACAAGTAGCGTTGGCGACCTGCTTTGCAACTATCATGAGACAGAGAGTGCTGATGTTCAAGATACATGGCCGAAACATGTACGGGCTTTTAGCGAGGCATGCCTCACTGGCGAAGAAAAAGGCTTTTGCAAGGTCTTGGTCCTTAGTGGCGAAGGCTCCTAGTCCAAGCACGATCAAGTATTGTGAAAGCCAGTTAACATCAACTTGGGTTGGGGATTCCAAATACTCCTTCACTTCGAGTTCGAAATCGTCGATGTCCAGCACCGGATAGATCTTGTGGTAAATATTGGCATAAGCTTTGAGGTATATGTATGCACTGTCACGAGAACTCTGAATGAGGTCGTGTACATTTTCGATAGAGGCGTATTTGGCGGCATCTGGCGTTCCCAACGGAAAGTTTCCTGGCAGGAAGAGATCATTCATGCATCTATTCTCCGTATGTTCGCGCAGAGCAACGTTAAATACTTCGGAACCAACATGTTCAAGTGCTTGAGCCTATGACCTGATGATCAGCCAATGCATCTCCGAACATTGAAGCAAATACCAACCCGTGAAAGCAAAGCACGCCAATGGCTAGATCCGCGACGTCTCAAGAACCACGTGGTAACGACCACCTCAGGATCCTCGCTGGCCAAAACAATAGCAGGGTCTGGGTTTTGTTCTCTCGCAACTGTTGATGTCTTGTGTGTATATATGCAGGTAGTATGATATCCGGAGCTTGTGCATCGACCGCAAGGTTGCTTCTTATCACATCTGACTTTGATTCGATGACATCTCGAACACGAGAGACAGGCGCGATTCCTTCTCTTGACCACTTTATCAGGGGGTGGAGTTAACAGTACGCTTGAAGACTGTCGTGCTGATGAACGAGCAGACAAGATTTCCGAGGTAATAGAATCGCAGCTATCAGTAACGTCTGGGGCGAGATTGTCTTTCGCATTGGTACTGAGGACTCTCTCCTCTGTAGATTGGCCATCAAAGGAGCATTGAACTCCGGCTCGAACGCAACGTGAACAGGCAGGCTTAGCCTTGTCGCAACGACGCTTCGATTCGCGGCATCGCATGCATGTTTGGACCTCACGAGCATGCATTGTCAGTATCGAGTGCAGGCATGGATGGGAAAGAGCTGATTAAATCGGTGTTTAGCAGCCTCGAAGTGCGGGCGAACTCCAGGATGGTTATCTGATTCTGCGCGCGAGGGAAAAGTCTCTTCTTACCCAATTGATCATCAAGACCGAATCTTACTCACTTTCTTTGGTGATGTCTGGAGTGCGGCCGCACCTCGACCGTTTAACGCCGATCCGAGATGCGAAACTAATACATGCACTACATCCAATGGGTCACGGATCTAGCCCCAATCAACGAATCAAATTGCACCTACCCATCTACCTCTACAGTATCCAACATGACGAGTTACATAGACTGACTTCATGGGCGCATATGGCCGCATCTGTGATTATGGGGAGCTAACAGCGTACGGAGCGGAGCGGAGCTGCGTAGGAAGTTGGAACTAAATTTTCGAGTCATTCAAGGTCATTCAAGGCCCCTACCAAGATGGTCCAAAGAGCCTACACCGTCCCCCGATATTGTTTATGGCCGACGGTCGGCCGCAATGCTCTGACTTTTGATACAATATCTGGCCTAGTTTAGTTCATATAGCAACTTATAAATATTCCATAGTCTTGCGCATGCTTTCATAAAAGGTATCAGGAAGTCCAAGATCAACCGACCCATCTCACAGTATGGCTCTTACTCAAGGACCAAAGCTTAGTTCTGAGGCTACCACAACCGGAATAGCACGCCAGGAGGTCTTGGAGCGATATGAAGAGCTGCTAATTGAACAAAAGTCCTCGCCAGATCATGTATTCATAAGTGGAAGTTCTTTTCGTGAGCTTGACCCAAATTTGGTCGTTTTAGATGAAAAGGCTCGCGAGCATCCTCGGGTATGGTTTTCTATTTCCTGCTCGACTTCTACTGGTCTAACACTTTTATTCAGGATTGGCTTGTTCCAAAGAAAATTCGAGCCACTGCTATGGTGGGAGCATATTGCTTTCTAAGTCCATTCGCCAGTACAATATTCGCACCATCTGTTCATCTCGTCATGGCCGATCTCAACATCACAGATAGTACCTTGGGCGCTCTAGCAGTTTCCATCTTTCTTTTCGGATTCGCGATCGGACCTTTGGTACTGGCCCCAATGAGTGAGTTGTATGGTCGTAGGTTGATTATCAACTGTGGCAATCTTGTGTTTGTTGCATTTTCGATCGGTGCAGGCTTTGTTCAAACGGTGATTCTCCTTCGTATACTCTTGGAAGTCGTAAGCTAAAGTTATGATATGATACAGCCTGCTCAACTCTTCACAAGTCGCATATTTGCTGGCCTAGGTGGCTCGGCAGCATTGTCCATTGTTGGTGGTACGGTCGCGGACATGTGGGATCTTAAGGCAAGACCAAAAGCTTCAGGCTTAGTTATGCTTGGGCCGTAAGTGAAATGGTTGTTTTTCGTTGATCAAGTTCTGACTTTCACTAGTGTTCTGGGTCCTATCCTAGGTCCAGTGTGTGGCGGTTGGATGTCAGAGGCAGCAAGTTGGAGATGGACTCTCTGGGTACCGGTAAGACTGACACCGTTACGTTTCGCGCAAATAATAATTGATCTCTCACAGGCCATTGCAAGTGGCATTCTGTCTGTCGCAGGCTACTTCTTCCTTCCTGAAACCTACGCACCGCGAGTTCTTCAGCATAAGTTGCAGAAAATGAAAACCCTTCACCCAGACAAGCAATTCTATACGGTACTGGATCTGACTCAGTCTCCTTCTGGACTCAGGTTTCTGTTCAGTCAGTTCGTGAGACCTCGTAAGTATTGTGTGCTTCAAGGAATATAATGTGCTTACAACACATACAGTTGTATATCTTGCAGTTGACCCTGCATTGGCACTAGCCTCAATTTTCTATGCAGTCTTATTTGGAGTTGTCTATTTAGTCATCGTCACCGTAAGATACCCTCAGCTGCAATGGATTGTACTAATGCGGTACAGCTTGCTGATGTCTTTGGCCACGGATATGGGCACTCTGTGGGATTTGTAGGAACCGACTTTCTATCTGCCGGAGTCGGAATGAGTAAGTCTTGACAGTACCTGAATGATCTTCGAACACAGTGGGGTTTGATGCATTATCTGATCTTCAATACAGTCATAGGCACCTTTGGAACAATTAGAGTCATGGAAATGATCTTCAAGAAGGACACTACAACTGGCCAAATGAAATACAAACCAGAATCTCGGTATGTATCTTAAGAAGTACGATTTACTGAGGCTCAATCTAATGAAAGCAGCTTGTTGAGTTGCATTGTGGGGGGTATTCTCAGCGTAGGTGGGTTGTTCATGTATGGATTCTCAGCAATGAGAACGCATTATATTGTTGTAAGTTTCCAAATGCAAGCTAAACCGAAGATCGTTTCATTTACAAGTGAACAGCCACTTATAGGCATAGCAATATTTGCTTGTGGGACTATGAATATAATGCTGGCAATACAAATTTATGCAGTGGATGGGTAAGCATCGTCCCATACTCACCAGAGCATCGCTAATGTCGCAGTTTCAAATACCCCGCCTCTGCATTTGCGGCCAGTGAGTCCAGACCATATTCTTACCATAGATCGTGTCTTCTAATCATCAATAGTCTCTGTTCTTCGATGCCTCTTTGCTGGTTTCTTCCCTCTCTTTGGCCCAAAGCTTTTCGTTCGACTAGGTGTTGACTGGGGTGTTGGATTGTTAGCATTTCTTGTTCTAGGCCTGGGCACACCCATGATCACTTTAGTAAGATCCTATCAGCGGCATACTGACGCCTATCTTGTTAACTCATTGTGACAGCTATATATTTTTGGTCCTCGACTTCGCAAAATCGGCGTTCAACATATGAGTAGATTTGAGGGAGATAGTGGCTGATCCTAAATGTCATCGAATCGGTGAGCAAAGATAGAGGATCGACCCGGAAGCTACATATTCATACATATTTTGCGTCACCGAAGATGCCTACAGCCAGTTTTTATTGTTTGAGGAAGGAAAGGTGAAACAAGTCAATTAGTACTACACCAAAACTACTTTGGGTTATGTGGGAAGGATTTCGAGCAAATGTATAACACGAGGTCAAGTGCCAGAGTCTTCGAATCCAGAGCTTTCATCCTTTGGTACTTGTTTCCGCTGTTTTGATCGCTTCTTCTGCTTCTTCTCAACCTTATCGTTATCACTACCCGATCCCTTGCGTGTGCTTACATCCTTAGTCTTCTTCGGCGTTTCTACTTTCTCGTCATCCTCATCATCACTGAAATTAATGCTCTTCTTCTTCGACTTCACACTGGACTTGGATTTTGATTTTGCCTTAGCCCTTGACTTGCGCTTCTTTTTCTTCTTGTCCGAGTCTGAGTCCGAAGAAGAGGACGACGACGATGACGAAGATGACGAGGAACTGGACGAAGAAGAGCTGTGGTCCGAGTCAGATAATTGAATTGTTCTTGTAGCGTGGGCGTTTGAGTTGTCTGCTCTAAGCTTTTTAACTTTCGCGTTCTTCGCTTCATCGCCGACGTGGACCTCTTGGAGGTATTCGTCGAATTGAATGGACGCATTTGCAATTATCTTGAAGTGTGTGACTGTAATCGTTGGACTCTTCTCAGGCGAATTTCGCACTGCAAACTGTGCGAGTGCGAGTGCCGTTTGGAAAGCGTTTTGGATCTGCCGGCCGTTCCATTGGAGATTCTGATAGAACCTGTCAGAAAAGCGAAGAAGCTTGTCCTTATTCATCTCGATTTTAGGTAGACCATCTTTCTCTCTTTCTTTGCTTAGTCGACTCAGTCGTCTGATGCTTGTCTTCCAGACCTTATGGGACTGCTTCTCGTCCAACTTAGGGTAGTATAAGGTCAAATGAATTCGTGATCGGAATGCATCATCAAATGCGCCGACTCTATTTGTCGTCAAAAAGAGTATTCCACTGTAATACTCGAGCACACGCAGAAAAACCGAAACTAATGCGTTGCGTTTGACATCTGCTTTGTCGCGTTCTGCCAAGAAAACATCGGCCTCGTCGATTAGTAAGACGCAACCCCAGCGATGCCCTAGCCTAAATAGGTCCTCGAGCTTCTTCTCAACATCATCTGGCTCATGGCCTATATCTCCACTCGTGATCGGATAAAGAGGACGTCTCGTATGAGCTGCAACTGTTTCTGCAGTCGATGTCTTTCCCACCCCGGGCACGCCATGCAACAAAATAATGCATCCCTTTCCTTTCCCTTGAACAAGGCCGATCTCGCTCTTCGACTTCTTGTTATCACCGGAAGTTCTCGCATCAACAGTATGAGTCTGCACCATGGATTGAACCATTTGTTTATGACCTTTAGGAAGTACTAAGTCATCCCATCCGCTATCATAACTGCTTCTCTCGACTTTGGAGATGCAATCTATGTCAAATTGATCTGTTGCATGACCAAGTCAGAATACTTTCTGGGGATTAGAGTCCTGGGTACTCACGCCATCTTCTATTGCGCAAAGCAAATCCATGCACAATTCCGGGGAGGAGAATTAAAAGATCATTCGCCTCCAGGTCAAGCTTAAGTTCTTCTAGCTGCGACTTGTCGTCACTGATCTCGTACTCTTCTAGCAAAGCGTTGATTCGCGACATGGTCTTTCCGTACTGTGCCACCTGGTTGTGAGGGTACATGTCAACGTATAGGTTGGGTTCACTACAGCCCGCAGGACACATGGTCAGTACTTCAGCCACGCTTCTCAGGCCTTGTCTCCTCCAGAAATTGGATTCTTCATAAAACTCTGGAGCGGCGTCTTCGTCCTGTGCGAACGCTTGCTCAAAATCGACTATGATTGGACTGCGTATCTATCGTATTATGTCAGAATTGGTTTTTTTTTTTCATGTTCAAGCCGACTAACCTCTTCTTGGTGAGTGCCTGCAGTCATACCATCATACATAAGATGCGTGACTGGTGTGTAGTTAATGAACTTGCGTCCTCTTGCAATAAGGTGTTCTGCCCCTTGGAGCTGCCTGGCATATGATACCGGGAACACCGCCAGCGATACTATATCAGTCTCGCCTTCATATGGCTTCAAAATGAAGAAATCCCATGCTGTTTTTAGTTTCTTCCCATCAAATTCGATGAAGAAGCATGAGATATAAAGGGGTAAAAACCTTTCCTTGGTAATTTGTCTTTTCAGCTGAGACGCTGATGCCGCTGCTACCATATCCTCACGAAGCTCATCCTCATCCGACCTCAGAAAATGGTCCCGCTGCAGCTTCTTTGTGGTGAACGACTTAAGGAAAGTGTTTATCGACTCGCCTCTCGGCGCCAACTGACCACCTATTTGGTATTAACATATTTTGGGTGGAATCCAATAAACGACGACAAGAATCTCACCAATGCAAACGCCCCCTGTTGTTGCCAAAATTCGGTAAGCTTGAGGGGCATCCCTCCGTGATGACACCATTTCATCAGCACCATTAGGCATATCTTGGTATGGGAAAACCTGATCGGTCTTCCGTGATGGGCAATATATGGTGTCGTTGGTATCAAAAAGCATCCAAAGGTTCTCAAAAGCTACCGTTTTGGCTGTACCAGACCGGAGGTCGTCGTAGTACTGAAGATCCTTTGCTAGATACGCATCAACAAATGCCACAAGCTTTTCAAAATGTGCGAGCGCTTCTGGTTTGTCGAAAGATTCGAGAGGAGTATCTTCAGAGTCCTCTATATTTGTCCTAGAAGACTTTGCGGTCTTTGGTTGCTCCCCCTGCTCAGCACCGCCTGCGTCTTCTTGACCATTGCGAACGCTACTTGATAAGACCGTGCCATATCTTTGTAGAAGTTTTGAATACTGTTCTTTCAACTGTGTTGCGTTTCGTATCAATACTCGAAAAGGCTTTGACATCAGCACCGAGTGATTATTCCAAATTGAGTGTTGAGGACCAAGTGCGACATACAATCCGCCTTCGTTGCTCTTACTAAACCTGCCAACATGTTGAAACCAGTCAACTAGTATAGGAGAGTCAAATCGAATCGCGATGATATCAACATCATTTGGATCTGGTTGCTCGAGAATGCCTAAATTGATTGGCTCCCTTCTCCATTTGTGCAGTGCGCGGATGACATTGCCAGGTTTTGTGGCCGACAGAAATCCCTTTTTATGGATCCCAGGAGCAGGCGGGGCGTCTGGATACGCTGAGACACTTTGTTCCAGCCCAAGATCATAGAAGCTTGTATAAAGCTCATTAACCGTAGTCGAGATCTTATCGCTTTTCGGTACCTCACGACCCTGTTCATCGACCGTCTTCGGCTCATTTCTTTCCTCTTCTAATTTGTCGATACGATCCTCCAAAGTTCGAAGGTAATCAACTAGATCCCGCACCAGCTTCGGTGCTTTGTTCCTGGGCGGTATTGGCCTCTTTTCGCATTTCTTCACGTAGGCAGCGTATAGCCCCTGATAACCCAAATTCGCCGCCAGATCTATATCCCATGGGTAGTTTGTGGGCATCCTCATGGGATCGTCATCGGGATCAGAGTATTCCTCCTCGGGATCGCGGACCGAAGTTTCATCATTCGTACCATCTTCTGATGCATCATGGGATTGTTCGGCACTAACGTGCGATTTCTCGCTACCCGAGCTTATCTGAGGCTTTTCAAGGCCATTCTCATTGGATGGCTGCTTTTCTGGTTCAACTGCATCGCCATTGTTTGTGCCGGGATCATCGTTGATGTTTTTGTCTGGACTCTCAATGTGCGAAGCATTGCCTTCCTTGGAACTGTTCGGCAACGCTTTGGTGTCTACTTTGGTGTCTACTTTGGATGCCTCTTCCGGAGGATGCACTGTATTCGAGAGTTATTCAAAAAAGTCATATATGCCAAGGAGGGTTTCTAGCATGCCTTTTCCCTCGACTTCAGAGCTCATAGTGATGACCGAGCCAAGACCTTGAGGTCTGTTTGCAAGTGCAGGGAATCTCCAAGGAGGCCAACTCCAAGGCTCAAAAAAAAACAAGTGCGGGCCTGAGGAAAGGGCGGGAGTGTTCAACTCTAGAGAAAGGCTGAGGCAACGCTATGTTTTGTATGTTACGAGGCTGAGACTCGTGCGAGGGAGCCAGGCGTTTACATATGCGACATCTATGCAGCCACGCTCGAAGGAACAGAGTAACCGAGCCAATCTCGAGGCCTGGTGGAGTCGTGTTCTATGAACGAAGTTTGGGGGCCAAATTCTCACCCATATTCCCTGTAAACCCCCAGTCAATGGGTGTATCGGATTTGAGCATGATTAGATGCAAGTAGGTATGTTATCAAAATCCAAATGATGCCACCCAGTGAGCAATCATCAGCAGCTTCAGTTGGTAACTTTTGGTTGACTTAGGCAGGGGGCTGACCGGATCGATTGTTTGACAAGGGTTACTCAGTTGGGGGCGCAGTTGTTATGTCCCACATTACCCCAGCAATATCTACATCCAGCATCTCGCAGGAATCAGCTCAAGCTCGAACGTCCACAAAAGACCTCAGTACATTGCTATGCATCTGTATGACCACTAAAAGCTCTCCCGCGAAGTACTCCGTACGATCAATTTTCTTGCAATCAAACAATCAACATGGCGCAAGATGTCTCAACTATCGTTCGTCACGATATCTTGACCAACAGCGCAGCCGAATTCCTCGAAACAAGAGCGGAGCAAGCCTTGGGAGTTGAATGCGTTAGTGTGGATGGGCCCCAGTATATTCCAGTTAAAGATCAATTTGTGGCGAAAAGCGAAATCTCGAAGTACGTCTAGAAGCTTTATATGTGACATGGCTAACAGCTACGTAGTGTCAATTACCTCAAAGAATCCGAAGAAAAGATGAAACAACTCGAGAAGTCCCTCAACAACTTTTGCAAAATCATCAAAGACAGAGGCTTCGATAAGAAGCTCAACATATGCCTGAAAGATCCGGAAGGATATAACTCGACAGAGATTCTTGAAATAGTGGGGAAGATCGAGCACTCACATAAAAACGCTGACAAGGTCAAATCATGCATGGGCCGTATTCGCAAATGTTTCCACTTTATGGGAGAAAACTCAGGACAGATGCAGAGACTCGTTGGCTTTGTTCCAAACGATAAGTATGGATCCGTGATCTCTGGTGGATTCACGATTATTCTTGGGGTACGTCATCTTCTTGCAAAGTTTGGTATGGGTGAACTCACAGAGCACAGGCTGCAGAGCGCGCAGAAGAGATTCGAAGCGAAATTTATGAGGTCTTAGCTGGCATACCTGATACGCTGAAGTTTCTAAATGATATGAGTAATGTTAACAACAAGTCAGCGGATCTGCTCCGCAAAGCTGACTCCGTTTTTGTATCGATCTTTGTCATACTCGAAGAGATCGTCAAAGAACTGACAAAGTCAATGGGCAGTAAGTCATAGCCATCAAACACAAATATGACACATCATTAAGCTTGTAATAGGGAAAGGCATGTCACTTATTTTCCGTGGAGATAAAAGCGCTTTTGACTTCACCAAGGCTCTACATGATCTTCAACATAGGTTGAGCGACTTCAAACAACAGGTTCAGATTTGCTCAGAACAGCGACTCGGTAGAGTGGATCTCAACGTTATGAGGGCGCGTGTGTCGGCAGAATCGAGCGAACTCATGATTGCACAGACTGGTGTAGCCGTTGCAGGTACTGCAGCAACTTTCATTCTTTGTATTCGGATTATCTAACTGATCTGTAACAGACATGCAAGACCGTATGATACGCCTTGAACAGCGGTTGCAAGAGGGCATGAGAGAACAAACAGCAGCCCACGAAAGATTATGGAACAGAAGTCAAGCATTCCTTGAAGGACCTAGTAGCCAGAACGTGGAGCTTGTAAGAAGAGAGTCATTGCAAGTCAATGTGTACAACAATGTGTACGCTCTCCTAACTGCGAGCCCATCGTTTGATTCTCGAACAGGCACGGGTACGTACACTTAGCACCTATGAATGCGCGAGGTTTACTGAATCACAAAAAGCCGATCTAGATCAAATGAAACAACTCCAACAGCAGCAGCAGAAACTTCTACTCGGAACGAAAGAATCACCATCGAAGAGACGAAAGTCCAATCGGCGACTAGCAAAAGGCTGGCTAGGCCGCCTTGATCCCGTCTTTCTAAACCCTAACGAGGACATTCTTTCGTGTCTTCGAAGTCTAGAAACCTTGAGCTACTGCGAGAAGGCTCAGATCCAATGGATACTGACCTCAGACTTGATCCACGATTGGCTGAAGTCATCGACTTCTACGGCGTTGACATTGGAGCCACTGGGATACCCAGAAAGCTCCGAGAATCCCATGTCATTCTCTGCCGCCTTCCTCCTAAAGTCGCTCCTTACGCACGACTACCCTATCGCCAGCTTCTTTTGTGCTATGCGTGCGAACAACAGCATGCAACCAGAGTACTCTGGCCCAAGGGCTATGCTAGCAAGCCTGTTTGCCCAACTAGTTAAACAGATCAGAATCAAACGCGAAGATGTTGATTTAAGTGCCCTAGGCAGTCCCGACAAGGTCGAAGGAGACGTAAAAGATATCGAAGGCATGGCAACGAGAATTCTCACGCTGTTGAGTCTGTTACCAGAAGGGGACTGCATCTTCTTCGTGCTTGACTCCGTAGTATATCTTACGGGTCCGCAGAAGGACATCGATCTTGCCCTCAGATTGATGTTAGGTCTACTGAAGTTCTCAAAAGTGGTCGTGAAACTCCTCTTAACCGGAACAATGTCACGGGAAGTCATGGACAACCGACGCTGCCAAACACTTCACATTCCTGAGATAATTGATGGAGACAGCCAAGACATTATGACATCCTTCTTTGAAGATGATCTGTCTCATTCAATCCTAGAGGGATTTGAGGATCAGCAATCGGACGAAGACAGTACTTCAGACACAGACAGCGATGACGATTTATCTGACAGCAAGCTTGGGTGGCGGTGACTGTAAAATTGAGAGGAGAATAGAAGGACAAATCAATCACTCATAGCACATTACAGTCCTCATCTCAAGTTCACAATAAAAATGTAAACGAAAGACGTTGAATTTACCTAACCATACCTCTAAACTAAACTCCACGTCTGTGCGCGGCTGTTCATTACCCTTAACTACCCTAACCTCGGACAGTCGATGGAGCTATGCCCCCAGACACTCCACCCCCGCCCGCAGCCGCGGGAAGTGGTTAACCGCAGCTCACGGAAATGTCGACGTCGACTTTGTATATTTCTCCCAATGCAATAATTACTTGAAGCCTCCCCTGGCTTCGACCAGACCCACACTTCCCATCTGGCTTGAAAATTCCACATTCCCTTCAATCATGGCTCATCAACCACCTCCCCTCACAGGCATCAGGGTGCTCGAGTTCGCTGGTCTGGCTCCGGGTAAGTACTAATCTTGCGAACAATATCATATTCAAAGAGACATCGAACACAAGCTCATAAGCATCTTGCAGGCCCCTTTGCCGGCATGCTCCTCGCCGACTATGGCGCAACAGTCCTCCGTCTCGATCGCGCTCCCGCGCAACCTACCTCCGACCAATTGACACGGCGCAAGACGTCCATCTGCGTGAACATGAAATCGCCGGACGGACTCGCCCTAATCAAGAAGATAATCCCCCAGGTTGACGTCGTCATCGATCCCTTCCGACCGGGCGTCCTAGAGAAAGCAGGCCTTTCCCCCGAAGACGTCTTGCTGAAACTGAACCCGCGCTTGATCGTCGGGCGCATGACGGGGTTCCGACGAGATGGGAAGTACAGCATGATGGCTGGCCATGACATAAACTACATTGCCGTCTCGGGAGTGCTGAGCATCTTCGGCCGGAAGGGAGAGAAGCCATATCCGCCTGGCAATGTTGTGGGAGACTTTGCCGGAGGCGGCGCAATGTGCTTCTTAGGCATTCTACTTGCCCTGCTTGCACGGGAGAAGAGCGGATATGGCCAGGTCGTGGAGGCAAACATGGTGGACGGCAGCGCGATCCTCGCGACTATGCCGCGACTAGGTATGAAGAACGAAGTGTGGAAGCGCGAGCGAGGAACCAACATGTTGGATGGCGGCGCTCCATACTACGGCACATACGAGACGAAAGACGGGAAGTACATGGCCGTGTAAGTTCAATCGTCCATCTTTTAATTAATACCACGTTACTAATTGACGCGACCAGCGGAGCAATCGAACCACAATTCTACGCCGCTCTCCTCAAAGGCCTTGAGTTGACCCCCGCAGACCTGCCCGGACACCGCGACAACAGAGCCGACTGGCCCCGCCTCACCGAGTTCTTCACCTCCGTGTTCAAGAAGAAGACGCGCTCGGAGTGGGAGGCCATCTTCGACGGCACGGACGCCTGCTGCACGCCCGTATTCACACAAGCCGACCTCGAGGCTCAGGGTTTCGACCAGAGACCTGCGGTCACGCTGAAGAGCACGCCTGCCTACGCTATCCATGAGGGCGAAGACTCAAGACCGGCTGCCGTTGGACAGGGCATCGGCGTCGAGGGGAGTGGGTGGTCGGAGAAGGGGCTTGAGCCTGGAGCCGGCGGGGAGGACACTCTAGGACGTTGGCTTGGGTGGAAGAAGGGGCGACACTATGATGTCGAGAACCAGGGACTTGTTTTGAAAGATACCTCTAAATTATGATCGCCTTCGATAGATTAAGAAAAATGCTGTAAATACATTGTAGACATTTAGTCTCACATGGCTACACATAGGAGTGCCCTAACATTAGAGTAACCAGTGTAAATTGAAGCCATTCAAAGTTCATCGAGGAGTGCCCTAACATTAGAGTAACAAGTGTAACTTGAAGCCATTCAAAGTTCATTAAGGAGTATTCTAACATCAGAGTGCCTAGTGTAACTTGAAGCCATTCAAAGTTCATTGAGGAATGCCCTAACATCGGAGTAACCAGTGCATTGAAGCCAGTCAAAGTTCATTGAGTCCGTCGTGTTATTCATTTGACATCATTACTTCTGGTGAACAATTTCTTAGGAGCGAGCTATGGATATAAGCAAAACATGGATCCACCCACTGTCACATAGAAAAAGAGAGCTGATGAAAACGGGAAACGACTCATCTACTATGAACACCGGGTAATAAACATCCCAACCGACAAATGCCAGGGCTTCCAGTTTACTATGCATCTATCTCTGTCGTCGGACTCTCCCCCAGGATAATGTCATACGAATCCCCTCCTCGCCACGTTCTCTACTACCGTCTTCGGAACCTCGCTCAAATGTGATATATTCCTTCGCGCTTGAACGATCCAATTACTGCACTTGGTTGACGATTTCTTGGGCCCTTGAAAGACTCTCCACCATCTGTTGGCATTCCTTCCTCCTTCGGACGGTGAAGTCGCTCTCCTTGAGAAGGTCGTCAAACTCCTCGGTCTTGTACATGTTCTCGAGAAGTTCTCGTTGCATCTCCTCCTTGGTGAAGGTAACAAGGTTCAACATAATGGCCTTGGGAACCATGTCGATCATAGTTCGGCGGACAATGTTGAAGTAGGAAGTAATAAGAAGTTCTGTCGTTCGGTTAGCAATCAAAATTCACGGTAAATGTCGAATATACTCACTGATAACTTCGACCTCCTGAGCTTCCTTGTCAGAAAGCGTTCCTGAAGCCTTCAGCATCGATGGTGGTGGCTCCATAGCTGCCATCTTCTTCTTGTTCTTTGTGTTAAAGAAGGATCCGAAGAAGCCACCTCCTTCGTTCGAATCCATAGATGGAGAGATCGATCGCGGAGGGACTGCTGGGGGAAGTGGCTTTCCGGTCTTAGGGTCAACCTGCGTGGGCTTTGTGGAGTTGTGTCGCTCGTGGACGATGGCCATGGCACGAGAACCGTTGATGAAGTCTGGGTGGCCAGTGTTGACATAGCATGACTCCATAGCGACGAGATCTTTGACGAGCTTGTTGGTTGGTTCCATGGCCTTCTTGAAGAATTGAACCACAACAACATGGAACTTCTCCTTGAGCGCAGGGTATCGCCTGAACATGGGCTTCGCAAGAAGCTGGCCGAGAATTCGGATCAGCTCGTCATAGATTAGGCTCACACACTTCAAACTGGGATCTTCCAATCTCTTGATCTGTTGCTTGACGACGACCTCGAAGGCTGTTGTACCAACAAAAAGCGCTGGGGAAGATCCAGAGGAGTTGACGAGGACAGTGCGAATATCGACATCCTTGACCATGTCGAATGGATCAACCGCCTTGATACCATTGGCATAAAGCTCGTGGTACACGAAAGAGATACGGGCACCTCCAGAAAGCTCAGTGGCCGTAAGCTCTTGGTTGTTTCCCTCTAGGACTCCTCGGTACTCGTTGCTGAACTCTGTAATCATGTTGAGTACAATGTTTGAGCTGTTTCCGAGCATGGAGTCTCCAAGTTGACTCAACTCGGCCGAGTACTTCTGTAAAGAGGAAGAGATGCGTGCCTTGATGTCCGGAAGCGTCTGCTTGATGTGCATCATAAGAATCTAACTGAGTCAGTATTGGATCTTCGCGCTTCGATATCCATGTCCACCTACCAAGTTGAGCTTGCGAGCCAGATATGGTGTACCGCAGTAAGCAGCCTTGTTTCTATACGCCTTGTGGTTTTCAAAAAAGTTCTTCTCATGCTCAAGCGCATACGAGATAGCCTTCTTGTTCTCAATATCCCTCTGTCCACGGTTAACGACAGGTACGTATCCTAGTCGCAGGGGGATAATTCGTCCAGCGAGAATGTCAACAACGTCGGTGCCGTCGTCCATGAGGTCGACCTTGGTGAGCACACCAATCGTCCTCTGACCTTCCGGATCCACCTCCCGCGCAAGCTTCAGTCCATCCGAGTTTGCCAAATCAGTGTTTGCCGCGGTGACAGCCAATATTATCGCATTAGACTTGCTAATCTGCTTCAGCACCATCTCTCGGATTTGTCGCTCGATATCGCGCGGCTGGTCGCCGACAGGGACCTTGGTCAAACCTGGAAGATCAACCAAGGTCAGGGTGAGGACGTTTGGCGAGTAGATTCGTAAATTAATGGGAGCTGGCGAAATGCCCGCATTGCGCCCTGTCTTAGATTCTGTCTCTCGTACGATCTCGTCGCGGATCTTGTTGAAGTCATGGAATTTCTGGCCTGGGATGTGCAAGAACTCGCCCCACTCGTCTTTGTTGGACTCCTTATCCGATGTCTTCACCTCCTCGCTAACGCCGTTTGTTTGAGACTGGTTGCTAGCCGGCCGATTGATGAGTTGGAGAATTAAAGGTCTTCGCGTCACGATACCGGTTCCTCGGGGGAGGCTAGTGATTTGAGAGTCAGTAATCGTCATGCCAATGTCATGGTGTCTTGTGTGCCTACAAATCTCGACCAACAATGTTCTCTAACACAGAGCTCTTTCCGCTAGATTGCGATCCAACGACTGCAATCTGGGGCAAATCGATAGGATTTTGAACCTAGGCAGGTGTTAGTATTCATGTGGATGACCAGGCTAGCGATAGCAAGGTCCGAGAGCGAGTGGTGTAGATACGTACTCCTACGGTGGTGAATACATCCTGGAGCTTGTTGACGAGGGTAATCAGCCCAGGATCGTTGACGTTGATGCTATCGGGGCATACGTTAGCATTCCGCAGTCCGTTCCGAGGGGTTGCCTGCCCAAGGGGATTCCACCTACGCAGTTGGGTTTGTCGCCATGGCTGGCGGGATCGAGGTAGGCGTGTAGGCGGGCAGGTATTAAATAGGTTGCGACGGTCGGGTCGGAGAGGGGTGTAGAGGAGTTGTTGTAAAAGCGGTGATATGGGAGTGGTGTTAAGTTTTGGGTTCGTCGTTGCGTTGCGGATGCGAACGTAGCTAGCTGTGGGACTTGGTCCGTGAGCGAGACGACATGCGCCGACCACAGGAGTTGGACTAGGATCTTGTTGCGGCGCACAGCCACAGGTAGGCAGGCAGATGACGGCGATCTACACAAATGGGATCCTCCCTGATCAAGTGCTTGCAAAAAGTGCTAAATGACCACAACAATGTCCAGTTTCAGGGTATATCCAAGATTAAATAACCTTTCCAAGACTTTTGCCCCTTCATTAGGTAGCTACGTTATTCAAACCTCTACACACAAGGAGATGACGAACACACAGAGCTGCTAGCAGGAGACAGGCGTCGTCATCAAATCAGGCATCAGGATTATTCCACCTTTCATTGTACATTCACATTCTATATTGGCAGCAGGATCGTAGAACAAGCAAAAGAAACCTAACAACTCGCGCTGTTACGCATATACAACCGCATCATGGTCCAAGGCGCAGTTACTCGTCTACAACCGAGGCGAACTTGTCAGTCATTCGCTGCAGAAGCTCCTCGTACTATTATTGAATTAGTGTTTGTCCCTGTAAATAATTCACAAAAAAATTGCTTACCTTCTTGGTGATCGCCTCCTCACCCTGTGTGGGAACCTCGAACTTCATGCTACGAAGTTCACTCTGGATCTCGCCAGTGGACTCACGGATCTTGGCCCAACTTTGTCCCTGTGCGACAGCCTTCTGTGCCTCGTCATGGAATGCCATCATGTTCTTCATCATCCATTCTGTCTTCCAGAGCGGGCAGAATTGATCGTAGTCTGAGTATCCGTTCTGCTGGAGGAAATCTTCCTTAAGCAGCGTTGCTACATCGAGAGTGATCTTGTCAGGGTCACCAAGAGCAGATTTTCCGACAAGCTGAACAACCTGGTCCAAATCGTCGGATGTTGTGAGCAATTCCTTGATACGATCTCTCAGACGTGGGAAGTCAGGGTTGTTCTCCGCATAGAACTTGTCAAGCGGTCCGGTGTACTTGCTGTAACTGAGACCAGTGTTGATGGAAGGGAAATGCTTTCGCTGGGCAAGCTTCTTGTCCAGACCCCAGAAAACTTGGACAATGTTGAGGGTACTAGTCGTGACGGGGTCCGAGAAATCACCACCAGGAGGGCTGACAGCACCAACGATACTGACACTACCATGTCGCTCGGGACTTCCAAGAGCAGTGACACGGCCGGCACGCTCATAGAAAGATGCTAGCTTGGCACCAAGGTAGGCGGGGAAACCTTGATCAGCAGGCATTTCACCCAAACGTCCCGAGATCTCACGAAGGGCCTCAGCCCATCGAGAAGAAGAGTCTGCCATCATGGCCACGTCCTTACCCATATCGCGGAAATATTCGCTGATCGTAACTTTTTAAACCTCGTTAGCATCGTTTTAGACTCCTCAACCGGTTACAGTATACTATCAGCCGATTGCAAAGTATTGACTTACTTCCAGTGTAAATAGAGGCTTCTCGCGCAGCGACAGGCATATTAGAGGTGTTGGCAATGAGAGCAGTTCGCTTCATGATGGGCTCTTTCTTGCCGTTGACCTCAATCTCGAGCTCAGGGAAATCCATCAAGACCTCAGCCATCTCGTTACCTCGCTCACCACCTAGCACACATTAATTAGATAGTATCCCAATACATGTCCTGGATGCGACTTACAGCCCACGTAGATAATGATATCGGAGTTCGAAAATTTGGATAGCGACTGACTGATGACAGTCTTTCCGCAACCAAAGGCGCCAGGAATGCACACGGTTCCACCTTGGACACTGGGGAAAAGGGCGTCAAGCACACGTTGGCCGACAATAAGTGGTCGGTCGGAAGACAGCTTCTCGGTACTGGGACGGGGCACACGGACGGGCCATTCGTGCATCATGCTGTACTCAGACTTGGTTCCGTTGAACTCAATCTCCAAGATCTTTTCGTCCACAGTGTAGCTACCCTTATCAGCAAGGCGCGTGATTGTTCCACGGGCTCTGGGAGGGAGCATAATCTTGTGTTCACTCAGAAGACTGTTCTCGAAGACGGTACCGAAAACGTCGCCTCCAGTGATATGATCTCCAACCTTCAGCTTGCCAGGTGTGAAATCCCACTTCCTCTTGCGGTCCAGGGCGGGGACATCAATACCGCGGGGAATATAAATACTGTTCGACTCTTTACCGATTTCGGCAAGGGGGCGCTGAATACCGTCGTAGATGGTTTCCATGAGACCGGGACCAAGTTCGACGGAGAGAGGTTTTCCAGTGCGAAAGACGGGGTCGCCAACGGTGACACCAGCTGCATAATGTATTAGCTTCAAGACTCATAGAATTTGTATACACCACATACCTGTTTCCTCATAAACCTGAATAGTGGCCTTATCTGCCTCAATTCGAATGACCTCTCCGACCAAGTTATCATGACCAACACGGACCTTAGAACGTTAGCTTAAGAACTGGCCAGAGCATTGTTACTATCTTACAAGTTCGTACATAGCACATCCGATCATGTCTGCGGCCACAATGACGGGTCTACAAATGTTAATTGATATCGCGGCAGTATCTTATGGTGACGTACCCAGAGACGGAGTATACGGAGCCTGCGTGCAATTAGTTTCGTGAATTCCAACAAGTGTGTCTGCATCGTCAAGATGAAGCGCGATATACTCACCATACTGCTCAGAATCCTCCTTCTGCTCCTTCTTCTGTTGCTTCTAAAGCGCATTAGCTGTCATGTTCTGAACCCACCCCTCCAAGCTCGCGAAGACCTACGGGGGCCATGTTTTCTGTATTCTGGTCCTCTGATACGATGATACGGGGTGTATCTTGCTCGATGCGATAGGGTGGAGGACTGGTGACTTCGATCGAAGGCGTCACTACCGGGCTCGTTGGGAGCGGGATATGGATTGCGTCGTTGTCGGCCTCGAGCGGTGTATTGTGGCTCAGCGACTGGGAGAGTTCGTCGATATCCTTCTTTCGGACAAGATCAAGGAGAGACGGTCGAGGTCTTAGACGAGGTCGCAAGCCTAGCATGCAATGGCGATGTACAGGTCGCTGGAAGAAGGGAAGGGGAAGCTAGGATGAGGTTGGCGATGGTTTGGTGGAAGAGGAGCTTGAACCGGCGTCACTTGAGGTGGGTCATGGTCCGTGCCACAGCTCTCTCCCGCATCTTACATCGTCAACCATAACGTTAGGCAGCACATATATAATTTGACATGAAATTCGAAACCATTCAAGCATGGTACCATGGACTACATAGTCTTGAATGGAGCATTGGATGTCGTCTTTCTGTTGGACAGTCTTCGTCCAGAGATGACGTATCTCGTTACCGCTGCACTTTAATTCAGAGAACGTGCACCTAAAACAGAAAATGGGAAAACAATGACTGCACAATTTAATTCCATGGACGGGAACTGTTGCATTAACTTTTTATGGCAAGGTATTTGACTCTGTGCTTGATGGTATATGGAACCAATCGACAAACATGAAAAACATCGAGAAGGATCGCACTGACTGCCAAGCGTACCCAAACTACTCCAGAGAGTGGTGGGTGGCATATGCACACTTCAAGAGATCTAGATTTACACCCCAGAATTATATATATTCAGCCACAGCTTTTCAGACGTCTGCGCACCGTTTTACCCCCGAGACGTCATTGTAACAGTCAACACAAGATCCGGCTCCATAGTGACCAATGTTTGTACTCCTTGCGCTCGATATAAAATCATTCCAAGACCATGCGCTTATGTTGCGTACAGGCTAACCACGCTCAATAATCATGCATACGGCTCTATTGTTGTCGAAAATTTCAACATGTACGGTTGAAATCCAGGCGTATGGATGATGGATAACAATTCGGCGGTACTGTCAGCATATATATGGCCTAGGAGTGGTAAGATACGAGCAAGTGCATCGTACATCGTCGGGCCGTGGTTGATGTACATACGAATACTAGTCGTAAGTCGAGGTCGAACTGTCCCATCCCCAATCTCAGCCCAAGCCATGAGGGATCCATCGAGAACAACACAAATACATATTGCACCGAGATGACTGCATCAGCTTCCGACACCGATCACGGTTTCGTGTTTGGGCCATAATACGATACCAGTTGACCAGTGGCTAACTTGGGCGGAACTGCGCTAATGAGGGAATATTTGGAATACCACCACCAGATATCGCCTTATCTCCATCTTTCATTCGTATTTCCGACCTACCCAGCCTGTAATAATTCTTTGGTCATCTATTTGTCACCGACAGTTACATCTCAATTTTGCATTTCGCCAGAATTACATTTCGAGGGAATCCATCTGTCCGGATGCATTCAATTACTCCGGCCCTTCGAAACATTTGCCACAGCATGTCTATGCCTCCTTCCATTGGCTCTTTTGCAAAATGTTCGACGTAGACCATATTAAGCATATAATAATGATACGGGTCCCAGATCAGTGGGCTATTTTGCACGTTTCATTCCTGGTTTAGCCGTGAGTGTATCTCAGGGAGTAAATTCTTCTTATAAGAGAGCCGTACGACTGCCTTTCGCTCGCACACCTAAACAGCCAGGGAATCCAAGATTACTTCGAAAAGGCATACATCTTCATCATGTCAAACCCTCTGCAGTCAATCCAGTCAGACTCACAGCCCGCCATGTACGCTTTTGAATCCACAGATGCATCTCGAACTTCACCAGCACCTTCTCTCTATCTCCCACCAAGTCGAGCATCCAGCATTGAATCGTGGTCTTCTTCAGTTTCTGAGCGAACAATAAATCATCATAACGAGTCACACTCCCTCTCGAAGTCGCACCAGGCCACTATCGAGGCATATCGGAAAGTGAAGCTTGCGCTTTTCTCCAAGGTTCAGCATGCCGGTCGTCCAGAATCTTGATATCGAGAACGAAACTAGGGTTATCAACAACTGGCTCATCACGCTCGTATCATAAAATACAATCGTAATCGAAGAGTGCATGAAGTTTTCTTACTAGCACTCGCTCAACAACCCGGCTTGGATGGGGTTGACATCAGCAACATTCTTTACATGCTCATTCACTGGAATATGTCGCATTTGGCCGCAAGCTACCCGATTTCTTACGACATAAATATTGACTCCAAGGAGTTGAGTTGATTGGCATCTCGGGCAGTGTATTCAGATCTGGTAATGTGGCAGGTCAATGGGACAGCAAAACCACGTCCGGAGGGGAAACATGGATATTATGCGTGAAACGAATTATGACTATTTTTTTTCCTTTTGGCTTCATTTCGACAATGGCTGCCTCGGAACCTTCGTGTCTTTGTTACCAGGTCATTTGGCGTGCATTCATTCTAAGCGTTGTATGCGATAGATTTGATATCTACACTATTGCTGAGCGATGCGGATTCGAATTTAATCATATCAAAATAAAGATATTGTATAATCTATCATATGAATGCAAAGTCGCAATAACTTCAATTACGTCCGTTGAAAAAAAAAATCACTAGGACGCTCCTTTGTATGCAACTTTATTCCGTAGCATTGTGTAGTCTCGAGATGAGATACACTGTGGCGTTCCTGGGCCACTCAGTGTGGGCGTGACATGCCAAGACTTAGCTCGTGTAGCTACCTCGAATAATTCTTGCGACTTTCATCGCAATTGACCATCAACAGCACGGAGCCATGCTCCTCCCACGGATATTTGCGCCCGCCCGGGCTTGCCTACAGCCTTCCTCGGTCACCCTTTTACCCTCACGAGTCCTCGATTCCGTCCGCGCCGCCAATGGCACAACCCCCACAGTTCTCTTTTTCGTGAGACACGCATCACATCAGTCCCAAGGACGAGCCAACGGCGCAAAAGATGGACCTGGAAAGCGATTGGGAGCCAAGAAGAGTGGAGGTATGTTGTGAACCCCATTCCTGGATTATTATAGGATTGATGACCTGACCCTCTCTACAGGAGAATATGTTATTCCCGGAAACATCATCTTCCGCCAAAGAGGGACTGCCTGGTATCCCGGTGAAAATTGCAAGATGGGACGGGATCACTGTATATTTGCTACAGAGTCTGGATATGTCAGATACTACCGCGACCCGTTGAAGCACCCGAATCGCCAGTACATTGGTGTCGTTTTCGAGAAGGACCAAACCCTCCCATACCCACAAAACGCAGCACGAAAGAGGAGATTGAATATGAGCCCGGTGGTCAGGGAAATAGAATCCTCTTCTCTCGAGGGACAGGCCGTTGTTATTGGTGAGGGAGCCGGTGCCGAGACCAGCGTGCCAGAGACACCCAGCGAGAAGCCATTGAGGAATCTTGTGATGGGCAAAGGATATGCCTACCGCGAGGCCAATTGGGAGATTGGAAGGGCGGCCGAGAAAGCGAACGTTCAGGTCAGGAAGTTTATACCTGGTGATCGATTCACGGCATGGCGAAGGTCCGCTGCAAGAATTGCGGCGAACATCGAGAAGAGGAAGCTTAAGAACGCCGGTAAAAAGGCATCGAAGCCTAAGAAGAAGAGGTGAACGAGTTGACGGTACATTGCTGTATAAATATTTGTAAAACGAGCGGGCTATGATGCCATTTACATTTTGACTTTTGCACGATTTCGCCCTCATGATTCTTGTTAGATAAATCTTGTCTCTGATAGACGTTACACAGTGAAAAACGGGGAAGAGACATGCTCTATGTTGTGTATGGTACTTTAGCCATAGCAAATTAAGATCTATCACGCCATATATATTATGAGATTTATAAAAGAAGAAGATGGTCTTCGATCTCCACATACAATACATTCAATTGACAGGCTGCTGGCCCTGATTACTTCACCAATATAAAGTGCCTGACCAGCAAAAGTATTCAGCCCTATCGGATCATCCAACTCGCGGGCGGTCTCGGTGGTCCGTGCCCCAAAATTCCAAGCTCATTATTCCGCGACTTTCATTCTTCAAACGAACCAACTTATTGCGATACTTGAAAGCAACACAATTTTCCAAAGGAGCTACCAAGCTCAGAAGTCGTTATTTTTGGGAAATAGAGAGACTAACTACAGGCAAACATGGCGTCAACACCAAAGACAATGTCGAACCGGCTCATGACGATGAAGGTAAAGATTTCTACAACATTTCAACGCGTTCGCGCAAGCTAATCTGTGAGCGTAGTTCATGCAGCGGTCGGCCGCCAAATCGGCAAAGTCGGAGCCTTCGACCCCAGATGGACCTCATTCGAAGAAAGTGCGACTTTCCAATGGCAGGTCAGCGCCTAGTACACCCGGCACGCCGTCGGACCACGAAGTCTTAAAAGCAGTACTTGACGAGGAGGAAAAGAAGCGACAAGAAGCAGTGGACAGAGCTGCAGAGAAGGCAGGAGAGACAAAGTGGGTTTTGAGCTTTAAGGACCCAAATGAGGCTTCAAGGAAACCAGCAATGAATGTAGTACAAGCAGGTTTCGCGGTCATTGATGCAGATGACGATAGCGATGATGAGGGCGAACTGCAACCTGCACGAATGACGTTTGGAGGCGGCGTCAAACGAGAGGTACGTGTTTTACCTTGGCCAATTACTTGATCTCTGCTAACAGCGTGCAGCAGAAGAAAGCTCCAGAGTCCGACGACAACAGCGACGATTCCGCAGAAGAATCCGATTCTTCTGAATTGGATTCTGACGATCCTACGGCCGCGCTCATCAGGGAGACAAAACGTGAGATGGCAGAAAGGGCACGCGAAAGCAGGAAAGCAGAGAAGAGAACAGAGGAGAATGCTCAACGTCGTCCGAAGCCGATAGACCAAGACATGGATTTGGCGAATCTGACATCCATCTCTGGAGGTCGCCCTGGTGGATCGGGTGGCGGAGGACGTGATTTCAGTACTATGCAGTGCTTTGGATGTGGTCAAGTTGGCCACCGAAAGCAGGATTGCCCCAATGGTAGTAATGATAGGGGACGGGGTTTCATGGGAAGAGGTGGACGAGGAGGAAGAAATGGGAGGAGGTAAAAGACATATAGTTACTCCGACAGTTCCACATATGGCCATCTGGACGAGTGTTACACCTCTACAGACTTAGTTTACTTTGAAGATACCCCGGAGGCGTACCCAAGCCTTCCAATGAATGAGAATTTTGGACAACTTGGTCACCATATACACTTGATATATATCTATATTCCAGCGTCATATTTATGTTTGCCGTACCTATGGGGATTTATTCGTTCCGTGTGGCCGTTCTTAGATCTGTCAATTCTCACTTTCGGGTGCTTGGTCGCTCATGATTCGAGACCGAGCAGTGTGATGCTGTTCCACCACTTTAACAGAGTCCTTTGAAGACCAATCGGAAGCTCAAGCTGTTGAAGAGTGACCTTCCTATAAATTCGAAAGAGGATAAATCAGGCTGCATTTGTCGTGTTCCACCATTTTGGTCTAGGATGCTAGCCTTGTTCCACGCCTGTGAGGAGCCGAGGATATGTTGGTTCCCATCTTCCAAGAACCTGGACACCATGTTGGACAAACCATTTGGAAGAGTTCCTGTTCGGCAAAGTAGATTGGGCGGCCGACTAGGGCTTTCGCTTTATGCTTGCTGGCACGAGCGATGAGCATAAGATGATGCGATCTCGACGAGAATCTCCGAGACGTACAAAGGGCAGAAGAGGGCTCACAAGCTATTCCTAAGTCGAGAGCTCCCCGTATTGATGGAAGGCACAAGCTTCCTTGTTCCGATATGCATTAAGTTCCTACATAACTATTGTTAATGTAGGATCATCACACATCCAAGGGTCCTTGACTTGTTAGTGTGGGCATAGTCATACATATAGGTACCTAGTATGTAGTAGTGGGCACGGACTGGCCCCTCTCGTAGATTTACCTTATCCTTCCTGGCGGATGGAAAGCAATTGAGCCGCTTCTCCTCCGTCGTCAAATTGCGGAGAGTTCCATACCCCCCCCCCCACGCTTCGCCGCACAACTTCCTCTACAGCCTCATTCCTTTGCCCTCAAAAGATATCCCTTAACTATACCTACCAGGCTACTTGTGCTACGAGCTCCAATTTCTCGTACACGATATTTAATCTCCAAGCTATCCTACCAACGACGCTCCCTCGCTTCGTGGCCGCCTGTCGCCCTTGCTACGTCTTTGGGCGCCCCGCTGTTCACCTTCCTCGTGGATGAACATATACCGGGGCGCACAACGTCTGGTGCATCAGCATCGCTGCCTATCGAATACATTCGTATTCTGTCAGCTCCCCACGAAGCTCTCGGCTATCTTGCTACGTGCACGGCGAGGTGCGGCCTACCATTCATCAGCCACACCAGCACGCATTACTACTCGTACTACTGCCTGCTTGCCACTTGGACACATACATAAAGCAAGCTCTGACTCCACCCCAGCTTCTTCCCCACGTAACAGAATAGTATCCAGTTCGGGCCTCCGATCATTACATTCGGTAGCTAAAATGAGCGAACCACTCGGACGAGAGGCGAGGCAGCGGATCGAGGACCTCGAACGTCCCGCCCTGGATGACAGAGCCTACAGGATAATCACACTGCCGAACCAGCTAGAGGTGCTTCTCATACATGATGCGAAGACGGACAAGGCCAGCGCGGCCATGGATGTGAACGTGGGCAGCTTCAGCGATGCAGAGGACATGCCTGGTATTGCCCATGCAGTCGAGCATCTTCTCTTCATGGGAACCGAAAAGGTAAGTTACAGCGTCTTGCGTTACCACGGCCAGGCTATATCCAGTTGCATGGGCATAGTATGTCTCGGTTCAGAACCAGACCTGGGGTAGCTCCACCGTGCAACGTTGGTTTCATTTGTTGGATTAGACGACTACTCAACGTTATGAAGCTACCAGTAGATAGCCCACTGTGCCTTTATAAATCAGTGTAGCTTTTGTACTAACCCATCATCAGTACCCCAAGGAGAATGCCTACAACCAATACCTTACCGCACACTCGGGTCACTCGAATGCATACACTGCTTCTACCTCCACCAACTACTACTTCGAACTCGCATACTCCTCAACACCGGCCAACAGTAACACACAAACACCCCCACAAGTAGATTCAGAATCGCTCAAGACCGATTCCCCTCTTTGGGGAGCTCTCGATCGATTCGGTCAGTTCTTCATCTGCCCACTTTTCCTAGAGGATACCCTGGATCGCGAGATCAAGGCTGTAGACTCTGAGAACAAGAAGAACCTACAATCAGACACTTGGAGACTACACCAGTTGAACAAGGCCCTTTCGAACCCAAAACACCCTTACTGCCATTTCTCCACCGGAAGTTGGGTAACACTACATGACGATCCGATCGCACGAGGCGTTAAGATCAGAGATGAGTTCATGGCATTCCATGCAAAGCATTACTCTGCAAATAGAATGAAGCTTGTTGTTCTTGGACGGGAAGATCTGGATACTCTGGAAAGATGGGTAGATGAGATCTATTCGCCGATTAAGAACAAAGACTTGGCGCGCCAAAGGTGGGATGATGTCTCAGTCTATACAGAGAATGAGCTCCTCACCCAGACGTTCGCTCGTCCTGTCTTTGAGTCGCGTTCTCTGGAGCTTTCCTTCTTGTACCGCGATGAAGAAGACTTTTACGAAACACATCCCTCGCGCTACCTAAGCCATCTTATTGGACACGAAGGTCCCGGTAGCATTCTTGCCTATATCAAGGCAAAGGGATGGGCAAATGGGTTGGGTGCTGGCGGATCGTCTCTATGCCCTGGCTCTGGAATATTCAACATTAATGTCAAACTCACCGAGGACGGCTTGAAGCACTACAAGGAAGTGACGAAAATAATTTTCCAATATATAGCCATGATTCGGGAGAAGCCACCTCAGGAGTGGGTCGTGGAGGAGCAGATTCGCATGAGTGAGGTAGACTTCCGTTTCAAACAAAAGAGCCCACCAAGCCGGACGACGAGCGCCCTTGCAAGTGTAATGCAGAAGCCATACGAACGCAAGCAATTACTCAGTGGACCTGCGACTATCAAGAGATTTGATTCAAAGCTCATTAGCGAAGCCCTAGAGTACCTCTCTCCAGATAACTTCAAGATCACCATTGTTAGCCAGGAGTTCCCCGGAAGCTGGAACTCGAAGGAGAAATGGTACGGAACCGAGTATACAAATGAGAAGATCCCGGAAGACTTCCTTGCCGAGGTTCGTGAAGCATTCGACAGCAAGAAAGCACCGGCAGACCTACACTTCCCACACAAGAACGAGTTCATCCCTAATAGGCTTGAGGTCGAAAAGAAAGAAGTCGAAGAGCCCACAAAGGCTCCGAAACTGATTAGAAATGACGATAACGTTCGCGTTTGGTGGAAGAAGGACGACCAATTCTGGGTACCAAAAGCGAATGTGCACATCTACTTCAGGACGCCCATGCCACACTTGACGGCACGGACCGCTGTCATGAGCAGCCTCTACCGCGAATTAGTTACGGATGCTTTGGTTGAATATTCGTACGATGCCGATATCTCAGGCCTCGTCTATGAGTTCAACAACCACAACTCTGGCCTCTCGGTGTCCATTGAGGGTTACAATGACAAGCTGCATGTTCTACTTGAGAAGGTCCTTGTCTCCGTACGAGATCTTGAAGTTCGTGAGGATCGGTTCAACATCATTGTTGACCGCACCAAGCGTAGCTTCCGCAACTGGGACTTTGGACAACCTTTCCATCAGGTCGGCACGTACTCGCGGTGGTTGAAGATCGAGAAGGGCTTCATGACTGATGAGCTTCTGAAGGAGCTCGATGGCGTCACGGCTCAGGATATCCAGAAATTCTACCCACAGGTCTTGTCGCAGTTCCACGTCGAGCTGCTCGCCCATGGAAATCTCTACAAGGAGGAGGCACTGAAGATATCCGATCTAGTAGAGAAGATCCTACAGCCGAGGAAGCTTGCATCGAGCCAGTGGCCCATCCGACGAGCCCTGATCCTCCCACCCGGAAGCAACTTCATCTACGAGAGAGAGCTCAAGGACCCCGCGAACGTCAACCACTGTATCGAATACAGTCTCTACCTCGGCCATAGGCAAGATCGAGAACTTCGCGCCAAACTCCTCCTCATTTCTCAAATGACAGACGAGCCCGCATTCAACCAGCTCAGGACCATTGAGCAGCTCGGTTACGTCGTATTTTCTGGCTCTGCCATCCTTGACACGTGGGCGGGCTACAGGATCCTCATACAGAGTGAGAAGGACTGCAGGTACCTCGAAGGGCGGATCGAGCATTTCCTCACGTCGTTTGAGAAGACGCTCGAGGAGATGCCCGAGGAGGAATTCGAATCTCACAAGAAGGCCGTCATCAACAAGCGCTTGGAGAAGCTCAAGAACCTTACGCAGGAGGGTAACAGATTCTGGAATCATATCTATAGTGACGCATATGATTTCTTACAAGGTATGTGATTGAACACACCACATATTCTCGTGCAACAATAGCTAACCCCATCACAGCGGACGAGGACGTAGAGCAAGTCGGCCTCCTCACAAAGGAGGACCTGAAGACCTTCTACGCCCAGCACATCTCGCCCTCATCCTCCCGCCGCGCTAAACTCTCCGTCCACCTCATCGCGCAAGCCAAACCCAAGGAGCCCACGGCCGAAGAAAAGAAAACCCAAGCCATCGCCGCCCTCACCACCATCCTCACCGAAGAGAAACTCACCGCCGATCCCGAGAAGCTCAAAGCCCGCCTCACCGATGCGGCCGATATCTCGGAGGCGGTGGCTGCGCACCTCGGCGAGGACCTCAAGCTCGAGAAGGAGAAGGCGGAGAAGATTCTCGACGAGGCGAAGGCGGCACTCGGGCTCGCCGAGGTCGAGTCGAAGCTTGGTGAGCCGGTCAAGCTGCAAACGACTGGCGATGTCGCCGAGCAGGTCGCGAAAGCGAACGCGCCTGTCATCATCACCGACGTGCACGCTTTCAAGGCCAGTCTGCAGCTCAGCACTGGCGTCAAGCCTGTCAGGGATTTGGCAGAGTACGTGGATGATGGTGCAAAGCTATAAGGGTGTCCCCTAAGCACCAAAGCATATCCCCGTCATTTCATACGTAGTGTTGATTCGATAAACAATCGGCTTCCAGCTTAGTTCTATGTCTCGAGCCAGTCACTTTACCTCTTTGAGTTTTTGAATGCTAGAGGGGAGTGGAGTACAGTGCACACTATGCGGGCGATAAAAAAACCTCTGCCAGGAAAGAACATCATGTCTAGATGTCGTCACATAGATATACGTAGAGTGCGGGTGGGTGGGAAAAGCTCGTGTCAATAATGAATACTATGTTTTATGCTGATTTCCAGTCTCGATGTTCCAAGCTTGTACGCATGTACGCTCAACAACAGAATGTGGTGAACAAATTATAGAGTCGTGATTAGCCATCCGTTTCCTATGTGGTCATTACTAGTTATGCTTTATATGCTGTGTATATGCTTCAAGCCCCTTTCCCTACGCATGTAGGGTATCGAGCTTGCTTTGTTGGGGCTGTCCTTGACCGAAAATCTGCGCAAATTGGAAGCCCTTGTCTTTTAGCCAATCCATATACTCGTTGCGCAGGTTCATGCTCATGGTGCTCAACGACCACCCACGGTCGTCTTTATCATGTTGATTTGCTGGCTGGCCCTGCTGTTCCACGGGCGTGTCTGCCCTCGACTCGATATCTTTTGCCCCGTCAACACCAATCGCGTCTGCAGACTCCTCACCAAACCCAACCGGCACACCGAAACACCAAGCCCTCGGGAACCCTAGTCCCCACCTCTCCATCAACGCCTTCAACTCCTCCTCAGACCCAGGCACAACGTTGATGAAAACCCTATCAACATCACACTTCGGCTCCGAATGGACCGCGCCCTCCTCATCCCCCAACCTAAAAAACGCAACCTCGCCGAACCCCGTCCTCTCCACCTCCTCGTCCGCGAACTCCCTCGCCAGCGTCTTCCGCACCGCCTCCACCGCATCAAGACACCCAAGGCACCGAAACTGCGTGCAAGTGTGCTCCCCTCTCCTCTCGCACTCCGCGCGCTTCGCATCCCTCTGTATCCGCCTCGCGCGCACCCCGTCTTTCAGGAACAGCGTCCCCGGGCCGAGCAACGTGGTCGCGAGCTTCCAATACCCTCTGCTGCCCGGAGTCGAAGAGCGTGTGGGGTCCGGCCCGAGTCTGTCCTTCTCGCCGTCGTAGTCGAAGAATACGTCGTCGGTGTGCCAGCGGACGGTGTCGTACTCGTTCGTGGGCTTCGTGGCGCGGATGGTGAGCCAGTAGTTCTGAGCCCGGGCGGCGGAGAGGAAGCTGTGGAGGAAGGAGAGGAGGGGGAGGAGCCGCGGGAGGAGGGGCGTCGTGAATGTGGTTTGCGACCAGGTGTGGAAGGATGGCGGGAGGGATTCTGCGGAGGGGGAGAGGAGGGGACCGCAGTATGTCCAGGTTGAGGTGTTTAGGAGGGTTGGAGCTGGTGAGGGCGAGGGTTTGGTGGGTGGAGGAGAGGCGTTGGAGGCTGGTGGTGGGTTCTCGAGGTATGGGATGAAGGCGTGAGAACCGTATTGTGGTAGAGGATCCATGGCCGCGTGCCGTATAGGAACGAGTTCTTGGAGGTCGAAGCCTTCATTCGAGGCCATTGTTTTCATCTTCTGCATTCCGGTGGAGTTTAATGGGTTTGTATTGTCGAGTCTCCTGAGAAGGACGGTGCTCTGCCTTCCACCTTGTATATCTATTCCCCTGGGTTGATACGAAGATGCGTCGTTTCCCCTAGGCCGCGAACTATCGCTGTTCCTGCTCGGCAAAGTCCAAAAAAAGGCTTCGAGGGGTTTCACCCAGTGTCGCAAGATATCGTCGGCGGGTCAGCACACCGTCGGGTTACTGGTAGTTGAGTAGACATGTTTATTGAATAAAAAAGCAGTCTCACTCGCATATAGGACGGGTCCATTGATCGGTTGGGGGCGGGAAAGGCTATGGGTGGGTGTGGGTGGTGGGTGAAGGGTTAAGGATGCTCGACAGGGATTCGGGACGGAAAGGGCCCGGTGCAGGACACATTCGGTTTAGCGCCGTTCTAGCGTTGGTGGGCTGTCAGGTACGGCCGCCGAACTGTTTCAACATCGTCATTGTCGTCATCATCTTTTCTCATTGGCGGCTGATGCTTCAATTTCATCTTCAACTTCATCGGTCTGACATTCGATGATTGTATGGCTTTTATCATCCTATAGCGTTCAAGCATCCCATCATTCAGACAAGACTATGATCCAATGAGCAGGTAGCTTCAAGGAACAGGCGGCGATCTTCTTCCTATACATCACTTATCACAATCATGCTGCGACGAGCTCTCTTTCGAGCTTCGCAAACGCCCACGCGAATCCTCCGCAACCAACCAAAACGCCGTTACACCACCGAGCCACCATCACAGCCATCTGCACAATCTCGAATTGATCGATTCAATCGAAGACTCCCCAGATTCCTCCACAAATACACTAGTGCCCTCGGCAACGCACCGCTCACTCACATATCCGCATTCCTGCTTCTGCATGAGATCACGGCCATTGTTCCACTGCTCGGTCTAGCTGCCACGTTTCACTACACTCATTGGTTGCCCTCATGGTTTGCGGAAGGAGCTTGGGTTCTGCAGGGCGTGGAACGGTTTGGGAAGTACTTCCGCAAGAAAGGCTGGATTCGGAGTGCGGATGCAGATGAGGCGGACTTGGAGGTGCAAATGAGGAGGAGGGATAAGGCGTGGAACATCAGCGAAGGCGGTGTTAGGGTTGTTGTGGAGTTTGCTACGGCCTATGCGATCACGAAAATGCTCTTACCATTGAGAATCGTTCTCAGTGTCTGGGGAACGCCCTGGTTTGCAACGAGGACAGTCATACCACTGATGAACCGCGTCAAGAGGATATTTGGAAGGGGAAAGAATCCAAAGGCATCTCCAGCTGCAGGTACAGGAGCTGTAGAGGGATCTGCTATCTCGAAAAATGGCAAGGGTAATAATTAGAGCTACGGTGCTATACCCAAGGATATTGCACGCAGTTGTAGGGCTGATTTCATTTTGTATATACCCTGTGTTATAAAGATCTTCAGATGTATAGTTTTTACTAGTGTACTAGTATAACGACTGCCGTTGAAGATAGGTGAAGTATAGCGATTAGGAATCTTTGAGAGAAAGCTGGCTTGATGTAGGTAATAGCTGACCATATATTCGGCCATAATGGATTATCCTAGGTAAAGGCTCACTAACGATTGCCATCACAACAACGTAGACTTCAATTTTAGAAAGACTAAAGGATTGTGCACCGTTCGTATTGTACTAAACGTCACTCTACACCTCACCACGTCCGCAACCTACGATAGTCCTACCTTCAAATCCAAACACCTTCAGTAACAGCGACGGCAATGAGCACTGATTGTACTTCTCCACCAACAACGATCAGTGATTCGAGATCTCCACAAGACTACTCGTCATTACTGTACGAGGTAACACACTTTGATAGTCGCTGTTCGAGCAAACTTCGTCACCCTCGCAGTCTCAATTACTTCACTTTCCCAAAGGTCAGCAAACTGGGAAATACACATTATTGTAAGTTGCCTATACAGATTCCTCGCTGTTTACTTCTTCTTCTCCGTCACCTGCCTTCTATTTCATCCACTCATACACCGCTCATTGTTATGCCTGCCAATGAGCTTCTCACTTCCTAAATTGCGCACAAACCCTCTGACCTTTTTCCCAAGCTCTGTTTTACCTCTCACCTGCTCACCCACAACAAGGCCTAAACTTCCCACCTTCCAGCTCTTGTCTTTACCTCTCGATCTTTCCATCTCCTTCTCCCCAACACTCTCCATCTCTCCCTCATACATCCTCTCCGCACATAACACCGAAAACAACTACGACGATAATAACAACAACGATTGTGCCCTCAAAATGGCATACCCTTGGCAGGATGGCACCGGCATCCCGAGACCTCGACATGCATACACCTATGTGCCACGTCCCAATCAGCGTGGCTACCTCCAGTATGCCGGACCTCTGCAAGGAAACCTTGCCGCACAGCAGGCAGGGTTGAACTACAACAATATGGGATATGGAGTTGGATACGGTGCCGGTGTAGGTGGATACTATGGCGGAGTAGGTCCCTATTACAACCGCTACCAACCAGCTTCCTACTACGGTGGTGGCTACGGTGGTTACGGTGGCTATGGGGGCTACGGCGCATGTGGCAACTATGGATACGCAAACTACAACAGGTATGCTGACTATTATTCACCTTATCAGTCCTACTACACACCTGCCACGGCCGCCGTATATCCAGGCAATGCTGTTCAATACTCATACACTCCACCCAGTCCTGCTGCTGCAATTCCTGTTGCTGCTGCCGCCGCTCCACAATATCACTATGTCACCCCTGCAGCAACTCCACGACGTCTGCCGACGTACTACACCTCCAAGGACTACGATGTCCGCCGCATTGCCACCCGTCGAGGAGCATATGCTGCCCGTAGGATCAAGCCTGCGGATGCGCTGCCAGACGATCCATTCTGGTGCCGCGAGCGTGATGGACAATGGCACTTGAGAAACTACTACATCATCGAGCGTGATTGTCAGCCCGGCCGCTGGCAGATGGATGCACAGAAAGGCTTCCTAGTCTTCCATCGCGACTAGGTGCGTATCTTTCAGTGTTTTGAATATTTTGCCTAACACAACTTAGGACATGGGCGTCTGCCAATTCGACACTGCTTGATGCCCGTTGACTGGTATCTTCGTGTGGGATAGAATGGACACTGATCGAAACCTTGGTCCCAATCATTTCGTACTGTTCATGTCACTGCACTTCACCAAGCGCATTCTTACTTGAACCAATATTTCTAGGATTCAGTGCTTGAGGTCGCAAACGAGGGGAAATGGCAATCACGATTTTGGAGTTCGGTGGCAAGGTATTCTGGAGTTCATACGTGGTTAATCTGATGAAATGGTTTTACGAACGACATGCGGGCGTCATCCAAGGCGTTACAGGACGGTCTCCATTTTCTTTACTCAATAGGGATGGAATGGCCGACATTCAGATGTATTACTTCTCTCTTCTCTTCTTCTCCTCAAAATACTTGATCCTGGTGACTTTGACCATTTTGATTTCTGGAGTGACACTCTCATGACCCAACAACACCCTTCTATAAAACCGCCCCTGCCAGTTGCTTCCCCGACCCATCAAGTCAATTCTTCTCCCCCTGAATCGTCGCCACAACCCTCCTACTATGCCTCGCAGCCCTAAACTCCAAGTACCAAATCCCCTGCCACGTCCCCGTCGCCAACCTCCCATTCGTAATCGGCACCGTGACACTCGCGCCCACCAACGCACTCTTCACATGCGCAGGCATATCATCCGGGCCCTCAGCGTCATGCCTATACACTCCGCCCTTGTGGTCCTCGGGTACGATCCTGTCGAGCGCGTCACTCATATCCGCGCGCACGTCGGTGTCCCAGTTCTCGTTCAGCGACAGCGCGCACGACGTGTGCTGGATGAAGAGGTGCAGGATCCCGACTTTGTAGTCTTTGAGCTCCGGGAGTTCCCGCACGATCGTGTCGGTTATGAGGTATGAGCCCCGCGACTTGGAGGGGAGCGTGAATTGCTTTTGGAACCTGTGTTGTGTGAGGGGTGGGTTGTTTAGATGATGGTCTATATGGAGATAAGGAGGGGAGGGAGTTCGAAGGAGGTGTCGTTGTGTAGGTAGTCAATTGCAAGGGAGGGTTCATATTTACCAAGACATGCTGGGTTGCTGCGGTGCAGTGCAGATATTCGGCGCGCTGCAGTAGACGCTGGAGGGTGTTGTTTCCTTCACGGACGGAAAGAGGTAATGATATGGCGCCCAAGTGACGGCGACGAAAAGGCTGGGGAATAGAGCGAGGAGGAAACCGCAGAGGATGAGAAATGTTGTCAGAGGTGAAATCGTCGTGTGCTGTTGAGACGATGCTGAAGACGGCATGGAACTCGGTCTCTTTTTTTTTGTATGTAGAGATGCGGACCGCGTTGCTGTTTGGCTGCAGTTGACGTCAGGCCCCTGGTTGGTTGGTGGGGTTCGAGGACCACTGATGGAGGGAGATATTTAGCGAGGGCTTCTGGCCGGGGCAGGTTTTCGCGCGTTGGGTTTACGGATTTTGTGATTGGTTGGTGTGGTTATGCTGTGCTGGGGTGCTGGGACCGTCGTATGAGTGCTGGTGTATTTGAGACTGTCATTAGCTGTCCTTTCAACAATTACGAGCGATCCTACGGCACATATATATCGATGCTTAGTAAAATGAAGTAAGGAAGCAGCTGTGGGATTCCAATTGGCTTTATTGGTATTTTGAGATGCTAAGAAAACGTTGATCTGCTACTACATATATACACTTTACACATTCCTCCATGCATGTGTTTACCGCTGTCCTAGTGGCTCGTCTGTGACCCTTTGCGACTCGTTCACCTCGGCAGCGTCGCCTGACGGACCCAATGGGTAGGATGTCTCGGGAAGGGACTCGAGGTGCTTTCGGTGGTGCTCGTTGGCCTATAATTGTTAGTACATGTTCGACAGATGTAGATACATAGGAATCCTAATTGCAATTTGCAGGCTTTCCCGGCGAGGCGTAAACTTACGAATGGAATTCCGCAGTATGTGCACCAGCAGATCTTCGGCTTGTCTGTGTTGATGAAAATCTTGGGGTGGCCGAGAGGGCCGCCTCCTCCATCGCAGGATACAACACGATCATGTGTCCAGCGAACGGGTTGCTTATGGATAAGGTCGATAGCGGCATGAGGTTGGGGCTATAGATTGATCGTTAGTAGTTGTTCTCATATCCAGTCTACCGTGTTCCCCTCGAATCATGTCCAGCTCTTCACAGTCTTCCTCTCAATTCCAATCCCAATCCCAACACAGCCACCAAAGAATCAACGCACCTGGTCCGCAAAGGTAGTCTGCTCAAATCTGGGGCCAGTCATAGCGACCTCCCTCGGCTGCTGGTTTCGGGTCCAGATTCCATGTCGGTTGGGTGCCTGTTGAACCCTGAGCTGCTCGCCCTGGGCTACGCTCTCTTGCAGAGTTTGGTCGAAAGCGCCATTAGAGGACTTGGGGAGTTCATTGGTCGCTGAGACGTTCGGCTTGGGCTCTTGTGGTGCAGGGTCGTTGGCAGGTGTTTGGCCGGCCTTCTGGGGAGGTGTGGAGCCGGAGCTGTAGGCAGCGCGGAAGATCGTTGGCGCAGTGCGCAGAGGCGCACGCTGAAGGAACGTCCGGGCGAACATGGTGCGCGAGGAGAATATGGAGAGCGTTCACGGCGTTGATGGTCGATATAATCGTGAGGTTGATGGATGTTGAAGCTCCGACATGCGCCAAGATTCTCTCCCATAACGCCAGGCCTAATTCGGATGGTCTCGTCGATGACAATTCTATCGATCTTATTCGTCCATCATTTCACAAGCATACATGAATGCTCATTAGAGTAATTGGTTTGTGGCTCATGATCTTGAATTTTTATTCTTCGGTGTAGCAAGTTTGATTATATGAATCATGGAATAGGTAAAGAATTGATGGCCTACCTACAAACTGTTGTCATCTTGAAATTCGTCTTCTAGATTAGCTTCAATGCGTTTCTTACCGCAATCCAAGTTGCTTCTATGTAAGGATCGTTGTCTGTGGTATTAGTGCTCCCAAATGAAGTGGTGAAGCTTTAATGAAATGACCAAAGAGAAGGAAGGGAATGTGTGCGGTATCTATCACACCCTTTCGACACAGGTATCATGATGATCAAATGAAAAAAAGGAAATTAACTAGAAGAAAGAAATATAAGAGATAAAATTAAGAAAAACATTTGAGCTAAAGAAAAACAGAACAAAAGAAGTAAAGACCAAGAGATTAAAACCGTAACACACTGGATTACAAGCCAAAGGACAGTGAAACAAATAAGAGAAAATTAAAAACGAAAAGGAAACGAACAGCCGCTAGAGAAATAGAAAACCGAGAATAATGAAGGAAGATATGATAGCGAAAGATTGTATGGAGGAAACAATAATGCTTACGTTCCCCTGGATTTTGGTAGAATAGCGATTGAATGCAGTTGCCTTGCTTAGAAATTCGTCATGGTTCGTGGATATTAAGTGGTCGAATTATGTTGCAATTGTCGTGAGTTGCCAGATACAGCATTGTGATGTCCAGTCGTTGAAGTGGAAAAGTGAAAGGTCCGTAATAAGTTGAAGACAGCGAGCGTAGAAATTGCCATTTGTCCCAAGTATTGACTTGCAGAACGTTTGGGTTGCAAGATTATTGCATGTATATAGCCTATCCAGATGCAGATGACGAGGATGAACAAGTGTGATTGTCCGTCTTTGGCTGTCCGCAGTCTGGACATTTTGGTGGTGGTGGAAAAGAGCTTTGCACAACACCCATTATGGGAAAGTGAAGATGTTGAATAGAAAGGAAACGAGTGAAATTGCTTCTCTGTTAGAAGCCTGTATAGAAAACAAGATTCTATAATGATTAAAGTTGTATGCAACGAGTGAATTGAAGCTGGATGGATGATGAATGAATTCCATTGACGATCAACCTCATATATAGCTACTTCAACGCCAGCATTCAGAGCAAGTGCTCCAACCTGTGCCTCATTGAATGGGTCTTCTAGATCAGAGAAGAACTGTAACGTTGGAAATACTTCAAGACATTGTCCATCTAAGGCTGCTACCTGAGCATTACCGTGACCTTGGCCCCGTTGGCCTATGATTAGGGCTGCCAACCATGCTACATGGGTATAGAACCAGAAGAGTAACATCTATAGAGGTCGGCACTGCCAGGAACGAAGGAATTGTGGCACCTCATAGGTGTTCGATGACTGAGGCTTGTCGATGTAAGAGGGTAAGAGTGGCTGTTGATTCAGATGAGGCCAGTGAAGGGACCAGGAATCCCTGTCTAGCGCGGGAGCTCAGAACGCGAACTGGACCGTGGTTGGCGATGACGTCCAATGCGCGATCCACCACAGCTTGCGGATTATCAGAGAAACATAAGCAAAACACCATAACGCAGGTTCTCGCGATGAAAGCATCGTGACAATGGCATCTGCAAGCGACATCCTAACGTTGGTCTCCTCACTGACTTTGCGGCTCAGCATATGGATCTTTCTGAGATGGGTAAGTAGAGCTGTACAACATAGTTACGCCTTTCTCGTGGGCACTAAACTTCTAAGAGCTCTTCGTCTGACTTTGTCTCGCAGATTCCTACAACTGTTAGTGCTCCGTAGATCTTCTCGCCCAAATCAACATGAACAGATCTGATGACCCGATCCATAGATCGTACCCCCGCTCGCTACAGCTCTCACCCTTGTCTACGTTCCGTCATTCTTCCGCAGCTTCCAAGAAACCTCAAAATACAAGATAGTGTCGGACGAGCTTGATATCATTGTTAAGGAAGCGGTTGGTTCTGGACGTAAATCGAAGAAATCTCTCTCTCGAGAAGACGTTGATTTAATCGAGGGTGCTGAGGATGGACCGCTCAAAGAGCTCGATGTGCAAGAGACGATCAAATACGAGGAGAAGAAGCCAAAAATCTTCAGGACGCTCTTGACTGGCTTACCTAGTCCGTCATCAATAGGATGGAGCTGGGTCACTTTTGGTATCAACGTTGCTTTGCTGGCAATGACCTTGGATGTTGTCTACCGTGCGCCCTTGCTCTATCCATATCATGATGCTGCTTTTGCCCGCGTTGGCTACGTCTCGGAACACACGGCTAGCATTCTTGTGCGTGAGCCATATGCCTTCGACATCAAGATTGAGTATCGTGAAATCAGTTCTAAAACCTTTGGATCATCATCTTGGCATGACAGAACCATAGCCACGAGTCAACCGGAGCATTGGCTAACCAATGAAACGGACTTTACAACAGTGATCAAGCTGGGGCTGTTGCGATCAGATACGCCGTATGAATATGTGGTTCACACTTCAGGAGGCAGCGTATCGGGTACTTTTACCACACCCCCAAAGCCGGGTCACATATCTTCGCTGAAGGACGACAAATACACATTTGTCCATTCGAGCTGTATCAAGCCTCGAGTTCCCTACAATCCATTTCAGCACCCACTTGAATTCCCAGGCATGGCCCACCTGGCCAGATGGATCCCGGAGCTTAGGCCTTACTTCATGCTGTTCCTCGGAGATTTCATCTACATTGATGTTCCATGGCGATTGGGCAAAGACGCTGAGACCTATCGTCGCGAGTATAGGCAGGTCTACTCATCTCCATCCTGGCCCGCCGTAAGCGAGAACCTTCCCTGGATTCATGTTATAGACGACCATGAGATTCAGAATGATTGGAACGGAAACACAACCGGAGTGTTTGATGCTGCGTACGATGCCTTCTCACATTACCAGGCCAGCGCGAACCCACCTCCACATCGACCGGGGCACACCTACTTCACATTCACACAAGGCCCGGTCCAATTCTTCCTCATGGACACCCGTCGCTACCGCAGCCCAGAGAACAATGACCCCAACGACAAGAATAAAACAATGCTAGGCGCGGAGCAATTGTCCGATCTCTTGGAATGGCTCAGCACGCCACCACCACGTGGGATCCACTGGAAGTTCCTGGTAACTGGAATTCCATTTACTAAAAACTGGCAATTTGGGTCCGAGGACACATGGGGCGGCTACCTGTTCGAAAGGCGAAAGATCCTCGAAGCCGCATGGGAGCTCAGCTCATCCCGCGGAGTGGGCGTAGTTGTCCTCAGCGGTGACCGACACGAGTTCGCCGCTACATCTTTCCCTCCCCCCAAGGACTCCAAGTGGCCCGTCAGTGCGACCGTGCACGAGTTCAGCACGAGCCCGCTGTCCATGTTCTACCTGCCGTTCCGGACATATGGTGAGATTGACGATGAGGATGTATGCATAAAGTACCTGCCAGACGGCAACAGCAAGTTCGGTGCCGTCGAGGTCACGGCGCCCCGTACTAGCGAGCAGAGCCTCCTCAACTATCGATTGTTCATCGACGGACAGGAAGCATGGACCCATGTCATCTCCACTCCGCCAGCACGAGAGGGCAGTCACAGGGCAAAGGATGCAGTGTGGGGTTGAAGGCCTCCCTGGTAGCGATTGCATACCCTCTATCTAAATTTCGACGTTGGTATTTACTGGTAATAATGGGTTGCAAGGATTAGTTTCTTATTCGTAAAATAGGCGCGGCTTATGTACCATCAAAATCTAAGTAATTGTAACATTTATGCTACGCTGAGGACTCTAGAGTACAGCTAACTACCATACATCATCGAGATCGATCTCTACAGCACACAAAGTAGTAACCAAAATAGTAATCATTCATCTTCTCCACCACTCAAGCAAGAAACCAATAGAAACCCTTTCATTATAGCTTTATAATAGTAATACTCCGTAGTAACATTTCTCCGTCGCTGGGGCAAACGTCCCATTCAAGACATCGCCTAACCTAATTTGGCTTGTCTCTGGAGAGAACTACCGTACCTACCTAAGTAATTACGTGGGGTCCGGAGTTCAGCTACAAGAAGCGTTGGAAGGGCGGAGGATGAGGAGGGTGGAGGGAGATTGGGAGGGATCGCACCGCCACCACTGGATTCCGCTGGACCAGGTACAACGATTACCCGCGTGCTGGAGCGGATCGTGTAGAGTTGCCGCCATTGTAGTTCTGCAATTTTATTGTTGTTGTACGAGATGCTGTTGAATTCTGGATATCGCATTGTAAGTGGGCGTAATGCACATGCTGTTGTTGTTGTTGGTGTCTTGGGAAGGGAATTTGCTATGTACGATGTTATGGCCAGATTTGTAATCCTCTATAATTGATTGCAAGTTACATCCTCATTGAGTTACAGATTCTAGCATTGTTAATTGCTTGGCTGTCTTCTTTGCGAACTAAATTTGGACATGAAGTATCATGATGTGGAGGACGAATTATGTTTCTGTTCATGCTCGCATTGAAGATTGGTGGTGATGCTGATGAAGATGAGATTGCGCCAGCACTTTGCCATGCGCTATGAGGTTACATGCGTCTAATGTTCATGTGTGGAAATAATTGTATGCATAGGTGTGCAGGTATGATTATGTGGTATCTAGTTGATGGCTATGTAGAGATAGATTATTGTAACCAAACAGCAGACCCGCTCTGTGATGACGGTAGAGTCGGAACTTTTCTTCTAATGCTAGATGCATGCGCCACAGATGCTGGGCCAATGGAGATTCCTGGTGAAATGTTGCACGAGTGCAACGTTCAGATCCCGCTTGCTGAGTTATTCGATATAGATGGCGAGAGGAGGTAAGATGTGCCCATGGGTGGAGGCTTGTAGAGCCACTGAGTAAAGTATTGTACACAGAACCGTCTATTTAAGATGAGGCTGTGGCGCAGAATGGGACATGGCCTTGTTGGCGTCGCGGAGTTCGAGGATTGGAGCGATGTAATAGGTGTATAGAGTTGAGGGATCTGAAAGCTTGGCCTCTCAGCCGCATGAATGTAGATTTCGCGGAGCCAGATTGGATAAGCTGTGCAATTGAGGGGGCCGAACTGATGAGTGTAGGGGTAAGCGAGTTGGTATGCTGTTCCTCATGAAGAGGAACCCACGAATAAGGATAATGGGCAACCAACGGAGAAATCCGTTGTGAACCACATATGATCCTTTCAAGTCCACTTTCGCCTTGCCTTTTCTTCATCACTCTTTGACCACTCTCTTGGAAGCAGGGCGAATACTAGGTACGATGTGTGTGTCTTCAACTCAGGCTCTGTGCGATGAACTAGTCGACCTTCTTTGAATAGATCTCGACTCTCAAGATCCTTCTTCGCCCGCTCCATTCGGTCATGTTTCGATGGTGGTACACCCTCCAATCTGGCTTTCGACTGGCCATCCTTCTTTTCTTGAGGAAGTTTCTCGCCTCGCTTTCTCGCCTCAGCTTTCCGCATGACCTCTTCCTGCTTCTCTTTCTGCATCCCGTGGAATACCTTTGCTCGACCTTCAACATCGCGGAGCCTTTGTACTGCTTCCTGTACTGTCGCAGCATTGGGATTTGCGCCTCGAAGACCCTCCTCCTGGAGACCAATGCGTTCGCGCCTGACTTCGAGTCGCTTAGCCTGGACTTCGGCCATACCAATTTCTATCCACCCTAGCGATCGCATGGCAGATACTGTTTTGATAACTTGCTCAATGCAAGGAGAGAAGGTGCAGATGCGCACAGCATTCTTTGGGTTGAGAGGGCTGCGGAATGGTTTTGATGCCGTCGAAGGTTGTGGTGTTGACGTAGACGTGTCGCCATCAGGCACCATATCGTCGGAGGCTACTGATTTGAGGACCGCATTCGAAGGCGGAGATCGTGTCAGATGCTTCAAGGCCAGCCAAGGGGCGGGAAGGTCGAGGAAGATGACGTCCGCGTTTGGCTCTGCATCGTTATCCAGGCAAAACCCGTCTTCATATACGTCGCGATTTGTAACTGTGACGAGAGATCCTAGGCCATGCTCCTCGAGCTCTGCCTTTAGTTGCCTTGCCCGTGGTTCGTGAAATTCGAAGCTGTAGACACCACCGTGACGCTTGTGCCTCCTCTTAGCGCTTTTGCCATCTTCTCCAATCTCTTGCTCTCCGCCATTTGTAGATCTATCTTGACCAGGGAGACCATTGAATACTGCTCTAGCTGCGGCATGCGTAAAGCTCCCGCTTCCCGCGCCTGCTTCAATTATGTGATCTCCGGGACGAACCCTCAACCGTTGGAGGATATAGCTATAATCCGGCGTGTACACGACTTGCGTTCGATGCGGCAGGCACAACGTCCAGGTCTCAGGTGTGGGGGGAACCAGATGCGCAAAGCCGCTGCTTGCCGTTGCAGCCTGAGCTATCACTTTCTTGTTGTTCTCTGACTCGGACTTGATCGAAGTCTCAGTGTCGCCATCTCCGCCGCCCTCGCGCTTGCGCTTTTTCGATTTTGCGCGCGAACCAGTGTCAACGACGGATGCGCGAATTTGCGTGCCCCATGGCTGATTGAGAAGCGTGCTGTGTGGGAAAGATCCAAAACGGGTGTTTTCAACCTTTCCTTCCGCGTAATCGGTGTCCGTAGAGGTTGACGATAGAACTGCTGGAATGAGATGATCGCGGCGCAATTGCAATATTCCGAGACTATTGGGAGCTGAATGGGTGCCAGGATCGAGAAATGGGGAGATCTGGGAGTGCGCCATTGGGAGGACGAAGAGGTGGTGGCGCGAGGTTCCTCTGAGAAGCAGCTTCGAGGATTGAAGATGTTTGATGGTTCAAGATCTAGAATCTAACAAAATTTCTAGGATAGCTCCAGAGGGATGTAGTAATACACCGGAATAGTGGTTACCCTCATAGTAAATTGACCAGCTCTTTTTTCTTTGGCGGGGGATCAGAATGCCAAGGCCGACCGGGGTTCCAAATTCCGCCATCAACGTGACACGACACTTTAAACAAAAGAAGAACTGACTGGACTTGACTGTAACAGACCTGGATTGACTCATCTGGTCCCGATAATCCTTCCTCCATCTCATCACGGTATTCTCGTCATTCCTTATTGTATATTGTCTAGCGCCGTCCCCTTGATGGGAGTTCGCTACCTCTCTTTGTCACTAAAACTTTCCTCACTAAGAAGGACCTCCCCACTATTGCGCCCGCAATATATCTATACCTTTCCAAATCCCCCAACTTCACGGTCATTTGTAGCCACCATGGCGACTCCAGCACGCAGTCAGCCGCCGTGGAAAGAGCCCTCATCTTCGGCTCCTTCAAAATTGGCAGTCTACAATTCACTTACTCGATCTAAGAACGCCTTCGTTCCCATCGACCCAGAGAAGGTCACCTGGTATTCTTGCGGCCCCACTGTGTACGACGATGCCCATCTCGGACATGCGAGGAACTATGTGACGAATGATATTCTCCGAAGAATTCTCAAGGACTACTTCGGCTACAATCTACAGTTTGTTCAAAACATCACAGACGTCGACGATAAGATTATCCTCCGTGGACGTCAGCAACATCTACTGGCACAATTCCGACAGAAGAATCCTACTATCACTGAGGAGGTAGTCGATACTACGTCCAAGGCATTCGATGCTTATATCAAGAAGAACTTGCCACTTCTCGGCTCTGACTTGAGCCCGGAGAACTTCAGCAAGGAGTCATCTGAAAAGTATGCATCCGTTATTGCTGGCAAGGCTCTGGAAGGCACAGGGCCACCAAGCGACAAGGAGGCAAAGATCAAGATGCACCTTAGGACTGCAGGATCTGCAGCGACCGCTCTACTAGCGCCTTCTAAGACGAGCGAGTCTGATGTCGCCGAATTCTTTGCTGGGGCAGAGGATGTTCTGTTGCCCTATCTTGATTCACTATACGGTTCTTCAATCGATGCTAACGACCACTCCGTCTTCACAAAGCTCACCCAAAAGTACGAGGGCCGTTTCAACGAAGACATGCAAGCTCTCAACGTCCTAGCACCAGACGTCGTCACAAGAGTGACAGAGTATGGCAAGGAGATTGTCGATTTCGTTGCTAAGATTGAGTCCAACAAGTAACCAACCCTTATTCTGAGGGAAAATTCAGAACGAAGCTAATCATTTTAGGTATGCTTATGCCACCTCTGATGGCTCTGTCTATTTCGACATAGATGCGTTTGAGAAGACCGAGGGCAACCACTATGCCAGATTGGAACCTTGGAACCGCGGCGATAAGAGCCTCCAAGCAGATGGCGAGGGCGCGTTGACCAAGCAGTCGAACGAGAAGCGCAGTGACGCCGATTTCGCTTTATGGAAGTCAAGCAAGCCGGGCGAGCCTTCTTGGCCATCGCCCTGGGGTCCTGGACGTCCAGGTTGGCACATCGAGTGCTCGGCCATGGCTAGCTCTGTTCTTGGATCTCGCATCGACATTCATTCTGGCGGTATCGACCTTTGCTTTCCTCATCACGACAATGAACTGGCGCAAAGTGAAGGCTATTGGTGCTCTTCAACCGGAGGCCACCAATGGATCAACTATTTCTTGCACATGGGTCACTTGTCGATATCAGGATCGAAGATGTCTAAGTCTCTCAAGAATTTCACAACTATCCGCGAAGCCCTGTCTCGTGGTGATTACAACGCTCGAAGCCTGCGCATCATCTTCCTGCTTGGAGGCTGGCACGATGGTGTTGAGATTACTGACGATCTCCGAAAGGCTGGCTCGTCGTGGGAAAGCTATGTCAACAACTTCTTCCTGAAAGCCCGCGATTTGGAAATTCACCCATCTGCAGAGTCAGCAGGAGCTGGCGACGCGAAGGTCACAGAATCTTTCGAGGCTGCCAAGGAGAAAGTCCACAACGCTCTCGCGGACTCCTTCGACACACCGGCCGCTATGCGGGCTATCTCAAGCTTGATTACCGACTACAATTCGTCAGGAAAATCTGGTCTGTCAGATGCCCTCACCTTTGACATCGCACGCTACATCACCAGAATCGTACGCGTCTTCGGTCTGGATGGTACGACCGATCTCAACGATAAAAGTATTGGCTGGTCCGGAATCGACATCCCTGCGGAGGCCAAGGAGTTTGTGTATGCGGCTGCTAGGGAGCGAGACGAAATCCGTCAACATGCAATTGCTGGTGATCTTTCCGACGATCTCCTGCTCTCGATAATATCGAAGGACAAGCCTGCACAAGGACAGCCGGCCGCTTCTTTGCCCTACGCCGAAGTTCTCTCAACCTTCCAGGAGAATCTGAAAGGTCTCGCAGAGAAGAAGGCTTCAGCGAAAGACTTCCTTGCTCTCTGCGATCGCTTGCGAGACCTTGACCTGTGGGATCTTGGTATCTACTTGGAGGACCGCGAGAACGCGCCTGCCATGGTCCGACCTGTCGATGCGGAGCTTCGCGCGGCTCGGGACCAGAAAGAAGCAATTGCTCGCCAGAAACGTGAAGCAAAAGAGAAGCGCGAGCGAGAGGAGGCGGAGAGGAAAGCCAAGCTTGCCGAACAGGCTAAGATCAGCCATAAGGACATGTTCAAATCCGACGAATACAGTGCCTGGGATGCAGACGGCATGCCTACGAAAGATAAAGAGGGTAACGACGTGCCCAAGAGCAAGTCAAAGAAGCTCAAGAAGGAGTGGGATAGACAAAAGAAACTGCATGAGGACTATCTCGCCGGTGCCAGTGGATCATCGTAGAGTGCGATTGTGTTTACTGACAAATCGAGGAGTTTGCGGTCGGGTGGGGTTGTGTGAAAATCGGACAGCATTACATAGGAGTTAGTGTATCATATAGCGCACCACCTTAGACATGAACAGAATCGGCTCCGTCGAGGGGTTGTGTTGCTAAGGGTAACTATGTTACAAGGACTGCTGCAAATCAAATTTTGTTTAAATAAGATACTTTGATGACATAAAGTCCTTGAGATATTTGAATGGCCAATCCAGACTGGCCTTGCTCTGAACAATGTCAATTGAAGGTATCAAAACTCCACTTCCAGCAAAAAAGGGAAGTCCATTTCAAGATTCTAGGAGATACAAATACACCAGTGGAAGTGAAAAGCGCCACAACCACATCCAAAAACCTCCATGACAAAACGATACGAAGAGAATTAGAAGAAGAATACACAGATCAGAACCTCCACTCATCGGGCCAACGCTCATCGTCGACCTTGCCCTGCTGATTCCAGGTGATGGTGGCGTTGGGTGAATTGCTCATCGTGTATATCTCCATAGTGACCTCGCCAGACGACTTCTTCTCAACCTTGACCGCGACCTTGTTTTGCGGACCAGGCTGCTCATTCTCATCGTTCTCCGGGCTCTCCCTGTCCAGCTCGACGTACGCGTACCTCGGGTTCATGATCTCCTCCTCGCCCCCGAGGATACTACTCAGCCTCCTGACACCCACAGAGTCCTTCTTAACGGAGCCGATGACGACGGCCCTCGTGTCGCAGGAGCGAATGTTCGCAGCGTCGTTCTCGCTCCAGTACATAAGCCTCGTGTGGATCTGATGCTGGACGAGCTTGACGTCGTGCAGAGGGCATTCCTCAGCAGTTCCGCGGCGGATGTGCTGCAGGCCGATGGCCTCCTTATCCATGACGATCATGATGGAGCAGCCCTTGAACTCGGAGGTCGAGTACCAGGTGGTGCCCTCCTTGACGGGCCAGAGGTTGTTGCTGCTCGGCTTGACGAATCGGTTGTTGCGCTTTGCGTCTTGGTAGCCGTCTTCGAGGGCGCGGTCGCCTGGCGCGCGCGGGTCGATGAGTTGGCCTAGTTCGGCGGCGATAGGGCTGGGGATGGGTTTAGGATGTGTGAGTAAATTGGGGGAATTGTGTGGAAGCGTCTTACCTGGCGTGAACCATGGGCCCGTAGTTGGCCATCAGAAGGCCCAACAGCGTTGATGTAAGCGCACTCTTCATCATCGAGGAACCAGCCCACATTGTAGCGAAATACTTGCTGAAAAGAGTGACGAATGTTTCAAAAAATGCGAAAGGAAATGAAGAAGGAGAAGGACAAAGAAGTTGAACGAATGCTGAGGGTATTTGCTATGTGGTACTGTTGCGTTAATAAGAAGAACAATTCCTGCAATGTTATATTATATGGGATGCATAGCAGTAGTAGTAGTCGCTTTACTTACATTTACAATTTACCACGCAGCATCAAGCCACATGCGAAAAAGTGGTTATCACATTCCACGTAGATTGTTAAAATCTCAGAAGAGAACAATTGACTTTTCTTCATCCTGATGATAAGTCTCCAGGATCGCGCCCTAAATCCCAGATCCAGATTCCCTCTCGGTTAAGCCAGTCAGGGTTCGAATACAACAGATCTGTATTCAGCGCCACAATGTAAGGATTCTCGAGTGCCTCGGTAGCCATAAACTGTGTTCCTGCAGGTACCGTTGCTCTGTCGTGCCCAAAATACCAGTTTTCGGAAAGGCTCGAATGTTTGAAACGAACAAGGTTCAGCACATGGCTTTCCTTAATCTGGCCACGAACCTTTCGTAAGGCTCGATATGATGGATTCCTCGAATGTTGTTTGGTCCTGAACATCCTACACTTGCGCTGATAATGGATCCAGGAGCCTTTACAACGCTCATATGGAAGAGCAGAGTTGTTCACTCTATCGCTCCCTGTGATTGAAGTTATTGCGCCGAGAAATGTTCGCGCGCGTGGACCGTCGAGTTGCAATCCACCAAGTCGCAGAGCCATTCATGAACTTGACTTCAAATTAATCAGCGACCTGGCAGATCTGCAGTGTGCACGCCGGTTTGCCCCACGAGTAAGCCAATTGGACGCTGTCATTCAAAAACGACTTGTTGCAAAATGTAAATGTAACTGTGGAAGGCTTGGTATTTCGGCTTAGCCCTACAACACCGCGTCCAATTGTCAGACTCCGTAAACATAGAAATCCTTCAACCTTTTTCCTAAACTGCCAACCCAGCTTACTTTGCCGCAACAGACGCCACACATCTAGCTGCCACCTAATAATTGTAGCAACAAACGATCTCTTGTCATTTGCAAAGCCGTGTACCTGTCAGAAAATGCATCTCCAGATCCGCACGGACAGATGTCGTATAGATCTAACCATGTGTACACTTCCTCGTTTGTCGGACCCAAAATATCAATCTCATCCAAAATGTATACCCGTCCCGCCGCAGACAATTTTGTGAAAAAGAAAATCGCAACTTACTCCTGATACATAACCGTCCCTCTTTTGTTTCCTTTGCATCAGTTCTCCATAACGATTTTGCAAACCCACTTACATTCATTTCTTCCCAAGTCAAACCACCATCACCATCCAAAGCCATGAAGTACACCACCTCCACCCTCACCCTCCTCTCCCTCCTCCTCAGCACTCCCCTCACCGCCGCCTTCCAAGTCCGCTTCTTACGCTCCAACGACTGCAGCGGCGATGCGATCGGCGACTCCAAGCACTTCACGCCAGACACGACGTGCACGTGGGAGCACACGCTCAACGGCGCACAGTCGATGTTCATCAGCCACAGCGACGAGGGTGACAACGACAGGATGGTCATCTTGTACGAAGGCAAGGAGTGCAACCCGCGGGACGCGAAGGAGCGCCACGACAACATCGACGGGTATGGTTTCGACGGGAAGTGCGTGCCGATCAAGAGCAATATTGGGAGTCTGCAGGTCTGGCATTTGAACAAGGCGGCGGACGAGCTCTAGGTACGTTTTCGATGTGATAGGAGTTGGGCTGGGAATGTTTGCTAACGAGAGGGTTTTAGATTGATGGATCGCTGCCTGGTCGCATTGGATTTGCGGATTTCTGTTTTATTTCCTTTCTTTTCTTCTGGCTCGTCGTTGATATATCCCCAATGAAAATGCTCTCTGGTGGAGGGCCGAGATACCCTGCAATGGGGCTGGTTAAGGTCGATGTTCAGGATGGGCATTTAGGATGAATTGAGGTTTGGAGGAGTTTCGATTATTTGTTATGTAGGATATGCAGCAAATTTGAGGTTGTCGAGTTGAATTGTATCATTTGTTTGTCCTGAATGAGAAATGCAATGCTGTGCGTGAGGTTATTGGTCATAGTGTATGAAATGCAGTCCGTTAGTGGTAGTTCATCAATCAGGGACATTAGGAGACGATATTATTGACAATGCGATTTCGCACAAGTAACTTAGGATCTGCACTGTAAATCTTGTTCTGCATCGTAAATGTTAGATTGGCACGAACGGTACAAGTTTCGCAGCCACTCGACATAGAGGGAGCAAGTCACACTCCGATGGCTCAACAATGACACATCCTCAAAGAGCGTAATTGTCCGAAAGAGGCAAACCCGCAAGGAAAGACGCCAATGATACCACATGACAGGAACAGTGGGATAATTTCGTTTAAATCCCCATCCTCTTCCTTTTCCCACCCTAGGTACAGTGTGGCCAACTCTTGCGTTCCTTGAGGATCAGGTGTCAAGTGGGCGTTGTCAGGGCTGGGCGGCGCAGCACAGTAACACGGGTTGCCATCTTCCATCACAGGTACTGTGGCAACGAATTCTGGCAGGAGTGACAGAGAGGCCATACAATCGCAAAATGTGTTGTCAACAAAGGAGAATTATGGACAATTAACGGCCGATGCAGATATGAAAAGCTGGCGACTTGTGTTGTTGTTTTGTTTCTCATAAGGTGTAAGTAGTTCCCTGCATGACCTCAAAACAAGAGAAATTCCCAGCGCAGGCATTTCCTTATAAAGATTTATAACCTTCCTGTGCTATACACTAAGACCAGTCTCTCTTTCTTGTCTTTCTTTCTTTATACTTCAAGCACTTCTTCCTTTTCGCATCTCACACCCTCCACCCAACAGTCTCTTCCGCCGCCTCATCTGCGACCGGCACACACTCACTATGGTCCGCAACATGCGCGTCGCCCTCCTGCAAGCCCTCATCTTCAGCACGACCATCACTGCCCTAACGATCCCAACTTTGGACCATGGCGAAAACGGGGTCAACGAGCTCGAGGCCACCAATGAGCTTCCCGGAGATCCTTCTAGCTTCTCTCCAATCACTTACGTTTCAAAGCTTCTCACTCGTCAGGATGGCGAGAACGGTTGCGACTGCCGGAAGAGGGGTTGCACGCAGAACCGGATCTCCGACCCGCAGAACTGCAGGAAGTGCATCAAGTGCAAGCGGACGGAGCGACCGAGCTCAGATGGGAAGACGTGTGTAGAGAAATACGATAAGCGGTACGTACGACCATTCTTCAGGGGATCTCCTCTCGAGTGAAGATAGTCCAATAGAAGACCTCTCGCTAATATGTTGATGATAGAATCGAATCCACCCGACAAGACATGCAGAAGAAGTTCGACAGCAACATCGAAGACGTCCGTCAGCGACAGATCTACCGTTTTGACCGCTGCATCGCGCTGTCCGCCGTGGCGCTGGGCCGCGAAAAGGGCCTCAAGTACCTCGATGCCTTCTTCACTGAGAGGCTTCTTTCCTCCGACGATGTCCTGCCGTACTACCGCAACGTGTCGAACATGGACATCGACTACGAGGGCTCGCGCGACGGCAACGACGACAGGTTGGAGGACGAGAAGTTCATCGACAATTACATCAAGGTGGGCTTCGGCGAGACGGGTGCGAATAAGGCGCGTGGTGTCGTCGTCCGCCAAGAGCAGCAGCAGCAGAGGCAGGGGTTCATGAGGGTGAGGGAGTACTATGGTAGGGTTGGTGTTATCCTCAAGGACACTCTTAAGGATGCCGATCCGGACGTCAAGGACCAGGTCGATAGGAACTTGTACAGGATTGCGGGCAACAACGATGGCAAGCCTGAGGAGGAGCAGAAGAAGGCATTGGACGACTTGATCAAGGAGAAGAACTTCGTGAACTGTATCTTCGGGAGGGAGGCAGAGGCATGAGCGCGGCGCTGATGCTGGCTGCTGAGTCCATTTTGTCGACGGGCATGTTTGCTCTTTTCGTTTACTTTTAACCATATTCACCTGAGATGTATTTTGTAGAACATTTGTAGGGGCTGTTTCTGTTTGGGCGTCTTTATACCATTTGATATGAGAAGATTCCTGGTTTTGTTCAAACGCATCGCCATTTCGTGCTGTTCGACATTCATGGGTGTGAATTTGTGGGTAGCTGTTTGTGGAGAAAAGTAACATCGTCGAAGTAATATTACTATTCAGGTCAGATCATTAGCTAAAGTTCTATCAACAACAGCACAGCGAATGGGTATAAAACGAAATTCCGACCAAGACACAAAACCAACTATTCCTTCTTCAACACGTCTACCATCCACCCTACGCCCTCTCTACCCTCGCGCATACCATACGGCCATGTGAGGACAAAGCAATGCATCTGCTTGTCCCAGTCAAGCCACTCACCATGAACACCCTCTTTCTCGAGTTTCTCCCGCAACATAATAGCATCAGGGCGCAAGATGTCGTAGCCACCCGTAACGCCATGAACTTTGATGCCCCGTTTGGCGAGTAGAGACAAATCAGCATACAGAGGGGAAACGCGAGGGTCTTTGGGGTCCCAATCGCCCGTCCAAGCACCCGCAGTCTCCTTGATGAAGTCCGGTGTGAGGATGGGATCGGCGTGCTTGAGTTTCTCGATGTCGGGGTTCGAGCGCGTGAGGTCTGTCGACGGGCATACTAGCATGAGCGCGGTTGGGTGCGCGGTGTGACTTCGCTTTCCGTCCCTGGAGATTTCACCACCGGCTTCCATGGCGTCTTCTCTGAGGGCCTCCAGTACGAGAGATAGAACGATGTTGCCGCCGGACGAATCACCAGCCAATATAACTCTGTGTCCGTCCTCCTCGGACTGTCGCAATAGCTCTCGGTAGAGTCTAAGCAATGCAGGGAAGCTCTTGGAGGCCGAGTTCTTGGGCGCAAGAGGGTAGGATACGATAGAAATCGTGGTGTCGGGCATCTGCCTGGCCAGCTTTGCGCAAACCTGCCAATGCTGACCGGAAGGTGGGCTCTGCCACCCGCCGCCGCAGAAGTAGTATATCCGCTTGACATATGTCTTCTCGCTCGTGCGCTTCGGGATGATGTCGTAGATGTTGATGTCGCATATGGTTCGGTGGTTCACGGAGCACGTCCTGTATATGACTTTCTGCGGCTTCAGCTTGATGGAACCTTCGCGCTGTTCTTTCTTGGGCTTGACGAGATGGCTGCGTATGCGACGGACGATAATTTGGACGAGGTGCATGTAGAAGTATCGTTCGGACCGGTGGGTGATTCGAATGCTCGAGTTTGTACCCGACTCGATTGGACTCGATTCCATCTTGGTGGAGAGGTCATCAAGCGTGCTGGTAGCCATTGTGACTACTGGTGCTCTGGATTGCTTAAGAAGGTGACACGGCGAGTACTAGAGATGATGCTAAGGAAGGGTAACTAGTGAAAGGACTTAGGGAAGCTATCGAGAGTAGTCGGGATAGTGCAGACAAGGCATCATAGATTAGTAGCGACAGAGCAAAAAAAGGGTACTTCTCATTGTTGACATGGGAGTTTGCGTTGGTTCCACTGCTGCGTATAAATCGGGTAACGGCACGCATCGCTGTCTTCGCGTCATTCTACATGTTCGCGATCGCGATGACGTAGGATGGGCTCCCTAAGCATCGGAGGCTTGAAGTGGCGTGGATGGAAGCGAATTGGGATCCACCAAGGCACGCATGTCTGGGCCAGAGATATATAACTCGTATCATCCGAAGGTGATAACAGGATGAAAAGGATGTATCGATATTCTGTGATGAAGTTAAACTTAATGATTGATGTGGGACATGGATCAATGGTAGGGATGAACCGTCATCGATTCTCCAGGGTCCGATGACTTGGCATTCACCGAGTCGTTCCACCGTCTGCCCTTCTTCACCATCGCCAACTTAGCCAACAGTGTTCTAGAACATGTCAAGTTGTTGGCTCAATTGGCATAGGTCATGATAATCGGTATTCGTAAATCATAATTGTATGAGTTTATTGTGCTGAGAGTTGATGTAGTCCATCCTGTCACATGCTTTCCATTCAACCCCCGGCTTCCACAACGAATGAACGATGAATCCCCTTGTAAAACAATAACAAATGATGTCCAATAACTGTGGCTGACTACTGGCAGAAACCTAGCTCCCCTGAATTGTATGCAAATGCATGGTATATGGGAAAACTGTTCCGAGCATCTTCCTAGCATGTACTTGTACAGCACAAGTAACAATGCCACCGTAGGCGAAAGGAACCTTCGGAACGAGCGGAATAGTTGCCAATGCTCCGCTCCGCCAGCCTCAATGAACAGGTTTTTCCGCTACACTGTCCCTTACACTCAATCTCTTGGGAGCTCTTGGTGAATCCACTATGCATTTCAATTTTGTGGCTAGATATAGGACGCCAATATCTGCCACGCCGGCGCCAATCCGACCCTTCGTCTCAAGTGCCATAAGCCAAAATCCATCATCCAATCTCCGTTACTCCTGATAGGTAGGGCAACTCAGATGTTTAACTTGGCGTACGTATTTAGATAACGAACATTCGAAATGGTGAGATTGTTGTTGTGGCACTACCGTTGCTGCAAGATTAAATTTATGGCCTGCGCCCACATGTGGCTACTGAGGTAGATCTCCAGACATTTTCTAGCAACCCAATCTCCATCCTTGCATTCCCTATAGAAGTGCCTGACAACTTGTTCTGGCACATGATGTCTGATGTGCAATACCTCACCGAAGATGAAGTAAAACAATTCGTTGACGACTTGGACCATAACAACGACCATAACATCGACTACGCGGAACTGGAACGAAAGCTAGATGAGGTTCACGCTCAGATCGCTCCCAAAGCACAACCACACCATCTCCACCATGAATCTCGACCGGACGAAGCGCGACATGAATTCCTGCGGAGTGTGATGGGAACGCGCAAGGATAGGATACCACGAGCCGAATTCGAAGAAATTGTCAAGAAATGGGACATTCCATCGCTCAAGCAGGACCGAAAAGAAGCAGAGAAAGAAGATGACTACCTCAAGAAGATGTCAATATGGAGGCGCATTCGTGCTTATTGGGCCGTAAAAGGACCAGAGATTATGTTCATGGCATTGGTGGTTTCCATGATGCTAGCTTTTGGTATCTGGCAACTAGTCAAGTATGTCACCTATGAACAGTATCGACCTGCTTTCGGCTGGGGCGTCGTGGTCTCGAAAACATCTGCTGGCGTGCTGTATCCCACGTTCTTCTTCATCATTCTGTCCATGTCGAGATGGTTCTCGACCTGGCTTCGGCGATTCCAGCACATCTCACGGTTCATCAACTGGGATCTCTCCCAATCATTCCATATCAAGATGTCCTGTGTGGGACTGTTCTTTGCGACTCTCCATGCCATCGGACACTTGACTGGGTCGTTCGTCTTTGGAAGTAAGGCCAGTCGACAACAGAATGTGGCTGCGGTCATTGGACAAGATGCGGTTCCGAAGTCCTATCACGATTACGTTAAATCGACGCCAGGCTGGACCGGATTGACAGCAATCGGGTGCTTCTACCTTCTCGCTGCCATGAGCATGCCTCAAATACGGAAGTGGAGCTACGAGGTCTTCCAACTCGGCCACCTCCTCATGTTCCCTATCATCGGGCTCTTGATAGCTCACGGAACCGCAGGGCTCCTCCAATGGCCTATGTTTGGTTACTGGCTAGCTTTTCCTACTCTTCTGGTTTTGATGGAGCGAACATGGCGCATCGTCCTATCATTCTGGCATATGCCCGCCGACCTCGAAGTACTCGACGAAGAGACAGTGGCCATCACCGCTCAGGTCCCAAAACACCGACTTTGGGACTACAAAGCTGGCCAATACGTCTTCGTCCAGGTCCCACAGATATCATTCTTCCAATGGCACCCATTCACAGTCTCGACATGCACAGGCAATACCATGCAAGTTCATATCAAAGCCGACGGCGACTGGACCAACGCGCTTCACGGCCTTGCGAAGCGAGGCGAGCGAACGACCATCAAGATCGGGCTCGACGGACCCTTCGGCGCGCCCGCGCAGCGCTTCTACGACTTCGAATACAGCATGGTATTCGGCGCCGGAATCGGCGTAACGCCCTTCTCTGGAATCCTCACCGACCTCCAGCAGCACGAGCTCGAGCGTACGATGTCAGGCGAGAACAGCGACTCGACGCAGAACGAGTCGCCGTACCAGGACCACCGACGCATCGACTTCCACTGGATGGTGCGTGACAAGAACAACCTTCTGTGGTTCTCCGACCTCCTGAACGAAGTATCCCGCGCCAACGACCTGGATAAATCGCACCTCGACATCCGCATCCAGACATACGTGACACAGAGGCGCAAGGAGATTTCGACGCACGTATTCCGATGGCTATTGGAGAAGCATAGAACGGACGGCCATCCGCAGTCACCGCTCACCGGGTTGATCAACCCGACTCATTTCGGTCGACCGGATCTGGAGGCTATCATGGAGGAGCACTACCAAGATATGTGCAAGGAGCTTGCGCAGAGGCGTGGCTTGGAGAAGAACAACAACAATGCGAGAAGTAGGAGGACGTCGCTGGGTCGGAGGGCGTCGTCAGTCGACGATGAGATCAAAGTGGGCATCTTCTTCTGCGGACCTCCTGTCATCGGGCTGCAGCTTGCGGATCGATGTCAGGCCATGACTGCGCGCGGACGCAACGAAGGGAGGAAAGTAGAGTATCATTTCATGATGGAAGTTTTCGGTTAGATGTAGTTTCTGTAGCATACTTAATCATTTCATTTCGCATCCGCCCATACATACATCCAATTTCGTTCCCTAGAAGCCCAAGCTCATATACTCATTTCACGTAAATCTTCAATCCATCCATCAATTCATTCAATCAATTAATCGCAACGACCTCCTCATCCCACACTAACCCTCCACTCCACAACCACATCGTTCCCCTCATCCCCCAGATCCTCCGTATACGTAACAGGGAACCACCCGCGCTTCCACCCGCCGACGTGCCTACCCAGCATCCACCCCGCCTCGTTGATCTCCTGCACTTCGAGTACGTCGCCCACTTTCAGCGCTAGTTCGGAGTCCTGCTCCGGGATGAAGTCGTAGATTACTTTGACGCGGACTGGTGATGTGGCTGAGGGGCGGATGATGGGGTGGTTGGCCATTGGGTGTATGGTTGTGTGGGGTGATGGGGTAGTTGATGTGAGTTGTGGGGGGAGTGCGGATGACTGATAGCTAGGAAGTAGAATCCCCGGGTGTTGATGGTTTGGCAGGTTTAAGTAGATGGTTGGTTCTAGAGATGATCCTGATGATCCTGTGGTCTTGGATCCGCAGTGGCTTTTATGTGTTCTTCAAGCGCTGTTAACCCGGGGACGTAGTCCTGGTGTAAGAGTGGTGGTGAGGCTGACAATTACGGAGTAATGCTTAACGGCAGGGATACGGACTAATCTGGATTAGGAAACTGAGGTCTGCAATCCGTGCCGTGAGGTGTTTCCATTGGAAATGCAAATGTACGATGTGCGTGGTAGTTTCTATGTTTAATGGGACATTTTGTTCCTTTTGACATTGCATTCAACGGGTCATCAGTTTTAGGGACGCTGCGGGGCATTGGTGATCTACCTGCAATGAACGTGTGGCGGTGGGATTGTCATAGCCCATTGATTAAGCTACAAACATCCACGATTGCAAAATAGCGAACATTCTTGGGCGAGAAACACATAAATACTACTGCAGTATTACAAGCAAATATTCACGTAGGCATGGGAATCAAGAGGTGGTAATTACCGGGCGCTCGATAGGTCTATTAGATCATGGTAAGCTATCTAGGAAAGCTTTAATTCTTGCCTAGCTCTTCCCTACTCAAATTCAAGTTTCAATGGTACAGCAGGTGAATAGAGAAGTAGTTGTTTGCCGACAACACCAGAAGGTTGGTTACAAGGGTAACAGTAGCATCCTCGGATCCCTTCAGAAAAATTATCTTAGTTGGAAAGATTATTCAAACCCGCCTAGTCAGGTAATTTGAACGGTTTGTCCATAGTCCAGGAACGATATTCAATTGGTTTCAAGGATTGCGGAGGATGGAAAATGAGAATGATAAGTGCCAACAAAGGCCTTTCCTGCCTCGATGATTTGTTTGAATTGAAGCAGTTGACCCGCAACGTACTTTCCTTTCCTATAAGATCGATCCAGGCGGCGATTGCAAAGTGCTGTTTCTGCTCACGATCCTTACTGATCAACCTTCAGTTCAGTCTCATTTCGATGCTAAGAATGGCTACTACGACATTCAAGAAAGCCATGCTTGATCCTATCGGAATGGCTACAGAGACACTACATACAAGTTCGCAGAACGAAAAGCAAGCAACTACTACGGAACTCTCAGACAGGACTAGCAGCGAGGGGCAATCATCCCTTCAGAAGCCCAGTGATGTCGAGCCTACCGATTCTAGCCAACCCACTGGTCTTCTGAAAATGGAGGCAATCACTGTCGTTTGGACTAAAGATTGGCTGATAGCCGCTTACGTCCTGTATGTTTGTTGATGCATTCTTAGGAGTCTCTTTACTGAAACTCGCATACAGAATGTGGCTCATCTCCTTTACAAATATTCTACAGCAGCAGGCAAACTATTCCTGGACCCCATACGTTACTAGCGAGTTCTTGCTTCATGGCTTGACCGGCATAACGGGTATTGTGGCTGGTCTGGTCGGTGGAGTTTCGAAACTCCCTCTTGCAAAGTTCATCGATATTGTTGGCAGACCGCACGGATTTCTGCTGTGCTTGGTTTGCATTGTTTTGTGTAAGCTTAGATCATCCTGCCACACTTTCCATATCCCTAACTTTGTTAAGCATTGATACTCAAGGCTATGAGTAAGAACGTGCAAACCTACGTTGCAGCGCAGGTGTTCTACTGGGCTGGTATGAATGGCGTTGATTACGTGCTCGACGTTTTCGTCGCGGATACCTCGAAAATGAAGAATCGAGGTATTTTGTGGGCTTTAAATAGCACGCCGTATATATGCAACACGTTCGCTGGTCCAGAATTGGGCCAGAGGTTTTTAGACAACAGTACTTGGAAATGGGGCTATGGTGCTTTTGCTATCATCACCCCATTCATGTGCATTCTATTCTGGTCCATCTTCTACCTAATGTCGAGAAGGGCGAAGACGCTCAAGGTCATCGTTCGACAGCCGTCCGGCAGAACTATCCTCAAATCTATCAAGCATTGGTGTATCGAGTTTGATGGTAAATGGAACAGGTCTTCTTTCCGACTGCAGCTACTTGTTGCGAACTTATATGCAGTTACTGGTCTCCTCCTCATTTGTGGTGGTTTTTCGATCCTCCTGCTTCCATTCAGCTTGTCCGCATACCAGAAAGATGGATGGGCATCGTCCTCGGTCATTTGCATGGTCGTGTTCAGTATCATCTGCCTGATACTGTTCGCCATCTGGGAGAAGTTCTTCGCACCTCGGACATTCTTCTTATTCTACCTAATGAAGAATCCAGCCGTGGTAGCTGCTTGCTTGCTCGGAGCGAATACATGGATTGTGTTCTAGTATGTCCGAATACTCAGCATGCTTAAAGGTTGTATGCTTACGCCATTTAGTTCGTACAAGATGTACTACAGTTCATATCTCCAAGTTGTCTTTCAGCTATCTGTCGCGAAGGCAGGATATATCACGAACGTCTTTAATATTGTTTCTTGCGCCTGGGGTGTCATCATCACATTGTGGGCTGTCATTTACTCTGAGAATTTCAATCACGTACTGACAAGTCTCAGTGCATTCAAATATTCGGATAGGTTCAAATGGGGCGCAGTTATCGGAATGCCCCTCCAGATTCTCATGACTGGGCTCCTGATCCCATTCCGACGACCAAATACCCCAATTGGCCTTTTGGTCATGATTGAAGTCATCGGATCGATATCGAGCGGCACGCTCGTGATGGTTGAACAGCTTTCCGTCATGTCGGCCGTTCCGCACGAAAATATTGCTGTCGGTCTTGCAATCCTTTCAATGATTACATCAATTGGAGGATCGATTGGACAGGCGATATCTGCTGCCATTTGGACGCAAGTCGTACAGAAGAAGATGTACGAATACATGCCAGATAATATGGGAGATCAGACACCGTTGATATGTGGTAGTCTCCCAAATCAACTTGCACTCTCATGGGACTCGCCCGCAAGGCAGGCCGTAGTGAGAGCATACGGAGATGCGCAGAGAATCATGGTCATTGTGGGAACTTGTGTCCTTGTTCCATGTCTTCTCTGGGTATACATGCTCAAGAACTATTCACTTTCCGAACACAAGGACAGAAAGGGGATTTTGATGTAGACGATCAGTGTAGTGCAACATCAAGTTGTGTGTAGCACAAAATCACGGACGAAGTGATGAAATGAAGCAGATTTGACGTTCCTGACAACAATGGAATCTCTTCATCGTACGAGTAGATTATTTGGGGTAATTATCCATTGATGTCTTACTTTGAGCCTTACTTCTCAGGTTTTGCCTAGTATACAGTGCACCTCGGGATGTAATCCTGGTCAAGTGAGAGACCAATAGACTATAGCTATTAAAACACGCTGGGTACAGCCACGGGTTGCCTTGCCTCTGCCTAAATCATGCCATGCATAGCCGCATTCCATCATGAGGCAGGACACCTGAAGGATTGGCACCGGTGAGACTGGGTCGCAGCGAAACTACAAAGCGTCCAGCTCATCCGTATTTGCTATTCTGCCATTCTACTACCTAAACTCGCGAGAATTACGCTATTGACATTATGAAATGCCTGACGAGCGCGCAAGGTGTCGTCGAATGCTATTGCGAGACTTTGACTACGAATGACAGCAAATCAGATGCAACCGGCTTCTGGCTCACAGTTGCCATCTTGATCCTTACCTTCGCCATCGAATGGAGCGCATTTGCGAGCGAAAAGACCAAGTCTGCGAAGCCCGAAGAGTCTACGACGACTCCAACACCAGACAACAGCGACGTCCCTGCAGCAGAATCTCAGCCAACCCAGGATACACCACAGTCTACATCGAACGACGAATGGCTATCGTCGTTTAATTGGAACGTATCGCCGCAACAGCGCGCAACACGATTCGTGCTTGCCAGCTTCCTCATGATACCATGCCTTATCGCGTTTGTATACCGCATCAAAGGAGCGACAAACGGACTTGAAGCGACATTATGCAATGAGATCGATCCGCCCAACTGGGCTCTCCTCGTCATATTCAGCATCCTGCCGTTCGCATGCAGTGTCACGGCCTGGCTGCGCACACTCGTCGATTGCATCCTTTCGCGCTGGAACCGTCATCTGAACTACTGGTGGCCGTGTCTTCTACCGGTCGCCGCCGCCTTGTTTGGTACTTTCATGGTTGTCTGCACGTTGTTTGTGTTGGTTCGCGGGTGCGTCCTGATCTTGATGGGACGCTCGGAGTCGGCTTTCGACTTTGAGTCACAGTCGTCACCACCAGAGAGCGTGGAGTTGTCGGCTGTCTCCAGCGAGGTACCTGACGAGGAAAGAGGCCTTATGCATGATGTCGATGCTGGTGCAACTGACGACGATGCTACGGTATATAGTCCACGGAGCTCAGTGGAGGAGGAAAAGCGCAGTTGAAGGAGGTACTATAGATTCTTGATATTGTCCATTGGTTTCCATGTTCATACAGCGGTGGTGTTTCCAATCCAGGGATGTTGTTAGATAGCCGTGGAACGGTGACAGTAGAAATATCAATCAGGCAGTGGTAATCGACCTCCTCGCATGCAGTCCAGAATCCATGCTTCCTGATCGGGATGTTGCTGCTCCCTACCTTGATGATGAAGGTGATTGGTACCAACATTGAAATGTCGTCAACTCGGTTAGCATGCAACTCAACCTCATTCGGCGACTTCGGTGTCCCATCACAACCCTCATTCGGCGACTTCGGTGTTTGGTCACAAACCCATTCACTGCGCCGTTACACATGTGTGATCATGTTGAAATACCTTAAATACGACGTTGTACCTCCCAAAGCCGAACATACCCGTCACCGTTGCAATACCCCTCTCGAACCTTGATTCGACAATCGGTGTAGACAAGAGGGGAAAGGGACAACACTCTCCAGGGCATCTGAATACTGTAAAAAGGGAGTACGTTGCACCTCCGCACTTGACATCATAAGAGAAACTTCGACGACTCCTCGAAGGTATTTGTAGTTTCTGTTGCTCGTTTAAACCTGCAACCCCCACTTCCCTCCACACCGGCCGTATCGCCAAATCCTGACACTCGTCAATCACGCCATCGCCCCAGCACAAGCAGCGTCGACAATATGGTTCAGGTACGCCTATACAATTATCCCAATCTGGGTGGTTCAAAATACTGGGGCCCTGAGCTGACGTCATTGGTCGGATTCTTTTTAGTTGGACTACACTGTTAAAAAACCGCTGAACAGAGAGCCAGATCTCGAGAAGCTGGTCTCAAGGTACGTGGAATGGATGAAACCCCTGATATATATCTATGAAAGCAAAGCTGAGATTAATTATAAAGTTTCATTACTACGTCAGGGGGATATGATCGCAATCATGGACCCATACCACATCTCGACGCCGCTACCCACCGTGTTGACGTATATGGGCTTGTTAAGACCGACCTATCCTTATCAATCGATGACTTGAAATCTCTCCCACAGCATTCCGTCATATGTGCTCTCCAATGTGCAGGAAATCGTCGGCACACCATGCGTGTGAAGCTGAAAGAAGTCAACGGCATCGACTGGTTCGACGGCGCCGTTATGAATTGTAAATGGAGGGGACCTCTGCTCAAGGACGTCTTGGAGCTGGCCAGAATTGACGTTAAGAAGGACAAGTGGAAAGACGCCCACGTCGCTTTTGCATGTTTCCAGACCCCCTGTCAGGACGATGAGTATTATGGCGCTTCGATCCCGCTCGAGCGAGCAATGGACCCGGACAGCAGCATTCTGGTAGCGCTCGAGATGAACGGGAAGCCGCTCCCGCCGAACCATGGCGCGCCCGTTCGCATAGTGACGCCAGGAATTGCTGGTGCCAGATCCGTCAAGTGGCTTGATCGTATCACGGTTCAGATGAGCGAGAGTTCGAATTACTACCAGCAGCATGATTACAAGATTCTGCCACCCGAGGCGGATTGCAAAGAGAAGGCAGAGAGTTGGTGGGGAAAGGTACCGGCGATCCAGGATATGCCGGTCAATTCTGTGATAGCGGTGCCGAAGAAAGATTCAAAAGTCAAGCTGGACGAGAATGAATGCATCGAGGTCAAGGGTTATGCTTTGCCCTCCGGAGCTGAAGGACCCATTGCCAAAGTCGAGGTTTCCGCCGACGGAGGGAATACCTGGACTAATGCTGAGCTGCTATCGTCCGACCCTTTGAATGAGAAGGGCGCAGACTTGAAGTGGGCGTGGACTTTGTGGAGGGCAACTGTGAAGATTGAGAAGGGCCGTGACAAGACTATCTTGAGTCGCGCCACCGACGCTGGTGGGAATTCGCAGTGCGTGTGCCCGGAATGGAATTTTAGAGGCGTAGCCTATAATGGTTATGGAGAGGTGACTGGTGTTGAAGTTATTTGAGCGGCAGGCATTCTGATATGACTCTGGTTGGGTCACGGCGTTTTTGGTGGTTAAGGGCGATTGGCACACTGGATAGTACTGCCTATCGAGCTAATATTAGGTACACAGCATGATTAATGATGATGGAATATTGTTATTGAGCCCTAAACAAAAGCGCCTTTGCTTCATACTACCAAAATAATAAATACCAAAAGACCATCCCATGTCAGCACCCATGACTCCGTGCAAATGCCCTTAGTCGCAGAAAAACACCAGCTACGCATATTGACATAATGGCCATGAATCATCCTTTTTTACAACATATGTACCAATCACAATCCCAGGCTCTTCCTAACATTCTGCCTCACGATTTGTTCGTAGTCAGACCTCCTCTCCCTCCACATCCTCGCCGCATCCACATTCGCGGGGCTCTCGTCGTTGGGCTCCGCCAGCATGCTCATGACGCTGATGAGAATCTTCTCCGTGCTTTGGATCGGCGACCATCGCTCGCTGGCCTGTTCGTACTGATGCGGGTCATCGCCCGGGGGATGCAAGATCGAAATGCAGACTCTCCCATCCGGATACACTATTCCAAACGTCAGTCTCCAATCTCCCATAGAAAACCCCATTCGGATTAAAGGCAGTCCGCGCGCGGAAGTACGTACCATTAGGATGCCACATCTCGGTCAAGAACTTCATCGTCGGCGGCGCGAGAGGGTAGTCCTTTGGGAACTTGAGTTCTGCGGGGAAGACGCCGCCCTCAAACGGTGTGCCCTCGGGTCCCTGGATCAAGGCTTCCCATAGAAACATGTCATCTTCCGTCACAGGGCCTGCGGTGATGCCTTCCGGCGGGTCGTTGGAGAGGCCGCGGTATTCTTTGAAGAGGCGCTTTGAGGCGCTGGAGGTCGCCATTGGGAACGTGGGGGTTAGTCGACTGGTTATGGGGGGAAATGATGGTCGCGATGACGGGACACAGGGTTGTATAGATCTGGTGGGAATATAGCGAATGTTTGGGTGTTGTTTGAATGGATAGTAAGAGGGTTTGTTGGGGGTTCAGGTAAACGATCGGCGGAGCTGGACCGTCCCGCAAGACAACGTGGCGGGGCATGTCATAGCTTAGCCTCTTGTCTAGTAACATAGAAGAGTAGTTTACAAATGCCTACAAAGAAATATATCAGCAGTACTCATGATTTTCAAATCAAAAATCTCAATGTTCAGGGATTCAGTAAAAGTTAATTGCTTAGGTAGGTCATTTTACCATAAGTATATGTATTAGAGACGTCTACTAACTAAGTCATGTATCTAAATAGTCTAGACTTAGGTAGTTAAGATATCAGATCACTCTTTATTAATGGTGACTCTGTAAATCTACAAGATAATTACACGTAACATGACTATATGTTTCAATTATCAGCTCAGTAAATTTCTTATGGACTTGGTTCCGTGGCTGCTGTAATCTGATCCAATACTATTGCTGTTATGAATTTCTCCCTCAAAGCTATCAGTTTGCCAACCCGTCCTTCAGTTTGACCCAAGTGGTAAGCGTTTGTTATATCTAGAATTTTGCCTCTAAGTAAATAGAGGCATCCCTTTCTACAGAACTCTTCGTTATTGTACTTGTCGACCCAGTCGCTTCATTTTTCCGCCACAAGCCATAGAGCCAAGGTAGAACGGCAAGATGAGAACGGACGTACGCAGGTGGTGCAAATTGCTACAATACAGCCATTGGACCATTCGTAGAAATCATCGAATGTTTAATGAAGACAAGAAGGATTGAGCAAACTCCTGATAATGAACACCTGCAGTTCGTTCGCTCTTTGTGTTACGAGTCAGTATGAGCCCCGAGATGCCAGCAATCAGAAAGTAGACCTTGTCAAAACACGTCATGATCATGTTGGCTCTGTCAATCGAGATAGCGACAAGACTACTATCCACTGTTTTTACGCCATTCATCGTTTAGTTGCATGATTCAAGTAGATATTGCTCGGAATTATACTAAGTCCGATTATGTCCGCTCAGAAGACGCCTTTGATCAATCAACTAAAATTTGGTGCTGGAACGTAGTTACCACCTTTAGAGCAGATTAGGAAAGATTGGCCAATTGATCGTGGTCGATTGAATTATTTTGCAAAAAGATTTGCGCCGAAAGCTCTGCGCTGTTTGATCATCTCCTTTACGATAACCACTTAGATGACCAATTCTACCCTGACGGCGACACTACTCACACACAATAGATGGTAATACGACTTCGTTTCCCCTACGTGAGCGGCACCCTTCTTGGACCGGCGAAACTCACAGAGCACTCCAGTGCGAACCCAAAGCATCGAGCATACCACCCTTGAGACCAATAGCTCAATTCCATACAGTGCGGCGCTCCTCTTATCAGACTCCCATCAACACGAACATCATTCCCAAAAGCGTCCGTACATTTCTTCAACTCTTCCTCAGTTGTTACGAAAAACGGATCGTCTTCCACAAGAGCAAACATGACAGGAGCAGTCACATCTTTTGCCCACTGTTGCTTCCACGTAGGAAGCCATGCCGGCGCGAATTTTGCCGTCTCTGCGAGGGGACACACTGCATTGAGGCGTTGACATTGTTCCAAGACCTCATCCGCGACTGTGTCAGGTTTGAACATCACGCTGTCCTTGGAGTCGGGGGGAAACATGGCGTGGGTGCTGCCAACCATTGTGAAGGACGGCGGGGATCTCAGCATGAATTCGGATTGCGTGTCGCCCATACCACTGGCAATCAAAGCTCCGAGGGGGTATAGTGGTGAGGTGTCTTTTGCGTGCAAAGCGGCGGTAACGATTCCGCCCATCGTTCCTAGGCTGTGACACAAGAGGACAATGCAGTTGCATCCATTGGGTGCGCCGAGCTCTTCCCAGAGTTTGGGAAGAATGTATTGATGGAGCCAGATACCGGTCTCTTGGGCAAAGTCCGAGTCGTCTGGGATAGGCAAGATAGAGCTTGTTCCGCCGTAAGAAGGGCGATCGATAGCAACGAACGGGATGCCGAGAGCGATGCTGGTTTGCGAAGCTGAAAATCGAGGGGTGGCGTCAAAATATTGACTGTCGTAGCATCCGCCATGGAGACCAACGACAAGAGGGCGTTCCTTAGAGGCCGCTGTTGCTGGTGTTGGTGGGATGGAATGTATGCCTGCCACGGTCCCGTTGTTGGCAAGTTTGAATTGAAACTTCCGCATCTTTGAGGTCGGGTCGAATGCTAGTGAAATGTGATAAATAAGCAAAGAGATAGGGAATTGGTTCTTATATATATTCTATATTCTAGGAATTAGCATGGAGATAACGGACTCAACCCATAAAATTTTCAGGCCGATTGGTAACATTTCGGAGTAGTTTTGTTACCTTAGTAACAGATCAGAGCTCTCTGCTTCGACGTCATGTTACGCCTAGGAGCATTAATTCATGAATAGTAGAGTGAATCTAACATCTAGTAATACAGTAGTCGCTGGCATTCAGGATCATAGCCAGTCTCCTATGTCAAACCCGCCGCCTCCGTCTCCTCCACCACTATCACCACCACTACTGCTGTTGCCCCCTGACGAACTGCCACTGCCGCCTCCTCCCCAGAAGTCATCATCCTTGCCATTGTCCCATGGGTTATTTTGAGAACCCCAGACTTCCTCAGTTTGTTGGCTTGGTTGCTGTTGTTCAAGAGAATCCATTGATTGTGGTGATGCGTCATCTCCGACAAAGCCGTCCTGAGGCCTTTGAGATCGCTGCATTGCCTCGTAGCCAGCCATGGTTCCGGCTCCAGCAATAGCACCTTCACCAGCACCCAAACCTCTAGCTGCAGCTCCTGCCTCACTAGCGATTCCAGTTTCTCCTGCGGCAGCTCCTACAGCTCCAGCTTCTCCAGCAGCTCCTCCACCCCACCAAGGAATCCACATCGGCCACATCCCACCGCCTGCTCCGCTATGGCGACTGAAGTAATCAAAGTCTATGCTGACGGCCGTTGCTAACATCAAAGCGCGTTGATCTAAGGTCATTCCTTGGTGACCCTCAAGTGTAGGTTTTCCACGATCTCCGGAGTGAGATATGAGATGAGAAGGCTCGGATTGGAGACCAGCAGCATCCATCCTTAGGGCATACACGCCGGTATCTGTGAAGAGTTCGCGGGCGAAGCCTGAAAAGTTCCTGTTCACTGATCCGATTAGGTAATTGTCTTGTGACATAAGGGAGAAATCCCAGGAGAGAAACGGTTCATCCACTCGAGCGAATTGCAACATGCCAATTTCACGTGGGTCTCCCTCTGCAACCGCCAAAGCTTTCGAATTTGAGAGCGGAAGATCCCCTGACGCCAGCTGCGGTGTTTTCGGGTCTGCAGCCATGTTCTTCAAATCCCTTGCGAGGAATATATTGTATCTCCTGCGTAGGGGAGCCCATTCCTGCTCTGCAGAGCCGATTATACGCATTTCCGAAAGAGGAATATTGGAGATGCTTGCATTGGCTTGCGTGATTATCTCTTTCGTACTCGTTCCTCGTAAAGCATCAGAAGTGCTATAGCCTCCTTCTTTACTAACAGCATCGTAAACACGTATCCTAGAGCTAATCCAACTGAAAGGGCGATGGAATCGTAGTATTTCTTTCTCTTCCCTGTCAAAGACGTGCGTTGTGAAACTCCGATGTGTTCTGAACATCTGCCTGGCTATTGCATTGCCAACACCATGCTCCTGCTCTGCCAAGTATCCTATGTGGTTCCCATGCGGATCCATGATTATATAGCGATTTGCTTGCTCGAACCCCATAAGGACGTTCATCATTTCTAATTGCCGTTGAATAACTATCGCGGAGTTGTCGAGCAGACGCATAGCGGGATGAGTCTCTTTGAGAACGCCATTGGGGTCTTCGGGAATATGCACCGGTGTCACCAAATCATTTTCTGAACTTGGTATTGCTGCAAGCGCATTCGAAACTGCCTCATTCTTTGAGACTTCGGGATTCGGTTGGGAATCGTTTGGAGCCGCCGAATCACTAGCTGAGGAGGGGCTATTATTCGGTTCCTCGGACGCTCTTCTTCGTGGAGGGATCCGTCGCTGAACTGGAGGAGGTCTACGTAGAGAATCGCGAGGTCCTCGTTGGTTGTGCCATGCGGTTGTTGATGTGAACGCTCGGAAGCCTGGCCGTGGTAACCTAGGAGTTAATCGCGCGACGTTGAGAATCATTATCGATTGGACCAATCAACAAGCCGATGCAGTGCTTGTTGACATAAGCCCTTTTGTTGTTGGATGAAACAGTTAGGCATTAATCAATGCATATCTGAGGATTAGGGCAGGTGGAGCGGTGCTTTCTACTTAAGAATATGGCGTGGTGGCGGAGGCAGGTGTCAGTCAAACTTTCGTCCGAAGCTCGAACGTTCTTCGACACATTCTCGCGATTACGTCATCTTCGTGGTTCACAATGGAGAATAGACATTGTCCAATCACTGGATTATCCTTTTAGTTTTTTCGCTTGCTTCTTTGTGATTATAACAATTCAACATCCAGCACGGTCTACCAAAATGCCTTTCGATTGTCGTCAATGTCTGGGGCGCGTTTTCGGGCATCGCGTGGTCATGTGTGGTGCTGACCAATTGGCGTGAGCCTTGGCGTGCCTTTAAAACTTTCTTTCGCGTGGTCCAAGCATTGCACGTTTCTTCACTCACCGACCCAAATGTTCGCGTGAATGTACTGTAGGCTCGCGAGCGTCTACTCGGCTTCCCTATTTAATTGGTAAGTTGTATTTTCTTCTTCTACTTCAATTGTTGTTATGATGATACAATATCGAGCCAGAGTGCACAGAGCTCCAGTCATTCAGTTGGCTCTGCTCTGTGTTCGATGCTGCATCGAAATTTTAGACTACAACGGTATCTGATCAACTTATCCAACCATTACTCTTGTTAGCTCATATTACTATCGTACTTTGTGCTAATTGTTCAGTTCTAGTGTAATTGACTTTTAACATGGCTACGGACGTTCAGGCCCAGCCTGCATCAGAAAACGCCCTTGCGACCACTGAGGTATTAGGGCAAAATGGAGTGAACAAAGAGGAGCAGAAGAACGAAAACAAACCTCGACCAAAGCCTCAGCGCTTCAAGAGACCAGATTATAATACCATCCACTCAAAACCTCTTCCCCTTGAGGTGTATCCTCTACCGGCTTTCATCCCACACAACCCGCTTTCGGTAGTCAGAATTGCCATAGCTTTAATATCTCATTCAATCCGACCTCCGAGTTCCAATGAAAAAGTGCACCTATCCTACTTCTCCCCTGAAACCCAGTCTGTTCATGTGACGGATGCCGAATCAATAAAAGCCTTGTGGGAACGAGGCTTCTTTGGAGCTGGATCTCTTAGTCGTAGTGAGCCTCGATGGTTGGATCAGGAAAAAAGGAAACGTGGACTAGAAGCCTCGCAAACGAGCGAGGAAAGGACGAGGAAAGTGCGAGAGGATCGACGTCAATTCAAATTACAAAGAGCCAAAGAGCAAGCCCAAGCGAGGGAAGAGCAACTGCGACGCGAAGGGAAGATTGTCAACGAGGAAAATCTGGCTAGCATCGTTGCAAGCGAAGCTTCTCAAAATGCCGATGCCGCCGCCGTAGTTCCTCTAGATAACAGCGGGGCACAGCCAGGAGATCACGACGTTTCCGAGAATCCTGGGTCAAAGGAGGAAAGCCTCGAAGCCGTCCGCAAACTAGAAGAGGAACTAGCCAGCATTGAGGACCAAGAGCACCTACAACTCACCTTGGAGGAAGCCTTCTTCTTGACATACGCTCTTGGTGCATTGAAAGTCTTTCACAGCGATACACCTCTGGAGTCATCGTCTGCCCTGTTCCGACATTGTTGCTCCTACACAAGCGACCCTCTGGCGGACAACGCCATTTCCGTACCCATTGCCCCGGACAATGACTTCGTCATGAGATATGCAGTGTATCACCACTTCCGCTCGCTTGGCTGGGTCGTGCGTTCTGGTATCAAATTTGCTGTCGATTTCCTCCTCTATAATCGAGGCCCAGCTTTTGCACATGCTGAATTCAGTATCATGATCATTCCGTCATACACGAATTCGTATTGGTCGGAAACGGAGGACAGGCTGGCCGAATGCCGAAAGAAAGAACACAGAGATTGGTGGTGGCTACACCGTGTCAACCGTGTCCAGACTCAGGTTTTCAAGACGCTCATGCTCGTCTATGTCGACGTTCCCCCACCGTGGGATCTAAAAGCTGGTGGCGATGTTGATATCGGGTCTGTGTTATCACAGTACAAGATCCGAGAGTTCATGATCAAAAGATGGACGCCAAACCGCAACAGAAATTAGGAATAGATGTTGTGTTTGCGGATAATGTCTCTAGAAACCTCGATAGTGGTTTGATTGATACAGTTCGAGATTTCAGCAGCCTCGACCATGCGCGTGCGCTCCATATATAAAGTTTGAAATGAAAAACGAGACATCGTCCACAGTGACACACATACCAATTCATTTCATATACTCTTTTGCTTTCTTGATGGACACTTGATTTGTGTGATATTTCTATCTACTGATATATTTCTCTTCCTGACATGAATGGAAACAAAATGTTGCTACGGAAACGCTACATATCGAATAACCTTTAACTAAGTTACACAGGCTGACATATACTTAAGAGTCAGGCTCTACTTGTACAAAGCGTCCACGCGCTCAAAGTTGTCCAAAAACGCCTGGAATGTGAAGACGCCCAACCCGGGGTCCAAAGAGCCGGTCGTGGCTCTGATAGAATGCATGCTCAACTGAGGGATGCCGGCGTCGATGGCGCGGATGCCGGTGGCGGCAGACAGCATGGGGCCAACGGTGCCGCCAGACCTGCTGTCGTTTCTGATCTGGAAAGCCTGGAGCTTGGCGCCGCCCTTGTTGCCGTCGACGCACTGGGTGAGAATGGAGGCGGAGACGGAGTCGGTGGTCATGTGCGCGCTCGAGTCGAATGTGATGGCGGGTCCGACGTTCAGTCTCGGGGCGTGGTTCTCGAGGTACTGGCCGAGGAAGTTGGGGTTCACGGCGTGGCAGACGTCCGAGGAAACGAGGAAGGAGTTTGCGTAGGTTCGGCTAACGAGGCTGCGGATGTTCTTGTCGGAGAAGCCATCGACTATGCGTTCGATGACTGAGGGGAGGAAGTTGCCGCGGGCACCTTGGCGGAGGAGGGAGCCAACCTCTTCGTCGTCGAAGAGGGCGACGACTTTGATTTGAGAAGACCCAGCGGTGCTGGTGTTGAGGAGGGCTTCGATGGCGGCCCAGGAGCAGAGCTTGTCGTCGATGCGACCTGCGAAAATGAACTCCCTGTCTAGACCGCCGGTGGTGGCTGGCTGGAAGTCGAATAACTCCAGTTCCCAGTTGACAATGCTGGAGTCTAGTAGCAGAGGTTAGCAATCTATTGCATGAGGTATCGAAGGGTAACATACAATCAGTGATACTGAGCTCCTTGCTGATGGCCTTGACAAGTCTTTCTGGTTGCGTTGCTGCGAACGCTCCCGGTCCACCAAGGAGACTAGGCTTCCAGTTCTCGTCTTCGGGCTTTGCCTGTCCTGTGATATCGCTGTTGTCCAGACCAATGATTGGAACCATTTCCGTCTCTTTATTGAATGGGCCATTTGCAACAGCTCCGAAATGTGGTGCAATAGTAGGAATCCTCGCAATTGGCCAGTCCAGCTTAACCAATTTCGTAACAACCTTGTTGCCCTCTTTAACCAGGACCCTGCCACCAACACCCAAGTCTCGGTCCCACCACGTGTTATTGAGGCCTCCGGAGTACGGTGCGACGCCCAATTGTACGAATCCTGCCTTCGTTCGTAGCTTGGGAATAGGCTTAAGCCTAGCGGTGAGCGCATCGATATGACCAGCAATTATCGCGGCGCCGTTGCCAGCAACGTAGCCCTCGCCAACTGCAAATGCAATTACGGAAGATCCGTTACGTTCGACAAAGTATTTCCCGCCCTGCTCTAATTTCCATTCATCACGCTCGTCGAGCTTCTTGTACCCGTTCTTCGCTAGATCCTGAGCGACAGCATCAACGGCGTGGAATACAGTCGGGTTGGCCGTCATGAAGTCCGTATAAGGCTTGGTATAGTCCTCGGGCTTGCGCTCCTTTTTCTCTTCTATCCGCTGCCCGAATTCTGGAATCTCGGGAAGAGTGCTCGACTCCATCTTCACCTTCGGGGGTACGGGTGGCGGTGTCTGGTAAGTCTGGGGCTCCATGGGAGAGCCAAAGTCATCGTCGAAATCGATGAGGTTGCTGAACGGCGCTGCAATGCTATGGCGAGATGAGGATGACTGTGTAGCGGGACGACTGTGGAGGAATGGGTTCACTCTCGAGCGCTGCGAGGTAGTAAAGGCGCGAGATAGATTGACATGACGTGCTGGCGGCGAGGGATCGGAGTAGAGATCCGCGTTCGAGACGGTCTTACGAAGGCTGGGATGATTTTTGGTCATGTTGACACCTTGTAATAGGGTATATGATCAAGGCGTGGAAGTTTGGGGTAGAAGGAGGAGGAGAATGAGCCGGATGTTTATGATGATGTTCAGATGAGAAGGATGAGGCGATAACGCAACGCAAGCTCTCTAAACAAGCCCCAGTCGTTGCGCGGCCCCGCCACAATACCGCGGAGACGCCCCTAGGTCATAACAGGCAGATCATCAACACCACCAATAACAGGACAGCTTCTCGGTAGTTAACTCATATTGCATGTGATATGTTAATCGGGCTGATGCATCATGATATATTTACGAAATAAGTCACAAGTATGGCTAGACGTAGTGCTTCTGTAATATGTTGTTATATTCTGTGAGCTACTGTCTCCTCCCTAAACCCCCAATACGCACAACAAAACATGCAGCGCTGAATGTCGACTCGGAAGAAGGTAATCGCTAGAGATGGACTACGACTAGCTGGAGGGTATTGAAAACTTTGGAAATTAAACAGCTCGCATGGCTTTGTTTGAGCCGACAGGCTTAGTGGAGGGGGCAGATGAGATATTCAGATTTGGGACAGCAGAAAGTCACGGGTTAAATGATGATCATTAGGACTCGTGTAGAGGAGTGTGCAAGTCACATCATCCACGAACGTTCGTTGGCACCAGCTTACTGGCCGTTCGTAAGACGAGACGGCACGGGTGGCTCTTCCTCGTCTTCGTCGAGGTCTTCAGGATGTCTGCAGATTCTGGTTAGCCAGGTGCATGTGCAGCAAAGGATTTATCTTACCCGAGTAAGGACCTAACGTCCTTCATCTCGTAATGTTTCTTTCTCATCTGCTCGAATTGTCGGTGCTTCTCGCGCTCTTCGGCTGTCATGTTAAGTAACTCTTCGCCGTGGTGCCCGGGCTCTTCGTCTGCATCGGGCTCGACGATGACTCGTTTCTCGCTTTCGGGAGTCTGGGCATTGCGTGCTACCAGCTCTGGCTCTCCCAGGTCGAAGTCGGGAATATCCTCGATCTTTGGTTTGCGAGATCTCGGCTTGTCATCAAGTTCGTCGACCTTGAGCTCCTCCGCATTCAACATTTCGATCTCTTCCTCATCTTCGGCAGGATCATACTGCTTTGCATAGGGAGTCTTCGGCTCGGTGATCTTCATAGTGCTGTCCCGCTGCTGTTCGGTGAGATAGAGATTGGCTTCATCCCACTTCAGCCGTGGGCTGTTTTCATCGGCATGCACACTGGTTCCTGACTGGCGGCGAGAGCCCGGCCCGCGAGCGTTTGAGGAGGAACGACGGTGAGCTGGTCCAGCATTCTTTAGTGTATTCTCCAAAACAATCTCCTTCTCTGACATCTCGCGACCGAAATGAGGGCGCTCTACTGAGTCTGTTTGTGCATTTATGGGCGCTTCGGTGGTTGGCGATGTCGCTGAGTTTGAGCGATAGGAGCTGTTGTTTTTGAGGATGCCTAGAATGGCGATATTAGCATAGAAACGTTGATCATGGAGCGTGTTTGAACAAACCTCGAGGGCGCTCGGGGTGCTGCGAGGGGGAATGCAAATGTGGAGAGTGTTGGGTCATGATTGCAGTGTACTGGTTGTGGTTGAGAGTCCTTGGACACGATATCTACTTGTAGGTATTTGAGAAATTCGGGTGGCTGCCCGGCACGTGAAATGCCAGCGGAAAGTGGGGTGATGGTGTGTGTTTGCGACAGCGACGCACGGTGTGATGCCTTGTCGAATTTGCGAAGATCAAATCACTCTTATCTGGTGACTTGGTGGGTGGAGAGAGATTGAAAATAGAGATGGAGAGGTCGATGAGGAGTGTATTGTAAGTTGAAGGTTGATGTGACAGGCGATGAGAGGGGTGAGCTGCTTGAGGTGGCATGGAGTGCACAGATGACGTAGATTTGCGCGACAACCGCCCAACTCGCTGAGGACCGGAATTGGCATATATAGCAATAGCTACTCCGTACTGAAACTTTTAACTGCAATACTGTCTACAGAACAACTCGGCTTTAACTCATACGCTCGCCTCACGCCGTGGAGCTTGATTGTCATGATCTGCCTTTATGCATCTCGTACATTTCGTTGTTAAATCCCGTCATGCACATCATATTTACTTAGGTTAACGCAAGCCATGGAGTTTAAATGAGGGCTTCATCTCTATTGGTGGGTGAGTGAACCTTATTAGCCAGCCGGGGTTACGGTACAGGTATACATGAAATATCCGTCGTCAGAGGTTTCAGGGCTGACCAACTGCTATTGCATCTCACTCGTACTCGTGATTGTCTCTCCTCATCGCTGGAGGGTACAGGTTTCACGCGAGGATGGCCTTTGGTTGAGTGCACCCAAATCGAAATGCATGTGCTGCACCGTCACTACTGTTGTACGGTGGTTCTGAAAGGCAATGCTTCTGTTCCACATGAGACCTTGATCCAACGTATCGTGTGAGGTAGGTCGCAAAAGATTGCTACAAACGTCTCCTCTGGGGAGTACTCGCAACTAAACCGATGCCGTACTAGGTAGAGACATACCTACCTAGGTACATCGTGCGATGATGTCTCTGTAGGAACCTCTAGGGGGGCAATTAGCAATGAAGCCACGAATCCCGCAAATGTACCATCATTGTGTTCATTAGGTGTTGTCAGACTTTGCCTAAGAGCTTCATACTTAACCAAGGCACCGCATTAATGATGCGACAAGTGTAAATTGCCTGGCTAAGGTTCAGACTACCAGAAGTAGAAAAACTGTCATCCTGTGGAACCAAGGAAACCACTCGACGTGAATCGTACGAGTAGTGTCTATCGTAGTATAAGAAATCAAGAGGAAACAAAACCTACCTCTACGTTTGGGTATTGGTAGACATGGACACACGATGGAATTCAATGACTAGATCAAGCAAGCCAAATCTTGGTTGCAGGACAAAGAATGTGTCTTCTCGCAGGTGATCACGTTATCATGGAAGCCGCAGAGGCGGCCCTTCGCGCAATTGTTTTATGAGAGACATGGCTTCGTCTGGGCCTATATCGGAGTCGTCAGCCGAGTAGAAGAGAAGTCGGGCTGACGATGATTTGAGTTGAAGGCCGTTGTTGTGGAAAAGAAAAAGAAGAAGAAACGATGGACGTTGGAGGAAGAAGAAGGTTAAAAAGGGCGAAATCTCTTGGCGCGCGTCTGTCGCTTCCTGCCCTTAACTTTTCTCTGACCTCGCTCAGAACTGGGGCTAAACCGGAAATGGATTAAGACAAGACCTTGCACAGTCTAACATCACCTCCTCCCACCTTTCATTCTCTACACGGCTGCTTCTGCTTCTGCTTCTACTCTGCACTACGACACTACACCACACACTTACTCCATTATCCAATCTTCTCTCTACTAAAACTACTCCGTAACACTCCCACATTCCGCAATACCCTTTATACCCTCCCAAAAAAAGCACTCAATCAATCCTCGCCTCCACTTTGCATACATTCAGACAACTATACCTCCGCATACATACCCGCCCTCTCCAACGTCCACTCTTCACCTCTCGTCCCGCGCAAACCCTCCGCCCGTTGGCCCGCATATTCCTCCACCTCTTCCACCACCCACAACCGACTGCTTGTTCACTCTTTTGCCTTACCAAGCCCTCGCTACCTATCTATCGCTTCTAGATCTAATTTCTGCCATATTTTCTCGTTTGCGAATCGCCAATGGATAGCAAGGAGAACTTATGGACACGCCGCTCAAAGTAATCCTCGCCCATGTTCCTTCATCTACCCTCCCCCGGATCTGAAGACTGACAAAACGCTACAGCACCAGCAAGCTCTCCTTGTCCATGTCCCACGGCGATAGACCAGATACCTCGACTCGCACCTTCTCTGCTTCGCGCCGCGCTGGCGGAGACTCGTCGCATGGCGGCAAAAACCCTTTCAACGCCATCACCCCTCTAGCTGGGACCGCACTCGCTTCCCCAACGACGGCAGGCTCGTCAGCTTTTGGTCTTGGATCCGGGGCATTCGCCTCGTTCGGGTCTGCCAGCAAGACCCCAAAGACTCCGGGAACCGCTTTCGACTTCAAGACGGCAGCTACTTCCGGGAATCCCCCAACTACGCCTGGCGAGAAGAAGGAGAAGCCAGGCGGCAGGATAGTATCACAAAGTGCTCGCAAAGAGTCACTTTCGACGACCGCCTCGGAAGAGGCTGCTCCTGTGTCGTCCGGACCGCTTGACCCTACCACACCCTGGCCGTTGAAATACACCTGGGTGATCTGGTACCGCCCTCCCACGCCCAAGAATTCCGACTACGAGAAATCCACGAAACCACTGTGCCGAATGAGCACGGCGCAACAGTTCTGGAAGGTTTTCGTTCACCTCAATCGCCCATCCTTGCTTCCGACGGTGTCGGACTATCATTTCTTCAAGGAAGGCATCCGGCCGGTCTGGGAGGATGAAGAGAATAGAAGAGGTGGCAAGTGGATCATGCGCCTGAAAAAGGGCGTAGCCGATCGCTACTGGGAGGAACTCTTGATGGCCCTCATCGGAGATCAATTCGCCGAGGCCGCTGAAGAAGTTTGTGGTTTTGTGCTTAGTGTGCGTAGTGGAGAAGATGTTTTCAGTATCTGGACGAAGAACGATGGAGGGCGAAACATCAAGATCCGGTAAGTGGCCAATCAGCTAGATGCTTTGGCTTCTCTGACTCCTTCATAGCGAAACCGTCAAGCGTGTCCTCAACCTTCCCGACGGCACCGTCATTACTTGGCGTAGCCACGACGAGAGCATTGCTCAAAGGTCAGCCATCGACCAAGCGCGCCAGGATAAATCCAACCAGCACGGCCAGGACAAACGGCGAAACGCGACCAACGACGATGCGCCACGCGAGAAATAGGGGCACTCGCTACTTGCGCGTCTCGTACCACCACTTTCTCTCTAACATTTGTTCAGCATGCACGGGTTGTAGGGTTTCACAATTACCGGGATCGGTTAGCGTTTTGTCGTTCTTCAGCATTGGGTTTATGGATGGGCTCTACGGACAGCTCGGGCTCTACGGCAAAGAGCGTCTTATTCTTTCAATTCCAATCACCATGTATTCTAAACATCTACGATCGGGTTGGAATGTCCGCAATTGACGCTACGACAATTGGTTAGGCATGGGAAGGCGGCCTCCAAGTAGATTATGCTCTAAACGTGAAAATGAGAGAGTCGGGGCATCACCTCGCGTTGTACCATTACTGATGAAATCATGTTCTCACACGACCAATCAAAAATAGTGGCTTTCTTTTTAACTTTCATCAAGAAAGGATAATTCAGAGACTTTGTAAATGATTGGTTGTCATATGGAGACGTCCATCTGGCTTGGCATCCTTCCATCCCACTCACCCACTCACCTCCGCTCTCCGAGACTGAGATCGATAACTACGCACGGGCCCGACTTTCCAACAACTGAACGGATGGCGTCAAGCTTCACTCTTACCTTTACCGCCGCTCAAACATGAGTCTCTTGCTTCGTACATGCTTGCAATATTTCAGCTTGCTGATGTGGACGTTCTTTCTACCCAAGGAACGTCTACACCACTAGCGCGTCCATGTCGAACTTCTTCGACCGTAAAGCGAACTTTCGCGATGAGGGAGCTGCAAGCCACGAGGCAAAGCAAACGGTAAGTGAACTTCTGTTTGTGTACTCAAGGGATTTCTCTTTCACTCACTCACTTTGCTTCCCTTTTAAACTACATCACTAACTCGATATCGGTATGCAGGGTCAAGGTCATGGATCTCGAGCGAGTGATCGAACATCACATATCTACGAAGCTCCGTATACGTCGCACCGAAAGCGCTCTTATTCACCACCCTCACCAATGACTGGTCAGAAGCGATCTGTCTCGGTGGAGTCAAACACGGCCCTGAACCACAAAAAGAGGCCCCGAATCAGCGAAGACGAGAGGAGGTTATGTGGAGATTACGCGTGAGTGGGGTTATCTCCGGAGGGCATTTTCATTACAACTGATATGACGACCAGTCTACCTAGTGACGCTGTCCCAGTACCCAGTCCTGAGTCTTGGGGCAACAGCTCGCCCTTTAGTCGGGCGAAAGCAACCAAGGTATGCACAAGTATCCTCAAAACCAGTCTCTCAAGCTCGACTGACAAGGTGTAGCCAGGCGCAAGTTCAGCCCTCAAGCCTGTTGATACCATGACTCACAAACATGACCATGCGAGACATAATAAACCACTTCACACTTACGGATCAAAGAGCAACGGTGGCTTCGGACGCGGATTTACAAGCTTTCAAGATACACATCTTCATATTTCACCTGACAATTCCCGAACAACGCCTATAACGAAGCCTGAAAGTCGTACCAATAGCTCGTCAGCACACAAGTGGAGGAAATATTTATCTGCTACACAAGAGGCCTGTGATTTGGTTGACGTCGAGGATGATCGAGAGGCTGAGGAGGGCATCAAAGCCATTCCCCGCCCGGCCAATGATTCGTCGACAACGACCAGCTCAATACTCCAGGATAGAACTCACGCTCTAAAGCCTTTGAAGCCACCTTCGAATGAATTCAGCGATGTTGACGCCTTGATCAGGCAATCAGTACGCCGGAGATCGAAACTCAAAAACGATGCCGCGGCATTTGATCAATCTAGGACTTCATATCAAGGCCTCGACTCGGAGTTTCCTCGACCTACACGTGATATCACCGAAACAGGGTTGCCTCTTGATGACGGCATACTGTTCAAATATAACAACCCGGATTATCTCATGCCTGCAACTGGAAGAGACAACATTTCAGATGAGGATGAGCTTCACTCCGAAGTTCCAAGAACTAGATCTCATTATTTTGCAGACGGAGCTAAAGACCGCGGCACCTACCCCACTAGTCAAAGCGATGGCACAAAGGCATACAGTCTGGCATCGGCCAACACAGTATCGGGAACTACCCGTCATACTTCATCCGCATTCAATGCCCGTGCTATCGATGGAGACAGTGACGAGCTGGCGATAGTAGAGCCAACTGCCTACAGCCCTAGTAAACCTCATTCGAAGGACGTACCACGGGCAAAAGTCGACCCGCGAAAAAGGTCCAAGTCCGAAAAGCACCAAGCTTGGGAACTAAATTACGCCAGATCATATGATTTTGCTGAACATGGCCCTGACCTTTACCTTCGATGCACACTCGATCCGAAAAGCTTCGAGATTGTCAGACTGGTTTCCCAGCCCCTTTCCAAGGTCTCCGCAATAGACCTCAACAAGATCGTTAGAGCCGTTGCTGATGGCGTTTCGAAGATACGGCTTATGGGTGCTCAACCTGCACATGACGACCAGCCTTGGTTCGACATCGAATTTACTAAAACTTCCCATTACCAACAGTTTTGCACCGAACATGTAGTTTCGTCTTTACCAAGGTCGATAAACGTAATTGATCAGTATGCTTACAACCTTCTACAATCATTCATCATCTCTTAACTAACAAAAACCTAGGCAATCTTTGAAGTCGATGTTCAACAAGCCTCGGGAACGCAAAAAGCGGAAGCTGTCTGATGATATGGTGGAGGATCCAGAAATGGACCAAATCAATCGTCACCAACAGCAGCGACACGAAGACCAGCAAAAGCAAGCTACAAAAAACGACAATCCCCCTTCACCGCGATCTTGGCTTGTCAATTATCGGAAAGCACATAGTGGGGAAATACCGCAAGAACGACAAACGAAGGCTCCAACACAAAAGAACGACACGATCGAGCAGGGTCATGATCTCTCTCCAATCCGGCGTTCCGTGCGTTCGACGAGGGCCACGAGTGGCTTCATCGACCTAGATCCTGAGACCCTTAAAGATTCTCCGAAAGCAGTGTTCAAGTTCTCCATCGATGCAGGCTTAGGACCACGGTGGCATAGGTAGAGCACAATCATTATCGGAACGCGTTGGAAGGGTATGCTAATTTTCGCACAGGCCTTTGCAGTACGGCACCGGCCGCCATCGTGCTCTTGTAAATTTCGAAGACCTTGCCAAACTCGATGAGGATGAAATGCTGAACGATGAACTCGTTGACTTTTATCTAATGTACGTAAAACTACGGCCCTATCGATACGAATTGAGACTGATGATTACAGCTACCTCTACGATCAGGCTAAGGTTCCACAGAATACCGTATACTACTTCAATTCACACTTTTTTACAACCCTTGTTCGATCGCCTCCTGGACGAAAGGGGGAGATAAACTACGAAGGAGTTAAAAGATGGGCCAAAGAAGATCTCTTCTCATATGATTTTATCGTAGTACCGATCTGTGAAGAGTAAGCCCTTACGAGATCCTATCTGTAAAGGACATGAAGTGAACTGACCCTTATAGTATGCACTGGTATCTCGCAATTATCTGCAATGCCTCCAATATCTTTCGGAAATCGATCCCGGACTCTGCGAGAGACAACATTCCGTCTCTAATAGATGCCGCTGAAAATACCTCAAAGAATGCTGATCCGTCACACGAAGATGATGCACACATCATTGACGGCATTACTGAGCCTAGCTCTGACAAGCCAGTAGATAGGAAAGAGAAAGACACCTTGATGGAAGCGCCTTCCGTCGCTGAGAAAGGCTTGGCCACCCCCCTCGTTCCGAACACAAGAGAGTCATCTCTAGAGGAGACCGGACGTCTGAAGGAGCTTGCCATTACAGACCAATCACCAAAAGAGAAGGCAATTTCAAAGGGGATCATTGGCAACACCCCAGCGTCGCCCTCAGGCAAGCGACGTCACAAGAAAAGGGCAGTCTTGCCAAAGAAATTTCCTCCAGACGAGCCTATCATCATGATACTGGACTCGCTGGGAAATTCACATCCAAAGACTGGTCGAGCTCTAAAGGAGTACATATTCCAGGAGGGCCTTGCAAAACGTGAGACAGAGGCACGTATTGAGCAGAATGTGTTCTACGTCCGAGACAATCACATACCAATGCAGCAAAACTTCACCGACTGTGGAGTCTACCTTCTTGGATATGTCCAACGATTCTTCGAGAACCCTCGTAGATTTGTTAGCCGCGCATTATCACGCGAGATGGATCCAGAAATTGACTGGCCGGAAATGTCAGCAGTCAAAATCCGCGACGCGATGCGTGATATCCTTCTTAATATGGGGGGAGAACAGGGTCTTACACAAGTCAAGAAGAAGAAGAAAAAGCCGAATCAGGCAACGGCACCTGAAAAGAGCAATCCAGTTACCGGCCCTTCTATCACAGATGACTCTACAGACCCATCTGTACCAGCAAAAGCAGACGACGTATTGCCTACAACAGAGCAATCCATCGACGACCCGCCAAGAAGACACAGTCCTCAGGTGGTTATTCCCGTGCCGAACCATAACTCTAGTGCTAGACAGGATGTGAATTTGATGGGTGAAGAAACGAAAACTCACCTTCCTTCGGCCAAAGACAAAACTGTCGGCACTGCACCTATGGCTGCGTCCGAAACACGTTCTCCTTCACAGCACGCCTCACCCTCTATAACACCGATCTCATCACCAAAGCCTCTTCGGGAACAGCTTTCGGAGCAGGTTCTGCCCCCGCCAAGCAGTACCACTGTTGTGAACCCGACTGATCCCCCCGTTCATGAGCATTCCGTTCTGATTCGTGGAAGCTCGCTGGACCCTATACCAATCGACGATTCTCAAGAGGTGCAAACTGAACCTTCGCCCCGTTCTCACAGGAAGCCCGCTCCTCTCAGAGCAGACCCTACATCCTCCAAAACCAAACATTCGCGAACTTCATCTCCACCCCACCCAGAGCCAATACATATCACCAAAACTCACCGTACTAAAATGCTACTTGAGAGGACGGGCAATACCAAGAAGCTTCATGTAGTAAGGGACTCCGATAGAGATACTCAACGCTCTGACCGTGCATCTCGACATGTCGACGATGTATCCAACCGGAGTGAAGTTATTGAAGAGACCCCCGAGCCACAAGCATAGAAACTAGAGCCCAATAGTCCTGTACCCGATTGGCAAGGTGATCTATCAGGCAGTAACATCATGAAGCATCGGCGGCCAATTACCCCTCAAAGCGATGGCAACGATCTACTTTTCTTGCCACTGGCATCATCTCTACATGCATAGCCGTGGCGTCTTATTCAACATCGATAACCTGATTTGTCGAAATCTTTGTTTCACAATCATGAGGGATATACCAATTCTGATCATCTTATTATGAAAATGCGTACATATCGCAAGCGAGCAAATACTCATAACTGCTCGCATGAATAGCGAGAGCACTTAGTACATGACTCCCTAAAGAATAAAAATATCTATATCTTCATTCTATGCTTGCTCTCATTTGAGTGACTCTGTGCTCTATTGGAAAGCAGGCTACGTCTAGACGGCACTATGTGACCCATCTTCGTCCGTCTACCGGCTTTCCTCCAGCGCTCGAGTGATGTCACCATTAGCACCTCTTCCGCCAGTCGGGTCCTCCTGCGATGCAGCTACAGCATCGTCAACATCTATGGTAACGTATTAGTATCAAATGTGTATCCACGCAATGACAGAACCACTCACCTTGAAAGCCTTGGTCTGCTGCAGCAGCAGAAACTCCAGCCCATCGACTCATCTTCTCTTTGACGAACTCGGCAAAGTCCCATTCCTGCGACTCAAGAGGCTCTTCACCGGAAATCCATACGTAAACTTCTGCTTCGATCTCGTCACCCTCAACATTATCCTCCTCTCGTTGCGAAAGGTCGCCCATGCCCTCGTTTCCCTTTCCTCCTTGCGCTAGGACTCTGACTTTGACCTTCTCTCTCTTGTAGTCCGTGCCCTCAAATATGTCCAGGCGCCAGATATCTCCATCTGTAAGACCAGAAACCAGTGTTCCACGAACTGTGGTTGATTTATCTGCTGGTATTATGGCAGGATAGTCTGCGTACCTGACCTTCCGACGCTGGAATCCGTGGAGAATTGCAGGGCGGACGTGCAGTTGAGCTTTCTGAACATCTGAGACATTTCTGGCCGAACCCCATATTACACGATGGAGAATAGGCGGAGCCATCAAGGTCCCGTAGAAGAAGGCTGTGTGCGACGGCATCTTAATGATACAGACAAGGCTGTGAATCGAAAAATGGACTCCGCGATGCTTGATTTCTAGACGATGCTTGTTGAACAAGTGACAGTAAGCGCTTAAAGAAGTGAACAGTCGGAGAATAAAAACTATCTACGAGAAGAAAATCTGTTGAACGCTGAATAGGTAATCAAACCTGATAGTTAACCGGTAGCCAGGCAACGAGGATGGAGGGGCAGGCGTCATCGGGGGATCAGCCTTACAGATGGCGCTAACCGGGGGCTAATGCACGGTAATCTTAACCTTTTCTATGATCGGCAGGGAAACTTGGAAGGGAGAATTCGCTCTCCGTCTCTCCCCTTTCTTCCAGCGCCATCACAACATTTAGCTGTGTCTTGTTCACTTCTGTTGCACTGGAATCTGAGCGGAAGATTGGGAATCAAAGATCTGTCGTTAAATAGCCCTGAGACCGTCGTTGTCGTTCTGTTCTACGCCGCATCCCGCCAATCCTGGACTTCCGCGCCCTCCGCGCACTCCACGGCCTCTTATAACCCCGACAACAATAACCGCCGCGGGCATGCTCGAGGTTCTTCAAAACCTCGACATGAGTTTCATTAACTCGATCGTTACTCACCTCGCTCCAATCTTGTAAGGTCCGCTTCGCTGTGCGCTCCTGAGCCTTCGACTAACGCGCACGCGACAGCATAGCGACAAGTCCCATAACCAGCTATGCCGACCAAATCTACTCGATACACAGGACGAGGAGTTCGTCGGGTTTCTCGCTGGATATCCCGCTGATCATGTTGGTGGCCAGTATATTGAAGTGTGTATTCCCTGCAGTTCCCAAGACGCCATATGCTGCTCTCCGCGAGAGCTCGATCTGAAAAGGACATGTGCTTACGTTCACACTTTAAAGGGTTTATTACTGGTTCGGAGCTCGTTTCAGCACATCGTTATTAGTGCAAGCGGTTTTGATGATCGGTGTCCATCTCCTACTCCTCCATGTCGCACTCACGCACCGTCCGCCGTTCCAAACGCATCCGTTCGCGCACGCGGCGCAGCCGAAGCCTCGACCGTATAGCTTCTGGCAGTGGCGGTCGACAAAGCCTTACTGGGGCTTCATAGCCTACTTCAGCGTCGTGTTGTTGGTCCTACACGTTATGTTCAGCTCGACCGGCATCTTCATCCCGTATACCAACCTTCTCGGATACATCGCGCTCGCAATCGAGGCCACGCTCCCGTGGCCGCAGCTCCTCGCCAACTACCGCCGCAGAGGCTGCAAGGGCTTCCGCTTCAGCGTGTGCGTCAACTGGATCATCGGTGACACGTTCAAGATGTGGTTCTTCTTCGCGTCCAGCGCCGGAGAAGTGCCCCTCGCGTTCAAGATCTGCGGTTGCTTCCAGGCACTCTGCGATCTGGGTCTGGGGCTGCAATTCTGGATGTGGGGTGACGGTCCGGAAGAGGACATGAGCAAGATTGCGGACCGCTACGAGATGAACAGTAAGGTTGCTGGCGAGACTGGGTATACGCCGGAAATCGACAGCTACGGTAATCCGGTGGCTCTGGGCGAAAAGGCGACGTACTGAGTTGATGTTAAAGAGTGACGGGGCACGTTTGTCATTTTCTTGATGATTTTCGAGCATTTTGGTGTTGGCGTTTGATCAACTAAGGATTGCCTGGTTGGATGGGTGGATGAATGAATGGATGGAGGTGGGATTTCCATAGCGATCGGCGCAAACGAAAACATGTATGCAACGCGATGCGAGCGAGGCATTTTGAAAGCAATTTTCCAAGACGATATGAAATAGGTAATATTTGGCATAATTATTTACTTTGAATAAAGGAACAAGCAATTAGATGTACTCACTTTGCATTTGTTGACAATCGACTGACTTGTGGTGGTTCGAATACCTAGGGGGACAATGCTTTATAAAGACCTCTTGACATGACTCCACCAACTACTCCACATGGGTAAATCAGGCATGACAACGCGTTCATCAGACTCGGCCAGTATGTATTGTGCGTAATAGATAAGATGGTAAGAAGCTATGTTGATTCCATTCATGTTCTGTAGCTGATACTACGGTGCAATTCGAGGCAATTGATGATCAATATAACAAGTATTCAAAATCCAACATCATGGCGAAGAAAATGGCAATCAATGGCATAGTCAAACAATTGAGAAAATTAGTTTCTTATAATTACCTATTTATGGGAATGAATCATCTGTATGAGTCGGTAGTGGGTCGCACACTAGGTTGGTATGAAGAACGAGAATTAATGGACATAAGTTTATCCGTATGGGCTAGCGCGCGTACCTTTAGCCCGCGTTTGGCCCGATCATCGGCATGTGTCGGATCTGATAATATTCTGCACCCGCCCTTTCCTCTTGACACTCAACTTTTCATCACTTTTTACTCGTTAATTCCCCTTGCAATTGCAGGCAAACTCGATCTGATTGCTTTTTCCCCTTCTCAAAGATCTGATAACATCTCTCCCACCACCACAACCACACACACATACACGCAACCACCAACAACCATCAGATACGACCAATCACAGTTCACGCTCAGCGTAACTTCCTCCACAGAGCAGTCGCACCTGCCGTCGCAGGTCGCTCACCATGTCTGAGGACATTGGCCCCTCCATCGTCGCTCGTCCTTCTCCAATTCCACTTCAACAACAACATCGTCCTTCTCCTCATCCTCAATCGCGTTCTCACTCCACTTCTTCTGCTTCTTCTCCAACTGCATCAGCATGTGCATCTCCTAAACCTTTCGTCCACAGCGGCGGTAATGCGAAGCAACACCACCCCGTGCATGCCCCGTCTCCCTTGTCGCCTGCGTCCGACATAGCCTCCCGCCCCGCCAGCTCTAGAGGTATGTTTATCAATCAGTTAATCAATCAATCGATCAATCGATCGATTATTATTCGCATAAAACACCAAATCTTTTTTAAGATTCCTGTCACGCGCAATCCCTTCTGCTTCTCTAGTCCTTACATTCCAATTCTTTCCTTTCTCTTCATATCGTCTTGTTCCATCGTCACCCGAGATCATGCTCAGGCCTACCGCCCCCCGAGGCAAGGTTTTTTCCTTGGGCCCCCGCCAGCTATCCGCCCGTCCACCGTTACCGGTACTAGATAGCTGATCTCAACCACACCTCTCGAACCACTGCTTCTTCCTCTTTTTCTCCTACTACATTCCCTTCTCTTTGTCCCCATTTCCACTACCACCGCCCCTGTCGCCCTGCCAAAAGAAATATTGCGTCACGCTTCCGACTTGGTTACACGGTTCCTAACCTCCCCTAGTCCTAAACCCTGCACCAGCTCCCGCCGGTCCGGCGAGAGTTACTCCCAAGATTGCCACGGCTTCCTCACCCACCACCGACCTGCCAGCACCGTCTCCTCTGGGAGGCGGTCCAGCAAGCGGTAGCTATGTAGTTCCACCTCGACCGAAGCCCGGTCGCAAGCCTGCGACCGACGAACCGGCTTCGAAACGAAAGGCCCAAAACCGGGAATCGCAAAGGGCCTTCCGAGCGCGCAAAGCTGCGAAACTTACCGAGATCCAATCTGCAGCCGAAACCGCAAATTTGCAGCACCAGCAAGAGATGAATCTCAAAGAAGCCGAGCTGACCCGCATGCAAACCCATGTCAAGCAAATGCAGAGAGAATTGGACAGGCTACGGAACGAAGCAAGGCGGTCAGAGTCGCTGATCAAGGATATGACTAGAGAGCGCGATCAATGGAGGGCCAAAACATTCGAACGGGATGAGACCATCAAGCAGCTCACTTCAAGAGACGATTCTGCCGTGGGTATGGGCTGGGCCGATCAGTCGGTTCAAGGCTTCCACAACGCCTTGAATGCTTCCAGTCACAGTTCTCCTTCACGGGACTCTCTAGGCCCATTTACACCTCTCACGAGCGCTTCGCACGATCACACGCCGCGAGCATCAGACTTGGGCTGCTCGAACTGCAACGCTACTGCAGGCGAGTGCGCTTGCATGGACGAGTTGACGAGATATTCGACTTCGACTTCTGCTCTGGACTCCGTGCCTCTCGCTCGTGCCTCCCACAGGAACCACTCGCACTCTGTGAATCATAACCACCAGGCCAATGTCGTTAATTTTGCCGAACGTGAGATTGATTTCACAGCCCAGTTCTCCAAGCCCAAGACTGTTCGTGACGACAAGACCTTGTCTATTCCGTTCATCACGGATCCCGGAACTGCTACGGCATCTCACGACAGGTGTGGCTTCTGTACCGACGATTCGAATTGTCTCTGCTTGGACCAGTCTTTGCAGCCAACCAAAGCTGAACAATCGGCGCCTACCCAAACGACAAACTCCCATTCCACAACCGGACCCGGTACTTGCGATGACTGCATGCGAGATCCTAAACAACGTGCTTGGTGTCAGAGAATATCCCAGTTGAGAAGTGAACACAGACCAGCCGGGTCATCGCCATCGCCAAAGCCCAAATCACGCACCGCGAGCGTGAGCAGTGGAATCAGCCCAATGGAACCACGCATCGACCCTGGCCCCGAGGATGGTCGCAGCTCCATTGGTTGCAGTGACGCCTATAGGCTACTGGATGGGCGTGTTCCAACCGATCGCGAGGATACCGACTGGAGTGGCCTTCATCCTCACTCACCTTCGATGCGCAGAGACACTCTACCCGCCATTGATCCTAGCAGGAAATACAGTGCCCTGGAGCTTGATACGGCCGGTGTCATTGCAACACTGCAGCAGACCATTGGACCAATTCGTCCACGAATCGAAGATGGTCAACATGCCAGTATTGTGCGGCTCGCCCAAGATCATCAGAGGGCCAGCAGTTCACCAAGAGTGAGAACCATGGACGATTCTTCGCGGTAGTAGAAGGGTCATTTCTTGATACCTAATATTTTACAATGCATGTTGTCGTCAGGCCTGGCTTTCTTATCTGCCTTGGGCTTATCTTTTGTTCAACATAGCATATCGCATTTCATTCTTGCGTGTAGCATGCATGTTGCGTAGCTTCGGAGGCTGCAAAATCTGCAGCAACGAAGACGCTAGAACAATGGGCGGCATTTTCATTAATCATGGAGTTATGAATTCTTATGTCTTGTGGGTGTGAATAATAAAAAAACCACAAGCCTAGAGGTGATTTGGGGCTCTTTTTTTTTTTAATTTTACACGACAACGTAGTTATGCAATATGCGATGAGTGCTTAACGCTTCATGCCAGCCAACATTGTCCGGCCATGGACTCACGTAGTCTATCATAGAGAAGAATACAGAGAAAAACATCGCCAGATAAGGCAATTTTGTTCAAACAATTAGTTCACATCTGAATTTTCCTCCCAATCCCGTCCAGCATGCTGTATCTATTAGTCAAAGGGGACCGTTTCCGCCTCGTGACCGTGCGATCAATGATTCATGACCTTGTTTCTTTTCCGCCTCAGGGTCCAAGCGAAAAAGGACTGCAATCATTAATTGCCATTATCCAATAAATACGTAGCCATTTTTTAGCAGGCACCAAAAAACTCCCCCGGCCTGTCTGGGTCATCACGCCATTATCCCTCACACCGTTCCGTCTTCCACGAGCAAGAAGGCGAGCATCGTGAGTGGGTGGAGATCATTCGGCGATGTCGGAGCGCGAGTAATTACTGGTGTTGGGCAGATGCTAATCTAATCTGATGATCTGATAAGAGAAGAATCTTCCTTGTCGTTACTCTTGGCGGAGGAGACTATTGGCAGTGGGAAAGGAAGGTGGGTTGGGTGGTGGGGAGAGGGGGGGCTGTTTGATTGGGTGAGGGATGGGTGGGTGGTTGGAGAGGATGAGGAAGAGGACGATTGAGGATCTTCAGTTGGGTTTTTTTTTTCACATGTAGGGGGAGGGTTTCTATTTGATTTTTTGAAGAGATGGTTCTTTCTGTCACTTTTTTATGGAGTGGATTGTTTGGTTACTGAGGTATTTACGAATGTTTCTGCAAGAGGCCAATGGTAATGGTTGTGATGTCCGACAGTTCGTGATGGGATAGTGGTCTCGGATGTTGGCATTTGGGTGTGCGGCCCGGAAGAGGCGTGGGTTTTAGGTTCTATTGAAGTGTTTCCGAATGATTGGAAAAGATGGGAATAGTGTATTTGATTGAAGACTCCAGTTGGAGAGAGGAGAAATATGTAGGATGGAGCGTTTTGGTGGCTGAAATGCTCACATCATAGGATAATTAGTAGTTACTAGTGTTTGAGGATGTATATGTACACGTACCTAAGTACTGATGATGTGCGACGTGAAGATGTTCGACTTTCCTACTATAATATAATGGTTTTAATGCTTCTTGTACATGTACACTTGCATTTATGGAGCCATAATATTCAATTTTGTTCTGTCTAAGACGAACGCTATAACCATCCACTGATGTTCTTCGGACGTAGGGTTACCTTTTTCAAGTGTCTTAAACATGGTTCTCAGAGTAGGAAAAAACTCCATTGATCTTCATTTTGCTGAATTTCATATACGTGTTTTCTTAAACGTATCGTAACATCAAATTTAGAGCAATACAAAATTACTAAAAGCCCCCAAAGTTTGGTTCTTCGCAATGGTCGCAATGATGAGGTTGTTCGCAATTGTGTCAATATCGCGTGCGGGTACATGATGCTGCTAGCCCATGTAAGCATGTCTACATCCCGCCCTTCGAGTATGGCTATTAGCAGACTATGTCTACCCTACGGTAGTAGAACATGAGCTTGGTTGTTATGTTCTACGTTTCAAAAGCATTTTCTAGTCTGACTTTTGCAGAATCACACTCAATTCCAGTTGGGTTGCTTTCACGTGGTCGGTTATCCACCAAGGCATAGTTGGGAGCCAACACCAGACTCCGTTCTACAGTAGAATATCACACAAAGCCAGAGTCATCTCTCCTTCCCAGGTGGGAGGATTTCACCGCTCTTTGGAAGATACTGATAGTGCTGGTGATGTAGGAACAGAACGAAAGTTCAGCCAACCATTGTAACATAACATTGTGTACTCAAGAGGAAGAGAAAAATTCACAGCCTAGGCTTAACGGGGTTCTATGATTGATACTAGCAAAGCCGACAGTAGAAACAGTGGCAATTACAACGGTCTAGATGTTGATGGAGCTACAATCTAGGCTACAGGTTTAAAAAGAGGTCACTGTTTCTATGTCTTTGAGCCACCTACACTTTCTTTTCACCGAAGGAGCGGAGAACGCAGTTGAAGAGATAGAACCACTCGTAGAGAACCGATATATCATAACATGTAAGGGATAGCGTAACCTTTTGGTCCTTGACCTTTGATATTCTAGCCGTTCTAGATTTTGACAACCAAGCAGCAAGTCTTTGGAAGACTGTACTCGTTCATGCATTCCATCACTCGAAGTCACGGCAGAACAGTCATTAGAGACTTGGAAAAATTGATTAGTTGCATAGTGACACTGTTTCGAGGTGAAATTGTGGCTTGAGACCTGTCAGCATAGGAGATGAAGGGAAGTTGAAGGCGGAGGGGCATACGACGATATGGTCTCAGAAGTTGATTGCTTTATTTCTGAGTCACTGGCTGAAATGATTTGGTAGAACTTCAAAGATTGGTCTTTCGGTGAGCGAATCCAATCGCCTACTAGGTCCACAGGAAACGATATTGATAGACCGAAGGAATCAAATATCAATGCAGCTTTTCAGATTCTTGTTGCCTAGTGTCCTTCACTTTAGGAATCTCGCAACTGATTCTGCATAGCCAACTGCATTGTTCTATTGAATTACATCTCCGCATTCGCTCCCGTGTCAGCTGTTCATCATATGCGACCGGCGGTTGGAATTGCCACGCCTGTATTAGACCATTGAGCGACCACCCTTCGCAACGTGAACCCCATTCAACGATAGTCTGTGTGTTCAACGTGACAAGTCAGAAGAGCTGTAGTACTTCCAATCCAACATCTCACGATATTGCACGCACCATCCGTCTCATTGGGCCGGATCCTCCGTGCAATATCAACCGGGCAGTGTATGTATATTAGTTACGCCCCGTACCAACGCAGAAAGATTTTCAAAAGCTGAGAGAAACTTCTTCTCTCTATAGTCAAGCAATTCCTACGGTTGCATGCCGGTCTAATTCTCCATCTCACCGCCCGGTGAACAATGACCTCGCAGGACATTGAATGGAAAGATCGGAACGGAAGCCTAGGCAGGGCAACACTTGCATTCGCACGAGAAACAAGGGGAGGAGAGGAGAAGTAAGGTTCACACCGCATCCGCCCGCGTCGAGCTTAATAGAACGTGTAGCTTACAGTCATACAAACATTGTTCGAATTGGAAGTGAAAGACAGCCATTTGCTTCTTGGAGCTACTAATCCATTGCCTAGAGCGGAAGGTTTGACAACGCATTTGAAGATGACTATAGTCACTGTACTCCACGTTACCATGCTTGTTATGAGACAGGTTCTCGCCCCCAAAAATATTTCAATAGCCAAGGTTTTGTTTCAGGGTCATTGGCTATTTAGCCTATTGGATTTTTTGAGTACCTACCAGTATGGGCACGGTGACGAAAGGGAATAATGAAAAACAACGTGACCTCGTTCATGATCATCTGTAAAATTGTATGTAATAGGCAAGGCTGAGCTCACATCCATAACCTGGCGAGCTTTCGTTTCTGCAGGGTCACGTTCTGTGCCTGTCCATTTTTGACATTGCTTGGCAACCGTAATGTCTTCCATTTGGCCATTCCTTAGACCATTCCATAGGAAATCGTACCTATGTCCGCGTGTGTGTTTCTTTAAAATGACCTCGATGATGAGATACTGCGCAGAGCTTTTGAATGCATGATTGATGAAACTGACATAGCTGCCTGTTGTTGCCTCTAGCCCAACCAATTCCATTGACAGAGCTCAGGCCTCAAACCCAAGAGTCAACGGTAAGACATTTACGTACCTCAAGAATAGGGGACCATTAATTCACGTGGGCATATCGCGGGGCAACCCCAGATCTGTGTTATAGCCTAGGATCTTGCACTATGTAGTAACCTATCCTCCAACCGCCTGGTCATGCCAGTTAAAATCTTTACGTCAAGGCTGACACCTCCCCTTGTAATGCGGTCTTTCATCTCGTCCGATCTGGCTCCGTGCTCATATCCGACGTCCAAGGTCTCCTTGTCCGACTATATTCACGATAACCGGCCAGTGTCCTCGAAATCCGACCTCGACTTCATACTCCACAACAGAGCTCTCCATGGATTGGATAGACGCCGTCTGACGAGGCCAAGATGGCTGGAGGCAGGATATTGCATCCTCCGGCCCTTCTGGGTGCGATTTTCATAGAGTGCCAGATATTGCCAACCAGCAAGAACACTGTACGCAAGAAAGCATTCGTCAACATCTTCATCCTTCATCAGCTCCAGGATGGCATTGATGCATGGGCGACAAGACCTCACATTGCAGGATGCAGAATGAAGCTCACGATTTCGGTCTAGGCATCAGTTCCTTTGATTCTGATCAGCCTACTCTCGCGCGAGGAAGATGTCAGGGAACATCTCATGATGAGAATGGCGGTGATGCTGGTGATGGAACAAGGGAGAACCGTCTTGGTCTCGACGACGAGGAAGAAATATAAAAGGAGCTCTGGATCTCTGTCTTTTCGATCCTCACCTCACCAGCCTGCAGCGCCTTCGGTCTTCAACTATCTAATTCCAATCCTCACAACCGTCTACTCCAATCTTTTCCCAAAGACAAAAACCTCCCCAACCCCCTCAGCAACCATGCAGTTCACCACTTTCCTCGCCGTCATGGCTCCCATCATCGCCACCGTCCAGGCCGGCTGCTACAGCGGCGGAGACTCCTGGGGCGGAGACCAGGGAGTCGCCAACTCTGTCGTCGACCAGATCTGCAACGGCGGGGGCGTCAGCGGATCTTTCCAGGGCGGCCAGACCAAGTACGCCTGCCGCCAGCTCTCGGGCTCCAAGAAGGGCGAGTTCTGGGTTCGATGGACCGGCGCCGGGACCTTGTCCCTCAACGACGGCGACTGCAGGCTCCGCCTAAAGAACGAGATCAATGGCTGCTCCAACGGTGGAGAGAGCACTGTCGCCGGATGGTTCTTCAGGTATGGATTCGAATTCACTGTCTTTTGATAACAATGATGTGGTTGCTAATGCGTTCTGTGCGAATCTAGGTCCGACCCCAACGGTGGCGCCTGCTAAGCAAGCAACTGAGCTATCAGGAATCCTAAGACTAGGATGAAGCTCCCGTGAGGAGATGGGTGGGTGGTTGGATAGGTGGACGGGTGGATGGATGGATGAATGGGTGGGAAGTTGAAGGTGGCTCTATAGCCTAGTACAGTCTTTACCAATTGACATTCTAATCGCAAACCGTCTTTTATTTGCTTCTGCGTGATATCACTTTGACAACATAGGAAGCAGATCGATGACCTGCCCTTGGAAAAGGGGTGACTATAGCTTGAGATCGAAACGTAAGAGGGAGCCGTGCTGTTAGTGTTAACCACTAGAACAAAATCTACGATGACTATGACCGTGCGTTGCTTAGACTTAGAGGGAGATGACTGTCGTTCAAATACACCATTAAAGCAAAGACTATAAAGACTATATATGTTGTCGCATATAGACGCCTCTGTAGTAGGGCGGATTACAAGCACGACCCGCAATCAGTGAATGGGTAGGGAAAGTAGATATTGACTCTGTCGATAAGCCTCTGGAGGTAGGTGGATGATGCCTCGATCTCTCTCGGCAGCCCTGATCGATCTATCTATGCCCTACCTGGTGCCTTTCCCCATACCATACACGTGATCCCCGAATAGCCTCATCTATCCTGCTACACCACAATGTCCATAGCATAAAGGGGTCGAACATATAAAGTGACGAACGCAAAGTAACCTGAATTGTACCATTAAATCGCACCCTCAGACTTCCGCGGTTCAATAACTTGGGTAGATTAACTTTGAGTTGTATCTGTGTGATGCTAAGAAAGGGGTATTATGATTTTCTCTCTCTACCTTTTGCAATGATTAGCGGGACAAAGCATTGTGTATCAATGTAGGGTGGAATAAATGACACCTATAATGCCCTCCTTGTAAAGATTAGGTTGTCTGTATCCCATTGGGATTCTCTAGGCATACACGAGTTTGATCACTGATTTATGGCACCTGTTTCGAAGATAGTTATACTCATAATCTAGCTATATAGTCTTTGAACTTTTTGTACACAATCCGTTTAGTCTAAGACAGGTGGGAATGACATAAGATCTACGAGATGAAAAGAAGTGAAAAAAAAGAAGAGTTGACATAAAAACGTAACATACAATAAATCTAAATGTAGGGTATGCAAAAGGTACGCACGCCGCATCGGGATATCTCTGAAATAAAAATGTTACACCGCAGTCTTCACCAAACCTAAAAACCCCCGGAAATTCCTAGCTCCTCCTTCATTTTGTAGTGACGTCGCCGACGTCTGTCCGGAGAAAAAAGCGACTAAGGCTTTGTCTTGTCCTTATTCATTCGCTTCACGGGATGTAGTAGTATGCCAGGCATGCACATCCTCTTCTCCTCCATTGGACCATCCGCACCGGGACCACCCTCCGTCCTTTCAGCCTCGCCCCAGTCCTGCACGGAGATCGGCCAGTTGAGCCACCTTCTGTACAGTTTCCTTGGGAACCTCGACGCGTAGTACCAGCTCCAGCCCTGGAAGTTATACTCGCGGTCCTTGTTGTACGGCGAGTCTGCCTGCTCCGTCCAAGCTCCCGGTACGGCGTCCTCGGCGGCACCCGTCGACTCGTTGACGGTCGACGCGGTGTCGAAGATGGCGGAGGTGTAGGCTTCGGGCCAGTGTCTGTCGTTGAAGATGGGGTGGGGCGCGTAGACGGCTTTCAGGCCGTGCTGTAGGGCGACGGTGGATGGCCACATCTCGGCTTGCATGCTGCGTCCCACGAGGTTCTCCTCGTGCATGGCGCGCAGCATCTTTTTGCTGAAGCGGACGACCGTGTTGATGAAGACGCGGCGGTCGATGTCCACGAAATCCGGGTGCGTGAACCAGTCCGCGGCGCCGTCTTGTGGTGTGAAGATAGGTCGCACGCCCGGAATGTAGTTCCATATCTTGTCTTTGTACGACCAGCTTGTGTTGCGTGGATCCCACATTGGGAGGAGAGTGATGAAGTCAGCTGGTTCGTTCACGCCCCAGCTGAAGTTGTCGTCCTCGAAGGACGTCGGGGGCTCCGGACCCAGTGGTACTTGTGGTGGATCGGCTCTCGCCCAGGGACGTGGGCCCCAGACTGGTGGTGGAATCAGGCTGTTGGCTGATGCATCCATCACCTCTTCGATGGTGTTTTCTACGAAGTCTTCGTATTCGCCGTGGATCGATGGGATGTAGTATCTCTTGTTTCGTTCCCATAGTAGCTTTCGCGGTTGCTTGTCCGCGAACTCGGACATCTTCTCGAAGAAATGGTAGTGGTGGCCAGTATATCTTGCGTCGGTTTCCCAGTTCCAGACATAGTCGAACTCGGGGTGCGTAAGTGAGAACCACTGTAGGCACATGAATTGCTGCCAGTACACCTGCCAGTCATACACTTCGGGGTACCACTCTGGGAAAATGTTTTCAGACCAGAGAACAGCGATGCTCTGTAGCTCTTCTGGCACATTCTCCTTCAACACCCGCTTGTACAGTGCCTCATCTTCGAATATCTTCAAACTCCGGTCTTTGACGTGAACGAAAAGGTAGACCTGGTATTCTCCACCTGACTGGAGGGAGAGCTCTGAGATCATGGCACGAATGGCAGTGATGTCGTTCTCCTCGTAATTGTATCCAGTCCACGCGCGAATCAAGACGGCCGTCCGATGATGATACTTCGGGCCATCATCTATTCTATATTCCAGATTAGTGCGGCTAGTGTCAGTCTGCTCGACCATTGCCGCCGAGACCGCGTCTGAAGACGGGCGTTCTACGCTCGGTACCTTTACGATGGGCTCTCGCGCGCCCTCTCGATATCGATTCCGATTCAGTCGCAAACAATCGTCTTGAAGCTGTCCCCAATTCACCTGCTGCCAGTCCGGTATCAGCTCCGGGGCCTTCCAGTCCTTGACTTCCTCGGGGAACTCGTCATCGCCAAATCCATACGGCCCATAGCGTGAGTACCGGTCGAAGCAGACATCGTGGTCCAAGCCGATAACGTCGTAACCTCCCGCAAACTCACGTGGAAAGTCCTCCGGAAGGCCATCGTAGACCTGGACCTCATCGTCCGTGCTGATGTTCAATGGGATGTTTCGCGGTCCGAGACAGGAGACATGCTGCCCTCTCCACTTCTTTCCCCAAGCAGGAGAGTTGTAATCTGGGAACGGCTTGTAGGCCCTTGGGGCAGAAGCAGCGGACTCATTAAGCTTGTCGTGGCCATTCTCATACGGCCGATAGTCACTGCGCACATGTTAGATCCTCCCACCACCAATGCCGACAGTGTCTTGTAAAATGGAAAGCGGAAACCTACAGCTTGAATTCCTCCCAGCGATTGGGATCGTAGCCCTTGTCTTTGTATGCACCGAACGGTGGCCAGTGACCATGCCAGCTAGGCCTAGTCCAGTTCAACATACTGTCGATATACACCTTCAAACTCTCTCCGTTCAATACACCTTGCCCATACGATCCCTTTGCCCTGCTCTTCCCTGAATTTGGAACCCAGGGTGGCCTTACCGCCACAGGAGGGAACTCATCAGATTTTGGAGGGGTCTCCGGGGGCATGTGCAAAGGCGTGCCCGTAGATGTCGGAAATGCTGAACCGTTCGAGGGCGCTGGGAACAGATTGATCTGATCGTACAGAATAGCTTCGTTCCATGTTGACTGTTGAAAGATGGTCAAAGTGACCATGAAAACTACAAAGGCAAGAAAAGCAAGCCTCTTGGGAGAGCGGACGAGCATCGTCGGCGGTCTTCCTGCAAGGGGCAGGGGGAGTGATTTCACTTGTGTGAGGTAAGGATAGCAACCAGAGATAAGATAAAACCTGTTGCGTCAGGAAAGAAAACAATTCTGCCTAATCCGGTATCTATCGTATGTAGACCAGCATATCTTGGTGTCGAAGTCGTAAATATAAATGGAGTTGACTGGCCGACAGCAGTGAGCCGAGGGGTATCAGAGCAATCCGAATTCGATTGGGAGAAAAGAAAAGATAAAAGAGCGAAGTAGACACTGTCGAATCCCACGGTCTGGCCGAGGACAGGAACAGTGCAGTGCGAATGTTGAAGATGATTTAGGCAAGTTGCGACAAAGGAATGTGAGTAACGCAAGCGGGAGATATCACCCACCAGGTACGAGGACAGACGGAAAGGCAAACGCAGAATGGCAGAAACGACGAAGAAAAGGTCAAAAGGAGGATGTTGATCCAGAGGATTGGGTATATAACTGTGACACTATGCATTTTCTAACTAACATGGGTACTGTTCAATTAATCTGCGAAGTCCCCCCAAGACGGTGGCTACACAGAACGGTAAGAGACTGCTCATGCGTCGCAAGCCGTGTGCTTGGAACGTTGGTCTCTCTCCAATGGACCCCCAGTGTTAAGGATGGGAATGGGTCCGTCCTGTGGGATGGGGTCCGGGATGGGAGGTCGGACGCGCTGGAGGCTCTCTGATGAGAATGAGATTGACGGGCATTGCTGCAAAAGCAAGTGGATTGGGAGATGATCGTTGCGCAAAACCGGTGGAGGTGTGATGTAACTCGGAGATTAGTTCAGACGTTAGTTGTACCAGAAGTTTTGTTTGCTTCCACTCAAAGGGTCCGACACGGGACCGTGCACGGCGATGATCTCCTTACATCTTCCTTCACACTGCACAGCGAGGTCCGCTCACAGTCTGCTTGGAGGCTAATCTAGGTAGATCCACGTCGTTTGTAGAAAATCATTCCCACTTTTCCTCGACCAAGCAATCTGTACAGACGGTACGGAGTAATTTGGCAGACTCAAGAATTGTGGGACATACAAAGAAGATCTATCAGCGACGCGTAAGACAACCACCAACAACTTTTCAAGACGTCTGAACGACGGCGACACCTCTTATGTGTGTCCTTTTCTACAGTAGATCTTCTACGGAGTAGAGGAGAGGTCATCTCGATTCTTACGAGTACAGTATCCGCACGTAGGCATAACCTTTGTCACGTCAATCCATGGAACACTAGACGTACGGTAGCACTTAAGAGAATTGGGTCTATTTGTGGATTCTTGCAAGGTCATATCTAACAATCCTCAAGCCAGTAATGCCTATGCTTCTGCAGTCAAGATATTGTCCATCGCACACATCATATCACGTTTGCGCTAGGCCAGAATCCTTTCGCAAGGGAGAGATGGCACAATCCCGCTATCTCATTTCACTCATTTGAATCGAAATGAGGCCGGTCGATTAGCCCGAGATAACTGACACCTCGCTCCCGTCCGTGGGGTTCGCACATCATCATCATCTTATCTTCATAGCTTCATACCCGCCGCCCTAATTTTATTTTCCGACGCAGTACCAATGAACACGAGATTGCCCTGTACTGCTTTACTTCCACTTCTGCACCACCACCCCTCCACGCTTGAACTCTGCCAAGTCGCCCAAGACCTGGCTCTTATCATTAAGCTCCTTGGAGGGGAAGGTCGTCATCAAAGCATACTCTCGCTGCAGGCTGGCGGTGCTGGACGCATTCACGAAGTTATATACATCCCCAATCGTGTGAGTCGTATTGAACTGAGACTGTAGCCTTGTGCCATCCCCAAGACGGATCTGGAGATTGATGGTTGGCACCGAGGAATCTACAGCAACTGTTGCTGCCGCCGAGCCAGTTGACACTGGCGCCGAGGCGGTGGTTGTCGATGTTGCAGCTGCAGGGGGAGGTGGCGTAGACGACGCACCAGGTGTAGGACTGCCCAAACGCTGACCAGAGCCTCCGAAAGCAACATACTTCTGCTTTGGTCTCTTGTAGTCCTCGTCCTTGTGCGGATGCACCTCGACATCGACCTCTTGCCCATGCTCAACATTCAAGATATGTAGCGGGGCATGTCCTGTGTTGATCATCTCTAACGTGCGCGCATTCGTGGGATCATCGTAACGGTAGAGCGGTCCGTCGTCAACCGAGAAGCCATCGCGCCAGAGATGAAGCTCACGATGGGCCCGTGGTGCCGGCTGTGGAACATCTGCACTGGGATCTGGAATCGCACGACTGGGAGCGTCGTCGCCTCCGAGGGTCATACCGGTACCCGTGAAGCGGGAAGCTGGCTCTGCACTGTCACCACCAGGACGTGGTACACCTCTGGAAAACGGGTTAGCCTGTGCAGTCTGGTTGTGAGTATTGTGTGACTTACTGCCGGGCGCGTCTCAGGATGCTATTGATTTGATCCCGAGGATTTGCTTGATTGGGGTTCTGGACAGCAAGGCCAGATTTCTCACCACCGGCGAAAAAGTCCTGGTTCTCTTGGTCATCCTCCTCGTCGTCATCGTCATGATCATGACCGTGGCCATGTCCGCCGCTTCGGCCTTGCAAGTCTCCGAGTGTCCTCAAGCCACGCTGAGCTGGTGCTTGACGGCCTTGTGCTGGTTGTCCTGATGATGAAGAAGCAGGCCCAGGTACGTACGAGCCGTCTAGGGTGCGTCCGCCGCCTTGAGGAACGTTGGGGTTCGGGTTCTGTTGTTGATCGTCGCCGGCCATGTCGTTGTCGGAAGCTGAATCGTCGTCTCCTTCGCTGTAAGGCGCTGAAAGGCGGGAGCCTTCGAAGAAGAGGGAAGCTGCGATTTGAAGATCGCCGTTGGCAGCGGCGAGGTACTGTTCTGCCTAGAGTCGATCGTTAGTCAAGAGCTCCGGAGCCTTCTACAAGCTTCTGTCTAACCTCTGCGGGAGCTAATCCGGTCAGGCTTGAAAGTTCGGCAATAAGGGAATCCTGGTTGGCAGGTGCAGCAGAGCCCGAAGACATATCAGATCCTCTTAGCGATAGATATGTAAAGGTGTTTGGTTTTGGAGCTGTTGTTGATGATGGTGGATGTTTGGTGAGAGGCGTCGGGGGAGCTTCGTCTTGTACTCATGGTGGGGCCCCGGAGGCGACGTCAATGTTGCCTGCCCACACAGCCTTTGCGTTGACCTGATTGGCTGGACCAACAACACCCTGCCAGATGAAGGAAACATTCAATTTACTGCATCATGATTGCTAATATTTACTGAATGTTTAATTCTAGCTTTTCAACGAATGTCATTCGACACTCAATGCCCGCGGGATGCGAGGAAAGAAGCTCATGTATTGTTCCAGAAAGCTATAACCTACCGATTCTATGCCATTTGGATATTACCATTCCTCTTCGAAACGGTCGACGGATGAATTCTATGATTGAAAAACGACTGTCATTTGATATAATTGGTGTTATATTTACTCCTGATCTATGCTGTTCGCTTTCTGAGGTGTATTGGATATTAGATCTTCTCAGGGGATTTTGTTACTCATTTCGGCGAAACCATTGCGTTGCAACTCTCAATGCATCCGTGAGATGTGCTCTGTATGTAAGAGTTCAGCACCGAAATTGCACGGCCAAAGAGCAATCATGTCCAGTATCGTCGTATTCGTTAAGCATTTAACGCTACCAAGAATCGATCTAGGTGTAAATGTCTTAGAAATAAGCTTTCTATACAGAAGCGTATTCCGAACACATGAGGCATATCGATCACATTTGTATAGGAGAAGTTTCCGCGCAAGCAACTCTCCCATAGGAACCCCTATCGCGAAAACTTCGTCATGAACTGGAACATCTCTTACACAGCCCGTGAAACTCTCATCTGTTCTTGTCGCGACCGCCTACGACTATTCAAAGCAAAGCGCGCTGAAGGATTTCGCTTGTACCCGGCTCCCCAGCCTCACACAACCCATCCAACTCTTTGAACCAACCAGGGCGAGAAAACGCAAATCATCTTACGATTGCCATGAGATCGGCAAGAAACATGGAACACGAGAATAGTGCTGAAACCAATCGCAACCGGTAAACCTGCGTGTTTAGATGGCGTTATTCTTTTTTGGGGGAACATGGATGAGACATCTATGGAACGCAGCTACCATTCCCAGTGCATTCTACTCTCAGGCCAGATCGAACACCTTATGTGAAACAAACCGCATATGAGGAAACAATATATGTATGTGAATCAGTTTGCTTGAATCTCCACAATGACCTTCACGTGTAAGTAATTGCACGCAATATGCAAGCACCCGTGGCGCATGAAGTAGCACCAGCCACCCCTTCACATCCTCGGAACGACGTCCTTAGTCAGCCATGGGAGATCTCCAAGAAACGGTGACGGTATACCGAGATCCAGATAGATATCGAAGGAATTCGTAGTAACTATCGTTCCCGTTGCTTAATCAATCATTGGATCGACTGGTCAATTAATTGAGGACCTAATTTGACCCTCCGACCCATAGATCTCTCAGTCCGCGGGACCAACCATCCCTTGGCATTGTTTTTCCCGCCCAAAGTTCGTTCCTCAGCAACCTCACCTCCGCATTCGATATATCCACGATCTTAAGAACCCACCGCCAACTCCACCTCCCCTCCCATCCAGCGATACAAACCACCACCACCTCACCCTCAACTCCACCTCCCACGACAACACTCCACGCAAAACGCACAACACACCCACGCCCCCTCCGGCACCACACCCCCATCCTCCCTCCAACATCCATCCCCAAAACCATGGCCGACCTCGACCAACCAACACCCCTAACGTCCTCCTCCCTCACCCTCCCCTCAGACAGCGAAACCTACCTACACTCGCCCCCCGCGTCGCCCTCGCCCGCCCCCTCAACCACAACCTCCTCCTCGCCACTAATCCTCTACAAGCCCCCGACGCTATGGGGCCTCCTCCGCGGCGCGGCGATAAACCTCCTCCTGCCCTTTGTGAACGGGTTGATGCTCGGGTTCGGTGAACTGATTGCGCATGAGGCGGCGTTTCGGTTGGGGTGGAGTGGTACGAAGGTATGTTCATGATCTTGGGTAACTTGGGGGATGGGAGAGTGACTGACGTGTATGAACAATAGATCTTCCCGGTGCATCGAAGCGGCGCGCATAGTTTGGGCCCAGGGGTCGAGGCGAGACCGGATCCTGTGGAGAGGAAGAGGAGGAGCGGGCAGGAGTTGGATATGTACACTGCGTTGGAGTGATTATGACACGAAGGGGGGTTTGGTTGTCAAGGTTTCGGTATGTGGGAGATGAGGAGGGGATGTCAGACGATTGTCTCTTGCTGGCCTAGCATGGCCTGGAGAGGCAGAGGGAGAGGGGAGGATTGTATATAGACGGGGAGGGAGTATCTGGGAAAAAAATAAATGGCATCGCCACTTCGGTGGGAATTCATGGCTGGGAAGCGTGTGGTGTGTAGGATCTTTCGATCCATGATAATGGGGTCGAAGTAAGAAAAAAGGGTAATGGGAAAAGCAATATACTGAGAGACCGCAATATAAGAAATTCTTCTAAACCAGTTTTCACGTATAATGTCTGTATGGGTAGAAGAGAGTGCAAGGGACCCGAAGATTGTGTACACACGATACTGTGAATCTAGTTCATACATGTCTGATCAAGATTGAATTCGTATTTGTACATACAACCAACCAACCAATCAACGAAGGGGAGAAACCAAAGCTGAGACTCTAGGAAGATGGACAATGCAGTGTCTTTCCATGATCTTTATCTCCCTCCTCTCTTTTATCCCGACCCAGAATTCTTTCCCATGTAATGCAAAGCAGGAGGCTCCCTTGGCGGATATGAGTGAGATAAAAACGGCTCCCCTCTTCATAAATCTACATATTATACAAAGCGTGGGTTATTTTATTTTTCTTAACCTTCTTTCTTTCTTTCGTACTTTCCTTTCACTTCCTACCCCCGCCCAGCCTCTCCCTCCTCCTCTCCTCATACTCCTCCGCCTTCCTCTTCGTAGCGTCCCTCTTGCGCTTCAGCACCGCGCTGGCGACGTCGTCGCGGCCCTGGGACGACGCGAGCTTCGCGACGCTGAGCTTGGTGCGGTTCCAGAAGTACCGGGGCGCGTAGTTGCGCCGCATCCAGTCGACCTTGCCCATGAAGTCGGCGGGCGGGCCGCCCTCCCAGTCGTTGTCGCCCGTCGGGTTGTTCTTGTCGATCTTGGCCTCGGCGGCGCGGAGGTGGTCGGGGATCGCGGCCGTGGATTTGAGGCGGAGGCCCCGGTGCGAGATCCCCTTTGTGCCGGGCGTGGTCTTGGGGGTTGTGGGTGCGGTGTAGACGGCTTGCTGCTGGGGCGCGCCGCCGGCGAGCGTCTGCTCGGCGGTCTCGAGGGAGATTTCGCCGCGCGCGACTTTGGTCCAGAATTCTTTGCTTTCGGCGGAGGGGAGGGGCGAGATGCCGAGGGCTTGTCGGATCGAGGCGGTTCGGAGAAGCTTCGCGGATCCGGCACCGAGGAGCGTCGAGGTGACGAAGTAGAGCTGGGTGCCGGCGGGTTGCCAGCAGGTTACGACGGTGATGAAGGCGGGCATGATGGTCCGCATGGCGAATTGTACGCCTCCTGCTGTGGTCTGGTCGCTGGCTCCGGTTTCTCCTCCGTACTAGATTGGCATAAAGTTAGTTCGAGAAATTTGTCTATGAGGCCAAATTGTTCCTTACCTTCATCAAAAGATGCATCACACCGCCAACCACGACCGGGAGGACGTAGTAAGGGTCCGCAACGGTCAAATCCTGGAACCACAGGAAACCACCCTGCTCGAGGCCTGGCGCTGGGAGTTGGGACATGCCTCGCAAGCACCTGAAAGCACCGAAACCGAAAAGACCCTGAGCGATGAGCGGGGGGAATCCCTTGAAAGGATTCGTTCCAGCCTGCTTGTAGATCTGGTTCATCTTCTTCTTGAGAGCTTCCGTCTTGGCGCTGTTGCCCGACCGCATGGCCTCGCTGAACTCGGCCTGGACGTCCTTGACGATCGGTTGTACGGCGGCCATCTTGGCCATGTTGTCGGAAGCGGAGCGCTGGAACCAGAAGCAGCCGATGCGGATCAGGGCGCTCGACACTATGATGGACGCACCCCAGCCCAACTCACTCGAAATGTAAACGTTCTCGATCAACCACTCGAAGAATGCCGTGAAGCCCCATCCATAGTCAAGTCCCAGCTCTTTGAGTGTTCCAACCTTCTCAATCGCGTGGAGCGGATCGGTCGAAGTAAGGATTGCGGCGGGTGTGTCGTTGTTCAATATGAGCTGGTCAACGTAGTCCTCAACTGTTTGGGCCGGCGCCGCTGTTGCGGTGGGTTGAACGGTTGCTGTGCTCTCCACGACTGGCGCTTTGTCGATACCTGCCGGCGTCAATTCTGGCGTCGCTGTTGTGACTGTCTCGACCGCCGATTGTGCCGATGTTGCCTCTGCAGACTGATGTGCTTTCTGGAAATCAATTGCACCTGCGTCAGGTGATGGCGTGCTGGATCTGCCCCATGTCCACGGCGCATACCATGATCCGTATCGTACCGAATTCGCTGTCAACGTAGCATTGGGCGAGGAAGGGATCGCTCCAGCCCGCCAGGCTGCCGATTGAAGAGGGTTTGTTCGTCGAGAGCCGGTTGGGAGAGCAGAAGTGCGAGGGAAAGATGAGAACTACGATTTGAAAAGTCAGTAAAGGCAACACAAATTCCAAGGTAGCAAAGGCCAATTGAACGGAAATCGGCTGCCAATCGTTGTCTTTCGTGTGAAAAAGACGATGACATTATCATGCAATGCGGAGCAAATGGACACCCGCGAGTGTCAGTGACGGATGGGTTATTAACGTACTTTTCTCGCAGCACCTCGACAGAGAACAGAAGATTGTCGCGAGGCCAAAGGAGCAATATGTGCGGGCCTCAGCCCTCTACTCGGAAGCATGGTTGGTGGTTGGCCTGGATATTGTACCGTGATGAGGTCCAAAAGTTCGAAAAGTGCACGCACGGCCTGATGCGCCAAGTATTTCCTACGGCAGGCTGTTAGTGCCAAAAGCGCATCCCCACAGCCGTTGACCGTCGTTCTTCCAAGCCCTGCGATGGACACAATCACACAATGGGCCATTTGCAGCAGCAACTTTCAGTGATGAATTGAAGAGACTTGTATTTTTATTTCTCGAAAGATACTATCCTTGCAGTAAATAGCTTTTCTGCTTCCCCACAGCACCATTAAAACATCTGCCCGTGAAGACTACATTAAGGTATCTAATCGAGTCGACCAGGGCCTGCGCCAGGCTAGTAGTACATAAAGTACAGTGAGCTCGTCCGACAGCCGTTGCCTGCGCAAGCATGTGGCAGGGCAGATAATAACAAGGAAATATCTGTAGAAAGGAGGAGAGAGAAAAATGGTTGTTACACAAGCAACAATGCATAATGCAGAAAGTTACACCAATTCAGAAGCGCCTTTTCCCCCTACCCTGCAGACTGGTATCATGTCGTATCGTAGTTGATTTTCACCGAAGGGGATGCTCCCTTGGATATTCCCACCATGACGCCTTGTGTGAATGCAAATAATATCGAAACCGGAAAAAGAAAAGGGGAGATCGGGCACATTTGGAGACTGCGTGCTCAATCGACGTAGCCACTGCCTTCGGTGACAGCCAAGGCTTCTTCTGCCTGTCCGCCGTCGAGGTCGGTCATTTCTTGAAACATTTCACCACTGCCTGAGCTCTTGAAAAGATCTTGCATGGGGCTGGTGGACCCCTGGCCGCCACCTTCGAATAGCCCTGGGTCGATTGGTTGGATGTTGGAACCGCCACCATATGTCAGTGGTGCAGTTGTCGCAAATGTCGGAGAATGGTTGTAGCTAGTCGTTGACGTCGTACTAAAGTAGTCCTGGTTGTCAAAGTTTCTATGCGTGCCAGGTGGATCTCCAGGAGGAGTATGTGATGGTTCAGGGGCTGGTTGGAGTGTCAATGGAGTCTTGCTTGCGTCGATGGAATTACGCTTCGCAATATGGGTCTTGGTGCGCAAATGCTGCGGAAGGTCATCCGGATTGGTGATACCCAATTGGTTCATCAGCTTCTGTTGCTTTGTCGGGCGAGGCTTGCGTGTAGATAGAGACGCCTGTAGGATCGGTGGTGGTATCGGAGCCACTGGCGCCCACTTGTGCAACTCTTGACGGAAGAAGTTTATCTCATTGGCCAGCAGGATCTCAGCGCCCTCGAGCTTACGGAGATAGAATCGTTGTGTGGTGAGCTCATCAGGGCTAGACATCAGCGGGTTGATGTACTTCGCCACATAGTCCCGGAACCGTAAGCCGTTATCAATAAGAGATTCAAGTGTGTCCTCTTCTTCGGGCTGGAACGGTAGTGAAACAATCTCGTCCTGCCAGACTTGGAGATCTTCGAGTTTGGGTCGGGCTGCGTCTCTAGGTATCTTGACGCGGTAGTCGCAGATTGGGCATGTATACTTATCGTCTTCCTTGACTTTGCCTCGAGCGATCTTGAGACATTTACCATGATACCTAGACAACGTTAGCAGACGCATCATCCGAAGAACACCTTGTACTTACCACTCGTGGCAGAGCTCACACTCTATCATCATCCCTGCTTCAGGTCTACGGCAAATGCAAAAGACGTCCCGACTTGAGCTGGAACCATCTACATTATCGCCTTCGGCAGGACTTGCTTCGCGCGAAGCGGGCTCCACTGGCATGCGTGGCTGGTCGGAGAGGTCAAAGCACGAGCGATTGCGGTCATCCACCGACTTCATGTGCGCTCCGAGGATATGAAGGGGAGCATTCGCTTTTCCGAATAGCTTTTTGCCGCGTCTCATCCAATCTTCGTGCCGTTTTTGTTCCTTTTCAAGATCGATGGTACCAGCCGGCTTGCTGTTCAAAGCACTCAACGCCTCCATGGCATCCCGAACTTCCTTATATGTGGGTCGCGACCTGAAATCGACGTTCTTGCTTCGCTCGTATAGCGACATGATCAGGTCCTGTGCATCCCGTTGCTTTTTCAAAATAGCTTCGACTGCGGCGAGAGTTTCAGGCGTTACCGGGAGGGTAGCCGCTTGCTTGGAGAGAGCGTCTAATTGTTGGTAATGCACGTTCTCTACCGCCATCAGCTCGTTGGCCTTCCTCTCCCAAACCTCACCCATAGTCTTCTTTTCCTGATAATAATGAATCTCGGAATGGGTATCTGGAATGCCAAGTTCAAGACCTTGTGCAAGGAGATCGGTGACTTCTTGGAGACTGGACTGTTTGTGGCGGTATTCCTCGGCAGTATTTAGCCACTTGAGCTGCTGTACCACACGTTCGAGCGATTCCAACTCTGGGATATCGACATTGAAGCTCCTGCCCTCCTCAAGAAGCTCGTCAAGCGTGTCGAGGCCCGTCTGAGACGCTCGATCTCGCAATACTGTCTGCGATTTAAGCTGGAAGGCAACCACGTTGTCATATCGCTCGCGTAGAGCTGCAAGCTCTGGACTGTCAAAAGAAAGACGTTCGGCCTTTTGGAGCAGTGCCTGCATGTTCTCAAGCTTTCGATACTCCCGTTCTTTCTCATCGACCTCAGCGGCGGCAGCGGCCGCTTTGCCAGCAGCGCCTCTTCCGCGCCATGGGCGATCATTCTTCCGTCGATTCTGTTGCTTACGGACCGTGTAGTTGATCGCTTCCTCGGATACCGTAGTACATTTATCGACGAAGCTTTTCAACTCAACAAGGCCCGGTAGTTCCCAGTCTATCTTTTCACCCTCGTTGACAAGTGCGCGCAAAGCCTTCAATTGGGGTTTCGGACCATCCGCGAGCAAAGTCTCTAGCTTTTCCTCCCAAGCTTCCGGGGTGCCGGCCTTGTCTATGACCTTCTGTACAGTCGATTGGAGGACTTCGTCTGAAACCCGATACACGAGTGTATGTTCTGGCCCTCCGAGGTACCGAGCACTTTCCGTCAATCCAGGGCAACATTCAAACCAACCAGCATGTCGTAGGCACACCGTCTTCTTGTTTTTGGTACAAACGAAACGAGACAGGTAGCTATATCCTTTACAGTACGCACATATCATTTCGTCTTCGTGGATATCGGTCTCGTCTATGAGGAATTCCATCTGACACTTGGGTTCGGCATCCAGGGCTCCATCGATGGTACATGCATGTTCGAGTACGGCCTTGTGCTTTGTCAGGAATTCACTGCGTGCTTGGATTTCCCGTTCCAGCATACGTCCAACGGCAGGTGCGAGCCATTTGGCTGTTTTGATCGTAGTATCTTTCCGAGATGCAGCTGCGTAGAGAAGTTCGTCGTGGGAGAAGCAAGGCTGCCTACGATAATCCTGCAAGCGCTGAACGCTCATCTCTCCATACGGCTCCCAGTCGCTTGGTGCGAAGTTGACGGCCTCATTGAAGTTGAAACCGTGGTTGAAGCCGGCGTGATATGCTTGCGGGAATGTGATTACAAACTCTCCAGCTCTCTGATCAATGGCATAAACCCTAACGCCTGCTTTCATCAGTTGGTCTGGAGTCAGAAGCGTGACAAGCTGGAACAGAAGATCTGGTTGGGTCTCAAAAAGCTCCGGCACGGCATCCCTCATTGCCTGTTCAAATTTCTCCGTATCTTCAGCTGGAATGCCGTACCAAGTCTTGGTGGCGCCAAAGTGTTGGTAGTTGGAAGAATAGGTGTAATGGTCCTCGTTATGCCAGCAGAAGGTCGAGAAGACCATGCCTACGTACAGCCATGGAACAGTCATACCGGAGATATCTGACTTGATATGACGGAAGAGGGATTCTGACGCATAGGGCAGGATGTTCAAATTCCACTGATCGGTCGAGTAAGGGTCGCGTGGGTTTCGTTCAATCGTAGGGAAGCCACTGCCGTGTGTAGTTGAGTGCACGTCCGCGCCATATTCGACCTCGACGGTTTCTGTAATGCTGACAGCTAGACGCCAAAACTCTCGTTCAATATCGTCTTCGGTGACGGCTCGCTTCTTATTAGTCACGGGGTCGAAAGGCATCTTGGAAGAGAAATGGCCTTCCTTGAAGTTGAATGCCTTCTCTTGAAATTGCTTCAGGGAATAGACACAGCCTTCCTCGAATCCGAACTCGCCAGTGCCGACGAGACACTTGGCACAATGCCAATCATGTTCAGGAATGCCTTTGACGGGAGGATCCAGACAATAGCCATGATAGCCGGCATCGCAACTGTCGCAGAGTAGGATCTGGGAGGGATCTTTGTCATCTCCGCAGGTCTCGCAACGCTATGTCAAAGTATTAGTACGGTATCTATCTTCATAAATGATAACAACACAACATAGGGAAATACTTACATCGCCAGGACGCTCATCGGGTACTCTTGTGCGTGGGTTGAATGGAGCTGGCGTTGGGAGTCTAGGTTGGGTCATGTGGGAGCCCGCCACGGTGGGTGCGGCATCTGCGTGTATTCTGTTAGCCTGGCTCGGCGGCCCAATAGAAAGCGGCACTCAGCAATCAGACCGTGCCTGGATTAAGACAAGGATGCGTCCATCAGCAACCCTGTTTTAACGACAGAGAGACAGACAGACGCACACAATCCACCAGACAGGGCAGGGTTGCAGAGCGCCTGCATGTGCGAACACCACTCACCTTTCTTTACACGCTTACTGCGTCGGCCACTTGCCGAATCTGTATCGCCATTCACGCCGCCCTCGGTGTCTTGCGACATTGTTCGCTTAAGCTGATTAAACGCCGGCCCATTCGAGAGTGGTGTCAGGCCAGCACCAACTGGGCGCAAATCAGGCGTATTGTGGGCTGACAGCATAGGGCTACCATTTCGTAACGGTGTCGAGGTGCGCGAGTCCATAGTCTCCCGATGAAATCCATTGGGGCCGTTCACGGCGGAGAATCCACTGGGTGTAGATGCCGGCTGAGGTGGAGGTTGAGCGTTCACAGCAGTGAATCCACCTGCATTGACTGGTGTGAACCCGGAGGTTACGGGGGCTCTTGGCGGCTCTGGAGTGGAGGCGGAAGTCCGATTCATCTCGCTCTGCAGCGCAGCGTTGAGCGCACCCGATGCCCTCACCGCGGGTGACTCTGTGTGGTTCGGCGTGTTTTGCGTGGATTTCTTCATTGGAGAAGGTGCTGGTGATGGAGTGTAGGGACCACCATTCTCGTACTCGAGCATCTGGTGGACTCCGGGTTTGGCAACTCTTAGATATTCCTCATATGGATGGAGCCATTTCTGATAGGAGTTCTTGAGCGAAGTCGATAGCGAGGACATGATCTTGCCACTATAGCCAAGATCACGACCAATTTCTGCCCATTTCTTATGCTTGCAAACACGGTCGAAGCCACCCCTCGTCTCGACAGCTTTCTTAAGCTTATAGAGATCCAAAGGACGTTTATCCACGGACGGAAAACGAGTAAGACTGTTGCCATGCTGTTTGTGAAATTTTGACAATTGATCAAGGTAATTAAGATTGGCACGTGTTCCTGATACGAGTTGTTAGCCAGGTTGGAAAATGGGCGCAACGCAGACGAGGGCCATAGCTCACCTCCTTCTACGGAATTAAGCTGCTGTCGTCGAGTTTTGAAGTGAAATCGCTGCAAACGAGTTAGCTTTGTGCTGAATGGATGCTATGTGTGGCGGATAGTAGAATAAAGTAGAGTAGGATGCGCGATCGAACGCTGCATCAAGGCTGCAAATGGACGTACCTCAGTATCTACAGCGAATGGTGGATTCCAGTTGTCGGGCGGAATAATCTTCACAATGCCATACTTCTCGCCTTCCTTCCTAATCTTGCCGATGTATTGAATTGGATCCTTGAATTCGTCCGCAGTGGGCCTGAATGTGGGAGCCTCCTGCAGGCCAAAGATTCGATTCGCCTTGGGTGGTTCATTGTTGGGTGCGCCATGTCCTCTGCGTTCGACGCTCGCGAGATCCAAGGGCTGTGCCTTACGAGCGCTGAGAGGAATCGAGGAACCAGCACCAGCGGCCTGCGCGCCATTGGTACCGGATTGTGTCGCACCGCTCATACGTGATTTTGGAGCCGATGGGCCGGGAGCTGGTCTATTATGTCCTGCTTCGATTCGAAAGACAGTGGTGGTGGCGCCCATGGCAGGCCCACCCTGAGATGCAAAGTCCACCATCGCACCTCCGCTGCCTCGGCCGGCGCAACAATCGCTCGGATATCAAAGGGCGAATATTGGGGACCAGCGATGGTATGTGGTGGTTGGAGAGGCAAGCCCTCGATGTAAAAAGATCGGTTGGGAGGATTATCGAAAGCGGATATGGCGCGGCATCAGAGATGCGCGGAGAGAGCAGCTAGTGACAGATGGATCGGAGGGCCGACAGATGGGAGCGATGGCGGAAAATTGAAGAGTGGAGATACGCAGTATCAGGGGATACCGTAGGGGTAGGTCGGTCGCATGTGTTCCTGTTGAGAGAAGGGTGGTGTGTCAGTATGTGTAGGTAGAGTGTGGGTGTGTTGGTGGTGGAGAGTGAAAGAAATCAGACAAGGGAAAGGAAGAGGAAGAGAGGAAGGTGAAGAGGTGAGTGAGTAGCCGGAGGTAGATAGTAGAGGAGGGTAGGGTAGGCGGATCGTAGGGTTGGTTGGTCGGTTGGCTGGTTGGCTGGTAGGGAAGGGTTTAGGGCAGGTCAGGACAGGCCAGGCGTGACAGGGTAGGCACTCACCACTTGCACTCAAGCCTCAATGGTTCTCAATAACAAGTGGTACAATAGGAATCGACCACAAGTTGATAAAACCAATAAAAGGTTCTAAAAGGTAGGGATCAGAAAAGTAAGGTATCAATATTATGATATGATCAGTGTTCAAATACTATACTTGGTACCGAGTAACAATCACCGCCAACACAGTCAATGTCTCCGGCACGCTAGTGAAATTGTCGAACGAGGTGCCGCAGGTGAATGCCATTCATTACACGGTACAGACATAATACCCCGTACCGTACCGTCGATATAGCCAGGTAGCTGATACATCTAACACCTCAATTAGCCCACCCCACACGTAACAAAGAAATATTCGCTTCTTTCGTGGAAGAACTAAGTGCATTTGCCCACGATAATGCAGTCCTGTATCAGTAGCACCGTGATCCTAAATTATATATAGGTACCTACCACAGTAGGTATCCATGAATATATAAATAGACATGGTACTCAGTATCGTAATGCCTTCCCAACATCCCCTATGATGTTCCGATGCAACCCATACTTGCTTGGCCCTTCAGCCTTCGCCTCGTCATACCTTCCTTTGCTCTGCTTTCCTTGTCCTTACTCCATGGGAGGTGGGATTTAGGTTTCCTAAGGATATGGAGTCATCTATGCGCAGGCCTTATCATGGGCTTTGAGACGTCGAGGCTGCCCATAGCTCGCTCAAACATGACGAGTACAAGTACAGTCCTCGGTGCCGCCACCTCACCGAGTACAAAGTATAAACGGTCGCTTTTGCTTCCGTCAGTAGATCACTCCTATTCGAGTCAATGCGCATATATCCTGCTATGTCACAGACCGCAGTAATGTAAAACATCTGATCTCTTTCGAACTATGCGACATTCACTGTGATTGCCGACTATCACTCCTGGATGTCGTTCTTATTCGTACTCGAGGTGCGCACGTTCTAGGGAATATAAGCAAAGCAGTAAATGGGTGGACGGTCAGATAGATAAATGGATAATAAGTCATGACGACGTCTAGACCGATTGACGTTGGGTGCGGTGGCAGGGCAAGTCAGCGTATGTGGTACGAGGTAGGGTCGGCTGCAAGGGTAATCAGGTGGGCGCACAAAGTTACAGAGACTACACAGTATGGGCTTGAGGGGGCGAAAGAGGGGGGCCGCATCGCCAGTAGGCAGTCACGCAGTGAACGGTGAATGGGCAGCGGGCACTGGCACTGGTGAGTGAACACAATACACAGTAAGGTGGGTGGGCGCCGGGTAAGGAAGACTTACTTGCAGCGGTATGTGCGGGCGAACTGGTCGTGCTCCATCTGTTCTGGCCAATCACCGCCCCCATCTAGTCCGATCTCTTGTCTCTTCTTATTTCTACTTCATCCATCAACAAGCCGCATAATATTGTTTACTTCTGCCTTAACCCTCGACAATCACAAACAAACAGTATTTAGTATCAACAACGAATATTGCGGAATAGCGGTCGGAAAACTACCTGATTTCTCCTGTTGATCTGACGATGCGCCACCCTTAATGTTTACATTACACTTTCCATCCATCGGCTCCATCTAATAGGACCAACCCATTCCCACAACACAACACAAAACAATACACAACATCATGAACGCACACGACAAACCCATCCCTGCGTTCTACTGCTGCTACCTCCTCCGCTCAAAGAGCCACAAAACATTCTACATCGGCTCCACTCCCAACCCAGCCAGGCGCCTCGCCCAGCACAACGGCGACAGCAAGGGCGGCGCAAAACACACCTCCGCCCAGAAAAGCCGGCCCTGGGAAATGACCTGCATCGTCACTGGCTTTCCCTCAAGATACGCTGCCCTTCAATTCGAATGGAGCTGGCAGAACACGCATGAGACGAGGCACATCGAAGCTCACGTCCGGACAGCACGTGCAGAAGCGGCACGGGCGAACAATAAGAAGAAATCAGACCAGCCTCTCAAATCCCTCAAAGCGAGGCTGGAGAATCTCTGCTACCTGTTAGGAGTCGAAAGTTTCAGGAGATGGCCGCTGCAGATTCGGTTTTTCTCCGTGGATGTTTATAAGGCTTTCTATAAACATACTGCGCAGATGACACCAGGCTTACGCAAGGATGTCAAAGTCATATTAACGCCAGCAGACCTCTCGAGTATCGCACCGGACCCATCGCTTCAGAACGGTGTATATGGAATTCCAACCGTCATACGTGACATATCTGTCGCTTACGAAGATGTCAAGAGCCATGTAGAGAAAGCGAAGACATTGCTGGAGACTGCTCCGATCCATACCTGTGCAGTATGCCGGAGCGCGATAGAAACTAAGACCTCACTCTTCCTAGTATGCTCCGCTCTGGGTTGTAGTACTACTTCTCATGTGAATTGCCTCTCAGCAACGTTCCTCCGAGAAGAAGGAAGTACCACTGGAGCCATCATTCCAATAAGAGGAACATGTCCCGGCTGCAAGACTCAAGTCGAGTGGGCCGACATGGTAAAGGAACTAAGTCTACGAATTCGCGGCCAGGAAGAGATCGACACCTTATTCAAGCCGAAACGAAGGAAACGGGTCAATAGCGCATCTGAGGCAGAAGCACAACTCTCCACTGAAGACGACGAGGATCTAGATGAAACTTGGATGCAAGACGTCGAGCATGCAGAAGACGAATTCCCAGACATTGACGACATAGCTAGATCATAATGCAAAACATGAACATAATGATATCTTTATACTTATGACCCCATATATACTCCCCTATCCCATCCTACCACGGCCCCACAACCCTCAACCCCCCGCCCTCCCCATCCACCCTCTCCACCACACCCTCAACAATCCCCTTAACCACCCTCCTCACCTCCTCCAAACTCCCCCCAGCATCCACCCTCACGAAATCGTCCCCCTCCCCCTTCCCCATCACCACCCCAAACAGCTCCCTTACCCGATCCTGCATCTCCCTCCTCTCGTACTTCTCCGCCCCAAACCCGCCCCTCTTCTCCGCGTCCTCCGCCGAGATGTCGAGAAAGACGCACAGGTCTGGTCGGGGCAGCCCGACCTCCGGGTCCCGCGCCCATGATAGTGAGAGTGAGGGGTTGTGTTTGGCGGCAGAGTATACGCAGCCGGAGTAGTAGTAGCGGTCTATTATTACGGTGGTGCCGGATGCGATGTCGCGTTTTATGGATTCGCTGGGATACGGCAGTGGGGTTAATGTTTGTTCTCAGTCGATACTTCGCTCTTATCATACTCTTTTGTTTCTTTCGTACCGAAGAACGAAATCGTTGAAGCAAGAATGGGCGGGTCATGGGGAGTAATGGGATTGCAAAAGGGAAACTCACGCTGCCTCCCACCGATTCGCAGAGAACAAAAGGTGGATAACATGGTCCTCCTGCTCGCTCTGCCCGCTCAAGTAACTATTGATCATCTGTCCAATCGGCGTCGTTCGATCTGTTCTTCCCCCCAAGAAAGAATCAGCCTTGCAATCTCCACAGATGTGAACACTTTCAAAAATTTCAAAATTAAGAATCAAGAAGAACGAAGGTGTCGCCAGATGACAACTTTAACATGGAGATATGCAAGAATGGAATGGTGTGTGATATATGAGGAAGAAAAAGACGCACCAGGAAACCTCATATGCCTGACCTTAACCCCGTCCTTCGCCAGCGACTCGGCGAGCAGTTCGCACTGCGTGGATTTGCCCGCGCGGTCGAGACCCTCGAAGACGATTAGTTTCCCCCGTGGCATTTTTGCTCCTTCCTTCCCAGTTGAATAGCTCTTTTGGGAAATTTGATGTCGTGGTGTGTTAGGGTTTCGGGAATGGTCGTTTGGGGATGGGGATATGATGGTGGATTGGAGAGATGTGGGAGGGTGCTAGGACGGGTGTGGTGTTAGCGTGCCAAGGCTGGAGGACTATGATGTTGGAGGTGAATTGGCATTGACATGGGTGGAAGATCATATTGAGGAGAGTTTGGAGTGATTTCATGTTGACATTTAATGATTTTGAGAGTTATGGCGTGGGGTTTCGGTCGTGATGCTGCTTGTGCTTTTCTAAAGGTTAACACATCTAACCTTACTCTTATGATGAGATCCTACTTTTATATTCGTAATATGGAGTCACCAATCAAAAGATCACCGAAATCTTAATGGCTATGTAGATTGGATCATTTATTGATAAAACACTCTCATAACAATGCTAAATTCAGCAGTGTGACAAAACAAGAACGCTTTTCCATTATCGTAAAATCATAACCGGTGCCGCTGCCTCCAAACCTCACTAGCATGAAGTCATATCGTACAGAAAATCATACACAGGGACAACAACATATGTCTCAAATGATATTAAAATCATCAAGCGTACTCAGAAACGACGAATTATAGCACGTCGGATCGATCATCCCCAGCGTGATGTCCGGCAGCAACTGATCCCTATCCTCCGCCGGCGTCGCCGGCGTCTGCAGATACTGACTCGTCTGACTATTCTCGTTCCGCGGCGACTGGTTGGGCACCGCGGGGCCTTTCGAAGGCTCAGCGCTCCATCTCGCTATGGAATCTGACAGCGCTTCGGCGGCGCTCGACTTGACGCGTTCGTAGGCCTCCTCGGCGGAATTCCATATCCGCTTTGCGGACTTCAGACAGCCGAGGACCAGGGTGATGCGGTTGCAGTGGTGGTCGAAGCAGTCGTCGGAGTGGCCGGTCGAGGTGGCGACTTGGACCATGCCGCTGAGGGAGAGGGCAGGGATGAGCAACGGGGTGTGTTTCTGCATGTTCGGGGACAGGGAGATGAAGTCGGTTATCCGCCGCGATCCGTCGGTTGCTTTGATGGCGTGCGCCAGTTTGGCGGAGCTCGTCGAGGTGGAGCCCACGGGGAGAGGCCAGAATCGATCCGCGGCTCCGGCAGAGAGGGATCGTAGGTCGCTGCGAGGGAGGTGGAGGAGCATGGCGGCGTATGCGACTATGATGTGGGCTTGGAACATCATTTCGTCAACTGTTCCGTAGCAGTCGATGACGTCGAGCTTCTGCGGAGGGAGGTGGTTCACCCAGCTCACAAGCGCGTTTTCAATGGCTTGGATGTGATCGCGGGGGCATTCCTGGAGACGGTTGAGGACAAGGACCCGGTGCAGAATTGTCGAGGCTTCCATGCGGTAGCTGAATGAAGAAAACACTATCTCCTGTGAAGCGAACATTCTCCGCTTGAACTCGACTGTCGTTTGGGGGAGAGGGATATCTCTGCCGCGAGCATAGGTAGCTTCTTCACATGGAAGGAGGGCTTCCGTGCAGGTGACAGAGGACCTGACAGACATAGTCTCGAACGGTACGGCCATCAAAATGTCCAGAATGTACAGTTCCCACCAGGTCCTCCTGAAGCTTTCGGCTTGTATTGCGGTGCTAGAATAGGATGCAGCGAATTCTTTTCGGTTCATGCCAAGTTCAAGAGCCATCTCGACGCTTCGCGAGAAGGCATCCTTTGAGCCATTGCGGTCGCCTTGTGAGTGAAGGGCGACAGAGTAGATCAGCCAGGCCTGTACTGTGAAAGGGGAACGATCCACAGCGTTGGCAAAAGAAGTATCAACCTTGTTCCTGAGGTGCAGACTAGGACCGGACGGTATGTAATGGGATCCAACATAATCAACGACACTCCTCAAGACGACCGGGTAGTTCTGTTCCTGGTAGAGAGATCTAGGTACTAGGATTGGATGGCCTTGATGGAAGTTTTCATAGAACAGTCTGATGAAACGGTCGTCTTGCGGTATTGGCGTTTCAGAGAAGACATTATTGGAGTCGGCGCCTGGCAGGAAGGTGGGCCAGTTTTCCAGCCCATTTGATGTATTTACTTGCAGAGTAGAAGGAATACCGTTTTGCGTGATATTGTTGGAGTTAAGGTTCTCTTGGATTTCAGGTTGAGAGGCAATATTGGTAGACTAAAGTACCCTCGCACAAGGTCAAACAGGCATACTCAGGGGGATGAGACCTTACATCTGGAATGATAATCTGGGGAGCAGAGCGAGACGGGCAAGCAATTGGATCGTGGCGAGGTTTCCGGCGTCCTCCACGTCGAGATGGGATATAATGACATGATGAACCAGAGTTGGTACAGCGTGAACAAGATGGTTTGGATGCATCGCATTTGAGATGCTGCTTCCTACACTCTGTGCAAGCGAGCATGGCTGCACCACTTTCCCTGCTTGATCTCGTCACCATCGCGCCAACTCTGAGAAAGTCGCAATTGTCGTCGTTGGTGATTTCCACGATGTCGGCGAATGGAATGAGTGGAAGCATTCTCGTTCCCAAAGAAGATTGAAGTGAAGAATGAAGCACTAAGTCAACCACCCTAAGCGGGAGACGTCAACCAGATCAGGTTAAGTGCCTCCGAAACCCATTCGCAATCATCTTTCGAGATGGCGACGTGATGTTTTGCTCAGTTTGTTTGTTTTAACGATGTATCGTAGTGACTTTCCCGGGTTCTCAATCAAGATGGATATTTTAACTCCAAACAAGTGTACTATGTTGACCAAAGTCCAGTTTTACCTCTTCCAATCTCACACGAGAGCAGCCACCAGATCGCTAAAAAGATCCACGGCGGTGAAGGATAAGAGGGATACAATAGTGTTGTTGTTGCAGGAACGTACGACAAGGAGTGAAGGTTATTGATAGTATAGACGATCGGAGCTTCGTCTACCTGTCCTGTCCCTTCGGCGGTGAGACTTGAGGCATTCGGCGATTGACACAGATGCCCGAGTCTAAGCGCAACCCTCAAGTTTAGCCAATCAAAATGCTCTTTCATATATACGAGGTATCAACAACACTACTTGGATACACCGCATACTTCAACTATGCATGCTTCTATCCTCTAAAGGATTTCATTGGTAGCCAATGGCACGGAATAGCCCGAGGATTGATAGAAGACGGGACGTCATCGGACACAGTGAAAATCATTGAGTTGCCAATGGGAACATGGCATAACTTCTAGATAATCGACTTCATCGTCTCGGACAAAGTACTCGAAGCCTGCAACCTCCTCATTAGAAATGACGATATTGAGTGCATTGTTGACGCAAGCCGTCATCGATTGATACTTTCTATTGATGCAGGCAGTTGTACAACCTACAGACGTAGCTAGTCCTAGTAGTAAGTTGGCTAGGATCTGTGGAGGATATAGTAATGTGATTCCCATGCAAGGAGCAATGATATTAGCAGGGCGGCCATCAGAAGTAAGTGCAGCAAGATAATGCATTAGAATCCTTCATTGTTTATTCATTATCTATACTATTCATGGTATCCAATTAGGGCGCAGCCCTCTGTAGTTGGTTGTGCATTCGCGAGATATCGTCAATCGCCGATTGTCACGATCCCCGAGAGTGCATGTGCTTCACAGCGGATGACGCATTTCCAAGAGAAATGCTGGCTGAAACACCGATACGATAGCATGCCAATGCGCCTTTCAATTTCCATCCGCTTGCTTCCTTCAAACAAAAGAGAATATCGTTACGTCGTAAATGAGTCTCTGACCTTTGCGTTCGGAATTTCAAGTTTGTGCATCACGATTCTGGCACCACCGCTTGCGCTTGCGGTATAAAGCTAGCTTTCCCTGTAGCCTCTTGGTAGATATTATACCCAATATCAGCAGCATTTGGCGGAGTATACACTGTAGTCGCGTTAGTGCCGTGATCGTTGAGCGAGACAGAACACTACCTACAGTGCAGCGAGACAGCGAGTTGATCCTGGCTTGGGTTGGACACTCGGTGCAGGCCGATTTCGTCGGAGATGTATGTCACTTCGTTCACATTGTATGTCTTCTCGCTCTTTACAACCATAGGGCTGGCGGCGTCACCTTGCTGCGTTGGTAGCTCGTACAAGGTCTCCGTCAGGTTGCCGAACAGCACTTTCATGACGCAGTGTGCGTTGGCGTGGTCGTGAATTGGTGATCCTTTGCCTGGCTTCCATACCAGTAAGAGCTGGAGAGGTCAGCGCCAATTGTTCATCTTGTCACTTCTCGACTGCAGGGAGAGAACTCACGATATTGGCCTTGTGGTTTACGTTTTCGATTGCATTCCGGGTGTAGTTCTTCCCCGGGAGGTTGTTAAAGTATCGAAGCCAGTCATTAGGGTCAGACTTGTATTTTTGCATAAGGGAGATCAGGTAGTCGGCGTTGATATCAGATGCATCCATTCCCGAGCAATCGCCAAGATAGAGCTTGATGTCTCGAACAAGTTCATTGAGACTGTAATCTGGTTGTGATCGCATATGAGGGTTGATTGGCTCTTGACTGAGTTGGTGAGGTTGTTCGATGGTAGAAGTCGACATGATGCAAGTTGTGATATTATCTCTCAGAAAAGTTGAGTAAATCGTGAATATGATGTTCGAAGTATTGGCACAAATTGGTGACACAGGATAGAACCTTTTAGTGAAGTTCGCGATCGGGGTGGCTATCGTCGTTTGACATCAGGGTTCTTATCAAGATGGTGCTCATTTACATAGCAATTATGAGTCGCCGAATGCTCCTATTAATGCAGGTGCTCGTGCCACAGAGAGTTGAGACACCGATTAGTGCCCGATCCATCCGCACCGTGTTACGCAACGCCAACCTGTATGTCTGTTAGTGTACAATGAATGGCTGCACATGGCGAATGATTGCATCGTATCATAGATAAGGAGTTAGAAAGGCGGTATCGTGTGATGCGTTTTGCATTCCGGATTCGACGTAAAGCTGCCGTCAATTCAAGTATCATGAACTCACGATGTGGTGTTCTATGATTAGCTACCTCTATGCTACGAAATGGATACCTTTCAGTTGCCGATTGGCTGCCCATTCTACCATTATAGCTGCTTCGAGTCCAATCTCTCGATCTTTAATGGACTAGTTTCTACGCGAAGAAGCGTAGCATTGCAAGAAGTAGCCTTAAGTATTAAAAAAGAGGCTGATACATTCAAATCCATGTCACGAAGACAATATCCCAGACAACAGTAGCGTCTATTTACCAAAAAGACAAGGATTGTGTAGCGCCTTACCAGAAGTAGACATTGAGGCTGACGACCCACCACGGCGAGCGTTTAAGTGAGGCTTGTATATTGATCTACCCCACCTGAATCGAAGCATAAGGTAGTCAACATACAAACACAACAACCATCATTGGGAATGGAAATTGTCCATGTTTTGTAAACAGCAAATGCCATTCCGCCTTGTAGATCTTGTACATTTCTGTCTGATAGCCTTTTCGTCGCGAGTTCAACATCTTATCTCCTAACACAATTCACCTTCCTTCCACCAGCCTCAGCCGCAGATCATTTGCAACTTCCCTATCAGATTATACCTTTTCCCAATCTCTGGACCAATCTTACTACCTGGTAATCACAAACAATGTCTCACACGCTCTGCGACCCTTGCAAGAAACTCCCATCAGAATGGCTCATCCCCCGCTTCCACGAAACCTCCCCAACAGGAGCATCACATCACTGGACACATGCCTCCTGGACTGAATTCCAAAAAAGCGCCGAATCATGTTCACTCTGCTCTCTCGTGAGAAGCGAGCTCCGGCCCACGGCAAGGAAAGACTTCTTCCAGACCCAGGAGCCCGGCATCCGGTTTACGTCATCGGGATTCTCGGGCCTGGAGGTCTGGTGCGTGGAAGAGCAGCAGACGTGCAGGCTCACGATTGGGCTTGATGGAGGTGAGTTGAAGATGCCTTCAAAATTTCATGGGTCGAAATGTGTCGGCTTGCATTGTAACTTGGGTTGGTAACATTTTCAATGTAGATGATATCAATCGCGTGCCACCAGAAAGCCGGAAACTGTTCCAAGCACGCATTATAAGTCCCAAGGCCGGAGACGACAAAAACATCGCTACCATCAAATCCTGGCTACATAAATGCACCGCAACCCACACCAAATGCTCCTCGTGGGGCCAGCCAACCTCACCAAGCAGCAGATATCTCCCAACCCGAGTCCTCGATGTTGGGGACTCGAATTCCCCAACGATAAGGCTCCATGAACCAAAGGACGACGAGAATGAAAAATACATCGCACTCAGCTACTGCTGGGGGAAAGGAAATCCCTATCTGACCGACCGCGCGAACCTACAACGCCACCTCGACGGCGACATCAAGCTGTCCGATCTCCCCAAGACGCTTTCCGATGCCGTCGAGCTGACGAGAAAGCTCGGCGTGAAGTACATCTGGATAGACGCACTGTGCATCGTCCAAGACCACCGCGAAGATTGGATCCATGAGGCTGCCATGATGGACAGAGTCTACCTCCAAGCGTACCTCACTATAGCAGCTTCAGCTTCTGCGGACACAATGGGTGGGCTGTTCACGCCTCGCACGCCCCGGCACGAGACATCAGCGCAATTGTCCTGGCCGCAAGGAGATGGAAAGGAGCCGATTACACTCCACATACTACCGACATTCGACAGTCTCAGCGACGAGCAGAAGACATCGCCCTTAGCGACCCGCGGCTGGTAAGTTCGATCCCCCTTCCCCCCCCCTTCCCCCCTTTCCAATCCCCAAAATTGATCACCCACCGCCGTACAAACACAGGACCTTCCAAGAGCGCGCCCTCAGCGGCCGAACCCTCCACTTCGGCGCCCACCAATCCCACTTCGAATGTCAAGAAGCCAGCTTCTCGGAGTCCTCAGCGCCCGACGACGCCGGCCACCGCACAGGCGACTTCTTCGAGATGCGCGACATGGCGCCCACCACCACCAGCGAGCCCATCCCGACGCACCTCCTCCACAGCAAGTGGGCGTGGGTGGTCTCGCAGTTCAGCTCACGGCGGCTCACGGCCGAAGGCGACGTGTTCGCCGCGCTGGGCGGCATCGCGGCGCTGTTCGCTGGCAAGGACGCTCTCGGCAAGTACTTCTGCGGGCTGTGGGAGGACGAGATCCACAGGCATCTGCTGTGGTATAGCGATAGGGATGACGATGAGGGGGGAGTGCCGGCCGAGCATACGAAGCCCGCGGCGTATCGCGCGCCGTCGTGGTCGTGGGCGGCGGTCAAGGGACCCGTGCGGAACAGGGCGCTGGAGATTTTCTTCCGGGTGAGCAGGGAGGAGGGGATCAGGATGACGGAGGAGTTGGGGTCGGATGGCCTGAGGTCGCATAAGCTTTTGCATGTTAGGGCGATTAAAGTCGAGGTGGAGGGGTCGACGTCGTTTGGTCCTGTCATCGAGGCTGTTTTGAAGGTCACGGGCGTGGTGTATCCAGTCAGGAGGGCGAGGCTGCTGCGGAGGGGCGAGTATGCGCTGCAGATTGCGGATGGTAGGACCGTGGGGAATGTTATTTGGGATGTGGATGAGGTGCCGGCGAGGGAGACGAATCTCTGGATATGTCCAGTGATGCAGCGGCAAAAGATCGAGAACGGATGGGCTGTGAGCGATTGTTTGATATTGAGGACATCGGGCGTCAATATGGATGGCGAGTTGACTTTCGAAAGGGCTGGAGTCGGCAGAACTACGAATTTCTGGGTCAAGGGTGCTGTTCATCAAGACTTCACTCTGGTCTGATCTGTTCACAGCCGTTGTTGTCACTTCAAGATACTCAGGGAAAAGGGAAGCAATAATATATTTCCAAAGCTTGTCATTTTTCAAGTAGATAACGACACGATCACAATTGGAAAATATGATAATGATAATATGCATCGTTTACATTACGAACTTCATGGACTTATATTGGTATCTCTCAACAAAGCTACGCCTTCAACTCAAACTTTTCTCGCCAAAACACTAATAATCAACAACAAGAAGCAAACACAAATAACTCATTCACGCTCTAGATAGCAATCGAGCTCGAAAGCGTAAACGTGACGGGCGAGCCAGTGAGCGTGACCCAGATGGTCAAGGGGTCGTTGCCGACCTTCTCGGTCCTGAAGCCCTGGGTGTTGGTAACGGTGCCGGGGAGCGTGACGGGGATCTCCGCGGAGCAGGTGTTGCCGCTGGCGGTGACGGTGACGGCCGTGATGCGCTTGTTGGCGATGGTGTAGCTGAGACCGTAATTGCACTGGTCGCGGGCCATGCGTGCGGTGTACGCGTCGGCGAGGTCGTCCTGCCTGAGCGCGATCATGGGCCAGTTGGCGAGACGGCTGAACTCCTGGACGGTCTGCTCGACCCAGGCTTGGTAGAGAGAGCGGACTTGGGTGCCGTCGGCCATGGTGATCGTGCCCATGCCCTCGGAGCGGAGGTTCATCTGGTGGAACATGACGCCGTCGCGGAAGAGACCGAAGTAGTAGCGCATCATGTCGTTCTTCTCCTGGAGCATGAGGTTGTCGAAGCCGCCGTTGCCGTTGGAGGTGTCGAGCCACTCCTGGAGAGTGCACTGAGGGCTGTCGCAGTTCCAGTAGATGCGGAGGGGCCAGCGGGGGATGACGGTGAAGCCGTCGAAGCCGTCGGTGTTGGTGTTGGTGATGTAAGGCCAGTGGCGGTTGGTGGGGTTGCGGAGGGCTGGGCGAGCGTTGTCACCGACGCAGTTGCGGAGACCGAGATCCCACCACGCGCGGAGGACGTCACCGTTGTGGAGACCAGTGATGGCCGGGGGGATGAGGGCCTTGGGGGAGAAGTTGACCTGGTCGATGGCGGTCTGGGCGAACCACTTCTGGTTGAACTGGATCTCCTTGTAGGCATCGGAGTAGGTGACGTTGTTCAAGTGCTCGTGGGTGTAGGTGTGGCTGAGATGGAAGAAAGCCGCGCGGTTGGCGGAGTTCTGGAACCAAACGGACAGAGGATCTTGGTTGATGCACGTGGTAGTGTAGGTGTAGTTAGTGGGAGTGCTGGGCCAGAGGTCGATGCCAGTGCCGAGGGGCTTCTTGAATTCGGCATCGGTGGGGTTGTAGCCAGTGTAAATTGGGTGAGGGCTGCACTCCGGCTTGGACCAGTCCTGGTCGATTGCGAGGATGTTGCCGTTGCCGTTGTAGCCGATCTCAGGCTTGAACGAGCTGCCGGGGTTCATCTTTGCGTTGATGGAGGGGATCCAGTTCTTGATTGTGTTCATGTCGGCGGGGACGACACGGTACTCGCCGGGGACGTTGTAGATGGGAGTACCCAACATCATGTCATCGATCTGAGCATTGATGTTGACACGACGGAAGCCGGCGTAAAGACCGCGGGTGACCCACGTGATGGCTGCGTGCTGCAGGTAGTTGCTGGTGGGAGACCAGTCAGTGGCCCAGGTGGTGAAGAAAGCCATCTGTTCACGGCCGTTGAAGTTGTTGATGACACCGGCAGTAGAGGGGCTGGTCCACTGACCGTTGGGCTCGAAGCGGGCGATTTCCCAGGTGGTGGTAGGGTCAGTGATCTGGGTGACGTAGTGGTACAAGCCGCGAGTGCTCATGCCAGCACCGGTCTTGAGGCCAGACTGGGCGAAGGAGGTGGTGTTGGAGAAGGAAATGAGCTGCTCGACACCATCGTCACAGCAGCTGCCAATGGGGGTGGTGCCAAAGGCGGGCTGCGGGTAGACATCGTACTGGACCATGCGGACGCCGAACTCGGTCTGGTACTCGTAGAGTTGGTTCATCTGAGCATCAGTGAGGGCGCTGTGCCAGTTGTTGTTGCCATAATCGTAGGCAAGGCCAGAGAGGAGGAAGAGACCTCCGTAGTTACCCTGGGTTCCAGAGAAGAGCGTAGGGAGGGTAACACCGCCCTGGGGAACGAGAAGCACCTCGAATGGGATACCATAGGCAGTCAGGCCAGAGGTAGCCTGGGTGGCAGACCACGCATCGCGGGCGATGACCAAGATGGTAGTCTTGACGTTGGCGTTGTTAACGAGAAGAGCAGAGATGGTAGCCTCAGCAGCGATGGCAGAGCTGGAGAGGGTTGCAGTCTCGCTTGAAGTCTCAGTCTCACTCAAGCTGACGCTTACGCTCGAGACGGCACTGGCGGTAGCAGTAGCAGTAGCGGCCTCTTGAACGTCGGGGTCAACGGTGGAAGTAGCAGTAGCCGTGGAAGACTCAGTGTCCTGGCGACGCTGATGGCGACGGTGGTACTCGGGGCGATACACGCTGTCTCCAGGTGGCGATCCATGGCTTTAGAAAGTCAGTAAATGGGTTCACGCTCGATATGGGGAACATTGAAAGCGTGGCAACGGTCGGTTGGATGTCCGAGGCGATACCCTAGCAACCAAACAGGAGCAGATCAGCCAAAACACATACCCAGGGCAGGACTCGACGACAGCGGCCAAGAGGCCGACAGACGCCAACAAGAAACCCTTCATATTTGCTAGGGTCCCGGTCGAGGATGTATTGATTAGGTAGATAGATCCAAACGGTATTAGAGTTTGGATCGTCGGATTAGGACTATTGGTATATTATATGGGAACGAATGTTGTGTGTGATATTAAAGGTATAAAGAAAGGACTGGAAAAGCTTTCCAACTGGATGATTCTGCAAACGAGAGCAGATATTAAACCAAACGGAGCGAGAGAGAGAATCTCGTGAGGCCGCTTGGAGATCCAGAGAATCGAAAAGAAGAGGGACGAGCTCCTTTTCAATTGATGCTGATAGAGAGGAGAGAGAAAAGAAAGGTCGCCATGGAACGGCGTTAGATAGGGCCATATTTAATGCATGGATGGCCTGAATCTTGCTCTTACTTTTTCCCTTCCGCTTTCGTTCTCCACATCTGATATGCACACGGTGAGCAACGAGCCCACTACCCTACCAGTAATCTAGATTCGTACAATCGAAGCGAGAGAAAAATACGATAGACCTTTCACGTCGCATCATGGCGCTTGTCGGTGCCCTTCATGCGAGAGCATCTGGCCGGGCCGGCAACAGATCAAGGGACCCGCCTTCGAATCATCTGGGCCACGGTAAGGGCGATTTGGGCAAAAGGTGGTACACCCACCTGAACACGATCGTACGGCGTTTGGTCGAAAATGCTAGGGGACTACGCTGCATTGTGTGGATGACACGAGGACAATGGTAGGGGAGGCCAAGGGGAGCAGGGTAGGCAAGGCTACGATGTCAGCGAGACTGCGAGAGGTTCGGCCAGCCGAACGCCATCCCGCAGACTTGCTTGCAGCTACAGAGTATTAACGAGTCTAACGACGATTCGCTCACCCATACCCCTGCCGCTAAGCGTGGAAGCCGACCGGGAACAATCCTGAAAGCGGGATAGGCAAACGTGTGATGGTGAATGTACCCCTGGATCTAGCGGCGAATCTCCGACAGCCTGGCCAAGCTGGAAGGGGATAAGGCAGGTCGAATGGAAGTCTAAAAATGGCGAGTGGTGGTTTTCGAAACGTCCGGCCAGGAAATGACGAGGGTGAACGATAGAAATGTGGTTGGGGTTTAGGTTAGGTTAGGGGTGGGGGTGGCTTTCGCCCAGGAAGTAGACATTGATACTTGCACCTAACTTGACCTAGTAGTAGGTCAAGGAAGAGGTCGTTGGGAAAGAATTGCCTTGGCCTAAAGGGAGTGGAGTCGAGAATTGAGGGTTGAGACTCGAGAGAAGAGTAGTGTAGTGGTGAACTTTGAGGAGGGCAAGTGGATACGGATGACGGCGCATCTGACTCCGAGCGAATTCGTTGGTGAGAAAAAAGCGAACAAGCTGGACTTGGCAGATGCAAGCCGCCAATACTTCTCTATCCCCATCACGTCCAAATGACCCCAGTTCGAGACTCGAGACTCGTAAGTGTGTGCATCCGATTAACGGAATCTTACTCGACCTTCTCATGTACTAGGAAAGCCTACCAGCCTTGTACCTATACCTTACGTACACCTACCTACCGATAGTAATCGTCCACTATTGCCGTACGAGTTCAAAAACTGACATGGTGACTGACCACGAGTCCATGACACGCTAGACTGCAGATAATAGATTGATGGAAGCGCTAACTAGGTATGCCTCATCATCATTCACCTTAAATGGACCAAGAGCTTATTGGAATGCCAATTCGCCAAGAGTCCCAAGACGCATACCGGATGTTGGGACAGAAATCTTAACTTCAACTATCCCCTTTATCGGTAACCAATTTACCAGAATATGGCAGCATGCCACGGCGACAAACCCCTGCATTAGATATCGTGATGGTGATTATGGAAACATGGTTACATGGGGTGGACGTCGGTACTCGGTGCGTACTTGGTGAATATGTCGGTACCAGGTCGCAGGGCACTTGGTTTGATACTCAACTACCTACTTAGGTATATATCGATTAATTCCCGACCTACCAGGCTCGGATCGGATTCCCGTATGACGATCATCAAGCAAATCCTCGTAACCGAGAACAGTCCCTACATACAAGACGTGGTATCCATTGCTAATTATATCTACTGTCTATGTAGGACCTACGCAGATAGATACATAACCCTAGATCAGCCCCCTTGCCCGCCAGACTCCACGGACAGAATTTAGAGGATGAAAAGAACATACAGTATTACTCAACAAATCGATACTTTCACAATCGAGCCTACTGGACGAATCACTGAATGTGGCGCCAGGACCGGTCTCCCGAACCCCAGATGATGAAACGGTCCCCACCGATAAGGGGGAGGGTGGGACTAGCACGCACGCACGCGCTCTACTGTGTACTACCAGTGGTTCCGTAGCACCATAACGAACGAACGAACGACTAACTCAACGACGAACTGCAATCACATGGACATCAGAGATAGCCAGACGTACGTATGTACGTGCAAGTAAACATAAACATTGGACAGCGCGAAAAAACGCCCGCAAGCCTCGTGCGGGAAAAACTTCATCTTCAACAACCAACCACAGACACATCACGTCCTCCGTGGAGCGTACCTGCATGAGAAATGCAAATGAGACATACATAACGAGAGAAAGAAAAAGCCCACCCGTTCCCACCCGCCGCCTCCCCCAGAGTAAAAAGCAAAAAGAGGGAAAAAGAAACGAAAAATATAGAAATGCAAACGAGAAAAAGCAAAAACTTGAAGAGAGACTCAGAGGTGATGATTTGATGGTTCCACAACGTTTCGTGAACGACGACACGCCTACATCTCCACACACGTCTACTCAACATTTGACAAACCAGTAACAATTGACAACTTGACGAACTATGCCATTGCCATGCCATTGCCATGCCTCTCATCATCTCCTCATTCCCAACTCCATCTCCTCTTTCTATTTCCTTTTCCTATGTATTGCCATTCCATTCCCACAAAATCTCCACCAAATCGCAACCGCAGATCCCGACTACCCGTCAAGCCCAATGTCTCATAAGGCGAGGCGACTCACTCTGGGCGAACTTTACCATCCCATCCTTTTTCAGCTCTCTTGGCTCCTCTCCCCTCTCCGCTCTCGAGTCCTCCTCTCTCCTCCATACCTAGTTACTGTGCAGTTTAGTTAACTCCCTCTCATTCGCATCCTCGCCTCGCCCTCGCACTCGCACTCGCACGAACCGTAGGGATGTGTGCCATAGAAAAAAGCGGGTCCCGCGTACATGCCTACATACCATACAAGCACCACCCATGAAAACCAATACTTTGTGAATGTCCCGATTCTGCAATATCACGGAGGGGAAGCGGAGGGGGGGGGGGGGGGGTTTTTTCTAAATTCTGACACACAGGACCCCCCCCCCGTATAACCCGTTCCTTTTTGCATATTGGGAAGGGAGTAGACCACGTTCGTTACTCAGCTCGCCTCAATGCTCATACGCAAAAAACATGTACCTACTTCCCCAAAACCTCACAATAATCAAAAGGTAGATACCTAGATACCAAAAAAGGACACCCACCAAAAGAACGCCATCTCGCTTTATCGCAGCCGTGATATCCGCGCCACAGGACCCGGTAGCTGAGGTAGGTAGATTCGTACCGTACCCTAGGCAAGGCAAGGCTAGAAAAAGAGAGTGAGGCTGAAAGAGGAAATGGGACTGCGAATGGCATTGCTCCTGATCCCCCCCGTCTGCTTTCGACGACCGTCAACACTCCGTACTGACTCACGAAGACCACAGTGCAATTCACCAGTCATTCATTGTAGATTTCATGATTTCATGATGGATTTATTCATTCCCATATAGTTTCCCATTCCTTCCTATCATTCTTTTCGTATATACCAATATATCCTGGAGAGTAAGAACCAAGCGGGGGAAAAAAGAAAAATCTAAAAATCGTAAAATAAAACCACATGGCCGTATATAAGTCATCATTATTGTAGTGGAAACCCGTGTACCGTAGAGAGAGAAGAAAAAATCAACAACAACACCCACGCCGAGCCCGTCCTATCGGTTGTGAGAGAGAAAGATGCGCGTCCATGTACACATGTATGGAAACGACATTTGTTCCTGCTCTTCTGCTCTCTTTCTCTCCTCTTCTCTACCAGAATCAGCTCAGTGATTTCATAAAAGGTTCCGTCGCTCCAACTGTACATGCATATTGTACCCATCTACAAGCCTCGCCAGGCAGCGCTCTCCGCCCCTTCTTGGTAGAGGAAGAATGAAAAAAGAAAAACAAAGGTAAAACATAAAAAGCGCAGGGGTATGAATGGTAAACGAAGACGGGGGGAATCAAGCATATCGCATCAATGTCAAATGATCAAACGAAAACTCCTCGCTATGCATACAGGCCGTTGGGGTATTCTTTTTGTTGATGCCCAGGGTATGCGGCGCGCGCAGAGCAGAGAAAAAATCATAATGGAATGCGCGAATCAAAATAGTGAAAACAAGAACGCTTCAATGCTGCGAGTACTGAGGGTGTCCAGATATCCAAATCGGGTAATATGGCGGTCGTGATGGTGGTGATGATTAGGATGAAGATGGTGATGGTGATGGTGATGGTGCGCATCGTTCGCTTGCGACTCGTCAAAGGATTCACGGAATGCTCTCGAACTCATCGCGAGCTCGCAAATACTTGGTGGCGAGCTGATCACCTCCTCGCTTACTCTGCTCCATCCAGTGCTGCGCGACACACATGGTCATGGGGTCGCTCCTGGCAGGGTCCTGGCTTGCTCTCCTCTCACGGTTAAGCAGTTCCGTCTTGAAGACATCCCGGGGTTTCGTCAGCGGCAACACAGCGCGATTCACCAATTCGGGTGATGTGAGATAGAAAATGGCAAGCTCGCGCTCGGCCGCGGCATCTCCTTCTTTCGCTGTGATGAGCAGCATGCGCGCTGCATCCTCCATCGTATAGCGCGAGACGGCCTGATCGGACCCAGCCGTGGCGCTAGTACCTGGCGCGGTGCCTAACTGCCGGCCTGCGCCACCATTCGACTGGAGGCTCACGGGGTCACGATTAGAGTTCCGAGCTACAATGTCGTCGACAATCTCGACCATGATTCTGCAGACATCCTGCTTGAGGCCGAGAGCGGCGAGGCCGACATCCCAGAAGGCCTTGCCACGCGCAGTCTTATCCAACATTTGCGCTGGAACAAAAGATGCAATGTATTGAAGGTCTCTGAACAGTGACTTGGGTCGGATTTCCGCGTCACGGAAAAGGCCCTGGATCACATCGACGATCATGTCCGTGCTCGGTGGGCCAACAGGAGAACGGGCACCACTGCGATGGGGTTGGGGCGACGCCGTGCTGGATCGCTCTGGATTCTGGCTCATACTGTGGGAGCGGCGCTCCTCGCAGTTTGCGATTGCTTCCTCCAGGTTTTGTGCCCGTGAGGTCTGAGTCGCCGGCTCCCGAGAGCTTAGCTCGGGCATGGTTCCAAGGGTAGGCGATTGTGGCACCGTAGGCAACATGTCGCGCCGATTGTTGAATGAGCGACTAGACTTGGAGGAGAGAGATGCAACTATAAGCAACTCAAGCTCATACAACGCATGAAGCTTGGAGAACGGATTCGGATGAGTGGCAAACTTGTTCAAAAGGCGACGGAACGCCACGTTGTAAGGGAATTCGAGTAAGCCGGCCTTTTTCGCGGTAGCCATGCCGGTGGAACGTGAAGTAGTCTCGCTCGAAGTCGACGAGTACTCGCCTCCAGATTGGTGGGCATCGGAGGCTGCCGCCGCGTGCTGTAGCGTCGCGATGGGAGGTGCAACACCGCTACGCTCAGTACGGCCAAGGGTGTCGAGAGGGCCATTACGTTCAGGGCGAGTGGAGCTGCGTAGCGTCTTCATGCTCTTCTTGCGTGCAAGTTGCTTCTTGCGGTGGCGGTCTTCCTCTTCTCGTCGTTGAATGCAGTCCTCGCCCAAATCGCCCGAGAACCAATTGTCAGTCTCGCTACCATGGCCGAAAACCATGGTGCCAAGATCACTGAGGAGAAGTCCGGTGACTGCCTGCTTGAGATCCAAAAGGAAGCGATGCTTGTCTTCGTTGACACTTGCTGACTGCTTCAGCATGACAGTGCCCTTCGAAGACGAGGCGGTTCGTGGTCGAATGCTTGTGGCACTGCTAGGAGACTGGACTTGAGTCTGGAAGGGGGACCAGAAAGTCGCATTGGAATCAATAGTGAGCACTGGACTCGAAGCGCCGAAGTACTCTTGAGTATCAGAAGGATTCCTTGCCCAAGGACTTACATCGAAGCTCTGCTGGGAGGCATTGCGATTGGAGGCCGAGCGGAGGCTGCCATGGCTGGGGCGTTGGGCAAAGGAGCCTCGAGACCCAGGTCGCCCGTGAATCTCGTACTCCTCGTCGCCAGCAATGGAAAGTGTTCCCACCCCGGTCAGGAAGAGGTCTCCCTTCTGGCGCCCACTGTCGAGCACCTCCTTGTCCCTGCGGAAAAGTTCGCTGGACCACAGGACTGGGCCATCCATGATGCTGTCACCGACAAGTTTGTTGACGCATTTGTCGATTTCCAGGCAGAAACGGTGGATTCTCTCCTCGCCCTTGCAGAAGTTCTCTACTCCGTATTGGTTGAGCCATTTCATGGTCACATCGGATTGTTCGTCAGATAACTTGTTCGGGCCTCCGAAGTCCTGGGGAGCTGCCATGAGGTCGACCAGCTGAGCCTCGGTCTTGAGGAGGAAGTTGTTCGAGGATGACTTGGAGTAATTCCGAGCCCTGTGCGACTGGAGAGGCTTTCCTTCTGGCGTCTTCGTGGGCTGACCCATGATCTTGAGAGCAATTGCAATGTTTCGTGCTTCTTCGTATTGTGCAGAATTGCGAACATCTGTGATGTACCACATCTTATCGCGGAGATTTCTCAGTCCCATCATCATATCCTCAATAGCAGAATCGTGACGCTCTTGTGATTGCTTAAGCCAGACGAACCAGGCCTCGAACTCCTCAATGGCGTTGGCAGACTTCCCAAGGGAATCGCGCGGGCCTCGAGAGAAATAGTTGAGAAGTGCAGCGTACCCATTCTTGGTCAGCGAGGGCGAGTTGAGCTTGCGAAGTGTTTGTAGGGTCTTGTAATACAAATGAGCGTTGACGAAATCCGACCTAGCTTGGCTCTGGTTCATTGCGATTTCCAACATGGTGATCAGCACCGAGTTGTTGTCCTGCTTGTCCGCTGGCTGTGGGTTACTGTTACTACGAGTGTGCTGAGGAGAGCGGTGGCGTGCGGGCCCATTGCGTTGGTTGGCAATCAAATTCGACAGTTGACTTTGGCTTTGTCCCTGAGCCTGGGGTTGATTGTACGGGTTCCTCGATCCTAGACCTTCACTGTGCTGTCGAGTGAGATGGCCGCCACGAGCCCCTCGCCTGTGGGTCGAAGTCCGATTGCTGAAGCTTTTCGATTCGCTCTCGGGAGCCAATTCCTTTGGAATTTCGTATTCTTCGACTAACTTGGCAATCGCATCCTTTAACTGGTGATAGTCAGATCTCAAGTCTATCCTATCCGATGGGCCTTCGTCGTCACTGCTGTCGCTCTCGGGGGAGTCGTCGTCGTGCTCGTCCTCGTCATCTGCATCCTTGCGCATCCGGGATCTGAGCTGTTTTCCATCGGGGGAAATATATAGTACGGCCCAACGTTCAGCACAGGGATGGCATGAACCCGATGTGGCTTCAACCCCAAGGAAGCGGTTCATCTCGGAGCACGCCATTCTCAGGCGCCTTCCATAGAGTTCGGTTGGTGCTATCTTCTCTGTGTAGCCTTCTTCCGGAGGAAGTGTGTGGGGCTGAGCAATATCTAGGAGAGGCTCCCTAGATGTTGTGTCACTAGTCATAGAAGAGGCACTTGCGCTCAAGATGGAGCTTGCATCACCAGCAGATGCACTTTGGTTTCTGAACGGCATAGAAACACCGGAAATGGACGAAGCTGAGGATGCAAGGCCCGGGCGACGCTGCGCGTCCTTCTCAAAATGGCTAGACGGAGGGCGTCGCTCAGGAAATAACGTATTGACCAAGGTAATGATATCGGCTGGGGAGACCACAATGAAAGGCTGGACCTCCACGGTTTCGCGAGGTGAGGTAATGGCTTTGGCTGGCAAGAGAACCGGCTTCGAGTTAGTCTTGGTGTGCTTGAATCTGGAAAGAATGCTCTCGATGTGGGTGCGAATCTCCGGGAGGATTGGGACTTGCTGCCGCCTATCAAAGAGGTTAGTAGATAGAAAAGAAAACGGACCAAAGGGAGATTCGTACCAATTGTAGGTCATGTCCAGGACATGTTTCTGGGCTCGGATGGCGATTTCCTTGAGGATCTTTTGGCGTGCATGCTCGCTAATGTGATATCCAATCATTATGCCGTGGGTCTGGGATGTATTAGTAAATAAGACTATGACGTGGACCAGTGGGAAAACATGCCTCGGGATGGATGATTGCGTTGAGCAAGAACGTAGAGAAGAGCCAACGTGATACAAAGAAATTCTGAGCAGCCTTGCGGAGGTTTTTGGTCTCATCCAGCTTCCGGAGGATGGCATTACCTATCTCCAAAACGCCTTCGGGGATGCCACCGGCGCTGGGCTCATCGTCAATAACCTCGAACAGAGTCTTGACGGCCTTATCAAAGAAATCATCGGAGGCAATGGTATCTTTGGTATTGGGAACCGGTGCGGCGCCAGCCCGGTTGAGCTGCTCCTCGGCCTTCTCCAATATGAATTGGCCATCCTGGAGGACTTGCATGAGATACAACTCGAGATTAGCTTTTCCAGGCCATTCCCGCATGCCGGCCCAAACATCCAGGACGGTCTTGATAAACTTCTCCATTCCGGGCTTGGAGTCAACAATGAGCTTTGCACACGTGGTGGCAAAGACATCTGTCCGGCGCAGATCTTCGGCGGAGTCTGGTCCTGAAGAATTCGCGAAGATTGTGTAGACAAGCGCGGAGAGAGGATCATGACGTTGAAAGGAAAGAAGACGCTCCACAGGAGTGGGAGCCTGCGACTGGTTCGCCTTTTGGGCTGAACCAACGGTCTTACCTCTGGCCTGCATTGCCATCACCGAGTCGATAGGGTCCAAAGCCTGGCGGAAGGAGGTCAAAGAAGCAAGCTCTTGCTGGGAAAGATTAAGAATACGAGTAGCAAGGAAATCAGGATTGGTGCGGATTTCGGAAACGAAATCCAACAGGTCATCCATAATCTTGTTCGGAACCTCATTGATGAACGTAGAAAGAGAGGGAGACTTTTCAGTCTTTGCGGTCTTGGACTTTCCAAACTCCAGATCTGGCTCCAGCAGAGCGTATCGTCGTGTCGCATCGCACGAGTTCCGGACATCGTTCAGTGCGTTGTAGAGTGTTGCAAAGGCCTTCTTGTCATCGGAGCGGAAGTTGTCCACGAGGGTGCGGTGGGCCAGCTCTCCACAATGGACCAGCCGTGCGGAAAGAGCGCTCGAGACCAGCCATCGGTGGAGTCGGACGCGTGAGTGTGCCTTCCGCTGCTCTTGGTAACCTTGTAGTCTTATTAAATGAGCGAGCTCAGCGAGGGATGTCGAGGAAGTGGAAATAGCGGCGAGCGGGAGTATCGAGTCGCTGAACTGGGAGAGGTCCGCGGGCAAGAGGCGAGGAAGACGGCCGGCAGGCGCAGACATTGACGGAGTAGGCATCTGAGGCCGCTGTGAAGAGGTCATATTGTTGGCGGTAGAGGACGGTCGCTCATGGTCGTTATTGTTGTTGTGGTTGTAGTTGTCGACGACGATGTTATTGTTGTTGTTAGTGTTGTCTAGAGACCCGCCAGGTCGACTTCCCATTGTTGATTGAGGGAGCTTGAAAGGCGAAGGCGCAGGAGAAGGGGCGTTCGCAGGCGACCTGGTGGGAGTAGAAGAGCGAGGAGGAGCCTCCATGGGAGGAGGGTCATGGACGAGGTTTGTATTATGGGAGCTTTGGTGGTGGGAGGGGCCCGAGGGGGTATGGCTTCTGGAAGAGGAAGAGAATTGGGTAACGGTGGGAGACACGGCGGCGGGAGCTAGAGTAGGTGGAATGGTCAGCGCGAGACGTGCCAACTCATCATACAGAGGGAGCGCGCATTGATACTACTGTGTAGATATCTACCAGTAATTACGAGCCCGACCTGACGACGACTGGAGGTGTTGTATAATTGGGGCGGGAAATAGGAAGAGTTAGGTAGTTACTTGGGTGACGACGTACGAGGAGGAGTATTCGAGACCTGCACCAACGGCGAGGCAGAATGATGGTTCCCTCTAATCATTCTGACGCTGACGCTGTCGCTGCTGCCATGAGCCAGGACGGCGGGAGTGGGAGTGGGAATAGTAGGAGGTGTAAGAGTTGTGGAAGTGTAAGATGCGGCGTTGTAGTATTGGGTGAATGGGATGTATTGGGTGTGTTGGCCCACGCGAAACGGGACGAGTACAGGTATAACTCAGGTACCTGGGTACCTAAACTATAGGTGGGTGTACAGAACTACAACCACAGCAACGACAACGACGACAACAACAACAGCATGGTAAGAAACAGCGGGTCGAGGCTATCGGAAATTTCGTAAAGTGGATAGGTTGGCAGAGGCAGAAAAAAGCAGACGTGGATGAGTGAGGGAGAGAGAGAGAGAGCGACAGAGGAGGGGGCGAAAATTGGGCGCAGATGGGAAGGGCGCGAAGAGAGATGGCCTGGCCGAATGCACGAGTATGGTACTGATCGAGTGGGCGAGGGGAATAGACGAGACGAGTCCGGGGTTGGACGAAGAAAAAGGAAATGATGTGTATGAATTGTTTGCAGCAAGACGAGGATGGGCAGGGCAGGATGCTGTTAGATGCGTGGATGCTTGGTTGTGGTTGTGGTTTGTGGAAGTGGATGCGTGATGCGTGATGCGATGCGGGTTGGGGGATGCGTGAATGCGTTGTCCACTCTAGCAACCAACCAACCCACCGACCCGTGCTGTCCTATGGTCCTATCATGCCCTATCCTATCCTATCCTATCCTATCCTATCCTATCCTTTCTTCTCTGGCTCGCCTTCGTCTTCGTTTTGTTATTGTTTCGTAGTATAATTTTGTTATTATCCTTACTTCAGACAACAAGTATCACGTACGGGGTACATTCGTGGTCGTTATAAGAGAGTTGACTGAAGCGGCGTATGATTGATGTGATTGGTTGGAGCGGGGAGGTGCCCATCTTCAGTATCTATTGTATGGGTACCTGGTACTTACGATACCTCCGAACAAACATGAATCGCTATGTACCGACTACTATTCCTCGTCCGCCTCGCTGTTTACTCTACAAGGAACAACGTGGGAATATTGTTTTGTTGTTTTCACTAGTTCGATCTATCAAATAGAGATACTCGCACTAAACCAACTCTTCGTATATCGAGTCATCCAAGTTCAGGTAGCAATCAAGTGTTCAAACACGTAGATAGGTACTGTACAATAGGTGATCGAGTACCGGTATTAGGTACCTAGTGACAGTCTCACAGGACGACTACAGACGTGGCTAGTAACCTTGCAAGTACGAGTATCCAAGGTACACAGGTCTATCGTCCGGGAACAAGGACGGACAATAGAGCAACCGACACGGACTCAGAGCGTTGCGATGCATGGATGAATGGATGAAGCCTGTTGCAGACCGCTTGATTGCCTGGTGGCGCACATGGACAAGTTGGGAGTTTCCATGATACAGACTGATTCTGACTGCCAGAACAAGCGGTGGCGCGGCCTTTGCTTGTCCTTTCTGTCGCCTTGTGTACGGTGTACTGTGTAGTCATTGTACGGAGTAACTAGTAGCCATGACCATACCATATCATAGTCACTCTTGAGTCTTAGTGTATGACTTGCAGCATCGCCAACACATACATCTCTTACATACTAAACTCCATCCATTCATATTGTAACGATAATATGGAACTACTGTACAGAAGATTGTTCCAGTACTAGTTCCCCCAGCCCAGAACCTATACCGCGTCTTCGATACCCAAGCGACCTACATAACTGCACTTGTATGCCGTTCCGTGTTGGAATCGCGCAACTCGCTCGTGGATCATCACACCGCCCGCTGCAACCTGATCGCCTCGTTCGCTTCCGTTCGCCTTGTGCCCAGCAGGGCCAGCAGGGAGAATGAGGAAATTCTTGAATATCTAGCTCGCATAGACTGGACGATGGGGCTGGCGGCGGCTCTCTTCCCTAGCAAATGTCCGTGATCCATGATGAGCTGGCCGTTTCTGCGGCCACCAATAGTAACGGGCATTCCCACATTGCTTCTGACACACCCCCTCTATCGCCTCTGTCGCCTCCCATCGCCTCTCCCAACCACTCATCTCATCTCATCTCACATCGAACAAACCCTTTTTTCGCCATCCCATCCCATCCATCAGCTCAGCACCTTTTTCGAACTCCGTTGCAGCTGTGCATGCATGCAGCTATACGCAAAGGAAAAGGAAGTTCCATCAACAAAGCTCCCCAACCAGTAAACCCTCCCCTCCCCTCCCATCTCCCATCTCCGCCATCGGGCGCTATGGCCACCCTTCACTCCCTTTCGCTGTCACTGGTTGGCCCAATGCCCCCCCATGCATTGAATCATCCATGTAGCTCCATGTGTGCGCTGGCACTGCATCGCGTCTTCCCCTAATTCTCTCAACTCTCGACGTCTCTCTGGCTTTCCTTGGTGTCAGAATGAGAATGACAAAGGCCCCCGCATATGCGGACGTCAAACGAGGAGTAAAACAGCGTTTTGTTTTGGTCGAGAGGATGGTGGCTGTGGTTTCAATAGAGCAAGGAACTCCCATCTTCTCGCCCCAAATGGGGGAGTTGATACCTTGATACTGACACTCCATAAGAGGTACTCTGTACTCCGTACATCTGAAGTACCTACCCAATCAAGCAACTCTCTTCTAAGATTCTCTCAACCCTATCGACTTCATTGCCAAAAAAACCCAAGAGATACGGAGTAGAAAATACCAATGACAGCCTGCAGGAACGCCCCCATATTTTAGATTCTCATATGCACACATACTAACACATAGAGACGCAAACTTTCCCTCATGCAGCTCAACCAATATACTCCAGCATTTCCTACCAATAATGCAGTCATGATTTAAAAAACTCAAAATCTGTCAATTCTCTCCGGCTACTGCAAGACATGAACGAATAAACGAATGAATCCTACCTACCTAGGTACCTAACCTCCCACTAGGAATCATATCTCTTACGAAACAAGAAACCAAAACAAGTTCATGTAGGATTCTAATTTGTTGCTTCGTTTCAGAATGTTTTTCAGCTTTCTCGACTTGGAAATGGGTCGTGTGATGATGGGGGCTTTGTATGTACGTAGTACTCCAGAGAGATGGAAATGATATCGGGCACTATGACTATTCGTTCATTTTCAGACCATCTGTGGTTGAGGTCCACAGAGATTGACATGCGAACCCCCCAAATATGCAAATAAACATAGGATCATGCTTCGTCCACCGGTTCGTCATTAAAGTGGCAAAACTGCCCCATAATGGACAGATACATACAACGCATTGACGTGCTCGCGTTCGCTGTACATAACTACACTAAGACGGTGTAGATAGGCAGATACTGACCGGAAATAAACAAACAAAGTATCCACTGGATACCACAACTGTTGGGGACAAAAAGGATCCGACGGAGCGACGTCGAGAGCCCAAGCCCGGTTTCGTTCCAAATACGGAAACATCACGCTTTTTTCCCACCCATCTAGATTAAGCCAACGACCCCCAGTTCGTCGACGACCAGCGTTACAACTTCTCGCCTGCCGCGCGCGTCCGTCTCGTCCTGTCCTGGCACGTGTAACGTGGAGACGATCGGACGGATCCTAGTCATGCCGCCATGGCTTCCCTGAGCAGCGGTGCAACACGTTTCCTGCTGTGTTGTACATTTCGCTGCCACCAGACCCTCCTCCACTCATTCCGTTCCTGGACCGCCGCCGGCGGCGAAAGCGGCGCTGACAACTCAGATCTCTGGCTGTCATCCGCCGGCCTGCTCCACTCTTCCAGCCCCAGCTCCTCCTTCGCATCCGAAGCAAACCTCTCCGCCGCCGCGACAGCCTCCTCGCCGAATGCCCAGAGCAACAGCTCTCGCTGGAACTCGCCGGTGGATGAGGTAGACGTCGTCATCACGGTGTATAGGTCTAATTCGCGCTCGTCTCGGAACGCTCGCAGTGCTTCGTAAAACGCCGTATCGAGAGACTGCGTGTCTGCTTTCTCATCCCGGGCCTTGCCCTCCAGGAACCCAATGGGCTTGACCACAGAACTGACTCCCAGCTTCAGGCCCTCCTTGTCCCATTCCTTGTAGTCTTTCCTGAGTATGTCCCTCAACTGCAGGCTCCCAATGTCCTTCTTCGCGGTGTCTATCTCGCCGTAGAACTTGCCTCGTTCGTATTGCGGTGCAAGCGTCGGACAGGACTGGATCTTGGCTTCCAGGTACTCGACCGCTGCGCTGTCGTGCGACGTCGTCTTGTCTTTGGATTGGAGGTTGTTCGTGTCGATTAGAATACTGGCGAGTCCTAATTGGGCCACCTGTGCATCCCATAGTGCAGTGACAGCAGCACCATCACCGTCGCCTTGCAGGCTCTCGCCCTGCGAGTGAGAGGCTCCGGATGATGATGATGCTGCGAGGGCTGAATCGGAAAGCTGGTCCCAGGCTTGCTGGCAGTATTCCGTGACTAGACTGGTGCAGCTTCCGCTCCTCTCGACGATGCGGGGCTCGTCTCCTGTGTCGTGTGGCACCTTGCCTTCCTCGTCGTGGTGGTCAATCACACCCCCGACGCGACCAGAGTATATATTGCCTAGCTGGCCTTGCAGCGCGTTGTGGTCCACAAGAATCCACCTTGTGTTCTCCGGACGCAGTTTGGATTCGATGACGGCCAGATCCGGCAAATCAGTGAGCGTTATCAGATGCTTGGCCTCGATGTCTGCATGCCTGAATACGGCCAGGTATTCCGGCCGCAGTTGGATGTCTGAGCTGGGGATATTGGCGATTGGCACATACACTGGGCTGAATGCATTGCGCGGCGGAGACAGCGAACGAAGGTATGCGTATAGAACCGAGCATGACATGGAATCGAGATCTATAGGCCGTTTTTGCCTCCCAGTCAGCATTGGGGTCCTGGGAGATTAGGGACGCAATCCTGCGCTGTTTTACATGCACCTACCGGCTGATTCATTGCCAATCACAAATGTGACTTTCTGGTCTGAGTCGATTGCTTTGCGTAATGCGCCTTTGGCGTACGTGAGAAAGCCACGAAGGGATGTCCTCGGCACGGCCATTGTGGAATAATGTCTTCCGTCTGTGACGGTTATCGTAGGCTGAATGCTGCTTCTTGTATGTGTTTTCCGATAGGTTTACGGATCCAAAAGTAAATAGAGTGACGTACGCGGGGATGGAATTCTGCCTCGCTTGTCCGCCAAAGTCCCGGCCAATCATAATTGGATGTTCGCCGCATCGAATAGACATCTACTGAGCGAGGTGTCAATGAGTTTGCACGACGTTAAAACGCCCAAGTGCGACAATGTTCTATTAGAGATCAGATACACGGAGTAATAACTATACGATAGGCCAGTATCTATTCGTCGTTGATCTAGCGTTTGAAGTCTATCAGTATACTGGAGAAGTTCAACAAGAATCAGGCCGTATAGCGATGAAAATCGATTTTGTTAATACATGTTGCTACATGTATCCTGAATTCGTTTTTTTTTTTCAAGTTGATGCCGCAGCCTTTGATAATCATCATTCAATTCATAGTAGAAGTCTTAACATTCATACCGATGAGATCTCGACACTTCCAGCAGGCACTCCCCTTGTACTTCTCAAACGCCTCGCGAAGAACTGCATAATGGGCATCATCTCTTCCCTGTTACTCGGCATTCCATCGCCTCGCTTGTTCCATTCCTTGACCTCCAGGAACTCGAAAGCGTCCTTCATTCGTGAGATGGCGCTGTCCGAAACAGCGGATGCCTTCGATGCCTTGCAGACCAACGCAGGTGTCTTGCTTTTCTTCTCCAAAGCTTTCAGTGGCAAAGATAGTGACAAGAAACCTCCAATGCCGACGACACCTCCCAGCTCGTTGTCGTCCAGCTCGGCGGCCACCTGAAGAGCTACCATCCCACCCTGTGCAAACCCGAATATCATGATCTCCCGGCCCTTATAGCCGCATTTACCGATCAATCCATCGTATATCACGCCATCCTTTATGACTGTGGTTGCTTTCTTGAACCCTGTGTCCATATCCATGACGCCCGTGTTCTGGTCGAAGATGAGATCATCGCCCCAATGAAACCCGCCCAAATCGAACGGGAGGGGAGCGGGCGCTTGAACGGCGATGCATGCTGTTTCTGGGAGCGAGAGCTGCTGCCCTAACTTCGTGAACGGGGCATTCGTATCCCCCAGGCCATGTAGCAGGATCAAGACATTCGTGGCGGGTTGTCCGGACGGCGCTGCTGTTGTTCAGCTGCTGTGGTCGTTGTGCATGTTCTCACTACTTACGCGGAGTTATGCTCAGCTCAATCGATTGTGCAAAATCACTCTTCGTAGGCAGTCGACCCGGCATGACTGCGGCGTTGAGGACATTGCTGGCATGCGGTGGCTGAGGTCACGAAGAGCTAGTGGGGACCCTCGAGGGATCTACGCGCTAGGGACCCCCGAAAGCTTGGTACAAAAGCTGTTCGTTTCTGCCGTACACATGAAGAGGATGCATGATATATATATCTAATGGGCAGTAGAATTTATCATTATCATTTTAATTTAGCCTTTTTTTACGATCAAATACGAAGATATCGTGGACATCATTCTTGCGCGATATGTACCAAGCTTTCCTCATTGTCTAAGCGAGGAGCTTGGTGAGCTTGTATCTCCCAATCCCTGCCGATCAATTCTCCACATGTTGCGCGAGTATGCAAGACGCGCAAGCATCTAGACCATTTTCGAGCGTGCTTCATGCATTGGACAACAAATGCCTGTTCTTTTATAACAAGAAGCGACATCAACGGCCAATTGTTGTCCCAGTAGCGGTCTCCGTTGCGTCATGAGCGTCTTTCACTCGGATAGCCGGGAACTATTTTGGGATTACTCCAGGAAATTCGCGCACCGCCACTTGAGGCCACAGCTCGGAGTGGCATCACAATGGGAGAGGCGGCATGATGATTTGGTTCCAGGGTTCGCGCGGAAAGGGCACTATGACGAAGCTATTTACTCAGCTAATGCGTCCCTGAAGTTCCGGGGTGTTAGTATACTGGCTAAACAAAGATATATAAACCCCTCCTTTCTCCTTACAATTCATGTTGACAATCCAGCCCATCTTAACATCAATCTTCACTGCCAAACGTCAATCGATATTTCTTGAATAACCCCTCCAAGAACTATCATCCTTACACATTTTCAGCATGCCTTTCTGGGGTAAGACCCTCCAACAGATTATCTTCCATTGAGCACACTGACTCAACGCTCCAACAGACAACTCCGAGGATGCCTACGAGCGCGTCTACAACAACGACCAGTTCGAAGAGCACAAATCGTCCTTTGGTCACGAACTGGTGGCCGGCGGTGCAGCTTTTGCTGGTTTTAAAGCTTTTGAGGACCACCAGCGCCGCGAAGGTACACATTCCTCCACTACCATCCTGTCGCTCTCATCCTTCCATACTGATCCCTTCTTTAGGAAAGCCCGTATCCCATGCTTTCGCCAAAGAGCTCCTCGCCGGATTCGCCGGAGCGGAAGTCGACAAGCTAGCTGAGACCAAGGGCGAGGATTGGTTCGACCGTGAGAAGGCCAAACGACATGCTAAGGAGCACGCTGAGCGCATGTATGATGAACATTACATTGAGAACCAAGGGGCGGACCAGTACGATCCGAACCAGTACGACCGTCCCGATCGTTTTGAGAGGAGGGGTTGGTAGAAAAACATGCGAGTGGTTACTCTTTGTTTTCCGTACGAATTATATGATTGTCTCCAGATGGCCTTTTTCTATCACCTGTAAATACGACGACAGATGTTGCTACGGCCAAGTAGCGTTCCATTTCTATAACACACGATATCTTCCTTAAATTTCGTTCTCGAATTGCGTCGCAAATGATTTCGATTGAACAAGTATATCAGTGCATTTGTTGCGAGATACCCCTGCAATGGAATCGCTGATTGGGCGGGAAGGGGATGAGCGACGAGCGGAGGTGAGTGGATTAATATGACGTTAGTGCCCGTAATCGCGGGGGGGTCTGTGCGTGGCGTTTTGGTTGAAGGGGTTGATTCCGACTTATTATTGCGCGCGCCCCATGTTTCAGTAACTCGAAATCTTACGGTCGTGCAAGGCCACGCGCTCAATTGCCTTATATGTCCTCGGAAGGCTGAATGAATTTCCAGTGCTGACCCGTTGGCTCGTACGGGCTCTACCACAGCTCTCTGATTCCGCCTCCTTTTGCCAACTCACGATCGACAAAAAAGCAACTCAAACATGAAGTTTGCCAAGTATGAAATCCATGCGCATCAATTGACCAGATCGCCGGGCTAACCATATCCCAGGGAACTGGAGCGAGACCTCGTTCCTGAGTGGCGGCTCAAGTATCTCGACTATAAAGTTTGTCACATCTCTCCCTTGGTATTGGGTTAATGCTAAGCTTCTGCGCCAGATAGGAAAGAAGAAACTCAAAGCGATCACTCGGGCGCTGCGTACCGTTAACCAAACGCCTCGTCTCCGTCTACGTAGCACAAATACGTTCACACCCTCACCGTTCGAATCAGCTCCACAATACTCCTTCGTGAACCGCGGTCATAGTGCGCAGAATCCCAGTGATGTACATGATTCGGGTGACCTCAGGGCTATAGCTATACAGAGGAGCCGAAGCCGAAGCCAGACTAGCAATGCAAACCCGATTCGCAATCACTCGCCTCAGCCGCATGAGGAACAGCCACTCAATGGAGGTCAGGATGGGTCACAACCTAAGATGACAAGATATGGAAGCATACTTGGAAGCCCGCCCAATTTTGATAAGCTGGGCAATAAGGCGCACGGGAAAGCACCGTCTCTGAAACTGCCCGTTGCTGCACTCGAGCTTGAACCGTCGATATCGCTGGGTGACTCTGGGACAAAAGTGCGCGATAGACCGAAATCGATACGGTTACCTGCACCTGCGGAAGATGCTTTCAAGGTTGGAAAGACTCGCTCGCCCCAGAAACAGCATCATTCTCTGTCGTCGAGGTACAAAAGTGTATTTAGCCCTAAGAGGGTCAATTCTACGCCTGCGTCTCCCGTTACCGAACAACCACGGCCACTATTCAAGCGTGTGTTTTCCATGACCACCAAAGGCGCTCCACCGAACGATCCCGATTTACCCCTTCAAGCCTATCGTGAGCTTGACATTCGACAAGCTGAGTTCTTTCATTTCTTGGATATGGAACTTGAAAAGGTGGAAACGTTCTACAAGCAGAAGGAGGACGAAGCGACGGAGCGGATGAAGGTACTGAGAGAGCAGCTACATATCATGCGAGACTGTCGGCTCGACGAAATCATCACGAAACAAACAAATAAGATTCGCGCTAAAGAGGCAAAGAAGCACGCCGCTAATGGCGGCGGTCTACTTTCCGGCCATAACGACGATTCTGACGATGAGACTACAAATCACAAAGCAAAAGGGCACTCCTGGTTCGACCCACTCGACTCTGCGCTCGACTCTGCGCTCCAGGCTGTTCAGGCAGGCCGTCACGGAAAAGCAACAAAGGCAATGACCAATCTTGCTAGCCCGACAGGCCTGATGCCTCAGGGCCGCCCTGAAGATCATCGCGATTACACTCGTCGCCCGGAAGTTGCAGATGTATCGTACCAATCCGCAAGAAGGAAACTTAAAGTGGCCCTACAAGAATACTACCGAGGCTTAGAATTACTCAAGTCTTATTCCTTGCTGAATCGCACAGCATTCCGCAAGATCAACAAAAAGTATGACAAGACCGTGAATGCACGCCCTACCATGCGATACATGAACGAAAAAGTAAACCAAGCCTGGTTCGTACAGAGCGATGTCGTCGAGGGTCACATACGGGCGATTGAAGACCTTTACGCTCGGTATTTTGAAAAGGGCAATCATAAGGTGGCTGTAGGAAAACTTCGAATCAAGATTGCTCGAGCAGGCGACTTCACCGAGAATTCTTTCCGGAACGGCTTGTTCCTCGCAGCTGGCCTCGTCTTTGGAGGAGAGGGCGTTGTCTATGGGGCCCAGCTTCTTTGGTCTGATGATGAACGTCTTGCTGTCGACACGAGTTATCTATTGCAGGTCAGTCGACAAATGTGTCGCCCGACCAATCGAGAAACAATGTTAACTTTGACTAGATTTACGCCGGCTACTTCCTCATGAATTTCTTATTTCTACTGTTCTGCCTGGCGTGCCGGGTATGGCATGAATCCAAGATTAACTACGTCTTCGTCTTCGAATATGATGTCCGCCACCATCTGGATTGGAGGCAACTTAGCGAAGTTAGACTCCTTCAAATATCTTATAGATTTCTGCTAATTCCGTCCAGCTTCCATGCTTCTTTATGTTTCTTTTAGGCTTTTTTATATGGCTTACTTTTCACCAATTCGGCAGTGAAACCATGTATTACTACTACCCGGTGATACTGTTGGCCATTACTTTCTTAATCATCATTTGTCCATTCCGCATTATATACTACCGCAGTCGGTTGTGGCTACTTTATTCTTTGGTAGGTCAAAGCTGATACTGCTCTCTGCGCTCTGATCTGACACTACTAGTGGCGCCTCCTCCTTGCTGGTCTATATCCCGTCGAGTTTAGAGATTTCTATCTTGGAGATATGTTCTGTTCCCTGACATATTCTATGGGCGTAAGTTCACTATTCTTCCATTCGTAAACGACTTGCCTAATTATTGTAGAACATCGAGCTGTTCTTCTGCCTTTTCGCCCGCAATTGGAATGACCCTGCCCAATGCAATTCTTCACATTCGCGACTCCTTGGATTCTTCGCTACGCTTCCAGGCATATGGCGTGCTCTGCAGTGTATACGGCGTTACTACGACACACGTAATGTCTTTCCTCATCTCGTCAATTGTGGAAAATACACTGCGACGATCGTCTTTTATATCACCTTAAGCATGTACCGCATTGATAGATCCACAACCAACCGGGCTTTGTTCATCACATTTGCTGTCATAAACTCGGTATATACCAGTAAGTTCTACTTCATCTCTAAGTACGCAGCACTTGACTGATTACGCCGCCAGGTATTTGGGACGTGATTATGGATTGGAGTCTGGGAGACCCCTATGCCCGCCACCCATTCCTGCGAGATACTCTCGGCTATAAGAAAGTATGGATGTACTACGCAGCCATGGTCGTCGATCCCATCCTCCGCTTCAACTGGATATTCTACGCCATCATCCCCCTCCAGCTACAGCACTCCGCCATAACCTCCTTCGCCGTCGCCCTCTCCGAAGTTTGCAGAAGAGGCATGTGGACCCTCTTCCGCGTCGAGAACGAGCACTCCACCAACGTCGGCCGCTTCCGCGCCTCCAGAGACGTCCCACTCCCCTACGACCTCTCGACCCCCAGCCCCGAAGTCTCGATCCACGAGCCCGGGTCAAGACCTGCATCACAGCAAGCAGAGATCAGTTCGCCCATGCCCCCACCGCGCACGCCCGTCACTCCGGGCATCATGCCAGAACGCACGCAAACGGTCGAGGACGGCGACGTCGAATTCGGTCAGGCGCAAGCAGCTGCTCGTCGTCGGGACCAGGAATCTACCGATTCCCCTATCGCCCGCGGTCTGTCTCGCGTGGGTACGATCCTCCGCAGCGCCCACGTCCAGGATTTCGAAAAGAAGCGGAAGCCTGAACTCGGTGCTCGTGGTACTGCGAAGATCGACGACGACGACACGGATGACGATGACGATGAAGAGGCCAATCATAGTGGTAGTGCGAGTAGGGGAGGGAGCGATAGCGGGGATGCCCAGGCGGAGAGGCAGAATGAGAGGGACATTGCTGAAGTCAGACGAGATGTCGACATTGGCAGGGCTGGAGAAGGGAGTAGCTCGAATGGTGCTGCGGTATAGTTGACGATGCTGTACCGATCTGTTAGAGCGCGATATCCTATTATATTCTATCATACGGCCATAGTTCTTATGAATTTAATTTTTTTCAACTGCATACTTTAATTTTAGACTTCTGAAAGATGAACTACGATCGTCTCGGTAATCGAGGTATGTACTTATAGGCCATTGTATGCGCTCTGGTAGTATGGATGGTAGAGTGCACATGTCCCATTGACTAGAAACTGAATATGCAAATCATAATTGAAAAAAGTCGAAGATATCTTATGCAATACAAAAATGCCTAAAATTCTTGAAGTAACGCCGTTCAAGTATGCGAAAACAAAAATGCCAGCTACAACCAACGTACTGCGGAGGCACCTTTTGGTGTTCCAAAACCCCGTACTCCTGAAGAATAAATAACTCTCAATTATGCAGCATGTAGCTGAGATTGGGTAGACCCTGCACGATGGACCGAATGATTTCGTCCTCTTCTGCTTTCCGCCTTTGTGCGGAGTTTGTAGCACCGGTCAGGGGTTGAAGCGGTGGCGGAGTAAGTGATTTCGTTGGTGGGCGCGTGTATGGTACAGGTGGTGAACTGTTGAAGATGGAAAACGGATCCGACGGGTCGGTTGGCGCTTGGGGAGGCTGCGGCGGAGGAGCCGATTCGAAGAAGGAGAAATCAGCATTGCTCCATGGGTCACTGATAGACTCGGGAGCTTTTGTGGGTAGCTCTTGATTGTCGACGGGAGACGAGTCTGCGTTTGCTTGATGATACTCCACTGTCGTTGCAATGGTTGGGAAGCCGGAACCGGGCGATGCCAACTCAGCGGTGGTCTCGCTAGCCAGCGAAGTGTGAATGACACCGTCGATTGATCCATCGGTGTCTCTACCTGCTGGCGTTGCTTCGTTCGTGGTCGTCACGGATGGTGGTTTTTCCCGAGAAACTTTCCTCAACATTCCTGGACCAATTGGCCCTTGTTCTGAAGATTTAGGAACGAAACTGTTATATCTAAAAAGTGCAGATGTCGGCGATACTGTCCCCTGAAGACGCACAATCGGCGATGAATGCTTCGACGTTGCCTGCTCGAAGGGTGACGCAGTAACAGATGTGGGCGTCGAGATCACAGTCGAAGGTGTAGGGTCCTGACTAGATTCGTCAAGAAATTGATCGATGGGAGCGAAAGTCGCCACAGCAGGAGACTGGACCATGTCCCCCCAATCGTCGTCGTCATCGTCGACGGGGTTGGGCGTAATCTCTTGGGAAAGGGCGCTCCGGCCATCTGGATTGGAATCTTGTGTGCTCGCCTCTACCGGATGACCTTGGGGCAATTGTGTCCCTGATACTCCTCCTTCTGGTGATGCGATCTTCACAATACCTGCTGGAGTTGATACTGACGAACCGGAAAACACCAGCGGCGTGTCGGGCTGCCGAATTTGGGATGGAGCACTATCTTTAACCGTCGCGGTAGTTGACTCCCCCTGCGATGAAGGGGGATTGTGGGTCCAAACGTTGGTGGTCGCCACTGGTGAACTCCAGTTAAATGCTGGGGGAATATTGGTAGCACTGTTCGAGGCGCTATGCTGAACCATTGATACAGATATCGAAGACTTCCGCCGAACATGAGATTTCACTACCGGCTCCGAGCTAGGTACTTGATCCCAGTAAAAGTTGGCCGCAGCCGCTGGGCCTCTTCCGGATAGACGATCCTCAGTAGCCCATCTACCGACAATCTTATTAACTTCTGATCTGATATGAGACTGTTTCCAGGTTATTCTAACGTAATTGTCATCGTCGGTGCTATTGTTGAATTCTCGCAGTGTTTGTTTGCGTGTTAGTCGGTACCAAGCTTTCCGCGCAGATGTGGAATGAACTGGATCGTCTGGTGGTGTAGGAAGACCTCTGAGACCTGGTATCGGTGGAAATAGCTTGTCCAGTAATGATTCGTCTACGTTAAGTCCTGGAACATTTGGCACTATTACGAATGGAGGCAGTTCAGCATTGTCGTCATCCAGCTGAAGAGCTTGTTGCTGCGTGACGTCTTTGGAAACAACCGCTGTATCCTCGGTTTGGGCGAGTGCCGCAACAGCTTCCTGATTGTCAAGCTCGGGTTCGGGCACCTTCTGGAGATTGTCCTCCGACCCTTCGTCGGGTACTTCCTCGGAACCGGAAACGTCCAATATGTCCTCATGTTGATCCTTCTCCTTCTCAACTTCAGTATGTGTTGAATCTTCAGTGGCCGGGACGTCGGTTCCGTGACGTTCGTCTTCGAACGATGTCCGTGGCGATTCGACTAACGCGTCGCGATGGCTGGTGTCGGATGGAGAAGTCGACGGTCGGGTAGAGAAATCGTCCCCATGGCGCACGCTGTCGCTCGCAGAATCGTTCGGGATCGCCTGTGAGGGTTCCTCGGGTTGTATGGTCGTTGCGGAATCTGACGCTTCTGAAAACACATTGTCGACATCCCGTAATGCCTCCTCCCCTGATGTCGTGTTCGTTGTGCCCCAACCCTCGTCGCCAACCTCGAAAGTATGCTTTGGAGCCTCACTGTCATAGTGACTAGTATTGTCGGTCTCTACCGTAAACGCTGTGGCATCCACCTCATTTGCGCGTGTATCCGGCTGGTTCGAAGATCTCACGGGCGCAGATGTAGCCCAGCCTCCGAAGTCCCCATCCTCTTCCGGATCCCCCCATTGTGCATCGTCCAAGAAAGCATTCAAAAGTACAGGCGCACTTGTGGTAGTCGGTGGTGGAGAGTCAATCGCTTCAGTCACCTTGTCGCGCTTCGGTGGAGACTGGGAGTTGTTGATGTCGTCGGAGTCGTCAGCCCAAGGGTCGCCCCAATGATCCATGGTCGGAGCGAAAAGTCCAGCTTCATTATGGTATGCTCAGACAAGCATCACCATGGCTGAAGGCTTGCTTCGCGAGGATAGATGGTCGAGTGAGGAGCAATCTATAGGTTACGGAAGTCGGGACGAATAGGTGGCCGGGACGGACTGTATATGACGGAGCGGAGCGGCACGCGGAGGTTCGAGTTCCTGCCAAGCAATTTCCACTCCTCTTCACAAGCACGATCATGATGACTTTGTCGACAGTATAGCATTGATTCATCATAGGATAGGTTTTAATTGACCCTGTTTCACTCCATTTATTGACCCTGAAACTGTACGACCTCAAACGTGCAAGGTTTGACAATCAGGATACCAAGTTCGATCTTCCTCACAAGGTCTCATAAGGGAAACGCACACTATTGTCCATGACCACAATTTAGTATTTCCATTCCCCAGCAGAACCCACACGAACAGCAACTAAACAATTAATGAGAATTGGTTCGAATTCCCCCGAGTTCGTAGTGGAATACTGTCCATGTTTCAAGAGCATCTTACCATTATCATAACCAGCCATATTAAACAACCAAACCAAATGAGGCTAGTTCATAACATTCAGCCCCCATTGTTGTACTGTCCCCATGGACCGCATCCTGTAATTGCATACATAGTATTCTGAATTTCACTATTACCAATGGCAACTCCGACACGCCTCGTGCCATCATATAGGGCGTTCGACCATGCGAAGGACGACGCCGGGATTGAGCTGATTGAATTTTCTAATGCTGGACATTGGGAGCGGAACTTTGTGACAGATGACTTCGCAAGAGAGCACATCGAGAAGGATTTTTCAGTAGGCCAAGATGTCTTGCAAACTAGCATCACTTTTATTGTAGTTGATCGTGTTCAAGGTTTCCAAGACAAATGATTCTAAGCATAAGGCGAGCGAAGGGAATACCGATAATGTAAAACTCTTGTAAGGAGACCCTCAAGTATCTATTGATGAACGAACAAGACCCTTTAACATACGAAAGTCTCTCGATGCGCCAAGGGGAGTATTCTGGAGAGATGTTACCTATTCGAATGGATAGTAGTCTGTTTGAACGGATTGCACCATATGCAAGAATTCCCAAACCGTATCTGGAGTTTCTGGACAACAGGTACGCCATGTCAGTTTTTACCGTGCCGCAACTTCCCCCATCTTTGTCAAATACATCATCCAGAGACATAAGGAAAGATTATATAAGTAGGTTCTAGTGATCATGCTATCACTGAACGAATTGCTAAAAGTTGTGAAGGCTTCATCATCCAGTCAATCCCCGGCGCAGCTCTGTACATTTGTATGGGCACGTCTTTCACATATCATGTCCCGACTCGTACAATGTATATCTTCATGCATGCACTGGCGAGTCCGACATGCTCCGAACTCATTACCCAGTTTTCGGAGGGTGCGGCGCATTCATCACCGTTGCTCATACCTAGCCTCATCATTCGGCACAGCATGACCCATCGCACCGATGCTGTTGACAGATGGCACCAACACATATATAAATGTGAGCGAGCTTTCGGCATACGCTGGGACTACCAAGATAATGCAGATCGAACAGCGATCGACTATGCTGCTTTCAGTCGTGATATCAACGCGACTACAACCAACCTATCGTACGCAATATGGTCTTGCAAAACGACTACACGGCATCTAGCATTCTTGGACGAGGTTGTGAAACACTACCGGGTGAAGGCAATCGCGAGCGGACATGATGCAAAAGAAATTGAAGAAACAGAGTATATGCTTCTCCAAACCCACGAGCATTTACGGTCTTGGAACAGGAGCATTGAGGAGCGTGCGGAGTATCTTTCTAAAAGAGGCCAGGCACTGGCTCAGACTGTAAGCCTTTCAATTGCATACTCTCTTGCCCGTTCGCTCACTCTTTATAGCTCTATAGCCTCATCACGCAGCGGGACTCTGCGAATAGTCTCAGGCTCGCAAGTTCAAGTACGAAGCTCGCAGAAACGTCGCGTGATGTTGCAATTGCCACGAGTCGAGACAGTGCTGTAATGCGAGTTATCACTGCAATCACGATATTCTTCCTCCCTGCAACGTTTACCGCTGTGAGTCCAAGCAGATCATGTCTAAACCATCGAAGCTAATGGTATCGTAGACATTCTTTAGTACCACGTTCTTCGATTTCAAGGAGGAAGGAAGTAAATCGGTATACTCGTGGTGGCTATGGTTGTACTTTCTGGTCACTATTATCCTCACGGTTATAGTCCTAGCTGGAACATTTTGGATGTGGAGAAATAAAGAAAGAGAAATAGCAGCCAGATACGCAAAAGAGAAGAATCAATAGGTATGAAATATCTCGAAGTCGCGATGTCAATCTTTCGGATACCTCTTTGGACTAGAAGATAACAACAACAATATGTTCGTAATGGAAACGAGTACTGGTGTATAAAATTGAACCAAAGACTATACATTGCATTTGTAGCTACTTTATGAGAAAATTGTTTGTATTTGAGCTGGATTACTCGTTGAGCGTGTATCTTTGGATTGACGCGCAGTTTCCCCGCACTATACCTCGGAACTTGGAGATCAACATTAGTACCTATATAGGTACCGACATATGTACCGACGGAATGCTTCTATAATACCAATTTCTTCTCTTTTTTTAATTGTTCTCTCTTCAAAATTTCGACATCCGCCATCGTGGGGCCTTCTTCAACTTACTAATCTATCGCGTCAACCTCGTTGGTTGTTTTACCCGGCTGCATAATCCCCAGCCACAACTGCCGTAGGTGAGATTCCGAGCTCCGGCATATAGATATACCTCACGAATCCTGAACCGCGACTTCTAGTACCACCAGGTGTATTCAGAAATATCACAATTCCAATTCCTTTGCGATGTCATCCGGAAACGCCGTTGCTCGAAAACTATGGGAGCACCCCGATCCAAAGTCCACGGCGATGTGGAAGTTCATGCAACGTGCGAATGGAAAGAGAAATCTCAATATGCAGGTATGTTACAGCACCAATTCGAACAATTCCTAGTTTGGCCTGAGTCCTTATCGTTTGAGCGTTGTTTTATTGTTTATGAGTGGGTTCAATTTCCCTACCTACAAATGAGTGGACCTATAACAATCTCGGATCTCGGTCAACGCGTTGCAACATCATGATCAGCATTCAAGACGCATCATTGCGGAGTCCCCTCCGATCGACTTCACGATAACCGAGAAGACCGGACGTTTCAGGACATCTGCAGTCTAAATATCAACGCCTGATGCAAGGCGAGCGGCCTTTCGAACCACGGTTCCCGAGTTGACGGTGCAAGAGGCGGGGAATTTTGGTTTGGTGGAGTTGTGGAGTTGTTGGGAGAACGTGTGGGCCTTAGTGCCGTGGGAGCAGCTGAACCATTATCGACTTGCTTTTCTATTTTTGGTGTCTGTTTACCGAATGCTTATTTTTGTTAATCGATACAGTATCAATACGGTAATAATGCTAACTGTGTTCTTTAGACGTTCAGAGAATTGTATGATTTCTCCGTTGGGGATAGGAGGGTAGAATTTTGGGAGGATGTTTGGGAAGCATCAGGGCTGATATATGAAGGTCAATATGAGCAGGTGAGTTGATTTGATACTTTTTCATGTTTGTCACGTATCGGTGGACTCTATAGGCCCTGTCTCTTCAACACCATCCATGGAACTTTGACTCTGTATCCCCATCAGCCATGAATTATTCTGTATCATCATTGATTCTCCAAGCACCTTTCGATGGTTTCAATTCATCTACTGTTGATAATGTTTTGCTCATCAAAAATTGTAGGTGGTTGACACATCTGCACCAATGGATTCCATCCCTCGCTGGTTCGACGGCACCTACCTGAACTTTGCAGAAAACACACTCTTTTCCGCCTCAAAGGACTCGCCTTCAGTCCGGACCACACTGCATAAGGAAGACTCCAAGGTCGCCCTGACCGAGATACGTGAGGGCAACACCGAAGTCCGTCACATGACGTTTGGAGAAGTACGCCGCCGAGTAGGCATACTCGCCAATGCACTGCGAGCAAGAGGTCTCAAGAAAGGCGACCGTGTTGCACTGGTTGCGTCGACGAGCTTCGACACCTTCATATGCTACATGGCGACCGTGAGCATCGGTGGATTGTTCTCGAGCTCAAGCACGGATATGGGCACCAAGGGGATACTCGAACGAATGATCCAGATCAAGCCGGCCTACATTTTCGTAGACGACTGGGCGGTATACAATGGGAAGACTACAGATCTTCGACCAAAGATCACGGAGATTGTCCTCGGGATGAAGTCTGTTTCCGAGTTCAAGGGCGTCGTAGTGCAGCCGCGTTTTCCAGGGAAACCTGCAGATATCGAAGACGTACCGAAGGCTATCACTCTGGATGGATTTGTGAAAGCGGCGAATGGGAATGAAGAGTTGAAGTTCGAGAGAGTCGCTTTCAGGGACCCTTTCTTGATTGTGTATTCTAGCGGCACTACTGGGGTTCCTAAGTGCATCACCCACTCAACAGGAGGAGTGCTTGTGAGTGCTATGAAAGAAGGACTGCTCCATCGCGAGATGACGCCCGACAACGTGGTCCTTCAGTATACAACAGTGAGTCCCACAACAACATACCATAGCCCCTGAGCATACATACTGATGTCCCTAGACCGGTTGGATCATGTATCTAGTGAGCGTGCAATCCGCCCTCTACGGCTCCCGATCAGTCCTCTACGACGGCTCCCCCTTCATCCCCAACCCAACCACCTTCCTCACCATCCTCGCCGAACAGCGCGTAACAGACTTCGGTACCTCCCCCCGATTCCTCCACGAACTCCAAAAAGCCTCCATCTCCCCACGCTCCATCCTCGACCTCTCCGCCCTCCGAGCCGTCCAAACAACCGGAATGGTCCTCTCCGACTCCCTCTTCGAATGGTTCTACGACGTCGGCTTCCCCTCACACGTCCACCTACGCAACATCTCCGGCGGCACCGACCTCGCCGGCTGCTTCGGCATCGAGAACCCCCTCGAGCCCGTCCACGTCGGCGGCTGCCAGGGCCCCGTCCTGGGCACCAAGGTCGAAGTCTACGACTCCACCATCGAATCCGGACCCGGACGCGCAGTCCCCGACGGCGAACCCGGTGAGCTCGTGGCCACGGCTTCGTTCCCCAACCAGCCCGTCCTCTTCTGGGGCGACGAGTCCGGTGAGAAGTACCACAACGCGTACTACGCTCGCTACCCGAACGTGTGGACGCACGGAGACTTCATACAGTATCATCCCGTCACGGGGCAGATTCTGTTCCTGGGCCGTGCGGATGGAGTGCTGAATCCGAGTGGGGTGAGGTTTGGAAGTAGTGATATCTACTCGGTTATTGAGACGCATTTCCCGGAGGTGCAGGAAAGTGTCTGCGTGGGGCAGAGACGGCCGCATGATAGCGACGAGAGCGTGATTTTGTTCTTGTTGATGCGGGAGGGGAAGGCGTATACGCAGAATCTTGTGGAGAGGATTAAGAGGAAGATTGGCGAGGAGAGGAGTAAACGACATATCCCGAGATATGTCTTTCAGACATGGGACATACCGGTAAGGATATCCTCTCTTTTGACGATGGTGATGAGATCATAACTGACAGTTTCTTGCAGACTACAGTGAATCTGAAGAAGGTAGAATTGCCAGTCAAGCAGATTGTCTCTGGGAGAATCATCAAGCCTAGCGGGACATTGGCGAATCCAGAAAGCCTGCAGTTCTACTACCAGTTTGCGAAGGTCGAGGAAGTGGTAGAGAGGCTGGAGAGGGAGAAAGCGGCAAAAGTCAACAGCAAACTATAGACTTGGATCATTGGGACTTAGAACATGTAGAGACGCGGCGATGCGAATGGATGCTTTCACGATATCATGACCACTAGGACTTGTTGTGCACATCGACAACGTCGATCTTCAAAGGACGGCAGATCATCATGATTATGTCTTGTATAGGCCAAACGGCAAGATATGCTACGAAACACTCGTATATAAATTCTACGAACGGTGATCTGCAAAGAAAGACACGAGTTACCTAGACTCCATGATTATTGAACTTGAGGATCAATTGACCCTGAAGCCCTTCGCGCATTTGATATCCAAGGTAACCATGAAGACACAACAGCACGTGTGTGTATCCACGCACGTATCCGATTGTGCTTGTGTCTCTAGAATCCAGATGTGTTCATTTAAACTGAAAGTTACTCCCGCATCGCCATGCAGCACGGAAACATACATGCGCACGTCCACTCCCGTTCCACCATACCTACCACTCACCCACGCCGTCGCTTCGACTTTACAATTTCCTTCGTATAACTATTCCGACTAAACAAAGGAAGAGAAGAGAACAAACCCCCACCTTACATAGTATGTACTCCATTTGCCCATGTCGTTTCGTTTCAATGCTATCCCGCCCATCGTACGACCGAGCATCCTAAGCGAAGCCTACGTTTCCCTCCCGCCTTCGCTCATGTCAATCTGAAACGCCGCCATCTCGCTCAAGTGCACGCGCGCGCTGCGTGCAGCGACCGAGACTGCACACTGCAAAGTGCGTGCAAACGGGACGGCCGAACCAGATTTATGGGCGGCTGTTATCTTTTATTATATTCTCCGCCCGTTGTTGGCGCGAGTGTCGAATAGGTACTTTCTCCTGGATAACAAACGGGGCTGCACGATGGAAAAATTTCGTTCATGGTGGAGAATGGGAGGAGGGAGGTGTGAGTTTCTCCGTCTTCTGTGCTTTTGACGTGACTCTCCTGCCGTGGGATAGATAGATAAACTACCTAGTCAATTATACCTATAGCTACAGCAAGTCAATTCATGCACGCACACACGCGTACATACTGCATGCGAAGCAACGCACACCCAGCCCCTACGCAACCCATCGTTGACGCAATCGCAATCTAAACCGCTATGCGGCCGGCAAGCAGGCAGGCAATAAAGACATGGGACATTTGTATATCGATGATTTTTTCGCTGGCGCACATATTACAGCCGCAAAGCAAGCAACACCCCCGTTGGACTTACACTATAACTCCGTACCGTTGGCAAAATAACACTCTGGCGGGTCTGGAGCTTCTAGGGACGCCCTGCCACCGCCCGGAAGGCCCGTCTTCGTTTCCTTCTTCCCTGTCGTGTTTTTTTGCCCTTGAGGATTTGTGTCTACATACCCGCTGCGATGGTCCGGCAAACGCGCACGTACCGAGTCGACTAATGTCTTACTCGGACGGGACGGGGGAGGGATAGAGAGAGAGAGAGAGACACCGTGTTTCTAAACACCCGGTCTGCTCGAGTCGTCCGTTCCCATGGATGGACCTAGCGTTTTTTTGGGTTTCGTGGTTGAATTGACTTACTGGCATGACGTGCATGTGTGGGCAGGGCGGTGCGGTGGTGTTTAACAGGTGGACGTGTCTCAGGGTAAGATGGTATAGTAACCAGCTGGGAAGAACGCTGCAAGATGGCAGAGGCTATATTTGGGGCGCGGCTACCGAGATCTTGGAATTGACGTTTCCATTGGACTACCTATGGGAATCGGCTTAAGAAAAAAACGTAGTCTTCGTTTAGTTTGAGTGAGGAGAGGTTGTGTAGACTAGAGATCAATAATGTTAGTCGAGTGTTGAAGTCCGAGGTTCAAGGAGGCTCTTCCCGCTCAAATTATTGGGCGTTCTAGAAGGAAAGGAACAAGTCGAAATGCGGGGCAGGCAGACAGCGACGCCTTTTGGGTTCTGACATGGTTCCATCGGCCGGCTGGCCTGAAAGGAAGCGGAGGGAAAGGATGGTGGATTCTAAGCTTCTACCTAGTTCCCAGCTACCTGACAAGCCTGACAGCCTGACAATTCGATTGTTGGTAAGTCAGCATGTAGCCCATTGTTTCATGTCGCGACTTGGGACTGACGGCCTGCGCTCCATCGGCTGAACAGCACGGATGCGGTTGGCGAGTACGTGCGAGTAAGATAAGGTGTTTGCACCTTATTGTAGGGGATTTGTTCGAGAAGAACGTTAACGGAGAGTGTTAAGGGAGATCTGGGATGCGATAGCTAGATGAGATTTCATGGACCCTGTATGTTGGTATGGCTGACCGTGCTAAGTCTTCCTCTTTGCCAGGAGCATGGTTGCAGTGAGCATGTACTCGGGGTTCTCAGATCTTCGATCTCAAGATGGTGGCTGGATCCTGTATTTGCACGGCACCTTGAAAGCGATTTGGTAAATGTAATGTAATGTAGTTATCATTCTGATGTTTATAGCTCAACATCTATCATAATGCGACCAATAATCAAGCGGCCGTGTACTGCAGAATATGCTCGCTCGGTCATAATAATATAAAGGGAAAATAGCCTCGAGAATGCATAGCAAGAGACAAGAGTTAGAAAGTAGAGAGGCAAGGAAAATTAGGCCTGATTTTTCGCAACGAGAGAAACACAATTCCAACCGCAGGGGAAGTGGTGGGTATCTTTTCAACAACAGCAACAACAACAAATCTGATAGGAAGAAGAAGCAAAGCAAGCAGTGAAAGCCAAACGCCTGTGTGACTTGGTTGTGTCTGTCTCTCCCTCACACACAGTCATTCGATCGCTCGTGACATGTCGTACGAACGTGTTGCACTGGCAGCCACGCTACACACGTACAAAACTTAAAAAAAGAGTCAATCTTTCGAGTAATACTAGCACCGAGTCAAGGTGCCAAGGGGCGCGCCATTGATACCCGATCGAGCCAGGCGTCCCTGGGACGGGAAAAGTATAGTTAATGATGGTATGCAAATAATGCGTGATGAAGTGTCGGTCGTAGTAGTAGTGTGGTGTGGGTCCCTCAACCCCATTAAAATAATGGAGATCGCTTGCCTTAAACCCGAATCGCGCAAGAGGCGGAAATGGAGTGGCAGATGGATCTGAACCAGGGACAGGGGCTTTGCGGCCATGCAAGGTCGACTGGAGTCGACGCGAGACGAAACGAAACGAAACGGAACGGAACAATTGGTTTCTGCCGTTCATGCGTGGGATCGTCAACTGGGACGATGCGTAACAATCGAAGCGCTTAGAGGAGGTCCATCAGACTCTTCCTCTTGCGAATTCGAGGACCCTTGATGCTCGCCATCGGGTCGCTTGCTTCTGGGAAAGGAGGAAGCTCGATCGTGGGTGCACGCTCGCCGGCGCCGCGGGCTACCATCTTTGAGGCATTCTTTCCGGGTGACGATGTTACGGCGGTGGGCATGGCCGGAATCTCGGGGGATGGCCCTCGGACCGAGCTGGGTCGTGATATCCTAGAGTGTCGTCTCAGGCGGTTTCCTGATGATGAGAACGATCCAGGTAGTGGGGCTGTCTGTGGCGTGACCGGTGTGAAGGGACTGGCAGGTGTTGGTGGCATGCCTGGCTTGCCGTTCACGCGAGTGTCCCATTTCTTCGTGGATGGGGTGATGGCGATCTTCGCAAGCGAGAGCTTCTGTGAAATCGATCGTAGACGCTTGTGTGGTGCGGACTTAATGATAGGCGAAGCAGATGATGTGGTTGAGTTCTCGTAGGGATCGGAGCTCAGGAATGCATGAGTTCCAGGAGTTTGTGGTGTGAGCGGTGGGAATGGCATAGTGGATGCTCTGACGGACGCAGAGGAAGAGATGTAGAGGGATGATCGTGGCTGGATGGCTGGCATGGCACTGACAGGTCGAATAGAGAGCTCACTGGCAGCGGGCGAGATACTCCTTGTCGAGCGGGCTGAAAAGGATGATGAGTCTGAGACGTTGAAGGAGCTGGTATTGCGTGAGGATGTCTGGTGGCCGGTTGAAGGTCTCCTCGACTCCTTACTGGAGGGTGCAGGACTGGCTGTTCGACTGGCCGATGGAGTGGCAGCCATGGAGAGGCGGGATGGTTCAGCTTTGCGTAGCTTGTTTATGGCAGCGAATGGCAGCTGAGCAAGCGACGCCGAACGCTGGGGAGGTTGTGCTTGTGGTTGTGATTGGGGCTGAGGCTGTGGCTGCTCCTGTTCCTGCACAGGCGAACTGACATTGGCGAGATTGATCACCTTTGGTCGTCCGGCGGAAACGTACGAGATTAAGACAGCCATATCACAGCTCTTCCCTTTTTCGAATCGAGACATGCTCATCTTTCTGGCGGAGAAACAGTTCTCCTTGTTGTCGTCGTTGTGAATGCTAACGTCGTCACCATAGTCGGAATCGATATCAGAAGTTCCCTCCATGGGAGATAGGTCCTCTTCGGAGGAAAGATATCGCTCCTGGAAGGAAACGGTCTCCTTGGAGCTCGCACTGGTCGATTTGTTTCCTACAGATGTATCTATGCGTAGCGTCTCGGGGTCATTGTTGTAAGGGTCCGGGGAAGAAGCAGAACTGTCCGATCTGTCTGGGCGGGTTAGGGAAGGTTTTTCGAAGGACCATTGCTGCAACTGAGCAGACACGGCCACGTCGACCATGTTTGCGAATTGCTACTATTGAAGTTGCTGCGAGGGGGGGAAGAATGCTGTAATTCCGGGGGAGTGAACGGAAGCCGGGGGTTTAATTATGTTCGGTGACGGGTTGTGAGCGCGAGCATGAAACTGGGGGCTGCAAAGGCTACAATGGTATGGACCAATGGTAGCAGCAGATTGTCCGATGGGGAGGTAGCACAAACAGGTAGTGGTCGGAGTGGCGAACAGCTGAACGGATTGGAGTAACGGGCACGGCCGGCGTAGGGATTGACACGAATTGGAAATGATTGTCGTCGGCGTCGAAAGGGTGCACAGTAAATGTCGTCGCTCGAAGGAAGGTCGTGAGAGTGTTTGTTGGTGATGGTGATGTTCTTTTGGTGTGAAGGGGTGGACCGTGGATAGGGAGAAGAAAAGGGAAGGGAAAGGAAGGTGAAAAGAGGGCGAGAAAGGGAGTAGATCTCTCTTTAGAGAAGGAAGAGAAAGCGAAGAGAAAGGTAGGTAAGTAATATCCGGGATGGTTCTATGGGATATATTATTGCGGATGCGGACGCGGACGCGGACGAACTGGAGTCAGTGCGACGAGATGTGGACTGCACGCACGTACATGTACAGGCGAAGGCAGACAAGACAATGACAAGTGAAGAGAACAGAAGAGAACAGAAGGGCACTAGACCACTGTCCTCCGCAGCACAAAGTAAAGAACAGACCTGTGTTGGACGGGCAAGACAGACAGATAGAGATAGATAGAGACAGAGTAGACCGAGAAACAGAGAGAGAGGTGGAACATTTGGACAAGACGGAGAGAACAGACCAGTATTAACAGGGGAGCGAGCAACACAACTCCAGCAGTGACCATGCCCATGCCCCAATCCTTCTCTCTCTCCATCTACCAAGGTATTACTGAGTCTAACGCTCCCTCATTGTCTATCCCAGTTCCAGTCAACTAGTGATCCCACCCTTAATAACCCCCTGTTCCCTGTTCTGTCCTGCCCTGTCCATGGAGGTTTCATGTACATCCCAAAAGAGTAGAAGGTTGCACAGACTTGGGTATAGCCGTATTAGTTTCCAAGGCGCCGCTTCGACGGCTTAGGCGGCTTAGGCGGACTGGGGCCTCAGAAGGGATGGTGCAAAATGTCCATAGTCGAGGCAACTCTGCAAGCCCTCCTCCAAAAGACACGGACTTTGCACCGGTAGTATGTAGATTGTAATCTCATTCTAGGAATGGCACTGTGCGAGTCCTCTTTCTGCATGACCTACATACTACATACTACATACAACATACCGTTCTAACTGGGTTGTTCCCGACATGGAAGTCCGTATCTCCATATCCACCATCTCCAAATCTCCCACCTCCGTCTCCCATAGGGTGTTGATAGATGTGCGAAGGGTGGACTATTACACAATCGATTGGCCGTGATATGCTATGCTATGGTAGGGTTTCCATGATCATTCCACATCACCTGGCTACACCCTTTAGCCAGGTGTGCGGCGTCGACCCTCAGGATTGGCCAGGTGGATTTGTTTCAGCAGCATCGTCGGCACGGAACGCCGTAAGAAGCTGTAGTGTGGGTGTGAATGCACTCTACCTACACCACCTACACTCTGCGAATAGTGCGTGCTGTATCATAAGGTAATGCGATATGTAGTGTAGCAGTCTACGAAGATAGTGCGAGGTAGATGATGTGTGATCTGGACAGTAACTAACACCTGTGGAGTGATGAAGAGTAATTACAGCGTGCATCTTCATTCTATTAGATTCCATTAATCCACCACCATGTCATGAACGAACCATCTATTACCGCGCTGCATGCATTGGTGACGATATATCATATCATATCATCATCTCCCCTCCAAGCTAAACAGGCATGATCAGACAAACCAGTTCATCAGCATCGTCAACCGTTTGCCCCTCCAGACAATCCCTCCCCCAAGCGGCTCGCCTAGAGATTGTTGTACCTGAAGGTAACCCTTTTCCTACGAGTTAGATTCTTTGCACCTGCATTTCGATCCTTTGAGATGCGAGTTTCCCACGAGTCTGCCAGTCCGTGAGTCCGGCCCAATGTGCTGCAAGTCCGTCTGCGCGATGCTACTCGTACTCGCAGAATACCTACAGCAACCTTCGAATCTCCACCGCCTTTCCCCTCTTAAGATCTCCTCCTGCCGCTCGCTCAGGGGCCGCAGCCAGTAACAATACCGCCTGCTCACCGTGTTTCTTGCGCATGGACAAGTTGGCTAGTCAGTGTGGAGAATATGGGTGGACGCCACATCCGAGCTAGAACCGTTGGAGCGGGTGACGTGAAAACATTCTGCGTGTGCCCATGACACGTTTGACACCCTCGACCTTGGCCTCTTGATGTTTTTGGCTTTTACCCTGGATCATGACATTGACCCCACTCTCCCTTCCCCCAAGTGCCCCCCCTAAACAAAGTAGATAGATACACCATCAAAAGTTAAAAGACGAGGGTGAAGAGGGTCATGTCTACTCTGTAATCCCTTTACACTATCAAGACCCTTTTCTTCTTTTGGATGCCCGTCCCGCCTTGCCCTCGACGATGGTTTGCACTCGATCGATGTCGCATCACGGAACGGATAGGTAGAGAAACATCACTCTCTTTTCTCCGCCATGTCCGTTTAGACGTGTGCCCAGCACTCCGCTTGTCGATACGAGTCAAAGATGAGGACATTCCGTCCGCACTGTGCAGAGATGGCCGCTCGGGCATCGTTCAGTCTCGGCAAGCAAGACCAACTGAAGAACTCAACTCAACCCTCGATCCAACAAACCACCTAGGTAACTCCCCAATATCGTCCCACTGTTCGCCATCGCCCCGCGACACAGTGTGCTTATCTGGAGGAGGGGTGGCCAACTGGATTATTTTTTTCGCCCTGCCTGCAGGTCATGCAGCGTCCATATTAAGAATCCTCACTCGTCCAGGAATAGCTCCGCCTATGTTCGCCTACCAAGGACGAATACGAGCACACACTGGTCCAGGTCCTGCATATATCGATCCAACCACAGCAGAGGATTCTTACGACGTGCTGTAGATTATGTGCAGTAGACTGTAGACATGCTAACTGTGCTACTGTACAGTAAAGTATGCATCGATGCTGCATCCATCGCGCTGTAACGACCCTAGCCGCACTCTATCTCATATTGCTCCAAGCCCAGTGAAGGCGTCCAGAATCGCTCAACTGCCGCTCTCATGTAAATTGAAAATGTTTTACAACCTTTGAAACTTGCGCACGCACATACACGATGGATGACATGCCATAGAGAGAGACACACAATCCTCATATCTCCGATCTTGTCGGAAAGTACGGAGCAATGTCAGGCAGCAGAAGCCGCACTTTGCGCCAACGACGTCTCCCTCTGTACTCTCTGTTACCGTCTCACAACAGCCCCCACAACCTCCGGTCGGCCTTCGTTTCAACCTACTTACCCAGATTGTTCAAATCGTCAGCTGGGCTTCTCGTGCGCAACTCTTACTGTGTGCGATCGCATAAGCAATTGCAAGGTCCACCGCTGTGCAGATCCTCCACCCAGTTCCTTTCTGATGGCCGCCTATTCTGAGCTCCATAGTCTACAATTGTAGTCGTCTACGAGTAGTCTACACGGGAAACGTAATTGACCAATCACAGCCCGACCAAACCACCATTTTTGTATTGATCTGGTTCTTGCTTTTGTTGTCCTCGTACACCGGGTATTTCGTATTCTGTAGTCTGTCTGTAACTACTTGTAACAATTGTACTACCACAGTGCCGTCACTCTTCGTCCAACACCACGTTGATGGCAGGCAGCCATGTCTCTCCCGTCTGTAACAGTGGTTCTTTTCGACGTTGCACGAATCCGAGTCTGTCTCGCCTGACTTGTAACTGTGAACCTGCAACTGTCCGCCGTCCGCCGTTCGTTCGCTTGCTCGCTCACTCGCCAATGCATCGCCAACACCGGCGATCACCTGCTTTCGCTCGGTTCATTCGGACGGACAAGAGACCCATCGAAACGTTCTACAGAGACAAAACCATACGTACCATACCATGAATGATTTCCAATCGTCACTACTCCCCCACGGACAAGAGCAAATATCCAGCCAGACCCGCCCGCCAGAGCCGCTCAACCGAGATCGTGGAGATAGACGATCAACGAATGCCACCACTCACCACCTCAACGACCTCTGACTACTCCCCTCGAACCCCGAAGGTAACCCCAACAAGGTAATTCTCAGTATGTAGACTCGCGGCGGTCCAATCCCAACCGCCAACCGCCAATGGCACAAGACGATCTCCCATAATCATCTGCCAATCATGATAACTAGGTAACTACACACGGCGTGGCCGAAACCGGGTATGGCGACGCAGATACACAGTACATACATCCAATCTCTTAATACTCCGAAATAACGGAAAGAGTAGGTACCAGTGAAGTAATGTCATGTGGTCGAAAACATTAGATTCGAATCCTCTCTCTCCCTTTCTCTCCCCACGCTAGATACATAGTTCGCACATGAACCCCGAAGGTCACCATGCGATGCGATGTGATGCGATGATATGCGATGTCTGTACGACGGAGCAATGCCTTGCGATACGGCGCTGATGCGATGATGCGATGTCCTGCCCTGCGCTGCGATGCCCACCTAGCCTAAATCTAGCATGTCGTTCGCATTCAGTCCGTAGATGGTAACCTTGCGAGTACCACCACGGATCTGCAAATCACCATCGTTCTGTTTCCATACGCTCAACGAAACCAAGCGGTGATGATTTTCTAGTAATTGTAAACATCAGAACTAATCGACGGAGACACAAGAAAATCGGACGAGCCCCAACTCCGTATGTACAGCGTTACTTAGTGAATTCCAACGCCATGCTTTTCTTTGGGTAATAAACCCCAACGAAATACAATCAATATTCCTACAACTCCGTACCTTTCCCCCATAGTCTCTAAATCACCAACAAAAATCAATAGTCTACTTCGGTCGGTCGGCTGCACAAGAAAAGAACGTTAGCATCCTTCCATCCTTCCATTCCATCGACAATCGTAACGAACAATGCACATGCTGGATCGAACGTGCTTTGGCACATCAATACAATAGTCATCTACGCTCAACACCACATGTCATACCGATCCCGGCCCACTCGTTGCTGCGTGTTCGCGCTTATTCCTCGTTGTGTTTCCTTAGTACGCTGCTTAGGTTGATATACACTTCTTATAAACACCGATACACCAATGATGAACCGTGATATCAGACCTAAAGTGCAGCGTCGGGGAATAAACATTTCTGATAACTCATCACTGTGCAGACTAGGTCACTCTTTTCCTTCCTTCCTTCCTTCCTTCCTTCTTCCTATTCTATCTTCTAGAACTCTTCTACGACTAAACGATACCGATAATGATATTCACAATCATGACAATGACACTGATGCCCCCAATACCTACCCGCCCTACCCGCCGCCCAAACCTGCACGCACTATCAATCCATCCATCCCCCCGTCCCCGAAGCGTTCAAACGCCTCAGCTCTATAGACATTCTCCGCATGACACAACCCGAGCGAATGAGTGAGTATCGACGCCGCCCTTTCAGCTGCAGTTTCGTTTTTCAGCTTTCCATCGCGGCAGAATTGCTAGGTAGGGCTGCACTCGTGTGTCGTTCGTTTGTCTGAAACTCTGCGCCTCGTGTATCGTACATACCGCGCTGCACTGCATTGCACTGTGCTCTACCCGCCCACCGATGACTGCGAACTACATGAGGCAAGACGAGACAAGCAGAGGAGAGGTATGGTACGGTACAATCCTTCGTGACGCCATACCCCTCTGCATCCATCGTTCTCGTAGTCGCCACCAGCAGCATGTACCCAGGTAAGCGAAATAATACAATACAATACATCCCGTCCTCCTCTTCCGATGTCCCCGTAAGCGCTCGTGTCGAACGCACGCAAGTATGCAAAGCCAGTCGGACTCATCGGACAACTCATTCTGGCTGAAAAGCATGCGCGTGCGCGTGTGTATTCGCCGTCTGAGGTCATCCGCGGGGAAGGAGAGGACGCATGCATACGCATGTATGTAAGCAGTCATCCCTCACTCACTCGTTCGCTCGCTCGCGATCTCGCCTATGTGGTTTCTTTCCATACATAGATAGATAGATTGAGGGGTAGATTGGACAGATGTACTAGGAAAGGGGAAGGGAAAGGGGAAAGGGGGAGATAGGGAGGCAATGACTGAAATACTCATCATTGTTCTATTTTCTCTCCCGCTGGGTATGACTGCATTTCGAGATGGTCTTCTGGTCATTTTCAGCTCACGGGTTTCCCTTCCCGGTGCGTGCTGTCGTACGGTGCGGTGCGGTGCGGTACGGCGTGTTGGGGTACGGGACTTCACTGTGCCGTTCGATTGCGCATCCGATATCCAGATCTTGGGTGAGAAATGTGCTGTGCTGTGCTGCGGTGCGGCGTATGTGTGTGTACGTATGATTCGCTCTGCGTGCTTACTGGAAGAACATGTGTTCCGTCCTTCGATCGATAAAGAGCTTACTTTTAGTTTCTTTTCTGGCCAGAGATCCTTCTGGCGCTGGAGGGTTGGGGGTGGTCTGTTTGGTAGGTATATAAATGGCTACGCAACGTGCGGCGAGGGGTAAGGCGAGGCTGGGGAGTGGGTGTGGAGGTTCGTAAGCTGTGCGTGTGATGGTGTGGAGTTCTGAATTATTGGATTGTGGGTTATGTCTTAGGACAGATACGCTTTAATGGTAAGTAAGTCATGAAGTGGATGTGCCACTTATCATGCCTACGACGAAAGAAAGTAAGTAATCACTCTTGCACATGAACGGTTGGATGTTTGAACAGTCAAATTTGTGGTGCGTTCTTCCCGCAACCAGACACATTCATTTTGTTTCTACTCTGTGGCTCAAGCTTGATCAGCGTGAAGATGTGATATACTATCTACATCTCACTGAAATGACAATGCCGAGGGATTGTCCTTCCCAAAGCAAGAGCTACTGAGCGAAACCCGAATTAGATTACGCATGGCAGGGCTATTGATCCACCATTTTCCTCCGCTCGCACCATCGTACACATTAATATACTAATGTTTTTGAGCAAGTGAATCACACCTGCTCTTGACTGACTTCTTCACTGCTCTTCGCGCGCTTAGGTTCCCTCTCTGGGTCAGCGGATGACTCCGCGCGGCGCTTCTCTCCCTCTCGTGCTGCTCGTCTGGCTTCCTTGTCCTGCTTCTCTTTCTCCTTTCGTAGCGCTTTACTTTCGAACTCGTGCCAGTCGCCCTCCAACTCCTTTAGTGCGTCTGCCCTATTCGGTGCTGGTGACTCTGTTGCGAAGTATGGATGCTCGAGAACGTCGCTTGCACTCGGCCGTGCAGCTGGATCGAACAGAAACATGGCGCCCAGTAGGTCGAACGCAGCCGGCGTAACTCTGTCCCTGTACTTTTCTTCAAACGTGGATACTTTGCGTTCTGTTGGCCGTAATAGTTCAAACCATTGCATCTCGACTATGCCTGGCCAATCCTGCACTGTCGGTGTTCCCAGGACGTTGTAGATCTTATCTAACTGGTTGATCTCTCCACCGTCACCCGGGAATATAGCGTGCCTCGTGAATATTTCGACAAGAACACAAGCCGCGGACCAGATATCCACAGCAGGACCATACTGCGTCTCTCCTAGTAGAAGCTCTGGGGATCGGTACCAGATCGTTATCACTCTGTTAGTGTAATCCAGCTTGCCGCGCTTCGCATAAAATCTTGCGAGTCCAAAGTCGGCGAGTTTGAGCTGTCCAGTATTGCTGACTAGTATGTTTGCTGCTTTTATGTCACGATGGAGTACACCGCGGCGATGGAGGTAATCGAGTCCCTCGAACAGCTGCTTGGCAAGGTCCTTTTTCATTGCCTGGTCGAGCTTGAAAGTAGGGTGGTTCAAAAGTCCAGTAAGATCGTGGGAGAGATATTCGAAAACCATGAAACAGTCATTCTTCTCCACCATGACCTCTCGTAGTTTGACGATATTGTCGTGGTTAAGTGACTGGAGGAGCTTGATTTCACGGATCGCTGTAACTGGAAACCCGTCTCTTTCACCCTCCATTCTTATCTTTTTCAGCGCTACCATATCTTTGGTATAGACATGAACACCCTTGAAGACTTTTCCGTAAGTGCCTGAGCCCACCACTGACTCATTACCAGGTTTTCGGTAGTAAACCGAATCCGAAGCTGCGAATTCTGGTGAAAGAGTGGGTCTCGGGAGCACACGCTTCTTTTTGATAATCTTCGTTTTGGGTATCTGCTCGGCGGGACCCCTTCGTTCGATGCGGTTGTCGAGTCGATGGTCCGGTCGTCCCTCAAAACGACTCTCCGTACGCACATCAGGGTGACGAGCATATGGATCTCGTCTATCCCTTTCACGAGGATCACGGTAACCTCTCGAGTCACGGACATCGCGTGGATCCCTGGGGTCTCGTGGGTCTCGTGGGTCCCGGGGGTCTCGCAGATCTCTCGGGTCTCTCACGTCCCTTGGATCCCTTAGGTCTCTAGGATCTCTAAGTTCTCTCGGGCCACGCGGGTCTCTTGAATCTCTAGGATCTCTGTAATCCCGTGGATCTCGCAGGTCTCGCGGATCTCGCAGGTCTCGCGGATCTCGCAGGTCTCGCGGATCTCGCATATCTCGTGGATTGCGTGGAGCCCCTAAGTCTCTTGCACTGCGGGACTCTCGGTAGTCTCGATCTCGATAATATTCAGGATCGCGTGGGTCTCTTGGATCTCTTGGATCTCTGGGGTCTCTGGGGTCTCTGGGGTCTCTGGGGTCTCTGGGGTCTCTGGGGTCTCTGGGGTCTCTG